GAACTGCACTTCATACATTTGACACTCACGTGTCAAATTCAAACAGCACTGACACGAAGTGTAAGGTGTAAGGTGCCAAGTATAACAACTCCGTTCACACATTGGCGTAGAGAATTTCAGAGATCTATGATGTAATGATGGATTTATTGTCCTGCCTTATTTCACGGAATTGAAAAGAACGGATCCCAGAATTTTCGTAACAGGTTCATCCCAACACTGAGTGCATAGAGTACGCAAATCCCTCAGTACAGATTTCAAATCACAGGTCCCATAGACCTTCGTTGAATCTAGGAACTGGATTTATCTTGATCCCTTTTCACGTAAGTTTTGTAAAAAGATTTTTGTTGACAAGCTAATACTGTACTCCTAATTCCTTAAAACTTCAAAGAAATGATCATGTCGCCAACATTTTCAATAAGCGTTGCAGACACACCGTTGCAATCTGATCGATTTCCTTTCCAACCCATTTCTATTGGCAATCAAAAAAAAAATGTCATTACCAACCACCCCATCTCTCCTTCCCATTCGACCCTTCTCGTCCTCCTCCGATGAGCACATCCTCCTGTCATCATCCAACATGATAGGAGTAATATTCGAGACGCTACTTTCAAATCAAACCAACAACAATAACACCAATGGTACTCTTCCTTCCATTCAACATTCAATGGATGCCTTCTTCTTTGTGAGTTTAGCCTTCACTCTTGTGATCGGAACCATTCTCTCCATTCTCATTTTGAGATTTTATACCAAATCCAATCCATTTCCATGGTTCTTGTACATTCCTCTTTTAATTACTTATTTAATGTTATTTACTGCAGTTTCACTAGTTTGTATTGATTTGGCAAGTGTAAGTAGTCCAAGCACGCGACACTTTCATCATATACCAACTATTGGAAATCATGACTTCACTGCATTCACTCATACATTCATTCATTCAATATTCAATTTTCACTCGCACACCCCATACATACCCTCACCCAATACACCCCATACACACCCCATACACACACCCAATACATACCCCAATACACTCACCCAATACATACACACCCACACACACCCCAATACACACACCCCACCCCCATCTCAGGCCATTTCAAGTGGTAAATTAAATAAGAAACAATTAGCTGATCCTGCATTGGTCGTCTTGTGGAGATTTATTTATTGGTCTTTACAAATTCTCTCATGGATTTTACTTCCAGTGTTTCAAAGTTATTTATATACTGGTGAATTTTTAGCAATTTTTCGATGGTTACGTGCCATTCTCGATAACATTATCACCTATTCAGTCATGTTATTAGTGGGTGGTATTGCATTGGGTGGATTTTGTTTATATATTGCCATTTCTAATTTACAAGATCCACAACATGCACAAATTATTTCATTGGATTTAATAGCAGGTTTAGGATTGAGTTTGTCCAACATTTATGGTTTAGTATTATTGGTTGGATTTATTGGATATGGACTTGTTGGTCTTCCTCGTTCTATTTTAGATATGAGTAATGATGAACGTCAATTAAGACTCTATGAATTTAAAACACCAACCATTGTAGAAGAATTAGAAGATTTAGAAGATGAATTATTAGAATATTTAAGTATTTGTAAAGTATTGGATCGAAAAGTGGAATCTCATCACAAACAACGTAAAAATTTAGATCGAATTATGAAAACAGTTCAACAAGTCACAGATAATCATCCTCAATTATTGAAAAAAGCAAGACAAAGTACTTTGAGAGAGGGTGATCTCAATTTAATTCCATCCAATATTGAAGAATTAAGTCGTTCTCAATGTGTGAAAATTCATCGATTATTACAAAAAGGTTTGTATCAATGTGATGGGATTTTGAATATTATATATATATATATATATTTATATATACGTTATATATACATTGAATTCTTTACATATGATTCAATATTACATATATATATATACACACATTCATGATGAAATAATATTGCACATATATATATATACACACGATGTTTAAATTCTTTACATTCTACATATGGTTCAATATATGAATAGCCATTCGTGAATTCAGTTCCAAACAATATCAATGGAAACATCTTCAAAGAAAAGCCTTCATTCTTCAAGATATCATTGAATCCAAATCGAATCATTCTGAAAAGAGAATTGTCTCAGTGTTTCGTAGTCCTCGTCCTAAATTTCTTCAAAAGATTTTAGAGAAACCTGAATGGATCTATCGAACCTATTTGAGATCCTTCTTTTTGAAATTACTAGTACTTTTATTCATTCCTTTTGGATTAATTTTAATGTGGTGTGAATTTACTCCACTCTTTAAGAATATTCATGCTACCAAACATTTAAGATTATCTATTTTGGAACTCATCATCATGTCCATGAAAGATCGGTTTGCCATTCAATTTGTGTCTTTGGGAATTTTATCATTGATTTTGGCAATACTTCTTTTTGCCATGTATCGAGTGAGAATTTTATATATATTCCAAATGGTACCTCATCATACAGGTAAGTATATTGAGAGTTGAAAGTGAGTTGTTGTTGAATATTATTATTATTATTATGGTAAATATGATGATGGTATATATTGTGATTGATGTATATATGATGATGGTAAATATGATGATGGTAAATATTATTATGATGTATATATATTATAATATCATCATGGTGGAATGTTCTCTTACTATAGATGCATATACTTTATTCTATACATGCATTTTCCTATGTCGAGCAATTCCTAGTATGTGCTTTAACTTTTTACAGGTAAGAAATCGGATTGTGTGTTTTGAAAATAGTTATGACAACATTTCATGGATTTTAATGATGATGATGGCCACTTTCATATTCACTTTCATATTCACTTTCATATTCACTTTTATATTCACTTTCTTTGACAAATACTACTCTTTTTTGACATTCTACTACTACTCACACAGATGGTTGGTGTTGATCCAGATGATGGTGTTGCATACTATACTATTTATGGAGCACTTCGATTGGATGGATTACGAATTTTTGGTGTATTGGGAGGTTTCATTGTTGACTATTTTCCAATTCTCATTATTGTCGTTGCATTTATTACGTTATTTAAATTAATTGAGAGATGTGGAACTTTATGTAATATTCAAAGATTTAATTATACAAGTTCTACTATCAATGATGAAACCGTGTTGGAAGGTCGTGAAATTCTTCAAAGAGCAAGAAAAAGAAAGATGAGACAATTACAAAATGTTGCAGTTGAGAAAATTTCAACTTCTTTTGATAAACTTGAAGAAATATATTTAGATAGTAAGGAATCGAGAAGAGAGGATGAAGAAGAGGCCATCGATGAGATTCCTCAAGAGAAGGATCATTTCGATCATTTTGAAATTCATCAAGATTTATTGAATGAAAGAAATGTAGAAGATGACGATCAAGAGCCTGTAGAAACTACTCCTCATCGCTCAAAAACAAGACTCGATCGCATCTATGAAAAGCATGGAAGAGAAAGACCAACATCCAAGACCAGCAACCATAGTTTGGTGGACTCGGTGAAAACCAAATTGAAGAATTTCAAGAAGAAGAATTTTGATTCGGTTCTATAAACTATTAAAGATGTACATCTTGAAAAGACCTGGTCATTGTTGTTGACTTTCGTATTGACAATATATAATTGCAAACACGTGCTTCAAACTGGAATTTGATGAAACGAGTTACTCACACTTTGACATGAACTCATGTACATTTGAGACTTGACCCAAAAAAAAATGTCCAAATCCTTCTCGTCTTCTTCTCTTTTATGTTCTGTGTATCCTGAAGAGGTGTCAGATCAGAGTGATCATGACGACCATGAATCATCTTGGGATGGAAAAACTGATGAAATGTTAGTGCATGATGAACCACTGCATGTTCCCGAAGCAGAAGATCAAGAATCCTCAGCATCCTCATTGGCACGTGCCTTTGAAATACCCATTCAATATCAATCTTTAAAAAAGCAACAAAAGAAGAGAAAAAAGAATAGAACTACTTCTACCACTACGACTGCACCTTCTCTCATTTCCAAGACGGTGGATCATGATAATCACAAGAAACATGACACGTTATCAGTAGAGAACCAATTGAGTGTCATGAAAGATCCTACCCATCATCATGATAGTTCTTCTAGTTCAACATCATCATCTATCAAATTATTGGATGAAATTAATTTTCATTTTCCAATTTCATATTCTAAAATTATGACTCGATCCTTTCTACCAAAATCCATTGAAGTCTATCAATTCAGTGCAGAATATACTAAAAAAGTATTAGATTTAGCAATGAATTTTGAAATTATTAATGATCAAAAAAATCAAATCTTTAATTATGGTTTTTCTGATATTCAAGATGCCATCGATGAATTGATCAAGATTCCTCGTTATGAAAAGTCGAATCGAAAGAATATTGAAAAGTATCTTTCAATATTTAATGATGGAAATATGATTTTTACAAGTGATCAATTTGTTACTTGTCAAAATGAACAATTTGGTAAAATCTATGTATTGAATATTCATGCATTTAATGTAGCCAATGATTGGAATAATAGTGGTGGTAGTATTGGTGGTAGTATTGGTGGTAGTATTGGTGGTAGTAATGGTGGTGGTCATGGTGGTAGTCTCAAAAAGTCATACACCTCTCGTGATCATGACACATGGAATGACTTGTCAAGTGTTCAATTATTTTGTATGGATATGAATGCAGAGAAATTGATAGCTTTTAAAAATATGGAGCGAGTGAGTTGGATGACTAGAAATAACAAAACGACGTCGTCAAATCAAGAGATCATGATGAATACCATTCGAAAACAACGTCAAATTGGTCATGTTAAAATGATTCGTCCATCCATAAGTACCAACTCGAAAATGGTGAAAGCAGGTCATTCACTCTTTATATTCACCAGTGACTCTTATTTGAGTGAAGATGATTATTTAGATTATCAATACATGATATCATCTCCTACTCAGACACGTCCATTGAAATACAATCCAAACGCTATGGTGATTTATACGATTAATCATATTCATGATCCAGATCAAATATCTTTTGATATTGCACTCGATCAAGCGACTCACTTTATTTCTAAAAGAAGAAATTATTCTTTATGTGTATGTGGTGATATTTTACTATTTGGAGGAATTGAATTGTATGATGATTCAAATCACCACCACCATCATGGAGAAGAGGGTATTCTTCTTCAAAAGACTACTACTACTACTCGCAGACATAATCATGTGAGTAGTGATCTCTATGTGATTAAATATGATCCCTATCATCCTGGACATATTCAACAAATTGAAAAGAAGGAATATTCAACCAATATTTCATGGCCATGTGCTCGTCATTCTCACTCGGTGTGCTCTTCTGCTTCTGTCATGTACATTTATGGAGGTATTGATGAAAATGGAAATGTTTTAAATGATTTGTATAGTTATGATAGCCATACCAAAGAGTGGAATGAAATTATTATTGATTCATTGATACCACCTTCTCCTATTCATTGCCTATCTTCTCTATTATTCCATACAGGACGATATTTAATTTTGAAATGTTGGATGAAGAATGAATCATCCATGGATGATATACTGAAAGATCCAAAAACAACAACAACAAGTAGTACTACTCCAATCTCGAACATGATCACCACTCAATCCTTTAAATTAGATTTGACTACAAATACATGGAGTATGATACATGATATCATTCCATTGCATGAAGAGAGTCATCGAGATTCTAGTCGTAAGGGTCATATCACAACTAGTCCTTGTTCATCAGCACCCATTCTCATTCAAAATTGCAATTATATTGTATCCATACCTAGTGCTAGTCTAAGTGCAAGTGCAAGTACAAATACTACTACTACTACTACTACTACTACTACTACAAATACCACTCATCCATCCTCATCCTCTCTATTCACCTACTCTCCTCTGCACATGTATGAAATGGGAGCATCCAAACAATTTGTTGGAAATTATTTATTGCAACGAAAACAAGAAAATTATCTTGTGGATGTTGCATTTAAATTACAAGATGAAACATTTAGTGATGTATCTCATTATTTATTAGCACATAAATGTGTGATTGCTGCAAGATGTCCATATTTATATCAACAAATATTGGATTCAACTGAAACCTTACAGAGAAGTGAGTTTATGGGTGGTCATATCACATTTCCAACTCATGACATGTGTGACACCATTCCTTTGGTGAGAGTAGCATTAGGATATGAAAAGATTTTTGAATTGTATTTGAATTTTATTTATAGTGGAGAAGTGAAATTGAATCATGATCATACAAGTCATGGAGGAACTGCAACAACTACGAGTCATGGAGGAACTGCAACAACAACAACAGCAACTAGTACTATTCCTACTACCACTGCTTTACCTACTATTCCTACTACCACTGCTTTACCTACTATTCCTACTACAACTACTTTGATAAACACTCACACTATTTTGAATGAGGATGTTCATTTATTCCTTGAATATTCAAAACTTGTATCTCCAAATGCTCATTATCCCTTCTTATTGAAATTATTTGATCGAGAATATAAAATGAATATGAATCTATGTGTTGAAGGATATCAACAATACATGTCTGATTTGAAAAGACTCTATGAAAGCAAATTAGAAAGTGATATTCAATTAGTATTTTCTCCATCCTCAAGTACAAGTCGTAGCAATGGTAATAATACTACTTGTATTAGTTCACATCGATTATTCTTATCACGTTCACCCTATCTCTCAAGAGTGTTTGTAACAGGAGGAATGTATGAAGCTAATTCAGAAGTGGTTGAAATGGATGAAGAATATTCATTTCCAGTGATGGAAAATATCATTCAATACTTTTATACGGATCAAATTCATTTGAATGGAAATAATTGTCTTGCAACATTATTGAATTGCAATTTATTTGAAATGCCAGAATTATCCATGTGTGCTCGATCGATTGCCATTGATTTAATAGATGATTCGAATGTATGGGATGTTATGAATTTGGCATTAAGTTATCATGAAGTGACATTGAGATTGGCATGTGAATCATTTATTTCAACACTCATGGATCGCGTATCCAAGAAGGAAGAATTATTAGCGTTGCCTTATGAAGTAAGACGTACCATTTATGAAAGATGGCGTCGAATTGGTCAAAAACAAGGTTTGAAAAAGGGTCGAAGAAAGAGGTAATTACTTGGCAAGTCAGAATTCTCAATAGGTGAGATCAATGAATAATAAAATCTTCAAAGGATTCAGAAGCTTTCTACAACATTTCTACAACATTTCACTTAAACAATCTCTAAATTTTACATCATCGAAAGGTATCACATCATCATTCTTGGGATGTTTGTATCCATGTTGAGAAATCATTTGTTTCCAATCCGAGTCACTCACTAAATCTCCTCTCACATTTGTAAATAATCGTTTGAGTATGACTGTATTCCCTCTACTAAATAAATAATGCATTTGAGAGATACAAGATTTGATAAATAAAAATCTCTCATCATGATCATTTTCAATACATGGTATTAAAATGTGAGAAATAAAATTACAAATCCATGGTTGATTCGTCTTATCAATGGTGCATAACATTTGCATTATTCTCTTGTAGGAATTGTGTATATACTGTAAAATAATTGATTTTGATTCTTCTTTTTGAAATAATTCTTGAATTTTCTGAATGGAACAATTCTTCATTTTGATATCAGAATCATGTTCAATATTGAGATAAATGATAATTTCCATAAATACTTGAATATATTGAGAGAGATAGGAAGATTGGAAAGAAGGAGTGGATGATTCATCTTTGGCATGGTCATTATTGTTCATACTATTATTAGGTATAATACTATTGGGAGTATTATTGGGAGTATTATTGGGAGTATTATTAGGTATAATACAATTAGGAATACTATTAGGAGTACCATTGTTCCTACTATGATTCATACTTGTACCATTGCTTGTCCCACTACTCGTCTTCTTTGAATGCTGATCCATGTTTTTGTGATGAGACCGATCCATGATCATTGCATCCGATGGATTCAAGGCAACACGATCATTCTTGACATAATTGACAATACATCGATAAGCATGAATAATTGGATGCACGATCAATTGTTCAGAGGTTAATCGTTTAGTACTATCCTTTTCAATCATCATTCCTATTAATCTTCGAATACTATTTAACATGATCGAGTCATAGAGTGTCGAGATGGGTCTATAATTTTGTAAAACTATTTTTAGAAATGTGAGATGAGAATGTCCACTGAATAATTCAAATAAAGTGACACCCAATGAATAAATGTCTACATTGAAAGAATATCCTTTTTGAAATACAATTTCACTTGCACAATAGAGAGGTGTGCCACATATACTCTGTAATGAAACTTCCATATTTGATTGAACTGCTTTGGATAAACCAAAATCACCTAATTTCACACTAATATATTCATAGGAATCATAGAATTGATCTGTTGAAGTATGATGATTGGAATGATTGTTTGAATGATGATTGTTTGAATGATGATTGTTTGAATGATGATTGTTTGAATGATGATTGCTTGAATGATTGTTTAAATGATGATTGTTTGAATGAGATGGATATTTGGAATATTTTTCATCATTGGATTGGTGACATTTAGCATTCTGTACTTTTGATTCAAAATGATCATCCTCTTCATCCTCTTCTTCTTCATCTTCATCATAGTCTTCCTCTTGTTTGATATACTTGGAATAGACATAGTGTGGTGATAATGCATCATTACTTAATAAAATATTATAGGGTTTAATATCTCTATGAATGACTTGTTTTTCAACATGACAATAATATAATACATCAATTAATTCAATCATCCATTTCAATAGAATATAGATGGGTAATTTTAAATGTAAATCTTTTTCTAAATAATCTCCAATACTACCCATATTACAATATTCACTCACAATGACAATATATTCACATTTTTCTAAAGTTATGGGTGATGATCGAGTTGGTTGTTGTTGTTGTTGTTGTTGTTGTATTCGTTGAATGGGATCAAGTGTTGTGTGATTCATGTGATGGTTATTATTATGATTTAAATGATTATTATTGTAATAGTAATTATTATTATTTAAATAAGAAGCATTAGAACCACCACCACCACTACTACTACTATTACTTCCATAACTCATAATTGAACTCATATTTCCAATAAATTCCTGATGAGTCATGACATTCTTCAATTGTACAATATTTTCATGTTTCAATTTTCTCATAATTTCAATTTCATTGAGAATTTGTTCTCGTGTTTGCTTTCCAGAATGAACAGGAATGACTTTGAGAGCAACATATTCATTCAATTCTTGATCGAGAGCAACATAGACATCAGAATTCATACCCTCTCCGATTTTCTTTCGAATCAAGTAACGTTCATTAAAGTAGCGTTCTCCTAAATGTAAGACATAACCTCTCTCGACATGTTTACCATTTCGGAGAATGGTCGATTGTTCTTGTTCTTCACGTGAGAGAGCAGAAGAAGTACTTGAGAAGAAGCCTCCAATGCCTGTTCCGCCACCGCCACCGCCACCACGAGTCGTACGAGCTCGAGCATGATGATGATCCTCTCGATGATGAGGACTATTATTACTGTTCGTGAGAGAGTGAGTGGATCGACTTGAAGTGCCACCCATTTCAATGATTTAAATTGTTGTTGTTGTTATAAGATTTGAGTTGTGTTGAGAGTGTTTGGTGGTGATGGTGTAATAATCTACAAATAAAAAGGAATGTTGAAATTTTGAATGTATGGTTCTACAACTTGTTATTTTCACGGGTGAGTGTAGAAAGTAGTGATCATGTGAAGAAAGAGAGAGCAGCACAATGAGAGAGTTGAAGATTTTTTGTGCGTTTCTTTCTGAAAGATCCTCGAGTTGATGACATGACATCAATTGTTGTTGGACTCCAAGTGTTTGTTGATTCCTCCAAGGTTTGACTCGTTGCAAGCAGGAAGGATTATAGGACACATCAAGAGTGTAACAACAAACGCGTCAAAAGTTCTTGCAAGAACCCTTTGATGATGTTGATACAACAAGAATATCATCCTCATGTTTTTAAAAAATGTTATCATCATCCAATCATCCGACTACTTCTTCTTCTTCGGGAGCATCAAGTGGAAGTGGTCAAACACCCATACTTGATATCAATTCAAGTCTCACTATTCTTCAAGAAAAGATTATTTATCATCAAGATCATCATGATGATTCCATCAGTGGTAGTGGTGGTGGTGGTGGTGGTCAAGGAGATTCATTTGATGACTCTTTTACCACCCAGCAATCTCCTCCTCTTTCCACAACAACATCCCAACAAGACACTCCCCAACGAAGAAAACAAATTCAAACAGCACTCTCCAACATTTCTGAATTCTTCATTTATTATTATCAAAGAGAATGTAAATTTTCATTAATGACTCAACAATTAGAGTCCACAAGTGGTGGTGCTACATCATCATCATCATCAACAACAACAACTTCTTCTGGTACTACCACGACACAAGATTCAGATTCTGTCTTTTTCAAAAACGTTTCTAATTATCTCAATGTCTCTATTCAACAATGTTTGAGAGCATGTGGTGATATTTCAAATGATGTTCGAATGTATGCCAATGAACATCTCAGAAAGATTATCAAATCTGTGATTGACACTCATTCCGATCGAATTCTAGTCATTCTATTCAAATCTATGAAACCAAAAGTGAATAACAAGTATAGTATTGTAACAGCAATCTCCAATTTTGCAAATATTTCTCATTATATCAAACCACAGAAATGTAGAACCATGGTTTCATTCATTTTACCACAACTCATTCAATTTGTATCGATTGAATATGATTATTATACGTTTATTATTGAAAATATTACAATGAGTGGATCATTGGATAAAATATTTGATATTTTAGGACCATATATAGAAGAAGAAGAAATTTATGATTTTTGTAAAGATTTATTTAAATTACTTTCTCATCAAGAAATTGAAATTCGAAGATCAAGCGCTAAATCCATTTCATCATGTTGTGCCTTTGTACCGACATGTCCAATCCATCAAGTGGCTTTGGATGTCCATGAAATTGCAGTGAGTCAATGCTTTAAAAATCAAGAATGTGTTGATTTAAAGACACTTCAAGGATGTTTAAATACATTTTTGAACATATTACTAGTTTTGGATGATTTATCAGGAAGATCATCAAGAGCATCTCCCATTCACTACTCTCGATATCAATCATTTAGTAACTTGGTGTGTGATTTATTAATTGATTCATTGAGTGTGCAAGATCAGAGAATATTATCACCATCGATAGAATTATTAACTAATTTATTATCTAAATTTAGTAATTACTGTAAGAATTGGATTCGAGGGAAAGTAGATGCTCTACTCTCAAAAACATTTTATATTCTCACTACTTCTAAAATGTTAGTGACTGTCAAGAGTTATATTTTAGAAGCACTCTCTCAATTTCTTTATGTATTTCCTGAATGGACTCTTGAATCGTTTCATAAGAATTCGTGTCATTTGAAATTTTTATTTGATATTTTAGAAAATATTGAAGAAGATTATTTGATTAGAGGAAAGTCATCCATTCTATTGGCTACTATTATTGAAGTTTGTGTCAAGTTACAACACAAGAATTTAGTTGAACGAGTGAGACCTTTAATGAATGATGAGGTAGAGTCTAAACAGAGTGAATCTACTCGAAATGACTTGCTTTTGGATTTTGGAACCAGTGAAATGGTTGATATGAACTCGACCAATACTTTCAATGCTAGTAGTAGCACTACCAACTACACTTTCAATACTAGTGGAATGGCAGATATCCATAATACTACTACTGCTATTCCTACTAGTGCAACTACTACTGCAACTATCAACACGACAACAACCACTACTTTCAATACTAGTAGCACTAGTGGAATGGCAGATATCAATACTACTACTACACCTACAACCAACACATCGATTCAACATCTTTCTTCACATTCACTTCTCTCTCAACTCACATGCATGATTGTTGATAAAATTATGAACATCATGATGAGAGAATCATTCAATCATTTACTAGTGAGAATGTTAATTAGTTCATGTAGTCTATGTCTACCCATTTGTATGCAATATTTACCTGAATTAGCATTCAATATTCCCAAGTATATTCTTTCTATTATTCATGTCAATGATAGTTTTTGGAGTGTTAAATTTGAAATTTTGAATTTTCTCAATCGATTTGATTATACTCTCATTGAATATTATGAACGTAAGAATAATTTAAAGAAAACAAGTCAGCGTAACAACCCTATAGATACAACAACAACAACGAGTTCTACTACTGGTAGTACTACTGGTAGTACTTCTTCCAATACTACAAATGCAACAACAACGAGTGCTACTGCTACTACTACTAGTACTACAAATGCAACAACCACCACTACCACGACAACCACCACTACCACCACCACTACAACAACAACACAATATACTCTCTTACAAATCATTGTAGACAAAGTCGTATGGAAATACATTAGTGATGATAATGAAAAGGTTAGAAAATTAGCCTGTATGACTCTTATTCAATTATTACCCTATCCCAATGTTATGAATAATATTCATACGACATCTATTCATCACGGTGGTTCATCTTCACAACAATTACTTTCATCTTCACAATCTAAAAGTGGAAGTCAAATGGCATCACTCTTTGAAAGATATTCATCAGATTATGATTCTCGTTTACTAAAACAAATCATTTCAACAGAAATGTTACAATACATTAATAGAGATGTGATTCGAGAACATGAATTAACCAATGTGGTATTGGTCATTATGAGATGTATTTCTCAATTGACTCTTGTGAGAGATGACAAACATACTTTTATTGGAATTATCAAATTATTATCATCACTTGCAAAGAGATATAGTCAATACGATGATTCCAATCCACATTTAATATCTCTACATAATGATGAAAAGAGTGGTCAGAGTGGTCAGAATGGTCAGAATGATCCTATTAGCGGTAGTAGTAGTAGTAACACGAGTAGTAGTGGTAGTAGTAGTGGTACCACGACGACGACGAGTCATTCCACAAATCCAGGTGGTAGTGGTGGTAGCTCAACAACAACAACCTTACATGCTATTCCTCAACGAGTTCGCCATCAACGAACTTCATCCATGGGTGGTGGTTTCAATACAAGTACGAGTGGAGCCAATGCACCTACAAGTTCTCATATCACTCCAAAACCAGTCATTTCATTCTATGCCATTGAGATTTTAGACTTGTTGTTGGACAAGTTGAAATATTCAGCTGAAATCTCTACAGATCTCAATGTACATTCCATGATTGTTAAAACTATTGGATTATATGTATTACAATTGAAACATTTAACAAGTGGATTGAATAATAATACTTCCAGTCATAATTCCATCATGATGATCAAAAAAGTTCAACACATTACTGAAAAACTATTATCATATGAACATTTCATGATTGATATGATTAGTAATGTGTTTGATGAGTCATATATCAAATCAAGTCCTATTCAATTGAATTATCAAAAAGACATGCACAAATATGTCTATGACAAGTTATATCATAATATTCGACAATCTGCCAAGTCATCCATTAGTAATGCCATTATTGATTCTACTTATAGTAGAGATGCTATTTCTATACTACGATCACAATTACTCAAGACACTCTATTTTATATTATTATATGGATCTACCAATGTCATTGAAAAGTATACCATCTCAATGATTCAATATTTACATTTCAATGTGAGATTTGAAAAGAAATTTTCCATCCTCTGTATTCAAGAATTATTTGTTTCTTTATTTGGTAAAAAGGATCGATACTATAATATTAATATACCAAATTATGAGAGTATCAAACCATTATTCATTAATGATGAAGATGATGTTATTAATCCAATGGGAGTCAATCAAATGTTCTCATTCGCCACTCCAATCTCTTCATCCTCTTTACGTAAATGCAATGGACTTTTTGAAAAGATATTTGTAGAAGGTAAAAACAATGTATGGTCCACACGAAGAGATGTTAATTTGGGATTGAATAGTATGAGAGTACGAACCACATCTTTACTCATTCCCAATAATAAGGCAAGTATGAGTGGTAATAGTAGTACTGGTGGTGCTGATTCTAGTTCTACTACTACTACTACTACAACAACAACAACAACGACATCAAAGAATAATCCAATCACTCCACAAAAATCCATTCCATTGACTCATACACAATCCCCTAAAAGCACCAATTTTAGCTATGATTCTAAATTTGGAGATACTGGAAAAACGTATCGTCAAATTCTCTACATGTTCAATCCTGTAGTGATTGGTTTAACCAAATCATTCAAACATACACATGATCGATCTCTACAAAATGTAATTCTATTCATGCTCATTCGAATGATTTGTATTGGAATTGATTTTAGTCAATTAGATAAGGATGGATCATTTATTAGATATATTTTGAAACAAATTGATGATATTGAAACGACCTATTTGACTGATTATGAACCTGATCATACATTGTATCAAGTGATGGATTTCTTATCAGTTTTATTGTACATTGTCAAGTATTCACATTTCCCTGATCATCCATTTGATTGTATTAAGAAGTTGGCTCAAATTGGTTTAAAGGATGAGAAAGATTTGAATCGTAGTGTTGGTGGTGGTGGTGGTAGTCGTGTTAGTTCTGGTAGTGCCAGTAGTAGTAACCATGTTCAACAACATGAATGGAGTATGACCAGTATTTTGAGATCACTCTCTCCCATCATGATTAGAGCTTTTTTATGTGAAACTAGAAATGCACATCATGCGACTACTGCAACTACTACCAGTAGTACGACTCAGAACACTGATGGTAGTGCACTGTTGAATGAATTCTTGAAACATGTTCAATTACCAGAATGCCAAGCAGTATTGACATTGTTATTGAGAAATGTTCAACAACAAGGAAATGTACATGTCTCAAATAATCATCATGGTAATAGTCATACACACAATAGTCATACTCACAAGAACACAAGTTCAGCTGAAAATACTCAAGTACTCCTCGATATGAACATTCCAATGGTATCAACCAATTCATCTTCAACTACATCCAATACGACTACTTCCAATAAGAATTGGACTACTCCAAGTACTACTACTACTACCTCAAGTACTACTACTTCAAGTACTACCACTACTACTTCAACTAGTCCATACTCTCCATGGAAACGTCTCTCCAACAAGATTTTAACCGAATGGGTCATTCATCAACAATTACAAGTGGACATGGATTGGAGTCGTGTACTCATTTCCAACATTGGAGATCATTTCCAATCCACTCGCAATGATGCTACTCTCTATTATAATCATATTATGAATCAATTGATGAGTGGATCAGCAGGTGGAGGTGGCGGTAGTGGTGGTCTATCTGGTGGTATTGGTTCGTCTACTCTTCCTCTAGGTGGTGGTGGTTTATCAGGTGGTAGTTACTCCTCATCTCATTCAAGTGTTTTATCGAATGGTATTCGAGGAGGTGCATCTAAAAGACAAAAAGGATGGAATGGAACCCAATGGGGACATGGTTCATCATCAGCATCATTGAAGAATGGAATGATTGATGATGATTTTCGAATGGAATTGTCAAAAATATTTTACTTTATTGATGCCTTGTATATTAATGTTCATGATGAAGAACAATTGCCAATTATTCGAACACTCAATGAGGCAATGAATCAACATTTGAATCAATCCATGAATGAAATGATGATGGATCATTCAAGACTTGTCTCTCAAGATTCATTTCATCGATCATTGATGACGACTCCTCAAGATTCATCCATACTATTCAACAATGATAACAATGAAAACAGTAACAACACTAACAACAACAACTCGGATGATACTAGTAGAATTTTCATCATTTCCAATTTACTCAAATCACTGTTATTTATGAGATTAATGAATAGAATTGATAAGAAGGAAAACAAAGCAGAACACTCTCTTCGTACTTTGGAAACATTTTTATCATTTTGTGTCAAATCATTGAAAATTTATATTAATCACAAAGATTCATCATCAATTACAATTGTCAAGTATTTAACATCCGAAATGTTACTAGTCACTATGGAATTACAAGAGAGATTATATTCTAAATTATCAAATCATAGACTCATTGATAATGTTGACAAATTGAATGAAATCTATACCAAAGATATTATCTATTTTTGGAAATTATTTACAATGAACTGTGAACCTATGGGACAAGATACTGAGAAATCGATCAAGAGATTTGATTTTCCAATCTATGCATCGATTCTATCACTATTATTATCACATTCTAAAATGTTACCAAAAGAGTTTGGTATTTCATTTTTCATTGAAATTTACAAAGTATTCCATACGAGCAGTGGTGAGTACACGACCAGTTCCACTGCTACAAGTTCTATGAGTACTTTGGATGATTTCATGGAAACTAGTTTTAATACTACTACTACTCCTGCTACTACTACTACGACAATGACTAGCACGGATCACACAGAGAATACTCTGGCCTCTCCTCTCGTTATGGCTTATCATTATCAAGTGATTCAACAGAAATCTCTATTTTTAAGTATTATTCATTTGATATTAAGTATTGTTCAATGTTCAACCATATGGAATGCCGTATCGACCACACACACTCATCATACCATTGGAGAGAATTCTATTGAAGCATCATCATCATCATTATTGGATGACTCAACTCATTCTGATGAGACTACTCCAGAACATCCTTTGAATCTTTTATTTAAAGAATGTTCAATTCAACATTTATCAAGCAAGATGTGGAAGAATATTTTAAATCATTTCAATGAACCAATTGTTCAAGAGTTTATTACTTGTTACTCTGATAGTATTCAATCATCCAATGATTTGATTGGACTCTTTGAAGAATTAGATGAGAAATTCTCTATCAAGAATCAATTACAAATTAGTGATTTGAGAATTGTATTCAACTTTGTTAAGAATTATATAAGAAAGGGTCATTTACATTGTTTAATTCCAAAAATGGTCAATCAATTAGAAGAGAGATACAAAGTTGAAACTACATTTATGAAAAAGAAAATTCTCAAAGATATGATCAATTACATTAATCAAAACAATACAAATACTCTCAAAGCACAAATGTTGAAGAATGATTACAAGGTTCTCGATAAGATTATTGAAAATGTGAATCAAACCATTTCAAAATATCATTTGAGAGAACAAGACGAGCCTTCATTCATGAAATCCAAATCAATACATTCAATGATTGATCCCTCTCTCAATCCATTGTTGGCACAAAGTGAATTAGCATCCAATCCTTTTGTCATTTCAAACTTTTTAATTGATTATATGGAAAAGGGAGATTTGAAATATGTTCCAAGTATAGTCTCTTCTATGAATGCTCAATCTTTGAAAGACATTATTTCTCAATTTAATGGAAATATTGAATTTGTGACCTCATTACTCATTCATTTAAAGACCATCGATCAAATACTTCCATTTATAGATTTTACATTTGATCAAATGAATCGATTGAATGAAAACTCACAAAACAAATCCTCTTTATTCGGTACCTATTTGAAACTATCAAATTTACTCTCTAAATTACTTTTGAAATGTAGAACATTTAATTTACTTGAAGATAAGACAAAGCAAGTCATTCAATTTACTTGTCAATTTATTGACTTGTTTTATGAAGAGAGATTGTTACAACAAGCCGTAGATTTGATTGATGTTGATTACATGCTATCACTCATTCATCAAGTATTACTTTCGTATGGAAGTATATTTCAACGCAGTCAGAATCAGGTATCAGCACAACATGATTCAACTCGTTGCAACCAAGATGACTTTATTTCCAAATCATGTCAATTAATTATTGATGCTACTACAGTCAGTTCAACAAGTAGTGATATGATGACTCTCACTCCTTCATCCATGAACTCGTACATGACCAGATATTTGAAACTTATTTTATTCAAGACCTTTCAATTACATCCCAATATGACCATGCCATCGGAATTTCCTGATATAGAAGGAGGTGGAATGAATGGAAGTGGTTCGAGTAGTAGTAGTAGTAGTAGTGGTGGTGGTATGAATTCGCTCTATGGTTTCTCTATTGGTAATCGAATTCCATTCATTTCTTACCATCATTTAAAACTAATTCGATCCATAGGATTAGAATTATCCAAATGTTATATGAATTTGGCATATTCTCCATTTCTACCCAATTTAGAAACTGGATATTATCCTAGAATTGATAATGAACAAGTTGAAACACTGATATTCATGATACAAGAAATTGGATGCAATGAGGATATTTTCAAGCAATTGTTTGAAATGTGTTTTGATTTATTGAAATCAGAAATTACTCAACCATTTGATGAAATTCATGTTCTATTTTTGAAATTACTCACTTGTATGATTTGTAAGATGAATCAACCACCACAAACATTTACATCATTGAATGATATTGATTATGATAATTTGTTTATGAGCACTACTACTAGCTCTTCAAATTCTCCTTTGAATGCTATTCAGAATTGTGTCGATAATTACTTGTCTATTGGTGGTATTAATAGTTCTATCAATAAGAAGAATATAACAACAACAAATAACAATACCAAATTATCAACAAGCAGTATTCAAGTGGAAGACATGTATTCAAGAGCTCTTTTCAATAGTTTCATGCTCTTCATTCAAGAGAGTATTCAGAAATATTCAAAAACAAATTTAATGATTGCAAAAGAAATGATCAAATCCTTACTTTTAATATTGAACAATAATATTGTACTGTTTGCTATCAACAGTCAGACCTATTCACTCCAATGGTTATTTGATCTATTCAAAAATACATATAAGGAAGCTATTCTTTACGATGATTGGTTACTCGCACAATATTCCATTTATGGTCTCTCAAAGACGTATGCCATTTTACATTCGAACAATTCAAGAGATGTCAATGAAGAGTATTTGATCAAAGTCATGGAAACATCTCTCGTAAACTCTCATACCAAACAATCAGCATTTCAAAGTATTCTCTCGTTTATTGAATGCAACAATAGAAATATTGTACTTAAATTATTACCATATTTAGCAAGTAACATTCAAGGATGGTTATTAGAGAAAGAACAAACTGTATACAATCAATTACTACTCATGAAAATGATTACACTCATTGTACAACAATATCCAGAAGCATCTGTTCATCAATTAACGAAAAAGACCATGGAAGCACTTTTCAATCTAAGTGATGATATTGATGCACCACTTTCCATTGTGATTACCATCTTTAAATCATTACAGAATTTATTAATGAATTATTCACTCTCTCAATTTGAAAGAAGTTTAATAGAGGCAATGACAAGTATCAAACAGAGTGCATCTTATAACATGTCCACAAGTTCAAGTGTGAATATGAGTGGTGGTGGTGGTAGTGGTGGTGGTATTGTGAATAATAATAGTATGAGTAGTGGTGTTGGTGTTGGTAGTGTTGGTAGTATGAGTAGTGGTGGCAATACTACAAATCTTACACAAAATACATCCATGATGAGTAAGATTGTTCATCCATTCAAAAAGATGAATATTGATACGTCGACCTTTACCAACTTTACACAAATGCTTGCTCAGAATAGAACCATCTTGTTAGTGAGAAAACCAACTGCTGCATTTTCAGGTACGACATTGATGAATAGCAACAGTGGTCATCATACGAACATGATGACTGGATCGAGTAGTAGTAGTACCAATAATAGTAGTAATAATAATAATAATAGTGGTAGTGGTCACAAGGGTATGTATACAGTCATATCATCACCATCAACAACAACAACAACCACTCAGAACAATAGTGGTACGACAGCTACTACTACTACTACTACTACAACTGGTAATAGTACCACAACGAGTAGTCAAAATTCTATTATGGATATCAAACTGACTCCAACAACTTCCACCACAACAACAACTCCACCCAATACAGCCACTACAAAGATGAAACAATTTATGAGCTTTTTCCAACCAAAGAAGACTCCTACAACAAGTTCCACATCTGGAACTACATCGAGTAATAGTAGTGGTAACATCATCAATAACAACAACAACAGTACAACGACTATGAATATCAACAACAACAACAACAGTACAAAGATTTCACATACTCCAACCAAATCTCTTGACAATACTACTACTAGTAGTACTACTACTGGTTTATCATCTTCCATGTCAAGTACCAATATCGCCAAGAGTGTGAGTATGACATCCATTGCAAGCGCCATGTCTCGTTCTGCTGAAAGTCTTCAAAATAATATTTCTCAAACAAGAAGAATATTGTTATTAGGTTTGATGGCAACATTTATGTATACTTCAACATTTTCTAGAAATAGTGGAAGTGCAGGGAATGTTGCTTCTTTGACTTCTCAAGATTCATCACAAAAAGAACGTGCCAAAGTGAACATTTTACATTTAATTGAACAATTCCATGATGGTGAAATTGATCGAGAAGGTGAAGTTCTATTGAGATTTATTCCACAATTGATGGAAGACTTTTTTGAAAGTGAACAAATTCTACCACTCTTGTACAATGAATTTTTGAGTGCCAAAACACATCCATTGCTACTCTCACTATTACTCTCTCTTCATATGCCACATATATTTACTTTGGATTCAAACATGGCAAATTTTGAAAATTGGATTACTATGAGTATGCAAACATTGTGTTTGAAACAACCACCAAGTGGAGCCTTGTGGGCACTCTTGTGCTTATTCATTACCGTGTGTATGAGTGAATATGATCATCATCATGCTGCATTGATCTATTTTGGATCGAATCACTGTGTTCATGAATGGAATCAAATTTCTTCACATGCCTTCCTATTATATGGTTCAATCTTTTACAATTACTTGTGCGAGAAACAAATGAAAGACGCCATCAAGACGTTCACACAAGTAGTGCTACCTCAACTCATAGAGGATTGTAAGGACAATTTGATATTTGTCAAGCTATTGAAGACTTTAAAGTTTTTATGTAGTGGTACGATTAGCAGTGGTGGTGGTGGTGGCAGTATTGCACTTGTCAACAATACGTTAAACACAAACGAAGAAACAATGGAAACAACACCTCAAAAGCAACTAAGCGAAATGGCCAGTGAATTGGACAGTTTCTTTTAAGCATAAATAAATAATTAATAATTTAATTGGAAATGGTTGTTCGTGTGTGACTGACTAATTGAAAAATTCATCAGCTGGTGTAGAGGCTCTTGATGAGAGTGGCATTGGTAAATCGTCATTGTCCACATTGTTAATGTCATCAACATCCGTGGTTGGTTCAACAAGTCCATTGGGCACTGGAGAAGAGGCTTCTTCCTCCTCACCATCACTTGGGTATTCATCATTCATGATCAAATCAAGTTCTGATTTGCTGTTAGTTGAATTTGTACTACCAGTACCGTTACTAGTTTCTGAAAGTACTTTCTTACCATCTTCTGAAGATGGAAGATACTTCTTTGGTGGTTTTACACTTTGATGGAACTCTGTAAATGAAAATTTAGGTTTAGCAGCATCACTTTCTTTGCAGTAGAAAGATACAGCCAATTGATTCTCCTTACTAAATTGCAGTTCGCCAACAATTTTAGTTCCAAAACTTGAAGTCATTGGTTCAACATCAGAAAATGATGCTCTTTCCATGGCATGTGATTTTTCATCAAAACTTGAATCTAAATTTGAAGTATTTGTGGTACTTGTAGTAGTTGTTGAGTTGATATTTGGTACACCACTTCCAACAGCTGGAGGACCAGAGGCTGTCTTTTTAAAGAATAATTGTTTGAGTGAAAATCCACTGGAGGTACTGCTGACACTACTTGAAGAGCTGTTATGCATCGTGGATGACGATGTGTTTGAAGTACCACTACTTGAAGTAGTAGTAGTCGAGGTTGTTGTTGTCATGGTCGTTGCACTGCTACCATTCGTATGGCTCAAACTCTTATTACTGTTTGTCGTTGAAGGAATATGATGTTGAATTTTAACATTGGAAGCACTTGACGCTGATGAGGTTTCACCTGATTTTGCTCCACCCATTAAAATATTGACCTGTGTCGATGCATTTGTAAATATTCTAGGATTGTTTTTGAAACACTCCTGTTCGAATGGTCCAAACTGTATTTTCTGAATTTGGAATGTAGCATAATCATTGACCAATTTTGTTCGCTCTTCCAAAAATATCTTAAATGAAAGAGTGTTTGAAATGGCTTGATAAAATGCAATAGATCCTTCAGCAAAGTAATCATAATCTTTCAAGAATTGTCCATAGTCAAATTCAAGCGTTGTTCCATTCATTCTAAAATGATATCGATAATTTCCAAACCAATTGGCCATACATTTGACAAAAAATTCTAAAATTCTTGCATTACTGTTGTATTTGGGAATGTTATTTCTAAGCATGGATTTCATTCTATTCTCTTTTGGTAGTGAAACAAATGAATTGCAATGTTCTTTCACGTGAGTGCTCACAATTTTGCCTTCATCCATGTTGAATAGTATCACATGATGGACATGATGGTACTTTTCCATGTTGAAATCTTTTTGTAAAAATCCAACAATGGAACTCGTATGACGACTGGTAATGATACTTTCTAATATTTTGTTTTCATCACAGTATGGAATGATATCTCCACAATATTTGAATGGATACATGAGTGATAGAATAGAGTAGATGAAATTCATGACTTCTAAAATACTTGAAGAATTTCGAGTATAGACCACAATTTTGATTGGATGATTGGAAGCTGCTGTAACAATGGGTGGCAGTGATGATGATGTATTACAAGTTGTGGTTGTTGAAGGAACAGACAATGTGTTTTCACTACTCGTAGGACTTGAGAGAATGAACTTGTCCAAGAGTAAATACTTGTAAAGTATTACAAAATCATCCACATTGTTCGTAATGAATGGTTTAAATTTCAATAAATTAATTTCACCATTGGATGTAAATTCATCAATGGCTGGTCTTCTTAAATAATGAGATGAGTCTAGTATACTATTTTTGGTATCAAATCGAATGAGAAATTTCTCTCCGAATCTAGGATATGGCTGAAAGTAATACAAGTACTCTAAAAAAGGAGTGATATTGTTCATCAACGGATCACCCATTTGTTGTAATAATATCATTCTTGAATATACGATTAATATCAATTGATTATATAAAGAATAATAGGGTTGACTCCTTGATATAAAGCCTAATATACCCACTCTCGGAATATATTTACAATATAAATTGATATTGCTAATTCTATAAAGTATGACATTTGAGTATGTATTGAGAACAGAGAGTTTTGAAATGTATTGTTGAACATTGAATCGATGGAAATAACCTTTCGGATAATCAAATTCTAAATCAGTGAGAACACTATTTTCACGATATTTCAAAAAGAAGCAACATTCAAAGAGTCTAGAAACACCACCAGAGGATGAACGTGGTGAAGAAAGTGAATGATTGGATGATGATGATTCGGAAGGAATGGTGGTGTGATCTACAGTAGTATTCATGGTTGTTGAACCAACAGGCTGTTGTTTCTGTACGGTGGAGGGTAACACAGCCACACTGCGGGAACGACTCATTTTTTTTTGTGTGATGGTTGGTAGCAAGAGAAAGCCTCGCTCTGTCTCCGTTGACGGATGTGAGCTCACAGGAGTTTTGAAATGTGAGATGACCACGTGAGGTCATGATGGGAAATAGGGTCATGATGATTGTGTCATAATTGCACATGACCTCCTCGAGGAGGCATGGTACTCAAGCTACCCGTCCTCATGTGATATCTTTCCAACATTACCAAGAGAAATTCAGAGATATCATTCCTTGGGCACATGAAGACAATCCTCTCAAATTGATCAATAGCGAAAAGCGCACAAAAAATGTTCATGTCTCATGCTTCTTCCGCAACCACACCAACACACCATCAAGTTGATGCCACAACACCCTTCTCTCCTATTCCACAATCACCCCAACAACAAGATCTTCTTGTCAACAACAACATGACACTCGATCCCTCTTCTGTCACTTCTGAATATTATTATGACATTAGTGATGTCATTAAAAACACAGAACTTGCCATGAATGAATCATCATTGACCAATCCTCCGAATGACATATCCAATCATTCCTCTCGATTTCGTATTCAATATTTGAAATTAATGAGAAAATTTAAATCCTTATCCTTGTGGTCAAAACTATTTCTATTATTAGTGATTATATTGGTGACGACCATTTTCATTGCAGGTTTGACAAGTATGATTTTCAATGCTGCAGTTTTGAAAAATTCAACAGCCATTTATTTTCTAAGTGCCATGTTTTTATTGAGTGGATTGAGTTTGGTCTATTTTGCATGTGTCGCAATATTTGCTGAAAATGAATATTTATTATTTGCATTTCTAGTTCAGAGTATTTGGGGTGGATTAATGGCTGCATTTATGGTGTATCAGAGTGCAGTAGCTATAAGTATAGCAGAGAATAATCATAATAGTGGTACTGGTAGTGGTACTGGTAGTGGTAATAATACTGGTGGTAATAATACTGGTGGTAATAATAATTCTGAATCAAATTATGTGACCACCAAAGTGGTAGTCATTCTATTAATTATTATACCCACTTGTTTATATTATATTGCATTTTTATTATTTGTAATTATATTGATACCAGTGTATAGATCTTTTGGATGGAAGGTAGGTGAAAACCATGACATGGATCATTCATGTGTGTATGCATGAATTTTTAATGTATTGATGAATTTTTCAATAATATATTTATTTTATTTTCATATGTTTGGAGAGAATAGATTTTCAGACGTGTTGGATCCTCTCCTCATCTCGTTCGATATTATCGATTTTATTGTATTTATAAGGCCATTCTTCAAGTAGATGTTGGATTTTTAACAGCATTACTTACTATGGCCATGTTTTGGCTCAAATTTGATTGGATGTATTTGTCTCAAATTGGACTTGTTGCTTCCTATATATTTTCACTAATTTGTGTTCCACTTACTTTACTTGCCATTAAGAAAGAATGGTATCTCTTACAAATACCAGTATTATTATTTGATTTAGTATTACCTGGATATTTAGTTTACAAAATTATTGAAGCATGGATTGAAAAGGAGACTAGAATTGCAAAAGATAGTGTGTTAGATCAAACAGCGATTGTGGTCATCATGACTATTATTTCAATATTTGTTTTATTGGTTCGATTTGTCATGATAACATTTGGTGTGATTTGTACAGTGAATTTTAGAAAGGGTTTGAAAAAGTAAGTTTGATGAATATGGAAGATGTAGAATCTCATTATTAATAATGACAATGGTAAATAATTCCTTAATCATTTTGACAATTTGGTACCATTCCTTAACAATTATTCATTCTATTAGAATATTCGAACAAGATTTTATTAGTTACAAGAAAAGATTTTACACTTGGTTTGGAATGAAAAATCGATTAAATCGTTTGAATGCTGAACTCCAACAATCTCTCATGGAAGCTCAACAGAAAGAAGAAGTTTCCAAATCATCATCACAACAACAACAATATAGACTAAATCACCATGATGTTCACGGTGAAACCAAGAGTATTCATGATGATACGCCAATGCATGAGCATGTTGAAAAAAAAAAGAAAAAGAAGAAGAAAAAGAAAAAGGTCATGAATCCTGAAACGACTGCTTATTCTCAATTGTAATTGATTGTGGGCCATCACTACTGAAAGTATTTCACACCATATTCCACAACCATCTTACATTCATTTGCTGCAACTACAACAACAACATCAGAGAAATAAAATTCTGTATTGCAACTTCATTTCAATACAAGTAATCCTATACCTAGTCCAGTATTGGATCCTACTGTAATTCCAAAGAGTAAAAAGAATGTCATCATGGTAGCAGTAATTTCCTTTTCATGCAAATTTGTGAACTTTTTTGGTGCATTTGACATCAAGACGCTTTTAACATTTATGAAAGATAAACAAACATGATACATGTCCACACACAATTCTACGACATACCTATTTAAATATCCTCCAGAGAGTGACAATAAAAATACTAAAATCAATGGAACACTATCATGATTAAATATCTTGGGATTTAAACAAAATATAAAGAGAGGAATGAATACAATTCGCAATACAACAATTAGAAATAAAACAATTTCCATTTTCTCAACTCGACATGCATTCCATAGCTTGCTCTTCCAATGATTCCATTCACCCTTCGTTTTGTTCGTCATGGTTTCAACGGTTTGATGTTGAATTGGAAAGAAGTCAATCCAATAATATGCAATTCTTCCAACAAAGTCATAAATTTGAAATGTTAAATTTGTCCATACAGGTAACCATGTTTCCATTGAAGTTCCAATATAAATAGTTTCAGCACTACTACTCAAACCAGGAAATACAGAAAGTGTTACAAAAAAGTCCAAGAATAAACTTAATGCATAGATCCATGTTCTCTTTCCAATATTTGTAATAATATTCTTAATAGAGGTAATTTCATGATGACTTTTGAGTTGATCTATTGAAGTAGTATGATGAGAAATGGAAGGATATATCGAATTGGAAATGGTAGTAGTAGTGGCATCTACAATCGTCTCTTGTGACATGATGTTATCCATCGTCATGGTTGATGTGTGGTTTTGATCCATACTGGTTCTGTTGTTATTATTATTATTATTCATATCATTATTATTGTTCATATCATTATTATTATTATTCATATCATTATTATTATTATCATTATTATTCGTATGAGAATGATTATTGGTGTGATTATTAATTTCATTATTATGAGAAGAATTGTGAGTAAAAGTATCGATCGTGGTATAATATTTCACAAATCGAGTTCTTGTCAATACATAAAAACTAATCAAACACACCACATTCAAACATGCACAACATGCAAAATAAATAATAGTAGACATGGATAGAATATGAATTGGAACGTCACCATTGTATCCACTTTCAATGGTAAGTTTTGTCAATATTCTCAAACATGTAATAAATAATCCAGCAAATGCACTTCCTAGTATAATTCAATAAATATCATATGAATGTGAATATAAATGTTCATATTCATCAACCAAACACAACATTCAACAATGATATTGTGTCATCAACACATTCAACAATGGTATTATATCATTGTCATCATGGTCATCATGCTGATAAACTCTTACACTATTGACACACTTACCTGATACAACCGTATTCATATAATGATGAGGTAATTTACTTGATAATCCATAAATTGAGCTTTGAATACTTCCTGTGCATATAGCCATGAGTACAACAAGAGCTAAAATCAAATAAAATTCAATTTCTCGATTACCAATAACAACATATAATAATGGTACAATAATTAATAATACAGTGAGTAAACAATAAGGAATATAAATTCTAAATAAATATCGAATATGTGTTCCATATTTGATTAAAACAAATAATGAAATTAATGTTGAAAGAGAATAGACAGATGTCATCCAGAGCATGATTTTTTGAGCGTGATATAATTTCAATAAATAATCTACAGCAGAGAGCATGGCATTCCATGGAAAGAGTTCACCCATTCCTTGTAAGAAGAATGTCATTGTGATCATGTGATATTTATCAATTGGTGGTTGAGAATGGTTGTTTGATGATTCAACCATATGAGAATGGTTGTTTGATGATTTGACAATATTTGATGATTCAACCATATGAGAATCTTGTGAAACGTTGTGATGCGTGGTGGTGGTGGTGGTTATAATGGATGTTGTTGTTGCTGTTTCCAGAGTTTGAAGAGGATTTTTATGTCCTAAACATGAAACATTGGTTGTAGTGGTTAATTCTTCAACCTCCGATCCACCAGAGGAGTGCATATCATCATTGCGATCATCATCGCTTCTCTTTGTGGCCATGATGATCATCTCACGCTCGTGGTTACGGGTCGGTATTTTTTCGAGCTATCTCAGAAAAGAAACTTTTGGTGTTGTGGTTTGTCCAATCCAGCGTTGAGTTCAAACTTTGCGACACTTCTGTCTGTTTGACTCGTCCAAATCAAATACAATGTCCAACTTTCCAAGCAAATCCTCAAAAGTGAGGGATTGTTTGTGACTGACATCTCTACCAAAATGTCCAACATTCTTAAATTTCTTTCTTGATCGACAAATGTAGATTGCTTGTGTAAATCCAGATTTCAACAAGTGATTTTTCAAATCTTGATACCGCAATAAATTTTTTTTTCGAGCTATCTCACAATTCTGGTCTCTGGATTTGACAAACAACACCAAAAAAGCATGAAATGTTTAATTTCTCGATTACGTCCAAACAATATTGAGTGATCATAAATGATCATCCCTTTTCTTCGTTATTTCAAAAACATTTATGGCCAAACTCCCATTTCTGTATAGCTTTGAGCGACCGAGTCAATAGCAGAAATATAAGCTGCAGTTCTCAAGTCAACATTGTACTGTTCCTTAACTTTCTTCAAGTTGTTCCAAGTGTCATGTTGAACACCTTCTAAACCGGAATAGACGTAATCAATTTCACCAGATCCAGAAGTGAGAACTTGATATTCAAATTGAGATAATCTTTGTTTTCCACTCAATCTAGTAATAGCATCAATCATGTCTCTCTTGTGTTTTTCTTCAGCTCTACGAGTCATTCTTCCGAATTGAACATGGCCCAAATTCTTTAACCATTCAAAATATGAAGCAGTAACACCACCAGCATTTGCATAAATGTCTGGTAAAACTTCATGACCTCTCTTGAGTAAAGTGTCATATGCAGTGGATGAGATTGGCATATTTGCACCCTCAACAATCAATTTAGCTTGAATATCATTCACGTTATTATCATTGATTTGATTTTCCAAAGCAGCTAAAATGAGAATATCAGCGTCCACCTTCAACAATTCCTTTGGATCCTTAACAGAAAGTGCTTCTGGGAATCCCATCAAGGTCTTCTTTGTTTGTCTGTGCAATAAGACTTGAGAAACATCTAAACCATTTGGATTGTAGATTGATCCAGTTGAGTCTGCAATACCGACAACAATAGCTCCTTGTCTTTGAAGGAATTGAGCTGTATGACTTCCTACTCTTCCGATACCTTGAACAATGACCTTCTTTCCGAGAAGAACTTTATCTTCAGGAGTATTTCCCTCCTTGTCAGCGTAAAAATCTCTGATGGCAAAGTAGCAGCCCTTACCAGTAGCTTCTACACGTCCTCTGACACCACCTTGAGAAACTGGTTTACCAGTGACACAAGCTGCACTGTTAATGTTGTCAGGGAAGAATGCTCTGTATGTATCGGCAATCCATGAGAGTTCTCTTGAAGTTGTACCACTATTGAGTTGTGAAGATTGTTGTTGGAAATCGTGTTTGTTGTGAAGAAATTGAATGTCGAAAATCGTCAAGAGAATCAATGTTTTGAGAATGGAGAATGAGAAACTTGCGTCCACAGAAAATTGACTGTAAAACTTACATATCTGGACCAGGAACGTCGACTTCAGGGCTCATGTATTGTCTGGTGAACAATTCAGTGGCATATCTTCTTGTGATTTTTTCCAATTCAATTGAATTGTAGTCGTTCACATCAATATCGATACCACCTGTGGTGATTTGGACCAGTTAAAATTGAACGTTCGTGATGGTTTACCATCATCATCAAATAATCATGATAACAACAAATTGAAAATAAATGTCGGTAATAAATCATCAATGATAAATACATAAAGATGGAGAACAGAATAATTATTTGAAACGTTGCAATCAAACGAACATACCCTTAGCTCCACCAAATGGAATGTCATTCAAAGCACATTTCAATGTCATCATCAAAGACAAACCAACAATGTCATCTCTAGAGAGTCTTGTATATCTAATACCACCCTTGCATGGTAGACAATGTCTCGAGTGTTGTGCTCTGTAAGCCTTCAAGAGGGTAACATCTTTATCAAAACTGTTCATAGCCTTTGTTCTTTGCACTGGAATAATAAATTCATAAACAGCCTCTGGTTCTTTGATGTAGTCCAACAGTCCGATTGGATAATTGCTGTTCTTTGAAACAACTTCAGCGGCTTTGTCATAGAAATAGCTGACGTTACCCAACAAGCTGAACTTTCCTGATCCAGATGAGGAAGCGTCAGTAGATTTGAAGGCCTTTTGAGAAGCACATCCAATAGAGTTGATCAAAGACACATTATGATGATGAATGACGTTGCTGGTCTTTGCCGATTTCGAGATAAAGTTGAGTGATTGCTTCATTTTTTGCGTGTGAGGATTGCAGGAGAAGGGAAACAGGAATAAATTTGAGCAAAAGACCAAAATAATACGCCACCAGGTCTTGAGTTTACAACATCAGAATTCAAGGACTCTTATTCTTCAAGTGGATTGGGAATTTGGAATTGTTCTATGCCAATCTTGCAATTCGAAATAAGCATAGAACTTCGGTACATATATTCTTCTTCCGATCAGAAAACCGTTAAATCTGCTGTAAATTTTGGCGCCCTGTTACAAACAAATCTCTAAGAAAAAATGTCATCGTATTATCACCAGAAAGTCGATATTGACGAAGAGGAGTCCGTGTATAACCTCATTGAAAGGCCAGTTGAGGTAATGGCAAAGAAGGAGATGTATCGATCAGCATACCCGGGAACAACCCCACCTTCTTACTCAACGTTCGCTTTGAAAAATACTAGCAAACCAGGAGTTGCAAATGCAGGCGGAAGCTACTTTGATTTGGATGTCATGGGAGGACATCATACAATTAAAAAGAGTACTGCCACAATGGGAAGACCGGTTAAACATGACGTTAAACCAGATTCTTTTACAAAGAAAAAACAAGGTCACTACACCGACGTTTTGAAAACTATGGAAACACAAAAGGCTAAAAAGTTTGAACGAACCTTGCCTGATGGGGTTTCGAAACGACCTCCAATCCCCAAGAAGGATGAGAAACCAATCATGGGCCTCATTACCAAAAAGAACTATATTGTTAGTAACGCTGTTGATAACATTTTGAGTGCTCCAAGAAAAGTGAAACAAATGGAGCCACTTTGGACACAAAAGGCAGAGTATGGTAAAGTTCCTGATTACCTTTCAAAAATCAAGCAAGAAATTCAGGATGAGTACGAGTACATTCAATCGTTACAGCAACAAAATGATTCAACTGGAAAGTCAATGAGAAAACTCTCAGATGAAGAGAAGGAATCCCTCATAGATGGACTTCGAAAGAAGTGGAATGAGCTACATGAGAGATATCAATCGTTCAGTTTTGCAATGCCAAATGACAAAGTGCATATACAACGAAAAGAGGCAGTGGAGCAACAAATGGATGAAATAGAGAAAAGTATCATCAAGCTGTCCAAGCAAAATATTTTTGTTTATGACGAGGAGGATATTGATTACTAAATCCAATTTTGTAGATATGTAAAAATTAAATTAATTTACTTTAAGCTCTTCCTAATGTTAATTTGGGACAAAAATTCCTTAAATGATATCTTTGAATTTCCTTCTCCAGTTCTAGAGTTAATGAAAAGGTTTCTAAGGACAAGTGTTAATGATATACACGTGTCGTGCAGCACATACCTTAATTTTACGCTTTTCAAATTGTCCCCAAATCTATTATGTAGTAATAGAATGCATTGACTTGCAGTAATATAGCCCGTCAGCTTTCTGTCCTTGCTAACAAAGTCTACAATATTGACAAGACGATCTGGGATGAAAGATGTTTTCTTTTCTTCCTTTACTCGCTGTACAATTTCTTCAAGATCGCTGACCATTAGAAAGTTTTTCGAATTGTTGTCACACACTTCCCAGATCATCATGTCAACTTGAAACAACTCAGAACAAATTGACGCAAGCAAGTGTCATCACTTACCATTGTCTAAATATTCCTTTGGAGCTCGTAATTTCCTTAAAACCTTCAACAAATCACTCGAATCCAATTTTTTGTCTTTATTGCAGTCCAGTATTCCAAAGGTTGCCCTCACTCTTCCAATTTGGGCCTCTTTGGTTTCTATCGGCACTTGTCCGTCGTTGATGCATGTTTCTTGTGCATTCTCCGATAAATCATCGTTATTTATTGTGGCTTTCGATGTGTTCATGGTGCTGTTGTTGGGGAGATTGCTTCTCAACATTTTTTTGATATTTTACTTTGCAGAGATCGCCTTCCAGGAGATATTGCGAAACGAGATCAATCACTGGGAATACGAATTATGAAATAAATATTGATTTTATTAATGAAATTATTATTTTCATTGCAACCAAACGAGAGGTGATCCAGAGGATGATGAAATTTCAACTCAATACCAATATATTTATTAAAAATATATTAATTTTGAGAACCGAAATACTCCTTGGAGTCCTTTGGATTTGGCTTAATGGTTGGCTTTCCTTGTTGCCATCCTGCTGGGCAGACTTCTCCGTGCTTGGCAACATATTGGAAGGCTTGGACCAATCTCAAGGCTTCATCAACATTTCTACCAACTGGCAAGTCATTGACAGTGATTTGTCTCAAGTTTTGTTGATCATCAATGATGAACAATCCTCTGAGAGAAACACCATTTTCCAAGAGAACTCCATAATCACGAGCCAAGGACTTGTCGAGATCGGCAATCAATGGAATGTTCACTTGTCCCAAACCTCCTTGCTTTCTTGGAGTTTGAGTCCAAGCCAAGTGAGTGAATTCACTGTCGACAGAAGCACCAATAACTTCAGCACCAATCTTTCTGAATTCCTCAGCCTTCTCAGAGAAAGCAATAATTTCGGTTGGGCAGACAAAAGTAAAGTCCAAAGGATAGAAGAACAAGACAACATATTTGCCCTTATAGTCGCTCAAGTTTACAGTACCGAATGATCCGTCTGGCAACAAGGCAGTCTTGGAGAATTGTGGAGCTGGCTTTTGAATTTGTGGAGTCATGATAATGTTCTGTGCAAAGCAGGTGAATTTTTTTTGGTTGAGTTAAAATCGTTCGCGAAATTTGCTCAGTCTTTTGTTGTGTGGCTCCGTTTGTGCGCAACCAAGGACGTTCCTACAAGCTTGGATCCTCTTCTACGGAATAAAAACTAGATACGGAAGAAAACTAAAATGACCAAAACAAACATCAACCACTTTCGATAAATCGAAAAACAACTGTTGGAATGTTGTTGTTTTCAATATTATCAATTTCAACCTTTACTTTCAAGCACAACATGCCTGAAATTTTGGGCTTCAATCGAAAGCTGGCAAGTTTTTATTGGTGAACGTGATAAAAATACTGAGTAACAAATTCGTTCAAAAAAATGGGTAAAGATAAAAAGAAGAAGGGACTCGCAGACGATGACTACATGTCTATGCTTGCTGGCGATGAAGCACCAGCAACGGAAGACACAACAACAGCCGAAACAACATCTACTCCTTCTCAATCAAACACAGAATCATCAAAAAATAACAAAAACAAAAAGGACAAAAAGAAAAAGAATGATGATTACGAGTCAATGATAGCTGGTAATGACACTGATCAACAACAAGACGAAAATGCTTCTGAACAACAACAACCAAAAAAAGCTGAGCCAAAAAAGCAAGAAAATAAGAAAGATAAAAAGAAGAAAGGAGGTGATGATTATTTGTCCATGATTGCTGCTGAAGAAGTAGAAATTGAGGAAGAAAAACCAGCGGAACCAAAAGAAGAATCCAAAAAGGATGACAAGAAGAATAAAAAAGAAGACAAAAAAGAGGACAAAAAGAAGGACGAAAAGAGCAAGAAGGAAGACAAAAAGAAGGATGAAAAGAACAAGGAAAAGAAAGAGGAGAAAAAAGATGAAAAGAAACCAACAGCAAAGCCAGGATCAGCAGCTGCAAGTAAAAAAGCTCCTCCAAAGGCTGTGGCCGCTTTAAAGGAAAAGCTTGAAAAGGAAAGGCTTGAAAGAGAGAGAATTGAGCGAGAAGAGGAGGAGAAGCGAAAAGAACTTGAAATGCTCCAAAAATTAGAAGAACAAGAGAAGAGAAGACAAGAGGAGGAGAAGAGAAAAGAAAAACTCAAAAAAAAGCAAGAAATTGAAGAACTAAAGAAGAAAGGACTTTACAAATCAAAGAAACAGCTTGAAGAAGAAAAAAGAGCAGAGAATATGAAAGCATTGATGCTTCAAATGGGTCATGTCGCTGCCTTGTCTGACAAGAAGAAGGATGATAAGAAGGATGACAAGACCAAGAAGGAGGCTAAAAAGAAGGACGAAACACAAGCAGAAAAAGCTCCAAAAGAAGAAAAAAAGAAAGAAGAAAAGAAGAAGAGAGAAGAAAAGAAGGAAGAACAAGTCAAACAAGTTGCAGTTGACGACGACAGTTGGGAAGATTTTGATCTTGATGGAGGCAGTAGTAGCTCAGATGTTAACAAGCCAACTACTGAGAGCCAAACTGCTGAACCTTCGAACATTGATGAACCCAAATCCGAAGACCGTGCTGAGGAGGAAGAAAACACTATTACTCATGCTGCTGAGCAAACTAGTGATCAATCCAATGAACAAGGATTATCGTCAAGCCAGACTGAAGATGAGAAACAAAAAGGATCTACAGGTGATCTCCGTAACCCTATTTGCTGTGTTCTTGGTCACGTTGACGTTGGTAAAACGAAAATTTTGGATAAGATCAGAAGTACTAATGTTCAAAGCGGAGAAGCTGGAGGTATTACTCAACAAATCGGTGCTACTTATGTTCCAATCGATGCTATTAAGAAGCAAACTTTCAAGCTCAACGAGTCTGTTAAACAGCAATTGCAGTATAATCTGCCAGGTTTGCTTATCATTGATACTCCTGGACACGAATCCTTCAACAATTTGAGAACTAGAGGTTCATCACTTTGTGATATTGCTATTCTTGTTATTGACATCATGCACGGCTTGGAAAGACAAACTATTGAGTCTTTACAATTGATTAGAAATAGAAAGACTCCATTTATTGTCGCATTGAACAAGGTTGATGCTTTGTATGAATGGAAGGCAACTCCAAATGCTCCAATTAGAGAATCTTTGAAGAACCAAAAGAAGAACGTCATTCAACAATTTGAACAAAAACTAAAAGATGTTCAAAACCAACTCATGCAGCATGGTATTAACTCTGAGCTTTACTTCAAGAACAAGGACTTTAAGAATTGTCTCTCTTTAGTTCCAACATCTGCACACACTGGTGAAGGTATTCCTGATCTATTGGCTCTCATGTGTCAATTAACTCAAAAGCACATGGTAAAGAAGTTAACCTATAAGACTGAGATTCAATGTACAATTTTGGAAGTGAAGGTCATTGAAGGTCACGGTACAACAATTGACGTCATTCTTTCCAACGGTATCCTGCGAGAGGGAGACACCATTGTGGTTTGCGGTCTAAACGGTCCTATTGTCACTCAAATTCGTGCCTTATTGACACCGAAGCCCTTACGTGAAATTAGAGTGAAAGGTGAATATATTCACTGTAAGGAGGTGAAAGCATCCATGGGTATTAAGATTTCTGCTCAAGATTTAGATGGTGCTGTTCCTGGAAGTAACGTACTTGTGTATAAACCAGGTGACAACTTGGACGAAATGAAAAAGGAAGTAATGGCTGATTTGAACGAAGTTTTGAATAGAATCTCTACTACTGGAAAAGGTGTTTTCGTACAAGCAAGTACATTGGGTTCACTGGAGGCTCTTCTTGAATTTTTGAAGTCAGAAAGTATTCCTGTTTGTGGTATTAACATTGGACCTGTTCACAAGAAGGACATTATTAGAACATCAGTAATGTTAGAGACTGCTCCCGAATATGCTGTATTACTGGCTTTTGATGTTAAAATTACCCAAGATGCAAAGGAAGAGGCTGAGAAATTAGGTATCACAATCTTCTCAGCAGATATTATTTACCACTTGTTCGACAGATTCAAGGAACATAAGGCCAAGAAACTCGAAGAAAAGAAGCTAGCGGCTCAAAATGATGTTGTTTGGCCTTGCGTTTTGAGAATCCTTCCAGATTGCATTTTCCACAAGAAAGATCCAATCACTGTTGGTGTTGAAGTGATAGACGGTACTTTGAAGATTGGAACTCCAATTGTTGTACCAACGAAGGATCAACTTGTGATTGGTAAAATTGCAAGTATTGAGCATAACAAACAACCTGTTAAGGAGGCAGAAAAATCAAAGCAAGTTGCTGTTTCAATTGATTCAGGTGGCAAAAATATCGCATACGAAAAGCATTTTGACCACAACGACCTTCTTTACTCCAAGATTTCCAGAAGATCTATTGATCTTCTCAAGGAACTCTATCCTGAAATCAAGGATAACAAGAACTTGCTTGTTTTAATCAAGAAACTCAAAGACATCCTCAATATTCCATAAATTAAACGTTTTCACTTTTGTCCACTTTATTGGCAGTGTTCATGTTACTTTGCAATTTCTTATCAAGCTCTTGCAGAGCTAATTCTCGTCTCTTAGTTGTTTGTTCGGATGTCTTTGGAGTTGTCAAATGTTGATCAATTTGTGGAGATGCGGTGCTGCTTTGCACAAGCGGCTTAATTGGAGAATCTAAGAAAATGCTGTCAAAATTTGAACTGAGAGATACTTTGTTTGTGAAGGAAGGTTGAGGTTGTTGAACAGTCCTAATGTCTGATACAATTTTGAACTGTCTTGCAAGATTATAAACCTTAGTCCCAAATGGCTCCAATAAAGGATGTAAAATGCTAGGAAAAAGTGTATGAAACGCAAAGGAATCCGAATGATCTCCTTTTGTGCCATCTTGTGTGGTCTGGTAAAATCTTAAATAGACCCAAGAAATATAAAAGCCAAATATTATAAAAGGTAAATCTGAGACTTGGTTGGTGAGAAATGACAAGGCAACACTAATCACGAGTGTAATAAATGGGACATTCTTTGCTCTGAGTGGAATAAAGTTGATTGGAAATTCATCTGGAATTTGTTGTTTTAAGATCATTGTAAATCCAAGAATCAGTCCATGAAAGCCATGATATCTAGAATGGAGAAGAACAATCTGTACTTCTTCTAACGCTGCTGGCATGTTATACATGGCTACAGCCAAAATATAATACAGTGATATGAGAGAAATCCAAGTAACTACTCCGCATAAACAGGTCATAACAACCAAGAACCATAAATACATGCTTGTTGTCCAAATATTTGCGCTCGGAGATGTGTTAGATTGTGATCCTAACAGCACATTCTTATTAATTATCCATTTGCTCGTAATAATAACACTAAGAATTGTAAATAAAAAACTAAACGGCTCTGTTTCAATGAAAGCATATGTAAATAAATTCCAAATAAAAAAGCGATTGACTGTATTGATAGGAATGAGACAGAAAAGCCATGTAACGTCTTGCCAAAAAACTAATGATGAAATGAACAATAATGTTTGGATGATCACTATGATCTTGGCAACCATCGGAACATTGCCGAATAACGGAAGAATATAATTCTGAAGAACGCTCATGATGATCGTGAAGTATTTGTTTCAAAATTAGGACAGGGTCATGTAATGATGGTGATTGATCGTTGTAAAGAATGACGTATTTTTTTCTGGAAAGGTTTTTAATGCAATGAAGGGAGCATTATTATGAATGTTTTTATTGCAAACAATTCATTGTTTCACTTGGTAATGATGACTTGAGGGAAGAAGGGGAAAATGAACTGTTGTTGAGTTCTCTTATTATAAATACAAAGTAAATCCATGTGATGCAAGCCCTGTTGAACTCCAATGTAGTGTAGAACAACCTTTGTCGATTGACTTGGTTTAACAATACCAACATCTATTTGAGCATCTTGACAAATGATGGACGATTTGGCTGTTGGTTGAGAAGAAAGTATTAAATCACAATCACTATCTCCGAAATTAGATAAAAATATTGACACTGTAAATGGTTCCATAAGAGCCACCGATTGTTTGTCATACTTGATAGAGGCAAAAAGACCTCGTTTAAGTACAGCAATCCATGGAGCATCAATATAGCTCTTAAATCTTGTGGAATGCTTCGATTCTTGTTGATTTGTAGCTGCAACGTTGTTTTCATCTGAAGTTTCCTCTTTTTCTTCTTCCACATTCTTAATACTATAGGTAACCTCAATTCGAGATTTATAGAGACCTAAACTATCGTCCCATACTAGAGAATTACTGTTGGATGGAGTAGAGTCAGTGCTATTGCTGTTGAAGCTTCTCATTGTGTTGAAAAAAAGGTTAGTAATTGGTTTTCTATTTTGAAGCTTTTCAATAATTTCATCCATATTTCTATAAATGGGAGAAACGAGCAAGTTGGCTGTAAATTGTTCAAAAGGTTTTAACTCTAATGGAAATTGAGATTTTTCAATAAAGCAATTAAATAAATCGTAAATTGCATTTGGTGGAGGAGAAATTATATGATTGGCAGTTGTGGTATTTTTGAGTTGAGATTCGTCAGCATTGGAGACGAGTGTTTGTTGTGTATCACCTGGAGTGCAATATTTACAAAACTTGGCATTCGCTAGATTGAGCTCAATTTTTTCAATTTTGATGGTCTGACTCTCACAGCTGTTCTCTAACACTAACTGAATATAATTTTTCATATTCATCAATTTTGTTTTTGAAGTAAGTTTTAGAGACTTTCTAAGAGCTATAGGTTTACAGAGAGCACATAAGAATATTCTAGATGGAATGTACTGTTGACTTGTGTCATAGGAGACTAAAAAATCTAAATCAAAGTTGTTAACCATACTGAACGGAGATTTGACGTCAGCTAATGATCTGACCATACTATCAGAGAATTGGTCTGATGGAATAAATATTTCAGAGATAACAAAGAATGGATTTCTGTTCAAGTCATTGAAAGGAATGTCAATATTGAAAGGAAAGGTTAATTGAATATGTCTGTCATCTTGGTCTTGATCGTTCATTTCGTATCCCTTATTCGCATACTCATTCGCAGTCATCTCCATAAATATACTTTGTGAATTCACAGCTTGCTTGGCGACAAAGTTGCTTTTAAACAAATAAAAATCAATAAATTCTTTGCTGGCATCAAAATATTTGATATCAATGGATGTGGCACTATTAGAAGCCCCAGACGACGATGGAGTGGTAGATTTCACGCTTTCTGGAAATCTAGATGAAATGTATGTTTTGATGTGTAGTTTAGAGAATAAATCTTTCCAAGTTTTCTTTGCTTTTGTCAACAAAAGTTCTCTTTGCTTTTCATCTAACAACAATAAATTATTTGTTGGTAAATATTCTTCTGCGCTGGCATTTACATCCTTATCAGGTTTGATATCAAATATATTCGTAAAAGTAGTAAATAAATATCCATTTGAAATATCAGATGATGTATTTGATCCAGGAACGCTAGCAGTCAGAGGAGATGATAAATCTCGATCGAGAAAAGAAAGAGGTGATTGGTGAACTTGCTGTTGATATTTCACTGCTGCAGCAATATCAAATACTTGTGATGATGGTTTCATGATTATATTTCCCATTAATTTTCCTCCTTCAAATACAACAGATCGATGGATATCACTATGTACAGCTGATGTAAATTCAATAGAATAATCTACCAGCAACGGAAGTAATTTCTCCATTCTCAATTCATTTTCTGAAAACTTTCCCGATGGATTATACACACTCCCGGCTGTAGAAGGTGAGCTCGGAACACCAAATCCTGATGGTGATGATCTCGAAGTGGTCAAAAGAGTGGTGGGGGAGTGACTCATTTTTTTTGTTGTTGGGAAAGATGATGATTCTGTCTTTCGTTAATTGATGAGAAATGAGCTAGGAGATCTTTACATCACCAGCAACATCATTGATGGAGTATTGGCCCGGCAAGTTGTTGTGTAACCCCTAGTTGTTCATTTTGACATTTGTAAAATCTAATTTTTGAACGAGTTGTTAGCGATTGAACATATTTCATTTTCCAGACAAAGGTGCTTCATATAATTGGTAGATAAGTTCAGGCTTGGATAAAAAGATTAACAACAGAACTTGTAGAATTCTTTGCTTTGAAGGTGTAACTGATGAATGTTTGAGGAAAAAGGATTTCAATCACACAAAAAAATGATACCACCCAACACAATAACGGAACAGCTGCTTTGAGTGATAATCATCATCGTCCACAACACTCTCACGATTCTAATAACAAATCAGATCCGATAATGAATACTACAAGTCATTTTGCAACTACAAATCATTCTTTTAGTGCCCCATCTTTGGTTTCCGTAAATTTTAATAATCCAAATATTAAAAAAGAATTGTTATTGATGATCGCTGGATATCTGAATTGTGAAGGATACAATACATCGGCCATAACGTTACTAGAGGAATGCCAAGCAAAACAAAAAAGAGAAGCTCAAAAACATTCCTTGATAGAACAGATTTGTTCCGATATGCGAGACGGTAATTGGTCAAGCGTTGATAATGCACTTCAAGATTCTTTCAATAGCTCTACCATTGGTGTTAGCACCAATTCGACGATATCCAAATCAACGTTGTACGCAATATACAAGCAGTATTATTTTGAACTGATCGAAGGTGGAGAGTATCAAAAAGCCTTTTCAATACTCAATAAGAGATTGAAACCATTGAAATCAGTTTCTACAAAAGAAGAGTTTTCTGATTTATGTCTATTGCTGACATGTAAGAGCGTGAACGAGGTTGATAGATTTCAAGAGTGGAAAGGAAATATTTCAAATAATTCAATTCTGACATATGGAGGATATACTTCACGAGATGCATTAATTGAAAAGATACTTTACGAGTACAAACGAGAAGAAAGCCTTTCTATTTTATTTGAGGGAGACACCCATCAAATTTCTAGTGTAGTGCCTCAAAACAGACTTTTAGAACTACTTCATCAAGCTGTAAATTATCAAGCAATAGAATCTGCCAATTATATGGAAACCAGAAGCCATATATCAGAGAGGTTTAGAGGTAGTAGAGGACCGAATGCAGTATCATCTCTCTTGTTTGATTATGAAACATTGATTATACCAAATTCTTTATATAACACGTTCAAAGGGCACAAAGAGAACGTGAAGTGCGTGGAGTTTATTGGAAAACAAGGTTTATATTTGGCGTCATGCTCTAGTGATCACACCATCAAAATTTGGAACACTCTGGCACACCCAAACGTCATTACGCTAAACTCATCTAACGAAAAGCCTGAAGATAGCACTTCACCAGTTGCTAAATCTGAAAATCATTCGTCAATTTTAGAATCCACAAGCTATGAAAACGAGCCATTAATAGTGTCATTAGAAGGACATTCCAATAGAGTCTGGGATTTATCTTGCTCATCCTCAGGAAATTTATTGGCCTCCGCATCTAGCGATGGTACTGTAAAAATTTGGGATGTTAAGAATATTATTGAAAACAACGGCCAAAACAGAGTGGTTAATAACTGTTCTCATTCCATTGAATTCAATACGACTGGTGTTAAATCAGATCTCTACAGTGTTGAGTTTGATCCAAATGGAAAATATATTGCAACAGGAGGATATGATAATGTGGTGATTCTATATGATTTGGAAAAAAACGCAGTTGTAAAGAGATTTGAAGGGCATAGGTCATCAGTATGTTCAGTTGTGTTTAATCCTTTTGGAAATTTGTTGATAACAGGAGGAAAAGACAAGTCGATCAAATTTTGGGATATCACGAGTGGTGAATGTATTGCCTCCATTGATAAGCACCTTGGTGAAGTTACTGGTTTGCAAGTTAGCAAAACAGGAGACAAATTACTTTCTTGCTCAAAAGACAATCTCAACAGACTGTGGGATGTACGAAAATTAGAAAGCAACTCGACAAATCAACAATCATTAGTGCAACAAAAATTCAAAGGCCACCAAAATGCTTACAAGAACTTTATTCGATGTAAATTTGGACCCAAAGAAAGAGTAGTAATGAGTGGTAGTGAGGATGGTTATGTGTACATTTGGGACTCTCTTACTGGTCAATTAGTTCAAAAACTTGGTTCTAGCAACAAATTTTCCAGTTTGAATGGTGTTTTCAACGGAACGGTTTTTGATGTTGCTTACAACGCTCATCAAGGGCTGATTGCCAGTGCAAGCGAAGATAATTTGGTCCGGCTCTTTAATTACAAGGGAATGGTGCATTAATCAAGATTAATACAGCATCAAACCACCACTGTTCGAATCCTAATTAAAATAATGTGAAAGGCCTTATTTATTTTTCTCGAAGTTAAACATTGGAGGTTTTTCTCTTTCTCTTCTTTGGAGCAGGATGCAAAGTATGAGCGGTGGCTAGCTGTGGAATCTTGGCCATTTCTTCTAGCAATCTTTCTTTTTCTTGTTGACTCTTTACCTTAGGTACAATGTGATTAACTGAAGCAACGAGAGGGTCGACAGGCAATTTCTTTGCTTGTTCTATGAAATAATCGACGTCATCATTTTCCAAAGCTGTTATTGTCTTATCGTCGAGTTTAGGAATTGCAACAGGTTCTCCAGGGCCTCCAAGAATTTCTTCTTCTTCTTCTGGTTTACGAGCTCTTTGTTTTGGTTGTTGAGCAGATTCATCCATATTAGGTGCCTTGCCAACAGCCTCCATAAATTCCAAAGCAGAAGAGTCGTCAAGTGCCTTCAATTGATTCTCTATAGAAATAGGTTCGTTGGCCAAAAGAGACTTCATATCTCGTAACAATCTTTCATATTTAGAATAATCAACTCCCTCTACTAATTCAGGTTTAGCTTTTTCGAATTTCTTTACAAATTCATCAGAAAGAGCGGCTGGTATGTGGAAATCTTCCAAAGGTTCATCATCCTTCTCCAACTCCAACTGACTCATATCAAAGTTAACTTCCATGTCGTCAAGGTTTTGTTCCATCTCCTCTTCATCTGCCGTTTCTGAGACTTCTTGTGGTCGTGGCTGGCCTGAAGGTTGATTGTCAGATTCAGTGTCATTCAGGTACTGGTACAAGTCAAATAATTCTGTAGTGTTTTGACCCAAATGAGTCTCCAAAAAGGCCATATGGTCTCCGAAAACCTTAGCATTAGGATAGAGTGGATCTTCCGCAATACTCTCTCTTCTCAAATGTTGTCTTTCTTTTCCTACTCTCAAATATTCAAGAGCAACCTCATCGTTAACACCAAACTTTCCTTCTCCGAACATTGTTGGTACAACAATACGAGCTGGATTTAATTGATTGTCAATATGTCTATCAATATTTTCTGGTGTAATAAAGAATTCAGCCTCGGAAACTAATCTCTTCAAGTTATCCCTTCTTTTACTTTGTTCAATGGCCTCTAAATTAATTGCTCTTTGAGCTCGTTCCATTCTTGCTCTTTCATACTCTTCCTTCTGAATTTGCATCATTCTTTCATGTTTTTGTATGTTTTGCATTGCAATGGTGCGTTTATGTTCACGGTAGGTTAAAACTCTTTCTCGGTGTTCGGCAAATTCCTTTCTGGATTTTTCATCTTGTTGTTGTTTTGCTTGTTCGACATATTGCTTGTATTTCTTTCTCACATCTGTCATTTGCTCTTTGTGTTTTCTTTCTCCTACTTTGGAGTAACAAGCCTTCTGTGTACAAATGTACAAAGGAGCAAAAGACTTGTGGGAACAATGATGAATCACCTGATTGCCTGATGATGAAAATTTCTTGGTGATGGAGCGCAGCATTTTTTCTAAAAGCAATTTTGCAAAAATTTGTTTCTCGATCAATATTTTAAACAACGTTTTTATTGTTGTTATTATTATTCGGAGCAACGAGCCAAGATACTACGATCAACTTTGATTAAAATTCATAATCCCTATACGCAAAGGATTTATTCAATGAAGAAGATGAAGTTCCGTGCTCATCATTCAACAAAAAAAATTAATCATGGGAAAATACGCCCAACTAGTGATTGGACCTGCAGGCTCTGGCAAATCTACATATTGTCAAACAATTCAGGAACATGCCAACAACACCAAGAGAATTATTCATGTCGTTAATTTAGATCCTGCTGCAGAAGAATATAAATATCAATGTGCATTTGATATCCGAGACTTAATTACATTGGAGGACGTCATGGAAGAATTTCAACTTGGTCCTAATGGTGGTCTTGTGTATTGTATGGAATATTTGATGCAAAATTTGGAGGATTGGTTTTCGGAAGAGTTGAATGACTATGAAGATGATTATTTAGTATTTGATTGTCCAGGACAGATTGAACTTTATAGCCACGTTCCGATCATGCAACTTTTCGTAAAAGAATTGGAACGAAGAGGATACAGAGTGTGTTGCGTTTATTGTATGGATGTGCAATTTATTGAGGATGTTACTAAATATATCAGTGGCATCACACAAGCATTATCTGCAATGATTCAATTTGAGACTCCTCACGTTAATATTCTCACAAAATGTGACACAGTCAAGGGCAATCAAGAAAGACAAAAGGTGTTACAGAATCTTAAAGTTCCAGACAAGACAGAATTGCTCTATGCATTGGAGAAGGAGACCAATCCTCATCAGAAAAATTCTCCGTTTTCACGACTAAACCATGCCATTGTTTCATTGATTGATAATTTTAACATGGTTGGATTTTTAGAGCTTGATATTTCTGATGAAGAATCTATTGATTATATTCTTTCATATGTTGACATGACCATCCAATATGGAGAAGATGAAGAAGCGAAAGAGCCAAAGGAAGATTATGGTGAGCCTCACGATGAGTAAATGAACAATCTTGAGAACTGATTCTTGTTGTAAAAGAATCAAGTTTTTCTTAACAAAGCCCTGTTAAAATTATTTATTTATTACAGATCTCTGCTGTGGAGTTACGATGCTGCGAGTCACTACGCATCACAGAAAGGCAGCAATGGATTCCCGCCTTTGCGTAGTCGAGCCTTAAAATTATATCAAATAAAAAAACAACACAACAAAATGAACATGCACCAAAACTCTCACGATGCTCTCTACTGTGGAGAAGGAAATCAGATCAGAAACAGGTAAGTTGTATTTTCAGGAAGAACAGGGTTCTAATTTTGCTTCAGACCAAGTATTAAAGTACGAGAGGCACCTGGAGGTAGTACAGCCTACAACTTTATAACTGGAGAAACGAAAGAAGTTGGATCAAGTCAACGAAGCGGCGTAGTTTCAAGCACACCACAATCCCCACAGACGAACAATAGAAATCCAAGAAAACCGCAACAAGAGGTTACTGGCAAAATTGGTTCAACTTCCTCTGTACAAGTAGCTCAATCAAATGCAAACACCGCAACCTCTCATCCATTGCCTCAACATTCTCATCAGCAACAAGATTCTTCTTTGTTTTGCTCCGAGGGCAATCAAATTAGATCTAGACCAAGTGTTAGGGTAGCCCCTCAAAAGAAAGACAACATCAGTTTTTACTAGTAAGCAAGGTTTGGACATTGGAAGTGCATCGGGAGGACCTGTGCATTTGTCTACACATTAAAAACGATTTCTGAATAATATCATTTTCCAAAGTCAGTCTTTCTCGTCTTGTTTATTATGAAAATAGGGAGTGTAGTTATATTGTAATTTAATGTTTCGTTTTTTCTTGAATTCTTCGATCTTTGCATCATTTTCTTCTTCCAACCTTTTCGCTCGTTCTTGTTCTTCTGTGTTTTCTTGCTCCGATTCTTCTGCTTGTTTCTTGAAATCGTCATATTCCACTAATTTTCCTTGATGATATTCTGGTATGGAAGGGGTGTTAGATGAGGTTGTTGAGGAAGAAGAAGTGACACTCTTGTCATCACCCTGTACATGTTTAGTTACCTCGTGAGTACCTTTGATGATCTTTCTTTGGGGCATTTTGTTTGATGTAAACACAACCAAAATAAAAATGCTGCCATCACAACCACCGTTCTCTTCCGAAGGAGGAAAAGCAACACCCGTCAACTACATTGAATTATTTTCAAAAGTAAAGAATTTCTTGTACAATGAGGAAGTTTTAAAAGACTCGGATGAAAATATTATCCAACAAGCATGCTCTCAACATTATATTAAATTAGAGAAAAAGGGTTATTCGTACTTTCCGGACTTTTTGCTGTACAGTAAATCTTTGAAATCGGAGCTTGATGTTCTAATACTCAGTTATAACAAGATTCAATCCATTCCTCCTGAAATTATTCAATTTGATGCTCTAAAAGTATTAGATTTGAGTCACAATCATAACATCAAAAACTTTACTTACGAACTAATGAATTTAAAGAATTTAAAGGCATTGGATTTAAGTTATAACAGAGTGGAGAAAATACCAGATGCTTTCTTTGAAAAGATGGTATCAAAAATAATGGTTTTGAAATTGAGTAGTAATAATATTAGTTTTATAGGGAATGGAAATTGGAGTAATTTAGCGTCCACTTTGATCGAGTTAGATTTAGCAGATAACAAGTTGTCCATCATTCCACATACCATTTGTGATTTAGTTAACTTGACCTTTTTGAATTTTGCAGGTAATCAAATATCTGTCATTCCAAAGGAGTTTTACAAGTTGACCAAATTAAAGCAACTCAATCTGAATAGGAATAGAATAAGAGAACTACCAACAATAGAACTCGAAGATGGACGCTCTGTCTGCGTGTTTTACAACATGAGAGGGCTTGAACATTTTGACATTTCTCGAAATTCAATTCATGCAAAAGATTTGAGAGGTTTAGGTTCAATCACTTCTCTCAAGGCCTACTTATTCTCAAACAACAAACTAACACATCTTTCAAGCAGGTTTGAGGTTACCAACATGTGCAAAAACCTTCAGATTATTGACATTTCCAATAACGAGCTTCAGGACCTACCTACAATACTTGCAGATGTATGTTATCATGTTTTCAACACCTCTCTGATTTTCACTGCTTAACAGACTGTTGGCAAATATGTGACAGAGCTGAACATTTCAAACAATTATATTTCAACTTTGGGAGAAAATTTTGGAAAATTTATAGCTCTGAAGCGTTTACTCATGTCAAAAAATTATATAACTGAATTACCGACATCATTTGCTCGATTACATAGCTTGATTGTGCTAAAAGCAAGCCACAATGAAATTTCTGTCATTCCTGAAGAATGTTTTAATGAAAATATGAAAGAACTCAAAGATATTGACTTGGATTATAATTGTTTACGTCAACTTCCCAAGAGTATCGGAGCGCTTGAGAGTCTAATCTCCTTACGTGTGGAGCACAACACATTAATGACATTACCTGATACGATTGTAAATTGCCCTTATTTGTACGGTATTTATGCTGCCTATAATGAGCTATCAAGCCTTCCTGAAAATATAGGTTCATGTAAAAGACTACGAAAAATCCATGTAGGTAGGTATCGAAGAAATGTTTTAACAACATTGTTGATTGGAAATTATCATGAAAAGAATATAATTTCCTGAAAGCTCTCCCACCAAGCTTGAAAAATCTGAAATATTTAGAAATTATTAATTTTGATCATAATTCTAAGGAGCTCATTGAATTTATGAAAAATCAAATAGAGCTCGATAAAGCTGAGAAGGAGAGAATTCTTGCTGAATATACTGAAAAGTATGAAAAGATGAAAAATCAGACCAAAGGTTTCTTGGAAAAAATCAGCAGCGTACGTAGAAAGAAAGATTTCTTGGACGGTAGCATCAATGAGGCAATCTCATCAACCTCAGTAGTTGCTGCAAGTAGTTCCAACAATATTTCCACATCAAAGGATTATGGTAGTTCCTCGACAAATGTATCGGTGGCTGCTGCAATTGAATCGTCATCCACTCCACAGCAAGGCGCAGATATGATGAAAACTCCTGCAGAATTCATGGCAGAGCAAACGTTTCTTTCTGATATTTTGCAAACCAAAACTAAGGAAGTACTGCAATGGAGAAGAACCACACAGTGAAGAGGAGAAGAATGACAAGAGTAGAATTAGTGATCAGATTATGCAGTTTTACTTCTTCTTCTTCTTCTTTGTTTCTTTCTCAAAGATACTGGAAAGCTGTTCGAGAGTTGGTTCAAATTCTGCTTTTGTGGTAAAGGCCCACTTTCTTTCAAGGTCATAAGATCTTCGTCCTTCTGGAGAAAAAACTTGAACAATAATATTACCAGCATCCACAACCATCCAATTAGTATCCATCTCGCCCTCAATTTTTGGTTTTAATTTATGAAGTCGTCGCTCATAAAGAGCGTCAACCACGCTTTTGGCCAATGTTTTCATGTGCCGATAACTGCTTCCAGTAACAAAAACTAAGTATTCGGCAAATGAACACTTCTCGCTCAGATTCATCACTAATAAATCCAATCCAAAATGCTTGTCCATCAATTCACATACTTCATTAATTGTTAACAATCGATTGGCTTCCTCTGCAGTTAAAAGTTTAATTGTATCTTCTGGATATCTGTCTTTAAATTCTTCAGCTTCACGAACTAGAGGAATTTCATCAGACGTGTCTTGTTGTTGTAGCTCAGATGGTAATTCAACAATATTGTTATCCTCAACTGGTTGTTCTTCAACTACAGTTTTAGAAACTTTTTTAACTTTCTTTTTAGGCTTTTTCTCTACTACTTCAGCTTCATAATGTTTTGAACGTTGTTCATACTCCGCCAACAAAGAATCGATGGATGCCTCTGTCGAGCTTGTTTCTTTTTTCGTGATTTTTCTTGCATAATTCCGAGCAATAATTTCGTGTATTTTGGGAAACTTATTCGTATTGCATCGGAATTGAACAGGGTATAATTTGAAAGCACGAGATGATGGTAAGCAGAACTGCAGTGTTAATAATCTTGATTGGAGCATTTTTTTTGGAGCTTTATTCGTCATTTCCTTCGTCATCGTTATCATCAACCATCAGAGCGTCATCTTCCTCCTCTTCAAATTGGTCATCTTCAAACTCGTGGTGAGAAGGTTTTGAACGGGATGGCATCTTCTTTGATTGCACTAGCGACCCTAGTAACACCGAAATAATGTCACTTCGTTTAGATTTGTCAATAATTTTGACTTGGCTTCCAAAGTTTGAATATTTTGTTGGTTCATTATAAGTTCTGCATGCAAATTCAAAAGCTCTGTTGAAGGTTCGAATCTTTTGATGATTTTGATGAAGTCCACAAATGTAAACTTGATTTCCGAGTTGCTTGATGAGAATTACATGTACTTTTCCAAATAATTTGTTGTACTACAGATGTTTGTATCAAAGATGAATGAAAAAAGTAAAAAAAACAAACCTTAACAAGTTTCATAAAATGTTGGGTCAATTGGAAAAACGCAACTGGGGAAATACTAGTTTCGGTCTCAGAGTTAATGGAAGTGGTGGATGTAATGTTCCAATGTTGTTGATCGAGCTGTGATGAAAATGCAATGTTGAAGTGAGAAAGGTTAATACTTGTCAAATCGATAGCAATAAATTCACGAGTATGTGTGTATGATTTGTTCTCCATGACCATTTTGAAAATGTCATTCATAGCTTGTCTCATTTGTTTCGCTTTTGTTATTCCTTGCTCAATTAGCTGCTTATTCTCTTTTGCATTAATGATACTATTAGAAATTGTAGTCAATAAATTTTGAGGTGGAACAATTTGCATCATGCCTAAAAGAGCAAATACTTGATCACTGGCAGTAAGAGAAAAGGCCTGTTCATAAACTCTTTCGAAAGAATTAAATACAATCGAGGAGAGATGATATTTGTTCTTCTCTTTTTTCACGGCCTCAAGGAATCGGTCTTTGGTTGCTCCAGGCAGTGCTTGCCACGGTGACGTTGCGTCTTGTAATTTAATTCCTAAATCTGCAATAAATAGTTTCATTGCTTCAATACCACTGTTCAGCCACGTGTTGAAAGCTCTAGCCACCAGAGTTGAGTTCAAACAAGCGTCATAAATGGTCCATTGTCGCAATAGTTCAATATTTAAATCGTTATATTTGTTTCTTATATAATCCCCATCAAGAGGTATTGAAATACCATCAAACGACTTTTCGTTAGACCTGTAAACTAGGTCATAGGATAGTTTCGAATAATAATCTGGATATTCATTATCAGAGAGTCTATCGAATAAATAATGGAATGTTACGGAAATGATAGCAGCCCATCTCATGGAGAGAGAAATTGAATGTTGTTCCAAGAAGGAATAGAGAAGGAATGCTGAGGGTTTGCTAAATCCATCACTATTGTTATACAATATTACTCGTTCTTCTCGAGTGCTTGCATAATAGTGTTCATCAATTTCCGATAGAATAGACTCATTATCCATAGCCATATCGGAATTGTATCCCTCTCCATCACTAGGATTGCTTTGAACCTCATCATCATCGTCTTCTTCCTCCTCTTCCTCATCATGAACAATAAAATCTGCCATTTCCTTATCAGCATTTAAATCATCATCGTCCTCAATGAAATTATCTTCATTGAGAGCTTCATCGGGATTGAGAGTAATTTTTTCTACCAATTCACTGGCACTCTTATCAAAGAAAGAAGATGAATGATAGGCTTCTCCTGCATCTTCCGTGCCTTGAATTATTTCATCCACAAAGCTCTTCTTTACAAATAAATATCGACCATGATTCTCTTCATCCTTATCAACAATTAAATGAACGTTTCTCACTTGTTGAAGAGTACTAAACACGTTGCATAAATAGAAAGGTCTACAAGCGTCCAACACGAAAAAGTGTTTGTCTTTGTACTTGTTAAAATCCTTATATTGTCCACCACAATTGATCAAGAAGAAAATGGTCTTATCACTGTTGTTTTCAATATTCCGAGTAATGTCTTGATGATTACTCACTAACACTGCTGCATAGTTACCAAAAAATCTGTCCGACCTATAGAGAGAAGATAATATATGAAATGCTGCCAAAGCATCAACATCCAGAGAAGCGACCATGAAGATGGAATCTCGGTATGGAATCTCACTCACTACATCACGAATTCCTTGCAGGGATGTGATAAATGAAGTGTGTTGCAAGGAAGGACTGTTGTGAAACATTTTTTTGAAATTTGATTTTTGAATTTGAATGAAAGCGCCAAATTACATTTTTAACGGTCAAAGGCTTTCTCCTCATCAACCAGTCACCAACTGGTTCGTCTTCCTTTTGAATTGATCAGAGATTGTCAAACATCAAAAAATGTCAAAACATGAATTTACAGTGGTCGTTGTAGGTTCGTTTCACACCATATGCACATCCTTTCACAAACTGAGCACTCGCTTGAACACATTAAACTTTTCACAGGCCCCGGTGGCGTAGGGAAAACATCGCTGACCATTAATTTAACAGAAGGACGATTTGAAGAAGAATACAATCCAACCATCGGTAAGATCCGAAATTGATGAAAATATTTATTATTATTATTCAATGATCGTGTTATTAAAAAGAGGATGTAAGTGTGCATATGATGAACATTGTGATGATCATCTGATTATTTTTACAAATAGAGCTATCAAAAAGTATTGAATGTAAATAACGAAAGAGTGTTATTAAATATTATTGATACAGCAGGTCAAGAAGATTATCAGGTAAGCAATTTGACGATCGTTCAATGAAATGAAAATTCGTGATGACAACAATATGACTCTTGGTTTCTCTTTATAAGGTGGTAAGTTGAAACCAAAGTTGTTTTCATGAATTGAAAATTCTGAATTATTTACACTGTAACAAGATAAGAGATCAACATTTTAGATCAGGAGATGGGTTTTTATTGTATGTTTATTTAAGAATTTAATTTTACAGTTGTTATCTAATGTTAATTACTGAAAGAGTGTTTGATGTCACGTCAAAAAAGAGTTTTGAAGAAATTCCTAGTTTTTATGATAACATCCTTAAAAGTAAAGAAGGATGTGAATATCCTGTAGTTTTATGTGGAAATAAGTGCGACTTACCAGCTAGTTCAAGAGCTGTGACAGATGTCGATGCTAAGAAATTATGTGAAACCAATGGATGGATGTACTTTGATACTTCTGCAAAGGTAAATTTTGAATTTTAATTATACACCATTGATAACAACCAAATTAATGGTTTTTTATCTATCACCCTTTATACTCTGTTTTTGATTTCAAACAAAAAACAGCAAGGGTTAAATGTACAAAAATCCTTTGAGATGCTGTGTAAAATGATTATTGATTTCAACACTGAAGATACAGACACGGGCAGCGGAAACCAAAAAGAAGAAAAACCAAAGAAACAAGGTTTTCTTTCCAAACTCTTCAAAAAGAAGTAAATATACTGTATTGTTATCACACCTATTAAAATTTCACTTCTTAGATTACCAACTACTAGGTATTTTTAGTGTCCTCTCATTCCAGCTTAACAGTGTTGACATCTATCGTCGTGCTTGCATTGTTCGCAGTTGGAGATGTGCTTGTAGCAGCAGGAGGAGATGGTGAAATGATTGTTTCTGCCAACAACACTGTTGCACCATTTCCATTATTGAGATGAATGGTCACTGGGCTTTTCTTTGCTTGTCTCAACGCACTTTTAAGAACTTGAATGTTCTTGCGAGATTGTATCTTCCATTCCTTGTATGATTGAGTCAATTGAAATCTTCGAAAGGTATCTCGAACATTTTTTACAACATCCAATGTAATGTAATCCAAATCATTTGGAAATTCATCGGATTTGATATATTCATCATTCCATCCATTTTGTTTCCACTTGTTAAAAATCATTTTGGATTGATTGGAAAAGTTCACTGAAAGTTTGGCATTTTCACTCACATACAGATTGTAAAAATCTTCACAAACTGTCTGCTTTGCTTTTTCAATCGTATCACGGGAGAGATTTTGTCTGAGAGTTGGTTTATAACTCTTACTCAAGCTGCTACTGGTGGGAGATGCTGCTCCACTACCACTCAGCTTTCTTGATTCGTTAATATCACAAAACAGTAAAGTATAAATCTTTTCCATGTCGTTAATGAAAGCAAGATTCTCCATAGAAAATTCACTTCTAGAGAATAGTCTCAATAATTCAAAACCTTTTTCATCGACGAATAATTTGCCAAGATCATCACCAAGTAATTCAAGAAGTGGAGAAAAAATGTTCGTTCTAAATTTCACATTCGATGGCTTCTTATCAATGGTTGGTATTTCTACTTGTGCATTTGGAGGCTCTTCTTGATGTTCATTCTGATCTGCCTTTGAATGAGTATCATGTGAATAGTCATCTTGTTCACTCTCAAACAACATTTTGTACTTTTCATACAGAGTCATGATACAAATAAATCCACCTCCAGAGGCTAAAATTTCAAAAACTACAGCAGTGAATTCTATTGGAAGAGAAGCAAATGTGGCAGTAGGTAAAGTACTTGAATAGGTCTTGTTATTGAGGAGTGAAATGTTATCCACACGATCTCTAACAATGAATAGCACTGCAACACTGGCAATAAACTGAAAAATCGAGAAGAAGTGAATAACCAGCTCTAAACGATAGTACAATGGATCATTTCTAAAAAAGTATTTCTTCCACTCACACCTCTTGATAATTCTTTTCCAATTCCATGCCATATCAAAAGAGAGAGCTCCAATAGCCATTGCAGAAGCTACTAAAAAATAAAATCCAAGAACACTTAACACGGTGGTTTGAAGTACTGATTCGCCAGTGAGCAAGAACACTGGAAGGATGGCCACAAGAGAAAGTGAAACAAGGAAAGCCACAAAGATGGTACTGCAAATTTTCACACGACGAGATTTTACCCACCATATGGAACCTAGTTCTGTTTTGGAAAGTACATCTTCATGAAGAATACTCATACTTCCACTACTAACATCTAGACCATTTTCTGAAAGATGGTTTGCAATGGTATTCTCAAGTGTTGAATCTTTTTGTTGGGATACAGATTGCTGTGATTGTGGTGGTAGTGTTAATGGTTCTGCAACTCCTGCAGTTGTGGCAGTCATGTCAATGTCGCTAACAGAATTCTGAGGTAGTAAATGCTGCTGTGGTTGAGGTGTTTGTGGTGTTTGTGATGGTTGTAATAACAATTCTCCTGATGAATTGGAATGTAAAGTAATGGCAGATGAGGAACTAGTTGGATGAAGTGAACTCTCTAGAGATTTGTTACTGGAATCTGCATTCTCATGTGTCAAGGGAGTTAAAAAATGATTACCAGCTGAGGGAAGAGTAGGAGTTGCATCTCCATGGCTTGTGACAACAATGGCAATTGTGTTTTGATTTACAGATGCATTAGTTTTCTGTTTTTTCTGCTTATCCAAAGATTCTCTCTTCATCTTTTTATACCAATCGTTGTATACTTTTCTCTTATAAAAAACTACCAAGGTATTTAAGAAATACATGAGATAACTGAAGCAAAGTAAAATCATTGTAGAAAATACAAAGACGAGAAGTAGAAATTCATCACCCCAATACGTCTGTAACAACAATCTCACAAAATTGACAAAAATTTGAATAAATATCACATAAGGTAAATATCCACGAGATTCTCTAGGTTTTGATTTTCTAAGAATTACTAATAAACTCAATACAATGATGCTCAACGTTGCATTGATCACCACAATGATGGTTGAGATGGCATGATGTACCTGAATGAGACTTTTTTGAAAATTCAAATCTGATAATTCCGTTTGACCAAGTGTTTTCAAAGAAATCTCAGCACATAAAAGTATTGAATTTGTTCCCAAAGGTTGTTTGATAATGAGAGGAAAGGTAAAAGGTAAATCAAATTTAGAGACCAACATTTTCAACTTGAAAATAGATTCTGAATTGGTCATGTTCATGGATGAAGAAGAATTGTTGGAAGAATTGGAAAAACTTAGAGAGGTCAGAAAGGTCTGTATGGATGGAGGAGGAATATTGTCTTGTTCACTTTTTAACATGTTGAATAAATCTTGTAATTTCAGTTCAATAGTATATTCAAATCCATAAAACATCTTTCTCATGAAGAGTGGTGTCATGAACACTTGTGAGCCTGACACTAGACTTGCATAGGAACCATCTTCACGTGTTTCATTTGAGACCAAATATTGATCTTTCATTTCCACTAAATAACTTCCAGAATGGGTTCGAGTGAGATTGGTGGAAGCATGCAATTCAAAGAAGATGTTACGGAATCGAGGTTGATAGGCCACTCCCCACAAATCACTCTCAAATTCAGTCTTATTATGTATAATATCCATAGAAACTGCAAAGTAGGTCATTCGATCAATGGTAGCACTCACTGAAATGGTTGTAATTTCAAAGAGATCAGGACATGGTACGAGATGAGATGATGCCGACAAAGAGGTTGTACTGGAAACATTAGAGTATTTCAATCGCCAGGTTCCATATAGATTGGGCGTGAATTTAAAATCGTGGAGTTGGGTGAATAGAAAGGCTTGCTCTTGGGACAAGATGCACGACGAAGGAGATGTTGAGGGTGGTGGTGGTGATGATGATGATGATGATTCTTGAGCGAGTACGACGAACATGCTCTCATCATGTAGTCTTTGTCGTTGTAATAAAGCATGCTCCGATGTGGTCCAATGGTGGTAGTCGTTATTATAATGATGATGATGAAGCCCTTGTGGTTGAAAATGGGAGTGGTAACGAGTAGTGGTTAATACATAGAGATTAGTGATGTTCAAAATAAATAGAGCTAGGAGTATGAATAAAGAAACCATGGTAGTTATTGATGATGATGACGACATGTAGGAACGATGAAACCGTGAGGAAGGTATGGTTCGTCTCGTGGTAAAGTCAACCACCATGGATTCTCGGGTGGATAAGTGATCATGGCGGTAAAAAAGGAAATCAAAGTCTTGTTCTTCTTCTTTTCGGGCCGTGGAGGAGGAACATGTTGTGGTTAGTAGTAGCAGTGGGTTTGATGTCGTTGATGAAAGCTTCTTCGTGTAAGAGCTACAACAACAGTTACTCACTCTGCTTGGTTCCTCTTCCATGTTGTTGATGAAGGCAATTGTGTTGTACATGGTCGGTGGTGATGATTCATTCATGATGATTCTTTTGGTTATAGTTATGAAATCGTCATCGTCTAGATTTGTTTTTTTGAATGTACTTGTTGATTCATTCATTGTAGTATCTCAATGATGAAAAGAATATTGTTGTATTTGTTGATGATTAGTAAAGTCGGCATGCAGTAACGATATCGTTCGGATCCGAACGTGGAATTGTTGTTGAGAGTTGCCACTTGTCAAGGATTTTTGTGGACTCAGACGCACCAAACAACTTTTTAGCGCTTGCAAAATCCTTTAGATCATGCCACCAGTTCTAGAAGGCATGCCATTTGTGCGTTTTCGCATCAAGAAAAGAAACCTGCGGCAGTCCCTCGCGTTTGTTTTCGTTTAGGTGTTGCGCCACAGTTATTTCAAGTAATTCTAAAATTTCCTTCCATTGACCTTTTATATTAATTATTACCCACTCGAAAGGAATGAAAAAGTTGTAAAACGGGTCGGACTCGGTGTACGGTTGCATGAATATTCATGTACACAACCCACTACAGTATTTACTGCAACAATAAGGAAGTAGGGTAATCCGTACGCGTACATTCAACTCAAGGGCACTACACAATGAACATGTGAGAGTCAAAGGCCCACGTTTAAATGTCACGAACAAGTTTCGTCTTGTGTGTTGAAAGTGTTACATACTTTTCATCAAATTCCATGAATTATCAATTTTCAACAACTGCCACTAATCAAACTCAAAAAAATGGATTTACGTGTAGTGATTGATAAAAGTGGTCGGAAAGGACAGGACGGACCTTGTGGCGAGTATGTGTTGATGTAATCATCATTACAATTTTTTAATCAAAGCAAATTGTGAATAGAAATGGAATGGCAGGAAGTTGTGGAACTGTAAGTGTGATAATCTCACCATGAAATTTAAGTCATATCATTTCGGATAAAGAATGGTATTCAAGGGATTAATGGAAATTACGGAGGTAATGATGGAACATTGGGAGGTAATGGAGGTGTGTGAATAATTTTTCAATTTTTTTGCAAATCTTTTTTCGGATTTCTTAACTATTAGGTCATGGCTCACATGCAACCAATGGAACGAAGGGATTGCATGGAGAGAATGGATCTCATGGAAGTGACATTCATATTGTGTTAGATTATTTTTCACCGACGCACATGACGCTTTGTGACGTCAATAATTTAAATTTTCAAAACAATCAAATAGTTCCAATGAAAGATGGGTCTGTAGTGCTCATCTCACGAGGTGGAGATGGTGGAAAGGGTGGAGAGTAAGTATATGATGACTTGATCATTATGTTTTTTACATGACTTGGAATTCAAAGTGGTGGAGAGTAAGTGAAATTTTATTCAATGAGTGTATTAAGGAATATACAATGTACAATCTTGGAATCTTAATGTAGTGGTGGAAAAGGAGGTGATGGTGGATGGTAAGTGTAGCTTATTCATTGTCATTTAATTTGGAAATTATTATTAAATAATTATCGTGTATAATTAATGCTAAAAATACAACAGTGGTGGTCAAGGAGGAGATGGTGGTCCAGGATTGAATGGAAAACCAGGAGAACATGGAGCAAAGTAAGTATGATTCATATTCATCATTCTCATTCATACTCATCGACCAAATAGTGGTGGAAGGTTTGTAACTATTTGAAATGTCATTTTCACACACTTTCAATTTCATAACACTTGTGAAATGAACATGTTGAATAATGATCATCAATGACTCTTAAACTTTACAGAGGAGGAGAGTAAGTATCCTTTAGAATTATAAATTTCATTGGAATGAATATATTTGTTCAAATAGTGGTGGCAAGTAAGTACTGTCTATTAAGGCACTTGAAAATGTTTGAACAATATCTAAATTAATAATTATACATCAATCACAAGTGGTGGAAAGTAAGTATCTTAGCATACGTTTTAAACAAAACTCGAATAATCCATCGTTGATGTGCACAGTGGGGGCTCAGGTGGCGAGTAGGTACAATGATTTCATTCACAAACAAGTGTGTGACTATTAATGACTAACATGTTATTTACAATTTGTGTGACTATTAATTTGCATTGTTAAAAATGTAGTGCTGGAGATGGAGGAAAGTAAGTATCATATATATAATTCCAAAATGAACCATTCATTCTTTCAGTGGAGGTATGTTTATCAAAAGAATGTGACCTCATGATTCACACACCAAAATATATTTTTCATCCATTCACACCCTATCATCATCATCAGGCTGTGGAGGAAATGGAGGAAATATTATCATTGATACTCGAAATCCCTATCTCTTAAAATTTGTATCTGCCTCAACTGAACCAGGAATGGGTGGTAAGGGTGGAAGGGGAGGTGAATTTGGTCGACCAGGATTTGGAGGAAGGTGAGTTTAGGTGTGTTCCATGTACAATAATAATCATAATTTTTTCAATTCACTTCGTTGTACCATCCATTGAATGATCCATCATTATTGGAATACTACTACTAGACCTGGAAATGGAGGAAATGGAGGAATGGGAGGTATGGCAGGTCCACAACTGGTCTATCAGGCACCACCTGGACATTCACAACCCAAACCACCACAATTATCGAATGGACAGAGAGGACCTAATGGAAATATGGGACTTGCAGGATATAATGGAGCACCTGGAAGAAGGTATGTGTGTGAATATTTGTTATTGAATTTTTTGTTATTGAATTTTAACCAATGTCTGATGATATTATTGTGTGTAAATGAAAAATGTTAATGATATTCAACTATATTTGGAATTTATTGAAATGGAATGAACATGATGAATTATCATAGTGGATTACATGGAGTGGATGGTCTCGATGGTCACATGGGATCTGTCATGTTTCGAGTGTTGGATGCAAATAATCAAATTCTTGAACAATCTTCCACTTGTTATTCACTCAAAGTGAAATCTTTTTCCTTACAAGTCCTTCGAGAGGAACAAGAAGAAGATGATGGAGTGTTAGAACCTGGTGAATTGGTATGCTTTAAGAATATCATACTCACGAATGAAGGAGGATTGACCTTACCTGTTGGAACTGTTATAACCATACCTGATCATCATTCGAAAGAGATTTCTTTCCTGTCGAATCATGTTTCATATATTTTAAATGTACCATTAAGACCCTACGAGGATTTTATCATTCCAGACCGTGTTGGATTTGGAGGTCAAATTTCAGAAAGAAAAAGTGCTATACTTGTTGGAGATACCTTCTCATCAAAACTCGGTATTGAAATTTGTTCGGAATTGAGTGGATCGAAATTTGAAGCATGTTGTCAGAAGCAGAATTATCAAGTTCAGTATCCTGTGTGTTTTGAATTAATGTCAGCAACAGGAACGATTGGAAAGAAGGAATTGGCTACAGTGATTGTGACGATACGAAATGTGTCAACTGTCATGGCTTATGGAATTCAAAGTGGAACTGATGGATCAAAGCGAAGAGTAGCAATACAAATGGAGTTTGATCCAAGACTAATTTTACACAAGAATAGTGAAGATTCCATGACCTCTCAATGGATTTCTAATGGAAATTCAGTGTTTGTTGAAAGTAAGTATTCATTACATTCCAATTTCTCTGGACATTGAATCCATTGTCATCAGTTCCAAACATTCATCCATCCGATTCATTCACACAAGTCTTTTTTGTTGAAATGAGTGATCGTATTCAATATTTTGAACATGCCACTATTAAGGCAACTCTTTTATTGAGAAATATTCCTATTGAACAACATGAACGAGCCATTCGTTTCACTCCAACCTATTATCCACCCTCTGCTGGTGAAAATAATTTTGATTTAATCTTTTTCACAGATTCCCATTTATCGAGAATTGAATTTTTAACTTATACTCAAGTCTTTGATGGACTCTCACTCTCAGTGAATTATTGGGACATTGAAAAGTATCATGGAGTTTCATATGTAGATGCATTACCTTCTCATGAAAAGAATTCTCCATTGCAAAGACATTCACCTGCTTCATGGGTCAATGATTGTCATGGAAAAGTATTATTATATCCATTAAGACAATATACACAAATGGATGAAATTATTTCAACAAGTTCCTCGTCCCAAATGGATGCTCGAATGGATGCTCGTGATATTTTCAAAGCAGTTGCTGGATTTGATATTCTTCCTACCACCACCTCAACATTGATGGGTCATCCACTCAGTTCCACGAGTACGACTACGATCAATATATCTGAATCCCTTCTTACAAGTAGTAGCATGGAGAGTCGTTTGGATGGTTCAGTAGCAGCAACAGCAACAACAACCGTAGATTCAACGGACCACTCGGAACTGGCACGAACTGATTTTGGAGGATTGATTTTCATTGGAAATGTAGATGCTGTGCAATTTGTACAACGTTTGTATCAGGCATGTCCTTTGAAAGAAATTCCAGAGAAAGACCTGAGTGAAAATTTAGTGGTTTCGAGTCCTACCTTGGAAATGTTTCAGAAAAAGTATACCGAATTTCACAAAAAGTTGCTCTCTCAGAAACCAAATGGATATTTCCAATTGTGTAGTAGTGATTTCTCACCAAAACCAAAACAAGGTGTGTTTGCAAAAACACTTCTTGGCAAGGGAACCTATAAGGAGATTCCACTCTCAGTCACAGATCCAATCCTTGCCATTACGACCATGAGTGGAGATGGAACAAACTTTCTCTCATCTGATTCACAAGTGAATTTCAACTCGACGCAATTTGAAGCTGGATCGAATATGGGAAGACTAGTGAACGCCATATTATGTTCATTACCCATTTCCAAGTTATTTTCCATTCTGAAAAATCCAACTCAATGGCTAAAAGCACTCATAGTTGTTACTGAAATAGAAGGAACTCGACAATCCATGAGATATGTTCATGCATTGATTTGGGCCATCTATTTCAAATTATATCATGCTGTAGTGTTTAATGAGAATTTACATTGGCTATGTAATTTTATTTTGGATGAGTTTGAAAAGAATGCATCCACTTATAAGGTTCACCCAGAGAGAGATGTTTTGTGTGAAACTATTGTCATGGCATTGGCGGATTTAGAAAGAAAAATCAAATGGAAACAATCCTTGTTTTCCAAGTCGATTGAGCAAAAACAAGTCTATGACAAGTTCAAAGCAAGTCTTGAAAATTTGATCTATCAAAAGGTGATTGTTGATACCAAAACTTCGACAGCCATTAAGAAGTCAGTGAAGAAACGAATCAAACACATGGATGTCAATTATTTCTCTTTTCATATCAAGTGGATCACTCGATTGATGGTGAATGGAGGTGGTCTTCAATTTGAAAATGAACGATTATTGACGGATAAGAGTACAAAATCAACCTTTAGCTCCAAATCAGAGGACGATCAATCTGAATATTTATGGCAGTAGAGCAGTGGTCACACACTCACCTCTTCTTCTTTTCATACAGCACCATCTTTTTATTGTCATTGATCAATGACAGAAGACTCACCCACCAGAGTAGACTCAATTAAGGGATCGGATGAGACGTTTATGGAGTGTATGAGGTCGTGTGGGTCTTGTCTCTGTTCTCTGAGTAGGGTCACGTTTTGTCTGCACCATTCATCACTCAGTTTCATGTAGCTGCTCAGACTGATTAGCTTGTTTTGAAACTGTCCTTCATGACATGTGAGTAGCTCAACAATATTTTTCTTAGTGTAATTATAGTCATGATCAAAACCTTTACAGTCTTTCATGACCAAATCAGCGGCACGTCTTTCTTCAAAACTCATTTCAAAATCAATTAAGGGTATGATATACAGGTGCTTACTGTAACCGAGTCTGTAAAGAGAAGGATGTTTATGAGGAGTTTTGTGATATCGAATTCGAGGAAGCAGAGATGGGTCGAGCAACAGTAAATAATTTCCATACAGTGACGTCCGAGAGTTATTATTCAAAACCTTTTCATTAAATCGATCTAATTTGCTCAGAAAAATCTGAACACATGTGACAATTCAATACTGTGCGTGACACACTTTTAAAATACTTACTTTATACATTTTGAGCAGATTGAGGGATTTCACTGTTGACTCGGACAACATTTTGGAAGGTTCGTTCACACCACTTGATTCATCGGAAGAGCCATAACAAATCTCTTGTGATGGCTGTTCTAGTCTGCCTTTTGTCAAGACTCCATTCATGTAGCTGAAATAAAAGGTTCTAGCTATTGTTACAAGGTGAGACCGAGAGACATCTCTGTTTTGAAAAGAGACAATCCAATCAATATAAAATCGATCCCATCTCTTGAAATACATGCCAACAAACGTTGAACTAGAGTATAATTTGAAATATTCTTCTTGTTTCAGTTCAAAGTCATGGAAGAGCTTTAAGGTTTCTAAAAGTACAGCAAAACCCTCAAGTAACACCATTACATGCATTTGAGTTGCTTCATCCTTGAGTGAGGCTAAATCAATGGAATCACCAGCATGATCAAGAACAAAGGATAGTGTTTCATGATGTAGTGTCGGAACAACTTGAAAACTAATCACTTTGACCAATTCATTTAAAGAAATCTGAAGTGTCCTATCTGCTAAATGTTGAGGCAAGTCAGAGCATTGGTCTTGAGCCAATTGAGAAATGTTATTGACTATATTCTTCAATACGTCCAACGATTGCATGATGACAAGTGCAATATCAATGAATTTAAACAGTGGTGTTTGAAAAGTGCGTTTGAATGATGATTAGCGGTTGTTCTCCGATACGTATCGTGCCAGTGTGCGAGTGAAGTGATCAATGTTTTTTTTTCTTAAAGAGGCTTGTCTCAATGTATACACCTCACAAAGGCTTCGTCTGAGTGTTTGAAAATATTTCTGTTGGTCAGTGGTTCTAAATGATAGCCTTCTGCTTTCCCAACAAAAATGAAATCATTCAAACATTATCTTCATCTTGGTAGTAGAAACTTTGTTCATTGTATGAGTCTACTTCATGCTTGCAAATGGCACAAATCTTCTTTTGTAGTAACCAATTGTCAATACACTCCTTATGGAAGATATGGAAGCAAGGTAAAGTTCTCAACTCATCACCATCCTCATAGTCGCAAAGACAAATTGGACATGTCGTGTTGAGCTGAACTCCCTCTTGCTGTTTGTAAATATGAGTTGGCAATGTGGCAAGATACTCTCGTGTAAGTCCCTGTGACACAGGTCTTGATCGTGCCTCCATCAATTCTTGAAGGAATTGCATTAGTGCAGCATTTCTTCCTGTATCTTGATGTTCGGTATCTGTGTGCTCTTGTTCTTGTTGTTCACGAATGAGAGAATGAAGATACAAAATCATGAGAGGTGAGAGATTTGTTTGAGTATTGGTTGCACCGCTTCTGAGTGCTCTCATAGCTTCTGAATTGTTGAGAATGTCACGAACGCTCATTGTAGGTTCCTCGGAGGTGTCTTGCATTTCTGTTTCATTTGTAGCAGTTGACGATGAATGAGCTCTATAATATCTTTCAATAATTTTCTGTCTAAATGTTGTCCAAATACAAAGTAAAAATATTGGAACTAGCAAAGGAATGAAAATTCCAAGATAGTGATGCCACTCTATCGTGTTTGCTTCTCCATAATAACTAATGAGGCCAAAACACACATTCACAGGAATGCTACACATGGCAGCGAAAATAGCATCCATTCTATTTTTAAGACGTTGCTTTTTCTGAACGTCTGTGAGAGATAATTCTGACTCATCATGCAAGGGTTCTCCGATATCTTCCTTTCTTTTTCTTTCCATACCATTGTACATGGTAATTAAAAGTCCAGAAAGTGTCATAAAACTGTCTTCCTTAATATTATTATTCTTATTTGGGTTTGGAGCAAGAGAAAACGATCGAACAGCACTAATAATATTATAAAGTAACAGCGCCGTGTTCAAACAAAATAGTGGAATCAAAGAAAAGGCATAGGGCATGTAGTATACGTATTTGTCCAATCTTACTCCAAGTAAAATCAAGAAGCAAACAACGCATAATACCACTCCAAACATCTCTAATAGTACTTGCAGCTTGTTTTTAGCTGCTCCATGAATAACTCCCAAATAAATATAGGCTGCAATGCATTGCAACACTGAATATACCATAATGACACTGAAAATGGAGGTGAATGGCAAAGCAAATTGATCGATATAGTCTAACTTGATGCAAATTAAAATAGCACACACTAGTCCAACAATGATGCCGGCAAAGACACTATAACCAACAAATCTGTCAACAGCTTTTCGTTTTTCTCTTTGAATGGATCTCACTGAGCTATACCGCAGGGGATCAGTATTTCTAAATGTTGCTACAGCTCTACTAGCTTCATCAAGTTGTGAAGCATATCGTTCAAATCTTCTATATTGTCGACTGTAATGCCTTCTCCATTTGATCAAATCTTTTACACCCCAGAAAGCAAGAGAGACCAAAAATATAAGTGACATGACATAGGTTGGAATGATCACCAAAACCCAACCAAATACCCATGCAGGAGCGTTAAACATAAAACGTGACTCTAATTTAAATAGAATTAATGCAATCTGCAAAAATAAGTAATAAGTAGTATACATTGAATTTACAAGTCCACTCTTCCAAAATGGTGTTTTGCTATTTCCATAATTCATGATCACAAGATAATTTTCAAATGTACAGTTTGCATATATTGTATTTCAATGACTAAATAATCACTTACCTTCCGTTAGCAATATGGAAGCCATTAATTTCACTAAAATTACGGCTTCTATTTCTTCTGGCACGAGCTCGTAATCGGTAGAGTCTATTACCAAGTGCCAATCTGGCTGCAGCAGTATGAAAAAGATCATCTCTCGAATGAGCAGCTGCAGTGGTTGAAATGTTTTCCGTGTCGTTAGTGTTTGCTACAGGGTTGTTAGCGTTGTCTGAGGAAGAGGCTGTTGTTTCCTCAGCCGTGGTAGTATTGTCTCGTTGGTGTATATGAGAGGTTGATGATGATGAGGCTACAACTGGACTCCTCTGTTCATCATCTTCATCTTCGTCATCGTCTTCAATTAATAATCCGTGTCCACCTCTACGAGCACCACCAAATAGTAAATTACGAAATTGGTCATGATGATGATGTTGTCTTGTCTCCGATGAAGATGGCACTGATTGCTGTTGGTTATTATCTCTACTAATATTTCTGGTGTGATTGGTCTCATCATCGCTCCGAAGCTCTTCAGCGTGATGTTGTCCGTCCTGATGTCTTGTCTCCGCGATACGAGAGGAAGAACCGCTTTCATCCATCGAGCTAGCAACACTCGACGACAAGGAGTGGAGGAATTGTGAGAACATTTTTTAAATCTATTAATTGATTCAGCTGAATAAAGAAACAAGAACCTCGATAGAGATGAAAACAACAATTTTGCAACTGGATTGATGTGTCCGTCGATGAGAGATTCTGTAACAACAAAATGCGGTTTCTCTCCCAGAAATGACTGTTTCAAAGACTTTCAAAAGTTGTATTTACGCGAGAGTCACAACGTTGATGCAATTCTTTTGAGAGTGGTTGTGACAGTTGTTTTATGAGAGACTGCTAATAATTTCTTGAACGTGTCAAATGTAGAACCAAGTTTAAATAAGGCATGCACTTTAATGTAATTTTAATAATGGCAACAGCTATCGTGCTTGCATGTCATTTTCTAAGTTGTCATTCAAAATATGAATCATGACACCATTACTAAATTCGACAACAAATGAATTGTTAACAGTTAATATTAATTGTTTTTTACATTGTTCTTTTGTTTCTTGTCTGTGAAAGAGGAATAAAAATGTCAAAAATCAATTCCCTTCTTTTGCATCAGCATTGGGACCAATTCATCGACGAGACCGTCCAACTAATTATTGATGAATGGCCATCATCAAGTTCTGTTCGGAAATCAATGCTTTTCAACGATAAAACTCAACTCGAACAACAACCCAACTCTTTTGTACCAATCAGTCTAATTCTGATTGAAGAATCGGATAATCAATCATCACCAACAGTAGTTGCTCATGCCAAACTCATCCAATCTCAACAAAGTACTTTTATCATTGAAACAGTAGTAACAAGAAAAGACAAAAGAGGTTCGGGATTGGGTCGTAGAGTAATGGACGAATTATGCAGCTACGCCAAAACACATCTCCCTCAAGGCTCAACTCTCTATCTCAGCACAAAAATCCCAACGTTCTATGAAAAGTGTGGATTTGAAAGATGTGAGGCTCCCGAATCATTTGGAAAAGTGTGTTCCTCTCTCAATACTCAACAAATACATTCCTTATCGAATATGTTGGCAAAGAGATTCCCCCTACAACCACCTCCTTCATCTCAAGGAGCTACAACCACCTCTTCCGAGACTACCTCTGATGTATGGCTCAAAAAGATAATCCATTCATAAAGATTAAGGCCACGAAGAATTATTCCACCTTCCATTAACCACCACTTCACATTAAAAACCCCAGAGGAAATGCTGTTGTATTTTTAGAAGAAAAATTAAAACAAATTTTTAAAAAATTAAATACACTCTCTTTGCCATCAGCATCAACAATGACGATCAAGGAAACAACAACATCAGATGCCGAGATGAAGGACGTAACAACAACTTCTGAAACCACTCCTCCAGTTAATCCTGAGGAAGAGTTGGAATTGGTGATTCGAGGAGAGTTGAAGGATCAATTGAAAATGATTGCCAAGTCTGTTCAACAAGATGATCTTGATAATGATAGAAAACAAATGAGAGCCTTCAGATTGTTTTACAACAAATTGAGAAGACAAATGACAGATAAGATCCTTGTTGGAATCTTGAAGGTAGGTGTGAGCTTAAAGGTTGAATCCGATCAACATTAATCCATTCATGAATTATTATTTGATATTATCAAAAATTGAAAATGTACCTTTACCTACATTTGTTTTCCAGGAATTGAAATGTGCACACCTTGTTTCATACATTGAAGAAACTATTGAAATGCAAGATGAGGAACAAAAGCCAATTCCAGAGGCTGAAGTTTACTTGTGGCTTATTACAATCATCTTTTTGACAGACAAAAAGCAATACAACAGAGCCTACGTTTGTGCTTATGATTGCGTGAAATATCAACACGTGTTGGAAAAGCAGCAAAGATCTCGCTCTATGAATTTCCTCTTCTCGAAAGTGTATTTTTATTTCTCTTTTATTCATGAAAAGTTGCACGTTGTTTCTAACAACGAATTTAGAAATATTTTGCTTGGTAGATTGCGTAGTTGCACTTTGGCACATGACCATTGGAGTCAGTTTGTTATTTTGAACTGTCTTTTGAGATCATATTTGCAAGACAAGTTGGTAGAACAAGCAAACAAACTATTGAAGACTGTTTCTATTGATCAAACAATTGGTCATGTGGACAATAATCAATTGGCTAGATATTATTATTACAAAGGAAGAATTCAAGCTATTCAATTGGACTATTCCGAAGCTTACAATTCATTGCAAACAGCACTCCGTAAGGCACCAGGTGCTCAACCAAATAAGCCAAAAGCTCAAAAAGAAGGAGCCGAACAAGCCAATTTGAATAAGCGTAACGTAGGAAGAGGTTTCCGTATTCACGCCAACAAATTACTGATCGTTGTTAGCTTGTTGATGGGCCATATTCCTGAACGTTCTCTTTTTGTGAACACTTTGGAGGCCACTAACGATAATGTGACCTTGGCTCAACTCAAGCCATACTATGAACTTACTCAACAAGTGAGACTTGGTAATGTAAATGGATTTGAAACTATTGTTGAGAAGTACAGAGAACAATACGTGGCTGATGACAACCTCACTCTCATCAATCGTATTAGGCAAAATGTTATTCGTACTGGTTTGAAGTCCATCATCAAGGCTTATTCCAGAATCTCTTTTGCTGATGTCAGCAAAAAGTTGAATTTAACTGACACAGATGTGAACGATGTTCAAGGTATTGTTGCCAAAGCCATCAAAGATGGTATCATCGATGCTAAGATTGATGAGCAAGCACAAAGCGTTGACACTGCCAAGAATCAAGACGTCTACCAAACAAGTGAACCTTCAGACGAATTCGACAAACGTATTCAATTCTGCTTGAGCTGTAGAAGTCAATGCATCAAGGCAATGAGATATCGTGAAGAAAAGAAAAAGAAGCCAACAGTAGAGCAAGATGACTCTCTTCACTTGGATGTTGATGAAATTGTTGATGAAGTTGATGATGACATAATGGAAGATTAAATTATTTACAGCAGTAAACTCTTTTTTAAACTTAAACAACGAAACATGAGTCTTCAAAAAGTAATAAATTATTCCAAAGTTGGTGTTGAGACTGAGGCTAAGGAAGATATCGAATCGCTAGAGACATGACTTGGTTTGATGATTTTTCTTATTTGCTTTTCTCTTTGTTTTAACTCTTTCTCATGTTGTTGATTTTGCTCTTTCAATGTTGCATTTTCTTTTTGCAACGAAGCGTTTCTCTCTTTCAAAAGCTCAATATTATATTTCCTATTTTCGTCAGCAAATTTCTTTTTTTGTTCATGTTGTTGAATTTTATCTTCTAGCTCCTTTCGTTCCTTTTTTAATTGCTCAATTTGTTCTAGATATTGCTTTTCTTGTTCTATGAACGCTTCTCTGGATGCTTCTTTACTTTGCTGGAGAGCTGTCAACTCTTCATCATGCTTCTTTGTTAATTCTTTAAGTTCTTTTTCCTGTTGTTGCAGTAACAGTTCTAGTTGATGCATTCTCTTTGTGCTAAATAAGTATTCAACAGGATCTTGATGATTTAAATTGAAGGCTTCGTTCAAACGTTGTTTGATTATTTGCGGAATTTTGTGTTTTTGAAAATATTGATCAACTTGTTGTTTGGAAGCTGTTTTCATCAATGGTTCTTCCTCTTCATCCAAAGTAGCATCATAGTGAAGCGAAACTTGTTGTTGATCGGATGATGGCTCGGTTGAAGATGATGGCAGATTCTCTGTTGTTGTGCTCATTTTTTTTAAATTAAATTTTCATTTTGGATAGCATAGAAATTATTTATTCTTTTTCTTCTTCTTTGGAGTTTTTGTTTTCTTTTCATTGGATGGTTGTTCTTGTTTGGTTGACGAGGGTGCTTCTGATTGTTTTGCTTTCTTAAATTCTTCAATCTTTTCACTACTTTGTTCTTGACAAGTTGGACAAAACCACAGTCCTTTAGGAGCTTCGCTCAATGGCGGATCTAAACATCGGTAATGATATGCATTGTCACAATAATCACAAATGATCATCTCACTCTCATCTGAATTCTTTTTACATTTGAGGCAAATTTTGCAGTCAGCACAAAGCCAATTATCTCTATATTGTTGCTCTAAATGATCCATGTTGGGTTCATGACAAAAAGTATGGAAATAGCAGTTACAAGCTACACAATGAATGAGCTTATCCTCCTGATCTCCGCTGTCACATTTTTTACATAATTTTCTAGACCTTAATAGAGTATGAGTTAAAGAAGCAATTTGTTGTAATGACGACTTACCTAGGTCTTCCTCTCTTTTTAGGAATTTGAGAAAGTTCTGATTCAGAAAATAATGTTGATGCCTGTTGTTTTTCTTGTGCACTCAGGCTTGAATCTGTGTTTTCTGAATTATCGAGAAGCTGAAATAAAGACTCGGAAGGATTGGCGGAAACTGGCTCAGTCTTGCTGTTGGATGAAATGGACTCCAATATGTCACCGTACGTGTTGACAACATTTTCTATTCTATCCTTAGCAATGATAATAGAACTATTGAGAGTTGGTTCTTCATTAATCATGAATCCAACCTCCCTAGCATACTCTGGTCGTTTGCTGCAATACATTTCTAATATATTCTTAGTGTTGTGTATGAATCGTTGTTGCTGTTTGCTATTTAGGAAAAACTTGTTACAATAGCAAATTAATTTTGAAGTATATGGGCAAAGAGTATGAAATTGTGCTCGGTAACCATGATTTGTTCTTGGATCGGGAAAAGATGACAACATAAAAGGTACTTCTTCTCGTTGCCTTTTCATGATCATAATCTCCTCTGGAGTGAGCAACCGAGTGGAAGGTATACTCGGAGAATCGATCTTGCCTTGATTTTCTACCGAGACTGATGATGAAGGGTTATTGTTGTTGTTGGGATTCAATACAGCAGAACCGTCAGTTGTATCAATTGCCAAAGCCAACTCCATCTCATCCATTCCAGCCAAGTGATGTTCCTTCTGCTCCGAGCCATTCATTCTTGCTGGTGAATTCTCTTGGTTGGTATCAACGACAGTAGGAATTTGGGACATTTTTTGGCGATTAAATTATTAATGTGAAGTTAAACGATGTTGAATTATTTGTATCACAACACTCCCTTCAAATACATGTTAAACTCTCCAGTAGTGTCATTGAATCACACAAATACGTTGGGGATACTTTTACTAATTAATAATTAATTATCAACAGAATGGAGAAAATAAATAAAAATTTAATTCTAAAATATCCAAACAACAAAAAAATGTCAAAGCCAAAACTTAGAACTGGATCCACCGCATTGCTCGGCATCATTGGCGATGAGGAAACCGTAACTGGATTCTTATTAGCAGGAATTGGAGACAATGACGCAAAACATGCTGAAAACTTTCTTGTTGTAACTCCATGTACGTGCATAGTTGTTATTTTTATAGAATCATCATCATGACTTATTATTGTTGGGACATTTCTTCACGGAAATTACTATTGATATTTAAATATCTATGATGTAATCTCGCAACATAATGACCTGATGTTTTTGTCAACAATTACCTCATGATCACTTCTCCGATGATACGAACCGCCATCACTACAGCAACACCACAAACACAAATTGAAGAGGCTTTCAAGAAGCTCACTTCCAGAGAGGATATTGCAATTTTGTTAATCAACCAACACGTAAGTGCTTGAAATTTATGAAATTTAGATGGATCATTCGGGATTTCATGATTTGAAAATAGGTCGCCGAAAGTATTAGATATTTACTTGATAGCTACAGCCAAATCACTCCTGCCATTTTGGAAATTCCTTCTAAGGATTCACCTTATGATCCATCAAAAGACTACATTCTTTCTCGTGTGAAAATGTTCTTCTCAGACAATTAAGTTTCTTAATAAATTTTATTTAATCTTCATCACCTATTGTTGACTTGATGGTTGATTATTTGCTGATGCAGATTTAGATGCAGAAGTAAACCTGGCATAAATTGGAGCGAATTGATCCAAATGATTCCTTAAAGCATTCTTAATGCTTGCCATGTATGGCTCAATATCAAACTCTTCGCTGCCACTGGATGTGGGAGGAGTTGTCGACGAGATGGAATCTGCAGAGGAGGTTGGTGTGGTTGTTGTTGGTGGAGTCGTGGAGGATACATTTCCTGTTGTTGCTGCTGCAGTAGACATTGCTTTCAACCTGCCCATACACCGAAATACATCCATCAGCATTTCCACAGCCTCTTTTGGCGAAACATGTGGAATAATTTCAGTAACAAGATCCATCGGTTCAATCACTAATTCAGCACGAATCAACACGTTTGTGATTTGAATGGTCTTCATAATTAGATGTTTGTCATTTTCTGATGATCCAAACCCCTTATTGTTTGACAATACCCTTAAATTCCATTCTCCAATCGCATTAGCAAATAAACTTATCAAAGTTGTCTCCATATTTTCAATTTCAATGAATTTTCTTGGATACGCCAAAGAAATGAAATCAATCAAGCTATAAATGATTGGAAATTTGTGGAACATCTTGTCAATAACTATTTCTCTTTCGGTCATTGGCTTCTTTGGAAGAGATTCTAGCAATTGAGTTATGGTTTGAATTGGATTTTGCAATTTCAACCTCTTCATGAGTTGTTTTCCTAATTGAAGCGTGCATGAAATGTTATGCTCTTCTGTTTGAGAAAAAAGACATTTTGAAAATAGGCTCAAAATATGGGACTTGTTCAATTTCACAACCTCTTCGTTGTGCTTATCGAAATAATATGTGTCTTTCTTCAACGTGAATGATTGATTCTTCAACTTTTTGTGAACATTGGATGGGTTTACAAATACGACGCCTTTTGTTCTGATTGTCAACTTGTCTTCAAGAACTGTTTTCGTTTTCGACATTTTATGATTGGGCTGAATCAATTGAGTTACCAAGCTCTGATGATCTGATGTTGAAGTAATTGGGGTTATTTCTGAAATGTGAGTCAACTCAATCATACTCTCATCTTCCACATTCTTAAACAATAACTTGATGATGGTGCTTTTATCCTCAGGTTTGATGTCATCATTGCTTAGGACTTTAGAAAAGACCGATGTTTCTTCTGGAAAGAAATAATTAATGATAGAAAGAGCATCTTTCTGATAGAGAAGTGGATAATTGATTTGTTCATGTACTTGAGACGACGTGAACACGTTTGTAGCATGAAGTCTAGATTCCATATGATTACAAAATATTAGATCCAAAGCAAAGTCAAACGTAGAGCATGCTACTTGTTCAAATCGAGAACACATCACAGAAATAATTTCCTTAATAACATTTCTACATTTTTCAATAATATCTGTTCTTCCTGCCATTACAATCAAAACAAAGTAGTAATAATATAAAGTGCTTGCCACGTCAGTTTCTGGCTCTAGTATAATGGTTGGTATTAAATCGTGAGATAATCTTTGCTTGCTTCTTAATTGATGTCTTCTTTGATGTTTGGTTGTAAATGTTGGCTTCAAAAGGAAAAAGTAGTATGCCAAAAGTGCCTGTGAAAATTGGTTGGCTATCAGTTCTGGTATCGTAATCACCGCTGTATATGTTGCTGGTGTGGTGGTGTCTTCAATTTTGGAACTTGATTTAAGAATTGAAATAAATGATTCGAGAAGGCGCAAAGGAAGATCTTGCACATTGGAACCGTTTCTAAAGAGAAAAGGGTACAAAAGTTGCCATCTGATAATAAAATTGTAAAATATTACTGGTTTGTAGTGCACTTCTTGATCAGCACTGAAAGTCATTGTTATTGATCATATAAGCACAAGAATATTGTCGATACTTACACATCTTTCAAAAGGTTGACCCATAGGCATAGATTGCTGATAATGGTACAAGTCTTTTCACTGTTGTTTGTGTTGGAAACTATCCATAGAACTTTTTCGATAAAAGGTCTTTTCAGAAATGTCAATAAACACTGAAATGAGAAGTTAATCCAACAATACTTACTCATCAAAAATGGCATAGTTTTTGGAGAATGAGTCATAGAGTTTAAGAAATAAGACAGTAGCATTGCCATTTCTATCTTTTGAGGATGTGGAAAAGTAATAATTGGTTAGTAAGTGCAGCAAAATATTTGATGCCATTGTTTCTCCTCCCGAAAGACCTAAAAGCTCTATCAAGAAGAACCAAACAGACTCTTTCATTTTGGAAGACTCCAATGCAAAGCCTATAATTTCCTCTGTTTTGGAGTGAAGAGAGTTCAGGAAAGTAAGGGAATTCAATCTATAAACAAAAGGAGGAGACGTTTGATGAAAAGTGTCTAGTGAGTAATTGTACTCCTGCAGTTTGCACGAGTAAACAATAAAGTCTTCTTGGAGAATGGAAACAGTGTAGTTGAGAATGGTATGGCACTTGTCTCTCAGATTTTGAGGAATTGAGTCATCTTCAATCCAGCGTTTTAAAGTTACAAGATATTCAAAAGAAAAATCTTTCATCTGTTGTAGGTGCTCACTGATTATTTCAAGGATTGCTCCTAAACCATGTCTGTCAATATTTGAATATGGCAATAAATTAAAGAATTCCAAAAATTCTATCTGGTGATTTTTGGAAAGCTCAAGGAAATCAGGTAAAATAACCTTAAGAATCCCATCACACTCACTCATCATGTATAACAACATCGTGACGATGATCTCTTTCCTTTCATTCCATGTATTAACATTGGAAAAAATTAATTCTTCGATGAATGGAAAAATTAGTGTTTTTGGTAAATCTGGGATCTTAATGCACATATGGTTCAGTACCAGTAATTCTCTCTTGCACTGATGATTAATAGTTTTAGTAAGTGAATGAAACACATCAGTGTTGAAAATTTTTTGTTTTTGGTCTCCTAGTTGTTGAAAAGAGTAATAAATGTTCATGAGTATTGTTGCAAAAGTCATAGGTAAGGTAACAAATGGATTCTCCAATGACATACAGACATAGAGGAAGTCACTAGATGTAATACTTAGAAAGTGTAAAAGGCGTGAATAATTTTGTTGGAAAGTTTGAAGAGAAGGAAGAAAATCTAATAGGGAACCATGCTCCTCAATGCCGTCAGGTATTGTGATTGGAACTAGCTTATACTGGGAGGCTAACTTGTCTGATGGTCTGCAAATAAATCTAACAATGTCCAAATATAATTGACAGAGAGGATGAAGCTCTAACTTCTCAAGAATGTATCTTATGGAAATATTATTCGATTCAAAAATTTCATTTGCTGTTTTTCGCTTCTTTTGGGGAGGATCAAATTCGCTATCCTCATCATTTGATGAGTCAGAAGACGAAATTGGAAGTGAAAAGCCTCTATTAATCTCATCAACAACTTGTTGTGTGAGATATTTGAATAAATTTTCAATCATAATGTCATTTTGTTGTGCTTTCATCCTCACCTTGAGGTCGTTCGTGATGGATTTTTTGATCACATAATAATTTAATTTCCATTGCTCTTCTAATTGTTCCAACTGTCTGCTCAAATATTCCATCTTTTGATTGTAACCTCGGTTATACGACTGTTGTTTTTGCTCCCGATGAATGGAATATTTACATTCTTCGAATTGATGAAAGTAACGTTCAACTTGAGAGCACAATACCTGAAAGGTAGGCAGATAGTCATCATCAGATAATTGATTTGAAAATACTTCTCGGAGAGTTTGAGAGAGAATTGTTGGATCTACGATATGCAATGTCTGTTTAAAATATGCATAAGTATGATAATCTGATGGCCTCTTTCCAGAGAAGGTGAAGATGGATTGAATTTTGTTCTGCATCATTTGTTGTGAACAACGGAAGTGGATGATCAAAACAATTTTTTAATAAAATTTTTTAAAAAAATTTTAATGTTGGAAATGAATGGAGAATAATTTATTCATCGTACTACACCACGATTAGATGGTCAATTCTGAACGTGGTTGCTTTTATGTCGAATTTTGACTGTACATCGCTTTTTCCATTCTGTGGGCGTATCATTAGAAATGTTTGGTGCTTGTTTTCTCTTGCAAATCTGAGGAGATGAAGAACAACTGCTCTCTCGTTCATTATCGTCATCATCACTGTTTTCATCTCTTTTAAAGGGTGGTGTTAATATGATAATGGAAGAATCTTCAGGAGAAAGAACTATTGCTGTGAATGATGAGGAATTGGCTGAGTCATCTTTGATTGTCTCATCTTTGTGTGGAGAGATTTTTAGAGACTTGTTTAAACGCGAAACCTTTGGTTCATTGAAAGTACTCTCTGTGATTTCAGAATTCGAATAGTCAAAACTTGATGGAGAGGCACTTGAGATGTCTTGTTTCTTTGGAGTTTTAGAGAAAAAGGAATTGACAGTTCCTTTAGATTTTAGCTGTTCTCTCTCTCTTTCTTCTTTCACTATTGAGGAGATTATTTGTTCTTCTGAAAAAGGTTTAACTCTGTCAATATTCGAATTATGTCGTAAAATATATTCCTTAATTCTCCAAATCATTTGCTCTCTTGTTCCATGGGTTGGTAAATTGAATTTTTTAAGGTATTCTTTGAGTTGATTGTTTTTCAATATGGAATAACATAATGAGGGAATTTTAGAAGAAGAAGAGGAGGGAGAAGAATGGTTTGATCTCTGGCAAGACCAATCGAAAGATTCTTGGCTTTCCGAAATTGAAGCTGTGGAGTGACGATCATTTAAATCTGATCGATCGTGTTCTTTTTGAGAGTTTGTTAATTGTTGAATAAGATCTTTCCTAGCATTTGAGTATAGGTTCATCATGTCCGACACAAATGGTACTTTGATGATATCACTTTTTGAATATTCTTCCTTGCAGATTGGACATCGATTCCGAAATGAAAATTCTCTTGAAATACACAAATCACAAAAAAAGTGCAAACACGTTCGAATACATTTTGGATTGTCCAATAGCTCTTTACAAATCGGACACTGCAACGAGTTCTCAAAAGCCGACAGGGATTGCAAATTCGTTCGTTTCTCCCATGTTGGTTCTTCATCGAGAAGGCTTTCATTTTTGCTCATTTTTTACTTCGTGTGTTTTCTGTAACTGTAAAAATCAAGAACATGTCGCCTTTCTTCATCACTCACAGTTCTGCCAATTCAAAACGTGGTAGCAAGGTGCCGCGTATCATTTCATATCGACACAAGTGAGTTGATGATCTTGTTGAAGTAAGATAGGTTTTTTGAAAAAGTCAAAAGGCGCCAAAATTGATTGACTACAATAATTACAATTTTAAAAAAATGCAACAGTACTATACAACTCAGCAACTTCAAGGGCACACTACTTTCAAACCACACGTTCGGATCGGGAACTGGAATGAGGATATTGAGCTGCTCAATGAAAAACAAAAGGAGTTTTTACGAGCAAAGGAAGAGGGTTTACTGCCTCATCAAATAATGGAGCGCAAAATGAATAGACATCTAAGTCCAATTCCTTTAACGGAGAAGCGAGAGAATGGTGCTATTCATTTTGGAGATATTGTCATGATCAAGAGTGTAAATACAGGTGGAATTTTGTGCATGGATTTAGATACAATATTGCATCATGTCAATGACCGTTTTGCATGTACAACGTCCACCCTTACCACAACGCCTTGTGCAAGAAATTGTTTTGTTGTTGAGAAAGTTCCAAACGACACGAGTGCTGACATGATCATTCCTGAGGAGGAGAGTCACATACTTCACTATGGACAGAAATTTAGATTGAAGTGTGTTTCTCAATTCCATTCACCAGTAAGTACTTGATGTTGCAAACAGCTGTGTAAAAATGTTTCTATTCAATCACGTTAGCTTTACTTACGTTCGGAAAAACCTTCTCCAACTTGTTTTGCTTCTGGTACATCCTCTGCAGAGAAATGTCAGGAAGTCTCTGTGGACCAGGTCGTCAGTTATGAAACTGTTTGGAAAATTCAATATCTTCACAAGGGGTATCGCCTTGAGTATGAAGGACAAGCTGTAAATGTAAATGAGCCAATTGTTCTTACACACTGCGCAACAAACCAGTGTTTGAGCTCTAATCAGAGTATTGTAATGTTGAATGATTTTGGCAAAGAGTACCAAGTTTTTTGTAAAACTTCGTTAACGATTCACAAGACAGAGGATGTTTGTAATCATTTCATGATTTTGCAAGCAGAAAATCAATAATAGTGTATAGCTAATAATAATTTACAAGTGGCTATTTCTTCTTGTGACTTGTCTTTTTCTTTTTCTTTGGTTTTTCTGTGGAACTGGAGGGTAAGGAAAATACAGAAACCGATTGTTTGGTTTGTTTTTGCTTTTTCCGCTCTTGCTGAGCAGCAAATTGTTTTGCCTTTTGTCGATTAGTGTTGTTAAGGAAGGAAGATTTAGGAGCAGCATGTTTGTTGTGAGATGATGATTTGGATGGTTGAGAAGTGGTGCTTGTTGTTCTTGGAGTTTGTTGAATGATGGATAAAACTTCTTGAGAATTGGACAATGAGAATGACAGAGATGGAAGGCTTGAAGATGATGCTAAACTGCTGCTTTCTGAATCTTGTTCAGATGTTGCTGTCTCTTGACTTGCAAGTAATTCTCTTTTTCGCTTTTTCAAAGCATTTCTATAGGCCTCTACTTGTCGTTTTTCAGCTTCTTTCTTTTTGGTTTCAAGCTCCAATCTTTCCTTTCTTTGGTCGAGTTTCTCTTTATCAGCTTCCACAGCAGATTGAGGAATTGCGAATTTAGAAAGGGTCAAATTCAAAAGACGAGAAGTTCTAGAGCTGAATGGCCCATAGCCACCATCTTTTCGTTTCATACTCTTGAGTAATTCTTGATTCTTCTCAAATTGTTCTTTAAGCATTTGTGGGGTGTATTCCTTTTTCACACGTTTCTTATGGAGGCTCGATAAGTTATTATCGTCATTTCCAAAGCTCATGAGTTCATCGTCCTCTTCTTCCTCTTCGTCGGTGATATCTGTAATTTCACTTTCTACTTCTGATCGTTGCACAGTTGATTCTTCATCAGATTCGTTGAATTCAATAAAGCTTTCAATTTCCTTTTCTAACTCTTTATCATCCAAGTTGTGAATATCATCCAGAGTTCTGTAGTTCAACACATTTCCATCATCATCTTCCTCTTCACATTCATCAGACATGTATGCTTCAGCAGCCTTTGCTTCTGCCTTCATTTCTTCAATGTATTGCTTGATGGCTAACTTGCGTTGCAATTCACGTTGTTGTTTTTCCTCTTCAGACATCTCTGGTGGTTTCTTGTGTTCTTCTCGATCTGATGAATGATCATCGGAAGATGTTTCTGCTTCTGGTTCCTCTTCATTTGCTTGGTGTGTGATCTCTTCTTCGGGAGCTAATGTGAGTGTCTGAGGCAATAGAGGTTCATTGAAAGTATCTTTGATTCCCGAGGTGATGACTGTGTCAGGAATGGTCGTTTCTGTGGGAAGAAGAGTTGATGATGATTTTCCTTCTGCTTCTTCTTGTGCACAAGAAGGTTCATTTCCATGAGATGGCTCTGTTGAAGCAATGGGATCCATATGGAGTATATCCTCTCCGTTGTCTTCCTCGTCATCACTAGAGTCATCGTCATCACGAGAAGTGCTACTGACTGGTTGTGAAGATATATCTTTCGTTACAATCAAGTCAAAGTCACCGTCATCATCGTCGTCTGAGGAATCCTCATCGTCACTTGAAACAAGTGCATGCTTGTATTGAACTTTGTCTGATGCAGTAATATATTTATCGATTTTGATTTCTGGTTTGAGAGGACGTTTGTGACTAATTGGATGACCAACCTTAATGATAATGAACAAAGTATTTTCAACTTACCAAGAAAAGGAGTCAATAATAGGCGTCAAATGTGTGAGAATTTTAGGAACAAGTTCCTCCATTTTGAAAATGTGCTTGAGAGCTCTATGTGGAAGATCTTCATCAACCTCCTTTGTTCTCTTATATTGTGCATAGACAGCATCTTCCAAATCTTTAATTTCTTTTTGTTTTTTCTTTGAAACTTTGTTCTTCTTATTGGATGTTGTTGAATGAACAGCTGCCTCTTCTTCCTGTGGTTCATTCATTTCATCTACTGTTGGCTCTTCGTTTATGGATTTTCTCTTGACAGAATAAAGTACACTTTCATCAATGGGAGCATCCTCTCCATCCATCAAGGCATCCAAATCATCCAAACCGCTCCGACCTCCGATTGAAGATTTCAAGAGAGCTAATTGTTTGATTTTACGAGCTTGTGCACCATCGTCTTCATCATCAAATTCAAGAGGTTGTTGCTCCTCATCCGATGATGTTTCAACATTTTCCTGTTGTTGTGGTGATGATGATGTGTCCTCCGTGTTGTTCATTTCATCATCTTCCATAAAATCATTACGCTGTGCGAGATGTGAATTTTCCAATTCAACTTCTGACATTTTTTTGAAAGTGTTGAAGTTGCGAAAAACGGTCCTAATTGGCGGGAACGATTCATTGCCCAGGATAACAATCGATTAGGAGACATGATAACATAGGAGCTCGTATGACCGTTAAAATGATCTGGATGACAAGATAACAACCACCCAGTCTTTCACTCACAAAAAAATGCAACGAATTAAGCCTCTCATTCCTGTCGCTTTCCACCGATGCTCCGACTTACAGAAAGCCAAGAACAATCTTCGGAATTATGCAGCAACCGGAGGTGATTTGTCGTTAGTGCGAGAATATGTATTGAATCCCTATGTTTATGAACCTCTCATGAAATTTGTTCCAATGAATGTCGCGTAGGTTGATAGGATCTTTTTTCGTGATAAGAGTTGACATTATTGTTTCATCATCAAATGATTATCATCATCAAAAAATTAGACCAAATGTTATTACTATTGCTGGATTTATTTGTTTATGGATTTCTGTAATTTTGACCTATATTCACTGCCCAACATTTTCAGAGACAATTCCGAATTGGGTTTTCCTTGTGAACGCTGGTTGTCTCTTTGCCTATCAAACATTGGACAATATGGATGGTAAACAAGCACGTAGGACAAAAACAAGCTCACCTTTAGGAGAACTTATGGACCATGGTGTTGACGCTGTGGGTAAGTTGTAAAAGCAATGCTCAAAAGTTTTACTGAGACCGTGGTTATTTAACACATGCTTCACCATCAACCTTTTTCAAAAATAGCAACTACATTGTGTGCCATTTCTTGGATTTGCGCCTGCAAACAAGGACCTACCATCGTGTCATACCTTATTTGTTTGATTGGTTATGTTCCATTTATTTTTGCTACTTTAGAAGGTTTGTTTTAAATATTGTACAGCGTATTCACCATCACGCCATTCAAAAAGAGTATTATATTGGAGGATTATATTTAGGAAAATTTAATGGTCCAATTGAGGGACTTTTAGGATTTATTGCCATGCAATTCCTTGGAGGAATTTTTGGTCACAGTGTGTATCAGACAAAGGTGTTTGGGCTTGTTCCTTTGTGGGCGTTTTTCTCTGGATTGACAGCATTGTAAGTTGTGAATTTTTCTTGACATTCTCGAGTTAATTAACTCTCTAATTATTTCATCAGCGGATCAACTTACGCTTCTATTGAGAATATTTTGAACATTAGAGCAAAGATTAATGATAATAAGAAATCGAAATTGGAGAACAAGGACTCTGCTTTGGATGAAGAACAAAAATCTCCATGCTTTGAAACCGATTTTCTTAAGAGTCTGCTTCCAGCCATTCCTTTCATCATTATGCTTGGCTCGTTTTTCACTTTTATCAACGTTGATACAGAGACAGTCCAAAACTATCCTTATCTAACGCTGTTTAGTATGGCCATTGGGTTTGGATATTTGGCTAGCAATCTCACTCTTGCATTTCTTGTCAAGAAATCTCTTGCATTATTCTCTGTCATGTGTATTCCTTCTGTACTTCTCCTTCTGAATGCATTGACAGGCCATCAAATTGCTTCAGGATTCTATGCTTTGCTCTTATGTGCAGTTGCAACCTTTTCAATTTATGGAAACTACGTTGTTTCTGTTTGTGATGATATCTGCAATGCCCTGAATATTAATGTCTTTTTCCTTCCTTCCATCAAACGTGAATAATGTTTTTTTAATAACTATAATATTTATTAAATACTAAGGGGTAAGTTGGCAGCCCCAGTCCACATTTGGAAATTTTTATACGCTCACCTCTTTTCAATTTGGTCAAAATTTTGTATTTCGCTCTTCGTTCAAAAAAAAGTGTGAAAACAGCCATCACCATGCACAATACTAGCGTGTGTTGCAACGTTTTGATTATCGGAGGAGGTCTAGCTGGTCTCTCAGCAGCTCACTATTTCAATTCGGTGGGTATGAGCGACTTTTTAATTGTTGAAGCAGACAATAGATTGGGAGGAAGAATTTATTCCGACTTGAAAACTGGTATTGAAATTGGAGCTGAGTTCATCCATGGTGAGGGAAATATGGCGTACGATATTGTTGCCAACAAGATGAAAGTGCCATTACACATGGTGTTTGATTTCTCAAAGACAGATCCCAAACAACACGGAGCAATGTATTTCATTGGTAGGTTTTGAATAGCCTTAATGATCATATTCTTAAACTCTCTCAAGATGGTAAATTACACGGAATTGATTCCCCAATTGCTAAGCAAATGCTCAATTACATTGATGATTTGATGAATGATGAGCAATTGAAAAAAGGACCAGACATGTCTGTTAAGGAATGGCTGATTTCCAGAAAGGTTCCTGAAAAGTATCATGTCTTCATTGATTCACTATTAGCTAAAACTAATGGAGGATGTTTATTATCAGCTTCTGCTAAAGGTCTTCAAGAAGAAGGAAACAAGTGGCCATACGGTTCTGGAAACTTTCAACTGAACGATGACAATTACATGGAACCATCCATGATGAAATATTTAACAAGTAATTTGTGCTTGAAGGATCAAGTCAGGTTGAATTATAAGGTTTACAACATTGATTACACATGTAAAAATGGAATGATTAAGGTGAACAATGGAGAAATTATGTGTAACAAAGTTATTTTAACGGTTCCAATTTCTGTATTGAGAAGCCAACAAATTGTTTTCAATCCACCATTGTCTCCCTTGAAGACGCACATTATTCAGAACATGCTTCCAATGCAGAGTGGTATGAAGGTTGTGTTGAGGTTTAAGAGACCATTTTGGAGAGAGCTAATTCCAGACACAAATATCATTATTCTAGGTGATAACCATCCATTTGTTGCTCAATTATGGTTCCCTCATGTTTCCCAGAAGAAGCACGATGAGTTTGGCTATTACTTAACTGGATTCAGCATGGGAAATAAGACTGACAACGCATTATTCTATTCTGAAGAAGAAATTGCCAATAGTGTGAGAGAACTAGTTCAAAAAGTTTTCAACCTCAACGCCAATAACGATGGATTTATTGGGGGAATTGTGAAGAATTGGCAGTCATTCCAATTTGTTGGAGGGTCTTACTCATTTGCTGGAGTTTCTGACGCTTCAAGAATGAATTTTGTTGAGAACTGCAGAGAAGTGTTAGCTGAACCAATTGAGAATAGAATATTTTTTGCGGGAGAAGCTTATGCTGATTACTCTCCTGCATCACTTCATGGATCCTTAGAGACGGGTCAAAAAGCAGCACAAACAATTATGTCTAAACATTCAAAATTATAAATTCACAAACTTGTGGATGTTCTAAATAATGGAACACGTGTTATTTTGAAATAAAATGTTAATTAGAAAATAAATTTTAAATGAATTTTGGATGAATTTAACTTTTTCGTTTTTAAAAAATGTCTTCAAGCACAACAGGAGAAGTTGCTTTATCGGAAACGTCACTTCGTCATCGAAAAAATCTTACCAATGATGATAACGTGGAAGGCATCGAATTAACAAGTGATGAAGAAGCTGAATTACTAAAAGAAGAAGAGGAAGAAGAACGTAGGAAATTAATTCAATCCGGACAAACACCTCCGCCACCCAGTTGGACTCAATCTTTCTGGCTTCGGTGGTTAGGAATTGTTTTTCCAATCATTCTTTCATTAGGAGATGTTGTTTTGTTTGTTTTTGAATATCTATTTACAAACACTATTGTTCAAACTTTATTAGCGTCCGTATCCTTTCACACCTATAGATCCTTCTCTTCCATCCATAAATGTAATGCTTGTACGATGAATGCATTACCACAGGATGGTACTTTTCAAAATAATAATCAAGCCTTCTCTGCATTTAATGAAATGATGAATTTAAATTGGAAAGAATGTATTGCCTGTGTAGTGTCTCATGATTATGCATTAATTGCAACTAATTTTCTCTATGTTACGGTTTGGACTTGCTGTATTTGTTATTATTTCACGTGGAGATATGGAGTAACTTTGAAGAGAATTAAAAAACCAAGCGCTAAGGCCATACTCGTTGTTTCAGTCATTGCCATAGGAATGGCTTTGATGGTTTGGTTCCAATATAGAAATAATCAATGGGTCTATTCATTGTCAAATTTTAAGGCTATTAAGAGAGATACTAAAAATCCTTTTGGGCTGTTTGGTACCAATGAAACTGATGTTGCAACAAATTTAGAAACAGCCAATAACGAAGAGAGTGATGTTGCTTCATTTGTCTCTGAAGACACCATATTGACTGCCAATACAACCAATATGACGACTCCATTCCCTGATTTGAATGAAGAAGGTTCTCAAGTGGATTACCTTAAAATGATACAACTACTTATTGGATCACCAATAGTTGAGGAAATTATTCTCAGAGTTGTGCTCGTTCACATGTTTTTCAGGAGAACAGGCAAACCAATTGTTAGCTTTTTCATGACGAACTTACTATTTGCTGTTTTACACATGTTTTCTATTAATTGGGGAGCTTCTGAGCTTTACACCTATTTCCAAGTATTGGCCGGATTTGTGTTGGGCATGTTCTACAGCACTAGATACTACTTGACTGAAAATCTAATAGAAAATGCCATGCTCCATATTGCGAACAATATTTCTGCAATTTTCATTCCTGTCACTCTCAAGTTTCAAGATGTCTATCCAAATTATATTGTTCCAAGTAAGTAGTTTGTTGTAAAATGTAAAGTTTTACGAATTTAACATTTTATTCAACCAGTTATTCTTTCCTTATCTTTTTACGTGATCATGTTGATTTTGGACATTGTTAAAATAATGCAAATGCCAACCAAGCAAATTGTGCCAGTCATTGAGGAATCTAAAAACAACACAACCAATAACGCAACACAACAAGCATCCAATGCAGTGCCTGTGTCCACCTCCAACAAAAAGAGCTCCAAAAAAAAGAAAAATTAATGTCGCCATCTATTTGTGAAGATTAAATTTCACTGCAAAATAAATTATTAGAAATACTTACATTTTGAGAACTCGATCTTTTCCACCACTGGCAGCTTTATCACCTCCCGGTGACCAATCTACAGCAAAAACTTCATCGTAGTGACCAGGCATGTCATTAAGCAGTTGTCGTTTTTGAACATCCCAAACTTTTGCTGTCGAATCTTTGCTGGCTGAGAGAAGTAATCTGCTGTCACCGCTCCAACAGCATTGATAAACAGCGCCAACATGTCCTCTAAGGCTGGATAAGTACTTTCCTGTCTGTGCATCCCACAGCTTTATGGTCTTATCAAATGATGCACTAGCAATGAGTCTTCCATCAGGAGAAAATTTAACTTGATTCACGACACCCTTGTGACCTGTCAATCTTGCGATTGGTTTGTCGCTCTTTGTAGGCTCCCACAAAATTAAGGTATTGTCATCAGAACCAGTAATAATTCGGACTGGTTGAGATCCAAAAGTCTTGTTGTATAGGGTTAATAAATCTTGTCTCCGTTTCTCAATCTCCTCTTCAGTTTGTGGGAGAGGTTCGCAGTTATGATCAAAAGCTCCTCTTCTTAAAAAGTATTCAGTGCTTACGGACATAGTATTCACCCAGTGGGCATGTCCGCTCAAAATTTGAGTGCATTGCTTTGTTTCAGTATTCCATAACCGAACTGTGCAGTCTTGAGAGCAGCTATAAAGAATGTTATTAATGCCCCACATTATTGATGTCACACCCTTTGAGTGCCCAGAGAGAGTGAATTCTTTTTTCGAAAGTACCACGTCCCAAATGATAATCATTCCATCCTTGCTACAACTTGCAACTCTTCTGCATTTTGTTGATGTTAAAAATGGTTCCCAAGTAAGGCCAGTAATCCACTTCTTGTGACCTCTCAACACATTTCCACATTTTTTGCCAGAGTCTCCATACCAAATTTTAACTAAACCGTCCTTACAACCACTCGCAAGCTTTTTCGCATCTGGTGACCATGCCACACATAATACCCAACTTTCGTGACCTTTTAGAGTATATTGAGGCATTTCTGTATTTAAATCCCAAATTCTGACAGTGTTGTCTCCCGAGCCTGTGGCAAGCTGTTCACCATTAGGAGAGAAATTTACTGAAAGAATAGCTTCCGAATGTCCAGGAAGTGTAGAAGTACATCTACTGACAGGTCTAACTCTAAACAATGCTTGTGGATGATACACAATTTGTAATGGAGCATCCTGAGTAGATGCAAAATCAAACATATCTTCTCTCTTCTTTAAACTATTCTGATTCTTTGAGCTCAACTGTTCTGTAAGTGTTGAAAGCAAGGTATCTCTTACGGAAGCTTCGATTTCTTCTCCGTTCACGGTGAATGAATAGGGTAATTCCTCTTCATTGTCCAAAAACAAGTTGCTATTCAAAAGCTGATTCAATTGTGTTTTGGACATGTTTGCATCAATTTCAACGGTCGTTCCAGTCTTTTCCGAGTCAATACCACTCACAAACTCTATAAAATATCTTCGTTCCGAAGCAATTCCCGATTCAGTCATTTTGGGTTGTTTGGAAGCTGTTTCCAAAGGGTTGTTATTGGATTCATCCGAGCCTTCGTCTTGATGATTCGAAGAGGATGTTGAAGCCTCTTCCATGCGTTTTCTTTTAGTGCTTGTTGAAGGTTTGGGCATTTTTTTTGAAGTTTATTAAATTTTTGAACTATTCGAAAAGTGTTGAATCTCCATTTGCCAACCAAAGTGCCAAGTCTAAACCAACTCAACCAAAACCTGAACCAACCATCAAAATTTCTCAAGCTCAAAATGAAGCGCAAAAAATTCACCCTCAACCTGAACCAACCCAACAACCAAAACAGGAAACTAAACATTTAGAAACTCCTCAACTCAAAATTGAACATACTGGTCAACCAAGAACAAAACTAATTCAATCTACTCGGACAGCAATATCTCATCCTCATTTGTTAAATTTATTCTAAAAGATTTGAATCAGTCATTGAACACTGTACATCCAGACAGCAAGACAACACTCTCAATTAGTCATTCAAAATGCGAAACTCAACAACAAATACTAAAGAAACTTAATTCACCAGCCATGACAGAAAAAACACAAACAAAATATTTCGCTTCACCAATGATTTTTACATCATCTCCAACAACATTAATAGCCAAAGAAAAATCAATTTCGAACATCGAAACTCTCATCAAGTACTCAATCAACCAAAAGAAATGTAGAATTGAACAAATGTGCCTAACATTCAATCCTCGAGAAACCTTGTACAAACTTAAAATTAACTTTGATTCCAAGAATCCCAACACTGAATTGATTGAACAAGGATTTGAAATTATCAAAAGAAAGCAAGAAACACACATAGCAAATTGCATACTTCCTGAATCAACAAGTGAACTCGCAATTACCAAAGCAATTAAAACACTATGCAAGAACACAACCATCAAATTCGAAAAAGAGAGACTCAGTATTAAGAAAAAGGTAAAAGATACCTATTCATACTTAATTGTTGAATACAAGCTTAATGACATCAACGAATTGAATAGACTAACCTCAACAAGATTCATTGCTCCAAGATTGAACAATTTCAAGACAGTTCAAGCCAAAGTCAACCGCATGAACGTGCGTTTAATAGTTTTACCAGCACCAATGGTGCTAACAATAAACTAATTAGATTTTTTTTGAAGTTTATTAAATTTTTGAACTATTCGAAAAGTGTTGAATCTCCATTTGCCAACCAAAGTGCCAAGTTTGAAGCAATGTAACCTGTTCATTCCATCCACCATTTGATTCAAATTTAGTTTTTAAAATAGGGCAAAGAGAGAATATCCTGAGCATTAGGTCTTGTCAAGTTATCTTTATCCATCATCTGGACCACTGCATCGACTAATTCTTCAGAATACTGGTGGTTCATCATCATCTTGCTTTTAAGGAATTGCTTGGATTCCTGTGGGTCTTTGGATAACAAAATATGACTGATCGAAGTGTACACATCTCGAGTCATGATTTGATAAATGGTCACTCCCAACGAATAAACATCCGTGTTGTAATAGTATTTACATCCCATACAAATTTCAGGGGACATGTAGAGTGGAGTTCCAGCGTAGGATTGATGTTCTGATTGAATGGTATTTCCTTTAGCTAATCCAAAATCAGCGAGTACCACCCATATCTTGTGGTCGTTAAGGTCCTTAATGAAGATATTGGAAGGTTTAATGTCACGATGGATGATGTTCAAAGTTCCATGAATATATGACAGTGCATTACAGATCTGATAAATAATTTGCTTGACCATATTTTCAGAGCACTCAATTTGTCCTGATGTAAATCGATACAAATCACCATAATCACAAAATTCCATATCGAGGCATAGTAATTGATCTTTGGAAACAAATACATCGTTCACTTTCAAAATGTTGACATGACTGATCTTTAACAATTCAATACCTTCTTTCATGAGATTGTTCAATTCATCCATGGACGAAAACTTCAAAACTTTAACTGCAACAGTCTTGTTGGTTTTTGAGTCATGGGCTTTGAACACAGAGGCAAATCCGCCTTGCCCAATTTTCTGAATGTTTTGATATCTTGAAAAGGGATCTTGTTGAACTCGAGTGGACTCTCTTGAATTAGAGCTCAATAAGGGTGCAAAATTAACACTTGCATCCGATGGAAAATCTGAGATTGTTTGAAGGTCTGCCGTAATTGTATCGGTCTCGTTTTTCACACCTGTCAATTGTGTTTGGTTCATTTCAATATCATTACATTGGTTGTCTCTTCTTCGTTTCAAACCCAAGACGAGGGCAGCAATGACAATTCCAACAAGCAATACAAGTGCAGCAAGAGTAGCAATGGGAACCACCACTGCAACAATGATTGTTGTAGTTTGAGAAGAAATTTCACAAAAGTTACCTTCGAAACCAGTGTCACAGGAGCACATATTTGGATTCTTACATTGACCTCTTCCAGAGCATACCGTGTTGGAAACTGCAGATATTCCATTACATGTGGGTATGTCACAAGAGGTTCCTGTCCATCCTTTTAAACATGTGCAATCTGAATACGTAGAATCTAACGTGTAATTTCCTTCACAATAAGGAACCAGTTTGCGAATAAGGCCATTGGCAGTGTCACCGAAAATAACCTCTCCCTGTTTACCAACAAACATGGAGGTACCACCTGAAATGCATGAAAATGTTGATAAAAGACCATCTCCATTATAGGAACACACACCAGCAGCTGATGGGACTCCAGCAACAGTGGTGATGTTTCCATTGGATATTTTGCGAATACAAAAATTACCAGTGTCCAAAACCAACAAGTCTCCGTTCGATGTAAAAGCCAAAGCAGAAGGTGCTTTAAGAGAAGCCTCTAATGCTGAAATTCCCTCTCCATAAAAACCTGGTTTACCGTTTCCGGCAACTACTGAAACAGTACTTGAGGAAATGTTGAACATTTTGATCACATGACTGGACACATCTGTGAAATAAATATCTCCAGATTGTGATACAACAAGACCTTGAATGGCTTTGGTTGCATTTACCACAACTGTCAGTAACGTTCCTGAATGAGAGAGTTTTCGAATTCTTCCACTGCCAGCTTCTGCAAAAATAATTTCATTATTAGAAGTAATGACAGGAATCTTGGGAAGTCGTAATTTGGACAAGTGTGATGGAGTACCATCCTCACTGAATCCACTATAAAGTGGATCGCCTGCCAATAGAGAAATAGTGTCATTATTATGATCAACTTTGTAAATCACATGATTCTTTGAATCAATAATAATTAAATCTCCATTTAAATCAAATGTAAAAAACGGAAATCCAATAAATGAATAGGCGAGAGGACCTTCATACTTGTTAGGACTGAGTGGTAACAGAGCTCGATGTCCAGCAAGTAGATTCACTCCGCCCTTGGAGTCCAAGTTGAGTAAAAGGTTAGAAAGACTAGGATCATTGATATTGAAAATCAATCCTCCATCTTGTCCAGGTGCAACACCAAAAACTGTTGGAAAAATAGATTGAGTGAGTGTTGGACCTATTTTGAACGGTGTATGACCTGCCACAGAAATAAGATGTCCTTCTCGAGTTACCTTTCGCACAAGTCCTGATTTTTCTGAAAAGAAAACCTCCCCGTCATCTGAAACAAACAAACTATTTGGAAACCTAAATTCACAATTTGCACATCTCATAGAATTCAAGAAGTCATTGTACATACCTTATCATGGATTCCTTTGCATTTTTGGATTCTCCACTATAGCCAGCTACTTCATATCCTCCAATGGGGCCAACTCCAGCCACATGTTGAATGGATCCATCTGCCTGTAATTGAACAATTCTAGAATTTCCCTTAACGAAATGAACGGTGTTACTTTTCACGAAAATACTGGTCACTGTTTGGTTGTTGGTGTCCTGATATACAGTCATTTGTGTTTGATTCTTTTCATAATACTTTACGAGAGAATAATGTCCATATTCAGACAAAAAGATCACATTGCCATCCTGTTGCGCGCTCACATGAAATTTCATTGCAGCCGCGTCCAAGAATGGAGAGGTTTGGTATTTGTACACTAGAAAGGCGTTGAAAAAAGTATCACATTTGTAAATACCAGTTGCATTAGAAAAATAAATTTCTCCATGTGTGGAATTGAAACCTGTGGCAAATACAGATATTGGGCTGGTTACATTAAACAATGTAGTAATGTTTCCATTTTTTTGAATCACCCTTATCAAATTATTTCCCTTATCGGTAATTAGTATTTCTCCATTTTCATAAACAAAAGCTCCAATCGGATTTGAAAGCAATACTTGAGATGCTTTTCCATCACCATTATATCCAAAAGTCTTTGGAATTCCTGCAATTGTGACAATTACTCCATTACTTAACACCTTTCTGACGGTATGACTATCTGAATCAACAATAATCAATTCTCCGTTATTGGTAGCCCTTATTTCACTGGGATGAATGGTGACACCATAATTTGTTGCTTTCATTCCATCTCCATATTTCAAATTGTTGGAATGTCGTCCAATGAGTGTGGAGATCATACCATCTTTTAACTTTTTAACCATACTCTTCTCAGTAATTAGAACATCTCCCTGTGGTGTCACATGAACAAAAGAGGGCTGATTCATAAAAGAAAGCTTAGCATTAATAAATTCTCCATTTGCATCGGTGCCATTCCCTGCCAAGATGGTAGTTTTCGTTCGATCTGATGATATTAATTTGACTCCATTGATACCAGAATCGGCCACCAATATTTCATTATTACTATTCATAAATATACCCCTAAATATATCGTGTATTTGAATTCATTAATCAACAAGTATCATTCTTCAGTTGGTACCTACTTGGGAGAAATAAATTTGCTGTTCAGATTGCTAATAATTTGTTGTCCAAGAATTGATCCTTCTATTTTTCGAACAAATCCACTCATATCACTAACAAAGATCACACCTTCCTTAGTAACATATATTCCTTGAGGGGATGGTACTTTCGAGTTGGTTGCTAAAACATCCGTTCTTAAGATTGATCCACCTCCTTTGGTAAAATTCACACAATTGAAACAATTTTAGAATAATATAACAATTGAAGTATTCAATATTATATGAATGAAGAACCTACCTGCAACAATGGTTATCTTTCCAGTGAGAGTGTTCACATGTTTCACTAAATCATTTCCAGTGTCTGCTACATACACATTGACATCGTCCAAAGCAAACACACCCATAGGATTCTTAAAATCTTTACTCGTTCCCAGAGTGGAAACCTTCATGGTTTTCGATGATATTTTTCTAATCATTGAATTTCCAGTATCAGCCAGATATAAATCTCCATTAGTCGATAAACTCAATCCTGTTGGTCCATTGAATTGTGTTTGCAAGGCATCAAGCCCTTCACCATTGTAGCCAGCAGTTGCAACGCCCGCATAAAGCACACAAGAGCCATTCGACAGAATTTTTCGTATCACGTGATTCGACGTGTCAGAGATGAATATTTCATGCTGTTCATTCATGATGGCAGCACCTATTTGCGTGAGAGGCGTAAATTCTCCTAGGTCATAGGTTTCAGTAACGCCATCCACATAATACGAGCCAGCAATGTTGAATGTTTTATATTTCACAGGAACGCCATGCGTTGATGAAGAGTATAACACCAAAAAGACGATGAAGAGCAGCAAGAATCGTGTGCTTGTTGTGCAAGTAGAATGCATGCTCGTATGTAATGCACTATTTTTTTGAATCAAACATGTCAAAGACCTCGCCTGCTAGCTACTTTTTTTGGAAGGAGGAATGCCGACGACGAAATGCAATTCAATGAAATACCCAACACAAATTACATGGCATGTTTACCCCCATGATGTCCTCAACACAACCTATCTTCAAAAAGATATTCTCTCTCACATCAAAATTATTTGTCGTTCATAACACGATATGTTTGGCCACTACTGGACTTGTCAATACATCTTTGTGGCAACAGGTGCTCACAAACATATCGTGTTATGAACGACACTGTGCCAGACTATTGACCACATACCAGAAATCTTGTATGGGTAAGTTGGCAAACAAAATTTTTTGTATGTGGCCTGTGCCTTTGTTTCTGATTTGAATTAAAGAGTGTTGCAAAATACTCTAAAAAAAACAAGACATAACAAATCATCGAATGCCTCCAAAGAAGAAGAATCAATCACGCAAGTCTTCAAGTGGTCCACCAAAAAAGACACACACGAAGAAGTCTTCGGTACGTTATTATTGTTTAATATCAATAACTATAAAATTCCAAAGTCACCACCTGTTCAATTAGATGATCTGTCAAACATTGATCAAGTGCCACCTCTCAGCAAGAAGTTTTCTCGCAAACATTTATTCGAGTGCTTTCCAAACGAACATTCGTTATTGGGAATAATATTAGATATAGGAAGTAGTTATGCTAAATCATCATCATGCACTGTCGACAAAGATCTTAACATTGTTCCTAATCACCAGCCCTTGTCTTTTTCTTGTGCGAGTGAATCGAGTCGGCCAGTGGAAACGATACCAACGTCTATCTACTATGATCCTACAACAAAAACGTATCATGTAGGAAGCAAACCTCATTCTGACGATTACGTACATTTACCTTCTATCAAAAAACTGCTTACTGTGGCCAACCTAAAAGAATTCAAGCCTGAAGGAATAGACTCTCCTTTGACGTTGGTTGACATTTATCATCACTTGGTTGAAGGTCTTTTGGACAAGTTGATGGTTGCAAAGGAATCTAATAAGATATCTGCAGAATATTCATTTGCGTTTGTAACTATTCCTACTAGTACAAATGATGAAGTTCAACTGCTCATAAGAAATTGCGTCTATCAAGCATGTAGGTTGAAGATGAAAACTCCGATAAGAATGGAACATATTTACATTGTAGAAGAGTCGATATTCATTGCATACAATGATACATTGCATCGTGGTAATAGCTTATTGTGTGATTTGGGTTTTCTCAGTCTGGACATAGCAGTCATTAAAGATGGTGTCTTGGTAGACCATCAGGCAGAGATTGCAGGTGTGGAAATTTTACACCGTATTCTGGATCAAGTGTTGAAGGAGCATGAACTGGATCTCTCTAGCACAACCGTCTTGGACCACATGTTCATGCACCCAAAAGGGCAGTGGAAAGACTTTGTAGACATAAATGCCAGGAATGTCGTTAAGAAGGCTGCTGAAGAAGCGTTTAAGATCATCCTTTCTCCTTTGTTTGAGTGCCTCGCTGATTATCCCTATGAAGTTGTTCTTCATGGTGCCATCTTCTCAATCGAAGTGTTTAAAACATTGGCAACCAAGATTTTATCGAAATCAAACATGAGAAAATACCTGACGGAGAGAAAAAGTTACTTTTTAGAAACGAAAAAGCCGATCGATATTTCAGTTTCAACTTTAGGAACAAGCTTTGGGCTAACACAAGGAGCTGTTGCTCTCGTCCGAGCTGCTGATCGCAATGAGGTTTCTCTTGAATTTCAATCGAAACTTCTTTCCAAACAACCCATTACAGGCATCCTTTCCGGTTCTGAAATACCAGGAGACCCCACAAAAGTCAAGTATGGCATTACTCTTGAGAAGTGTCTAATCGAAATGAATTCCAAGCTGGACATTGAATTTGTTGCAGTTGTGTTTAGAAGCAATCGTAATATTGAGGTAGTCAAAAGGGAAAGTATTACAGGTATGTATTAAAGAATCTAACATGAATGTCGCATATCACCAATGCTACTAATTATAGAGGATAATTATTGGAAACTGGGGATTACTGAATTCACTAGATTGTTCTATCTTCATATTGTCGTTGATCCTTCCATTCAACCGTATGCAGATTGCCCTTACTTTTTGATAAAGACCTGGATTGATGAACAAAACGCCATCGTTGTTGAGCTGTATTGGGTTATTGATCAATTCTTCAAGTATTCCACAAGAGTGGACTTGCAAAATAAGGTAGAAAAGCTCTCCGTCAATGACGCATTAGAACGAATGTTTAGACCAGAGCCAGAAGAAACCACTTGGTACGGTGAGCCTTATAGAATTGATGTTCCTCTCTCTACGAATCTTTCCAATGTAACAGTTCTCACTGAAGAGCATACAACTGACGAGGTGAGAAGAGCTCTTCAGCCTAAACGTAAAACCAAGAGATTTCAAGATCAACAGTCAAAGAAGAGAACAAAAATTCAATTACAGCCATTACCAAGAGATGATAGCGGGGAACTTGAAAATACTACCACCAGAATCTGAAGGGAACATTAGGAGAGAGATTTGATTTCTTATTTTTTTTTTAATTTTTATTGAAATCCCAATTTGGTATCTCATGGCGACCTTGATACCATTTTTATTGAAATTTACATTTTGATACGGTTTGGTCGGCATGATCAACTCCTATTAGAAATATTCACATTCTCATTGCACACTCTAATATTATTTAAAATTCATTCAAATTCATAAAATCTCTATTCATAACAAAATTATAAAAAAACACTTCTGATCCTGTCATACCAAATCTCAGTAAAAATCTCAATGCTTCTTCCGTTGTTGAATTTAACAGCAGGAAGTCCCTTCTGTTCAGCTTCTGCAGCTTTCTTTGGCATGATGGGCTGTGCATGTGCGTTGATCTTTTCAAACTTGGGCAGTGCTTATGGCTGTGCCAAGTCTGGAGTAGGATTGGCCCATCTCGGTATCATGAATCCCAAGCTAGTCATCAAGGGTTCAATTGCAGTCATTATGTCTGGAATTTTGGGAATTTATGGATTGATATCCTCTATTATTTTGGCATCCAGAGTGGTCACAAAAGATGGATACAGCAGCCATTCTGGTTACACTCATTTGGCTTCTGGTTTGGCATGTGGTTTGAGTTGTCTTGCTGCTGGATTGGCTATTGGTGTTGTCGGTGATGCTGGAATTCGTGCTTATGGTAAACAACAACGTTTATTCGTTGGTGTGGTGTTGGTATTGATCTTTGGAGAAGTTTTAGGAATTTATGGTTTGATTGTTTCTCTTGTAACCAGTATGTTGGATCTTGGCCCACAATGTGAACCACCAAAATAGACGGTTGAATATAAACAATTTTAGAGGTCAATGGTTGACCTTTGTGTCGAATAAAGCGAAACGAAATAAACGATATTGCTTCATCTTCTGAGGTACAGAAAGTCCTCACACAAAAACCAAACCAAACCCCAAGACAAGAAGGAGTGATGACTTCACAAAAACCATGATGATGAAACCAAATCGTTACGTTTTCAACAAGAATTTGGATTCAATTTAAGGGGCTGTCACTTGCCAACCTGGTACAAGTTGTTACTATCAAACAATCCAGCACAAAAATACGAACGAAGAAGAGGAAACTGAAAAAGAGGAGGTTTGGAAATTTGCATGTTCAATATCAAGGGCTTGTTTTTAATTGTTTATCTTTTAGTGACAACATTTCGTTGACATGCCTTTTTAACCTGTGACACGGATGGCTTGGAATACGCCACAGATCCATAACTAAACGTCGAGGCATCCGTATTACCTGCCATATTCACACAATTTGAAGCTTGTCTATATACATCACTCGATACTTTTGATAGCGAGTCACATTGCATGAGTAATTTGGTCTGATCCGATTGTAATTCATAGGTTTGAATTTGTTGAACCTTGGCATTTTCCGTGAGTTTGTTAATTTGTTCTAATAATTCCTCTTGTTTCATTTCCTTCACTCGATCTTCTCCCAATTCCTTAATCTTTTCAGCAATGAGTTTATCCATTTCATCATCCTCAATACATCCGTTAATAATCAAGTTTGGAACCTTGTTGGCATTGGTCAATAACAAACATTTTCCATTTGTTTTTGTGGCCAAATAATCCATAAATAAGGTCAATTGTTTGTCATGTTGTGATCTTTCACACACTAGTGTATAAAACACACATCCCTTTTCCATTAAAAAATCTCCTAATTTGATCCAATCAATGACTTGATTATTTTCATCTTTACATCCTTCTGGATAACTGTCACCACTCGCACCCATTCCATGAGGTGGTGCATCTGCAATCCAAATGACAATTTTCTTTCCTTTTTTGTTGAATGGCATTTCTGAAACAACTTTCAAAGCACTTCCAAGAGCTTCTGGATAATCACCTCCTCCTTGGGCAAACATTTCATTAATATATGACTTGGCAACTGAAACGTCACGAGTAAAAGGACATTCCTTGACTGCATAGTCATCCGAATGATCTCGATAACTCACTGCTGAAAATCTCAAATCGGATTTGAAATGATCATGAAGTGAAGTTATAATGGTTTGAATGGTGTCTTTTGCGACATTGATCTCACCAGACATGGATCCAGTATTGTCACACACAAAGACAAGATCGACAATCTTTTCACTGAAATCGACCAATTCTTGTTCTTGAGGAGTCAATGCTGGATGTTGTGCTTTCAAAATGGCACCACGAGTAGTGGCAGGTAATTGTTGAGAAACGTTGGTTCGAGAGGAGCGAGAAAAAATGTTATTGAGAAACGACATGTTATTGGTGTTAGTGAGAGCGAATGCAACTGTTTTTTTTGTTGTTTGAATTATGTCAACAGCAGAGAACCTTTTTTTTAAAACGTCATGGCAAGTTCAAAGTTCACAAGTAACCTGGAATACTTTGAAATCGGAACAAGACACTTCATCCTTTTTATTTCATCCTCTGCCGCTCTTACTTATCAGCAACAATGAAATAACACGTCCAAAACTACATATCGCACAGTGCTTAGCGAAAAGTTACTCAGAAGGAACCAAGATTCACCTCGTTGACCTCGTTTTAAACGTCAACAATCATCATCATTATCAAAAAAATGAAAAACCAACAACAACTTGCAGTCCTTCTTCTTCTTGCTTTGATCGGCTGCTGTGTATTCCTTCTCTCAACATCAACAACCATGGTTTCGGCCAACACCGAACATGCCACCGTATTGGCACAAGTAAATGAGTTGGAAGAAAGTGATCTCTCCAATGCCGTAGCTGAGACTTTAAAATCATCTTCCCGAAAACAACAACTTCCACGTTCAGAAAGTTGTGTTGCTGTTTGTAAACAAGCATGTGCTGAAAATCACAAAAATTTAGGAGTTAAGAAGGCCAAATGTTTATCGCATTGTCCATCCATTTGTAAAGGACTTTAATCTTTGTGATAATATGAATCAATAACGGAATAAAGATGTGACTACACAACAACAGCAAACACACACTATCATGACATGACAATATCAGTATTATTTGGAAGAGAGCTTATTTTACAATGTCATGTATATTCTTGTCGGATGGAATGGACACGTGATGCGACATTAAATATTCCTTATTTCTCATTTCCATTAATCGAGAAATGGTTCTTGGGAAAGCAAATACTTCATCATAATTTTCTGTGTGACTCTTGTTGAAATTGTAGGCATCTTCTACTCCTCGGTTTCTAATCTCGTCATTTGGGTTATCAAAATCAAGTAGCTGATCTACAGGTTTCTCTGCACTGCAAATCAATTTCACACGATGTTGATACAATTCATCAACTAGTGTAATAAATCTTCGGAGAGCATCACGATTGTCCTTATTAAACACTGGAATTCCTGAAATAATTAGCGTGTGAAACTCTTTACAAATGCCAATGTAGTCAACTGCACTCTTTGGTTGTTTGCAGAGGAAATCAAAAGTGCAAAATGCAACACCTCTGGCAGCTCTTGGTATGACCAACACACGATTCATGACCATGATAGGTCGAGGTTCAGCATCGTGAGGATATGTGAGCTTTTTGAACAATTCTTCTAAAATCTTTTCTGTCTCCTTATTGTGTGGTGTATAGTAAACATTGGTTTGCTTATTTCCACTGGAAAGACGGTAGTCACAAACAGCCTCCATATCAAAAACGTCATACTTCATCTTTACAACATCAATGAATGGCAAAAATGCTTCCCTGTTAATACCATTTTCGTATAAATTATCAGGCATTCTGTTTGATGTTTTCACAACCACAACTCCCCTATTCAGCAATCCTTCAAATAACCTCTTTAAAATCATGGCATCTGCAATATCAGTGACTTGAAATTCGTCAAAACAAATCAAATGATAATTTTCTGCAATGTCATCCATTAATTTTTCCATATTTGCATTTCCATCCTTGTTTTTTCTATTAAGCTGGTGCATTTTCGTGTGAAAATCAATCATGAAGCTGTTAAAGTGAACTCTAAGTTTCTTTTGTAAAGGAACACATTTGAAAAACATGTCCATAAGGAATGTTTTGCCACAACCAACATCTCCATAAATGTAAAGAGACTTTGGTAATCCTGGAGGGTGAGGCTTTATCTCTTTGGAAATCGCCTTATAATCGAAGGCAATGTTTTTTGATGAGGTTGTAGAGGGAGCAGTCATTGATGATGACGTTTTGATACTTGAAGAACCTCCGATATAGCTATTAATAATCAGTCTGGCCTGTTTGATATCATAATTCAACAACATTTGATAAAGATGTGTTAACTTCTTTAACAACTCAATTTGTCTTGGATCTTCACTCACAGTTCCATTCCGAATCATTTCTTTGTAAACCTCCATAGGAGTTTTTCCACTCACAGAAACATCCTCTGCATGTTTAGAGATTGTCATTGTCTTGTTGACCATTGTGCTGAAACATTTGAAATCATCAAATCCGGAGCTGGTCAAATACTTCCATTCATTTCTCTTAGTGTTATTAGAATAATTCAATAAACATGTGTTTACGGTACTACTAGTGGTTGGTGCAAAATTACGAAATCCGAATGACAAAAAACTTCCGTTCTTCGACAATAAATGCCACGGGAACAAACGATTTGAAGATGATGCTGGCAATCCTCTCATTTTTTTTGATTGGCTTTTCTCCGAATGCTAAGAATCGAGGTCCTTGATATTGTTGAGCCGTTCTCTTGGAGACTGTTAAGAATCAAGGACGATGATGTTATCACTCGTGAACTCCTTGACTAATTTTTGGTAGCAGAAAAGAAACATGTAGGGACACGTCCCTGATGCACACAATGTTTTAGGACTTCTCTCCTTCCATCGCAACTCTTTCTTAATTAAACACGTGTTTCAAAAAGTTGTTTTCTTAATCCTGTTCAAGCAAAATCTTATTCAGCTTTTTACATTCCATGACTCTTAATTGACCCAACTCAACCATCACCCGTCCTTCTTTTTTTGTTTCTTCATGTAACAATCCTCAAACACGTAAGCAAGCTTTTGCACAGAAAATAATCAACAATACAAAAAAATGGCCATCATTCGTTCAGCTGGCGTTTTAAATTCTCATCATCCGGGTGTTGTTCTCGGACAAAGTAAAGCATTTGCAGTGATGGCTATTTTGATGATGTGTTTCATTGCAATCGTTAGTGTGGAAGCTAAGAAGGAAGTGATTGGACAAACAAGAAAGAATCCTGTAAAGTTTGATGGACCTGTGGTCGGTATCGATCTTGGAACGACCTTCTCTGTGGTTGCTATTTACAGAGGCGATAAAGTTGAAGTGATCCCTAATGATCAAGGTAACAGAATTACTCCTAGTGTTCTCTCATTTGTAAGTATTCAATTGTTGTTCTCGCATTTATGATGGATAAAGTATTCATTGCATATGGAACCCTTTCCAATATATTACTATGGGGATCCTTTGGTACATTCGTGTGTGAAATTTTGCACTCGTGTGCTTCTCTCGCCCTGATTCCGTTCATCGTAATCATTCGGGACTGACATGGTCATCATTGTAATAATTTTTGTACACACGTCATAATCAACAACATAGGATGAAGCATCTGGTCAAAAACTTGTGGGTGATGCTGCAAAGAACAATGCTGTTCAAAATCCACAAAATACTTTCTATGATGTCAAGAGATTGATTGGTCGTCGTTATGGTGAAGTTTTGAACAAGGATGCCAAGCTCTTGTCTTATGGTTTGGTGAATAGAAATGGACGTGTCTATGTTGATGTTCAAGGAAAACCAACATCTCCTGAAGAAATTAGTGCTCAAGTTTTGGTGAAAATGAAGCAAATTGCTGAAAAGTATTTGGGTGAACCTGTCAAACACGCTGTTATTACTGTTCCTGCCTATTTCAATGACCAACAACGTCAAGCAACCAAGGATGCTGGTCGTATTGCTGGTTTAAATGTTGTTCGTATTGTCAACGAGCCTACTGCTGCTGCTATGGCCTATGGTTTGTACAAGAAGAAGGAGGAGAATGTTCTTGTCTTTGACTTGGGTGGTGGTACTTTTGATGTTTCTCTCTTGACTGTAAGTTTTTCCGATCTTTAATTTCAAGGTGTTCCTATTTTAATATTACATAATTTTTCTATTATTGCATTGATATAATGACATTAATTCTAGATTGATCGTGGTGTTTTTGAAGTTATTGCTACTAATGGTGACACTCACTTGGGAGGTGAAGACTTTGACCACAGAACTGTTGATTTATTGATTAGCTTGTTCACAAAGAAGCATCCAGAAGTTCAACCTGATCGATTGAGAAAAGATTTGAGAGCCTTCCAAAGATTGAAGCGTGTTGCTGAAGAGGCTAAGAGAACTCTTTCATCTGAAACTAGTACTAAGGTAGAATTGGACAATTTGATTGATGGTATTGATTTGTCTCTTACTTTGACGAGAGCTCAATTCGAAAATGCTAATAAGGACTTATTCAAGAAGACTTTGATTCCTGTTCAACGTGTATTGAAGGATGCTAATTTGGAAAAGAAGGATGTTGATGAAGTAGTATTGGTTGGTGGTTCTACAAGAATTCCATACATTCGTCAACAATTGTCTGAATTCTTTGAAGGAAAGAAGCTCAACTTTGATGTTAATCCTGATGAAGCTATTGCTGTTGGTGCTGCTGTTCAAGCTGCAGTGTTGGCTGGTACTATTGCTGACAAGGATATTGTCTTGATCGACGTTACTCCATTGAGTTTGGGTATTGAAACTGTTGGTGGAGTTATGGCAACCATTATTCCAAGAAACACTCCAATTCCAACTGAAAAGTCGGATGTCTTTACCACTACTCATGACTATCAAACTCAATTGTCAATTCCAATTTATGAAGGTGAAAGACGTATTACCAAGTTCAACAGATTGCTTGGTGAATTACAATTGACTGATATTCCTCCTGCACCAAAGGGAGTTCCACAAATTAAGGTTATCTTCCAATTGGATACAGATGGTATTCTTAAGGTTATTGCTGAAGATCAAGCAACAAAGAATAGAAAGGAAATTGAAATTAAGAAGGGAACATTGACCGATGAAGAAATTGAGCAAATGACAACTGATGCTGAAAGCAATGAACAAGAAGACAGAGAACTCACTGAAAAAGTTGAAGCCAGAAACAAGCTTGAAGCTTACATTGGAACTTTGAGACAACAATTAGCCACCAAGAACATTGCTAATCGTCTCAAGTCACAAGATAAGAATGCTCTCATTGAGAAACTCCGTCAAGTTCTTCGTTGGTTGAAGCACCAAGGTGAAAGAGCAACTGTGAAAAAGGAACACTTTGTCGCTCAATATAGAAACTTGAGAAAGTTTGCTAGTCCAATCTTCTCTAAGATTTTCGGTGGTGATCCATTGGCTGAGGAGGAACTCTTTGGAGACGAATTTGATGATGATTTTGGATCGGATTCCACTGTTGCTGATGATGACGATTTTGGTTTGAAGACTGACGATGCACCAATTAGTGAAGATGACAAGCCAATCAGTGATGATGAGAAACCAATCAGTGATGAAGCTCCAAAGAAGGACGAGTTGTAAACTAATTCTAGCGTTTTTTGTTTAACCCATACACATACATTTTCATTCAACCTTAATTTATAAATTATTTTAAATTTCAGAAAGGAGATTTCTTATCTTTTATTTGCGACAAGACTTTCCAGAACGTTGATGGAAACCAAGTCAGCACCTCCACCCATGACTTCCGTTCGGATTCCAACACTTGTCTCATCATACAGACCTTCCATAGGTTGATGACCAAATTCAACAACGCAAAATGGAGATTCTTTAAGATTGGGTTGTGTTTTGCTCAATGGCAATGGATATGAATCGTAATCGAATGAGTTCACTCTTGACGGATCTACATGAAAGTATTGAAGTGATGGATCTTTGATCATGCTGTCTCGCTCTAATTGTTGCAATTCTGCAAAGGCTGTTGAAAAGGAGGGCTCTCTCATCATTTTCTTATTTGTGATATGTACAAAAGGATTGTGCAATTGAGCTGTGATGAAGGAGCTAGTACTGCTGGTGGCTTGATTTAGGTTATGAGGAGTACTTAGAGTGGACTGAGGCATGGTAAATTGTGGTTGAGGGTGCATCTGAGGATATTGCATGTTCACATGTGTTGTTGTGTCCATCAAATGATTCTGAGCCATTTGTGGAGTTACATGAGAAAATGAAGAAACTGGCATTTGTTGAAACTGTGCATTATTTTGAACATTATTGTTGTTGCTTTCATTCGTCATGAAAGGTTGTGAAGTAATGTCATTCGTAGGAGTATTAATACCTCCTTGTTGTTGTTGTTGTTGAGCAACATCTTGTTGTTGATTGGTATTCATTCCAGCTGTAATTCCTCTCATGTTAAAGCCTTTTCTCAATTCGCTTCGTACGGTTGCAACTTCACTCATCATGAAATCAAATTCCTTTTTCATTCGTAATACTTCTGAATCTTGTGATTTTGATAGGGATGCTTTCGCTTCCATGATCATCTTTAAACTCTTGCCACAAAACCTTCCGAATATTCTTGCATATTTAGGAATTTCTTGTGGTTTAAGTATGACTGTTCCTACTCCGATGAGTAATAACCCACTAATTAAAGATACCATTGGGAATTATTAATAATAATTATTATCGGCTCAATATTATGCAACTCAATTTTTCGGGATTTAATTCACAACAGAAGAACTGAACGAATGTTTTTGAATCAATTTTTGAACGTGATTTTTGAAAAGAAAAATTTATCCAACAACAGGGAGGGTGAGCCAAAGCGTAGGCAACCAGCCTATACCCAACCATTCTTGGCGACGTTGACGAACTCAAGTGTCATCACGAAAATAAACATCTCCAACCAAAAAAAATGCCTACAGCAAACAAAACGTTCTGGCAGAAGCTGAGTGATCAACACAACCACAATGCTCCCGATATTCGTTCAACTGCTTCAATAATGCCGTCAGTAAAGAAAAGAGTTTATTTTGAAGATCAACCGTTCATGGTTGAAAATATTACACCAGCTACTAATGTTAGTTATGAAGAGTGCTATTCCGAACTGAAATACGTTTGCAGAGGTATAAATCGGAACAATTATTCTAAATTATTAACAGGAAAACAAATTTATAATTGCGATTATGACATAATTGGCGTTATTCGAGACGAACTCACCTTAGAATCAGCATGTTGTTCAAAATATTGTAGTATTTTTCAAAATCAGTGTCGTCAATGTAGTGAATTGGAAAAACACCTAGTTTCAATCATGGAAAATAGGCATGATATATTTGAAATGCTATTGAAAGGAATTTTACCACAACCCAAGCAATTAATATCATTTCCATTATTGATGTATGAGTTATTGTGTAAACTTGTGCCATTTATACCAGTCAGCCAAGATGAACACAAACTTTTAACAGTGTTTAGAAAAGCTCAAACTTCATACAATGAAGCATTGTCGACACAATACAACAACAAACAAATTACGAACAATGAACACCGTGATACACAAGCTTTGAAGGTTCCAAGGTCAAGCTTTACTCCATTCTTAGAGACATTTTTTGGATCCTTTATATTCAATCAGTTGCAAAATTATGCAAAGAATCCATTTCATCACAAATATTCAGAGGTTGAAAGAAGATATTGGGTTGTGATGAAATATTATTGTGGAAAACAATTTTTCATCAGAATGGGAGGAGAGCGCAATCAAAATATTGAACGGAATAATTTTAATCATTTAAAATATAATCTAATTATACCAAGTTGGAATACTGTTAAACAATGGACACCTGCTGGTTGTTATGGTATGATTCCCGACATCACACTTACCCTAAAGAACATGTTACTGCCTGACTCTTGTAAAGATACATGTATCTCGTTTGATGGAATGAAAGTGTTTAAACATTTTGATGTTTTGGGAGATCAAATTGTTGGAAGTGAAAAATATTGTTACACTGTTGAAGACGTGAAACAATTTGGTGTTAAACATCTAATAGACCAAATGATTTTATTTTCTATTAATGCCATCGATAATTCATGGCATTTACCGCTGGGTTGGTTTGGAGTTAGTTCTGAAACAGACGTACTTGAATTTGTCACTAGCAAAATACTTTATTTCAAAGAGTTGCTCCAAGAATCTGTAACAATTGTGTGTGGATGTTCTGATGCAGAAATTGATGCACATGCTGTGCAAACAATTGTTAGAAAAAAACACAAAGACTTCATTTTCGTCAATGATTACGTTCACAATTTCAAAAATCAACGAAATGTATTATTTAATGGAACAATATTGCACGAGAAAATCTCAATGCAGACCATAATTTATTACATGATACAACATAGGACATTGTATCGATTACTCGACAGAGAAGAAGTTGATCCTACGGATATTATGAATTTGAAATCATGTCTAAATTTAACAGAACGACCTGTATTGCAAGAATTACGTAAAATTGGCACTATAGAGGCAAATAGTGTTGCTGGTTACCTTGAATTAATTCGTGATATTTATGACTGCATTAATGATAACAGTCCGGATATAATTGATATTTTGAGTGAAAGCAAAACAATTTTCGAAAAATTACCCAATTATCCCAAAAAAACGAAGAAAATATGTGTTCACACACTTGAAGGATTTCTTGCATTAGCGTCTCGGTTTCCAAATTTCAAACCCAGTTGCATTACAACAAATTATGAAGAGCTACTCTTTTCAATAATTCGAGGAATGTTTCCCAAGCCAACAACCAAACAATTTTGCCAAAGCGCACTATTTTCATTCTATATATTTTTAATATTACATTCCACTGACGATGTTCGTGGGTTCTCACTCCCAGATATTCCATTAACTGATCATTATTTTGGTATGAAATTGGTTATCAAGATTTTACCAACTCTTCCTGGTCGAATTGTACTTGATAGAAATGTCAAGAAAAAAACTTGCAAAGAATTACAAATTATTAATCAAAACGTAGCCACTTACTCAAGAAAAACTACGTTGAGGGCTGAAGTGTGTGCTCCTAAATGTATATATTTATGCTGCCCTGTTTCTGGATGTAAAAAACAAAAACCATATATTATCAAAGGGTCTTTTACAAATCATTTGAAAGCTAAACATCAATTTTCAGACGAAGAAGCAGAAGCAACAGTTGCTCAATTAGAATGTTTGCAATTTTCTGCTCAATTAGAAAAAGATGTTGCTTTTAGGAAACAAAGTTGCAAAAACAATGAGAATATTATTGTACAACACAAACCACCTTACCTGATTTCAAAATTCAAAAACAGGTTGACTATTCAATATAATTTTGCACCTCTTAAATCAATTCCCACGCCTCACTGTATCAATCAAGAGACAAGACGACCATTGAACTTCTTTGTGCTAGATTTAGAAACAACAGGATTTTCTCCAAAATGCAACTCCATAATTCAATTTGCAATGTTATCATTATTTAGTAATGAATTACATTCCATATTTGTATCCCCTAGTGGTGTGTGGAGTTCTATTGCATTACAAATGCACGAAACTAAATTTCAGATTTTGGATGAAAGTGAAACATTGCAAAACATGATTCCTAAAATTTGTAATTATTTGACTAGGAATGACACTGCTGATGTGATGTTGTTGGTTCATTCAACTGGTTTGGACAAGGCTTTCTTTAGTGCTGCAATTGCACCACTTAAACTCCGATCAACAATTTACTATTGTTCTACTATGCAAAAAAACTTGCTTGGAAAAAAGGGATTAGAAAACCACTTTAGAGAAAAAGTATGTGGCTCTCTTCCCGGAATAGCACATAATGCCGTTGTGGATGTGCTTATGTTGTATGATTTGCTGTTGTCGAAGTTTGGGAACGATCAAGAAATTGTGAAGGCCATCGGAAAAGCAGAATGTACAACAATAGACGACTAGGAATTCCACTGATGGTTTGTTCAGTTCGATGAATTGTTTTCTCTGTTTCCTACTCTGGTTTGCGTGTTGTTTTGTTGAAGTGAAGAAACTTGCTGATGTGGTTGTGTTGATCACTCAGCTTCTGCCAGAACGTTTTGTTTGCTGTAGGCATTTTTTTTGGTTGGAGATGTTTATTTTCGTGATGACACTTGAGTTCGTCAACGTCGCCAAGAATGGTTGGGTATAGGCTGGTTGCCTACGAAGCTTTTTCTATCTGGCTCACCCTCCCTGTCCAACAACGAAACAACAACATGTCCAACAAAATTGAAGAACTCGAACGAAAAGCAACAGATTTTGAAAATCAAATCAAACAACTCCAACAAGAGATTGCTAGTTTAAAATTGGGATCAAGTAATCAGGCTGTATTGGATGAACTTCACAAGATCCGCTCAACAATTGTTACTGAAAAAGAGGAATACGAAAATTTGATGAAACAAAAGGACCAGGTACGTATCGCAAAATGGATTTGTGGGAGACATGATTTTCATATCAATTTCAAACAAATTAAATTCATATTAACCTTGATTATCGAACGTCAATAGGAAATTGAAGAGTTGAAAAAGATAATTGAAAAGAAGGATTACCGAATTAATATTCTGAAGAGATATATCCAATAAATTTACTAGTAATAATTTAAATATTAACAAGTGAGTATTGACAAATATGTACATTAAATAACTATGAATTAACAACATTCATCATCAAAATTTGCTCTTCCGAAGAGAGATGCTTCATATTCTACAAATAGGGAAGCGAAGATTTTTCCTTCTTCTTTGTTTGTTGTTGGATTTGTTGCACAATTGTAGGATCGTCTAAAATCAGTGATGTTATCAGAGGTAACATGGCCACACTTTCTGCCGTAATACCATACTCGTTTGGAAAAACACTTGGCTCTTCTTTGACTTCGGGCGGATCATATTTCTTCTTTTCTCGTTTAGTTTTAAGCTTCTTTGCAGAAGGGTTTGGAGACAGTGGAGGATGGGTTGGAGGAGGTGGGGTTGATGGTTTTACAACATCTTCATCAGAGGTTTTTCGCCGTACCGTGCTTGAGGGTATATTAGGAGTTTGCATGGCTTGAGTTTGGATACATTCTTTTAGATCTTCTGGATTGGTAGATTGTGTCACATTTAGCTTTTCATCTCCATTCATATTGTCATTGTACATGGAATCATGCATCGTTACTGAACTAGCACCAGACAGTTGTGAAACAAGAGGGTTGCTCGCCATCTTGTACGTCTCATCTGTCACATGGCCATTCGAACTTTGAATTTTAATGGACGTCAAAGGCGAGGGAATGAAAGCATAAGAGGTATTGGTAATTAATGGATCTTTTGATGGAATGACACCAAAGCTTTCATAATCTACAGGTTGTGGTACTCTATACACGGCTGGTGAAATGTCCACATTAGCTTTTTTTGCCAAATCAAGACTTTGCTGAACATTGGAATTGGTCAGAGCAGGAGAATTGACATCCTCTGTTGAGTATTTTTGTTGGAATTCCACTGTTGTACTATTCTTTGATGCTTCTTGTACTCCCTTATTAGCCTCGCTCATAGGGTTAGAGGTTGCTTGAGGGGTTTGAAGAGCTGGTGAAGGAGGAAACGTGACGGTTGTAGAGGCATTCAAGCTAGACGTGCTTAGTGGCGTTTTTACCTTGTCAAAATCAAAGTTAGATCCATGTGATGTGGCATTGGTGGCAGAAACTGGCACTTTGATACTTTCAGCCACCAATCCTTTAGCGACAGAGTTTGAGGGAGCCAATTTTAGGAATGATTGAGAGCGAGCAGGTTTCTTCTTTGTTTCTTCATAGGTTTTTACCTTTTCCTCAAGCTCTTGGATTTTTGATACGTATTTTTTCTCTAACTCTTGAATCTTTTTTTGAACGTTTACAGCATACTTATTATCCTCTGTAATTTTTTCAATTCCCTTAATGATTTTTTCTACTTTGGACGTTGAGTCTCCATTGGAATCCACTGTGACTACAGACTCGTCACTATCAGAGTCATCGTCACTATCCTCCACAGAATGTTTGGACGTTGTCTTTGACTTATTTGAAGAGCCAATGTCACTCTTTTCCATAGCAAGTGTAACGGTACTTTGCAATTTTTTGGTCATCTTGCTTGTTCCTTTTTCTGAATATTTAACCTGGGTGAGTGCTTGTTGGAGTTGACGAATAGGTTTCCTAATATCACTGTTTCCTAACCTGGCCTCCTTTGTTTCATCAGGCACTCGTCCAAAATCATTAGGTGTGGCCAATAATATTAACTGTTTCAGGTAAGAGTCTATTTGCAAAATGTACTCATTTAGGTACTGATCAGGGTCTTCTTTTTGATCATTTTGGTCTTTTAATGTTGTCACCTCATCTCTAACCTTCACAAGAAGTTCTCTAATCTTATTCTTAGTGCTAGCATCCTTGTTAAACGCTTTCCATTGCATGAGATCTCGTTTGGCCGCTTTAAGCTTTTTCTCAAGGGCCTTGTCTATTTCTTTTGAAATGGTCATTACCGATTCCTGGAGTTTACCGTCGAATTTTTTTGCGAGCGTTCCTAATTGAACAGAGATTGCTTGCAATTGCTGATATGCCTTGGACTCGTTTGCTTTTAGGTTAGTTGCTTGAGATAGAGTGTTGTCTAGCATATCCTTAATACTCAATATTTTTGAATACGCGTTTTTCAGTTCAGAATCTAGTTTAAAACCCATTTCTCGAAGTTCCTCATTGTACTTGCTATTTTTGATATTTTCTGACTCGTCAGTGGATGTGCCATCACTCTCTATTTCCTTAATGAGTGCTTCTTGCCCATTTAAAAAAGCATCAACTAATTCATTGTATATTTTAGTTGTTTGATTTTCCACGTTCATGGTATTTTCTTTCAAGAACTTATTTTCTGCTCTTAGAAATTCGACTTCTTTCTCCAGCTGGGTAAATCGTTTAGTGATAACTACAAAATAACTAACTTATGATGAATGTTCATATATACATACTTGACTCGGCGTGTTTTCGGAGATCTCCAAGCTGCGTGTTAGAAATATCTAGCTCTTTTTTCACTTCCATGTATTGATAAATTAACTGCCTCATAGAGAAGAAATCATAATTAAGGTCTTTCTGGGAAATATCTTTGGCCTGTTTACAAACACCTTGGTCAGGATGAAAGACATAGGTCATAAATTCGCTCAAGTTCCAAAATAAGTCAGATTGATTTCTGTACAGCCTTGAAGTGAGCAATATCAAATCTTGAAGCAACTTGTACGGAAGTACTTGCTGATATTCAATTAGGACATCTTTAAAAGCCATAACGTCATAAATGTAAGTGCTTAGATCGGTCATATTTTCTTTAACATCACTTCCTAATTGATGTAATTTTTGATAATGAAATAAGTTAACTTGTTTCCACTCTTCAATATACTCAGGAGAAAATTTATCATTCATGGATGTTGCAATCTTCTCGCAGATCTTTTTTTGAATTAGTAATTCTTCTGCATTCTCTCCCTTAATAATAGTTTTCAATTTTTGATAAAGCTCTTCATCGGTGATATCCGTTCCGAAATCAAAATCAACTTTATCAATAGTTGTATGATCGGTATTGCCGATCGGTGATTTTAAATTGTTTTTACTTCCATACGTCGGAAGTCTACTGCTCGACTTTTTCCGAAGCAATTTACCTGAGCTTTTCTCAGAGTTCAGCATTTTTTTTATTTTTCCAGCCAGTTTAATAGTGTCCACAACCGTAAATTTTGAGAGATATCTCAACCCTCACAACTGCTGTTGAGATTTCAGGGTCGAAGCACATTTCCACCAACGGCGCCACCACTGCTTGTCGAATGGGGTGATGATGCTTGTTGCAATATGCTTGCTGTAGTCGTATTGCTCATGTTTGTAGCACAGACAATATGATTGAGAATGTCCTGTAATGTGTTTCTCATGACACCAATGTCCTTCTCTAAATCATGAATATATGTTTGCGTACTCGATATGAATGAAGAGAGTTTGGTTTGAGTTTCTTTTAAAACTTCGTTCGATGTTGAGAAGGCTTCCACCATGGAATACGAGCCGACATGTTGTCGCAAATACTCTGAAAGTGTATCCATGTCTTCACAATGCGAGAGAATTGAGATTTCCGTTTTTTCTGAAGCTTGTGTGTTGGGATAGGATTCAAAAAGCTCCTCGAGTATACGAACGTTTGTAAGTGTTTGACTGGATTCCTCTTCTGAAGGTCTACTTGTTAGAAGATGATTCATCTCGTGAATCACCTTCTTAGAGTCTGAAAACAACTTGAATATAGTTGCTTTTTGAATCATCTGCCGATCCAGTTCTGAAGCCAACAGGTAAGAAATGTCTGTTCTCTCTTTCATCTGTTTGACATAGACGTCGAGTTCTCCCAGTAAAAATTCATGTTCTTGCTTGGCTTCGGCTAAATCACAGGTTAAGGTCTCGCATGCACTTCTCATATCCATATATTCGAGAGAGCATATTCTTAGTTTTTCTTTTAGATCGTCGATGAGTTGCTTACTCTTTTGACGTTCCTCTTTCTCATGCAAATATTTCATTTCCATTTGTTTGTAGTTTTCCTCATAAGTTTCACATGCTGTATGAATTGACTCTAAATTTGTTTTGAGGCTATTAATTTCAGAGTCCTTAATCGACAATTGAGCCTGTAACCAAAGAAGCTTGTCATTCAAATCTTTGTTTTCTTTGGATTTCATCTCTGTCTTTTCTTTTTGCTTTCCATAGCTGTTGGAGAGTTGAAGGTACAATTCTTTACGTAAAATTTCCTTTTCGCCCAACGATTGTTCAGTAAAGTCTATCAGAGATCTTGTATGTTGTTTCAAACTAACAAATAAATCTTCAATGCTTGATCCAGATTCAGTGAGAGGTAATTCAATTTGGAACTTTTTCAATTCACCTGAAATTTGGAATAGCAAATTTTCAATTCCTCCTTTGAGATTCGATATGAGCGTCTTTAACGATAAGATTTCGTCGAGTTGCTTTAAATTGTCTGTTTCCACCTGGGACAGCTGGTCTGACATGTTATTTAAAGTCGTTTGTATTCTTGTCTTATCCTCTAACAAGGTCTCTTTCTCCCAACGTTCCTGGTTAAATTTAAGCTCCATATTACTGATCTTTTTTTCCAATTCTCTAATTTCATTGTTTTTTGCACTTAGTTCAGTGTGAAGATTTTCTTTGGTTTCCTCTAATTTTTCAATTCTTGACTGTAAGAAAGAGTCAGAATTGTTCAGAGGTTGCTCTTTAGGTGAAGATAAAGTCTGTACTTGTTTTGTTAACAAGGTAATTTGCTTTAAAAGCTCTGACTGTCCCTTCGATTGTTCATCGATATGAGCTTGCAAGTCGTTGTTTTTGAGCTCAATACTTCCCACTAACTTTCTTGACTTTTCGAGCTCCGATTTAAGAAACTCGTTTTCTTTGGTTTTTTGTTTTGCTTCTAGTTGAAATAAATAAACTGAGTCTAGAATTTGCTTTAAATTATCTACCATTCTCTCGTCACTTTCTTTTCCAACGAGAGAAAGGATATCAGTAACAATGGAGCTTGTGTTTTTCAAATGGTTACTAAGCATGCTTGTCTTGCCAAATACTCGATCGGTCTTTTTGCCAATTACATTCAACTTTTCTTCTGCTCTCGACGTAAAATCATCAATACACAAAAAGAAGTCTTGCTCGTACGACTCTAACACATCGCCAATGCTCTCCGAATTGTAGTTATTTGCATGCATTTCAATTTCTTTGTCAAATTGATCAAAATCAAGATCTTCCTCAGTAAGTTCATTATTTAGAGCTTCCTCAATAACGTTAGCAGTGTTCGACTGTTCTTGTATCACCTCTCGAAAAGTATAAATTTTGTCAAGAGATTGCGTTAGAGCTTCCTTATCAGCAGAGGAGGTGTTATGCTTAAATATGGTATTTAGAGAGCTTCTCACAGTCTTTTCGGCTTCTGACTGGCTACCTGACGTTGAAAAAACGGAATTATACTTGTTCATTAAGGCCGAGAGTGTGAGTGACAGCTCGTGTTTTTGCTTGTTCCACTCTTTGATTTGAACATTTAACACACTCAAAGATGCATTAATCTCTGTCATATCTCCGCTGAAGTAGATGAGAGAATTGTAGATTTCTTTGCTCTTGTTCAGTAAAAGTGTAAATGCGTTGTCACTTCTGCTGTTGACAAGATTCATGTAACTCATGGACAATGACACTATTGACTCTTTAGATTCCTCCGAATATTTTTCAAGCTCTTTTGTTATTGTAATCAAATGTTGGGTTCTCTCTTTCAGAATAAGAGCTTCTTTTTTTACGTTCATTTCTAAATCCTTGATATTGTTAAGTAAAATATCTTTTTTAGAAAGTGTGTTAGAGGCTGTTTAGATTGTTGGTGTGGCTAAGGTTAAAATCGTACCATTGTACAACTTACTTGAGAAAAATAGAAATGTGCTCGAGCAAGAAAGTGCAGACAACGTCTGGTCAGTTGGTAGTATTCGATTAAGTGTAACGGGTTGTAGTAAAACTTTTCCTTGAATGTATTCTCCCCATAAAAAAATGTCCTTATTTCTTGAGATGGCAATGGAGTAATAAGATCCACTACGAATGTCATCAATTGGAATATTATCGAACAAAGCCAATAGAGTTGGACTGCTACATTCTTCGTTCGTTTGGCAGATATATTTAGGCGATCCAAATCCAAAGACCTGTCCCTCCTCTAAACTTTGTAAATTGCCAACGGTTGTGTCACTACAAAAATTACGTACCAGAAAGCACAAGTGAAAATTGTGATCCACAGCTCACCTTCTCGATTTTTTGCTTCATTAACTTTGTGACTGGAGAAGCATAGTATCTGTCAATGGTGTCTCCTGTACCAAGCTGTCCATGCTGGTTCAACCCAAAACTGAAAACTCTTCCGTCTTCAGTCACACAAATAGTGTGATAATCTCCAGCACATACTTGTTTCACAACAAATTTGGAGAGGGTCTGAATGAAGTAAGGTCGTTCAGAATAGCTCACAGTTTCTGATTGAGTGCTAGTGTCCACTATTTTGGTGTAATAATCATGACCTAGACATCCATAATAGTTGAATCCAAATGAAAAACATTTTCCATCCTCCGTGAGTACAATACCGTGATGCATTCCAAAGTCAATGTCCTTCACCACAACTTCAGACGTGGCTTTACCCTCATTATAATAGAAATGCTCAATTCCATACAGTTTGTATTGAATATTTGTGATGGGTCTTGTTGACTCTCTTGTCGTCACTGTTCGCTCTCCACTGTCTTCGTCATGTATTACTATTTGCTTTTGAGAAGTACTATTCATGTCATGATCTCGTATGAATTTTAACAACTTTCCGTCGCCCGTGAGCAGTAAAATGGCGTTATTAGTATTACCCTCAATTATCTTACACAGGTCTGCTTTTTTAATGTAGTACGAATTTAGTTGTGGCATTTGTTGATTGTTGGTAAATGAATTGTCAGATTTAAACACCAAGCCATCGTCACTGATGATGATTACATCTTCTTCGCGCTGTACAATATTTGAAACTGCATTTCCATAAATCATGCTGCTGTTGTTCTCCGACGATGGCAAGGTTGGCTGTTGCAAAATTTCCCAACACCAAACTCTTTCTTCATTTGCCTCCAACTCTGCAAAATGTCAAACTTTGAAGATATCATTTGGATGCATACTTACTAAACCAGTGACGTTGTTCCGAGAACGACGCATTTTGTGAATGTCCAACACCTCCTGTTGTTGGTGTGGAAGTGGATGTGCTAATCATGAAATTTTTTTCTAAAGGCTTTATTTCACGCCATACAACGCTGCAGTCAGATCGGAAGCCTTTCAATGGAATCCTCAAATGCTTAGAGAAAATGAGGAAGGGTACTTGTGACAAAATGTACAGCAATAAATGTTGGAGCAATGCAACAATTCTGGTGACTCTCTCATCTATACTACAACTCTGACAGACTCTCTCAAAAGCATGTATATCAATTGTAAATTGGTCTCTCCTTTAGCTTGATATTCCACAAGTTGTGTATCTGAAAGTTTAACACTATTCCAATCAACAGTTCTACAATGAACATGTAAGGAGAGCAAGAGAGGAGGGTTATCATCCAGAAAAATTTCTGAAATGGATCGTAAATGCACAAGAGGAGTGAGATCAAGGATAAAATTGGAGCTGCATGAAAGTTCAGATACATGATAGTATTTTGTAAGGAATGAGAGATTTGTGATGTAATTGTTGTTCAAGCGCAAGGATTGTAAAGTCGTTTTGAATTTAGCTTTTGCTAAGGGAGCTATGGTTGCATCTGTAAGGCAGTTTCCTGATAAATCTAATTCTTTTAAGGCGTGCATGCTACAAATGGAGGCTATTGTTACATTATCGGCGTCAAATATGTGATTATAACTTAAATTTAGATATACTAGAGTGTCACAAAGAGAAGAAGGAAATCTTAGGGATCGTATGACATTGAAAGATAAATTAACAGTTTCTGCAAACGGAGGAAGGTGTTCCAAGCTGGCAATCCTATTTCTAGCCAAAAAAACCTGCTTGAGTTTTTCTAATTTTGATAATGGAAAAATGGAAGAAACTTGAGTGCCTTGGATGATAATAGTCTCTAGTTCTGTACAGTTGTGAAGGCCACAAAGTGTAGAAATATTTTTGTTTTCATCAAAATCTTCTTTCTCTGAGCACGCTTGAATGCATTTTACAAGTGATAAATCATCAATGGAACTCTTTTCCATTTCATCCTTAACTATTCGAGCAAGTATAAGATCTTTGATTGTGTAATCAGAATCAGGAATCTCACGTGCTTCAGGTAATGTGTTCTTAGTATGTCTGTTGGAAATAAATGAGTAACTAGATGTAAGTTGTGAAAAATATGGAGTAATCTGGTGTTGGTCAACTTTCTTCACTAAAATCTTTCGTCTATAACTCAGTTCAAATGATTTATGGATGGATGGATCTGTGAAAAACGGCATTGATCTTGTGATGGTAGGTCCAATCGCCACGTCAACTATCTCAAATGTAGGTTTTGGAAGAGAGGTAGATGTAACCTCGACAGTGGTTGGCAATTGTTTTTCTGTGGCAAATTGATTTAATCTTCCATCCTGTCTAGATTCCTTGTTTTGATCTTTCTTCGTAGAAGTTTTGTGTGTTTCTGTTTTGGTTTGTTTTTTTGGAGTTTCTTTTTGTTCTACTGCTATTTTCTTTGAGGCGCCTTTTTTAACTTGCGCAGGTGGTTTAGGTGTCGGAAGGACCACATCCGTGCTACTGGAAGCATTGCTACTCCCACCACTGCTGTCTCCATAAATTCTTCTTAGATTAGCTTTGATTGTTGGCATATATCGTTCCATTATTTTTTGCTTATTATCATATGCATTAATACCTATAGCTCGTAAATACTCGCGTAACTCTGCCAAAGTCCATGTCTCAGCATCTCTAGGGTCGAATGGCTTTTCTCTCTTTCCTTGTGACTTTTTGGAAGGTGTATAGCTTTTGGAAAAGACGCTTTCTGGGGAAACGAGTTTCGTACTCTTTGTCACACTCTTGGGCGTCGTTTCTGAAGGTCCCTCCTCGGAGTCTTGATCAAATTCTGTGTTTGACTTGAGTATCTTGTTGATGAGAGCTTTTCTATTGCCTTTGATAGGCATGCTTCTTCTCTTCACTTCCTCTTGCAACACTCCAATGGACAATTCTTCAAGAACATCTTTGTTCGTCCAATCTATGGGCTCCGTGACATCACCATTGTCGTCATCATTTTCTTCTGTAATTCTTTTTCTCTTCTTGTCGGATGAAGGTTCGGTGGTCAATTCGGTATCGTCGTCCCAATCGTTAACGGAAGTGCTTTCTGCTTGTGAGCGATGATTGCTGCTACTACCGTTGATATCAGAAGGATCAAATATTGTCTTGGAAATTGGTTTCCTTCGTGCTCGTTTTGGCGTTGATGTACTTGTATCATCTTTTTCTTCATTGTTGTTATTTGTATCATCATCGCCATTAATATCACCATCGTTGATTTGTTCAACCTTTTTCAATGTATTTTCTTCATGATCCGATAGTGTTTCCATTTCCTCTGTTGCATCTTCATCGGCCAGTGCTTTGGGCGTATTCTTCCTTTTAGATGTTGATCTTCGCTTCGACTTTGGAGGCATATTTTTAAGCTGATGATGTGTTGGTGTTGATAAATTTTCGATTGGAATAACCGTTACATTATTCAATCATCACTGTGATTTCGAAATAGTACTCAAAATGTTTGGACAATAATAACTCAAAGATTTTGATCAAAGAACATCGTTCATGTTTGCAGCTGGTATGGAAAACGTTGCCGAGTAATAAAAAAATATGAACAAGCTGTGTGCCCGATTTACTTCACTCCCTGCTATGAGGAGTGTTGTTTCATTGGCTCGGCAACCTTGCTTTGGAGCTCGTAATAGTTTTTCTCTAGGAATTATGAAACCTTCAATACCAGTTCATGCTATTAAACCAATGAAAAGACCAAATAATATTGTAGCTTTGAATTTTAGTGAATCATCGAATTTGGTATCTGGAGGTATGTAGAATGGTGGTACAAGCAGTGAGAGTTAGATTGAAATTATGTTTTGTTGTTTCGGACCATGGTGGAATTGTTGTATGCACATTCTTGAATTATTGTTTCACGTTGGAATAATTCATACATTCATACACTCTGAATGGAAATAATAATAATGGACATCATTGATTTCACAAATTACACTCACAATTATTGTTTTATTATTTGCTTTTAATTTATCAATTTTATCATGGTTTTATAGTTATTCCGAAGAACAAACCTGTGAGACCAATCATTATTGACACATTCAAAATGGACAGTGTAAAAAGGAAAAGACACAGAAAGATGAAGAAACACAAATACAGAAAAAGATTGAAGAAGACAAGAAGTTTGAGAAAGAGATTGGGTAAGAGATAAGCACCTAATTGCAAGCTCAGTTTTGGAAGGTGCACTTCATGAGGGTAGTGATTACTCATTAAAAAACCTCTTATTGTTTATTTTCATTTTGGGTAGTATTGTTTGTCTCTTTGGCCCTTCTATCCATATATCTGTCGTATACATCAAGGAATATTTCTCTACATGGAATTGCAACATCTAACTTGTTACAAAGCAAGAATGCACCTGATAATTTTCTGTGTAGCGAGTAAGTAACAGGGGGTGGAGCTGTAAGTCGGTGTCTGAGCAGTGTGGGTATGATCTTTGTAACTCTTTCTGGGATGGCAGCACTTCTAAAGTCATACATACCCTCAGTGGAGAACGGCTCACCAATATAGATAGCTGCCTTAGCGTGAGCTTCATTCATCTCTTGCGATTCTTCTCCAGTTAAGAAACCCATCTTTCGAGAAGCGTCAATAACAGTGTCGACATCTTTGGTAGCACTGGCGTACACTACTCTAATATATTGGTCAACAAACTCGGGTGGAAATTCCATACATGCTCCAAAATCCAAAAGATGCATTGTATCCGTTTTCGTATCATAAAAGAAATTGGACCAATTAGGATCTGTTTGCATAAATCGATACTCAAACAATTCTTTCAAGCATAATTTTAAGAGAAGCTTGGCAACCTTATTTCTAACCTCAATAGGGCTGTCTTTGATTTGGTCAATGGTCTTTCCGTATTTGATGAGCTCTGTGCAGAGCACTCTTCTCGTAGTAAACTCATCAACAACATCAGGGACATTGAAACAGCTCATTGGAACATCAGTAACATAATTTCTTTGTTTTTCAGCCAGAGCATCTTCTTGAATGAGTTTTTTAAACTTCTTTTGGCATTTAGCTTCACGAATATAGTCACACTCCATGGATAGCTCTTTTCTTGCTTGCTCCATAGTTTTATCCAAGAAAGCACCTCGTGGGACAAGGTTTGTGTATTTCATGATTCTTTCAACATTTCTAATATCACTATCGATTGATTCTGCAACTCCTGGGTACTGAACTTTAATTGCTACTTCTCGTCCGTTTGTAAGGATTCCTTTGTGAACTTGACCTATTGATGCTGCTGCGATTGGTTTCATGTCAAAATGTTTAAATCCGCTTTTCCATTCCTCTCCGAATTGAGAAGTCATGGCTTGCTCCAATTGCCATTGTGGCATAATATTTGCTGCATGTCTCACCTTTTCCAAAGCTTTTTGAATGACTGGTGGAACTGTGCTCTCGTCTTGAATGGACATAACTTGCCCAATTTTTAGAGCTGCACCTCTCATCTTACAAAGGGTATCAGCTAAAATTTCTGCATTCTTTTCTGTTAAAACATCACTCACAGATAACTTTGGTTTTTCCTTGCTGGCTTCTTTTGGTGTATTGTCAGAGCTGGCTGTTTCTGGCTGATCTTGCTTTTTGGAAGAAAAAGCTGCATTAACCCCAAGCTTGATACCCAGAGCAGCAAATTGAATAGCTCTAGAAATTGAATTTGTTGGAACTTTCTTTTCTTTTAGTCCAGAGCCAATACCATGAAGTTTGATTTCATCTTCACTCGTATGAATATCTTGTTGTTGTGCTGTTGGGGTTGTGTTCATATCAGAATTGTGTTTAACTCTTTCTGTTAAATCAGCTTGTCCTAACATCAGTGACTCGTACATTATTGAGTCGTAATCTTCACTTTTGGATTTTTCTTGTGGTGACGTAATATTCGATAACTTTTGGTCTTGTTTCGTAGTGGATGTTTCCATCTTTAAATTCTCTGTTTGTTCAGATGGTGACTGTATATTCGTATCAGAGCTCTTTGTTTGTTCTTCCACAATCCTCATGTCCACAGGGGATGTCGTAGTATTTCCGTAATTATCAAAGTAAATATTACTTGTATTGGGCACAGTCGGTTCGTATTGCTTTTCTTCATTAAAATTCACGAATTGAGTTTGTTGTTGAGATAAAGATGTTGACTCAAACTTTGGAGCTTCGGAGGTTAATGATGTATGTGTATCCATGACTCGATTCGGAGCATTTTGTATCGTTTTAATATTATGAGCAAATTGTTGTATCGGAGATTGTGGGTAGAGAGTGAAGGGAGAAGTGGCCTTCTTCATGGAACTGGCACTTCTTTTACCAGAGGCTAACAAGACCATTCCGACTCCCTGAGCCACACGAAGGAAGTCTTCGAGCATTTTTTAAATATCAATTTTCCAACACCACGATGAGCAGGACAAAATGATTGAATCGGGATTTGATAAGTTTTTTAATATCAGGACCAACTAAAATTATAAAGGTGTACATCAACTAGGAAAGACGCGTCTTTTAGATAAATTCTCACACCACATGAATTAAGGTGTATGTTTCACAACGAATGCTTGTTGTTGTTTGTTCTTATTGGTTCTCTCTTCCACAGTTTGTTTGGCTTCTTGTGTCTCTTTGAGCATGTTCGCTGTTTGAGTCCACAACACATTTCGGTATTGAGGAGGAACAACATCTTTCAGCCAATCGCCTTCAATAGCGCACACATCTCTAATGTATTGTTTGGTAGTGAGAATCATTTGATTAAACAGAACACAATCAGGAAAAGGATCTTGGAGAACGCTGGAAGGATGTACTCTCACCTCAATGTTATCAGTCACTGTTCGATACATTCTCTTGTTGGGCACTCGAACAGCAATATTTGTGAAAAATCCAGCACAGAGAGCTTTTCGAACCATGGCTGTGTCTTTTCCACATGAAACAATTTCAATATTCATGTTGAGTAAATAGTCGCTTAGTTGTTTTCTCACTTCCAACACTTTGGTCATGGATTTGTAATTAATGTAATGATCAAAGCACCACTTTTTGATATCTTCTTTTGCACTCTTTTTCACTATATTAAATTCTCTAAATGCTGTCAATAATGTTAAATGATCTCCTGTTCTTGAAGCAAACTTCATCTTGATCTTATTGGCCTCTTCTCTTTTATGGAAAGGAGCATAGAAAATAGATTCCACTGAGAGCATAGAGACAATATCGAGAACTTCTTTGGTGCATCCAAACTCTGTGGATCTCAAAAGTGAGACAGCAAACATGGGTTCCAATGGAAATCCTGCCATCTTTACTCCCAACTCGGTGAGTGAACCTTTATCATTTAAGGCACCCAAATTATAAAGAGTTTCTAGAGACTTCTTAAGTGATTCCTTTGGAGGTTTATCCATGAAATCAAATTTGTGAACCTTTTCAATTCCCATCGATTTGAGTTGAAGCACAACTGTGGAGAGATTACATCTCAAAATTTCTGGTAATGTAAAATCATCAAGAGAATGATAAGCCTCCTCAGTATACAATCTATAACATTTGCCGCTCGATTCACGTCCAGCTCTACCAGATCGTTGACGAGCAGAGGCTTTGGAAATTGGAGTGAGTGCTAACGACTCCATACCATTGAGAGGATTGAAGGCCTTTGATTTCACAAAACCTGTGTCGATGACAAATCGAATACCATTGATGGTAATGGAGGTTTCTGCAATGTTGGTTGCAAGGATGACTTTTCTACAACCAGCGGGAGCAGGTTCAAACACTTCCATTTGTTTCTCTGATGGTAATGCAGAGAAGATGGGACATACCATTAACTAGTTTTTCCAGACAATGATATCATTGATGTTATTTTAGATATAACAAGCAGGAGTTGTTGAATATTCCCATGTCATTCATTAATTAATTTGTGATGAAGAGAAATTCAGCAAAAGGATCATGTCATTTCAAAACAAAACATTCGAAGTAGATAATCGGATTGACGTGTAAAACACTTGAAAATATAAAAACCTACCTTAAGTGACTCTGGAGGAAGAAGTTTTGCTTTTTGCTCCAACAATTTGGCCACTTGTTCGATTTCTTCTTGACCTGTTAAAAAAACGAGAATATCTCCTTTAGATTCTCCTTGCTCTGTTTGTTCGTCCAAGTGGATTTGAAAAGTTGTTGTAATTGCAGCATCCACATAGTCAGCGATTGGTTGTTCTGTATACAATATTTCTACAGGAAATTGACGACCAGAAACATATAAAATCTTGGCACTTGATAGAGTTCAATATAAATGGTCAATGTGGTGTCAACATGAACCCACACTCAAAATAAAAATACCTACTTGTCGTAGAATTTAGAGAAAGCCTGGGCTTCTAAGGTGGCACTCATGATGATCACTTTTAAATCATCTCGTTGGCTCAACAGCCGTTTCACAACTCCAAAAAGTACATCAGTATGCAAAGTTCTTTCGTGAGCTTCGTCAAGAATAATAACAGAATATCGTTTAAGAAGTGGATCTATTTGTGACTCTCTGAGTAGCATACCGTCAGTTAAATACTTAATTCTTGTTTTTTGTGGATGTGACACATCTTCAAAACGAATAGTGTATCCAACTTGTTCTCCTAGTTTTACATTCATTTCCTCTGAAACACGTCTAGAAATTGAAATTGCAGCAACTCTTCTTGGTTGTGTAATTGCAACACATCCCTCTCCACAAATTCCGCTCTCAAAAATGAATTGTGGGATTTCTTTTACAGTTGAAGAAAATTCATGAAAAAATTATCTGTGAAATACGTACGAGTTGTCTATTAATATTATTCATGAAATTAGATCGAATGTTGAAAATAATTGATACAAAATTCAGTTAATTGTTGCTGATGAAACACGTACCTTTCCTGAACCAGTCTCACCAACCACTACAATGGTTTTACTTTTTTTAAATTCATCAATTAATGCTTCTCGAGCACCGTAAATTGGAAGAGACTTTCTTTCTTGTTGAATTTTTAAATATTTTTCATTCGATGAAAGTTTTGTTTTTTTGGCCGTGTTGGGTAAACTTTTAACGACTTTATATTCCTCTTTCGATTTAGTATTGTTTTTCATAGGATTGTGATGATCATCAGACATTGAATTATCCTCTAGGTGGTAATCATTCTCCGAGATGTGATTCATAACACCTTTTCGTTTCTTTGAGTTTCCATGATAAGGTGTCAACACAGATTCCGAAGACTTCATGATTGCATCGGATTCAACAGTGGATTTCATTTGTTTTTTGCAAATATTTTTTTCTTCAACAAATAAATGTAACCTTGAGTGCTTATGGACTGACGAACACTCTCAACTTCGTTCGACAACTTGAAGAGACTGATTGTTATGCACGAGAAAGCATGAGTCTTTGCCCGCCACTGTTACAAAAGCTCAAAATTGTTGAACACACCATCGTATTAAAAAAAATAACCTAACTTTGAATACACCAGACTATTACACTACTCACAACATGTCCAATATCTTCTCATTCTTCGGTCAAGAAATCAAGACTGGTCAACCACAAACCTTTGAAATCCCATTCGGTGAAGTTGTTCTCCATCTCTCCACTATTGCTCTCGCTAAAGATACTCCAAAGGGCTCAATTACTAGAGTCTACGTTCACACTGTGGATGATGAGGCAGACAACGAAAAGGACACCAAGTTTGTTGTTTGTACTCTTGTTGGAAAGGAGAAGGAATCTGTTGTTGTTGATTTGAACTTTAGCGAGGATGTTGCTTTCTCTTTGGAGACTACTGCTGGAGATGATGTTGCTGTCCACGTTACCGGTTATATCAACTTGGTTGGCGAAGAGGATGAAGAAGGTGAGTATGGTGGCTATTCTTTCATTGATGATGAAGAAGTTGATGGTGATGATTCAGACGAAGAGAAGAACAAAATTTTGAGACAAATGTTGGAAGAAGAGGATGAAGATGAGGATGACGAAGATTTCAAGCCAGATTTGAATGAGTCCACTGAGTCTGCCACTAAAATTGAGGAGTTGACTGACGAAGATGAAGTTGAGCCCCCAATGGGTGGTGATGAAGAGGATGATGAGGCACTTGATGATGAAGTCGCTGAAATTGTCATGACCAAGGTTACCGCTCTTGAGGAAAAGCTCGGAAGAGAGGCTACTGATGCTGAAATCAAGAAAATTTTGGATGAGGTTCAAAAGAAGGCTGCTCAACCAAAGCAAGAAGAAAAGAAGCAACCAGCTAAGCAACAACAACAACAAAAGCAAGCTCCAAAGAAGGAAACACCAAAGGAATCTCCAAAGAAGCAAGCTCCAAAGCAAGATGAAAGCTCAAAGAAGAGGAAACAAGAAGAAGCCATCGGAAACAACAACAACAAGAAGAACAAGAAGAATAAGAAGAAGAAGTAAATCTAAGAAGCAGTCACAACAATAAATTTCGATTTCCAAAAGATTTTGATTTATTTCTTTTGTGTTTCGAATCATGCGAACTTTTATTTACAAAGCTGATGACAAAAAATCGTAAAAATTGAATAAATCCCTCAAAACGCAGAATAAACATACCCTTGAACACAAGAACTGCCAAATTTCCGTTAAAATATAAATACAAAAGATTCTTTGCTTCATGAGTTATTGAAAATCCAAAGCCCTCTCCAATCAAACAATGCCAAGATTTTCCATACTTTTTATCCATTTGAATTTTAATTGCTTTTGCAGCGTTTTCATAATTTTGAGGTTGTTTTTCCAATGCTGTCTCAATAGCAGAAGACACAGTCTCTACACAATCAATTCTCATATCCTCTGGCATATCACAATGCTTTGATTTTAGTCCGATTATGAAAAAGTTAGCATCACATATCCGAAATGTCAATGTGTTGTATGATGATGATGATGATGACAAAGAAGTGACTCCCTTTCCACCTACCCTCACAAGAGCCAAATTATTTGCTGGATTTGCCTCTGTTTGTTCCATTTTTTGTAAATTGAAATGGCGCCACCTCAAAGGACTCCATCAAAAAAGGTCTGGCACTGTGAAGCTTCACAAAAAAATGAGCCTTAATGACTCTGCCGTGATGGTTGAGGCACAGGACGAACACGAATATGGCATGAAGGAGTCCCTCTACGAGAGAGGCAGAAAGTTTTTAGACAATAGGGAACAAAAGTTAATGAAGGAAAGAGAAAGATTGGAATCAAGAGGAGAGAATGAGTGCACTTTTCAACCAACAATTTCGAAAAAGGCTAAAAAACTCGTTAGAGAAGAGAATTTATATGAATTCAATAGCAAATGGGTAGGTGTTACTAATGAATAACTCCTTTTATCTTTCCGCAACTTTGATCTTTGAAGAAATCAAAAGTAGACCAAAATCTTGAGGAACTGCGAGCAAAACAAGCTCAGAGGGAGGAAGAAACGATATTCTCTAAACCTGCTCCTCTCTCTTTGGTATCCCAATTTATCATAATGAAGAAGATGGAACAAAAGGAATATAGTGGTCCAATATCGGGATGGGAAAAAAGATTTGATGAGTTTCGACAAAAACCATCGGGTGTAGATGATGAGCAATATGATTTTTCTCCCAAAATCAATGAAAAGTCAGCCTTACTTGCACAAAAACATAGGTCCGAGCAGGAAGCAGTTTTGGATCCCTTTGAAAGATTGTATGAAGATTCTAAAAGAAAGAAAGACGAAGATCTTTCATGGACAAAGAAAGAGAAAAGAAAGAACAACACTTCAGAACACAATACCAGCTCCAACAGCACAGATGATGAAAAAAACAAAACCAAGCTTGCTGAATTGGAATTTTACAAAAAGGTAATGGAAAGGCAATCAGAAGCTGAAAGAAAGAAAGCCAAGCTCAAGGAGGATGAAAACGACAAATATTCATTTAAACCACATATCAACAGACACTCTTTAGATTTAGCAAAACACATTGAAAGACAGCCGTTGTACTCGCCAAGGAAGACACAAGAGGATCAAAGTTCTATTAACATTAATGACAGCCAAAACGCCCATAAAAAGAAATTTGAGGTGGAATCCTTTCTTCAAAGGAGGTTGCAAAAAGAAAAGCAACGTCAAGACAAGATCAAGCAAATGAAACATGACATAGACGAGCTTGAAATGAAGGAATGCACTTTCAAGCCTATTATTAATCCCAAGTCTCTTGAGCTTGCTTCTCTGTGGATTGAATCTTTTGACAAAGATTTGGAGGAATTATACGAGTTTGATCCTCGCTTTAACAACTCAGGATCTCCAAAGGCATATCTCAAAAAGCATTCCAGCAATTACATTGACTACTCCATTTCCCCTAAACACAATACTTCATCTGCTGATAGAAAGAAAGCTGTTGACAGCAAAGCTAGTTTGATTATTAATTCTCTTTTTGATGAAAATTCAGTTGTAAAAGACAGAACTCCTTATCGACGTACTCCTACTAGTACTTCAAAGAGCACACCCATAAAATCCCCAGGTGCACCTTCAGATATCTCCCCACTCATTCATTCTGATTCAAAGAAAGAAGGTGCAATAACTCCTTCCACTAATACGAAACATATCGACGATTTTGACGATGACGAGCTGGCATCAATAGAAAATGAAATGCAATCTGCCATTAAGGAGTTTGAAGAATGGAGTCAATTCGACAACTTGTCCCTGTAATCTTAAATTAGGTAATAAAACTTTGTATTTCTTTCGAAATTGAAGATATTGATTCTTTGAGCTCAACAATTTTTGAAGGATTCTCTATCCAATGTAAATCTACTCTTCCGTCCATATATCCAATTGCAACTCTGTCATTCTTGTTGAAAGACTTCAAAAGCTCATGTTGATTGTTAACAGCAATACGTTGAGTCTTATCTTTTTGTGAGAGGCTCAGTATTCCTAACTTGCAACTCACTCGGTTGACCCTATCTTTTTCTTGTCCTTTGAGAACAACTTTCTCGTGAGCAACCACAACATCTTGTTGAGAAAGATTTAGTACTAACAGGTCGTCTTCGCTTGTTAGCACATAAAACTGTGAAGGATCCACAGAACTCCATTTTACATCTACAATACAACAATTACAATGATTTCTAAAGTTAATAATTGGATCCTCATATCCCTTCATGTAGATAGCAAATAGCCCATTATCGAATCCTGCAAGAAAATATTGAGGCATAAATATTGAGAAATCAATGCATGTCACACGAGACGTTAAATGATGAATATTGGAAGAATATCCATCTTTCCTTTTAACGCTGTTATAGGGTTTTACATTCTCAATAAATCTTCCTCTACGTAAAATTTGCCCAAAATCTGTACCAACAACAAATCTTGAAAACGAAAACATTATTCAAAGGAGAACAGAGAACCAAATAACTTACTGCGATGGGTCATCAGGATCAATTTCTAAGCAAGAAGCAGCAGAAATGGATGGAATGAAAGAGTTGTGTTCCACTTGCTCTACTGGATTAATTCCTTTAAGAATGGTTGCCGCAAGGCTTGTTTCAACTTCAGCTCTCTTTAAATTAAGATCCAGTGCTGGTTCACCAAAAATGTTCATTCTTCCGCTATTCACGAGTTTTACTTTTCCTCCAATGCTTAGTCCAAATTCTGAGTCTGCCAAACTACTACTCCAATGAAGAAGAGCATATATTTCATTTCAGAACCAAATAACTTACTGTTGCGAGAGGAACATTACCAACCAAAAGATTACATTTCCTGCTTCGTCTAACGAAATAAAGTAATCTCCCATGGATCGAACCTCTTTGGAATAAATAGAGAGAGAGGCGCTGATAGATTTCACATTGGTCTAATTAAATTTGAATGTTAGAAATATATTAAATTTGGTGAATTTTACACCTACCACTGAGCAAAGATGAGTTTCTCCAAACATATTAGCAGTAGAAAAGGAGGGAAATATAGTAGAAATAAAGCCATCTCCAATTTGAATGGTTTTTGGTTTTTGGTTGCAATCCCACACGACAATTGAACCATCCTTACACCCTCCAATAACAATATGAGGACGATCGAGAAGACAGCAAACAGACGAGAGCTCTGACCCACATCGTAGACACCTTTTAAAAATCCAATGTTAGGGGTTCCATGTTGCATGTATACTTACATGGTTGGAGATCTTTCGTTGAGAGGATCCCAAATACATATCAATCCTTCCTCCAAAATGCTAGAATCTGTTTTTGATGGACCATAGCACACTATCATTTGATTATCCTTACTGAATGTTATTTCTCTAACTTCTCGATCCTTTGTTAAGGGAATTGAAAAAACAGAAAAATTAGAGCTGAATTTAAACATTGACTCTCTCTTTTTAGAATCTTCACTAGCTGATTTTGAATCTGTGTTGGACTCCAAAATCCTGTCACACACTGGATAGACAGCTTTCAAAAATCTTGAAAGTGTTAAGGAATTAAATTTGAATTTGTCCATACTATTTTTTGGCGTACTTTTGTTGGATATTCCAAGATCTTCAGGAGCTTGTACTCCTCTTGAAAGTTGAGTTTGCGGAATTGTGTTCATTCCCATTTCCTTTCTTTCATCAATCGGAGGGCATTGAGTTGACACGTTAAGAGTTGCATCTTTTCCAAATGATCTTTGATACATTTCATAATCCGAAAGAGGAGGCAGGTCAATGATTTCGAAAGAAATGTTGTCGAGCGAAATGAGTTCCAATAATTTGCTCGCTCTGTCGTGCTTCTTTTGAATCTTTTCTAGCCTCTCCTTCTCCTCTTTAGAAAGAGTTGGTTTAATTTTGATTGTTTTAAAAGCATCCTCCTCTTGGTTTTTGACGACCGGAAATTCAACCTCTTTACTACATTATGGCGAACGTAAATACAACCAATGTAGTTCGTTTACGACTTACCTGTTGAGCACCGCCGGAGCAGGTGTGTTTCTATTCACGGTTGTACTGGTGTTTACCTGTGGCTGCTTTGAGGGAATAACCGTCTGAGGAGGAGAAATTTCATCATCATCTTCAAAATCCTCTTCGAAGTCGTCCTCAAAATCATCAAATTCGTAATCGCTCATTTTTTCTACAAGTACTCAGAACATGACAGTCATTGTAAGTATATTTTCAAAAATTGTATTCAGTGGCGGGGAAAGAAATACGAATAACACGTCTATTTTGCAAACTTAGAAATCAAGACGTTGGATTGATTGATAAGATCTTTCAAGTTGTCCAATTGTTTGGTGGGAATGTGACCCAAATATTCATGCTCGAGCTTGACATAGATTGCTTTTTTGAGAGAGTTGATAAATAGCGTTTCGCCCTTGTCATCTGAGGACACGGTTGAAGTTGCTGGCCGAGGAGAGAAAAGAAGGTTGACAGGCAATAAATTGCTATCATTGTCTGCTTCGTCATCATCATCGTCATCGCCGCTCTGTCCTTTTTCTGATTTGTCAGACATGTTCTTGAGATTGAGATAGGTCTGGCTTGTGAGATTATCCAATTTTGCTTCCTTTTGTTTGATAATTGTCACTGCTTCATTTTCACCTCCTGCTTCTGTAATTTTCATTAACACATTTGAATACGATTCCTGTACAATAGATAAGAAAATATTTACAATAGCGCAAACTACAACAAGTAGCAGCATGATTAAATTGAACATCTCTGAGATTATACTTACTAAATAATAATAACTATACCATTGTGAAAGGTTAATGATAATGAACGAAGAAAAGATGAATACTTACGAAAATTAAGGTGTACATTCTTCCTAGCACTTTGTGGAATAAACTAAATGCAAATATCTTTTCGAAAACAATTCTCAAATTGTCACCATGCATTGCACTATATAATGTGACCATGGTTCCATCAACATCTTTAAAGTCTATTAGTTTAACAATGTCGTTTCAATCTTGTGATGCTAAATTACTGGATTGTGAACTTACAATTAGAGTAAAAACCGAACCACATAACGCCACAACAAACAAAGCCTGCAAATATTGGAGAAATACTTCCAACATATCTCAGAACAGTTGGAATTGATTTGGTAAAGGCTCTTGCGACTTTTAAAGGAGTTAGATTCAATTATTATCAAAATTCTACTAACCTAAATAGAACTTGGCTTGATAGTTAAAATACTTGGTCAAGTTAATAAGTGAACAGAATGATCCAACTCCAAGACATGTCTGGGAAAAAACGTCCATCGTTTCATTTGTGACTGTTTTGATGATCATGGCAAGAAAGCCAAGAATTAGTAGGGTGTCCTTGAGAAACGCTACGAAAAGAGAAAATCCCAAATATTCAGACAATAACGTCGCAAATCTAAGCATCTTGTTCGTTTTTCTACGTTTCTATTTTTGCTATTGAATATGCTTTTTATCGAGAGCTATATACTTACGTAGAACACTCGTACTCTGGTTATTAAAGATTTGGAATAGAACCCCAAGGAAAGAGCAGATACCAAGCATAGAAAGAGGCCCACATAGCCTCTGGGTCGCTTAAAAATTGAAGTGTAAAAATCAGAATCATTTGCAACACAATTTTCTACAATGTCAGAAAGGAAAATAGAAAAGTTTAAAAATTGATTTTAAATGTGAGTATTGCTTCTCATAAAATATACTTACCATAATTTCTGTTCAATTGCAAATCTACTCTCCCACCTCCAATAAATTTGTAAAAGAACTGAACAGTCCATTTGTAACAACTTGGATAACCTGGCAAGCTTGTATCAAGAGTAATTATCTTGAAAAATAGTTCTATATACTGGATTCTATCCACAACATATTTCAACTCGTCTCCTGTTACATTAAACAACGTTCCTAATGGATCATCCTGTGTTAAATTTTCATAAACTGAAACAGAGTCAGAAAAAAGAACTGAAGAAATGTCACTCCTTGCTATAAATCTCCAGTCTACTATGGAAGGGTCTGAGTCGTACACTGTTTCATTGGACAAGAGTTGACGGGGGTTTTCCTTGAGCATTTGTACATGCAATTTAACAATATCTTGCCCTGTGGGAATAACCACGCTCACAGAATTATCTTGAATGGAATAGTATTTCAACACGATCGATTGGATGCTCTTTTGTAAATCATCAACATTGTAAATATAACTTGTATAAAAACCTAAGGAAAATTAAATGAAATAACTTGAATGAGTATCATATCACATACCATCGTCATTTTCCTTAATTCCTTCAAATCCACTGAAATGACCGTTCATCGAAATTGAAATTTTTCTTTAAATAAAGGCAGACTTACGCTGGCATGAAGAAATTTGCGAATGAGGTTGAAATATCCGTTTTGTAATTCTTGAACTCGGAAACATAGAAAGCAACAAATAACATTACTAAAATCACTTGAAGAATGTCAATAATCATTTTAGTTGGAAAGACTCGGTACTTCAAAAACTTTTGAATCAGTGATAGTTGGATAGCATCATCTTCTCCAATATCTTGAGGAAGAACGGTTTGCTTCAAAAATCGATAGGAACGTGTGAAGAATGTTGGAGTCTCTACAATTACACGAGTGTTTGATGGCAAATTATCATCTTGAATGCTATTGATACTGTGTCTATTATTGTTATTTAAATTTGCGCTTTCATCATCAGAGTCATGTAGCAAGGAAACTTGAAGGCTGTTGTTGTTGGTAGACATTTCTCGGGACGGAATGTCTTGGAATAATTTCAATAAATTGGTTTTTAAAGTGCTAATGAAACAGCATCGGGATATTGTTGATTTTTTTGAATGCGAGACTCTCTCATCAGAATGATTACAAAGGGATTCTGAAAAGGCTCCAATAGATGATTTATTGAAATGATTTGATGTTAAAAGCAACGTGTAGAATTATTATGACTATAACTTTCATTACACTGTTGTGACTTTGTACCCAACCATCTGCAAAAGTTGTGAAAGCAGAGATTACCAGGGAGGTCTCATTCTCCGAAAAAAATTCTCAAGATTAGAAGCCTCGGTTCTTGTTTGGAATAGCCGTTGAAATGAGTTCAAGAAAAAAGGTGCTGTTGAAGGTGATTATCCTTGGTGATTCTGGTGTTGGTAAAACCAGTCTTATGAACCAATATGTAAACAAGAAATTTAGGTATGTTTTTAATTGTTTGAATATTGGTTGGACTAAACATTTTTTTAATCATCATCGCAATAATTTATTGTTTTTATTATTATTTCGTGATTGTTATTTGTTGACGATGAAATTACTGTAGTAATCAATACAAGGCCACCATTGGTGCAGATTTTCTTACCAAGGAAGTGATGGTAGATGATCGCCTTGTTACTATGCAAATTTGGGTAGGTTTAGTAGTTGTGCACATTCATTCACTGAGGCAACGATTTTCCAATCTTCGGACGTCTACTGCTCTTGTGATGACGGTTTTTGAATATATGTAACTCTTCTCAATTTCCGATGTCAACGGTATTGGTTGTGATGTGAAATATCGCAATTTATGCATTCAAATGTGTTATTCGAATACCAAAATGACTATGATAAATAGGATACTGCTGGTCAAGAACGTTTTCAATCTTTGGGAGTAGCTTTCTACAGAGGAGCAGATTCATGTGTGCTCGTTTTTGATGCCACTGTTGCAAAGACATTTGAGAACATCAACTCATGGAGAGATGAATTTTTAATACAAGCTGGTCCACCAGATCCAGATAACTTCCCATTTGTCGTTATTGCTAACAAGATTGACCTGGAACCACAACGTGTCGTTCCACAAAAGAGAGCTCTTGCTTGGTGTAAAGCCAAGGGTAACATCCCTTACTTTGAATGCTCAGCAAAGGATGGTACAAATGTGGAACAAGCTTTCCGTAAGTGTTGATTAGTTGAGCTCTGTAATTTTTGACCTTGTCTTTCAAAACTGTGCGACGAATATCAACGCAACTATTTTTCGGATAATATATTATTCAGAAACCATTGCAAGAAACGCTCTAGGAAAGGAAGAAGATACACCTTTCAATACTGGTACAGGTATCACTGAGTTCCCTGACGAACCACAGCCAAAGAAAAATGGAGGATGTTGTGGATAATACTTTTATCACAAATCTCTTTATCTTTGCCAATTTTGATAAGTAACAGTAGCTGTGGCAGCATTATCATTTTCTCTACGTTACACTTGTACATATACATGCCATTAAACATGATATTCAAATTTTCTGGTATGATTAGTGTTGCTGTTTTATCTCTCTGCTTTCGCCGATTGGTGTGAATTGGTGAGATGCAACTATTTTATTCGATAAAGATACATAGTAAGTTTCATCACCCTTAAAGATTCCACATATAAAATTAACGTTCATGACAAGGGTGTATGTAAGTTGTGGATAGATTAGAATGAGGTTTGGTCTCCTCAACAAATTTCTCTCCAAACAACTCATTCAGACTTGGTAGAAGCTTGGGTTGAATTGCAAGATGGCCTTGAGATTTTGACTTTACAAACACTGGCCTTGCAATGTGCAGAGATGTAGAGGAAGGAAAGTTCTCAACGTGAGGCTGATGGTGCAGACCTGATTGCTCATTACAATTAGTAAATTGCGTAGATGAAGTCAGGAACGTGGACGCATTTGTTGTTAAGCTGGTGGTGACATTTTGAACCAGATTTTGAACGTTTCCTGCACATGTGCTAATGGCTGAGCTTTCTTTCTTCTTTTGAATTCTTTTTGGTTGCATGACTGCAGTGAGAGAGGAACTTTTTTTAAGGGGTGGAGGCTTGGTTGCATTTTGTGAGGTTCTTCTCAACAATGCACTCTCTTGATCGACCTCCACGTTCGAAAAAGAGGTTGAAAGATCACTCAAACTGCTACTGCTACTACATGTGCTGATACTATTGCTACTCACTTGAGAATATACAGGTTGATTTTGAGGGGGAATGGGTATTTGGTGTAGTTGACAAGAGGGGTTTTCCATAGAAAAACCAATAAGAGGTCGAGAATGCATGCTTTGTTGATCCTGATGATTAGAAAATGAAATTGAATTATGACTATTTGCTTTCATCAACTTGGGTCTTGCTAGTGTTAGATTTGATGATGAATGAAGGGCATGATCTGAGTTGAAATAATTCTGAGAATTGCTTCCAGAAAATGCCGAGAAAATGTCTCCAGCAACATTAGAAAACTGAGTAGTTGAGGTGGAGGCACGTAGTGGCGAACAACAAATCTTCATTTGTGGCTGCTCTACTGGCTGCACATGATGCTGTATATTGGGCGGAGGTGAAGATGTGCTCGTCCAATTCATTGCTGAGGAATCGGTATGTAAGGGAAAAGGTTGTTGTACGGACAAGTTAATGTTGGTGTGAGAAGTTGGAAATGAAATATACTCTGTGTTCAATGGATGGGCAATGTTTGATGAAGGTTCCTGATGGTTTTGAATGGATGCCAATGAAAAGTCAGAGGTCTCTATCTCCTTCTCCGATGAATAAATAATATCTGAATTATTTCTGATGAATTCTGCTACTCTAAGCTTAAAAGTTTCTTCATCGATTGTATCGTTCTCCTTTAGCAGAATGGAACGTATTCTACGGTAAGGCCATCTTGAAATGCCGTATTGCCTGCAAAACTTCTTCAGTAAAGTTTGGCAAATACCTTTAAGGGTTTGTTTGAACATTGGTTGAATTCATTAAAGCATTACTTACCCATGTCATCCGCAGCTTTTTGAAGAGGGAGATAAAAGCGTTGTGATATTTCATCTAAGGTAGGCTTCTTCTTTGGTGTGGGTGGCATTGTTTTTTAATGAAGCCCAAGATGGGACCTCCCTTTTCAGATTTGTTCCAAATCTGAACTTGAGTGGTTGTGCGCCCGTTAAGTCTAGCAAGAGAGAACCACCTTTTTCACATCGGACGCTTAGACTCCATCCATGAATTGATGATAAATGCTTTATTAGGCTAGTCTTTTTTCACTTTCTTAGCTTCCGTAGATGGCGATTCATTTTCTAACGCTTGGTCAAGCTTTCGCTTTTTATCTGTGTCATCTTCTGGTGCTGTATCTTTATGGCCATTTTCTTCGGTTGTAGCGTGCATTTTCCTCTTATTCTTGAAAATAATGGTGTGTTTTTCAGATGTGTCGTCATGATGGTCGTGATTATCAGATGCATCATGTGCACAAGCATCACCATGAGTATGGGTATGAGAAGCCTCTTCTTCTTCATCCAATTCAATTGGATCTTCAAAGTCCTTCCATTTATCATCCATGGCCATCTCTTCGTCTGTGAGTAAGCATGAATCCAGTTTCGCAGAAATATCCTTCTCTGAAATGTCCATTCCAATGAAAACAAGCTCTTGTCTTCGATCTCCCCATTTCTCGTCCCAAATCTTTGCAAGACTGTTGTCATCTTTTGGCCAATCTTCTTTAGGTATGCTAGCCCAGAATCTACCTCCAGTTTCAATTCTTAGAGTATCACCTGCTTGGGACCAAAGACCATAAATATCCATCTTAGTGCAAAGCCAAAAGAATCCCTTGCTTCTTAAAACGCCGTCAAGAGCTTCCTCATCTATTAGAACAAGTAAGTAATTGAAGAAACAATAACAACAAAAAGAATACATACTGTGAATAAATTGGTCAGAAAGACGTTTTGGATGGAATGGTCTTCTTCTTCGATATGCAAAACTAGTAATTCCGTATTGTACACTCTCTGGAACATGATTTCCTTGCAATTCTTGTAGCCAACCAGCTGACTGTTGAGCTTCATTGAAATCAAACATGTTGGTATGAAAAATGCAATCAAGTGGAACTTTTCCGAATTTTGTCTTGATGAGTTTGGCTTTTGGATTCAAGTGACGAATCGTTTGTTCCAACAATCCCAACTCGTCAGCTGTTACCAAGTCAATTTTGTTGAGAATAATAACGTTTGCAAATTCAATTTGGTCTACTAGCAAATCAACGACTTGTCTGTCATCATCCGAATCATTTTGAAGATTTTTGTCTTTCAATGTTTTGCCGCTGGTGTAGTCTAAAAGCCAGTTATAAGAGTCGACGACTGTGACCATGGTATCAAGACGGGCAAGATTTTTAAGGGTAACGTTTTTGATAGGAGTAGTTTCGCTTTGATTAGATCCCTTTTCCTCCTTCAGTTTAGTTTGTTGGACGTAATTGAGGAAATCATCAACAGAAAATGTAAATGTCTCAGCAACGGGTAAAGGCTCACTTATACCACTATAAAATCGGTTATTGTTGGAATGCACACTACTTGTGTTACGTACCTCGATTCTATAATCAAGTAATCAAACTTTTTCTCGTTAGCTAATTTAGCAATTTCTTGCAGCTAAAAATGTCAAACCATAAAAAACGCGTACTGAAACTACTTACCAAGTCCTCCCTGAGCGTACAACAAATACACCCGTTTGCCATTTCTATGAGTTTTTGCTCCTTTGTATCATTCTTTTAAAGAATCATGTGATGATGATTCAAAAACTATAAACGCAATACATACCTTCAAATGGTTGATATGAACAAGTTTTGCATCAATGTTAATCTCACTCATGTCATTCACAATGACAGCAACCTTATAGCCTTCCTGATTGTTCAATACATATTTCAAAAGAGTGGTTTTACCTGCTCCTAAAAAGCCCGATAGCACAGTCACAGGAAGTCTTTGATCAGACTGATCCTGTTGCTTTCTAGGAGGACAAAGTCCTGAGGTAGTTACTTCATCCTGGTTTGTTGTTGAAGTTGATGATGAAGCATTTGTTGTTGTAGAAGCCGATGATGCTGTTGGTGTTTCCTGAGGTGTTGGCTCTGAGGCACCGACGCCGTTTACATCATGGGTCATTTTTTTTGTTTAAATTTGGAAAAATTTGAATGCGTGCTGCGTACGTTACCCCACAACGAAGAATATTCAACTCATTATTCTTCGTTAGCTTTGTGTTGATCAACACTTCTCGGAATAAAATTGAAACACAACACCCATTTGCTTTAAGAGTTGAGAGATTCTTGGGACCATAGGTTGCATTGAAAAACCAAAGATTGTTGTCTTGTGTTGTAATGAGTTCATCATCAAACACGAAAAAATGTCTTCATCTCTTCTCAAGGGCCAACAGCAACAAAACTTTGTAGACCCTTCTTCCATTGTAGTCTCGGAGAATGAAAGCGATCTTGATAAGACCATCAAGGAGGAGGTGATTTTGTGGTTTAATTCTTTCAAATCTCTCAAGACAAATGCTACAAGAAGCGCTGTTGAGAGAAGCCATCTCACTTCGCTGCTGAAGGTACCACGATCAGAACTCATGAAAGTAATGGTGAATCTAAATTTGATCGAGTTGAATACTCAGGACAAAATGATCATGTTTGATCTTAATGATTCGATATTTACCATAATTTATCCTGAATCGTACAAGCCATTGGAGGGTAAGTCGTGATCAATTTATTTCGGAAAGTTCAATGTGTAATTAATGTTGGTGGATCAATTATCGTCTTGTTGATTTAAAATTGAAATTTCTCTTGATGAATCACTAATAATATCTGATTAATTAAATTATTTAGGAGAGGGATTGATGGTGACTTCTGACGATCCTGTGCTGGAGAAGGTGGTTGCAAAAGCAAATAGATTCATTCAAAGGGACCACGCAAGCATGGGATCACCAAGTATCGCAATCAGTGTATTACTTTCAAAAATTGTAGAAATATTTGTAACCAAATCATTTGAAACACTAACTCCTGGAGTTTTAAACGCCACAGACGATATATTTGGCAAGAAATTACAAGAATTGAACCAATCCTCCAGTGTTGAGGATGACATTGAAGATGATGACGATGATGACATTATTCAAACTCCAACCCCACAAAAAGTTCACATTGGAGAACAAAAGAGCATTTTTGACATGCATCTCGAAAAAGATTTGGTAAGTTATATTCCATGCTGAGCTTATCATAGTGTATCTGTATTTATAATTATAATAGAGTGAACTCATTGAAAAACTTCAAAATGTTAGCCAAGACGAAGATTTTGAAATGTTTAGAAATGCTTGGGGTGCTTTGGCATCACAATACATTGAGTACTCCCTTACCGCCAGAAAACGTATTTTATCTGAATTGAAATTAATCAATCCTGTCAATGGTAGAAATGGGTGGAGAGTTGATTTGGTTGATGGCAACATTTATGTTTGGACTGTCTCACTTTTCAACTTTCCTACTACTTCATCGATTGCTTCTGGATTGGCGAGATTTAAAGAAAAATATCAATTTGGATCTGACGAGGTTGTTTTAGAAATTAGATTTGGAAATTATCCTGATGAACCTCCTCATTTGCGAGTGGTGTCTCCTCGCATTCAATATTTAACAGGATTAGTGCGATTCGACGGCACTATTTGTCCAGAGTTTATGACCAAGTCAAACTGGAACGAAAACAAGTTCTTGACCATTGAATCTATTATTTCAAAGGTGAAAAACATTCTCATTGACAATGATGCAAAAGTAGATCTTAGAACATTTAAGCATTATGATGTTAAAAATGCATTGAACAGCTACGTTAGACAGATGAGAGTTCTTTCAATTCCATCCAGCAACAAGTTCAAAGAGAAATATTTTATCTTTTCTTCTGCTTTCAGTAAACGGTGCTTTGACGTCTCTGTCAACTTGAAAGCCCTGGAAAAAGGAAATAAGGTACTTTTGCCAAGCGAAGCAGCTGCCAAAATTTTTGAGGACCCAAATGTTGAGCTTCCATTAATTTTTGAAATAGAGACCAGACACAGTCAAAAGATTTATTGTGGCGTTAATGGTAAGTGAAATCAAGAATTTCCAAAGTTTTAACCATTTTAACTCCGATATTAGAATTTTCGGCTCCCACTGGACAAATTATCGTTCCAGAGTGGATGTTCAACTCATTATTCATCACCGAAGGCTCTAAAGTGTCTGTGAGATGTGTCTCACTTCCTCCAGCTTCTAGTCTCAAAATTCAGCCACACAGCAAGGACTTCTACAATATCATTAATTATAAGGAAGTTTTGGAATCAACTCTTTCGAAATATAGTTGTGTCACTGAAGGGCAGTCTTTGCAAGTCTATGACGACGATAACAATGTGCATATGATAGAAATCATTGAAACTCAACCGCAACCAGCTGTTAGCGTTTTATCTAATGGAGGTTTTTTGGAGGTTGAAATTGATTTTGTTCCTGCAATTGACTTGGATGATCCTCAAGAGCTCGCTCAGATGCAAGAAAAGGAGCGTGAGAATAGAATTCAAAAGCATGAAAAGTTCAAGCAAGATGTAATCAAGCAAACACTCAAGGACAGACAAACAAAGAAGGAAGCTGTACAGAAACTTTTATCAAGCAGCACCACAGATAAAACTGTGCTGGTAAAATTCAAATTCCCTGATTCAAGCTCATGCAGTCAAAAGTTTCCTGTCAGCGCTTCATGTCTTGCATTATATCAATATGTAGAATGCCTTGATGAGACAGGTGTCTGGAAACCTTTACCGTATTCGACCAGTAAGGAGCTATCTTTGTCTACGACATTTCCAAAGATTGATATTCCAAACAATGAGAAGATTACTTTACAGAGTGCTGGTATTATTGGTCAGGCAACTATTGTCGTGTCTGAGAATGATCGATTTCCAACTAATTCCGAGTAATGTCATTTACAATCACTGTATTTGGACTCTTCCTCCAAAAGAACTCGATCAATCTTGTTTGTTAAATCATATTTAAGACTTTCAATAACAGCAATGTTGGCTTCAGCGCTTAACATTTCAATAAAGGCAAGGCAACAATTTTCATCATTTGGGTTTGTGACAAAGGAAAGGAAGACCATTGGCTCTGGAAACTCGTTCATAATTTCTGAAAAAGTGCTAGAAAAAATTTGCACAAAATTTCTTGTCAGAGGTAAAGCAGTCTCTGGCTCAGATTGTCTGTTAGGAACCATTGAGCTAATATGCTGTTTTGTGAATAGAAAACTTACTTTTGGAGTACTCTATTGATTTCCATTGCAAAGCTCATTAGATGTTCCAATAACTCGTCGCTGCACATCATTAAAATTAGACTCCATAGCAGATAATTGATATGTGAACTCTCCTTGTTGAGAATTATGTCATTTACGATATTCATTCAATCATAAGACACTTACAATTGAAGGATGTTGGCATATCTGAAGAAAAATATAAAAACAGGTCATGAAACTTCTATTATCTTTCATATTTCTTAATAATATTGGTATGAACGATAACTCCTCCAAAATAACATTGCTTAATCTTGGGATATCTGTCAAGTTTGCAAGTAACTTCAGTAAGATTAATTTCAAAGAATCGAAGAGCGATATACTTTTGATCAATAGTTTTGGAAGCATTTTCACTTCAGAGCAATAATGACCTTGTTCCAAAGCTTGTGAACAATATATTTGCAATCTTCCACAAGATGATAATGTCATCAGCATTTTGATAATTTTCTTGGCAATAAAAGAGTCATATTGTGCAATCAATGAGTGATCTGTTTCTTGCTGGTCTTTGTTTAAAAGAATTACATTGGATTGTTCGACGTATTCTAGAGCACATCGTAATTTTTGGATAAGGACAAGTATTCCTTTTCCATGAAGGATCCAATGAAGTAAATGTCTCGATTGGTCTACCCTCTCCACTACATCGTTCATAAATTGTAAGATAAATCCGACAAATTTCAAGTATTCTTCATCTCTTTTTTCAAAACGTAAAAATTCGACCAACAAATCCAAAATACCGAAGGAGACGAGTTCACGAGAGATATTAATGGAAGAGAAAACAATGGTCAACGCCAAAACTGCGTCTCTGATAACTTTACGGTCTACACACCGAGGATGAGAGCTATAACACTGATATTCAATACGTAGTTTCTCTTGGAGAGTTTGTAAAAAGCGAACACGACACGTTGCTTCACTTAATGAAATAGAAGACCCAGTAGAAATGATTTCTTCAACTATGCGGAAGAGAAATCCTTCATCCTTGAAGTTGAGAATTTGTGTTGTTTCATTATGAGGGATGATATTTGGCAGAAGTGAGGGACAACAAAGACAAGCTGATTCAATATCTTGAATGACTTGTTTCACTTCATGGTCCATACATTCCTCATCATCTGATTCTATTCGATCTGTATCTAAAAGAGTCCTTAAATTGGCGATTAAGGAGGCTTGATGACTCTCGTAAATCAAGCTGCTACTTTCAATAATGGATTGTGCAATACATTTGGAACTAGTTGCTCTCTCTGTATAGACATTCGAAATTACAGATTCCAGAGAAGAGCCAAAGGTTAATTGTCCCTGCTCAGTGTCCATTCTCTCAAACAGGTCTGTTCCTTTGACAAACACTTGAGGTGGATGCTCTAAATGATACAGTGCAGACGCGAGCAAGTCCTGTGGTGGTAGAGAGGACAACTCTTTTTGAAGCGTCTTTCTTCTCTCATCGAGAGAGTCCTTATCCAGTGGTTTTGCAACCCTTGAACTTGCGTTCCAAGAGTTTACGTTCAATGGATTCGGAGAGGGCTCTAGTATTGCCACGTCGGAACACTTTTTATCAGAAGTGGTCCTTGTCGTTGTATATTTGTTGTTCATGGCCTCGGAACTATCAGAAAGAGGTGGTTGCCCATAAGCTCCTACTGGATCACACAGGATTTGGTCATTCTTTTTCAACACTTGGGTTTCAAGGATCAGTTCTGATGAACTTGATCGAGTGTTGTTGTCCATCGGTTTCTTGATGGAAGAAGGAGAAGGAATGGAAAACAATTTCGGAGGTTGAATAGTGGGTGATGGCGAATGAGCAGAACTGCTCGTAGAAGAATCGCCATCCTGTTGACTCGAGAACGATGATGATAAGCTCATTACTCAAATACTATACAGTTTTGATTTCCAAATTTTTTGATACTTAAAAGGATATTGCCTCAAAAGCAGATATCTGTAAAGACAAATTCGATATCGAATGGATTTGTGATTGTTGGTTGCCCATCTTACATGAGCTTTCAGTGATCAGTTACCGCCAGGCTTTGAGAACAGATCAAAATCCAAATCATGATTTGGAAGTTGTGTAGATTCATGCTTTACACGTACCTCCCATCTATCAGCTGCTTCTACTCTTACAAAATTGTGAGTTTGATAGCAATGAAACCATGATCTGAAATTCAAAAACGACAACAATCCTTTTCACTTCTAAAAATTACTTCCTTCCGTGCCGAGTGTTGAGATGAGACAGAACAAAGCGTGTCAGTCCACGATTGATTGAATCGTTCGTGTGGTGGTGGCTTCTGCGTCCTCGTCTCGCCACAACCGTCTTTTGTCCCTTAATTTTCTTCCTACCATTTATATTCTTTGGCTTGTTCAATGAGTAGGGTTCGATGTCTTGTTTTGAAAAAAAACACAAGCAACAAATACAGCGAACACAACCACGCTCCACAACCAAAACCACCACCACTGTCGAGAAAGAGACTGAGTGTGTGAGCATCAAAGTACCACAGCACTCAACCAAATCTTTGAATCCGCCCTCTCGAGCAAGAACTCGCAACAGAGAGAGAAGCACTCTTTTACGTTCATTGAAACGCTTTTTCTGGAAATCCATCAATAATTGGCGTGTGTGAATTGTGTGATCCAAAGGAATTCTTTGTGTGCACAAGATTCGACTCCAATACTTCTCGTTTTTTGCATTCATCTTTGAGAGATGTTTCCTTCTCACCCACCACCACAACAACAGCATCAGCATCAGCAACCATTACAGCCAACAACTCCTCCCGAGAACCTTTCATCTCATACGAGGAGTCATAATGGTAATCGCAGCGATTCCTTCACTAATCTCCATTCGAATTCTTCGAAAATGAACGAACCATTACAACACAAACAGTTCAAGATGGAGGATGGTCATCAACAACAACCAGCGTATGAGGCAATGAAGAGTCAACATCATGAATCTCAGATGGGTCATAAAAATTCGAGTGCCAGTGTTGGCGACCATCATTCAAACCATTTTCACCTTTCCTCGACTTTACTGCAAGGAGGTAGTGGTGGTGTTACTTCACAGCATGCTTCTTCTGCAATGGTTACACATAGGAATAACACAAAGGTCATGCCGTCGCTGCAAACAACAACACCTTGTTCTACTGCCGAATTCTCAGAAGAGCACCAACAACCCACTTCATGGTCAAAGTCGCCACAGAAAGATGCCTCCACGGACAATAACAACCATCATTATTTCATTTCACAACAGCATCAAACAGGACACACGCGGACACAGCCACAGACACATACCATTTATCATCACCCATTATCGCAACCATCGGCTCGCAATGGTCATGATAGGACCAATTACTCACCTCATCATCCAAGCGGCACATTAGGTAAACGATTGCATCATCATCATCATGGCGGCGCGGAACATCATCCCAACTACAATTCGCTCCAAAATCATCACCACCATCACTCGATGGCAGAACTCGATTTGGCAGGAAAACAACAACAGCACTGGTCCTCGAGTCGCAAGCATGGCGAGTATTATCATCATTCTCACGAACATCATCCTTCGCATGCACATCCTCATGCTTCTCCTCGACTCGGCCACGACCACCATCACCACCAACAGACACTATCCAACGCAACGATTAAGCAATTTCAGCCACATTCTTACCAATTTGGAAAAACCGAAAAATCCTCAATGGCCCAATTCAACTTGTTGGATTCCCAATCCAATAAGCCTCTTCATGCTGCAACAACAGGATCATTCATGGATCATGGCACGCATGTGGTGGCTACCACAACCGCTGGTGTTGCGAGTGTGATTCATAGGTCTGTGATACCATCAGCATGCTCACCAACAACATTGGCCATATATTCATCCTCGTATGTAGATACTAATCCCAATTCTCATGGGGATCTCAACAACAACAACAACCATTCGATACAATCTTCTAATGTTCCACCTCCACTTCCTCCTACTAGTAATAATCATTCTGCTCCCCATACACAACGTGGTTTGAATCAACACTCATCCATCAACACTCATTCCCCTCAAACCCTTACACATTTTAGAGAGCCTCAATACATGATTCCGAACACCCCTCTTGATCATCCTTGCCATAATGGTCAGCATCATCATGGAAACAAACACTTGACACTCTCCAACCACAGCGCTGTGGCCACAACAAACGGAAACATTCCAAGGTCTTTGAGTCAATCCATGAGTGGTTGCTTCTCCTCTGACCTCAAACATTATTCGTATTCCTCTGCCTCTGCCTCACACACAAATTCTCATCATGATTGGACAAACGTACCAGGAGCAGCAGCAGCAGTAGTAGGTTCCTCTCATTCACATCCTCATAACCAGAAACCAGGTTTTAAATGGAGCAGTGTGTTGTACAAGGATCCTCATGACGAAGGACCCATGAAGGAGTTGCATCGAACGTCATCCTCAATGACCTCCATGACTGCATCCTCACTGGAAGAAGAAGAAACATCAGAACATTTGAAGGCGTCTACCTCGTCTTCACCGTCGCTGCCTCCCACAACTGTCTTGAACACTAAAACTGTGATTCATCCACAGCAGCAGCAACTCCAGCAGCAACTCCAGCAGCATCTCCAACAGCATTCTCACTTGCACCTTAACAACAACAACAAAAAACAAACACAGAATACAGACGTATTATTGAGAGCGGCCTCCACGTTGGAAAATCATTCCAGTATGAATGTTTCAAATGTGTTGGTCGGTTATGGTGGTGGTGATCTTCAAGCACCCAGACAGGCATCGGAATTAAGGGATAATAATGAAAGCGATCAATCGAGAGGATTGTTTGTTCTCATGAGCGAAGAGCCTGAAAACCAAATTGCAGTTGAAACCACAACACAGAACAAGATTGCGAATTTCGAGAATGTACATAATTATCAACAGCCAAAGAAGATGAGAAAACTTAGCAATAGTTCTTCTCTTGAAGAAAGAAACAGTCAAAACGGTGAAGCAATTTCAACCTCTTCTGAATCCATCTCGGTATCGCACAAGAAATCATCATCTACTGCCCAAGCATCAAACTCCACAACCTCTAAATCAGCTGTGTCTTCGAGGGCGAAGAGATCTAACAAGGTTGTTTCGTACGCCGAATATGCAGCTGCAGAAGACGAAGATTACGATCTAGACAACAACTCAGAAAAAAACACTAATTCAGAATATTTGAGTGAGAGTAGTGAAGAACTGCGTCACAAGAAGACAAAATCCAAAAAGAAATCTGGAACAAAAAATTCAGATTTTAAATCAACCAAGGTAAGTTTCTTTATGAGTGATCAAAAGCGAATGAAGTTTTGGTTTCCAGCATGAAAAGAAATCATCAAAATCAACTAAGAAGACATCGAATAATGGAAAGGTTTATGACAGTGTCAAAGGAACTACGTGCCATCAATGCAAGCAAAAGACTATGGATCTAAAGAGCTCATGTAAAAGTTGCCATTCATCACCAATGAGCTCTTCCACCAACAGAGGCTCTTTTTGTGAAAGCTGCCTAAAAAATAGATACGGCGAAGAATTGGGTGAGGTTGTAAAAAACCCTGATTGGAAGTGCCCTATTTGCAGAGGTATTTGCAATTGCAGTAATTGCAGAAGAAAGGCAGGAAAGAATCCAATCTCTATCACAACCAGAGAGGCTCTTAAATCTGGCTATCAATCTGTTCATGAAATGCTTGTCGATAGATCTAATGAGTAAGCAGGACACTGTGTAAATAAATGCCAATGCTATTATTTAATTAAATACACAAGTAGGAAACTGAAACTTATTAACACCACAAATCATGAAAAACCCTTTTCAAAAATTGAGTCTGATCGTTGAACATGCTTATTCCTTGAGGGCCTGCTTCTTTGGATCTATACCTAGAATATACTTCTTGAAACCAGGGAATGCCAAACCAAGGCAAACAAATGAAGCAACACAAAGAGCAACTATGTACCTGGAGATTTCCTTGAATGTGGCGCTTCTCTTGTATTCTTCTTCTGTATATCTGGACCTGATATTCCTCCACCTATCTTCGAGGTTGTATCCTGGATCAAAAATGGTTTTAACAGGAGTACCCTCCACAATAGCTCCTTGAGTATTTTGTTCAGATCCAACAACATCTTCTTTGTTAGGTTCAAGTGAGGAAGCTTGTGCTGCCGAAAGAACAGATTTCACATCCTCAATTCCCTTTAATTTGGCCTCTCTCAATAATTTGAGCGTTCTTTGTTGCTGTGATTGCTGCTTCAACTTCTTTTCAACTTGGAAAATTGCTTGAATTGAGCTCTTCAAATTCTCGTCTACACCTTCCTTTCCTAACATTTCTTTCAACAAACTTTTTTGCTTTTCTTGTTCTCTTTGCATTTCTTCAATGTATTCTCTCTCCTCAGGAGACAGTTCTCCCTTGGGTACTTTTCTTTCACCCTCTGCTGGGATGTGGAAGATAGCCTTTTTAATACGTTGATTTTCTCTGATATCATCCAACTGTTCGGGTGTTAGGTTTTTAATGTCAAGTCCTTCTGGAATGGAAATAGGAGGCACAATAACGCTGAATTGTCCACTATTTAAAATATCCTGAACCCTGTTCGATGATCTAACATCAAAGTTTTGTTGTTGCTGTTGCTGTGGTTGTTGTGATTCTGATGATGAAGCCTCTTGTTGTTGTGATGAAATTTTAAAATTTGTTGAAAAGGAGCGAATCATTCCATTATTACAAGAACAACATGATTTTCCCATACAATGAGGACACATAGATTTAATTCTCTTGTTGTTATGGCTGCTCTCCAACAATACAATATTCTTGATTGTGGAGGAGAGTTGTCTTCCGACTGCTCGTGTTTGCTTGTGGAGCATTTTTTCTTTTTTAAGCCTTTGTTTCTGCGAATTATTATTCTGGAAGCAATTCACACTACGTTGTTTAATTTAATAAAATATTGATTTTATTTGAGAGCTCGTTCAAAACCGTGAACAATTCTTGTGAGGTCTGTAATGAGAGTTTCATTCGATTCTGAATTCGTTGTTGCCATATTCAACAAATCGTTAAATTCATAAGTGTCTTTGAGCGTTGCGAAGGACCATTTCTTCTTTGAAAATGATTTTTGAATTTCTTTTGGAATGTTGAGTTTTCTCTTAATGTTCTTTTCAGAGACAAGAGGACTCTTCTTGATATCCACCACAGATGCAAATGCCTCGAATAGACTCTTACAGGTGGCCAAATAACCAGTCTCCAACAAGATGGATTCTACGAATTGATGTGCACTGTGAGTGTCTTGTGGTTGTATCACATTCCAATATGCGATAGTCATGGCAACTTTCTTGATGAATGCTTGAACTCGTTGTTTACCTTCCACAGAAAAGATGTCAATACTGGCATAGAGTCTGTTGAGGAGAGGTTTGGAAGTAATCTTGGAAATACCTCTAACTGTATCCCAAGTAATGTTTGTATCTTCATTGAATTGGAGAGAAACATCAAAGTTGTGGAATATTTCTTCAAAATCATTATTACCTTGATTTGAGAGTGCTGTCTTGTCTTTCAGATTCTTTTTAGCATTGGAAGCGGCACACAAGACTAACTGAATGGTAACCTTACTAGAATGAAATTCCTTCTCGAAATAGGAATGAATGAGTGTTGAAAATGTTCCTAGATTTTGAGTAATCTTATCAATGTCCTTTAACTCGAATTCATTTTCAAATCTTTGGAGTTTGTGTTTGAGAGGAGCGAGATTTTCGACTTCCTCTGGTTTGAGGAAATTGGGTACTTCTGTTGGTGCCAAAATTCGAGTGGTAAGTTGGGGATCAAATTTGGCAAATGTAGTGACGTGTTTTGGTGAAGGTGTTGCTGATGTAGCAATTTCCATCATGATATCATTCAAATCATCAGAAGCATTCTCTGATTTTGTAATTCCACTATCCACAGCAAATAATTTCGTAAGCATTTCCTTGAAGGAAGATTTTCTTGAAATTTTACCAGCTGTTAACTTGCTTGATTGTGAATTTTGAGGTTGTTGAGGTTGTGGTTGTGTTTGCGAAGAAGGTGTAGTGGGGTCGACTGATTCGTCCAAGGATACCAAAATACGTGGAGAATCCATGCTGCCAGTCGCATGTTGATGGTGTTGTTGAGTCGAGATTGATCGAGAAGCTCCAACATCATTTTGTGTTGTTGTTGCTGACAAAGTATTTGAATCCATGGGTTCTTGATCATCATTGTCATCCTCACTCACTTGAATTTGGAGAGATGACATGCTTTGTGATAAAGCATCACACAATTCTGAATCACTCTGGTACAAATCAGACAATGTCTTTGCTTGAGCATTCAAATCTCTCACTTCATCCATCCAATAATTGTACAAGAGAGGTATCACTCGATAGAGGAATAAGTTTCTCTTAAAGTGAATGGCGTTCTCGAGTGGAAGTTTTTGATGAATATCATCCTTTACATTCAACAAATCAAACAAATCATGATGTTGGAAATAGTCTTTGGCCTTTGTGAAATCACCCAATGCGAAAATGCAAGCAAGATTATCATCCAAGAAAGAGGGGTCTGTGAAAAACGAGTCTTCCATAACTTCACCACTCATAGAACTTCCCAACAGTCCTCTAAAGGATGAAGACGTCTCATAGGAGCCACTCATACGAGCATCTTGTTGCTGTTGCTGTTGAGAGGCCAAAGAGGAACCTACTTGTTGTTCCAAACGAGCCTGATCGTCTTTGAGATATTTGAAAATCAATACTTGCTCGGAAGGTTCTACCATGACATAGGCGTCTTTGGAATGAACAGTGATGACATATTCGCTTTGTTCAGGCATTGGATTTGGAGGAGCATTGAATCCAATGGTATGTCTCGAAGTAATACCCCCACTGTAAGGTAAATATTGAGTACCGAATTGAATGGTAAATTTCAATTCTTCTGTTAAGGGTGTTGGTGAGTAGACGGAAACTGGAGTTCCTTCTCTTCCTTCTGCTGGATTAATGGCAGTAAATTTGAAACTAACCAGTCGATATTCGTCTGCACCTTGCAACAGGTTATATAAATCCAATAATTGACGAGTTTTCTCTTCAAATTCTGACAATAATTTCTGTTTGTCCAAATCATTGCCATGCATGATTTTGAGCATTCTCAACGATAACATGTTTTTGAGTTCAGTAGCGATGGCTTTTGGAGCATTTCCGAGAGGAGGAGATATTGGTGGCATCATGTTGATTCCGCTACTGCTGAGACCTGGACTCAATCCTCCTGCTCCTCCATTATTATTCGAATCATCGATAGAAGAGATGGCACTTTGTTTTCTTTTGGTAGGAGCTTTACAAATTTCTTCTCGTTTTGCACATTGGAATTGATTGGTTTCAAGCCAATACAAGAGAGATGGATTTTCCTTCAATTTGGTTGGATATCGATATTTCATCATCTTTTTCGTGAAATCCTTATAGTTGAGAACCAACAATTTTGTAGACAAGACAACACCAAGTCTAAATTTGTTTTTCTGAGGTTTCTTATCACCCTTATCTAATTTTCCAAGTTGCTCATCAATGGTATACGAGTAAATGTTTGGCCTCAATTTGATCTTGTCATGCTTGACCAAACAGAATTGATCTTGTTGTGTATCTTGTCCGTCCTCACCTCTCACATAGACATGAATGTACAATTCCTTTCTCGTAGCTACAGTCGTTGTAGTCGTCGTCGAGTTGTTGTTATGCGTGGACGTCGTGTTACCTCCACTCAAATAATGATCGACCAACGTGGGTGAGAAGGAAATCACGACGGGTCTTGAAATCTTCTTACTTCCATCTTTAATCAAGTTTTCGGCACGTCCTGCAAGGGATCCAATGATGTATTTACAATCTTCCGAGAAGTCCTCTTTCAATGAGAGGGCAATGAGTGGAGGTTCAAAAGAATTGGCCTGAACTTGATCCAAGAGAATTTTTTGACCTGAATTGCCAATATTAGCATTCTCAACAAGTGTGGTTGGAGTATCGAGAATGAGTTGGAATTTGATGGTGAATTTAGAGTATTGATACATGTCAGTGGGTGCGTTCAAAATGTAACCCTTTGGTTTAAAACTAACGACGGTATTTCCTCCAAGCTCACTTGAATAATTTCCACTCAAAAGATCACTTAAATTCATATTTGAGTTGAGTGGATATTCAGAAAAGGTGAAAATATCTTCCGTGGTTGGTGATGATGCGTTAATGACATGCCTGGTCGCTGCAATATGACAACTCAAAAAACAATTAGCTCCTTCGCTTCGACATTTGTACATGAGTAAATCACAATTTACAATTCTAATCTGAAATTCAGGAAGAACGGGATAGGTAGGCTTGTTTTTCTCGGATCCAAGTGCAAAGTGAGAGTTTGCAGGAAGGTTTTTAATGAATTGAATGAAACTGCTACTCGAGGCAGGATTCATTGGTGGATGAGAGGATGTTGTGGAAGAGCTTGTACCGCTGCTACTGCTCACTGAATGTTGTGGACTCATGTGTTGTTGTTGTTGGTGTTGACCCATCATCATCATGCTACCGAAATAGGGTTGGTGTAGAGGATAGGATCCTTGTGAAGAGGAAGAATTGGTAGAGGAGCCAGACGAAGAGGGCATCTTGTTGTTGTTGTGTGGATGGAGTCGTTAATAACTAGAAGTGGAATCTTGGAAGGTCGGCAGGTACCACTCGCAGATATCGAGGAACGCACTGGCAGTTGACTTTTTTTTGATGGTGTGTGATCGCAGATGTTCATAAATCAGTGACAAGCAGCCCAGACGCATTTGTTGGTGTCGAGTCGATTTCAGTGAGCTGTCTGAATGGTAATTCTGTGAACATTTATCCTCAACGTTCGACTTGAAATCATACCTTCAATGTTGCAAACTACCTGTCCCTCTGATTCATGATTAGATGTGTTGTTATGTCTGTGGAATGTCACAGACAAACTGCATGACATTGAGTGGTTCAAGTCTTTTGTTAATTTAATGACAACATATTAGCATGTGACTTTTCACAAGAGACAGTAAAATTCTCCACTTCCCCACTCCAACAAAATACCATTCTGTTCATTATTAGGGTATGTCTCCTATTCTTTTGTTTAATTCAAGAAATCCTTTCTTACAAGAGATTCGTCGTTATGCACTCTACGAATTGTCTCCCCAAGTAGTGAGCCCAAGTCAACAACATGAATTTTTGGATTATCCTTAATCTCTTGTTTGTGATTGATAGAGTTTGAAACAACCAATAAATCCAATTCAGCTGTTTCATTAATTCTCTTCAATGCTGGACCAGTTAATAATGCATGAGTTACGCAAGCATAAACTTTGCTGGCTCCATTTTCTTTAAGGCATTTAGCAGCGGAACAGAGAGTTCCTGCAGTATCTACCAGATCGTCTACAATGATACAATCCCTTCCTTTGACCTCTCCGACCAATTCCATTATCCAGGGCATGTTTGAGCTGTTTACAGCAACATCATTTGAGGCAGTTCCATTGGTGTTAGAAGAAGAGCTTGATTCACTGGTTGTGCTTTGCTTAAAATCATTCCAGCATTCTTGTTCAGATGATTTGAATTTTTTCCATTTGTTCATTACAGCCATTTGGGCGTCACCAAACTGATCAGGGTACTCGGATAGAAGGTATTGCAAGAAACTGTGTTGAACGTATTGAGTATTGAGGTGAAATGAGATCAAAATATTTTTCAACAACTATTTGAAAAATAATCTTACCTATCAGCTCTTGAACCACCTCCAGCATCTGGAGATACAATTGTAATCTTTCTATGCCACAAATCTGGCACTTCCTTGAGAAGAGCAGGGAAAATGACGCTTCTCACACCAATATTGTCCACAGGAATTGCAAAATACCCCTATTGTGTTTAAAGTGTCAACAATAGATAGCATGAAGGTTTAACAATTGTGTCACATCGAAAAGATACGTACTTGAATTTGACCGGCATGCAAATCGACACAAATCACATGGTCCGCACCTGCAGATTCAATTAATTTAGCAACTAGAGCGGCACTAATAGGAACTCTACTCTTAGTCTTTCGGTCTTGTCTGGCATATGCATAATATGTAATAACGACATTGATTCTGTTTACACTAGCTCGTTTAAGTGCATCAATCATTAATAACATTTCCATAAAGTTATCATTGACTGGATCTGACATGGATTGCACAATAAATGTGTCGCTGGATCATTAAAATAATTTATGATTTCAATAGTGATCTAGCTTCGATGGTTCATTAGTGGACCTACCTTCCACGAACATTTTCATTTACTTGAACAAAACATTCTCCTAAAATATTGAGAAAGATTGCAAAGTATGGTGTATATAAAACGGTAGTTAAATAATCGGGATGATGATCATTCATATCCCGGATTTGAAAAAGGTCCATTATTACCCAATGTTTTAACGACCCACACATTGATCATCGTCAACCTACCGTCTGCAAATTTCACGGTCTTTGATTTACAAATCTTGATATCCAGGTATTTGGAGATGTTATTGGCAAGTTCCTCGTTGGCCGAGCAACTGATGAGCTTTAAATCATAACCCATTTTTTTCTTTATGAAACTTTATTTGGCGAATTCATTGGTTCATTCGTTCTTGTGGTGGGTACCAAATTACTACGTGGCATTAATGAACGATGAACAATATTTTATCTGATGTGACACCAACAAAATAATAATAATTTGAATAACTTGGTTTTTTAGTTTTATATCAGCGCTTATGACAAAGCAACATGTTGAGTAGACAACCTCTCCGAATGCATTATTCAATCAAATTGTTGCAAAAATTAAATAACAAATTGACCGAAAAAAATGATGAGCTGTCCATTCTCTGGCAATGCCTCTGCTGGTACGAAGTGTCCTATCACTGGTGCGTCGTCCACAACTGAAGCTACAAACGATTCCTCTATTGATGCTTGTCCAGTTATCCATGCAGTAAATGAAGAAGAAGTGCAACAAGTCAAACAAGAAAAGAAAGAATATGCTTCCGAAGAAGCACAACAAGAAGAGCAAGATGTAACAGAAGATGCTACAGACCATTCTGTAACAAAAGCATTGGAGGCACTGATGAAAGAATCGGACGAAAAATCCGAAATACCAAGTATAGCAGAGTATCAAAAACTGAGAAGAACAACAGCCATCATAACCGGATTTTATGCCAAAGGAACTGAAGCAAAGAGAGAACAATATGAAAATGTGAAAGAAAGTCTCTCGCGTTTGTACGGTGATGAAGAACAATGCAAAGCTCAGATTGCTGCTCTTCAAAAATATGAAAAGTTTAAAGGTATGTTACCAATCTCAAACATAAATAATAATGCAAATGTTTATCGACCTGCGGAAATCAAAAGGTCACCTCAAGTATAAGGAATATATGGAGAATTATCAAGACGAATTGAGTAATTTACAAGCTCAAAAGACAAAGCTCGAAGAAACTGCCAAACATTATTACGACTTGCATATTTGGTCACAAGAAATTGTCAAGATTTGTGAATGGCTTGAACAACATTTGGACTATTATGCTTATAAAACAATTCCTGAGTTACCAATTGACAAAATCTTTAAAGGAGTGACTCCTCAAGCACCTCCAGAACTTAACGATGAGGAAAAATTCAAGTATAGTAAGGGGTTAGATGAAATTTGTCATAATCTGAACGAAAGTAGAGATTTCTTTGAGGCCTCTGTAGATGGTAGACTTAATCGTTATCAAGAAATTGAGCGTGAAATCATTTTATGCCAATTAGAATCTCTAGCTCAATCACCTGCGGAAAACAACCCTCGCCGTGAATATATCGAATCCGAGTTGAGACAAGACTTGGCTCATGTTGAGTCTCAACTTAAGGATAGCGAACGTCCAGAAACTCAAAAGAGAAGACAGTTCATGTTGAAAATGCACAAGGAATTTATTGACGTGTTGAGCTTCTTTAGAGAGACTCTTGGTGTTTTGAATGACAGCAACGTGCCTAAAAAATATGATGAAAGATACACCAGCAAATTCACTCTTCCTGCCGATGAATAAATAAAAGTGTGACTTGACAACAAATTGACATCAACGTTCAATTCAAACATTCACACATTCCCATGATGTTTGTATCAATGAAACCACCACCGACAGTAACAATCTTAACGGCTCGGGAAAGGCGCGCTTTTTTCTGTTTTACAAATTGAAAAAATATCATCATATGAGCCTCAACAGCAGTGCAGCAGGCACCAGCAACTCGTCGATGAAAACATCGGGAGCTCCTTCTTCAGATGCACTATTTGATCAATTGGTAGGTACAATGAAAGAATGTTAACCTAATCTATTGGTAATACAATAGCTGAAGGATCCACAGGTGAGGAGAAGGCTCGCTCTTGGCAAGCACTACGACGCTCTTACACTTTCTGAAGAAGAGGAGCGTGCAATTAAGGAAGATTTAATTTTGGCAAAGAAGTATGAGAATGAGCTCAATGAGCGAGTTACACGGAATATTGAGAACGAGGAACTAAAAAAGTTGTTGATGCAAAACGATGAAGAGTCGAAAGGCTCAACTGATGCAAAGATGAAGGCTTACTACAACAAGTTGCAACAGCTTCAAATACAGGCCGAAGCGAAATTGAAAAAGCAAATTAAGGATGCAGAAGAATATGAAATTGCCAAGCTTGAGGAGGACCAGAAACGATTACTTGAAAGTGAAACAAAGAAACTCTTAGAAGGAAGACAACTGTTTCAACTGTCCGAAGAAAAACAACGAGAAAAAGAGCAATCAGAGATTGAAAAGCGAGAGAAATGGATGGCTAAAGACGATGTAATCAATGATGTTCCAACTTCATCCCCTAAACGAAGAGATCTAGTGAGCCTGCTGCAGTCTACAGCTTCACAAAGTAAGTAGATGCCGAATTGTTGTTTCCTAACGCTCTTCCGGTCACTATTCTCAGAAAGAGTAATTCTTCTTATGACTGTGGATATCGGAGATGGTCGCTCTGACACTATCACAGTTAAGGAAGATGACTCTTATTTGGACCTTGCTAAAAAGTTCCAAGAAAAACACAATTTAATTCCTGCTATTATCGAACCATTAGCGGAACACATTAAGTTTAATGTGGAGAAGGTACTAAAGGAAAGAACGATGGACATGTTCAAAATGGCTCAATCCACCCACGGATCTAGCATGTACAATAGAAGCCCTGCTCTATCAAAACCACACGATACAAAGGTAAGCGCAACAGAGAACAAATATTATTTTTAATTTAACGCTCCTTTAATTATTTTAGGTTGACAAATATGACAGTTTGCAACAACTAGATCAGAAAACAAAGAACAAGAGTTCTACTCCAGTAAGCTCAAAGAACAGCAAGGTGTGTATTAAGTGAATAAAATGTTATTAGTCTAACCCTTATTAATTTTATAGCCAGTACATGAAAGATTACATGAAAGTGCTAAATATAAAGAAGCTAGAATATTAAGGATAAAGATGGAATTAACAAAGAATGAACTAGAGAAAGTGATGGAGACAAAAGTTCCAATGTCGGAAACAAGTCGAAAAATAGTAGAAGAAATTGAAAGGAGCAGGGCAAAAGACAAATTTCAAAATTATGGAGAGTTTTTATATAATGAAGGAAAGGCAATGATTCGAAAACAGCAATTAGAAAAAGAGAGAGTTCAAAGATTGGAGGATGCAAAGATGGAAGTTTTCACATTTAAGCCACAAATTAATACAAACTTTAAAATTGAGAGGCCAAACAATGCGTACATGAACACGTTTAAACACAATGTGATGATGTATGCAGAAGAAGAGGAAAGAAAATGTCCTTTTAAGCCAAAGATTAATCAAAAATCTGCTTTGATGGCTGTGCAAAAGAAAAACGAAGAGTTTTTATCAGATACAGGAACAACTGATCCCTTTGAATCTTTGTTCAAAGACGCAGAAAAAAGAAGAGCCAAGTTAGAGCAAAAACAAAGCGAGGTGGTCAGGCAACAATTGATGCCATCAACAGGAGCAGCAAAGCCCTCACAAGAACACATTGAAAGACTTGTAAATAGCCGAAAGGAAGCAGAAAAAAATATCATGCAACTAAGGATGCAACTGAATTCCAACTTTGATGCAGAAACTGGAAGGGAGCTGTTTAAGCCTATAACCACCAGCAAACGACCAAAGTCAGCGGGGCATGCAAGACAAACTTCTTCCGTTTTTGAAGATCTCTACAATAAGACGTTTGAGACAGCAAAAAACGCCATTGCAAAAGAATATTACAAAGAGGTTGACAAGCTTGCCAACACCAAACACGTAAATGAAGCAAGCAGAAAGATTGCTGAGACGGCCAAAGTCAAAAAGATTTTCAAGCTCTTTACATACCTGGATAGCAACAACGATGGATATTTGAACATTGAAACTGACATTTTAGGATCAAGTGAAGATCGTTTCCAAATCATAGACAAGCATTTGCAAGAAATATTATTGGACGTGTTTGAACAATTCGAAATTGATTCAAATATTGGTTTTGAAGAATTCGCTGCAGCAGTTCTTCAGAGAATGGAAAAAAGCGATGCTAAAGCAATGTTGTTATCCTCAACGAAGGGCCCAGTCCAGAAAGTTTCAGGAATTGACTCACCAATCATCCAATCCTCTCCTGAATCCGATGACGGTGAATGTAGCTTTAGACCAAAAACAAACAGAAAGAGTGATGAATTGGTGTGGGCAAGACGTTCGACGGGTCAAGATTTATTCGAAATACTCTACAAGGAAAAAGATACAAAGGAGCAAAACCTCTCTAGACTCAAACAAGCTTATTCAGAGGATGAAATGAGAGAATGTTCTTTTAAACCTCACACAACCAATCCTACTGTGAGCGGATTTTCTGAGAATACTATTCAGCGACTTTACAGCCGATCTCCCAAAAAAAAGAAACATTCATATCCCTCCTTAGAAGAACGTGAGCTAGAAGAATGTACATTCTGGCCTAAAGTTAACAATCAAACTCCAGAGAGATTTTTGAAAAGTGTTGAAGGTCGACCAACACCTACAAACATCAAAACCAACAAGAGCTATAGCGAGTTATTCATGTCTTCAGAAGCAATTCCAAGTAATGGTACCCTAAAAAAAACGAGAAGTATTACGCCACCATCCACGAGACATGTCACAACCAAAACACTATCTCCAACTAAGGCAAGTCAGAGCAGAAATACCAGAGCCTCACTAAGTCTCCTAAGATAATAAATTAATTGTCATTTAGTCCAAAAACTCATCAAGCCTGTTGTGGTATTCGTCAATGACACTTCCATTGTGACCCGCTGAAAATCCGTGTGGCATAAAACGAATATGTTGTTGTGAATCTTGCAAACTGTCATGATTGCTTTGTCCTAACGTGGAAAATGTGTAATGGTCAACACCTGCACTATTTGGAGTATCTTGTTGAGCGATAATTCTCAATCCGTTGTCAGCATTGCCCCCGCTGCTTGCATAAGAGGCATAAAGAGGTTGATCACCAACAGCTCCGCTGGTAAAATAGTTTGGAACGAGTAACGTTGGTCCCATGTTGCCATAACCAGTATTAAAATGAGCTCTGTCTTCTTCGTCAGAATCCTCCTCAACTTCATAAGGGGCATCCATGTGATAGTAATAGACAGATTTTGGAACAAGATGTGAATGTTCTGCTGTGGGTGAGTCTGCCTTAATAGTGCCTTCAGTGTAAATGACTCCAAATTTAATTTCATCCAATGTTTCAACATTTAAATGATTCTTGTCTCGATCAGGAGAAATTTGGCGATGTCTGTTTTGATAGTCATTGTTACCACTGTCGGCACTCAGAAGAGATGTTTTAGAGGCTGCCTTTTTCATATTTTTCTTTCTTGGGCAGAAAAATAGTCGATATTTTCCAAAGAAGTGATGTCCATAGAATATCATGTTCAGGAAACCTTGAAGTGGATTGGTAATGGCCTGAACAAGATCCAACCAAAATATTCCAGAAATCATACTTGCTGATGTTGTTTGAGCCACAACAATGGATTCTTTTAGTGAACAACAAGAATGCATTGAACAGATCATAAATGACTAAAATGATCGATTCTAAACATTTCTCACTTACCAATGAGTCGATTAATAAAGGCTGGAATCCATGTAATGACAAATGCCAACAATATCAAGACAAAGTTGATAATTGTCTTTTTCCCCAAATGTTGATATTGGTCATCTAGTGAGAGAATTTCATAGTTGCTTTTCTTTCTTCTGTGCATTCTAAAGCAAATACAAAGTCCTAAAAAGAACACAGCACACAACACCACACAAATGTACACCAATAAAAATGTGAAAAATCTAAAATTAAGAAATGGAGATCTATCGTGATGTAACCCTATCCAACACCATTGCTTTTAAAATACAGAATTAATTAGTATCTTACGAGCAAGAACGTACCTGTAAATTGTCTACTCTGTTAAACTGATCTGTAAATAAAACCACAATGGTGTAAACAAGTGGGAAAATCCAGCATATGATATGAAACGCAATTTCTAGTAAAATTTTCCTCCGTTTGTGACGTTCTTCCGAAAAGTGAGGTGTGACGCTCAAAAACAGTTGTAAACAAATGCATGTGCTCCATAGTACTGAGCTTACTTCAAAACATGTCATTAAAAAACCTTGCAAAGTGCAACACCATTCATACTCTAAACTAATTCCAAATAACGATATTGCGTAGCTTAAGCTTGCAAATAAATCACTGATGGAAAGGTACAAAACTAATCTATGATTCATTGTCGATAATGAAAAATCCTCACCGTATCGTGTCCTACTTTTCCTATTTCTCTTTTTACACGAGACTATTTTGAATAAAATAGTACTAAATATAATAAATAGAGATCCTAATATTGAAATAATGGCACTCGATCCTGTGACATATCGCAAAACATGTTGTTCCACAGACACCACTGCCGTTTCATTCCACGATTGTGAATCATTGTTATTTACAATTTGAGGTATAGTATTCAGCATTAGTTGTGAAGATAAATTGATCCATAATTTGCCATACTTTTCGCTCATACTATCTTGAGTGACCATCGGAGAAGGTTTGGTCGTTGAGATTGTTGTTTAATATAGAATTGAGATTGTTGTGCAATGATAATCACAGAGAGATGTTGGGCCCAACACACAGATAAATCCAAAACAGTTGTTGTTGTGGAACTATGTCGTTAGCAATGTTTCAGTTTAAACCAAAATTCGTTCCCGTGATGATGAAAAATATTAACAAGTTGATGATATTGTTTGAAGGCTTTTATCCAGCAATTGATGCCGAATCTTGTTGCTCTTCTCGGATTTTGAGTCAATGATTGAAGTTTTAGTGAAATTCTGTGTGAGTTGGTTTGGAAACTCGCAAAAGGTAGGACCTGAAGCACGTACAATTTTTTCAAACAATCTCGAACAGTTTCGCTGTTATTGTAAAAAAACCTCCACAGCAGGCTTCCAGTTAATATTTGGAAAGGACGGGAGAGTTCATCCGTGTGCTAGTAGAGATCTCAAGTGGTGTGGAAGGACCATAGAAACTCCTTTGTACTGTAGTTCTAGTTTTTGGTCTTTTCTTTGAGAATTTTGATAATTCTTTAAGGAAAAATAAGAAAAATGGACGATTTGATTCAGATCAAGTGTGTGGTGGTTGGGGACGGAGCAGTTGGAAAAGTAAGTGTTCGTTGTACCATCTCATGTATCTCATGAGGGAGCATGTGTCGTGATATTCTTGATTCAGACTTGCATGCTTATCTCATATGTTGAAGATAAATATTCGGATAAATATATTCCAACAGTATTTGGTAGGCTTCATTCTTTTCTGAGATGATTTTTAATATTTGGCTCAATGATGAAACAACGAACACCTTTCTCACGCAAAGAAAATCACTCTGCTAATGTTAGGCATAAGGATAAAACTGTAAACTTAACGCTTTGGGATACGGCTGGGCAGGAGGTAAGTCTTATTGATGAAATATTTTCGTTCGGATTACTATTAAGGATGTCATTCAGGACTATGATAAATTACGTCCTTTGAGTTATCCCGATACAAACGTGAGTATTCATTATATTAGGCAAACCAAACATGTATTGATCTTCTACTAGGTGTTTGTAATCGCTTTCTCTGTTGTTAGTAGAACATCATTGGAAAATGCACAGGGCAAGTGGTATCCAGAGATTTCATTGCATTCGCCAAACACTCCGTTTGTTCTTGTGGGTACAAAAATTGACCTCCGTGATGATATGAAAGAAGTTGAAAAGCTTAAAAGAGAGGGTACGGAACCAATAACTAGGAAAGAAGGAGAAGAAATGGCCAAGAAAATGAAAGCATATGACTTTTGTGAGTGCAGTGCTAAAAACAAAACTGGATTGAAAGAAGTTTTTGCAACAGTCATCGAGGCATATATTAATCCAAAAAAGACCAAGGAAGGAGGTTCACGATCTAGTTGTCAGCTCATCTAACACATTTCGAAATGGCTGCAATCACAACGTGTCTGCGTGTAATTTGTACATAAATATTGCTTCTTTTACTTTTTTTGAATTTTAAACAACACCACTGGCACGGCATTGATTTCGGCTGTCACAAAAGCATCAATTCCAAGAACTGTGAGAGCTCCACGAACAACGCCACAGGCACACACAACATAATCTTTGGCAGCATTGTTCGTTTCATCGGAATTTGATGTTGCAAATCGTGTCAAAAAAAGAAACCGATTATCATTGAGCACATATGTTCCTCTATGATTTGTTTTCAAGTTATCTATCGGCTTTCTAAATACTTCCAACCAAAATTCTTTGCAAATAAATTTAATAATATCGAGATCGTCAGCGAATCGGGTTGTTCTATCTTTTGTCAATTTTTCAGCAATTCGTAATCCGACGTTATAACCCATTCTTTCAACTACAGAATAAGCCTTTTCTTTTGAATTTTGACCCAGATCATTCATGACATAATCAACCATCTCCATGTGAAGAAATTCAAAAAGGGAGAGAGCAGCAGTTTTCGTGGATGATTTTTGACTCATTTTTTTAAACTTGACAAGGCAATTTTGGGGTTTGTTGTTAGTGACTTTATTTTTCAAGAGTGGCGGAAGATTTGAAATAATGCTGCCATGACAATGGGATGAGTACATCGGTGGTTGGCTCTGATGTGTTTTTCACATCGTTTGGTGTGAACAGAAATGGAAGTGGAGTAGTGCTTTCAAGTTTTTCCTTAGTGTTCGTGGTTGACCTGCACTCGAACCATACCTCAGAAATGGACTGCATTGCAAACCACATGCAATCATTTTGATCATTTTGAGCATAATCCAACATCAAGTTCTAGAAATGTAACAAAATTAAAGCTTACCTCCTTTTTTTCAGGTTTTGGATAAATGAAATGATTAGGGGTTTCAATAATGGTAATGGGTTGCACTTTCACGGAATGATCACTTGCAAGACGTGAACAGAAGCACAGCATTACTTTGATGGGTACATCGGACGGAATACTATCAATGTACAACATGTAATAATCATGGTGTTTGGTATCGATGTTCATAATAACTCGTTCCACCTGAGACACTTGTCTTTCAATTTTCACATGACCCTTAATTAATAAATTTCCATGTAAATGTAAATCTCCTTTAAAGTGGTTTGTTTGATGATATTCTGGTTCTTCATTCAACTGCTGCAGTTGATATTTCTTCTCTAAATTTAACAAGTCTTGTGTGTTAATGTTATACACCTCTTGCAATGCCTCATTGTATAATTTTTCATTGCTTTCTTTTGTTTTAGCCTCTTCTTCAGATATGTCTGAAGGAGTAGCTGCAATAGATTGAATTTCTGATTCAATAATAAAAACAGTTTTTGGACCATGTTTTGTTGGATATTCTATGAGATACACAATCTCAATATTATCACCTTCGTTCGTTGAAGAGAGAGAATCATAAGGGCTTCCGTTAATGTACTTTTTGCATACTCCATACTGTAATATTTTGACGAGACACTTATTTTGTTGCCATAAAATGTCTGAATGTTCTGACGTATAAAAATTGTGGTTCGTGATATATCCTTCATCTCCAATTTTGTATTTGTGTAGATTACTGTGAGTTAATATTTTCACTGTCTTTTTTTCATGCATTGGGAAAACTTGTTGATTTTTTAGTTCATAGACGTAAGAATACCGTTTCTATTATACATCAAATGTACCAAAATAATGCATCACAAAAACACGTATATGAGAATAGCACAATACTAACCTTTTGTTCGCTCATTAAACCATTAATAAATTCCAGTAATAGCGATCCTACATTTAAATATCGTTGCTCACTTTCATTTGAAATTTTTCCAAATAAATCTCTATGCTTGTCAACAGCAGAATTATGAGCTAGGAGACAAAGTAATTTGAGACCAGGAGATAAAAACGGTACATGTATTGGATACCAGAGTAGAGTACCTTTACCGTTCGTACGAACATCATGGTAAATCAGAGGTAAATCGCCTTGAAGTAAATTACTAACAATTATCATGAACAGCAACATGAAAAGGTGATCGCAAAGCCCTCGTAAACCTACCTAGGAAGATTTGGAGAAATAGTGGTCTTGTTCACCGAGAATGGAAAGGTAAATTTCACTTCAGAACTACCTAAAATCGTAGATGAACTGTTAGTTGAACCGTGGGGTGATTGTGGTGAAGAATAATGAACAACAGCTTGAACGTCCAGCGTTCCGCCAATAATGAATTTTCCTTGATATTCATTGGCATTCGATGACATAATTTGGTAATGTTGATACAAGTATTTCTCTGGATTTTCACATAAAAATTGAAGAGGAATAAATATTTCATTTCCTCGACCTACAGATGTGGTTTGTATAATTAAAATGGTCAGAAAATTCACAAAAATCAATAATTTCAATTTGGTAGTATCGTGTGTACTTACAATCAACGTTTCCAAAATGAACAAAAGGCTTCACAGATTTTTCAGTTAGAAATGGTAAATTTGTGGATGATATTAGCGGATCTGTTAAAACTGCAGCTGATAAATAAATGGATGAAAAAGAAATTGCTAAATGATGAATGTTTCCGTCTTCGATTGGACTAGGCTCTCTATTTACATTAAAAACAACGCTGTTCTTCGCCTCAAATGAGTTCAAATGAAAACTGAGTCTATTGAACGGTCTTGATACAACCAATTTCACTAAAAATTGATGATAAATTGGTTCATATCTTTCATTCAATGAAACAGTCTGAGAATTGAAATTTGTTTCCACACCCACAGAAAGTACAGACTGAGGTAAATGTGACTTGTTTCCGATAAAGGCGCAAGACGGACAATATGCAATTTGCTCGCTTGTAATTTTTGACCTGAGTGCTGAATTTTGAATATTATCGTTATTATTTTGTGGTTGTGGTTGCTCGTGAGTGTGGTTGGAGGGCAGGCTGTGATTTGTATTTGATGATGATGCAGGTGAAATTCCCGATGAAGTGTGTTTTTGTGAGGGAGATTTTCGCTTCTTCTTTTGAGGTACATGGCCAGGTGATGGATTGGCCTGAAATACCTTCTGTCCACTTGCTTTTAAATCGTTTGGAGAAATGACTGTAGCATTTGCCATTACCACACTATGAATAGAGCCTCCGACGTTTACATTTCTATTGGGCTGTATCGAAGCAATTGGTTGTTGATTACGATTTGAGTTATAGTTATTTTCCTCGTCTGTTAGAGAATTTGAAGAGCCTACTGATGATGATGAAGAGAGGGACGACGAAGAAGCGGAATGTCTTCTCTTGAGGTTCTTGTTTAGCATGAATTTTTTAAGTCGTTGGTCCAGAATCGAAATATGGTCCAGAGATTCCATACTTTCAAGGTTTGTTCGTGTGTTGAGGATGATTCAACATTGTTTATATCGATGTAATGAAGATTTGCACACCCAAGTATGTTGTCATCAGGTCGACACTTGTCGTTCTAACTCTGCCAACTGGTTCATCACCCTCACACCCGTCCTTGTCTTCTCAGCCATAATCCAAAAAAATGTCCAGCAACAGTGCTCTCAACGTTTCGAACAGTGTCGATGAAATTTCTGATACCGATTCATCATCGGTTGCTGATGAACAAGCTCCAAGAGAATTAACAAAGGAAGAAGAACAAAGTGAAATGTTTAAAGGACAATCCGAAGATGATATCGAAATATTAAATGAAAACACAAAGAGCATGTTGATGCAATTTATGGGGCAATTGAAAATTGGTATGGATTTGACAAAGATCCCCATTCCTTGCGATTTTCTTGAACCTCGCTCTTTGTTGGAAAAGTTGACTGATTTCAATACACATGCTCATCTTCTCACGACGTAAGTATTTTACTGCGATGATGATTACAAATTCGAAAACTTGTGTGTACAAATCTTCATTATATCGATATAAACAATGTTGAATCATCCTCATCACACGTGTGGAATTATTTGTCGTTAAACGGATGATGAAATGATGGCATTGATGCCATCCTGCTTGGTAACAACAACCATCTCGCAACAACATCAACAACCATAAAACGGTCTTTTCTATTGGACAACACGACGACAATAACACCAACAACAATGATTGGTATATACCATCATATTCTTGTTCTCTAACACATCAACAGTGCTATGGACCATGATGATCCAATTCAAAGAATGGTAAATATTGTGAGATGGTATCTCTCTGGATGGCATGTAAAACCAAAGGGTGTCAAAAAGCCCTACAACCCAGTTCTTGGAGAAGTATTCCGTTGCAATTATGAACTCAAGTCTGATGGCCTCATGACCTGTATTGGTGAACAAGTATCTCACCACCCTCCAAAGAGCGCGATTTATGCTGAATGTAAGCAAAAAAAACTCGTTCTTGAAGGATGGTATTATCCAAGATCCAAGTTTTTAGGAAACTCAGCAGCATCAATCAGTGAAGGAATATTGAAAATTAGTTTTGGAAGTCGTGACAATGAAGTTTATACTGCCACTTGGCCAAGCGTGTACGCAAGAGGAGTCATCTTTGGAAAACTTATCATGGAAATGGCTGGAAAGACCAAAATTGAATGCAAGAAAACAAATATGTTGGCAGAAATTGAATTTAAGGCCAAGCCATTCTTTGGAGGAGAATATAACGTTGTTTCAGCAAAGATAAAACACAAAAAGAAGACACTGTATCAAATTCGTGGAAAATGGAATGACAAGCTCTATATCAAGGGAAAGGTTAGTAGTTTATTTTCAACAAATGTAATAACCATGCATTAATTGGCTAACAACTTAATAGGATTCTGACAAGGAGACTGAATCACTCTTCTTCGAAGTTAAAGCAGCTGAGGTCGTACCAAAGCACGTTCCACCATTGGAGGTTCAAAGAGACAATGAATCGAGAAAGTTGTGGCTTAATTTGACAAAGGCTATCAAACAAAACGATGTGCAACTTGCTGCTATTGAAAAAGATAAGGTAGAAACCACACAAAGAAATCAAAAGAAGGAACGTGAGAAGAGTGGTGAAGTCCATAAACCAAAACTTTTCAAGCCTGGTCCAGAAGATTTTTGGACATTTATTGGATTTGAGTATGTATTATTACTTGAGTTTATGAATTTACTTACCTTATTAGCTCTGACGAATGGAAGGAACTTCAACAAAAGAATTTAGAGGAAGAATTATTGAAAAAGTATGGTGTCAAACCACAACAATAATCATCTATGCAACTACTACTAGCGTATAATCATTTACAAGTTCCTTAACACCGCATGTACCTCCTATTGCAATATATAACCACCACCAATATGTATTCTTTCTTTGCTTTCTGTGAAAATAAATTATTAAACTCAAATTGAGAGTTGAATTTTGACACGATAAAACTCTCGAGCTGTTTCTCGAATTGTTTTAAACCCCGAAAGTGGAAATGTTACCAAATCCATGAACTTCCGATAACCCAGACCTAAAAAGCCGCAATTTTTCTGAACGTCATGCCAAATGTTGATGTTGTTTTTCGAGATGCATCAAAACACGCAACGATGCCTTGCTCAGACCCTTATTGATTGAGTACAGCACCGTCGAACAAATAACCAACCACACTGATTATTTTTATTATTATCAAAAAAAATGAAAAGAGTTGTCAAATCAGCTTGCTCGAAGAAATTACAATCATCATCGTGCAGAAATATTAATCCAATTACCAACCAAACAAGGTCCTTCAGTACAACACAAACTACTCAGAAAAGAACAAAGGCTCCTTTCTCGAGAGTTGAAAAGGGAGAATATGATATTTCCAATCTCGTAAAACGTTTGGATATTGTCAAGCAGAGATTGAATCGACCATTGACTCTCTCTGAGAAGATTTTGTATGGACATTTGGATGATCCTGCAAACCAAGAAATTGTTCGTGGAAAGAGTTATTTAAAACTCCGTCCAGATAGAGTGGTAAGTACTCTTGGTAAGATTACATTTTTGGAATTTCTTAATACGGACTGTCATGATTTGGTTTTTCATGAATACAACACTGCTCTCATAACCACCGTTTGGCTCTCTCATTCCTCCTATTCATCCTTGTTATCATTGTTCTCATTGAATGTTTCCTATTAACCTATTCTTTGTCGTATTATTCATAACGTTCTAAAATACAATGTCTACTCTCATGAATGGTTTTGATTCAACATTCATTAGGCCATGCAAGATGCCACTGCTCAAATGGCCATGCTTCAATTTATGAGTTCGGGAATTCCCGTGGTTCAAGTACCAACAACCATTCACTGCGACCACTTGATTCAAGCTGAAGAGGGAGCAAACAAGGATTTACAAAAAGCCATTGATGTTAACAAGGAAGTTTATAACTTTTTGTCAACAGCTGCAGCCAAGCATGGAATTGGCTTCTGGAAACCAGGTTCTGGTATTATTCACCAAATTGTTTTGGAAAACTATGCCTTCCCTGGAGGTTTAATGATTGGTACTGACTCACACACACCAAATGCTGGTGGTCTAGGAATGCTTGCAATCGGAGTTGGTGGTGCTGATGCAGTGGACGTAATGGCCGGAATTCCTTGGGAATTGAAGACACCAAAGGTGATTGGTGTTCATTTGACTGGAAAGTTAAACGGTTGGACAGCACCAAAGGATGTTATTTTGAAAGTTGCTGACATTTTAACAGTTAAGGGTGGTACTGGTGCTATTGTTGAATACTTTGGTCCTGGTGTTGAGTCTCTTTCTTGTACAGGTATGGCCACTATTTGTAATATGGTAAGTATACGATTTGTAGTACCATGACTGGAAGGAAAGGGATAATAATATTATTTTATCGATTTACATCTTCAGGGTGCTGAAATTGGAGCTACTACAAGTGTATTCCCATATACCAAAGCCATGGAAAGATATTTGATTTCAACAAAGAGATCTGAAATGGCTGAAGTTGTGAATGACCATAAGGATATTTTCACTTCTGATAAGAATGCTGAATATGACCAAATTATTGAAATTAACTTGGATACATTGGAGCCACACATTAACGGACCATTCACACCTGACCTTGGAACTCCCTTGTCCAAGTTTTCTGAAAGAGTTCAAAAGGAAGGTTGGCCAGAAAAGTTGAGCGTAGGATTAATTGGTTCATGCACAAACTCATCCTATGAGGATATGACTCGTGCAGCAGATGTCTGCAAGCAAGCTGCTGAACATGGCGTGAAGACCAAGTCATTCTTCTTGATTACACCAGGTTCTGAACAAGTTAGAGCTACTATTGAACGTGATGGAATTTTGAAAAATTTGGAATCTGCTGGAGGTCAAGTTTTAGCAAATGCTTGTGGACCTTGTATTGGTCAATGGGAAAGAAAGGACGTCAAGAAGGGTGAAGCCAACTCTATTATTACATCGTATAACAGAAATTTCACTGCTCGTAACGATGGTAACTCTGCTACACATGCTTTTGTTGCATCACCTGAAATTGTGACTGCTCTAACTATTGCTGGTTCATTGAAATTTAACCCAATGAAAGACTCTTTGGTTGGTTCTGATGGTAAGGAGTTCAAACTCTCTCCTCCAAGAGGTGAGGAGTTACCATCCAAAGGTTTTGATCCTGGTCAAAATACTTTCCAAGCTCCTCCTGCAGATGGATCAAACATCAAGGTTGAAGTTTCTCCAACAAGCGACAGACTTCAATTGTTGGCTCCATTCTCTCGATGGGATGGTAAAGATTACACAGACTGTTCAGTCCTCATTAAGGTTCTAGGTAAATGTACAACTGATCATATCAGTATGGCTGGATCATGGTTGAAGTATAGAGGTCACTTGGATAATATTTCAAACAATTTATTGATTGGTGCTATCAATTCTGAAAATGGAAAGGCCAACTCTATCAAGAATCAATTGACTGGTGAATACCAAGGTGTTCCAGATGTTGCTCGTCACTATAAGGCAAACAATGTTAAATGGGTTGTTATCGGTGATGAAAACTATGGTGAAGGAAGCTCTAGAGAACATGCTGCTTTGGAACCTCGTTTCCTTGGCGGTGTTGCTATCATTACTCGTTCATTTGCTCGTATTCACGAAACCAACCTCAAGAAGCAAGGAATGTTGCCATTAACTTTCAAGGATCCAAAGGACTACGACAAGATTGATCCAAGTGATAAATTGACATTACACATCAGCGGAGATCAATTCCAAGTCGGTAAACCAGTCAGAATGACAGTCAAGAAACAAGATGGCAAGACCTTTGATGTTGAACTCAACCACACATTCAGTGACTTGCAAATTGAATGGTTCAAGGCAGGATCTGCTTTGAATTATATCAAGGACCAATTGTCAAAACAATCAAAACAATAATTGGGTCAATACTATTATGATGATTCTGGCAAATTCTACAAAACAACAATAAATCCTTATTTATTTCAATCCACTTCTTTGTGAAATTAGATAATTATGGCGAGCAAGCTTTTTATGCTTATTTCGTTACAAATGTTTAAGGGTGGCTTGTTGCTTTTTGTTTTGAGCAATAACAGCTTGAGAATTAAAAAGATCAGCAATTTGCTCCGATGTTGTTGCTTGTTCAGGCTTTTTGTCTTCTCTTGCACGTATAAAACGAGGAAATCTGAGAGCAATTCCTTTTGATTCATCTACGAGGCCAACAGCAGCCATGTGGGCAGGAGAAATTGTCAAGTCGGCAGCCTTGATTTCCCAAACCACTTGTGCGTCAAACCATACATCAGGTCGTTGGCTTTCCTTCCAAGCGTAGTATGGTCTAGGACTTGGAATGATATGTCGATCCATTGTGTCCGTGCATTGTTTAAGCATTTCATCTGAAAAACCAGTTCCAATCTTGCATATAGATTGATACTGGTCAGAGTCAGGATCATAACAAGCCAACAAAAATCCACCATAGACACCCGTTCTTTTTCCTTTTCCCTTATAACCCCCAATCACTACTAAATCAACCGAATCTCCAAGACCTTCAATGTAATCCTTCTTGAGTTTGAGCCAGTTGAAAGATCTTTTCGATGGTTCATAAGTTGCATCTTCTGTGAGTGTTTTCACCATCAAACCTTCACAGTTACCCTTTATGGATTCATCCAAGAATATTTGAATATCATTAGGATCTGAAGTGTCTCTACTTGAGGCAAATTGAAACTTGTCGTCTGTTACTGTGAAATTTTCATGAAGAGCTTGTCTTCGTTCTTTGAGTGTCTTCTTTAAATAGGATTCTCCATTGAGATATAATAAATCGAATGCAAACAAGCATACTTGTACTTTGATGTCATTGATATTAATGTTCTTTCTTCCTCTTGTGCTGAGAACTTGGAAAGGTTTGATCTTCTTTTCAACTCGATCATAGGCAACAACTTCACAGTCAATGATAAAGCTAGTAACGGTTTCTTTGATAACATGGGGCATTAATTGGATTAAGTCTGGATATTTGGCAGTATGATTTTCCATGTTTCTGCTATAAATTTTGATGGTCTTGTCTGGCAACATGTGAATTTGTGCTCTCTCTCCATCATATTTAAATTCACAGGTAAATTCTTTATCTCCAAATCTGTCAAACAGTTCTTGAACTCCTTTTGCACTCTTTGCCAACATGGGTCGAACAGGAAATCCTGGTTTGAGATGACAAATTTCTGGTAATTTTTCAAAACCATGTTCTAACATGGCAGGAATAATGTCATCATAGCTTGGTATTTCACTATATACAGATTTAAGAGTTTCTTTTGCAAATTTCAAGTCATTTTCATCCAGAGACTTTTTTGATTTTTTGCTAAGAAGAACGGCATGTGCAAGAGCAATCAACACAGTTTCCTCTCCCAAACCAATTCTCAATTTTCCTTGTAGTGATCTAATGATAAACATTGGTTCAACATCTACTGCTGAGACCAGTAAAAGTTTGATTTTTTCTACTTTGGTGTTCATGCTCTATACGAGAGAGAGTATTGAGACATTGTGTCAATCACATGTTCTCACTCACGAAATGGGTGAAAAAACATTCAAAACATACCTTTTTACCCTCTGTGGTTGCAATGAACTTGAATGAATCAAAAACACTCTTAATCGTCAATGATTTAGGTTTGAACATTGTTTTCTGAGTACTTCTTGCAGCATTTGCTACCAATCCTAAATCTCCCTCCTTTGCACTCAACTCTTTAATTTTCTTCAATGATTTTCCAGTGGCTTCAGCCAACGCCTTCTGAATCAAACTTTCTCCCACACCCAGTTCAATACCTAAATGAGCAGGTGCTAATTTGTTAATGGAAAGATAAACAGCATAGAGTAGGTCATTGGGTGAAACAGCAATTATACTTCTAAAACAATTGCATAACAATTCTGTCTTCTTAATGGAGGAACCAATTTTAGAGATTTGATCCAAAGTTTTTGCAAGAAATAAATATGGAGTACTAATTACAAATGTTTTTTCATCATCATATTATCATTCTTCTTGAAATAGTTCAAAAGAAATACTCTACCTTGTTCCTGATTTCCAAGTTGCATTTGCAATGGGATCATAGGAATGATATTCAAAGTTTGGAGCTTTAGAATTTTTCTTTGAACTTGAGGCTTTGAAGGATGATGAGGTTGTTGTAGCATCCATGTCCTCACCTGTTTCTTCTATTTCATCTTCCTCGTCTTCTTCTTCTTCGGAGGAATAATGTGCTACTACATCTTCTTCTTCATTTGCTTTTTCCTCAGCTATTTGTTCATGATCTTCTTCCTCTTGAGCTTCCTCATCATGATGATCATCGGTTTCATCATCCACCACAAGTTTTCGTTTTTTTACTTCTTGAATGACGGTTGTTGATTTACTTTCTATGGAAGAAAGAGTGGTATTATTATTATTACTTGTTGGAGTGCTAGAACTCTCGGTTTTGATGCAAGCGACCTCCGAAGAAGCTTCTTCCGATCGTGTTGATGATGGGTTTCTTCTTCTTTTCTCTTTCTCTTTTCTCCTTGCTCTTTCTTGACTGTGGTTGCTTTCTTTCCTCCCATAAACGCACTTTAACGATTTCATGATGCCAAAGTTCAAACATTAAACACGTACGTCAACGATGATTGTTTCATTTTCGAACGAATTTTTTTAATTTGTGTGAAATCACTCATGGCGCCAAAACGTTTCCAATGCATGATGGAACTATCAGTGTGTGCATTCAGGAATCTTCTTCTGCCTCTTCTTCATCTCGAGCTTCTGCCGTTGGCTCTTCGTCTGCCATTGCTGTAAGCTCGGAAATCACAGTTTCTAAATCTGTGATCGAACGAATTCCCAGTGCTAACTTTCCATTGACTACTTCAAGCCAACCTTCTTCTATGAAGGCATCTAATGCAATATCTGCTGCTTCCATACTCAGAGTTTTTGGTCTATTGCTGTTAGCCGTTAGTTTGGAAATATCTTGTTCATCTGCAAGGGCTTCAACGAGTGTTTTAAAGAAGGTCAATTCATCGGGAGAAAATCTTGTGGATAATTTAGAAATTTCGTCATCCAATTCATTAATAATGGTGTAAAGTATTTTACGAGTTTTAGGATGTTTTGTCTTGACAACTTTTAAATGTAGCAGTGAAAGAGCCCTATTAATCGTTCCGATAAATTCTTCCAAAGATTTGTCATATTGTACATTGGCATTCTGTGAACGCATATTTTCAATTAATAACCCATACTGATGTTCCGATTTATAATTCTCTAATTTATCACGTAAATCATCTTCCGATTGAAATCGGTGAGCCATCAAAAATTGCAAAAGATGGCGATGAGTTTCAGTCATGGCATGATGTGCATCCATTTTTTTTAAAAGATTTTGCAAAAAGACAAAAATTAATAGCAACAGCAGGAACGGTGTGACATCTTAATTTTGAAAAGAGATCCACTCTTTCAAATGAAATTCATTGGTTCTTCAATTTTTGCTTTCTTCAAATCATGGGTCTTTCCAAACAAGTTTTTCTGACACATCAAGAAAAGCCATTTTAGAGTCCGAAGTAAGCACTCGACGACACAAAAAATTGCATCCCAATCAAACGAGGTGAAATTTTGTTGATGGCCTAGATCATTTCCGAATCTCAACAAAATACGTTTTTTCATAAGATGAGTAATCATGGATCTTTTAAATATCATCATCGGCAATATGATGATGAAGAATCAGGACAATACTATCAATCGAGTGTGGACGATATGGAAGACTCTAATCAAATACTAACAGATGAATATGATCATCGAGCCACACGATATAAAAAACCCTTCTCATCTCCAAACGATCCAACGATTCATACATCTAATATTCGTATGAATCATGTAAATAGTGAAACAGATTTTTCCGAAGATGAAAATTCTCTGCGGCATCAACAAAAAGAAGGCGCTCTCAAGTCTCCACTATTAAAGGGACGAAAATTTAAAACATCACTTCCTTCAAAAATCAAGTATTTCAACAAGGGATTTTTAAACGTTGTGATATTAGGATTTTCCTTTTTGATATTATTTTCAGCATTTAATATTATATTATTTTACTTTTCAGAAATTAGAAAACGAATTACAACTGCTTCAGTAGTGCTATACGCGTCTCTGAGTGGCTCGTCACTAATTACACCTAGTATACTGAAATTAATTGGATTGAGATCTAGTATTATTGTTGGAGCTTTATTATATTCATTATTTGTTCTTAGTTTGTGTTTTGATTTGGCTCCCATCACGTATACGTGCTCATGCATTTCTGGTCTTGGTGCAAGCTTATTATGGATCAGTCATGGTGAAATACTGACTCGATCTGCAAATTATTACCAGAGAATTGCCACGAAGGAACGAAACAAAATGGAGATTGATTATGTGAATTCAATATATATGAGCACAGGAGCCAAGCCTGTGAGATTTAGTTCACACCATGCAGATGGTGTGATGGGACTTTTTAGTGGTGTATTTTTTGGAGTTTATGCTCTTAATTCGGTATTTGGAAATTTGATTTCGACCGCTCTTGTCAATTCTGACCTCGATCATTTTTGGCTATTTTTGATACTATTTATTGTATCGCTTGTGGGTTCTCTACTTTTACTACCTTTGAGAAATATTTCTGTTCATGAAACGATTAGTAATGTTCAGTGGAAACAACAACCTAGAAAGGTCAAAAGCTCTAGCAATTTACGAAATAATGACAGTTCATTCAGAAATCTAGAAACTGGAAGAACAAATTATCCCAAAAGCGTCGTCATGAGATCTAATTCCTCTCAAAGTTTAACAAATGACACTGTGACAGTCAATAACGACACCGACGATGAAGATAGCTCCAATCTACCGTCAATGTACGACGAAAACGAAAGTGTGGCTACTATTGAGTACGAACTTCCCAAACCTCCATCCAGAAGAGACAAGGTCATTTCCATTATTAGGGAAATTTGCGAAAACATCAAGAGCAGTTTTTTGGTATTGTTTTCTGTGAAAATTGTGATGTTTGGCTTTATATTTTGCTACTCTGGATATTCAATTGCCTTCTTTTATAGGTCTCTCCCCAAAGTGATGCAAAAACATTCTCACACATTTCTTGTACCTTGGGCAATCGCTTGTTTCGGCATTACAGAAATGTCAGGATCCTTAATCTTTGGAAGATTATGCGACAAGATTGGAAAACGACCAATCATGATTTTGACATTGTGTTTGCATGTCCTTGCCATTGCTTCTTCTTTTGCCACAGTATATTGGCCACCAAGTTATTACAATTATTTTATTCCATTACTCGTGTGTGGGTGCGCTGATTCTGGTCTCAATACTGTGATTTACAGTGTCATTGGCGGCACTGCAACCTATTTCAAACATGAGAAAACTCTTGAGGCGTTTGCTTCCTTCCGTTTGATACAAAGCATGGCCATTTGTGTTGGAATTGTTTTTGGAGAACGATTTTCAGTACAAACCGTTCAGCTCACTCTTTCAGGATTATTATTCTTGTGCATTATATTTTACATAACTTTGGATTTTTGTTTCTATCCATTTGATTCTAAAAAAACCAAGTGTAAAAAGAAGGAACCTGCTTCGGGTCGAATGAGAGAACAACCATATTTCTAAATGATTTTTCAGTTTCAATTTTTTAGTGTGACAACCTTATGACCATCAACATTGAGGCAAATTAACCTTAATATTATTGGAAGGTTTTAATGGTATGAATGAATCACATGTTCATTGTGTGTGACATCTTTTATCGCCAAATACATCTGTTTCACTAATGTGAGCCAATGATCATTTTCAAAATTCTCCTCTCACAATTTTTATCATGAGACTTCAATCTAGCAGACGAATCGAAACCCCAAATCTCAGATATTTCGTCAACCTGTTTGTAAACTTCATATGTCCGTTCTAATTAGCCGTACCCAAGAGAATCATTGACACCAACAGAGTCTCCGACACTTTCAGACTTAAAAAATGAAGACATTGATTCCCAGAGGAGTCCTCGTAATGATGATCATCACGATCAGCTGTCTCATGACAGTAGGCTTGTTCTCATTGTTGATCAAAGCCGCTAAAATTCCAATGGATGAAAATAATTACATGATCGGAGCTGGTATTTACGATATCACAGGACCAGCTGCCGAAGTTGGTATGATGGTAGGTATTGTCATAACTGCGAGAATAAAAGAGAGCACCATCGTCGTTGATGATATGATGAAATTGGTACATCAAAAATTGAATTGCAATTCATCATGTATTTGAAAATCATTAGGGTTATGCCATGGTTGACCAAAGAACAAAAGGAATTCACTTTCGTTTGAGAGCTAGAGCTTTTGTGATTGCTGAACGAACAAATCCAAAAAATAGAATTGCTTTTGTGAGTGCAGACATTTGTTTTGGAACTCAATCCGTTCGATTGGGAGTTGTTCCTAAATTACAAGAAAAGTATGGAGATTTGTACACATTGGATAATGTTGCCATCAGTGCAATCCATACACACTCTGGACCAGGTATGTAACAAGACTTGTGTATTTCTGAATTTGTTAATTGAGAGAGGATGATTAGGTGGTTACAGGTTTGTATTTATTGAATCATTGTTTGGAAACTCTTGTTGACACTGTTTTTGTAGTTTCTTTGCTGTCTATGACATGACAACCTTTGGTTTTGATAATCAAAATTACCAAGCCATTGTGGAAGGTGTTTATCAAGCCATTGTTCGTGCTCATGAAAATCTTTCTCAAGGTGGTAGAATCTACATGAATTCTGATCGTTTATTCTTCAGTAATATTAACAGATCTCCAACGAGTTATATTTTGAACCCACCTGAAGAACGAAAGCTTTATGAAATTGACGGTGACACCGACAAGACCATGGTCGTTCTCAGATTGGAAGATGACAATGGCAAAGAACTCGGTGCTTTGGCTTGGTATGCTGTCCACTGTACAAGTATGAATAATACCAACATGTTCATCAGTGGTGACAATAAGGGTTATGCATCTTACATGTTTGAAAAGTTAAAGAATGGAAATGAAAGCTTCCCAGGTGTTGGTCCATTCATTGCCATGTTTGCTCAATCCAACGAAGGAGATGTGAGTCCAAACACTCGAGGTGCTACCTGTCCTGATGGTATTACTCCATGTGCTCCTGATTCCACATGTGAAGGAACTACTCAGGTATGTTTTTGAATTTCATTTCGTTTGGTTCAATATTGAGAACACAACTCTCAACACATGAAAATGACAACTTCTGTTATTGAAATTTTATGTTATTGAAATTCTATGTTATTGAAATTCTTCTTGAAAATAATGACAGAAATGTACGGCTAAGGGACCAGGTAAAACAGATTTTGGTAAGTTTTTATATATATGTATGTCAATCACGAACATGTCATGACTGATCACGCATGGATATAGAGTCTACAAAAATTATTGGAACGTATCAATTTAAGAAAGCTCTTGCATTGTACAATGATAAAGCCAATTCCATCGTGTTGAGTGGTCCTATTGATTTCAGACATACTCACTTGAACATGTCTGATATTGTCGTTTCTCCAAAATATACAAGTACAGGACAAGTTGGAAAAACTTGTAAGGGAGCGATGGGCTATAGCTTTGCTGCTGGTACCACCGATGGTCCTGGTGATTTTTCATTCAAACAAGGAGATAATTCGACAAAGGTGAGTCGTACTAGTAGTAGTAAATCACTCCATGTCATGACCATAGTGAAATTTTTAATTTTATTTAAATTTTTTTTTATGAATACTAATTATTGAATATTGAATATAATAATATAATAATATAATAATATAATAATATAATAATATAATAATATAATAATATAATAATATAATAATATATAATAATATAATATATATGAATACTAATATAATACGATACATATATGGAATGAAATTTTCAATATATATTTGAATCATCATTTCAACAACATCAATAGGGAAATCCATTTTGGAACTTTATTTCAGGCTTTATTGCCAAACCAACACCAGAACAAATTGCTTGTCAATCACCAAAACCAATTCTCTTAGATGTTGGTTATGCTCAATTCCCTTATCCATGGGCTGTTGAAATTAATCCCATTCAAATCATGACCATTGGACAATTAGTCATTATACCAGTTCCAGGAGAGTTTACAACCATGTCAGGAAGAAGATTGAGAAATACCATTTGCAATACTCTCACGACATTGAATCCAACGAGATTCCCTCCTGCTACTACTCGTTGTGTGATTGCAGGTCTCTCGAATAGTTATACTCAATACATTGCTACTTTTGAGGAGTATCAAGCACAAAGATATGAAGCTGCCAGTACTTTGTATGGACCAGTAAGTCATTATTGTGATGTCTTTCATTCGTTGTGAATCATTTTATGAATTTCCATGAATGATAATTTCATTGATTTTTATGATCATAATGTACACTAATGTATATCATTGTATATTATTTCATTGATTTTTATGTCATGTACACAAAAATAGCATACTCTTGCTGCCTATCAACAAGAATATGACAAGTTGGCCACAGCATTGGCTACCAATCAACCAATTTCACCAGGATTAAAACCACTCAATCTTAGCTCTGTTCAATGGAGTTTTATTCCTGGAGTTATTTTGGACACTGTGCCATTGGGTAAACATTTTGGAGATGTCTATCGTGATATTGATACTACAAGAACTTATAAAAATGGAGATGTTGTTCAAGTTGAATTTTATGGTGGTCATCCAAAGAATAATTTAATGACACAAAAGACCTTCTTGACTGTCGAAAGATTGAACGAGAAAAATCAATGGGTTGCAATCCTTGTTGATGGAGATTGGGATACCAAGTTCCATTGGAGACGTGAATGGTTGAGTGAATCAGTTATTACTTGTATTTGGAGCATTGGTGAAACCTTTGCTGTTCCACCCGGAACCTATCGTATTCAACACTTTGGTTTTTATAAGGATTTGGAGCAAAGCGTGTTGCCATATCAAGGAACAAGTAGTCCATTCAGAGTTGTTGCTTAATTGTTCAAACTTGAGATCTTCGTAAATAAATTATTAATATAAACACCTTGCACTAACAGATTTTGTGATATCACTAACCATTGACTAAATAATTCACAAGTACATGAATGATGACCTTGTAAACAATTTATTTACAATAAATAAATTCGTGTTAGAAAATTTAGTTGGAGAGTGGAAGCTTGTACTCCAAAAGCATGTCGTTTTCTGGTGGAATTGCAATTAAGGCACGCAAAATGTTATCAATAGCTGCTCGTTGTTTGAACAAGGCGTTGATAACAGGAGCGTTTGTGTTGACGAGTGGAGCCTTGAACAAGTAGCTCAAAATGCTCATCACCGAGTCCATTTTACGGAACTCCTTGCAGTCAGCAGTCGAGAAATCTTGTTCAACAGTGTCAATTTGCTTGAATGTCACTCTCTCCATGAGTTCAGTTAAAACAACCAAATCGAGCATGAGTGGAGTGGCCAAGAGAGAATCTTCACAAGTGTTGTGAATCACAATGGTGTTTTTACCATTCATGAAAATTTCGCTGATATATTCGTCGAGAGCACGCTTGCTGTCACCAACATATGGAATATACTTAATAACAATGCAGTGATCTGGAGCATCTGATTGCTTATTAGGATAGAGAATGTCATTGCTCAAAACCATGTCATCGACAACGCTTTGCTTGGAAACTTCCTTTGATCTGAATTGAAGTGGTGAACTCAAATTCTTTCCGTCATTGTTACCCAAGTGATTATAACTGGCAATAGAAGCAAGCTTTAAACCAGCTCCGACAAGGAAGTCAGCCAAAACTGACTTGATCTTTGTTTGACCGCTCTTAAAATCGTCACCTCCAATAAAGACGCCATGTTGTTGAGCCAATTCAATCACACCAGGAACAAAGGTATTTTGTGGAGAACCATTGAGGTAAGAACAACCTTCCAAAATTGAAGCAACACAGTACAAGGTACTTGGTGATACTTCACTCTCGTTGTTCTTAATGCTATCCATTAATTCTTGAGCAGTGGAATTCAAATTTTCAGAAACTTTACAGAAACGTTCAGTGTTGGCAGTCCACAATACAATGACCTTGTCCAATTGATGTTTTTGTTTGAAGTCTCTAATGTCACTTCTAATTTGTTCCATTTGCTCGAACTTGTGTGTTGCAGAAATGACATTGTTTGCTCTGTCATTTTGATTTGCAGCAATAAAATCTGGATCATAAATTGCTGCACGTGGTTTGTATTGCTTCAATTCTTGCTCGAGAGCCTTTTGTATTTCAATATCCAAAACCTTGGCTCTTCTGCAAGAATCATAAATGTTCAAATCGGAAATGTCCCAACCATCTGCATTCGAGAGGAATCATCACACGAGTGAGTCAAGCGAAAAAGGTCATGTTCACACAAAGATTTGAAGTGAATGCCAAAAAATATGCCGAATTTCGTAATGGATAAAAAAGGGAATTAGAGAATCGGTCATTGGGAAGAAGCCAAGCCATCTTACTTACCAACAAAGAGTTCATCTGGGTTCAACATTGGAACAACATCCTTGAGGGCACAATATTGTTGTCCTCCGAGATGAATTGTACTTGATTGCGTAATACTTCCAAACCAATTAGCAGTGTGAATTCCTTCCTTTGTTTCCCATTGCAATTTACTATATGAGTATTGGAGAGTATTCAAAAAACGTGGATGAATATCAGTAAATTCAATTTCCGAATGAAATAATTACTTACTTCTTATTGGCCAAGATACCAGCAGTGAGTGTAGAACCATTGTTTCCACCCCAACCCACTAACATGACACCCACTCGACCAATCTTCTTTTCAGTCTTAAATTCAAGATTCACTGTCTTGGGTTCAACAACAATTTCTGTGGTACCATCTTCTTGTGTGCGAGTTTCCGTCTTGTTATAGCGATAGATATACTTGCTTTGAATACATTCAGAGCTTTCCTTGAGGTTGGAGGATTTCACGGTAATCTTCTTGCTTGGCATTGTGTGGATGGTTCCAAATAATTTAATAGAGAGTGAGAGAATGATGATATCAGGTATTCTGGAGAAAGCTTCTCGGAAGAGAATATTAGAGGCTTGTGGTGTTAGAGGAACAGAGGCAATGTTTTTGCTCTTGTGTTTATTGTGATTCAGCCCGACATGACGTTAAAAATGGTTGGAAGCAAGAATGGCAAACGGAGCGCCCGTGTTTTTGAATTAATTTGGAAGAGTATTCAAATTTGTAGTGTTTGGCGTGGTTGTTGAAGATGGGTGAATGTAAGGTGGAAACTGGAACATGGAACCGTCGATGGTTGAATTGAAGGTTCCGCTCTTGTGATCAAGGTGTATTAATTTCTTTTGTAATGTGGCCATAGTGAAACTTTTGAGGTGTTATTATGGAAAATCGTGTGGAATGGTAATTGTCTTTAAGAAGACATAATAATCAGCATTGGTTGACGTCATTGTCGCTGAGAACAGCTAGTGGATAACCATCAAAAACAAAGAAACAACCACAAGCACATCATGAGTTGGGTTCCAGACGAATGGAAAGTAAGTAAAAGTAAAGATCCGTGAACTTATCAACACATTTAAAAGTCGTTGAAACAACATCAACAACAAGAACAATATTCTACTCTGAAAGATGAGGATGTAAGAGAACATTCTACAACCAGTACAGAGCAACGAGGTGAGGGAAAGGTGGAACCCTCATCTTCTTCATCAGCTACAACAACAACAACGAGTAATAGAAAGGATTTTGAATCGACCATTGAAAGTACGAACAAACCAAAAATTGGAGATCCAAATTATCCGTTTGCCAAGTAGCCATTCCATACCATCCTAGAGTGAGTCACTTACTGGTGTGACCTGAAACACTCCTCTCTCAGTGACATCTTTTGTACATTAGAAAGGAATTGTATTCTGTAAATAAATCATTTTGTATTCCAAGCTGCTTCATGCAAATTTCCCTCCATGGCTCACAAAAATAGATTCCACTCTCTAAAATAGATGCTGTTGTCTTGGTGATTCGCTTTCCTTTTTGTTGCAACCCCCAACAACATTTATGAACGTTCATCATCATTGAGAGCCGAACGAGGACTTGCCCCAACAACAAAAAAACAATTTTATCTTCTAGAGGACACAAGAGTTGACGTTTGGTTTGTAAACGCCCGTGCCATTTGGATACAAACAGAGCAGCATCATCATCAGCAGAAGACCTCACCCTCATTCGGACTATCAGAAACAATTGTACATTGAAGATTTAAAACTTCCGATTCCTACTCTTGGAAAACCGACATATTTGCACAAATACTTGCTGAACTTAATTCAATTAAAAACATTGTGAATATATTAGGCTACAAGTGTGCTTGAGGAATGATTATTTCATTGATACAACAACAGTCAAATGAAAGGTTTTAATAATTTATTTAATAACGGTCCAACCCTCCATCACAACAAAATGCAATTAAGTAGTAGCAATAACCACCATTGGGTTTTATTTTGTACATTACTATCATTGTGGTTGAATGTTGTGTTATGCATTGCAGGCACGGCATCAACGGCAAGCCTCCCTCTAAGAAACTCCTACAAAGATGACACTTTGCTGAAGCAAGGATTTAAGCTATTTCCGATCATATTTCCAGAATCATTTGTTATTAATTTTAAAGTGACCAATAGAGATGATTCAAACCTCAGATTTGAAGGAGCAGCTGCCATAAGAAAGAAGGAAGCAGGACTCTCTCATATCAGACTTACCTCGAACACTTTCGTTAGAGAAATTGTGACAAATGCAAGAGGTGACAATAGCCAACAACACAAACAAACTCTTAAAAGATATTTCTTTGACTCGAGCAAATTTGCATTCCGAGAAGTCACTCATGAAAATGGCTCTCCCGTTCCTTCCTCATCCAAATTGGCTTCAACTTCACCTTTCGAATTTCACAAATTAATTGAAATTGTTGAGACGAGAAGCTATCTGATTCCAGACGACAGTCCAGTATATGATGTGGCTGTCAATAATCTGTGCCCTTCTAGAAATTTCCACAGATTGATTGTATTTTTTGAACACCAACACTATGTGTTGTGTATGGACAAGCAACGAAAACCATTGGTTGTCACTCACATTATTAACAACAATTTTATTGTAACTATTACTAGATTTATCGCAGTGAGTGGAGAACAGCCACTTTTAACAATGCTCAACCCTGAGGATGAGCAACACTTCCCTCGTGGAACGTTAAATTTTACCAAGACAGAACAAGAGAAAGTTCTACTATCAACTCCAAGCTACAATACACCAAAAGGAGCATACATTTTCGATCACAAATACTCATGCTCTCTTGCTTGGCTACGAGATGATAAGGTTTGCTCTTCTTTGAAAGCAGAAGACCCTAAGCAAGCAGTAACGAACAGAACATGCATTTTCTTACATGGTGTTGGTAAGTATTATGTATTGACAGTACACACGTTTGAACTCCAAATTCCATTTGCAAACGGACTCGAATTAATACAGGTCAATGGCCTTCACAAGCAGGACCTCCAGTCAATAGCTTCCCTGATTATTGGGGACAAATCAATTCATACACACCACAGTGCAAAGAGAGATGGTTTATTCGAGAGGAGACCAAGTATAGAGGATGGAACAATACGGATTTGCAACAATCATACTGCAATGTTTCATTGATTAATAACACTGGAAACATCATTCAAAACAAAATAATTTTCTCACACTCCATGGGAACACTCATCCTGGCTGCAGGAATTCAAAATGGTTATTGTAAAATAGATCCATCGAGCGTTTCTTGGTATGATGTCATGGGTCCTCTTCATGGCTCTAAAGCATCTCTATTCCTTAAAGAAATATGTGGTAAGTATTTAGGATGTGAAATTGTTTTGAATTTGACATTGTAAAAACATCATTTCTTATTACTGACATACCTTAGTGAGAGCAAATACATGGACTGACCCAAGCATCTACAAGATTGTGGCAGATGAAGGAGGTTATTGTATTGGTGGAAATTCAACTGAAGTCTTCCCTGCGTATGGAACATTAGCTCCAAACTTTCCTGGAATACAAGACTTAGTCAAATATGTTTCTCCATATGTTACTGGTCAAATGTGTGGTACATCTGCCTATGGACTTAATTCAATTTATTCTGTGCCACTATTTTTGTTAAGTGAAGTGGTCGGATACGGAGAAGTGAACGATGGAATGGTACCAGTATCTTCATGTCAAGTATTTCCAGACAAACAACTTTCTCCAGTTTACACAGATTTATACTATGCTGTGTCAGCCAATCATGCAGGTAAGTAAATAAGGCAAAAGGGTTCATCGTCGATCCTATCAAACTCATCCTGATACATTATGCACCTATTTGCATAGATGGAACCTGCAGAGATGGAGATGCTTGGTGGGGCAACTCAAAACCATGCTCTTATTACACAAACAAGGTATAATTGAACTTCGATCATTATGAAATAACAAGAACTTGCAATGTCTGTGTTAGCAATATTCCTAATTATAGTTGTACCTTAGAAATTGCTAGTAATGCAATGTTTAAATATTAAGGCACACCGATGCATGTATTTACACGATTTTTCTTATGATATATTTGGGATTTTTATATTAATGTACATAAACCACATACCTTCATTCTAACTCTTGCATTATGATTTCTCCTGAGTCATATAATTTCCAAATACGTCCATTCCAATCAGAGAATCCATTCAATTATATTTGAATATGAACAGCAATTTTACACATCTCCATCTCCGCCTTCTCAATTTTGTGCAATGCAACCGAGAGAGATGGAGTCCTCTCTCGCAACACAGTATCCAACTCGAGTTTACAACAGGCATGTTTGGCGGTGAGAGGACAAACAAAAGTACGTTCCTGTCATGACTACTGCGTCGCACCCATACAAAAGCTGTTCAGAATCACAACAAATCCTTTTCAAAAAAATCAAGCGTAAACGCAAGACTCCAACCAACCGCCACTCCAGCTTGCTTTTTTAAGCTTCTCTTCCGCTGCTTTTCTCGTTGCCATCACGTTTTTTGTTGTCCTATTCCTACTACCATCAAAGGGCTTTTCATCATCATCATCACCGACCTATAAAACAACCTGTTGATTTGTATTCATTCTCTCTGTACTAATACTACTACTTGGATACGACTCTGCATATCATTACAATCATTGCCTCTATTACTGAAATACTTTTGTAATCATCATCGTCGTCATATGAAAAGAGTTGCTACTGTTGGAGCAAAGTTCTACAAGTCCCATAACAAACTTGTTCATTCCCCATCATCATCAAGCACATCCTCTTCCTCATCATTTACTTCCTTGAGCGAATTGGCTGAATATCATGGAGTGTTTGAATCAGAAAGTCTCGTGAATCCTTCTTCCACCACCACTCAACAATCAACCATCATTTCTCCGCTTCGGCATGTCAGTGCCTCGTGTGATGATTTATCCAACATGTTTGAACATTTGGCTTTGGATAATAATGAGGATTGTGAGCTGAGTGCTGTAGTGGTGAATGATGACCAATCCAATATGAACACAACACCAGTTCTGATTGTTGTCGACAAGTTGCAAACCAATACTACCGTTGACCCCTCTTCCCAAAATCTCATTCCTGACACCACCAAAGACTCTTTGACTGCCACTTCTCCTTCCTCTTGTCTCACAACCATCACAGTGGCCACTGCTGTTGTAGACACTGCTGACACCACCCACAAGGTTGTCAAGTCTACCTCCCCTAAGATTTTAAAAAAGAAGAAGAGCAAGATTGCTATTCCTCCCCAAGCAGAACATCATCAAGGTAGAAAGACCATTGTTTTGGATTTGGATGAGACTCTAATCAAGAGTTTTCATCAAGAACCTGACACCTTTGATTTCACAATTGACATTGAATTTCCACATCTTGGCCAAATGGTGTCTCAACACGTGTACATTAAGACTCGCCCTGGACTCAATCACTTTCTTGAACAACTTCATGCCCAGTTTGAACTGGTCATGTTCACTGCTGCCTTGCCAGTCTATGCCAATTCCATTTTAAAACACATTGACCCTGAAGGAAAATACTTTTCCCATGTACTTTACAGACATCACTGCAATGGTGCAGGATCTTTTCCTGGAAAAGATTTGAGAATTCTAGGTAGAGACCTTTCCAACACCATTCTCGTAGATGATGGAGTTCTCAACTTTCTTCAACCAAGAAATGGCCTCCTCATCAAGTCATTCAAAGGTGAAGATGATGACAAGGTACTCTCAGACATTGTCTTACCCTTTCTATTACAACTAAGCGATCCATCAATCTCAGTCTATGAGATTGTTGAAAAGTACAGAAACTTTTTGGCCATTACATACACATTTGAGTATTCCGATTCCATCGAAAAGTCGCATTATACTCACTACATTAATTTAAATTCACGCCAAGTTGAGCATCGCCAGTTGTGCATGTATTAACACATATGCTTCATTTTCCATTTTTGCCCTTTTCTTCCTCCCTTGCTGTACCTTAGATGAGAAATTCGTGCATTCCCTCTTTTTTGTACACTAGAGCCTGACTGTTTTTTACATCAGTCCCCCATTAATAAATTATTTATCGTGACGGGTTTTCACCGAGCAAATAAATTAGTAAGGCTTCAGTTTATTTGCCTGTATTTCGTTTTTTGGCTTGCTCCAAAAAGTCAGACAAGTTGCTCAAATCTTGGTCCTTCACCTCCTCGTAAAAATTCTCCAACATTTGCATCAATGACTCTCCCGTTTCGTTTGCAAAGAATTGTTCCATTCCAGGAGAATTTTTTTGGAGATCTTTTACCATGGCATGCTTAAATGTGTCAAATTCTTCTCGAGAAAGATATCTTGGAGGAATTTTAGGTTTTGCTGGAGTGGTTTCATCTCGAGGCGGATTGATCTTAATTTCATCAGAATCATGAAACATTAATGATTTTTCAGGATGTAAAAATGGATTATACTCTTGAGCATTAATGCCCATTTTTGCAAATGCCTCATCTGATAATACTGTATTCATGTATTCCTCTAATTGTTTGCCTTCTTCTCCATCCAACATTTGCATAAATTTTTCAATTTGTTCTGGAGAATATTCATCTTGAATGTTTTCTGGAATTTTATACCCAGCTCGTTTTTCAAATTCTCTTTGAATCGTTGCAAATTCAGGAGTATCCACAAAATGAGCATTTTCTTTAAAAGCTCTTGCAATATCTTCGTATATATGTTTTTTGGATGATTCCGGAATGGATTCATCATGATACACTTTTCTCATTCGTTTATATCGTTCAAACATTTCTTTTTTATGTTCTCTGATTTTTGCTTTGATGGCTTGAATATCATCTCCTGTTAATTCTTTTCCACGTCTTTTAGCATCTACCCAAACCATTTCTTCATATCCTTCAGATTCTGCAACGAAAGCATTCCAAATAACATCTTTTTTCATTTCTTCGGTTAATCGTTCTTCTTCTTCCGACATTTCTGTTATTAAATTCCATGAGGATGTAAAATAAATTGAATCAATGATTATGAACAGTAACAACATACTCAATACATGTTCCGAGATCAAATCGGTATCAACATTTTCTCCAAAATTCTTTTTCTTTGATGACATGGATCTTGCAAATAATTGAGTATGATAGAATGCCAATGATGACTGTACAGTGTTCACATAGTGATTAAACAAACAAGTGGTACGATGATTCAAAATACGTCGTAAACTTTGGAGTCTCATCATTTTTTTTCAATTTTTTATTGAAGTACAATTTTAGGTCGTAAAAGGATGCCAAACAACAGAAATTATTAATCAAGTACGTAACAGAAGAGGATGGACTGTCCATCTACTCGTAGAGACTACGTCATTCAATCGAACAGTAGTAATTAACGTTTGAAAAATTTTACCGTCCATCTATGCCGGCACTCGCTTCACTTGTCCTAAAACCGACAACGACCACCGCTCAACGTCTTTACGGTTTTGTTCGACTCATTTAAAAATAGAGCTATAGGGAAGGCAAAACTGTTTCAAAAAAAAAACCTCACTTTGAGATTGACATTCAAAGAACGTTCAAAGACTCGTTCTGAATAGAATATCTCTACTTTCCGATTGAGTGAAACAGAAAGAAGAAGTTGATAGACAACATGGAAATGTCATCCCGAAGTAGAGCATTGTTAATTAACGTTTCATTTGCGAGGGATCAGGAAGAGGATGCTTCCAACATGGTGATGATGAAGACGAATACTCACTTCTCCACGCCAAATATTCAAATAGAAGATTCTGATGAGGAAATTTCTCCCTTAACTTCATCCTCTTCAGCAAGTAATTCAACAGGTTCTCTCACGTGTTGTGGTCATTTGGGAGGCTCTGAAATGGATGAATTGTCTGTTCAAGATGATCACTCTCAAAGTATTTCATCTCTCTTTACACGACTTGGTTTGAATCTCTCTCGAAAACCTTCAAGAGAATGTTCCTTTTCACAAGAATTGAATTCATCTTCCTCCTCTTTCAACCTGTCAAACTCTTCATATAGAAATACTGACTCCAACACCTTGTCAACCACTCCTTCCATAAACTCATCTTCCTCCTTTCCTCTCCTTCTTGCTCCTTCCAATAAAAGTCAAAACAGCATGATGGTGTTTTCAACACCTTCTCCCAGCTCAGAAGATAACGAATCACAAGTGAGAGATATTTTGAGTTCGATATCTTCGCGGTTTCACAACGCAAAGAAAACCTCAAACTGTATCATAAAACCAAAGAAGATGAAATCGAAAAGGTTTACCAAATCCTTTGAGGGTCATTCTTCGAGCAACAAGTACTAAATGAGACATCATTGAGTATCTCCTAACTTCTAAGTTTCATTTTCATCATGATCAACTAGTAATTTACCTTGGAAAGCAACAATCGATCAGACTCTACTTCAAGTCCTTTTACTGATTCGCCATTGACAATAAACAGTCCTCCTCGCGTCACTTGTCATTAAGTTCATCTATTCCTCAAAAAAAAATGGCTTCCTCACACTGCTTCTTCCACATCAACAACATTCAAGCATCAGCCTCTCATCCCTTCGAAATCAAGATCGATTCCAATGTCATCTTTACCTCTACTGCTGACATTGAAAAGAAAACCATTGAGCACGAAATTCCAATTCCAAAATTTGCCTCCGTGCACAATGTCTACATTAATGTCTTGTCACCCTTGGATCACATGGATGAATTAGATAGATACAATCTCACTCACAAGGGTACTCATTTTCTTATTGATCCAACCCGAAAGAGTAATCCAGTTCGTCAATGTTTAGATGAACAGGTAAGTGTCAAACGTTACTACTAGGAAGAATTACAATGACATGTAAATTGATCACCATAATTATGCAAATCTCGAAATTTAAAAATCCAAATGATGACGATGATGAATTTGATCATTCTGAATTTCCTCTCGGAAATATAAATTTCACACACACACACACTCGAAACATCTACAACAACAACAAAATAGGGAAGTACTGGAAGCACTGGCGTTCCAACTGGATCTCCATCCATTTCGACTAAAAAGTCATCCAATACTTCTACTTCTTCCATTCTTGGTGTGAAATCTCCAACCAATTCAGCTTCTTCTCCAGTTAATTCTCCAAGAAGAGCTTCGACTTTGCAATCCTCTCCATCGGCAAACAAATCACAGCCGAATGTTGCAACCACCACTACTTCAAGCACCACGACTTCCAATATTCGTGTGCCAGTGAATGTGTCAACTGTCACAAGTTCTGTGGAGAAGAGAGGTGAAGTGAGTCGTGAATCTGTTTTTGACCATGTGGATGATTCTGAAACTCAACTCACTTTCTGGTTGTATGGAATAGTGGGTTCAGATCGTTATCCATTACGTATCTTAGTGGATGGTTTATGTGTATTTAGATGTGAACATGATTTGGAATCTGGAAAGGTTCATGTGAAAGTGAAAGAACCAAAATTTTCACCTGAACACAAAATTAACTTGTCTGTCGATATGCCACTTGTCACTGGTGTCAGTAATCAAAGAAGAATTTTCAATGAGAAACGTTTTAATTTATCAGCCAATGGTAAAGTCTTTTTGATTGATTTCAGAAATGCCAATCAACAACCATCGGATGACAAGAATGCTGCAACAGCTCATGTCGTTCAAGTTGCTTTTGAAAAACAATTAGAAGGTTATCCAGAACCTCCTCTTTATGATCCTTCTCAACATACTCCTGTCACCAGTCAAACCGTGGTTCCTCCTCCAGTGACCATTTCTATGGAACCATTCCAAATTGATGAATATCAAGTCGATGCTTCTAAATTATCGAATGAACAATGTGAAAAATTGTTAAAAGTCCAATCCTTGCAAGATCGTGGAATTTTAACACCACAAGAAGCAGATTTTGAAAGAAAGACCATTATTGGAGACAAGTTATTGTCATTCCCTAAAAAGACCATTCCAAAGAGTACAACCACTGTGGTAGAAGAAAAACCAACTTTAGAAAATCCATCTGAAAAATCATTGAAACCAATTGCTTCTCCAAGAAATGGTATAACAAACAATACTCTTTCACCACGTTCAACCACAACCTCAACCACAACTACAGGTAGTGTCTCCCCACGTTCAACCTCGACAACAAGTAGTGTCTCACCACGTGGTGGAAGTGTTCCAAGAAATTCTGCAACAAGTTCAACTTCTTTGAATGAATTTATTGAAATGAAACTCTTCTTGTGTAATGTGAAGGCCTCTGAATCTGCTCCTTTCAAATTAATTTACAAACCAGAAAATGCAGTCATGATTTCATTGAATGAAGATGTTCCTCCAGAAAAGATTATTTGTGTGAAGGGTGAAATTCCAGTCAATCCAACAGGTGATACTTTGGCTCCATTGATTATTGACATGCCCAAAGTTGGAGTTCAATTGGATCATACTCTTAATTTGACTAATGGAGGAAGATTTGCAATGATTGGTGTTGCAAATAATGAAACTGGAAAAGTGGTTTGTAAACAACAAAAGACAGAAGAATTTGAATCTATTTTGGAGGAAACTGTGAAAGAAGAACCATCGAAAATTTATGTACATTTCAGCGGAATTCAAGCATCTTCTGAACAACCATTTGTGGTCTACATTAATGACAAACAAGCTTACAAGAGAGAAGAATCATTGAAAAAGAGACAAAAGGGAACTATTAATGGTGACATTCCTCGTAGCAAGCGTATCAATTCCAGTACTGAAGAAAATCATGTGGTGAGCATTCGAGTGGAAGCTCCAATGACTTCACCTAAACCAAAGATTGTTGCTGTGGATTTGACCAATAAGGGACCTCATGTTTTTATTTTCTGTAATCAAGACACGAATGAGGTGATTGTGAAACAATCTCACAATGAAAATGCCAAGGAGGAAGAAATGACTTTATGTGAAGATTATGATGCTGCTGTGACCAAGTCCTCATCTTCAAGTCCATCTACCCTTGCAACCAAGTCACAAAAAAGATTGACTGAAGAGGATATTGAATACTTGAAAAAGTTATTGGATTTGAAGAATGCAGGAGTTTTAAGTGAAGAAGAATATGAAAAGAAAAAGTCAGAAGTTTTGTTTTAAATAAATGAATTTGATGTGTACGTGCTTAATTGGAAACAATTTTACTGACTTGTGTGTGACAAAGTTTTTAATGCTTGATTTTTCCAACAATGACATATCTCTTCTTATAGAAATCTTCCCATTGTTTGAGCGTTTTCAATTCTTTTTCAGTGAGACCTTCTAAACTACCATAAGGTTGAAGATCTTCTGCATTGAGGCTAGATTTGGCAAGAGCTCGTGTGGCGTCTGTTGAAATATGTTGTCAACATCAATAATTTCCAAATAGTATTTTCAAATTAATAATGCATTGGTTTCATAGGAATTTATGAGAAAACTCACCTGTTCCAGCAAAGATACTATATCCCGCACCAGGGGCGTACATTTCTCTCTTTTCTTCGCTCACTTGGAAAATTATTCCTTTTGATAATAATAATAACAAATTGAATTTGATGATCAGTGAAATTATATTAAACGTTATATCCAGTGTGTAATTATTATTTTAAATTCAGAAATATTGACGTTAGTGCAATAAATATTATTTCCATAATTCCAAATTGTTTGGATAATAATTCATCGGGATCACTTACCATTACATCCGATCCAAATTGGTAATTCATTTTCTCCCTTGTGTTGTGCAAGATCATCCATAGTAAAGTAAACATCTGGAATGGGTTGATTGGATAAATCTACCGCTTGTTGTTGTTCCATTTTGTTTGGTTTTTTGTTTTTACTTTTTTAATAACAGAATGATTTTGTATTCCCGATAGCAGTGGCCAAGATGTCGCGAGGATATCCAACGCAACGCACGCGTGCCATACGTCCGTTCATGATGATGATTTATTCCGTCCGAAAAACAACTCTGCTGTTAAAATACCACTTACATTTTTTTTGTAGTTGAATACCTGACAGACATGTAAGGTCACATGTCACGACACGTGTGGATTCAATTTATTCATCCTTAGGTGCAATGGAAACACAATCGCCAGCTTTACACAAGCTAACACAAAAGTACCATCTCTTGTTTTCATCTACTTGTCCCTTGAACGTTTGAGCAATGAGTTTACCATTCAAAAAGTAATTGAGTGAGGCTTGCTTAAAGTCAACAAGCATACCAATCTTGTCACCAACTTTCCACTCGGTAGGTTCTTGAACAAATGCCTCTGATACGCTTCTACCATTGCAGTAGAACTTTTTATCTGTCAAGGAGAGAGCAAAGGAATTGCTGTATTGACTCGATCCAATAACGTTGTTCTCAGTGCAAAGTTGCTTGTCGTACTCGGAAGTGATGATACCAAAGAATAAGACACATTCCTCCATAAATTTCTCAATTACAAATTCTACATAATTGTTGTGGACAGATACGTGATTGCTTAGCCTACAAGTGGTTCCCCAGGCGTTTTCCTTAGCATGAACTCTTTTTTTATCTTCGGAAATGACGCAATTAGGGTTGCATGCCTCAGAAAACTGATCCACCTCTTCAACGGTCTCTTCATATGCCTCTTGTGATGGTTGTTGTTCGAGTAAAGTTTCCATGTTTCTCAATTTTTGCAATTGCAATGTTTGAATGAACAATTGAGTGAGTTCAGTAAGCCTATTTTCCAAATCACTGATCTGTTTGCTTTGAAGTAAATATTTGTGCTCAAGTAGCGTGTTTTTGAGTTCCAATCTCTCAATCATTTGACTGAAATAAAAGTTTTTTCGCATTAAATCTTCAATCATCACCTGCTCGCTTCGTTCAACTTCCTCTAATGTGAAGGCAACTTTAACAGTTAAGAACACAGCTTTGAGTGATATTTCAACCACGAGTGCACACTTTTCTGATTGAATTTCGTTCAAAGTTGGAGTGAGATTTTTCATCTCGGAAGAAGGGGTGCTCAATGGATAACATTCAGTACAAAACAAGAGTTCAAGCGATAAATTCTTTTCTTCTCCTTTAAAAGCACTCATGACCATTTGAGCAATAGCTTCAACGCTCAACTTGGTTCCTTGTTTACTGATTTCCAAAGCATCTTCGGAACCAATAACTCTCTTCCACGTTCTTCCCGTTGCTGCCTCTTTGACTTGAATCAAGAAGGTATTCTGTTCCTTGTCCAATTTAGTATATAAAGTTCCAGCCAAATGATCGAGTCCGAATTGTATTTCATCACGATCAACGTGTGGCTGAGTGGATGAAGAGGAGTCTGAAGTTTTTCCCTTTTCCATTTTTTTCAAAATTGAAAAAGACTCTTTTCTCTGAAACAACACATACAACATGCGTGAAGATATCGAGTTGTTCTCAGGATGTTATAGCCTTCATATATTCATGTTAATGTATAGGTTGTATTCACAGATCAGCTTTTCAATAATAAACTTTGGCGCCAAAAAAGAGTACAAAAAAAATAGCAAAAAGAATTTCGTTCATCAACCTTTCATCATCACACTTGATTATTATTTATTGAAATTCGTACAACAACTGACAACAAGAATATTCTTTTCACAACTTACAGTTAGATATGGATATTGTATATAGTTATAAAAAGAAAGTACGAGAGCTGGGCCAACCGTACGAATTTGAAGACTCGGAACCTATTCTTCTTGTAAATATTCAACCCGATGAGAGAATTCGAAAATCATATTATGTTGAAAAGGATCCTTGTCATGTTGGAGTTCAAACAGCACCTGAATTGAGCGAGCATGTAGTAAATACTAATACAAAAAACTATTCAAGCTCTGGAATGCTGCACATTGAAGGTGGATGGCCCAAAGATGTCAACGTAATGGATGTGGATGCAAAAAAGAGACATCAAAAGAAAGTAGAAAAAGATGATTCATATCTGAAATCCGCCCTTGCTCTTTCCAATGAAGTGATTAAGAATTTGTGTATTAATACAGCTCTAAATGTACACGAGAATTATTTTGAAACTGATGAAAATAGCGGAATTGAGGATGATCATTTAATTCGATCAACAACAACCAAACCTACAGCCACCGTATTAACGATTCTTAAAGATCCCTCCGAGCATAAGAGGATTGTAAATCATATTGCATGGGCAAATGGAGATTCTAAAAAGTTGGCAGCAGCTTACTTTGTCCCTCCCAATGATTCCCTCACAGAGAATATTGCAAAAAATTCATATATTTGGGACATTCGAAATCCAAATACTCCAGAGTTGGTCTTGTCACCAGGATCACCTTTGAGCTGTTTAGAATTTAATCCAAAAGACTCTACCTGCATTTTGGGAGGTGCAAGAAATGGCTGTCTTTATGTATTTGACACAAGGCGTGGCTCCAATCCAGTTGAATATTCTCATAGCCAAACTAGTCACAAAGACCCAGTGTACTCAGTGCGGTGGATACAGAGCAAACAGTTCACAGAGTGTGTGAGCATTTCGAGCGATTCGCAAGTGTTGTTTTGGGATATTAGAAACTTATCAGAACCTTTGGAACGAAATATTTTGGAAATTACTCAATCTAAGATCTATCAGCCTCAGAAATTTGGGGCTCTCTGTATGGATTATGACACTTCGTATAGTGTAAGTAGGAATTAAGGTTGAGAATATTTAAAAAATCGTTAAATGCTATGTAGACATCTAAATTGCTAATAGGATCCGATCGAGGTCAATGCTTAATATGGAACAGAAAGGCAAGGAAGGGAGGAAAAGAAAAAGTTGAACGAGTTTTTCTAGGTCATCACAGCTCAATTTTCTCAGTTCAACGATGTCCTTTCAATCCAAAGTATTTCCTCTCGATAGGAGACTGGACAGCTAGGATTTATCACGACGATATTTGGAAAGCACCCTTAATCGAAACGAAATATAGCGAGAATTATCTTACCGACGGATGTTGGTCACCCACAAGACCTGGTGTGTTTTTCACAACTTCAACAGATGGGTTATTCAATGTATGGGACATTCTTCACAGTCATTCTAAGCCTGTAGTTTCTCTGCAGTTGACATCGAGTCTTCATTGTGTGAGCACTTCTAATGGAAAACATATCGCTGTAGGAGACAGAGATGGAGGTGTAAGCTACATTGAGCTAAGTGATGATTTGAGTGGATATTTTAATGGTGTTCCCAGAGTGATTCAAGATGAAAAGAATGCGATCAATGACGTAAGTTGACTATTAAGTCGTATTAAGCCAATAATACCTTTCAAATTCACGAAATGTCATCCAGATGTTGGATCGAGAGACGAGACGAGAAAAGGCACTCGAACAAAAAGTTAAACCCGTCGAAAGCACCAATTCAGCATCCTTGTTAGAGGTGCCACATGAAAGGTTTATGGCTCCTACTGAAGAAGACTTGAACAAATACTTTGAAGAGGCTCTACAAAGGTAGAATTTAACATGGTAATATCCGTGTTGGTTGGTTTAATGTATTAGAGTGAAAGTATGATGATTATTGATTTTTAGGAACCTCAACTTGAGCAATGAATTTCTTGTTAAAGTGAATGTTCTTCTCCATAAGCAAGCGACATCTGTAGAAATTAACATGACGAGAAGTGAAATGGACATGATGCAAGATTCAATATGAAATCCAATGATGTATCAAATAAATCATTGCAATTTTGATTTTCATCCAATCAAGATTAATAGTCATCCGAACATTTGAAAATTATTATTCCACAATCGTGATGATGATGAAATAGTCCCAACAACAATAAAAATCAAATAATGGTTTCCATCTCCTCTTTACCCGTTCGTTATTCTACTTACTCTGTCCATCCCATACCGAAACCAATACCGGCACCAAATCCTAAAGCAGCAGATCTTCTTCCTCTCAAAAGAACAAAAGCAGGAATAACGCTTGCCACGAAACCGATGGTTGTCTTTTGAAGGATATTCTCAAGGCAATGTTCCAACTTTTCGTCCTTCAATAATTCAGAAGGGACTTTATCTTGTGATGTGCTCATTTTTTGTTTGTCTTGACTGTTTCAAGTCTTGATTCTGCTAAATGATTCGAAAGAATTACTTTTTGATTCCTATTCATCGTATTGTTAAACAAGGATAGAAACCTTGAAGGTTACTTATTCAATATCCAAAATAACCTGGGTGGCCATCTTATTTGAATATTCGAAAAACAAAAAAATGAGAGGAGGCAAACGAGGTGGACGACGTCGCAGACCAGGAACTTCTCGGAGAGGTAGAAGAAGAGGTAATCACCATCCACAATCCGACCATTCCAATGCTCCACTATTGGATGGAAAAAATCCAATTGATCTGAACGTGGAGGAAGATTATTTGATTGAAGGTGAATCCGATGATGAATCCATGGGGGATGATTCTGCTTCGGATACTTCTTCGGATTCTTCTTTTGACCCAAATGAAAGAAAGCTTTCTGCTTCTGGTACAACAACTCCAACAGCAAGTTCTTCTCGTTCAAAATCTCATAAAGGAGGGAAACAACAATATTATGAACAACATAAACACAGATTTGAGATGAATAACGAGGTATTGACTTGGGTGTTGGATGACATCATGACACCCATTGAATTAGATCCAATTCCTGACAAATTTAGAGATGTTAAACACTATTGTAATAGCTTTTTAGACTACGTTTTTGAAGAAACAAGAGCTTGTATTCAACAATCCATAGAAACGGATAACCATGGTGAATTTGCAAAATGTGCAGTCACAAAATGGAAAAAGGGCAAAAATCGTGGAGATTCTGCCACTATTTATTTTGACATTATTCCAAGACCTCCGAAGGATCCTAATATGACTCCGTACATTCCAATGTTTCAAAAACATGATTATTGTATTGTGACGACAGAACCAAATTTGAAAGACTTAGAAAAACAAAATCATTTCTTTGTCATTGTGGAAGAAGGAAATCAGCAGAGTACCAACAAGTTCAAATCGCAATCTCAGCCATGGAATCGACGAGGAAGAAGAGGTGGAAGAAGAGGAGGAAGAGGTGGTAGACAAAATTCATTACCACGAGCTAATACGTCAAATATTCAAACAAAATTCAAAGCCAAGTTTGTAGCAACAAGTGTGACCAAACACATGTTGAATATGGAAGCTACATTCAAAAAAGGACGAAAACACAAGGGAGGACATAGGCAGAGTGGCGGAGGCGGTAAACAAAATTGGTTTGTTTTCCCAATTTTTACAATGGTCACAAAACATAGAGAATACGAGGCATTGCAAAGAATGACCATTCCAAATGACATTTTCCAAGTGATCAAAGGAGATCGTGCCCATGGCCACCAAAAAGCTCAACCAGTTGAGAACATTGCTCCTCCATTGAAAGAATTTCTTGAGAAAGCCTATAACACATCTCAATTCAAAGCTATTCAGCAGGTACTGAACAGAGTTGATCAGAAAGTGCATTTAATCCATGGACCTCCAGGTTGTGGTAAGACAAGCGTCTTATTAGGTTTGATCATGGCACTTCTTGCCAATAAGAAGCGTATTCTCATTTGTTCCGGCACCAATGTTGCTGTAGATCATATCATTAACAAGATGACGCAAAACGGTTTACGAAATAGCAATGGAGAAAAATATCAGCTTTCTATTAACAAGATGGCGAGAATTGGTAATGATGAAAAAATCGACGAGCTCAGCAAAAAGATCGACCCAGCTACTCGTTTCAAACAACTTCAAAGAAACGTCAAGGATATTATTCATTGTGTAGAGTTAATTCGTAACGAACAAGGAGAAGTTATGGAGAAATCTAGGCAATCGTAAGTATTCAAACTTTTCCTTAAATTTAATTTATTTTTCATTTATTTTTCAAAAACAGTAATACTGCTTTCAATGCTAGAAATTCCATCAAATCTAGGACAGAAAAAATTAACAAGCTAATTTCTAACACCGATGACACCATTAATCGGCTCTTGACAACAAAACTTGTAAACCAAGAAATGGTGAACACAGTTCTAGAAAAATTTTCCAAAGTTAAGGAGCATATCAAAAGCTTTTTAGATCTAGGAAATTCATCAGAGGCTAAAAAACAAGACTTGAATAATAATGCAAAGGATCTTTACGATGAAATTGATGCCTTCTTTAAGGAGCTACAAGTTTACTTAACACTTGATAACAGAGATGTTGAAAAAAAAATTTTAGATAATTGTGATTTGGTATTTGCAACTCTAGCTATCACAGGAAGACACGTGATGAGAAGTTGTAAAACATTTGATGTGCTAATTATTGATGAAGCTGCTCAAGTCACAGAGTCTGAATCTATTATTCCATTATGCTTAGTTACAGAGACACTTGTATTAATTGGAGATCCTAAACAAGTACGTATTGAATAATTTTTACATCGTTTGATAACATAATTTTCTCAGTTACCTTCTACAGTATTGTCGGAAGAAGCTGTTGAGAAGGAGTACAACAGAAGCATGTTCGAAAGATTAATGAAATTGTCACATAACAAAGGAATGTCCATTCAAAAACCAGTGCTGTTAGACACACAATATCGTATGCATCCAGCAATTTCTAAATTCCCAGAGAACGTTTTCTATCATGGTATTCTGAAAGATGGTGAAAATGTAAAACAATATCATGCCCATCCAGATTGGAAACCTCTCTATGAAAATGGCCTTGAATCATGCCTATTTATGCATTGTCCTAAATCTGTCGAATCATTTAATGCACATATCAAGAGTTATCAAAATGAAGAAGAAGCAAATATGGTTGTAAAATTGATTGACTTTTATATGACCACGCTTGGAATATCCAGAAGTAAGATAGCAGTCATTACATTCTACCGAGCACAAGTTGATCTTATTCGGGAAAAGCTTTCTCAATATGAAAAGGAGCACCCTCAGGTTTCAAAATCTCAAGTGACTAGTCAGAAGGAAGCTCAAACCTCAACAACAGCTCCTCAAAATCAGCCAAGTCAAACAGAAAATGCTGCAACAACAGAAGTAAACAAGGAGCCACAAGTAGGAACTAGCGACGATGGCCTTGGAGAACCACTACCCGAAGATTACGAAGATAGTAGTGACGAAGAAGAGCCTTTGGAAGAGATTGAAGAGTGGTTTGATGTGAACACTGTTGATTCCTACCAAGGGTCTGAAAAGCAAATTGTCATTTTGAGCACTGTTCGTGCCAATGATAGAAATAGTTTGGGATTCTGTGTGGATCAAAGACGTCTCAATGTGGCTATCACCAGAGCTCAGTACTCTCTTGTCGTTGTTGGAAATGGAGAGAATTTATGCAGCAATGATATTTGGAGAAGTTTTATTAGTAACACCAAAATTGTAGAGCCATCTGATTACTTTAAGACTGAAACAGGAGAGTCCATTGCAACTGACAATTTATTGGCAAGGAATATTCAACGAAACAGTCTCAATCTTGTAGCAGCACTATTGTCTAACAAATCGCTGCTCAACAGCATTGAGAATATGCAAGATTTTGCAAATAAGATTATTGAAATGTGTCTCAATCATGACAACCATGTACTATTTGGACAAGCGATCAAGCAATTGAAAATTAATTTACACACTACTGGGTATAGAAATGGAAATAATCTCATTCATAGATGTATTCATACAAAGAGCTATGATTGTTTGGCAGTATTGCTTCATCACGTTTCATCTCATTCCTTGTTACTTGACTTTGATGATCGTGGTCAACTTGCTATTCATTTAATTGCCATCGACTATGGTAGAAAACAACATGAAAAAGAGAAATTGAAAGAAATATTTGAAGTAATGGTTTCCGCCATGACAAAGATTGAACCAAGTGCTCAACAAAAGAAACAATTGCATTTGATGAGAGTAGATCCTCTAGTCGTTTTTGAAACACTTAACAGAAATGGACAATCTGTTGCCGAAATTCTCATTAAGAAAGGATGTGAAGATTTATTGGAAATTTTAGCAAAATATCATGTATTGAATGATACTGATGAAAATTTGAGAAAATTGGCGAAAGGCGGAAATTTGGAACGATTTTTCAAAAACAACAACGCGACATCACAAGTACCTCCTTCTTCAAACAGCACTCAACAACCAACAAAGGAGCGTCCATCATCCAGGCAACATCAGCAACAACACCATCTATCAGCCACAAATCAAACAAGAAATCCTCAACAGAAATCACAAGGCGTGACTACAAATAAGGATCAAAATCTTCCACACAAAACAACAGCTGTTGCTTCAAATTCACAACAAGATCAACACAGAACCAACAAACATCAGCAACAAATTCCCACAAAATCGTACACACCAAAACCTCAAGAGCAGAAACAGCAACAACAAACAACATCAGAGACTCCATCCATTGATTATCAAAAGCAGTACGAACAATTCAAGCAGTTGATGCAAGCCAAGTTCACACCAACCGCAGCAGCATCGTCGACAGGGTCAAGCACTGTGAATTCTCAGCAAGAACCACAAAATTCTATTTCTTCAGATACTACTACTACTAGAAATGATCGAGCTCGCAATCATGGCGGACAAAACAAACAACAATTGTTTGTTAAGGTTGAAAAATCACCTCAACAGAATCAAGCGCCACCCCCAACCACACAAGAAAGTCAACAGGATCAGTGACCACCAATACTTGTTCATCTTCTGCACAACCAAAAGTCACTCACCACAAAAAGGATCGTCAACCCCAGCACCCCTCGCAGCGCAATAATAACAAACAATCCAATTCTCAAAAGATTTTGTTTGTGAAAACCAACACAAATTCCTCGTCGGCTCAACAACAATAAATTATTTTACAATAATAATATTCAATACTAGTATTACATGAAAGCGACTTTTTCAAAATATACATTCACAACCTTATATTTTGGATTCAAACGCTTTTCCTTCTCTAACTGTCGAAGCATGACCAATGGAGAAAAAACTCTCTCCTGTTCACGTCTTGTTCGCTCAGCCTCAATAATCTTTTCAGAACCCATTCCTTTATATTCTTCCACAAGTTGAGCTAAAATGTTAATATTCTTTCCACCGAACATGGCCACACTTGAACCTGCAGTTGAATCTCCATCATCCGATTCACCTCCATCCGATTCTTCATCTTCATCTCTCTTTTTATGTTCATAATATGCCTTTTTTAATTTTTCTGTGAGTGTGTTAAATCGACTTCGACCTGCACTTGTGGTTTGTTGAGGAGGCGCTTGTTTTCGTGTGGTGGTGGTGGTGGTGGTAGAATTTGATTCTTCTTTTTTCTTTTCTTCTTCATAGTCTTGTAGAAAACTCATCATGTCCATCGTCGATGATGATCCTTCTTCATTCTTTTTCTTCTTTTTCAAATATTCAGAAGCAGCACGAGTTCGAGTCGTTGAATTTCCAGAAACAGAATTGGCATTGGATGGATTTGTGACACCATTAATGGTTGCTTTTGGAGCTTCCGATCCTCCCAATGGTGACGTGCATCTTCCAGAACTTGGCATTAATTGATTTGGACTCAATGATTGAATTTCCTTTTCATATCCTCGAATACTATCTTTCAATTCTTTCAAATCATGATCATCAATACTGTCTTCACTACTACTTGTATCAGAATCATCATCAATATCCACAATATCGACACTAGAATCTACAGATAAATGATTTGTTGTATTGGTTCCATTCGAAGCATATTTCGATCCAAATAAAACGTGTAATGGAGTTTTCGAAGAAGGTGTCGAAGGATTCGAAGCGCCTAACGATGATGATAATGAACCTTCTCGAGAATGATGATGTGATTTCATGGAATTGATAATTAATTTTCCAAGTGATCGACCAGGTGATGTTGACAACTGACTCGATTCATTTTCACTTGCTGATAAATTATCATTCGAAGTAGAAGACATTGTATTCGAAGAAGGTGCTGACAAATTCGATGATCCATGATGTAAATCCGAACTCGAATATTTTCTCGGCGTTAATATACTTTTGAGTGATGATAAACTTTTCTTTCGTTCTTTCAATGACGTGTTCGAATTTTCCAAAGAAGAAGAAGAAGCAGATGGCGTCGAAGGAGTAGTCGTCGAAGAACTTGTAATTTGTAAAACACCTCGTCGAACAGAGGTCGAAAGGGTCGGAACAGCATTCAAAGACGCCGAGTTGGTATTATTATCGAGATCATGATTCACGAGTCCAGTGATGGAAGCGACGGATTGAGTTCGAATTCGAAGACCTTGTTCACGAGGTTCTTGTGAATTGGGAGTTGGAGAAGTGGAAGGACTGATACTTTCTGGAGAGTGAGTGTTGTTGTGGTGATCGTTATGATTGGCAGAGGAGGTGGAGAGTGTGTTGTTGGATCCACCACCACCAACAACAACACTCGCCGTTTGGGAAGAGAGAGATTTTCGTCTGCCAAACATTTTTTTTGGAAATTGACAAGTGACTGAAGAGGAGGATCGAAGGGGCAAATTGTGTGTGTCATGGGATTTCAGTAAGAACAAAACAAGATAGATCAATAAGATTTAAAAAAACCACTAAGAACTAGTTCGTTACTTTTATCATGGTGATTGAAAACAGAATTAAAAATTAAATGATTCAAGATTGTAAATACAATGAAAGAGCTTTGTCATTGGCTTTCCCTCAATTGAGTAATTTCATCTTCCTCAACAAGTACGTGATTCAGCAAGAAGGAATATTTAAAATATTTTTAGAATTTTTTTTCATCTTTAAAAAAAATGTATTTCGACACTCACAAGCTTTTCCATCATGATGCTCCCAAAGACAATCATCATGTCTTTCCTTACCAGCATTTGGTAGTAGATGAAGGTGCCAAGAAACATACACAGTAAGTATACTAAATCCATAGAGAAGGATGTTGATCACTATTTTTGAAATTTTATGAACATCATGAATGTTGCATTAATATTACCATGATGAATGATTTAATCAACAATAATAATAATACTAATAATAATCGGATGATCATATTTAAGAGATCCAATTGTTACAGGAACATCCATCTTGGGAATTCGATACAATGGAGGAGTCATGTTGTGTTCTGATACATTGGGTTCTTATGGTTCGCTTGCAAGATTCCGTTCCGTAGAAAGAGTTAAAAAGATTGGTAATAATACCATTGTTGGAGCATCAGGAGAATACTCTGATTTCCAATATATTTGTGATTTGTTAGAACAATTAGTGGATCGAGATTATTGTGCTGACGATAAGATTGAAACTTCACCAAGAGCAATTTATCAATATCTTGTTCGTATAATGTATAACAGAAGAAATAGATTCAATCCATTGTGGAATACTTTGATTGTTGCCGGATTTAAGGATGGAAAGTCATTCTTGGGATATACCGATTTATTGGGATCAAACTTTGAGGACGACACTATGGCTTCCGGTTATGGAGCTTACTTGGCTAAGCCAATTCTTAGAAATTTCCTCGATTCTAAGAATGGTGATGTAAATAATATTTCTGAGCAAGAAGCAAGAGAAGTTTTGGAAAAGTGTATGAAAGTTCTCTACTACAGAGACGCAAGAAGTCTTAACAAGATTCAAATTGCTACAGCCACTGCAACTGGTCTCACTGTTTCTGAGCCTTATTCTTTACAAACTGAATGGGCATTCAAAGGTTTTTAAATATTTATTTCATGAAATGTTCAATAAAAACGCCAAGATGATTGTATATTTACTACATGAGGTGTCACGAGATGAGATCATCCTTTGCATGGTCATTTCGCTTACCACAGACTCAGAAGGTAATCACACTAAGGAAAATTGTCCATGAGTGGAGATTCAGACTCTGTTTGAAAAACCTGATCCAACCCTGCTTCTTCGCTGATGTCATGTTCCATAAAATCCTGAAGTGGTTGCTCCAAAAGAATTTCTAAGGTGCTTTTTGAAGCAACAGTATCGTTAAGAGAGGGAGCTATAGGATCAAACCACTCCACTTCATAATCTCCTCATCCCATTGAATCATTGGCTCCATGGTGGGTTGTTTCCAAAACACCTCATCACATTCCATCACATGCTCCTTGAATTCTGAAAAGTCTGATTCTGAAAGAGCAAAGCCTTCATCCATTATCATGATGGATATGTCTGAGAAACAAGCGACGTTTTGAGTATCAATTTCAAATACAGGTGATGATGGAGAGAGTACCATGTTATGGACCGGTGTAGTAGAGTCATATTGTGGTGGAGTTGAATTCGTGCTCTTTCTAAAAGTGGAAGCCTTCTCCTTGTCTAGAGAAGACCTTAATTCATTGTATCTGGCAACAGCATCTGGAGATAGTGCCATCACTCTCTGATTCGTTCTAATACCACTACCTCTTTGTCTTTGAAGTGGTTGAGATATGTTTGTCTGCTGTGGTTGATCATGGGATGGCTTCAAACCCTTAGTACGTTTCGGTACGTTGTTCTTGGTTAAGGTTTGAGAATTGGGTTTCTTTAACAGACCACTTGCTGTATGTTGAGCTTTCTTAAGATCCATACTTCTCTGATTCTCATAAGGATGAAATTTCCTCTTATTGTTGAGGGTTGATGAGGCTTGATCTTTCATTATTCTTTTTTATTTGAAATTCAAAGTGAGGTTGAGAGTTTTTTTTCAAGTCAATTAGTCTCTCCATTCTGAACCATTGTAATCTGTAGTTGGGGTTTAGGAAATAAGGCTTACTTGCATTCTCATATGCTGGATATAGAGACTCATTACAACAATTTTGATGATGGCCCTTCAGTAGAGATGAATAAAGTGATCTTAAGATGATGAGAGAGTCTTTGCATTCTTCCATCTATTGAGAACTTTACCAAAAACAAAGAGGGCAACAAAGAGAGCTGCCAAACAAATCATGTTTAAGGTAACTGTTCCAAAAAGTGTTTTTGGTCCAATGGTCCGGAAGAGAGCAAGTGTGGCACTAGGACCAACCATAGCTCCTGTGGAGCCGCCAAGAACCATTAAACTGGTCATCATACCAGTAATTTCAAGTTTGAGAACGGACGCAGGAATGGCAATTGTCGTTGGATACATGGATGCAATGGAGAAGCCATAGATCAAGCTTGAGACACACATGACTGTCACATTGTCTGAGAAAATCCAGAACATGCTGATGGAAGCTGTGACACCAATCATGTCAATGACTAACATGATAAAAGGTGGAACAAAGTAAGAAATTGGAATAGCAACACCTCTTCCAATGGCAAACAAGAGCCAAACACCAGATGTCAACATGTTGGCTTCAGGATCGTCCAGTAATTTTGTGGATGTCATGTAGCTGTACAGCACATTTCCGTAGGTACCCTCAGCACTGCAATAGTTGAGAAGAGCTAGAGCAACCAAAATGGTGGCAGTGAGTTTGATCATAAATTCAGACCGGCTTGAAGTGGTTGGTTTAGTGACCGGGCTTGACTCAGCTGCATGTTTGTGAATTTCATCAATACTTTCGTGGGATGAAAGTCCTGCTCCTTGTTCCTCGTCATCATTGATATTCTTGAGTTCCTTTTCGACCAACTTCTGAGGTTTTTCATATTTTTCGTCTCTCTTAATCCACAGGTAAAGCATGAATCCTAAAAAGAATAAGATGGAAACCAAGAAGAATCCACAAATGACGGCATTGGTTCCAATGACTGACTTGGAAATTGAGGTTCCTTCAATAAAGCCATTGGAAGTTGTGCCATTGGTGAGGAGGGAGGTTCCATTTTCCAAATGTTCAAAAATAGAGTTTAACTTTGTCATGGTTTCGCTTTGATCTACAACAACCAATTTGGAGTTATCAATTCCCAGCAAAGCGTTCACAGTCATAACCACAGTAGGGCCCAAAAACAGGCCAATTCCAGCACTGAAGTGAAAAAGTTGTGAAAATGGAGACACATCAATTTTCATAGCTGACCAAATGGTAAACAATAAAGCTTGTGCACAAATACCTAAATAGCCACTTCCAACTCCAAATATGAAGAAAATAATGCATAATGACCAAAGTGAGGATCCAAAAGGCATTAAAACAAGTGAGAAAGCCATAACCAAAATTGAGACAATTAATAAACTATAAATTGTGAGTGTTTCGTAGAGATTTTTTCTGTTTTGATCCTTAATCTTTTTGTCGATAAATTTCCTAATTGCATCCATTACAAGGCCACCAATGATTGTTGTGACAAGTGAACCAATACCTCTAATGGTAAAAACAATTCCAACTTGCTCTTTGGTAGTTCCAGTTTGTTTGGCAAATACGTTGATCAATGAACCGACGCACGAGGCACCGATACAAAATGACGTAATCGAGAAATTCAATAACATGGTTTGTAAGAAGGCATTGGTTAAAAGTACGGCTTTGAGTTTTTGCAAATTCTCTTTCAGTTTGGTTGGCAGTGATTGGAACCATTTGGTAGGTGTGGTGTTTGATGATGAAGAAGAGGTTTGGCTTGCTGATCCCGATGCAGATTTCAAAGGGTCACCCGAAGTCTTGGTAAAGGAGTCTTCTTCATCGGCCAGGGCAATTTCATTCATGCCTGCATCATCATCATCACTACCATCAACACTACCACCTGCGGTTTCAGGAACATCAAACTTGTTTCTAGAAGGTTTGATGCCATCACGAGTATTGTGGTGATGCTCCGACATGAAAACCAAGCCAGCGCCGTCCGAAGAGGCATTATCATCATAGGGATTCACTGGAAAATCATCCATATCCTGTTCATAGTCTTGGAGCGGTTTTGGTGTCATTGTATCAATGTGTTTGTATGATTTGGAAATAAATTATAATAACAAGAGAGTAAATAGTGATATTATTCCAACAAGCTCAGGTTTTGTAGACGACTCAATTGAAATACAAGGTAACGATTGAAAGTACTTTCAAGCACTAACAGTATTCGGAGAGACTTGTTGTCGTTCTTGCTGTTTTTTCAACGTGTGTTTCAGACTCCGATGAAAGACACCGAGTTCAAATAATTTCTCACGAAGGCCGTTTTTAGCAACATGTTGAAAAAAGGAAGAGTGGATAATTATAACTGAATCATACCCAGACAACATGAATAGTAGGTCGAAGTTGAGGCATGGCAATTGGATGATACGAAGGTGAGGTGGGTCTTGAAATTTTAGAATTTGACACTTTTAGAAAACAAGATAGTCGCGTTCGTTTTGATTGATCAAGTGAAAAGGGTAATTCACTAAGCTGGTGGCTTATGCATCCTATCTAGTTTTCCTGATTAAGAACTTTACATCAATACATGTATTGGTGAACACTAATATTATTCATCACATTGGACAAGATACACCATCTTAATAGGAAGATGGATAAATATTCAAAACATCACAGGCAGCTCACTCTTTTCAATCTCATTTTCAATCAACAACAGGTACTATCTATATTTCCTTAAATAATAACAATTTAATCTATTGAATGTCAATGACAATTTTTCCAACTGTTCGTTGAGATTCCATTTGCAACTGTGCTTCCTTAATCATGGAAAGATTGAAAGGAATTAAAGGAATTTTCTCAAAGGCTCTATTCTCTAAGAGTGCATGATTCATGAGTAAATTCAAATCCTTAACATTTCGATCCAACATGATGAAATGGAATTTTGGATAGCAGGATGAGAAGGATCTCAATTTGTTCATTGCAAGAAACGATCCAACTTTCAAAATATTGGTCAATGTCATTTGTGGTTCTGTGGGTGGGGAAATGGTCGTAAACACACAATATGGGTTCGCATCTTTACATGATGAATTATGACAGACATCATCATAGTAGTAATAACCTCCAACACAATCAAGAACCAAATCGACATAATTGATATCGTAATTGGTTTTCAAGAGTTGACAAATACTTGGTAATTCTGAGGAATCAGATTTGTGTGTGGTGTGAGATCCAGCCTTAGCTGAGGATTTGGTATAGTCAATAATACCATCAGCTCCCAATGACTTGACAAACTGTGAATTCCTTTCTGAACACACGGCATAGACCTTGGTGTTGAAATATCGATGGAGAAATGTTTTTGCAAACAATACAGCTACAGAACCAGTACCTAACATCATCAATGGAAATTGCAAATACCACAATACGTTCCATCACAAACATACACACACATATTCAAAGTTAAACGTTGTCCAATGATTCCTCTCGTTCACTCTTGAAACACTTACCTCCTGAGGCTCCAATAACTAAAATTCTCATTTCTTTCTTATTCTCATCACTGAGAGGATCTGAAATTCGATGTTCCTTAAATGCCAATTGTCCTTCCCGATCTAACACTTCTCCAATAGCAGGATGTCTTCGATACATTTCCATAATGGTACCACCAACGAGTGGAAAAGCACATGCTTGTTGGAAAGTCATTTCTGAAGGTTTTAGTACAATTTCGTCTTCTTCATAGCAAGCATATTCAGCATAGGAACCTATGGATGTTGTTGACATGAAAATGATGACCATTTGTTCAGATATTGAGGAGAGAGATCATCAGTGAAAGGATTGTTTCATCCACTTACCTGTTCTCTTTTGTGTTAAATAACCACAAACTTCATCGCCAACTTTAAATCTTGTGATCTTGGATCCAATCTTCTCAACAACTCCACTTCCGTCTTTACCTAAAATACATGGGAATTGCAAACTTGACAACATTTTCATTGCACCTTCTCTCATCTTGTAATCGACAGGATTTACGGAAGCTGTTTTTAATTTGACCAAAATCTCATTGTCTTTTGGCTCGGGAATGGGAACATCGTCACGAAGAATAAAATTAGGTTCCTCACAATAATCTTCAATGATTTGTGCTTTCATGATAATACTCGGAAAATGAATTGTTTGAATCGAACGACAATCAATAAAGGAATTTTTTTGATGAGTGAAAAATGAAGCGTGCGCATTTTCGAGATGAAATAAAAAGCTCCTCTTAAGGCGCTCAACGTCGAATTGCAAAGGAACGGAGAGTAAAATGGTTCGTCCGTGTTGCTATTGGAAACTTAAATGAATGGGATGGAATACACTGAACTATATGATTAATGTTTCGAAAATAGAGGTCTTTACTGTTTTTCTAACTCCTCACCTTAGGAAGATGCACACGATTGAGAATGACATGTGATCACTTTGTCATCTCTCGAGTTCCAAAACAAAAATGCTAAACTTCAAAAAGCCAAACTTCAAGGAAACCAAAAGGACGGTTCTCCCTCGGATACATGACCAAATGCTTTTGAATAATAATCAACAACAGCAACAGGGAAATCCAAATGGAGGTATGATTGGTCTTGATGATGAGAATATGATTTTTACGATCGTTTTATTATTTTGGCATAATATTCTTTTCTTGGTGATGATCATGGAAATGATGAACGTACAACAATGTATGAATCATAACGGATCAATTCAATGATGATGATATTGAACAAATACATGGATGATAACGATGGATATTTATTTTGATTTATTCTTTGATATCGGATCAAATATGGTTGTCATATCATGATGGTTAATTATTTAAATTCTATGGTACCACTTGACCAAATTTGAAAACAACAGGCATATCCTCTTCATCTTCCTTTAAAATAGCAACAACCTCTACTTCCACTTCCAACAATAATCCCACCATCAATACCCAGCTCTCCAACAACAAACCTCCATTTCCTCTCACCCGAACCAACAACGGGTCTTCTACCACACAACTCAACACACAACTCAACCCAAGAGCAGGCTCAACAGCAAGCCATTTCCGTACGAGAAGTTTTGGGACGGGTACTCAAAACGATCTTGACAACATGATGATGTATCAACCACAACAAGCGTACAATCGATATGGCCAGAACATCTCCACTTCCTTTACACCCCCAGACACATTTGACTTGATGGATTACGAATTACTGTTGATGCAACATAAGAAACACATTGAACAACAGCAGCAACAATCACAAGCATCCAATGCAGGTGTCACTTCTCCCAACAAATTCAATCTTCAACTTCCTTTGGCAAATATGCCTTCCAATACAACAGCAAATACCACACCCCGAGGCGCTACGACCACACCCCGAGGTGGAACCACGACACCAAGAGGAGCCACAACACCAAGAAGAGAACGAACAGATCAAAATGCAACAGGAGAGGAGGGAGCTGTGAGCGAGGACGAGCCCATAAGTCCTGCGGCAGCTGATGATGCTTCAACTCGTGGTGGTGCTCCACCCAAACTTACTCAGCAAAACATGTCACAAGCTACTTCCAACAACACGAACGTCACGTCAACAAATCAACACACTAATGACTCGCTATTCCACAAAGTTTTCCCTTCCAATTCTTCCAATCAATCAAAACCTAAACAACAGCCTGTCACACAAAATCTTGATTCTCTCTTAACTATAGAATTAAAACCAAGGAGAAATCCTGCTCTTGGAAATGGAATGCTCCAAGAATACAGACCTACCACAAGTCCTCTGGTGAGATACATTGCCACATTTGTTCCTCATAAACGAGGTGGTGTCCACAAGGTCAATGTGCCAATACCTACCATTTCTGCACATAGCGGATCTGGATCATCACTTACATTTACACCAACTGATTTGATTCGAAAAGCTCTCGAGTTATACCGAAGAGAAACTGATCTAGAACCCATTTCGAATGATGATAGAGCTTATCAATTGAGAGTCGCAGAGGAAGATGGACTTCCAGATCTCAGCTGGCCAACATTAACAAAGGACAAAACAGTTATTGAACAATTAGGAAATGAAAAACTAGTGCTTGTCTATGACAGAGACTTTCAACCAGTTTCATCGAGTGGATCGCTTGCAACTGATGACGAAAGCTCTTCTAACAACAAAAATAGAAAGGAGCTCAATATCAAGTTCGGAGGTGATGAAGTTTTCACAAAATTCAATTTGGAAGATATTAGATTACAAGTATATTTACCCCCAACAAACCATTCATGCTCAACTCCCATTTCATCAAATCCCAATCCAAATTTATTTACAACAGCAATGTCATCATCAGCCAATACTCCACGAAATTTTTTCAAACTTGTACCAGTATCTCCAGAATTATTGCTCAAAGATCTTCAAAAAGTACTTTGTCAACGTTTTTCACTTAACGCTAAAAAGTACACTTTACGTTACATTGGACGAGACAATGTCGAGCGAGAAATTAGCAAAAACCATAGAGACAAAACACTGTATTCGTTAGGAAGCTTGATTGAAAGAGTAGTACTTGTAAGAACGGCACCCTATGAAAACGATTTTGAGTTAACACCAAACAAGGATCTTTCAGGATCTCCAAATCAATCCAGCTTGGCTGGAGTCGGGTCACCACCTGCATACGTCATTCCATTCATGACACCCTATGACAGTACTGAAAATGTATATCATGTCATTAAGACAAACAAGTTTGGATCAAGGCAAGAGAGAATTCTTAGCTTTGACTCTGAAAATATTTATAACAGCAAGCCAGCTTCCACATTCCTTGGATTTCAAAGCCATAAATCCACAAAACATCCAAAGAGGCCCATTACTAGTCTCAAGACTGTTGAATGTGATCCTGCAAATCCAAAATGTTTCACTCTTGCTTTCGAGGATGAAACATTATATTATGAAGCTAGAACAGCTGTGGAAGCTGAAACCATTGTAAAGAGACTTGAACACTTGTTGCTTGTGAAAAACCATCCAATGTACAGAAGAAACCGAAATTCATTTTCTGCTGCAAGAGCTTTATCTGATTTAGCACCAAGAAGGTGATTCTTAATTTATTTAAGTACAATTTCATGTTGTATTGTTTCAACTTGTTATAATAATAAGTACAATTTTTGTTGTAATGTTTACAGTAATGTTTGAGTTATCAACGATGGTCGTCACGTTCGGGTCAAACATTTCATGTCCGTTCTTGATTGACATAGTCACTATTGTGACTGGTTTGGGTTGACTAAGGGAACATACATTACACCCATTACGGATTGCTTTTTGACTTTACCATTCACATCTTTATCAATGACCATCAAATCTTGAGACCATTCACCAACAGGAATGACCATGCGTCCACCAGGAGCTAATTGTTCCACGAGTGCTTGAGGGAGTGTGGCTGCGGCTGCTCCCACGTGAATGGCGTGATAAGGACCGCTCTGAGGATATCCCTTCCAACCATCCCCTCGAATTAATTCTATAACACCTTTCTGGACAAGTCGTTTCATTCTTTCACTCTAAGAGATGACAAGGTCGTACGTATTAATAATGTTGTAAGATATGATTTATATGATAACATGACAACTATTGGTTTCATTAATGTTTGAATAACTTACTTTTTGTTCAATATTATTCTTTCCAAATGCATAGACTTCTTCTACATATTCAATACCCACAACTTTGGTGTTTGGTACAATATTCTCTGGATCTGGTACTAGCATTTCAGCCATGCAAGCTAACAAATAACCACTTCCGCTACCAACATCCAATACACGATTTCCAGGTTTGAGGTGATCTTCCAACAGTTGTAACGCATAGGCATGCTTTTCAATGATTCAAATATTGATCATTAATATTCACACAATATTAATAACAAGATTACAACAGATTTCGTTACAAACATACCATATGCGGAGCAGAAATGGTTGCTTCTTCACTGATCGGAAGCGGTCTATCTTCATAAGCGTACGGAACCCATGCAGTTCTACAATATAATGCACGATCTGTTGCTTCCATTGCTTGTTTAATCAGAGGATTTGTGATGAGTTTTGCTTTTGCGAGTTTTGAAACCAACTCGTGGTTGGTCGTTCCGCTGCATCTCCAAGCCATTTTTTGTGTCGAGTTGTTGCTGCAACAAGATTGGTTGTTGTGGTAGTTGCAACAAATTCCAAACTAGAGATTAATTATGGAAAATGTATTTACTAAGAAAAATGAATTTTTGAATTCTAATACAGATTCAACTTTTATTTCTAACCTTGATTTCATTGGGATTTTGCTGAATGGAAACTGGTATTTGCAAAAAGAGGGTTTCAAATATCATTTCATTACAAAAGTATCTTTCAACAATTGTTGGTCTCGGAGAATCCCGAAAAAAAAATGTCCTCACAAACAGGAGCTTCCTCTCCTTCGGTGTCATCGTCATCAAATGTTGCGGCAGCCGTGAATTTGAACGAATCAAAGATGACATCATTGCAAGCTCCTCCAAAACAAGACAATACAAAATCATTTCTGGTTCAATCTTCTCCGATTGTTTCTTTCATATCGGGAGCAGTTTATGGATGTACTTCCGTGGCTGTTGGTCAGCCGTTAGATACGATTAAAACAATTATGCAATCGACATCAACCATCAATCAACACAATGCAACTACTTTGGGAGTGATTAAATCAATTTATAACAAGCATGGTTTTTGGGGATTTTACAGAGGTTCTCTCCCTCCATTGGTTACTGCATCAATTTTGAGAAGTTTACAATTTGGTGGTTATGCTATGGCATTAAGTTATATTATGGACCATCATCTCATGTCAAACAATGATTTTAGAAAAGAAAATTTAAACGTTTTGGAAGAGAAACGATTCGTACTTCATCCTGAAATGTTTGTGGCAGGTTGTTTTGGAGGAGCAGCTCGTGCAATTGTGGAAACTCCAGTAGAGTATCTAAAAGTGAGAAGACAAACCGATCAGCCTTGGAAGTTATTGGAAGTTTATCGTGGATTTACAGCAACATTATTGAGAAACATGTTCTTATTGGGAACATTCTTTGTGTTTGTTGATTTTTTCACACAAGAATATAGAAATTTACAAGTGAGACAACAATTGGCATCATTGAAATCTGATGAAGAACGAGAACAAGCAAAAGGTTCACATTTTGAATTTAAAAAATTGTCACCTTTTTTCACTGGTGGAGTTTGTGCAACGTTGGCATGGTGGTTGGTATGTTTGAAAAGATTATTTGTTATTTATTAATAGTGGAAAATCAATATGATAATCATTTACATTATATTTTTACGATTTCCAAAATCAAAAATTAATACTATTGTTATCGATGATTGGAATCATCATTTGAATCCAAAACACAGGTCTTCCCATTGGATGTCATTAAAAGTCAAATTCAATCCATGAGACCAGATGAAAAATTAGGAGTTTTCCAGAGATTATCCATTGTGGGAAAGACACTTGGTGTGAGAGGATTTTTCAGAGGAATTGTTCCTGCGTCTATGAGGAGTAGTTTGGCCAATGGTGTCTCAATGATTGCATTTGCCTATGTTTCTTCGTATCTCAATCAATGGGACAAAAAGTGAATGTTAAACAGTGTCCAAGTTTTATTTCCTCACATTGTCATCTTTTTTGATAATTTAAATAAATATTTATAAAGGAAAATATTTAAATTCTGTCAACACCTCAACAATTGACCGTCGTGACGAACAACTCTTTGCTAAAGGTGCATCTTCATGAGAAGTATTTAGTTTGGCCATTAATGTCTCAATATATTTTTGCTTGAATAACCCTCAATCAATTGGCAAATAAGTAAGGTGTCCTCGTCTTTTCAAAATTAACGATCACTCAAATGACCATAAATGACCATTATTAACACAAACGAAATTTGTAAGAGATACATTGTCAAATTTTCAAAACCCTTTTTGACACTCACTCAAAATGGTACTGTCACACAACATGTCGAGTTCATTTCCACAAGGGAGCACTCTTCCTGGAACACAAAAAAAGCGTTACAAGTCGTTTCTTCTTCTTCCAACACTCTATTTCAATATCAACGAGAGATCACTCGTTTTAACTCAATAACAATAACCAACCATTGAGAGAGACGACACACAATGGCCAGTGTTCCGTCGTCATCATCAGGATCCTTCTTGAACACTCCCTTTCACACTCTCTCGACGGATCAAGTCTTGTCCTTGTTCGGTGTCGAGAGTGTTCGTACTGGTCTCACTCAGCAACAGTGTGAAACTAATTTGAAACTCTATGGTCGTAATGAATGTCCAGTGGAAGAAGGAACTCCATTATGGAAGCTAGTATTGAAACAATTTGATGATGTTCTTGTCAAAGTAAGTGGTTTTTCAAATATATATATATATTCAACATATGGATGAATATATTCAATCATGATGATGACGTCTTTGATTGGAATTTGATGATTGAATGGATGATCATCGACGATCGGGTTTTTGATGTGAATAATCGCCATCGTCATCGTCATCATCAACGATCGACTCGACTGTTTTAGATTCTTCTAGGAAGTGCTTTAATTTCATTTGTATTTGCTTGTTTCGAAGAAGAAATTACTTGGGGTACTTTTATTGAACCACTTGTCATTGTGATTGTTTTGGCTGTGAATGCTTATATTGGTGTGAAACAAGAATCAAGGTTTGTTTTTTCAATCTATATTCTTCGATAAGAGAATTTCTTACGTGTCTCTCGTGATGATACTTGTCATTTGATGATGGTTGACATAGTGCTGAGAAAGCCATTGAAGCATTGAAACAATACGAAGCCAATCGTGCCATTGTCATTCGAGATGGAAATGTGAAGGAAATTGATGCGGTTGAACTTGTTCCTGGTGATCTCATTAAAATCAATGTGGGATATACGGTTCCAGCCGATGCTCGAATCATTAGTCTCGATTCGACAACGATTAAAGTCGATCAGAGTGCTTTGACTGGAGAATCTGTGAGTGTCATGAAAGATCCAGAACCTGTCAAACAAGAAAAGATTGAACTACAAGGAAAAACAAATATGGTCTTCTCTGGAACTTTGGTGGTTTATGGAAAAGCTTTGGCAATTGTCACACAAACTGGAACCAAGACAGAAATGGGTAAAATTTCAACCAGTTTGTCGAATAAGAAGAAGAAGAGTGAAGAACAAGAAGAACAAGCTGACCATAGTGAAAAGACTCCGCTTCAAAAGAATTTGGATCAATTTGGTCATCAATTGACTATTGGTGTTGGTATTATTTGTGCCATTGTGTTCTGTATGAACATTCCACATTTTAGGTATGTGTTTTTGTGTGATATTATTATTTGTTATGTGGCCAACGTGTGTGACATTATTATTTGTTGTGATCTATTTGACGTATTTGTTATCATCTATTGGTGTGAATGGTATGATCATATTAGTGACCCAATGTTTGGTGGTTCTTGGATTCGTGGAGCTATTTATTATTTGAAATATAGTATTGCTTTGGCAGTTGCTGCAATTCCAGAAGGTTTACCAACAGTATGTTTTTTTTTGAAACTTGTTGAAATATCTGAACATCTGTGAAAAACTATTTCATATGATGTGAATAATATACTTATGAAACATCAAAAAGGTCATTGTAATGACATTTTCTATTGGAGCTCAAAGAATGGCCAAAAGAAATGCAATTGTTCGATCACTTCCTGCAGTAGAAACATTAGGAGCATGCAGTGTGATTTGTAGTGACAAAACTGGTACTTTGACCACAAACAAAATGTCTGTCTGTCGAGTGGTCACCGTTGAAAACATTGTCGGAGAAAATGTTCAATTGAATGAATACACTGTTGAGAATTCACAATTCAATGCCAATGGAAAAATTCTCTTAAATGATTCTCCACTCTCTGATCCATTCATATCGAAGAGTTTGATTGAAACTTCAAAAGTTTGCTCTCTCTGTAATGATTCTTCACTTATTTATAATGCAGAGAAGAAGGTAAGGAGGAATTTTGAATTTTAATATGAACGAACCAAAGGATATTCAACAACTTGTGTTCTTTTACATTTGGTATGAATTCGTGTTCTTTTTCCTTTGGTATGAATTCTTGTTCTTTTTCCTTTGGTATGAAAATAGGATGTTGAAGTTTCAGGTGAGCCAACTGAAGCTGCATTACTCGTTCTTTCAGAGAAAATCAAAGCTCCAAAGGAATGTGGAATTTCTGAATCGAGTGATTTATCCATTCGTTTCAATCAATATTCCAAATATTGGAGAGAAAAATATAACAAAGAATTTACTCTCGAATTTACAAGATCCAGAAAGAGTATGTCTGTCTATGTCAAGGAAGGAATTTTATTCTGTAAAGGAGCGTATGAAAATGTCATTGCTCGATGTGACAGAGTGTTCATTAATTCATCTGGAAAAATCATTCCATTAACAGAGAATATGAAAACTAAATTAATTAATCATATTCGAGAGAATTTATCAGACAAGTTGGCACTCAGATGTTTGGCAACTGCCTTTGTTGAAAAGAATTTGTCCAAGAAGGACATTTCTGATCCAGAGACGTTTGACAAGATTGAATCGAATATGATCTTAACATCGGTGTGTGGTTTGATTGATCCTGCAAGACCAGAAGTGAAAGGAGCGATTCAAACATGTAGAGAAGCTGGTATTAGAGTGATTGTGATTACAGGAGATAATAAGAATACTGCTGAAGCGATTTGTAAGGTAAGTTTTTATAGTGTCACACTTGTCCATTTGTTCATTTTTATATATATATATATACACACACATACGTAAACGATTGGAAACGTTCATGTCACACTTGTGTCAATTTATTCATACACACACACCTAAACCAATGGAAAACTTTCATTCTATTTAGGGTATTGGACTATTCAATGACATTGATGAATCCATTTCCTTGACTGAACAAAATCTCTCCTTCACAGGAAAAGAATTTGAAGAAATGCCTCTCGAACGTAAACGTCAAGTCATTCAAACTGTAAGACTGTTCTCTCGTGTCGAACCTCAACACAAACTCGACGTTGTTCGTCTCATTCAAGAACAAGGACTAGTCGTAGCCATGACTGGAGATGGTACCAATGATGCCGTTGCATTGAAATACAGTAATATTGGTATTGCTATGGGTTCTGGAACGCAAGTTGCACGTTCGAGTGGAAAGATGATTTTACAAGATGATAACTTTTGTTCAATTGTAGCAGCGATTGAAGAAGGAAGAGTGATTTTTAACAATACGAAACAATTTATTAGATATCTCATTTCGTCAAATATTGGAGAAGTTATTTCCATTTTCTTTGCATCATTGATTGGAATTCCAGAACATTTGAATACCATTCAATTATTATTTTGTAATTTAGTGACAGATGGATTACCTGCCAACAGTATTGGTCTTAATCCAGGTTCTCCTAATATTATGAAAGAAAAACCAAGAAATCCCAATGAACCCCTTGTCAATGCATGGCAATTTACAAGATATTTAATTGTTGGAACTTATATTGGAGTGAGCACAGTATTGGGATATATTTATTACTTTGTGTATTTCCATGAAGGACCTCAAATTAGTTATCATGATTTGGTGAATTTTGGAAAATGTGATCCTGTGACTAGTTCTGTGAATTGTGCATTGTTTGATCGAGAGAATTTGGCAAGACCTTCCACCATTTCTCTTTCTATTTTAGTTTTTATTGAAATGTTGAATGCTTTGTGTGCCATTTCCGAGTATGATAGTATCTTTGTGAATTCTCCAACAAGAAATATTTATTTGATCATGTCTGTGGTGTTGAGTATGGCCATTCATTGTTTGATTTTATACGTTCCTGGATTGAATGTTCTATTTAATGTCTATCCTATTAGTTGGCATGAATGGCAAATTGTCATTGCTGCCTCGTTACCTGTCTTGTTGATTGATGAAGCATTGAAATTTATTGGAAGGAATTTTATTGTACCAAAGAACTCTACAACAGTCAAATCGACCAAGAAAAATGAATAAATATAACTGTGTTAATATCACACCGAAACTCTCTCATTAACAATGATGATCTGTTAGGCACATGTAGAACATAAACAGATTTCACTGAGCTACATTCCACTCAAGTGTTTGAGTTACTGCTGATGCATACACAAACTCTGGAGTTTGGAATGCAGAATCGGGAAGGTTTAACTCTTTCAATTCTTCTTTCAGTTCAGCTAAATGTTCGCTGTCTCCAATCACAATCAGAGAGTCAAGATCTTCGCTCTCTTCGACTTTTGATTTGAGAATGTCAATGTCTATCACGTTACCTCCTCCAAACTCGATAAGTTGAGTTTGAATTTCTGCATTGTTTGTTTTTGGATCAATATAAAAATTGAGATTTGTAAATATTGGTTGTTCTAACGCTCTTCGTTGTGACTCTAACAAGTCATGTCCACACGACAGCACAAAATCTTTTTCGTTCAAGAATCCATTTTTACGCTCTGACGCCCTCAACCATTCTGAAGTAACAACGTGACAGCCACGAATAATGCAAGTCATGGTTTTCAGAGTTCGTTTGTATTCGTCACAAACAATATGAGTAACTTTAGACAAGTCCTTGACATCCATCTTCACTTGCCCTTTGAGAATAGTGACCATTTCAATCAGTTCCTTAATATTCTTCACAGTTGAAAAGGTAACGACTACATTCTCACACTCACTAAACATGTCGTCGTCCGAAGATGATGTTTTACGCTTTTTCTTTTTCTGTTGAGATTTCGTAGTGGTCTTTGAAATGTTATCTTCTGTGTCCAGGTCCACTTCTGAATATTTCTTTTCAATATTGGCATAGTCAATTTTGTCCTTGTTCCTTAATCGTCCGCTTCTTCTTTGACCATTTCCATCAAAGGAATTTGTTGTGACAAAGTTGGAATCATCAGAATCGTCATCAGAATCATTGTTTCTTCTACTATAATACTTTTTTCGTTTTTTCTCTTCTTCTTTTTGTCTCAACTTTTCTTCACGCATGATTCGTTCTTGTTCCTTTCTTAATCTCTGTTGCTCTTTTTCGATTTTGGAATAATTGTAGGTCTGTTTTGGCTTGTTAGAAAGTCTAGTAGATCTTCTTGTTTCGGTTGTAGAATCGACTGATTTTCTTTTCTTGGAAGAAGAACTTTGTGTTGCGCTTTCGGATTTTGGTAACAGACCCTTCTCAAGCCCAAGATTTGCCAGTAACATTTTGTTTCTTTCAATATTTCTCTTTCGTTCTTCTTCATAGGAATTTGCATCTGGAATTTCGACATCTTCATCATGATCATCATCGTCTTCATCAGTTGCCTCTACTTCGGAATCGCTTTCTTGAATATTTATTTGTGGTCGTTTGAATAATTCGGGAGAAGGATCTGACACGGATGTGCTCGTTGATGATAGAAGAAACAATGGCGATGATTCTTCTGCTTCGTCGGAGTGGGTCATTTTTTTTATGTGAATTTTATTCCAACATCTGCAGGAAGCGGGAAACGGTTTTCGGTTGGAAAAGAGCGGGAGGGTGCATTCGTAATCGATTTCCCTCTCTTGAAAAACAAAAAAAATATTGAAACAACAACAATGGAATTTGATGCACGACGACAAATACAAAAAACTCTGGCTCTGATAAAACCTGAAGCAGTTGCAAAGGGATATGAAGAGGAAATAATGGAACGGATTGTTGATGAGGGATTTACAATTGTGAGGTGGGACAAAATGCATTTACCAGAGGAAAAGGTCCAAATGTTTTACCGAGAGCATGAAGGAAAGGAGTTCTTTCCGAAATTAGTGGAATATATTTCGAGTGGACCATTGATAGTACTAGTTTTGGCAAAATACAATGCTGTTCAGGCATGGCGAGAATTGATCGGACCAACAGATGTTGAATTAGCAAAAATTTCAAACCCACGATGTTTGAGAGCATTGTATGGAACAAACAAAACTTATAATGCTTGTCACGGTAGTTCTGACCCAGAGAGTGCTCGACGAGAAATTAAATTCTTCTATCCCAACAGTAAGTACTTTACTTTAGCATACGTTTTTGAAATATGTATCCTGTTGCCATAAATAGTAAATACTGATCCAATTCTGACAAATGTTGAAGGAAACACGTACATTCAAGACCGTCTTCAATCCTATCTCATTGAAGGATTAACGAAATTAGCCAAAGAGAAACCTGAAAATCCAATTGACTGGCTTGCTCGATGGATCCTTGACAACAACCCAAACAAACCTATGGTCGAAACAGTTGAAGAATAATGATTGAGTTGTTAATGAATATAGTATTATAAGTTTCTTGTATTAATCAAATATAGATATTTATTTTACAGCGATTGAATTTTCTTATCAATCTCCAAAATTATATCACTGTTCTCATTGTATATTCCTGATTTTAACAGTCTTGCTTTTTCCCTTAGTAAACGATTCACTTCCTTACTTCTCGAATCTTCTTTAAATGGATTGGACGGTGACGAGTTTGAAAAAGTCTGTGCATCCAATGAAATATCTTGCGTTTCATTATTATTGTCCTTATCTGCTTGTTCGTAGGAGCCATCCAACAAAGGAGATGAATCTTGTGGTGTTGACCTTGTCTTTTTTGATGAGGACACTTCTCTTTTCTTTCTTGGAGGCGACGGAGAGGAGTTTCTAGAATCTTCGCCAGAAGAAGAACTTGAGGAGGAAGTGTTGAGTTGTTTGTCTTGTTTTTTCTGATCTCGCTCTTCCTTTTTGATTAAATCAGATATCAGCGTTTTGAGAGTATTGACTTCATCTTCATGTTTCTCAGAGGATATCCTTGGCGGCGTTGATCCCAAAGGATGGTGATTAAGCAGGTTGGAGTCGTAATATACAGGGTTAGTAGTGTAGGCAGAACTATGCATCGATGGAAAAGTTGGTGGAGGGCCATAGGAGTTCCATACGGATATTGAAAGGGAGATGTAGGATTAACGGATGGGGTGACTTGTTGTTGAAGTTGATGTAAGGCCATGACTTGCTGATGAAGCTTCCTTAGTTCAGCCTCATGTTTCTTTTTGGCTCTCTGTAACTCCTCTGTCACCTTTTTCCATTGCAGCTTGTAGCTTTGCTTGGAGTTTGTTGTTTCATGAAGTTTTGATTCCAAAGATTCATTTTCAACTTGGAGTTTGGTAATTTTTTCATTCAGCTCCATAACATCGTGTGACAGCTGTTGATCAATTCGTTTCTGTAACTCCTGATTTTTGATCGTTTCAAGTTGTAATCGATGCTGGAAAGATTCCTTTTCCATCTTGATCACATGTTCCATATGTTCTAATTTTCGAGCGTAATCACTTTCAAGCTCTGTTTTCCTTCTTCTTAGTTCTTGCTCGACTTGTATGAGTTGTTTTTCCCTCTTTTCCATATCCTCCAAAGCTTGTGTATACTTCATTTCTTTTTGTTTTAACATCTCCCTTTGATCTGTTAATTGTTTGTCCTTTTTTGAGTATTCCTCCCTCAGGGCTGCTTCCACCTTCTGAAGATGCATCTGTTCTTTTTGTTCCAATTGTTTTTTGAACACTTGTTTTTCTCGCTTCTTCCAAAGCTCCAACTCCCATGCTGCTTTATATTCCGGTGTATTTCTGATGAGTTCTTTGGCAAGCAATTGTTGTTGCTCTTCGTTTAGGGAGGATAAATCAACCTCTCCAAAACTACTTGATGAAACATTCTCCCCCATTTGCATGCCTTCATTACTGCTATTGCTCAGCATCATTTCCGATAAGAAGCAAAATCAATGATGATCCAAACAACGGAATTGCTTAATTGATGATTTTTTTTTTGATTTTTGTACGAATTTTTGGCGCCATCTTTATTTGATTCAACTCCTTTGAAGAACCATCTTGAACACCATCTCACCAGGCTCGAAATTTGACATTGGTACATGATACTTTTACGGAAACATTTCAATTCATGGTTGAATTATGAAGTCCCTACGGTTTGGAACTTGTTTGCAGTCGCGTTCAAAAAGGAATCAAAAAAATGGGAAATTCAAGCTCTCTACCTTTCGTGCTGCGGCCCGAATTCATTGTACCAGTATTGATTGTCATATTGGTATTTTCTTTATGCGTTTCATTATTGGTCTACAGATTCCTAACACGAAGAAGAAGGAGGGATGGAAGCTCCGAACCTCTTTGGTTATTGGCAGGAGGATTATTTAGAAAATCATCATCCCGACGACAGTCGTCTACAAACAGTGAAGAATTTGAAGAAACATTGCCTTTAACCAGTAGCAAAAATTTGACTGGTTACTATAACCATCATCAAGAAAATTCATCATGGCTTGATGGCTTCTCTAATTTGTTTACACCTCGAAAACGAACCGAGGAAAATTCGGAGGAGAATTTTACGGTGTCATCTGAGCTATTGTTCCAAGTGAAACTTTTCTTGAGAACAACGGATTATGAGCTTGTAGAGAAGAAGGAAACATTGAAATTATTGCTGGACTCAAAAAAAACGCATACCAAAAACAATGCTTTCAAAACTTTTGTTTTTTGCGAGAATACATCATCCACAAATACTATAGCAACAATCATTTGTACGAATACGACGAAACAACCATTTTCATTGATAACAGATTTAAGTTGCAAGAGAGCGTTCTTACAATTTATGTCAGGACTTGGTCAATTATCACCGTATATCCTCAACGTGATACACATTGATTTAGACGGCCAAGGAAAGTGTTTCGCTCTTGTTCCTTATATGAGCGAAGGAGCGTTATTTGATTTGTTGGAAAAAACGAAGCGAGAAAATCCTAACATACAATCTTTCATGGATCCAGATAGTATCAGCCAACTTTCTGGCCAAATATTGTGTGCCTTAAAAGTTCTTCAACAAATAGGGATTGAATTTACTCATTTATCTACAAAGAATATCTTGATTGAAAAGTCAAATGATATTTCCTCAAGCGTACCCTATACATGCAAATTAAGTTGTTTGGAAGATCAATTTTTATTATTTTCAAGAAATACATTTACGAACACAGCCAAGAATGCAGTTGAAGCATTTGGATTTGTTCTCTATGAGATGTGTACAGGTATACCTTGCAAAGCTGCCACAGATATTAATTTGGATAGAGTATTATACGCCTCATTCAGGAAAATTTTGAATGACATTTTCCCATTGTCACTCGCTCATGAAACGTCAACCTCTCAAACACATACAAGTGTGACGTTAGATCAACTATTGAACGATGAAGCATTTTATTGCGATCCAAATGTTGTTGCTTCCATGAAAAATCAAGAAGTGGTAAGTTGTGGATTGTACATCAGTCTACGTTACTATATGCTCGTTATTAAGCAAATGGGATCTGGGCTAAAATCACTGCTAGAAAAGCTTCACCAATTCCAAACACAAACCAAAAGAGTCCAAATCACACACTGAGTAAGAGTGATTTGCCCACCCATCACAGTCCTTGGTTTGTAAAGCAATGGATCACCCTACTTGGTTGGAAAAGGTTGCTATCTCATTCGTCATTCGTCGACAACAATGATTTGCTGATGGCCACAGCAGTTGACTTCAAAATGCCACTTTCAACAGTTATTTAAAAACGATCACACAAAAAATGTCGTCAAACAGTTCAGAACTCCCCACCAACACTGTGGACACATTAAAATTGAAAATCAAAGCGGATAGGATTGTTGATTGCATCATCTTCTCTCAACGCATGTCCAAGTCATGGAAATTTCCTTCATTCATTTTAGAAGATGAACAACTTCTTTCCGAGTATTTTCAACCGGCACAAGAAGAGTTTCTTTCATTAACTTTTGATGAGAGACGTCAAATTGTCGAGTGGTACGAGCAATTAGGACAAGAAATTGTTCCACTCTATGATGGAGAATTTGCCGAAGATGCATTGCATGGTTCTCCGAATCGTTGCAACATGGTGACCTTACATGAACAAGATGCCATCCTGTACGGTCAGGTTGTTCGAGATTTTATGAGAAAAGTATTTGCAGCAACTGTGAGTGAGGAGGATAAGGAAAGAGTGGAATTGATGTTTTTGTCAGATCCCAAATTATTACAAAGTACCATTGAGGCAAACACGAAACGAAGTCGTTGACAACATTCACGAGTGAGTATGTGGATTGAATTTCAATAAACTTTTGAAGCAAACATCTACAATCTCAATCGACGTCGTTCTCACACACGTGTTGAACTTTTTTTTGGTCATACAATTCGCGTGAAAAGCAAAAAGAAATTAGAAATAGCGTCGAATTAAAATCAAAAAAAAATATGGTGAACACAACAACCTCAGGTGCAGTTTCAACCTTTACAAATTCGGAAGATGATCGTTTGGCTATGAGAAGCAAATCCAGAATCTCTCATACACAGAGAGAAGTGGCTTGGAATGAACATGCAGGAGGAAATTTATCAAATACAACGACATCTTCCGTGCAACCTGAATCACCCATATCGGAATCTTATACAAGTGTATTATTTTCATCATCAAAATTAATGAATGAAGATCAACAACAACAAAATTTACCTCCGTTAAGTCGTATTTTGGATCGCTTATGGAATTCTTCGGTGGTTTTTAAGGTTGGATTTTTATTGGCTGTTGTGATTGTACAAATCGTTTTTTATCAATTGTATATCAAAAATACCTTATCGAACCCATCGATCGAATACAAAAGAAAGAGCTTTTATAGACATCTTACAAAGGATACACTAACTCAAGAAATGTTGTTAAATAGTCCCAGCCGCTACTTTGTTTTTGGAAATGCAGAAAAACGCCACAAAGATTATGACATTGCAAAATGTGTGATTGAATCCTTAATGAAACAATTTAAACTGACGACACTTGAAGCCAAATATTTTACAAGTTATAACGATTTTTCAAATGGAGTTCGTGAATTGAAAGACAAATTTGGCTCCAATTCATTAATGCGATCCTTGTGGAATGAAAAACATGTTTCACCATATATTGTCGTAGAAAATAACTCTAATTATATTGAAATTGGGTCCATGGACAAGTTTTTAGCGTTTCTTTCGAAATATTACGGGCTCAGCAAGGACACTGGTACCATACAAGAGTGTGCAAAACTTTATAATACAAAATTATAATGAACTACAAAGATCTTCAATCAGAAAATAGTCTCTATTCCTTTCTTGATCGATCTTTTCTTTTTTCACCTTTTCAATCATAAGCCTTAGGCGCTCATTATTTAATCTGATTTCTTCTTGTCTTTGTTCCAATCTGTACATTGCGGCAATTAACGCATCATTTCTCGAAGCAGCTTCTTCATATGAATGTAAAAATTGTTGTCTCTCGTAATCTATTTGATGGCACAAGTTGCGATTCACAAGGTACATTTCAAGATTTTGAAGAATCATTTCTCTGCAGGCCTGTTTTGTGAAATTCTGCAACTGGAACTTTTCAGGTATTTCACCGTTTTCATTACTTGTCACACACTCTGCTGATAAAGTATTTCTCTTTTTGTTTGGTGTTGAGGGCTCGTTGTTTTCTGTGTCGTTGGTATCATCATGGAGTGGCTTTGACGTTTTGTTTCCTCGTTTTTTGGATGAGGATGACCCAGCATTGTCCCGATCAGCTTCATGCGACACTTTGCTTGATTTCAAATACTTGGCTGCCATCTCATGTAATTTTCCATTGGCAATTAACTCATCTTTATCCAATCCTTTGGCTTTAAGCTTTTGTAACAGCGGTTTCCATACTCTTCTTCTTGCATTAATGAACCAATTGTTTACCTGAGTGAGAGTAAGTGAGGTCTCGGTTGCAAGAGCATCTTTTTCAGCGTCAGAAGGATATGGATGATTGAAATTGTCAAACAGCCATTTCTGTAAGCAGTCCACTGAAGGTTTGGGAAGATTGCCTCGCCCAATAACTGTTGAGGGAGTTGGAAGTCCATTGGGAAGCGAGCCAACAATGTTCGTTCGAGTCACATTGGCATTATTAGGATTGATTCTGATCTTTGGGAGTTTTACGTCTCCTGAATTGTTGGAGGTATTGTCTTTGGATGGTTTTGGAGATTGGGATGAACTGGACGTTTTCTCTTCCTTTTGGCCTGGTTCTACTTTAGGTTTCCAAATACGTATTCTAGAATTGACGAACCATGTGTTGATTTGACTCATTGTTAATTTCGTTGTTTTACAAAGCTCTTCTTTTTCCTCTTCACTTGGGTATGGATGATCAAAATGTCTTTCGAGCCACTCCATCAAAACAGCACGTGCATGTTTTGGGATGTTAAATCCTTGTTGTGAGGAAAATGAAGCAGGTCAACTAAGAGGTTATTCGCTGGAATCGACGTACTTACTTTTCGCGTTTGTTTTGTCCTTTGATTTTTTCAACGTTTCGTTCTCTAAATGGTCAGTGTGCTCTTTAGATAAGGGCGAAGGTTCCTCTTCCAACATTTCAAACACGCTGTCGTCACTGCTGTTGCTGTGGTCTGTACCATCATCCAAATACGGTACATCATTGGCTTCATCATCCTCTAATGCAAAAAATTCAGTCAACTTTCAATGAATCGTGTTCCACTTACCATCATGAATTTCCTTATCGGATAAAGCCTCAATGATGACCTCTTCCTCTACACTTTTAAATTTTAATTTACGTTCCCTCTTTGGATATCTCTTTTCAACAGGTTCCTCAAATGCCCCTTCATCTTCCTGGGCTACACCATGTGCCGAAAACGTTTCCGATTTATCTTGCTCGGAAGCCTTAAAGGTCAGGTCGGATGACTTGCGTTTCTCAGCCTTTCGTCGATTCATTTTTGAGAGTTTTTTTTAAGCCTTAGCAATGACTGAGGACGTCCTTCTTAATCGTTCCCATTTGAAGCTATAGATACTGGTCAACGATTTGTCTTCTTCTTCGGAATGGATCAGGAATGTAATCTGCAATGAATGGATCAAACACACACAGGCTCAATTCCTTTTTCAAAAAAAATGAATAAGGAACTATACGCTCCGTTAGATGTGAATGAGGTACTCTCGGCCACTAAGGGACTGGTAAGTATCAAACGTAATTATTGGATATATGAGATTTGATGTCCTCTCTACCGTGTGCCTTGACCTGTGTAAACGTAGAGTGTTGAGGCTAGCATCGTTGTTACCCTGTATGAATGTTTACAAAATGAATCGGAGTGGAGTTACACGGGCAAGTGGGGAGTGTTGTATTTTGGAAAAGACATGATCAGTAGCACGTTTCAATTGATGATGCTCAGTGTGGAGAGCAAGCAAGTAATTTGGAGTCATGAGTGCTATGAAAAGTTTCAAATGGATGCCCTTAATGATCACTTTATCAGCTTTGAGAGCGATGATAGAATTATTGGGCTCAATTTGGAGATGAATAGCAGGACGTCAGCTTCCAAGTTTGTGAGTGTGGTCAATGGACGTGTGAACAGCATCAATAGTAGTAGTGGTGGTGGTAGTACTGTTCGATCCTCAAGTCAAGACAGTCTTCCATCGTCAAGTTCCTCCAATCTCCCTGCAACCAAACAGCCCAAAAAGGCTAAAGAGAATGATGAAGGGAAATCCTCTAGTGTATTTGGAGGGTTTGGGTCCATGTTTAAGAAAGGAATGGGTACCGTCGGATCCATGTTCAAAAAGAAGGATGAGAAGCCAGCAGAACCAGAGCAAGATTCAAGAAGGCCACTACGGGAATCTATTCGTATTGGTGAAGTCAAAAACTTTAAGAATGTTGCTCATGTCGGAATCAACCAAGACACTGGTAAATTTGAAATGAAAGGACTACCTCCAGAACTCATGGATATGATGGGAGGTTTAGGTCTCTCACCAGAGCAAGCCGAAGACCCAGAAACTCAAAAGAAGCTGGTCAAATACATGCACCGATACGAACGTAAAGTTGCCAAGGAAAGAATGTTAGAAGAACAACATCACATGGAACAAGAGGCGTCAAAACAACCACCACCCTCAATAATTCCACCTCCTCCGCAACCAGTTGAGAGCAATGTCCCACCTCCACCTCCTGTTCCTTTAAGTGACAGTAGTGGTAATCATGATAGCAGAATACCGCCACCTCCACCGTATGACGGTCATGACACAAGCTATGTTTCTATTCCGCCACCTCCTCCACTACCACAAGTCCAAGGTAACGTTCCTCCGCCTCCGCCCTTAATCAAAACACAGTATGAGCCAATTCCTCCTCCGCCTCCACCTCCTCCACTAATGAATGAAGGAAGTTCGGAAATTCCACCACCTCCTCCTGTTGGAATGTCATCGATTCCACCACCGCCTTATCAAGCAATTCCACCACCACCATTAATTATTGAAAGCGACAGCAATGACGAGGATGAGGTGTCTTTATCACCAAACATTCCTCCACCTCCATCGATGGGAGCTATCCCACCACCTCCACCCATGGTTCAAGGCGATGATATTAGCACATCTCATAACAATCCAATTAGACACAGCATGCCTCCTACGGTTCGAAGTAACGTTGCTGTATCAAAAACTGAGGACAAAAAAGTAGAGCTACCTTCAAAACCAGCTGATTTTCTTGCTGAAATTAAGACCTTCTCAAAAGACTCACTCAAAAACTCTCCTCCTACCGATATTACCAAGTTCACACCTCAGGAAAAAGAAGGATTCAAAAAATACCTTATGGATAAATTTTCCAAAGCGAGATTACATGAAGTATCTGATTCTGAATCTGAATCTGATGATGATTGGTAATTTAATTTGATTTGTAAGGAGTTGACCGATCGGTATTTTCCTCAATGTAACGCTCTTGTTCTAAAACATAATCGTCAGGAAGGCGATATCGATGACTCATGATGAAATTAGGGTTGGAACCTGCTGTCAATTGTACAATAATGAATGGTAGAATTATAAATTCATATTTTCCTAAAATCCAAGCAATGAAAATGGGGCCTAAGAAGTGTTCGATCACTTTTTCAACTTCTTGACGGGAAGCTCTTGACCTTAGCTTAGCTCTGTAATTGTATTCTAAATGGCCATACAATCCTTTCTTATATTCTGAATAATCAATACCTGACACGGAGAATGCCAACAAAGATGCTGCAATGGTTGAACGAAGAGAGTGCTTGAGTGCAAGCTTGTTCAAATTAATATCTGGCGTTGATGGTAGTTTGTTGATTCTAAACCTGTATCTAAGATAGGCATAACCAAAAGTAAGGAAAGGAAGAGCCATATTATTAGAAAGATATTTGGCCCATTCAAAATCTTTCAAATATTTATCCATAATTTTGTCATGTTTCTTGATGGTTTCATCGTCATACTTTGAAGTTCTGATCAGTGTGGCACAGTTATATGTGTTCATATGAGAGAGCTTTTCATTGTCACTTGTTGAATTTTTCAACATGTAAGAAAGTTGTAACAACTTCTCGATCTTCTCATCGGTCAACTGACTTCGAGTATCCTTGCTAGATATTAAATTATATAAAATAGTAGTGTAATAATTTTGTACCTTTTCGTTTGATTTAAACTTGAGGGTAGACCAAACATGAAATTTTTCTAGAAAATGTGGGTGGGTAGCCTCAACAGAACTAAATAATTTAAGTAGAGCAACAGTCCATTCCTTTTCATCGTCATCTAATGACGGGTCAGTTTCGAAAATGTTCATCACTTTGAAAAAGCAATACGAGTCCTTGAAAATCACTTTTGCCAATGATCTATCGATACACATCTGACATAAGAGTTGCAATGCGTATTTTCTATTCGAAGTAGAGAGAGCATTCTCAATATCTTTTAAATGATGTTCCTTTAGTTTATGCAAAGCGTATACTAAGTTATAGGTATTTATATTGTGAATAAAAATGATTAAATAAAGGGATTAGCAAAATGATTGATGACCATAAAATAGAATGTATCAATTGTGGTAAATATTAAAATTACGTACAGCTTAATGGAAGAGCAGCTACCTTCTGCAAATTTAATTCACCGTTTTCTTCGAACATTAGTTTATCCAACACAATGTCAGCTGTGAATAGAATCGTTATAGAAAAGCATTCACAAAATTTTCGAAAAACATACATGAAAGAAGGGTAGAAATAATGGCATATGAATATCCAAGAATCAATAATCCAATAACAAGATACAATGTAGGATATTTTCTCAAAGGATCCGTTGCAGTAAAATCTTCTTGTCCTCTAAATTTAATGGAGGAAAGCATAAGACTAAACATTGTAATATCTTCTGAAGAATCGGAACTTGTTTTAGGCTTACTTTCCGAAGGAGTAGATGTTGGTGATGATGATGAAGAAAGGAGAGACCGAGAGAAGTATCTTGTTCTCATTATGGCTGCAGTTATCGTATTGGAAAAAATACGTTCATCATGATGATTTCGTTTTGTAAAGAGTGGTTTCAAGTTGCTGTTGAGGGATGATGCTGCCAGCAATAATAATTGCGTCTTGTTCTGATGACCCAGACACGATTTGAGAAGAGCTGAGTGAAGTCTCTGCATTTTTTAATTTCAATGAGTTTTTCATGATGATTGAAAATGATCTTTGTTGCAATGATGATTCCCTTGGCACGATAAAACTTTCTCTCCGTGTTGTAATAACATGCGTCGTCTTTACTCTTTAGTCTAATTCACTTTTTTGTGGAATTCACTCTTTCCTCGTTTTTCACGATTTTTCCACATTTTCAGAGAAGAGGCAATTCCAATAAAACCAGACACAGGCAAGATCGAGAGATGAATTCAACACACAAACAAAACAACAACACTGCAATTACTCATGACCGTTTCCGAACGTCCAGAAAGAACCCACAAACTTCCATGGTATTTGGAAGACTACATTGTTGGTGATTTTGATATGAGAAAGAATTATGAAAAGGAAATTAAAAAACGAGAAGCTCAAAAGAAGAAGAAATTGGCTGCTGCTGCTTCTCTGAGAACCACCACTACGAGTACATCATCGGCTTCTTCCTCGAGCGCCAGTTCATCATCATCATCTCTCAAAGGCAAGAGCACATGCACGGAAAAGACCATTTCCAAGAGAAAGGAAAAGGCAAAACTTGATACCAAGAAGAAGAAGGAATCGGTAAAGAAAGCTGTTCGTAAATCCAAGTCTGTATTCTCTTCCGGAACCTCTTTCAGTTATACCTCATCATCAGTTGGAACATCCTCTTCCGTTGTTACTCCTTACAATGATTTCAATAATCCAAAATATAAGGTTTACACTTCACCTTCGGATGCCAAGAAGAAACTCTTGGAAAAGACTCCTGGAAACAAAATCTTGTCAGGCAAAGATGATGCTACCAAGTGGGCCATGTCTACACTCACTTCAACACTTACTAACTATTGTTATGGATTGAAAAGTATTAGTGATTTATTGGCTGGATGTTACTATGTACCTGGAAATAATCACAAATTACAAACTGATTCGGATCGTGTTCCTCCAGTTCAAATTTGTTTCAGTTTTGATACGACTGGATCCATGTATTCATATTTGGATAATTTGAAATTCAAATTACAAACTATTTGTCAGCAATTAATGAATGACATTAGAGGCTTGGAAATTGCAGTCATTTGCCATGGTGATTATCAAGATGCAAACGGAAAATATGCCATTTCGAAATTGGATTTCACTACAGATATTGAACAAATCACTTCCTTCGTTCAGTCAGTCGAAAGAACATCAGGATATGACACGGATGAATGTTATGAAGCAGTTTTGAAAGAAGCTCAAGCCCTCTCTTGGGTTCCAGTTGAAAATACCTATACCATACGATCATTGGTTGTGATTGGAGATGCAATGCCTCATAAACCTCATGAATGGTTTGGTATTGATTGGAAAGTGGAAGCTAAAAAGTTATTTGACGATTACCATATTAAGGTACACTCGGTGAAATGTGGTTCGCTGAGTGGAGCTCAAGAATTTTTTCAAACTATTGCATCTGAAACTGGTGGGGCTGTCTATCAGTTAGATAACTTTGAAAAGACTGTGGAAATGTTCTGTGGATTGATTTATAGAGAAGCCACTGAACACAACATGAATGATCCAACTATGCAAGCTCACATTGCCAATGCAGTAAGTGGAGAAGTGACACTTGTCAAGCCAACTGCATCTTCCTCTTCAGATGCCATGCTTGACGAAGATGTTGCTCCAAAGAAAACAATTTCAGAGGATGCAACTTCACTTGGAGACTATGTGGTTACCGATGTTGATATTTTGAAAATTCACAATGCCATTCACAGCAAAGATGCTACAGTGACCATTAATGGTGTAACATTTGGAATTCAAATGAATGACAGCTCCTGTCGATATGTGAGAGTGGACGGAGTGGTCTACATTGAACAAAATAAGGAAAAGAAAACGAAATATGCCAAGATGGCTCTTGAAGGCAAGAAAATTACTTGGATTTGTCACTCTGGTAATTGGGGTCTCATTGTGGATGATTCTATTGAGAAGCGATAAAGCTATTCACCATTTTGTGCACAGAGATTCCAATGTAAATAAACCATGAACCTGTAATTTAATCAATTAATTTTAAAATTATTTTCAAACAAAAAATGCTTAACACCTCTTCACAATCTAACGCCACTTTCCGATCAAACCCTCTGCCTTCTTCCAAACAAATTTATGAAATTACTGATCAAGACGGCGATAAAGCATTTCCGATTCATGTTGTGAATAGAGCTTTCGAAATTGAGGAAAAATATCACACGGAAGTTGTTCGGATTGTATTTGCCGATAAAATTGTTTTTATGATTTCACAATTAGATGCACTTGCAGGTACCATCATTAAAGCAGACAAGGACAACTCCAATGCTTTAACAATGACTGTTTCTCAAAATTATGATGACTTCGATGGTGATTTTAATCAACTTCCTGAACCAACCTATTCTGTGAGAACATTATTTGGCAAGAGGGCTCCATCTCTCGAAAATGCACAAAGTGAAACCTATCTTGATGTTGAAACAATTTTTGCTCGATTGTTAATTGAAGAATTATACAAACCAAAAGAAAGATCAACTATGCAAATTCCTGATTTGCTGGAACCACCCATGCCAATAGTCCTCGAAAAGCCATTAATTATTTGTCTTACTTTTTCCAAAGAATTTCAAAATAGGCTTAAACAACCAAAAATCGGTAAGCAAGTCATGAAGCAGCTTATTGACTGTGTTGTCAATAAAATTTAGTTCCTTTGCAATATTTCAAAAACAATATTGCGTCCAATCTGTCAAAATAAATATATATAAATAATTCAGATTTTTGAGAATATTCTCAAAAATCAATTCAATAACATTATTAATTCAAGTTGTTAATAATCATAAAGCGTAGCAAATGGTTTCAGTGTATGTGTGAAGTGTTTATTTAAATTGGGTGTATGACTGATTACATGTGTGGCAATCCATTCAAAATTGGAAAAGTGAAAGGGTGGGATGTATAAATTATTGTAATGTGATTGGTGGTGAGGGAATGTGGAATGTAGTAGTGTGGTGGTAGTGAAAGGTGTAGAGATTATATGTGAATGTGTCTATGGTGGGGAATGGATGTCATCAAGTTTAGAACAGAGAAATCTTCTTGAGATTCTTCTTTGCCTTAGTTCCTCGTTGTTTTGTTTCTGCATCCTGTGAGTTGCAAGCGTCTTCTATCATATTTTTGATAAATTCCTGCTGCAATGAGTGCTTAATCTTCATTTCGTAAACATTTGCCAAGTCACCAACAATGGAAACAGCATTCTTGAAAACTTCTTGGTCGGTATTTGGATCTTCAAAAACAATTTTTACAAATGACAGCAAAGGATCTACATATGGAATAAAAGCTTGAGGATTTTCCTTCTTAAATCCAAGTAAAATGCCAATGTAAGCATCTAACACGTTTTCTCTGAGCAAATTCAAGTATGAAACCATTTCTTCGCTTGATACATCAACTTGTGCTTCACAAGCTTGAAGAAGAACGTTGCCTACAAATGGTAGATACTTTTCAAATCTGGCTCCTACAGCCAATGCAATATCTCCGAAAGCTGCAATAATGTTTGGCTTCACATTTCTATGCAGCTCGTTTGTTTGTAAATTCTTTAGCAATTGTTCCATAATAGCATCGGAGTAATTGAAGAGCTTTTCTCTCAAAGCAATACTCAAATCTCCAATGATATTAACTGTAACGACACAAATTTGTTCGTATTGATATGTTTGCAATCCTCTGAGAAGGAATGGTAAAAAGTGTGGCATGTACCTATCAAAATCTTGTGAAAGAGCGGCAGCAACTGCACCAACAGCAAGGAAGGCTTCTTCGTGAACATTGACGCTCTTTGAATCAAAGATCTTCAACAAGAATGTCATAATTCTATCTGCATGTTTCACAATTCTGAACTCAAGCTTTCTAGCAGCAACTTGAAGAGATCCACACATCAAACCTTGAATAAGACAAACTTCTTCGGTTTGAGGAAGAGTCAGGGTTTGTTCAAGTCTGTTTAACAATTCTGCAACAATCATGTCCAAGATTTCAAAAGTATCTCTGGCACCACTGTGGACAAGAGCAGACAAAGCTTCGTATGCATTAATTCTGAGGTTGTTCTCGCTAGAGTCTTCTCTGAGAGTAGAAGCCAAAAGCATTTCAGCTAACGTCTTGAAGTAAGGAGACAAAGCATAGGATTGTTTTTCATCGCTGCTCTCTGCTGAAAATGCCTCAGCAATGTGCATGATGGTCCAACATGCCTTACTGCAAATACGTGCTTCATCGTTCATGGCAATACTAAGAGCCTTCAACACATTTTCCAAGTGATGATCAATCAAAGGATCAGGATGGAATTCAGCAATTCTTCCCAACGCAAACACAGATGTATCCTTGACAAGAAGGACTGGATCAGAAACGTGTGCAAGAAGGAACGGCATTGCTCTGTTGATGAGATCGTTCATTCTGTCTCCTGGTCTTGGTCCATCCAAAATTGCAGAGAATGCCAAAGTAGCTGCTTCCTTAAAGTGCCAATCTTGATTGTTAATATTGTTTGAAACGAATGGCATAATTTCGTTAACAATACTTTCTCCTGTTACTAAAGCCATCGCAGCAATACAGTTACTAGCGTAATTGCTTACACACATGTCGCCATCTTCTTGATACTCATTTTGTCTTGTAAGGCATTGCGTCATGAGATTAACTAGAGGAGAGAGAGCTTGTGAAATGATGTTGTAACACTCTCTGTCTGCAGCAATGTTATTCTCGTGAGCAATTTCCATTTCTTCTAAAATGATGGCCTCAGTTTCGGCTAGTGAAGTCCAAAATTCAATAGCTTGAAGTTGAACCTCCTCTTTTTCATTTGGATCTGTTAAAGCTTTAGTTGTAATCTATATGAACATATGTACAGCATCATATGAAATGAATAATAATGAAAATGAATGAATATGAGTCATGAAACATAGAATACTTACAGTAAACACGGCTTCCATGTATGGTTTCAGCTTGTCGTAATACAAATATCCAATCTTCACCAAACATTCAAATGCAACTCTTCTTATTCTAGTATCAGTGCTTTGTGTGGATTGACATACAGTTTCCATAATATAATTTCTTTCCGACTGCGTTGTGTAAATGAAAGGATGAATCATTTAACTATCATTTTCAAAATAATTAGTACTTACATCTCTCTCAAAGTTTTCTTGAACAAAGACAAGACAATTCACTAATGCTTCGGTAGCAGCTAATTTGATGTCATTATTACTTGTTTCTCTCATTCCTTGAATAACTGCTGTAAGAATTTGATTTGTATTGTGTTTGAGAGCAGGAGCTCGGCACATATCACACAAAAAACCAATAGCCATTAAACTTGATTGAATACCATAAACTGATTGTGGCTCTGAAATGTTCTTTAAGACGGCATCAATGACGTTTAACCATTGATTGTTTGCTAAATCTACGGAAGCAAATTCAGCAAGCACTTGAGCCGCTGTTTTTCTTGCTTCAATAGCTGATGAGTGGAGTGTAAGAAGAACTTTGTTTCTGATTTGCGTCTTTGTTTCTTCATCTTGTCTCATCCATTGATGTTCCAGAAGCACTTTCTTTTGTGGGTCCTTTGAATCAAGAACGTTTTTCAATTGAAGACCAGCCAACTGTCTGAGATGGTTTGGTTTGGTTTCATCGGCAAGCTCAGATACCAACAAAATCATAAATTTAGGCTAATGATGAACGAGAGTTGATGAAGTGTTTGAAGCGTTGGTATTGTTATTAGGAAATATTTTCCATCACGTGATGATTACAAATTATTATTACTTACCAATTCATTAACTTTTAAACTTTCCAGCATTTGTTCGGCTTGTGAACGAGCTTGGTTGTCATTGGAGGCAAGTACCACCAAAAGTTGGCTGAAATCTGAGGCGTTCATGGCGTACGTGATGAAGAGGGAATATTAATAAATTTTGGGGTGCTGGAGCCTTTGTTTGGCTTTTTCTTATTTTTTTTGAACTTGAATTGCTTTTGGGCGGTTTTTGGAGTTGGCAAGCTCTCCACAAGGAGAATTCTATTCGACAGAACAATGGAAACCAAGCTGGCGATCGAATTCAGTGAAAATTTAAATTGTTTTTGGAATATTTAAATGAAGATTGATTCTTTGGAAATTTTATTTAACAAATTGCCTGTCAATGTTTCATTGTTGAATGGAGCTCGAGTTCTTACAAGGGTTCAAGCCAAGCCATTCAAAAGAAGGGTGGCACACATCTTCTTCGTTTCTGGCAACGCAACATTTAATTTTGAATGTTGAAGAACATTCATATTGATTTGTTCGCCTTCAACAATTTGATGAAAGTGTTGAGAAAAAATGAGCAAAAAGCATTCATCATCATCACGCACCAAGAAAACTCAAGACAACAACAAACATCAGCAAACAACAGGAAAAAATACTCTTGCTGCAACAACCAGTACTTCGGAACAACAGAATTCTCGACAAGAACAACAACAACCATCAAAAAAGAATAAGCAAACTTCAAATTCTGCTTCTGCTCCATTGGCACTCTCCACTCAGGAAGAATCTAAACACAGAGAAAATGTGATCCGACTCACGAAGGACTTGGCTGCTACCGATGAAGGAATTAGAACAAGTGCTATAAGTAAATTTATTCCCTTCTTGAAGGACGCTCCATTCAACAAGTTAGATTTAGAAACAAACTTTATTGATTTTAGAAAATTATGGAAGGGTGCACTGTATGGTTTTTGGTTATGTGATGGTGAATTTAAACAACACGAGATGGGACAATTATTGGCCGAATGCATTCACAATGTGAAGGGTACAAGTGAAAATCCTCATGAATTACCAATTGCTTTTCTGAGAGCATTCTTTGATGAATTGTTTGAAACATGGCCAAGGCTTGACAAGTACAGAATGGACAAGTATTTAATGTTAGTCAGAAAGGTCATGCAACAAGCTTTTGTTTGTTTGAATAAGACTTTCCATTACAAGCCCGAAGTGGTCGAAGAATTTATTGATTTTATTCTTGAGGATGGAGTTTTTAACAATATGGAGCGAAATTTGCTTTCTTCTTTGCAGATTCATGTTGCAGAATTATTCTTCTTGGAATTGATTCAATATGGCGGTCCTCAAGTGGAAGACGACAACGATTATCATTTGAATGAGGATTCACTTTTGAAATTCATTGCCTTCTTTGTGAAAAATATGGCAGAAACCAAGAATAATAGTATTATCAAAACCTATAAGGAAGATATGTTTGACTTGTTGCTTGAATATCAAACCACATCAAGTACCAGTGAAGAAGTGGAAACTGATAAAATGGAAGATGAGGAGGAATCCAATGAAGAAGAAAATGACAACGATGAAAATGGAGAAGAAAATGATGAAGTAATCGAAGATGGAGACGATGAAGATGACGAAGATGATGATTTACCTGTTGACGAATTTGGTAATACAAGACATATCGTGAAGGATAGACCTCTTCCAATTAACATTGAACGAATTGTGAAGGAGTTTGAAAAGTACATTGCAGGATATGAGCATTCTGATGTTTGTAAGGAATATTATGAAAAATTCAAGACTAGAATTATCACTCTCGATGATTTGTATTCAGAGTTGGAGCAAGTGGCTTCTTCAAGCAACAATGGCACCTCAACCTCTCACAAGAAAGATTCAAAGAAGAAGAAGAAGAACGAAACCAACCATACGTCTCAGAAATCACAAACAAAAGAGTCCAATAAGAATCAACAAGTTGACTCAACAGAAAATCAAAAGAAAGAGACCAAAAAGCAGCAAGAGAACAAACCTACTCGTCAAAACAAAAAGCAAGTACTTATGACTGAGGATAACAAGAATGACAAGAAGAAAGAACCATCTTTGAAAAAACATACATCAACACAACAAGAAAAGCAAGAAAAACCGACACTCAAGAATGATGAACAAGGCACTCAAAAATCACAACAAGCTAAGATTGCCAAAATTAAGAACATGAAAAAGAAACTTGCTGAAATTGCTGCTGCAAAGGAAGAAAAGAAAGTGAAAATTGACCTTAATAAGAACCAAGTTAAAACATTTTCCAAGAAAGACATCGTTCCAAGTGCGCCAGTGGATTTAACTTTTTCACCAACCAAAGGTTTATTGAAGAGAAAGCAGTCGAGTGAGGACTCTCCATCATCTTTGAACTTGTCAGAGCAAAAAGTTAAAAAGAGAAAATAAAATTTTGATTCAATTTAAAATGAAATTTTGATTTGACCATGAAAATTACAATGCAGCCATGCCTAGGCAGGAACCACTTCAAATAATTCCTCCGATATTAGAATTCAAAAATTCCTCTCCTTTCCGATACATTTTTTCTCTAATGGCTTGCCTTTTCTTGCTATCGCCTGTCATTTGCTCCACTATTTCGAATTCTTCTCTTATTCTTCTTCTGAAGTATTCCTTGTTTGTGAATTGAAGAGTTTCGTTTCCTTTCCGAAGTATTTTTCTGTACAGCGACAACACGTCTCGTTTTGAAATGGGCATTTTTTTGTTGTTGATTGACGTTATTTTGTCCGTTCGAACAAAGGTTCTTTCTACTTATTTACATAATGCAAGTGATAAATTGATAAATTGAAGATTGCCAAATTATGGTCCTTGACAACAATCATTTTGCTCACCTCGTTTTCTTTTCTTCATTCCGCTCGATTCTTCTGAGGCGCTTGACGATGACTCCTCTTGTTGCAGTTCGTTATAAAAACAAGCAGTGGATGTTGAGGCTGTCAAAGGAAAATCTAAAAGAGCTGAAAATTCATTCTCAATTAATTGAATAGATGACTCCTCACAACACAAATTCGTCGAAGAATTCATCCAATCCAATTCTCCTCCCAACTGCTCCAGCATTGAATTGAAATGACCCACAGAAGAGTGAGATGTCAAGGCGTGTGAGGATTGAGGTTGAGCATGGATCAACATTAATGGATCCTCTGCTGTGTAATCTCCAAACGAAAATTCCCCTTCGTCCAACACTTGTTGAGAGAATTTGGTCATGAAGTCATAATTGCTGTTGTTGTTGTTGTTTGGATATGTTGACAAGTGGTTGTTGCTGTTGTTGATAGAATAACCCATATTGCTATTCTGGCCTCCATGATGGCTTGATGAAGAATTATGGAACGTGGATGATGCCGACATGGAATAACTCGTGCTCATGACTCCAAAAGATGATGATGGTGGACCTTGTTTAGCCATGTAAGGCTGTGAACGATTCAAAACAGCAGAAGGTGGTACAACTTGATCTACATTCAAATCCGAAAACGTTGTAACCGAATGATCAGAGGATGATGCTTGAGAGCATGAAGTTGCAGTGGAAGTGGCAGAAACAACACTGGCTCTTCTCTTCTTTGCAGTCTTTGATGATGATGATTTGGATGCACTCGTCGTCGACTTGCCATCTTCCTGAATAAATGTAAACGAGTTCATATTGCCTCCCGATGATGAGACTGAGGTACAAGATTTTCTTCTTCCCTTAGTAACGGTTTTCTTTGAGGAAGATGCTTGCTGCTGTTGTTGTTGTGCATGGGATGATGAGCTAAATACAAAATTATTCATCGTGGAACTACTACTACTACTCGAGGAAGGAACACCCTCCGTGCACGCCTTGGTACCATTCTCTTCCTCAAACACGACCACGGATTTCTTTCTTCGTGTTCTCTTCTTTTTTTGTTGTTCCAGTTCTAAAAGTTTCTGTTGTTGTTCGTGTTGGATGCGTTTTCTTCGATCATGATAGAGATTGAGCTGATGCACGATTTGAGTGATGGGAGCCGAGTTCATGAGAGCACTCACATTTTGGTTACTCTCCAATTCGTTATGCTGATTGAGAATGGTTTGAATATTATGGAGTGTGGTAGGACCTGAAGAATGTGGAGTTTGTTGGCATAATAAGGATTCTAATTTGGACATGACATGATCATAGGAGAGTGCAAGATCAAAACTCACTTCAATTTCTCTTCTGTTTTCCTTTGAATTGGATTGACCATGATCCATATGATGTGCTGTTGCTGCTGTCAATGAGTGAACTTCTTTAACAAACCTCAACAGTTCTTTCATACGATGCAAGACACCACTCGAGCTCACTTCTTGCAACGCATGAGCATAATTCTGATCATCCGAATCATAAAAGATGTGAATTTGTGAAGGATAACCTGGAACATCATTGCCTTGAGAGCTGCCACTTCTCATATTCGTACTCATCATACCATACGCTGGAGATTTCTTTAAGGAACGAACTTTTCGATCAATGCAAGCTTCTTGCTCGTTCAAACGATATTCAATGACCTTGTAGAAGGTAATGAAATCGAAATGAGTCACTATACCACACAATTGTAACTCATTATATAAACGGAAGAGAAGTGAGATCTTATCAAATAGTAAGAAGGTATTCCATCTCAATTGGGAAATCAAAACACAGAGACTGAATTCAATGAGAGCACTCAGAGAAGGAATTTGAGTGTAATCACGACCATCCATACATTCATTGTAAATGGCCAATTCACGAGATGCGTTGGTGGTATTATTCATCAATAATGGTTGCTCCAATACTGAACTGGTAGACTCCAGTGTGCTCCATAACAGTGCCTCCAAGACATTCGATGCAAATGTACTATTGCTATTAGTAGCGATGGAACTCTCACTCAAACTCTTCAATTTTCGAATAACATCTCCATTGAAGAGAAGAAATTGTCTCAATGCCTTGTAACACTGAATTTCTTTTTGAGAAGCGTCAATAACCAACGCATTGGATTGAAGAAGAGCATTCATGGAAGAGAATCCTAAAAATCCCAAATAATCTCCTTTCAATTCATAGAGTTTGAAAAAACTTCGATGCAGTTTTTCATCAATGTAATCGAGAATGGACTTTTTCGTCGAATGAAAGAGTTGAGGAGAGGTCCTTTTAGTGATCCATTGTCCTCGATTGAGTGGATACTGCAAATTCTCAATAGTTCTTCGCATCACAATGATTTGATTGACAGTTTCACATTGACTCAATGCTTGTCGAATGAGTAAATCCAATGCAGATTGGTCTGTTTCTTGATTCGTAGATGCTGAGAAGGAAGCAGCAGTTACGGATTGTTTAGATTTTCTAAACGTGGATCCCAACACGCACAAATTAATTAAACAATGAATGGCCAAGTTGTTGGCATTCACAGTGAATGAGGCAGAGTTGAGAATGGAAGTTTCATTTCTCAGACCATTCTCAACGACTTGAGCAAAGAGGAAGGCCTTCTCGACCTCAATCTTATTCGAATCGGAAATATTGCTTAGACCTAAATCGAGATAAACCGATGGGCAAGTGAGTGTCGTGCTTGAGTTCGAGTGTAGCGAATTAGTATGAACGCTGATTAAGCCATGTTGAAAGAGTGAGTTCAGATCGAGTAATGGTTGATCTGAATAATCATTGGATGGTTGCTGCTGTTTGCCAACAAATTGATGATAATGAGCTCGTGTCATCTCTTTCAAAGCCAATCGAGTGGTTTCTGTCGTGAGTTGCTCTGTCCACGTTTGGAAGATGGAGTAACGTGGAATTAATAAGGGCAAAGAACACCTGGGTAAGTACACATAGACCAGTGAGGAAATGTCTTCTTTTAGCATGTTTGTATTCCCTCCAAAAGCGCCAAGTGGTTGGTGGTTGTGTTGGTTGTTCCAGTTCAGGAAGTGGTTTCCAATGTGCATATTTGGAGCTGAGGTGGTGAGCGAATGGCAGCCGTTGGTCGTTGGTAGTATCAGGAACGACTCATCGAGAAGGTCGTCCAATGAATCGCTAATGCTAGTGTTAGTATTACAAGAAGGGGGCGAGGTCAAGGATGGTGGTTGCCATTGATGTCTTTTGTGTTGGACAACAGTCGTCAAATTACCAAGATCATTCGTATTGGAATCAAAGATATCATTCATGCCACGGACAGTGGATTGGGCCATGATCATTTGATATTGTTGTTGTTGTTGTGGATCTGAATGGCAAGGCGTTTCGTGCAATGATCGTAACCACTGAGTGAGGAAGTTCTGGCTCATGGAGGAGGAAATGGCAGTTGTTGTTGGCATGGGAGTCGTATTCGAACTGCAGTTCTGTTGAGAGAATGGGTTCATATGGATTTTGCGATTCAGTAAGGAGAGAACAGATTCATGCAGTGATCTTTGAACCACAGAGTAAGGCCAAGAACGTGTTTTTTTTTTTGGTTGAGTCATCTTGGTAAGGCAAAGTCTGATTAGCCTTATTCATTCCTGGCTCTGGCAACGTCTTCGGCCAGCCTTCCTTGTCGTTCAATCATTTCGGGGACCTGCCATTGCTGTCTCATTGTCCTACAATGGTCCTGTAAGGATCACGGTTGGTGGTTGTGGTTGGTTTGGCGAAATCGCTCAACAGTAATTTAAGAATCGGTTACTGGAGCTCATTTTAAGGTAATGCATTAATGTCTTGGCACAAAGCCGTCAACCACGAAATAAAAAAACATCCGTGCATTGGGTCAATTTTCCAGGAGTTAAGGCTTTGAGCGGAGAAATAAGTTTGAACGGGCTTTTCGTGATATCGTACATGTCCACGCAGCCATGGTAGGAGCACCACCATATGTAGAGCGGAGTACAGTACTACTGTCTGACAACAGCTGTTTTGGTGATGTAATCGAAGCGACGAACGATCGGTCATGATTTAATACCAAAAAGATGTATTATTATGATATCATATGCATCTTGATAATACCCAAATGCACAATAATAGCAATTTACGTACGCCAAGCCTTAGGATTGCCTTACATTTCATCAGATGTTTGTGGCTGCACTACCTACAAATTCTCAAAGTATAATTCCTCATATAAATCCGCCATGAACGTTTTCATGTGTTGTACACGTTTCTTGGCAAGCTCTTTTCCTGTTGTTGTTTTCATCATGCTTTCCAAATGAAATAGTTTATCATAGAAGTGTTGAATGGCTGAATCATCAGTGGCAGAGACAGTTGGTGTTGGATTCAATGCAAGTTTTTGTTGAAAAAGTTCAATGGGGGAGTGACAAGATGAAATGAATGTTTCTTCTTCAGGAATGTAGATGGCTCTTCGTTTAGATCCGCTGAACACGAGACAACGTGCTGCACCAATGACTCCAATTGCATCCAATCGATCACTGTCTTGAACCTTTGTGGATAATTTTGGTAATGAAAGGATGGTTTTTTTGCATGAGTATGTATTGCATGCAGCATTGAGGTAACCAAGTGTTGTATTATATTACATTCAAGAAATGATGGTTTTTTTGCATAAGTAGGTATTGCAAGCAAATAGATAGCCATTCAAACATATGAAATAATTACCAGCAAATAAAAGTGTTGAAGTACCTACCACTTTCAATTCAATTGGCAATTCATCTTTTTCTTCCTTATTTTCTTTCATTCTCTTCACCTCCTTTGAATATGAAATGTTGTCCACAACATATTGAACTCTTTCAATAATATCTTCTGGTACCAATAATTGTGATAAATGTTCTTCAATAGCTCGCTGTGCCTTGTTTTTGTCAACAGTACCATTCTGATTGGGTTCTACATATTTATGATCATGCACATCATGTAAATAAGCTGCCAATTCAATCACTTGTAATTTTTCCAAAATAGAAGGAGCAACAGAAGTGCAATGTGCACTATCAAGAGTTGAAACATCGGAAGGTAAAGCCAATTCTTTGTGTGCGATAAATTTGGCCATTTTCACCACTCTTTCCACATGATGAAAATCATGAGAAGCATCGTATTGAGACATAACCCCTCGGACCATTTCACGAGTTTTAGAAATTACTTGAGACCAATTATTAATTATCATTTTCATTGGACGAATTCTGGAGCGAGGTTCAAAGAGTCAAATTGATTTTGAATAAATAATAAATTATTATCAATTTTACAATTCAAAATTGCTTTTGCCAAGTAATTACGATAATTTTTATCCAAAAAACAATTGCAGAGTGACCACCAATTTAAAAGTCTCTGCGCACACTGTGAGATGAAATAATTTGTTGAACTTCGAGTGCTTGAGCGAACACTTGAGAGGAAATTGGTGAAATTCGTGATGGACTCATTTTCGGGCGCAGTAATTCGTCGGCAAAAAACATCATCTTTTTTAAATGAAATACTGTATTATTGTAAAAATTAAAAGAGCCTCAATGTTTAAAACTCTATCAATAATATCATTGGAAAACACATCAAGCATATATCATAATTGCTTGCAATATTCCCTCAATTACATTTACCAATGATTCACTGGATTCTTACATCGAGCTCTATATTTACGATCCAACATCTTATACAAATATCCTTCCATCATGTGATTCACGTTATTAAAAGTAATCCGCACATAGGGATCCACTTTGGAAGCCAATGCTAACTGTTTCAAATCGGGAGCAAAATATTTGAGGTAAATATTTCGATACCACCAAGAACCACCTTTCGCCTCTTCATGTTGCAAATCCACAGTCGTTGCCAAAAAGTAAGCAGGCATGTAAATATTCTTGACTCGTTCCTGGAATTCTTGACAAGTCTCAGCAGTCCATGGTGATTGAGCATTCTTGTGAGGTCTCCTAAGAATTTCATCGAGAATGAGTTCGGACTCACAAATACATGTAATGCCTTGTCCGTAGACTGGATTCAAACTGCCAACGCTGTCTCCCTATGAGAATGAGTAATAATATTTACACATGGCGAGACATATCGATGGTGTCCGTTCATACAAGTCATATGACAACGTCATTACGATATTGATATTGATAAATTCTTGTATGACCACTTACCAATGCAATAAAGTTTTCCAAGACATGTCTCTTTCCAGTTTCATCTTTGTGATTATTCACTTCTTCCCAATGATTGAAAACAGTTCCATCTAATTTGTAAACAAATTTCAATTCAAACAGTTAAAGTCAATGTGCTCGAATCTATCTGTCCCAATCTTGTCATTTTGTTTTCCTCACTTACCTTTTTTATAATTCATCCAATCTCTTACCACTCCATTTTCAGTATCACACTTATCAAAGAAATATTGAGCCTTCTTGGCCAACTCTGGACATCTCTGTTCCAAATATTCGACACAATCTTGAGGGCTCTTGATCGATGTACAACTTGGATTCTTTCCAACTTCTCCCAAAATAAACATTCCCATATCTTGGGAAACACGATAAAAGATGATTCCAATCTTGGACGGAGCACCAATGGAACCCAAATGAAACCAAACTGGAGTTTTACCATCCTTCTTCTTGTAGAAACCTTCCTTATCGTTTGGATCTTTCAATTTGTACAACACTGAGGTGTAGGTATTGGTGAGCAAAATTTTGCTTTTTGGCATTTCAAACTTGATGAGATTGGTTTTAAATTCATCTTCAACATAACGTGGAGTTTGAGTGGTGAGTCCAGTACAATCTACAATCAAATCACCTCTCACTTCTTGACCATTTTCTAACTTGACTCCTACGACACGATGAATCAAGGTTTGAGAATCGAGTGGATGATGTTGACTCTTTTCAAAAATCAATCCAACCACACGTTGTTCTTCCATAATTTCAATTTTTCCCAACATGTTTTGAGAGAGTTTTCCACTACTAATTTGGAGTAATTTATCACGAACCCAAATTTCAAACATGCCACGAGTCATTTGATAATTTGGTAACACTAATTGAGGAACTTGTTCAAATTGGCCATGCAAATGATCAGTTTCTCCATCGACTTGCGCAAAATCGGAATAAATAAGGGTCATTTCATAGGCTCCAATACCGAGAATTTCCTGAATGAAATCAACACCCAAAGCACCTCCAAAGAGTTTTTTCAAAATAGTAAGAGCTCGATATAAAAAGACGTGAGTTTGTTGTCCGTGTGGTGCCGTTGATTTACCTAAAATTATTATACGGGATCACAATATAAGGGAGCAATAACCATGGTAGATTTAGAGAGAGAGAATATCATTTGCATGTTCATGATTGAAACAAGTTATAGGACAAGGGTGTGTTTTTCAAAAGATGGCAATGATCATCACATTTCGATTCATAGAAAATTTGAAATTCAAAATTCACACATGAACACATTTACACCAACTTACCTTCTTCATACTTTTTCTGTTCCACTAAAATGACCTTTTCATAATGAAAGGACAAGACCAAGCTCGTTAAAAGACCTCCGACACTACCACCCATCACGACACAGGTTTTACCCTTGTTGAACGATGAAGAATTTTCTAAAGTGTTGAGAGATCCAATACGAGAGGTTTCTAATTTCACTTGAGCATTAAAGTATTTCTTGAAAACACCAAACCATAAATAAGTGAGAGAGAGTACGAGGAGAAGGATCAATGCGAGGAGAGACCACAAAATGATGGAAAGGATGGCCATTCGTTTGAACGTTTTGAAAATTATTTGTCTTTTTGAGAGGATTTGAAAATAATTATTTTCCAAATGATTGATCACAATGATGATGAAGGAATGATTGGGATCGAAAGAGTCTGTGACGAATATGAGAGACAAATATGAGACACCACACAATAAAGATGATCAATGGATGCTGTGAATGGTGTGCTGGAAGGCTGCCTCTGACTCTTGAATGTTTTTTTTTGGTCAACCACAGTGGGAAGAGCGACAACGCCTTCCAAATAAATCATGTAGGAAAGTAAACTGCAAGTCAATATAAGGTCCATTAGTAGATGTGTTAAGGGTGGAGGAGTTTAGGTTCAATCTTTGTTTTCACTTGAGATGTCCTTCATTATTAGAGAAATAAAAGAAAAATTAATTAAAAAATGTCTCGAAACGGCATCACTCAACTTTCCAAAGTTTGTGTCTACTTTTGTGATTGGGGTGGTTCTTCGAAAGGGATGAGACAATTTTTGGACCAAACATCGGGAGCATTCTGGGAATTAGCCAAAGCATCTCCTGAAGTAAAGTTTGTTGTCCAATTACGTAGAGGAAAACATCCCTTTATGAAGGCCATTTACAAGAATGGAAGAGAACATGCCCACGACTGCAAGAATATGGATGCTAGTGAAATTACTCAAAAACTCCACAACATCAAATCGCAATGGGGTGATAAAGCAAAGAAGATTGGTGCTGGTAAATTAACGAAAAATCCTTCCGTACAAGGCTTGTACATCCCACAATTATGGCTCAAGACTGCAAGTTTGGCCCGATACAACAAACAAGTGGATGAAGCCAACCAATAATTCCTCATCTCATCATCATCATCATTTAGTAATATTGCTAAACACTCACCAAATTCTAAATACATCATCAAATTTTTGTAGTGCAATGGTTGTTAGAACAACCAGACGGATACCCGTAAATGAATTTTCATTACTAGTTTCATTAATTATTACACAATTTTTAGAATTTATTTGTTGTTCTTGTTGTCGAAGAATTATTATAAATTAAAAAGCGTGAAAGAGAGCTGTTGGAGTAGAGAAGGAAAATGTCGTATCGGACAGCAGCCCAACTTCTCTCATCCACCACGAAGACTGAACTAACATCTTACAATCCTGTTTGGTTCTTCATATCTTCAATCTTCTTGGCAATCTCGTTTGGTGTTCTTTGTAAATCTTCGGAGATGGTAGCCCTTGTTTGCAGATCCAAATCATTGAATTGTTCAATCAAGTCGCCATCAATGACGCCTTTCACTGGGAAGTAATAGGAACGATATGCGAGATGGTCTCTGCCACACAAAGGTGGATTCCTCTCTCTGAGTTGCATTTCGAGATGAGTGAAAAAGTCAATGTCTTTCTTGGAGGTAAATGGCACAAACACGCCCATTGATCCTGTGATGGTGGCATAGACCAACACTGAAGGTCCTCCAGGTATCAGTTGTGTCTTACACAAGCTTGTAATCATGGAACCAACATAGAATTTCACAATCTCTGTAGCTTTTTGTGGAGCTCCATTAAGTAAACCTCTCTCCCAAATCCACTTTTCTTTTCCATTAGTTGCCTCTTCCAAATCGTCAGAAACATCATTTGGTAAACGAGCAATGAAAAAGTTACCAAACTTGTCTCCTCCTGCAATGGTATTGTAGTCAAGAAGCGCCGAAGCAGTCAACCATCTTGGTGTGGTATTATCTGCAAAGATGGTCAAGGTATTTTCTTGTACATTATATTTCACAAAGTGGAATGATTCTGAAATGTCTCCAACATAAATTCTGTTTCCGTCCACTGAAACTGAAGTGATGAAATTTGGGAATAATTTGTTTTCACACTTTCTCAACAACTTCTTTTTGCCCAAGTCATAAATTCTCAACATGTTCTTTACACCTACGAGCAATCTGCCACGGAAAGCATGCAAACCATAAGGCACATCTTCAACTTCTGTCTTGTGAATAAGTTGAAGTTTTCCTTCATCTGTCACTTGGAAAAGGTTAATATAACCACATGCACACTTCCTTGTTGGGTGCAAGACCATATCCTTGGCAGTTCCAACCACGATTAAAGTTGAATTTGGTTTAATACCGTCCAAAGCGGTAGCGAATTTGCATGTTGTAATACTGAAGGCTGCTTCATTATCTTCAAATTCATACTCATCCACATGCTCTTGTCTCTTAGGGGAATAGACACGAATAGATGAGACCCATTGGCCTGATCTTGGTTTTGTCTTAATGGCACCATAGGCAACATCATTGAATTCGCTTGGAGTTGCTTCTGTATCTTCAAAATTTAGGTACTCTGGTCTTACGCTAGGTTTCAAAGTATTGTAATCTGATTGAAGAATTATCATGTTTGAGCTCTCATCATGCACAACAAATTTTCTTGGTGTATAATTGAGAGGCACAACGTTCTGTGTAAACTTGTCAGCAAGGGATGAAATGGAAAGAATTCTCAAGTCTTCTCCAACAATAGATACTAAACCTTCTGGAATTTGTTCAGAAGCAAAATGAGTGGCCGTAGTCAACATTGGATACGAGAGAGGAGTCATTTCAACTCTGCCATGATTGAAATATCCTAGCCATGGTTTGCTTGAGAGAGCTAGAATTGCATTTTGTCCCTTCGTTCTAATATTTCTCAACTTGACAGGCCTAGTACCTAAAAATCTTGATCGTGTGTCAGAGAGCTCTCCTGAATGAGGGTCTACTGTTGATCTTAGGAGAACACCATTACTGAGACCAATATTTAGGTAAAGAGCAAGTCCGTCGTTTGCTGAAAGACCAGTAGGCAATTCAATCATGCTTAATGACTCTGGATCAGCTGGTAAAGCTTGTCTAGAGAGAATAGACATCATGTCATATTGGCCCAATGATATCAATCTTACTGTTTTGTCGTAGAAACCAACTGCAAGGAATCTAGCTCGGGTATGTCCTTCAGATACTGGACACAAGGCAAGACAAGCAACATCTTGAGCCATGTCATTGGTTTCTGTATTAATTAATTGACCTGAATTAGTATCATACTCGAAATAAATGATTTCTCCTCCACTTAGAGCAACGACGATTTGATATCCGTTAACAGTTGCTTTTTCAACTAGCTTATTTCCAGAATCCCAACCAGATTTCCTCTCACCTTCTCGTCCAATATGAATAATGCCTCTTGGATGAATTTGAACCAAATCTTCCTCACCAATATTTGCTGCAAAAATTGTTTTGGTATTTGTTAAAAAACCGCTATCAGCAACTTCCTCTACTTTGTCTCCAATTGAAAGGACCATCGTAAAATCAGTAAATGAAATAACAATATACTTGTCAAAATCGGATGAAATTGAATCTTTCACTGTAAAGACGGCTGGTGGTGATTGTTCCAATGGAGCTGAAACTTCTTCTTCAACAGGCAAGCCGTATCGTAATACTCTCAGTGATGAATGAGGACCTCTTCCATGAAGAGCATAAATTTGAGAGGAACCTTCGGTCATTAAATCTGTAATTTTCATGTCAGTAACAGGAGCCAAGCTTTTTAAATCTTGGACTTTTTGAATATGTCGATGGCTCATGTAAGGTTTAAATGTTGGGAATGACTCAAGGCCAATCATTTCAAAGGATTCATCATATTCTGAATGCTGAATAGATTTAAGTCTGTATAGTTTGTGGTCACTGAATTCGGATGCTGAGAAAATAAAACCGTTTTTCAAAGTTAAGAAAGTGTTTGCTACTGGAATTGTGTCAAAGTAATGAATGCTGATATTTTTCACATTTTTTTGTTCGTCCAGATCGAGTGAAACCTTATACAAATCACCTAATTCGCTTTGCACAAGCAAGAACATGTCAGCAGCTTTTTTCACCATATGCATACTTGAGCTAACAATCATGAGGCCTCTTTCCAGAGGCATGCCTGCTCTTCTTGGTATTGGAACTCTGACATTGTGAGAGCCTTTTCGGTATGTAATGTGGTTTTCGGAACAAATCAAAACACCTCTCACAGGTTCAGGTATTTGAATGAGCATGTTTGATGATCTATCAATCTCATCTGCTGACTTTTTAACAATTGTATTTTTTCCTAGGTCCAATTCATAAATAGTGAGAGTCTTCTTAATGGATTGATAGGCTTCATCGGATTCATCAGCTCCTTCATAATTCACTTCAATGCAAGCAAAGGTAGGGTTGTTGTCAAATCCGACATCCAAAGCAATCATGGAATACACAAGAGTATTTTGTGAATGTCCCTCTAGAGGTGATGATATAGTCAAATGATCGCCATCCATACGGATTACATAGACAAACTTTTGTTTTTCAATGGCACCAATCATGAGAGCTCTTCCTTGGGGATCTGCAGCCAAGTATTGGCCCGGAACAATTCTTCGGCATCCAGTCTTGCCATACGTTTCCACATGAACCTGCACAAACTTGTTAAGAATCGCGTTAAATTCTAAAATAACAATAGATCCAGAATCAGAGCCGATGGCAATATAATCTTTATCACCGGTGTTGCTGAATTTAAAAGCTACCATTGAGCGTATGACTCCAAAGACATCTTGCGATAATAAACATGAGAGAGGTGGGACGTTCTCTTCCGAGCAATCATAGAGCTCCAAAACGCTTCCTTTTGCAACAAGTATTTCGGTTGCTCTCACCAATTTCTCATTTCGTTTCACCTTCCGTCCAGAGAAGCAGCCTGTGATCGCTGTGTCCACGCTTCCTGGCTTGATGAGAGTAAAATGATAAAGTTGCATGTATTTTTTTTTTAATTCTTTGCAGTCAGGTTACTCGGAACGGGGTTGTTCAAACAAAAAGCCTGTTTAAAAGTAAAACAAAAACACCAACAAGCAAAATCAGGAAAAGCGTCAGTAATACTGATTTGAAAAGTGGAGAATCTAACATATGACTGATGAGATTGTTCTCGTGGGACGAGGTAACATGACTTGTTGACAGGTGTGATTGTGAATTTTTGGCATGGTCTTCAACAGACTCCTCATGTGATGAAACATGCAAATCAACATAATCACGCCTTTCACTAATCCATTGTAGAATACTTTCGTAATGGTTCCTGATATAGTAATCTAATATTTCCAGTTCTCGCTTTAATCTTTGGTTTCTCGAATACTTTTTCTCAATCCCAATTTTTTGATTGAGGGAATGTCTCGTTTCTTGTAAATAATAAATGCAACAATGCTCAAAGAAATCTAACGTTGAAACATCAAACTCTTCATATTTTGCGAGCAAAATATCGCGTAGAATTTTGTCATTGCTGTAAAGTACCAAACTATGTAGTTGCTTGGCCGCAGCTACAGTATCAAATGCCACAATAAAAACATATTTAGGATCCACCAGACCAATAATGAAATCAGAATATAAATCATAGAATCCGCTCTCTGCCATGTCTGCTTTGTAAACATGACAATAGTCCTTTTCAACGAACCGGTTTGTGATTCCCATCTTGGCCCTACCTGCATAGTACTTAATTACGTCTCCAAATTTTACGAATATTATATAAATGACATCTCTGTCGTTCATATGACATGGATACAATCTCGACAAGTTGTTGAACTTTTTAAATGTAGAATTGGTTTCTAACCACAGAGGAAGTTGGGAATGTATGCTTTTAGCTTTGGTTGGATATAATTTGAATAAGGTTGGTTCTTCATTGCTAGAGCACTGTGTGTAGTCGCAAAATGTCATGTTGCAGAATTTAGAGTGGGTAATCTTGTGTCTAATGGAAAAATGTTGTTGAAATAATGTACGCATGTCTTTTGTGGTTCCACAGCAAGACTTGTTAACAAATACAGGGAGAGTTTTGGCACAGTAATGAGCTATATTTTGTACTGCATTTTCTTCGAATATTGCCTTTTTAAAATGTTCAAACTTTTTTTCTCTTATGCGTTGTTGTAATTTGGAACTATGATCAAATGCACGTTGGAGAGCAAGCTCAATGTCTCTTGTGTTATCATCCATCAGACTTGCCAGTACTTCTGGATCAATGACGATATCATCATCTTCCACAAAATCATCATGTTTAACTTCCATTGTATTGTTATTGTAATCATGCTGTTGATTATTGATATCAAATTCTTCATCAATTTGGGAGCATTGGATTATAATATCATCAATATCTTCCGAGAGTAATGAGATAGAGTCTGCAGAATCGGTTTGCTGTGAGCCTCCAACACTTGAATATTGTTGAGTATCTACTGAATTTACAAAAACTTGAGAGTCGTGTTTTGTTTTCTTTGGTGTTGAAAATGAGTCTTGCTCTTGGGAGTTCATGATTTCCGAGAGGACTTCTTCATCAATGATTAAATCTTCATCTTCATTCCACTCTACCATGACTTCATATTTTCTTTTGTTTTCTGGAGAATCTTCAACAATTGTTGAGGATGTTGTCATAGTGAGAGTACATTCATGATGAGAATTCTCAGCCATCGTTGATTGGGAATGCCCACGAAACATTTTTTTGGAACAAATTACCGAATAGCACTCTTTGATGACGAATGGATTAATTGATCATTCATTGGATATTGGTGTTTAGCATTCTACTTGAATTTCAAATATCAACACTAGAGACAACGTTCCGTTTCCTTTATTTTTAAAAGGTATTCAGATCAAAAAAATAGAACCGAATTAAAATACGAGTGCTGCACTATTTCATTTTCAACGTCGTCACTAACTGCTTCCCGAAAGAAATCACCTCCTTCCAATTGATTGCTTGTGTAAATATAAAAACATAGTTCGGAAGGAGGAGAACAGTAATAATTACTAGTTACTACCCGATTTTCATTGCTTCCACTTTTAGAAATTCATTAATTTAATTTATTTCAATTTTAACGATACATTTGTATTTTGTACTGAATAACTGTTCCAAAATCAGCAACAAATAATGGCAGAAGAAAACAGAGCAACCAAGGATATGTGTGAATTTTGTTTTGACACCATTATCCATCAATTACAACGGTCCAAAGAATCACTTCCACCATATCCCTGCAATGACCGATTTCCACTATTCGTGACATGGAAAAAGAAGCCTGGTTTGAGAAGTTCATTTATAGCAGAATCAGTCTCTGAAGAGTACCACTTGAGAGGTTGCATTGGAACATTCTCTCCATTAGCTCTTTCGGATGGGTTGAAACAATATGCAATCATTGCAGCATTTAAGGATCATCGCTTCGATCCCATTGTGATGAGTGAGGTTCCTCAATTAAAATGTGCAGTGAGTTTGCTGGTCAACTTTGAAGAGGTGGACGTTGGTAATGTGTACGATTGGGAAGTTGGAACCCATGGAATTCGTATTAAATTTGAAGTGAACGGTCGAGAATACGGAGGCACATATTTACCAGAGGTTGCAAAAGAGCAAGAATGGACCAAAGAAGAGACTGTATCTTCACTCGTACGAAAGGCAGGATTTAAAGGAAAGGTGACGCACTCCTTGTTGGAGAGTATTGAATTAGAACGTTATCAATCCAGTAAGGTCGACATGACCTATGAGGAATATGTGGAATGCAAAAACAACACCAACGGCAAGGTTGGTACCGCTAGACAGTTCTCCACTAGTAAGAGTTTGGGGAGTATGGATGAAAGCGACGAAAGTGATGATGAATATTGACAAGTTTTTTTGCGTGTAAATAAAATCTGCGTAACCAAAACGTCGTTAGAACACAAAGTTACTCGAGACGGGACTCGAACCCACGACCCCAGGATTAGAAGTCCTGTGCTCTATCCAACTGAGCTACACGAGCTTCGAAATTTTACATTTCGCTGCTTATTAAATTTTACTTGTTTGCGATGAAAATTGAATGTAATGAGACACTTAGCTTGGTCGCCGTCCCTGTCCGCGAGTCGAAGAAAAGATTCAGTCAGTTTTGCGATAGTAAAATTGAAGCCGCCACCTCAGTGAGGGTTGAATATAGGAGGAAATGAGACGCATTACAGGAAATACCCTACCATCCAAAATCAAGATTTTCACATAAGTTCCAGCTGGTACATTTCTGATCGCACAACGTTGCCTTACATCTCATTCGATCTTCTATTACTCACAAAATGTCATAGGTATGAACGTACTAACGTTTAAAAAATGTCCACATTTCAAGTAACACACTATCAAGACACCTATCTCACTACTCTCCACGTCTTCAAAGAGGCTGAAATTAACAGATCCTATTGTGATTACGTTCATGTCAAAGATGTTCAAATGATTTTATCACAAGGAGATTGGTATGGAAAGGGTGTTCAATCAGAGGAACGTATTGCTACTGCAATCAAGACAGCTCTTGGAATTAACAATGTTATTCAAGTTGCTGTGTGCTCTTCTCCAAAGCTTGATAAGAAAGCAAATCTACAAGACGTAGTTGCTAAAGAGTATTGGGTTGTTTATAAATAAATATATGTATTTAAAAATCATGATGGTCAAGATGGGTAGTAGTCTATCAAAAATTTTGTGACCTTTGTCATGTAGTACAAATAGTTCGCGAACTGATCTTTGTGTCTAGAACTTTGAAGACATAGTGGATGAATTCATTTGGGGTTACAAATCATGCAATAACAATCATCCTATCTGTAACCTGAACTTGAAGTTTTTGTTGTGAAACTACTGTTCGAAAAAAATTTAATAAGAGGAGAAATCAATTTATTCGAAGCTCGTGTAGCTCAGTTGGATAGAGCACAGGACTTCTAATCCTGGGGTCGTGGGTTCGAGTCCCGTCTCGAGTAACTTTTTGTTTTGGGAGAGAGTAAATTTTGGTCTTGGTTTTATTTGGTCTACCACTTTTGAAATGGAGCAAGTTCGTGAGTGTAAATATGTAAACTGTTTGTTGGCTGGTCATAGATGGCATAGAGGAAAACCTTTTTGGAAGTCATTTGATTGTCTCCTAATACTCCACATTTCATTATTAGAGTATAAAGATCTCTATTTGGGAAAGAAATAATTAAATCTCGATTCTCGTTGTACAGAGTCAAATCTTCATCTGGTGATCGGCTAAGCTCACGAGTTTGTATTTTAACAATAAACTTTTTTCCATCTTTGTACTTGCCAGCATTTCTTTCTTGTCGTGTCATGTAGGTACTGCTTTGTGCTAAATTACTAAAAAATTCTTTCTTTTCAATGGTTTTCGCTTTTGCCAAATCACATACTATTGTATAGTCTGTGGTTAAACTGTTGCAAAATACTTTGTGATTTCGCCAGTCTTTGATTTGGCATTGTTTTCCACAATATATAACTGTCTTACATTTCGAACATTTTGACATTGTTTCAGAATGAGAATTGCAAAAGGCGCATAATCTTTCAGCTTTAGCTACTTTTGACGGATGTTCATTCTTTTCTTCGTTTCCATCTTCTACAACATTTGTGAGTGTGACGTTCGCCACGCTCCTCAATTCGTTGGAAATTTTCTTCATCTGTCTATCTATATCTTTCGCGTTAATTTTTAGATTTTGCAAATTCTGAGTTAAAGATTTTGAACTAACTTTCCTATTCAACTCTTGAAAAATCCCAGGGCCATTATTGTTTGACACTCTACAATTATTGAAAAAGACTGGAGCAGAGTAATTAATTCCTATTCTTACTCCTCCGCAATGATTACTGATGATTTGAGAATCTGTCACTTGTAAAGGACAATCTCCCTTCACACAAATACCATAATACAGACTTTCACTAATTACACAATCTTTCAACGTTGCAGCTCCCGTGTTATCAACACTAATTCCAAAATTAGTGTTTTTGAATATAGAAACATTTGTCAAGAAGGCACTACATTTTTGTGCAATCAAAACTCCTTCTTTTGCGTGTTGGTAAATTTTAGAGTTCGTTACCTTCACACTCTTTCCATTATTATATCCTATTATACCTTGTCCACATGCAAAAAGTTCACACTTATCAATTTCTGCTCTAGCACCGCTAACAATCTCTACTGCTGCCCTAGCACAATCATACACTTGACAATTGGTCATTTTTAAAATAGATCCTTCGTCATGAGCCATAACTCCTCCAGAGCCATGAGCTCCATTCACTACACAATCAATTAAGGTCAATTTTCCTCCTGAACCGCAAGCTACAAGAGGCATTTCTGAAGACGAAGAATGAAAATGACAATTCTTTGCTGTCATTGAACGTTCTTGCTAACAAAAACCGCTTGATTGGTTGGTTGTTTCAGACACAAATTCTCTATGTAGCAATTTGGCGAAGTAACAACGAGCATCATTGAAAATTTCATACCTAAAAACGTTGGCTTCTCTCGTCCAATACCAATCATGGAAATAGGTCTGGTAATCTCGTCACATATGGTATAGGTATCTTCATCCGTCACAACAATAGTCAAGTTTTGAAGAGCCACGTTTTCAGAAAACAGAGAGTGTTTAAATTGCAGAGCATTCCTAACTAGTATTATCTCAGAGTCTGGACGTATGGATTCAAGTTCGTGACCTTTGGATATCTTTGTTCCAAAAGAAGTATAAATAATTGCATTTGTGTTTGCTTCTTGCATTCGATTTAGCTTCATTAAAGCAAAGGCCTTCCTATAGTATCCTTTCGCAAAATATGGGTCACAAATAACAGACTTCTCTGCATGACATAATGATTCGGAAAAACACCCAAGTTTGGCATGGCATATTGCAAGATTTGAATGCAATATAGAGTCAATTTTAGAGCTAGTTTCTAAAAGTGCATTATTGTAACACTTGATTGCCTCAGTGAAATTATTGTCCTTAAAAAAATCATTTCCTTCCTCCTTCAATTTCAATTGTTCTGGAGAAGGCTCTGGTAGCTCCTCTTTCTTTTTTGTCTGATTATTAATTACTTCGCCCACCTCTTTCATAACTTTTTTAGTATTTACAGGAAGAGCATCTACATCTTTCATCACACGAACCAAGGTCTCTACCAATTCTTGTGTACCTGTTGTTAATGGTCCCAAAAAAGGTAATCTTTTGGTCATGGCATATCTTGCCAACTGGGCTTGCTTAACCACCTCCTTCATGTTTGTATTATCAATTACAAGAGCCAGTGATGCAAGTTCGTAATGTGCAGAGGGTCGTTTAAAATCCTCTAATTCAGATTGTTCTACATATCGCTGCAACCATTCTCTACTCGACTTGAAATCTAACAAATTTTTGTAAGCAATTCCAATCGAGTACATGATTTCAAATTCATTTGGATTCTTTTCGAACGCCATTAAAAAGTATTTGAGTGCGTTGAGCCAATTGTTTGCAAAAGCATAGCAGCTTCCAATCATATCATAGGATCTAAACGAACCATCTTGTTCAATCATCATAGGCATACCCATCTCGCGATACTTGTCAACACCAGGAAACATGAAAATAAGTATCACACAACATGCGTTATAAATCGAGTCCAGAAAACACAGTGATTTTTCTTTTTTCATGCTTTCAGGATCGCTCGTAGCATTCCGGTTATGTGATTTTTGAATGTGATCACAATACCGTATAATCTTTGCTCTCTCTTCCATAGTCAATCTACAAGCCTTTTCTTCCAGCCAAAATGCTTTTGCGATGTATTTCAGTCCTTCTTCTTCCTGGCCCGAGAAGAATAGACGTTTTCCTTCATCCATCAACAGACGAGCCTTGAGATATTTAGATCCGAGTTTAGTATGAGTATATTGCTTCAATTCTTCAATTGATGGTTGAATGAGCGTAATGTCTTCTAATTTTTGTTGGTGGTCTTGGTTGAGTTGTTGGTTTAACCTTTTGAGTGATTGCAGCGTGCTGCTTTCTTTGGGCGTTGCTGGCGTCATTTTTTGTTTGGTTGCAACAACTCGATCTCGCAAGTGACTGGCTAAATTCTAAATGTCAATTCTTGAAAGAACCTCCAAGAATTACAAATGGCAACATAGGCAATAAAGCACGTTTCCCTTACTATTGTTGCAAGTGCAACAATGCCATTAGAGGTAGAAAAGAGGCTCTACGTTTTTAAATTGACGTTGTTATTCCTTTTTTCCTCAATCAATCTTTTTCAACTATATTTTATTTCCAATAAATTTACCATACTAGTCATTCACGCATCGCAACAACGCAAGTTGAACTCTTAGAATTCTTGTGATGTCGAAACTTCCTTTTCTGTGGTTTGCTCTTCAGTTGCTTTATTCATCATTCGTGATTGCTCTCGTTGTTTCATGAGGGATCTCTTTCGTTCTTGAATTTCAAGCTTCTTCTCAGGTGTAAGAGACTCGTTGTGAATCTTTAAATTAGCTTCCGTGGCATAAATTGCAATTTTGTTTGGATAGAGAAAGTTTCTCATGAATCCGGCCTTTACTTTTATCACTTCTCCCTCCACAAAATTATTATAATTCTTTTTAATGATGACATTTGTATTGGCTACAGCTCTTACAAATCGTTGTTGAGTTGATGAATTTAATGTAATTAAATTAGTAGAGCTCAACGATGATGAAATTCTCTTTCCGTAATTCAATGCTGGGCAGAGTATGGTTTTGCCAGCGGCAAGGGACGAGACGGCAACTTTGAACATTTTTGTTGATGAAGAAAAAATTTGCTTTCGGGAAGAAGACGCTGAACGATAGAGAGCATTCAATCAACAACAACAAATCATCGTATTATAATAATAATACATTGTAACATTAAATAGTTGTTTAAGAACTCAAATTATTGCCCAACCAAGAAGAAGAACGGAATTATACTACTAGGTCATCAGATGACGAGTACATCAAACTCTGTCCAACAACATTCTTTCAAAATTAATGTGCTCATTCATGTTCCTCCATCATGCACCAACACTATCACGAATCATCCACTTCTGCGTAGTTATGTTTTACTTCAATTGATGGAACAATCGGAGAGTGGGCAAGTGGTTTTTACTCATTTTCATCATGTTGTTCAAACAACCATTTCTATGCAACACAATGTTTTACAGGTAGAACTTTCGTTTACAAGCTTTTTACCAACAAATTCCTCAATGAGTGATGGAAACGCATCCGACCTCACCTCTTCATTCCAACACTTATTTCCATATCGGATCGGAATGGACTCTCCCATTGTTTTCAATTTTAAAGTTGCAACAACACAAGAGGATGCAAAGTCACAATCATCAAAAACAGCCACGACTGCTCGACGAAAATACCAATGTGGAGGCTTAAAAAAAGAATATGATCTACTCAAAAAAACCTTAAAGCAAATGATTGATTTAGGAGAAAATAATGTCAGCGCTGGAGTTTTGATACACGGCTTGTCTGGAACTGGCAAGGATTTACTTGTAAATACAGTTTTGCAAGATTTATTTATTGAGGCATCTTCAAATAACGGCATATCACAGGGACAAGTTGATGACCACCATGCATCGTCACGAATTAATATTGACATGGACGAAAATTATCAACTCAACATCACGGCTCTCCATGCCTCCATGTTCACAAGTAAGGTATACGGACAAAACGAGGCCAAAATGAGGCAATTCTTCCAGAATCCAAATCAACTTGGTCACACCCAATCTATTTATTCTTACAAGTTTATTATTTTACAAGATTTAGATCAATTGGCACCCTCCAATCAGATCATTCAGGATAGCTCTATAGCATCAAAGGGAGGAAAACGACTTGTGAGCACTCTGTTACATGCCTTAGATGATTGTCCCAAAAAGAGAATAATAGTCATTGGAGTGACTAACCAATTCTCCAAGATTGATCCCTCAATTAAACGATCGGGAAGGCTCGATCAGGCTGTGATTGAGTGCCCCATTCCTGGTGAAGCAGAGAGAGTAGATATTTTGAGAGCAATTTTTGAGCAATGTAATATCGAGACACAAGAAAATTTAATCTCCAAAGTTGCGAGCGTTACACATGGTTTCGTTGGCTCTGACTTGAAATCCTTATGTAACGAAGCCATACTTCAATATTTTATGAAAGGAGAAATATTGTCCAATGACCATCGTCATGATACCACTAGTAGCAGTAACACTCCTCCCACTTTGACTCTTAATTATGACTTGTTTGAGAATGCATTGGTTCATGTGAGGCCCAGTGCCATTCGACATATTCTTGTGGAAGTTCCTAAAGTATTTTGGAATGATATTGGAGGACAGGACAATGTAAAGCAAGCCCTCAAAGAGTCTATAGAATGGCCTTTCAAATATGCAGAGCATTTCAAGAGAATGAAGATACGAGCGCCAAGAGGTGTATTGCTCTATGGTCCACCCGGCTGTTCCAAGACACTACAAGCAAAAGCATTGGCAACAGAAGCAAAATTGAACTTTTTGGCTGTGAGAGGTCCTGAATTGTTCAGTAAGTGGGTAGGTGAGAGTGAACGGGCAGTTCAACAAATATTCGCAAAGGCACGACAAGCAGCACCAAGTATCATCTTTTTTGATGAAATTGATGGTCTCGGTGTTGAGAGAGGTAGTGGAGGAAATTCCGTGGGAGATCGAGTCCTTTCACAACTTTTGCAAGAATTGGATGGAATTGATCCACTCCAAGGCGTGACTATCATTGCTGCAACCAATAGACCAGATTTACTGGATAAAGCACTATTGAGACCTGGTCGAATTGATCGAATGCTCTATGTGGCACCACCAGACGCGTCTGCCAGAAAAGAAATTATGAACATTCAATTGAAACGTATGAGTCATAACATTACACCTGAACAAATTGAACAAATTGTAAATGGTACAGAAAACTATAGCGGAGCAGAAATGACTGCTCTCTGCAGGGAGGCCGCTTACTTGGCTCTTCAAGAAAACATTCATGCAGAATATGTGGAATTTAAACATTTTGAAGCGGCTAGACGCACCATTCTACCTCGAATCACCCAAGAAATGCTTGATTTTTATAAGGAATTTGCCAATAAGAATAGAGCTGACTAGAGTTTTGTGACTCGATGAATTGTCATTCGATTTTAACTCGGAGTTTATAATTTCTGAATCTGTGTTATTATTGAGTAAGGATTTCAAATTTTACAAACGAAAAAATGCTTCGAATGGATTCAGTTATAGTCAGCAACACAACTCAAATTGCTACACAACCCATAGCGTTAGGATTCAATATTGTAATGATGAATGATGAGAACCCAAATAACCAGGATGGCCAGAATTCACAATTATATTCGGAATGCGATAATAAAGACCGAGATCAAGTACGATTTATTGTCATGAGTGATAGTCATCAATTCTATAAGAATCATTTGAAACATTTGAGTGATGTATTATTAAAACAAAATTCAAAATTCGGAGAGGTATTGTTGAAACAGAAAATCCACCACGAAAATGATTCTGGAAATGATCCACATTGTTGTCAACAATTGTTGTTGTTGGATCAAGAACAACATCATCACTCGAACAAACACAACAAACAATACAATGTTTTATTGCATTGTGGTGATTTTGGATTTTATGGAAAGGAAAAAAGTTTACACAATTTCAATAATGAATTTCTTGCAAATGTCAAAGACATGTTTGATGCCATTATTGTGATATTGGGAAATCATGATCATCCATTCATGGAAGCAATGGATTTTAACGTGGCAAATTTCAAACACTTGTACTTGTCCAATGCCACTCATTTGTTGTTTGACTCGGCAGTTTCACTTTTTAATGACCGAGTGAAAATTCATGGAGTGTCATGGCAATCGAAAGAGGAGCACACTTTTTGCTTTCATCAATATCCATCGGAGCTACATGAAGAGCTTGTACAACGATTGAAAATGAAAAAGCTGTTGAAAATTGAAAAGGATACGAATATTTTGCTGAGTCACGAGCCTCCACAAGGAAACTTAGATGATGGCTCAGGAAGTAAGGCTCTATCTCAGTATATTCTGAATGCTTCTGGCCAAGCGTTGAAAGTGGTGGCATTTGGACATGTTCATAGGTACGTAGATTTGTTGTAGCATAACCAAGAATTGCGTTCATCTCATCGCACCTACACAACAGCAAGTATGGCTATGAAACAACAAAAGCAAAAGGCAACAGAACTGTGCACATGATCAATGCGGCTGTAAATATGTCGAATGCTCCCGTTTATTTCGACTATTTTCTGTAGGGTCTGGCCAAAAAAGACGTTCATGCCTTATTCTAACAATTAATTAATAGTTAATAGTAGTAAGTGGTTATAAACAAAATCCTGCAATTCAAAAATCCTAAAATCAATTTAATTCCATGTCTCAGTTCCTGCAATAATATTCTCAATGTTGTGACAAAATGGATGTGGTGTTTCACCGTATTGAATGCTCAAAATTCGGTCCCACAACTTCATGGCAAGTGATTCTTCCTTGGGTGGAACTGGAACTGGATATTCCACGTCTTCATATCTAATAGCGCTGATTGGTGCAACCACACATGCTGTTCCTGCGCCGAATGACTCGAGTAACCGTCCATTCTTAACATCATCAATAAAATCATTCATCGTGTAGGTCACTTCATTAGCCTTTAACTTGAAATCATTTCTTACAATGTGGAGAACAGAGTCACGAGTGACACCAGGCAAAATCACATCTCCCAAAGGTGGTGTAATGAGTTCCTTCTCTCCATTCTTACCAATTCGATGGAAGAAAATGTTCATGGTACCAACTTCAGTAATTTGATGATCAGCTCCAAAAAGCCACAAAACTTGAGAATATCCCTTTTCAATAGCTTCCAATTGAGGCATAATCGTTGGACCATAGTTGGAACCAACCTTGGCATTACCAGTACCACCTGGGAAGGCTCTGACATATTTTGGATCAGCAAGAAGTTTCACAGGAGCAAAACCTGACTTGAAATAAGGTCCCACAGGAGAACAAATCACAAATAATTTAGCATTGTTTGGTGGCAAAACACCCATGGTACGTTCAGTACTAATGACTGTTGGACGAAGATACAATGAATAACCTCTCTTGTCTGGAACCCAATCCTTTTCAACTTTAACGAGTTCGGCCAAGCATTTCAAAAATTCTTCTCCAGCAAAATTCTAGGAGACGACCATTCCAATTTGTTCATGTGAAGAAATATTTAGGAAAGTGAGATTTGTCAATTTACGGAATGCGTCATTTCAATAATGTTGGTTGTTAAAATTTCAATAATTGACATTACAAATGAAACAAATCGTGATTTACAATCATTCCGAAAAACATTGATTTCAAAACAAGCATCCATGGAACACACATTATCAACAGCATCATTAATTTTCAATTCCGATGATACGCCACACATAATTCGGTTTGCTCAAACAAATTAGGGAATATAAAAAAGTAACTACATACTGGTAAACCTAATCGAGCACAAGACCTATTCATTCTATTGGCATTCATTTCTGGTCTAAACAAGTAAACATTCTCTCCATTCTTGTAGGCCTTCAATCCTTCAAAACATTGAATAGCATAATGCAGAGAAGAGCAAGATGGAGGAAGAACTAAATCATGATATGGAACAATTCGAGGAGCAGTCCATCCCTTCTCAGAATTCCAATCTACTTCAAGCATATGGTCAGTAAATTGTTTACCAAAAACCAAGCCTTCCCATGATGGTTTGGTGAGTGGAGTTTTGGTACGTTCAATCGTGAGAGCTGTATGATAAAAGTTTCCATAGGCACATTTTCTAATGGAGGTATGGTCGTCTTTCAATTCTTCTGTAGCCACTGTTTGATGATAGAATCTATGATGGCCCGATGATGGTATGGTTGTTGTTGATGCTGCAGTTAAGACTGAATTAACCAACACCGATGAAGAATTACCACCAGCACCAGCACGATTGAGTTTAATCGTAGAAGAAAGAAGACTCGATGATGTTTTGAGCATGACTATATTGGAATAACGTATTAACGGTAATAGGGTGAAGAAAATCAACGATTTGTTGTTGCGTGTTCGCGGGGTTGATGATTCTTTGTTAGAGAGGGAAGAAAAAGAGGTACGGACTCAACACAAGAAACGGAGATGAGGTTGTTTTTTTTTGGTTGCTTTTATGAGTTGGAAATCATAAATGATCGAACGAAAAGTTTAAAGTGTTCAATTTTCGATATTAAGAATCAATAACGTGTCTCAATGCATTCACAAGGTCATCCATATTGCTAATAGTATTATCATTTCATTTTGTTTGTTGGTTTTGAATGACACTCCGGCAACATTCCTGGACTTGAGTTTACAATGAGATGCACAACGTTGTTTATTGGACGGCGCTAATTTTTGATGAATCTTCACCAGAGAATTCTGGCGCACTCAAGTAATACCCTCCTGCTATGGCCATAATAACAAAAAGTTACTCATGTTTCAGTCAGACTTTTTGTAAACTCACGACATGCCTAAACGAATGTACCAAGAGAGCATTCATGTCCTCACCAGAGGTTTCAGGATGCGCTGAGAACAAGAGAATTCTACCCTTATCATTTTGAAATCTTCCACACACTGCTGCCGCGCTGCCTATCATGTATCCTTGTTGAATTTCTTTTTGTGTCAAAAACTCACATGAATAGGTTGCGAGGACTTGACACAATGAAGAATCTGTGACGTGAAGAATTGGACCATTTCGAAAGAACATGTTGACTTCCTTTTGTAGAGTGTTAACAGTGTTTTGAATAGTTTGAATCAAGAATAGTGGTCGTATGCAAGAAGTCTTGTTAGTCTACAAGTTGAGAACTTACTGATCTGGAATCGTTGAAAAATTTCTGACCTAGCTCAGTGAGTGTCACCTAAAAGTAATGGTACATGATTGGTTTTGATATGTTACAAGCTGTAATTGAAGAGATGTCTTCCCTTACCTTACTAGTTCCAAAACCTCGTTTCCAAATATGATGTTCTCGATCTTTGACAATTACTCCCTGTAAGAATTGTATTGCGTAATATTGTTCACACGAATTTGTCAATCAATATCAAAGAATTGTTTCAATTTCAAGGATGGTCATCACACAATATTTTGATCATCTACACAAACCTCGAGTAAATCTAATGTTTTTGGAACAAATTCCTGAAGCTTCTCAAAGCCATCAACTGAACTTTGAGCAAGAGCACAATAAGCTCCAGCACATGATCCCACATATCCCTAAATATGTTGTAAAAACAAAATATTTTGAGACAAATTTCGTGTGTGAAATATGAAAAATTTTCATCATTTCATATGTTGTTGTTGTGTTTTCACTCACAAAATTACACACCTTATTTGGAAGTGACAAAAATTCCTTCACTTTTTTCTTGCCCTCCTCTTCACCAATTAATTTATAATGTTCTGATGGGTATCCACCAGGCATAAATAATACATCAAATTCATCATCAATGAGACAATTATTAACAATCATTTCTCCTGTCACTTGAACAATCGAAAAATTGTCTTTTAATTTTTCCACAAATTTCTTCCATGTGATATCCTTTCCATCCAATGAACTTCCAATAAAGTATGCAATTTTTAATTCCGAGTTGTCACTAATGAATTGCGTTTGATTCAGTGAAAGTGATGCAATTCGTCTTGCCAAAAGTTCTTCCATTTTTTTAGGAAATAATTTTGATGATGTGAAATTGGGATGTTGAGAAACAAGCATCAGTGCTGCTTCTGATACGCACTCATACCATCATGAATTCAGACAGGTTCAATAAACTACTCTATGCTTTCAGATTTTCTTGGAGTTTGTGACCACACGAAAAAATGTTCAACAAACAATTTCCCTCATCCTCTGCTCGCTATGGCATCAACGACCGTGTGGGCTCGGGTTTCTTCTACGATCGTTATTACACCAGGTTTAAATCTCCAAAATGGAGAGCCATACTATTGTGTGGGGCAGCCATTCTTCTGTGGTATTATCCAAGTAAATTCATCTATCGTTTTGTCTTTGAGCATCCGTATTGGGAGAGAAGACAAATTCGCAAGGAACAAGAACGAGAAATTAAGCAATTGGTGTTGATGAGCTCTAATCGGGATAGAAAGGAAACACTCAATGAAATGTTTAAAGAGTATTACATCGGCAAGTATCTTGAACAACAAGAGGCCAATCAATCTACTTCTCAACAACAACCATCGGAGCCTAATACTGAAGAAATACTTCAGAATATGATCATCAAGTGGTATGGCATCACGAACAGTGACCATTCAGAGCTCAGCAGAGAAGAAACATCCTTATCCTCATCCTCTCCCAGTACCATATCAAGAATTATTCATACATCGGAGTTGTTCAACCTGTCCAAAAGATGAAAACGTTTGTGTTATACTGTAAATTTGATACATTCCAGCTTTATTTCACATCACGATACATTCCAGATTCACTTTATTAGAGCAAAACCATTTGGAGAATGAGTATATCACATCGTCTCAAAACCGTTTAAAGGCCACAAACAACCATTGACCACAAATGTTCATTTACCAATCGTTCATCTTTATGATTGAATGCAATCATGACATAACAATTTGCATGTTGTTGTATTGATCACACATTCGAAGGTGATGATGATGATACTGCGCACTTGCACACCAACAACAGTGCATTTCAGCCCACTGTCTTTAAAACGCAATAGTCAACTAAGTTTCCCCGTAAAGCCACTATTTTTCGCAATATTTAGCAATTGTGAGGTACATTTTTGGACAATTTGAGATTTCTGCTTTAATTTGCCCTGTGCACTATTTTGACGAAATTTAGAGAAAATCTCAATTCTTTTAGATGCTGCCTTTTAGGAACCCATCAACCCTATTCCTGGACCACGTGGCGTTTTGCTAATGTTCTTCAACACTAAAAAAAAGGCAAAACATCAAGAAGCTATTGCATTGCTCAATTAGAAGTGTCAACAGCATCACTAGTAGTGCGCAAAGCCATTCTCTCATCATGGCATCTGGGTATCCAACTCAAGGAAAACAACCATCACCACCAATTAATGCAGCACGAATTCTACCGCATGACGAAGACACAAATGATAGAGTGATGATGTTACCATCATTGTCCCATCAAGAAAACATTACACTTCCTAGCATTCACTCATTGTTGAGCAATCAGCAAGATGACCATGTTGAAACGCATCGTGAAACATGTGATACTTTTAGTAGTAATAGTAGCAGGAGCGCATGCAACATGACCCTCTATTCTGATCCATTATTGAATCCTCTCCCACTGTCATCAATGAAACCATCTCAAATGTTGTTAGAAACAAGTCCTTCAATAAGCTCGTCTCCATTCATTTCCATGTCACCGTCGAGTGGTAGTACAGCTTTACCATACAGATTGAGTGAAAAACCACATGTGCATGCAAATGAACCACAAAATATGTCATTAGCAAGTACTTGTTCGAATCCTTCTTCTCCATACACTGTTTCCTTTTCTCTACCGACTCTAACTGCACCTTCCCTTCAACGAAGAACACCTTCACCACCAATGTCCAGAAATTCGCCTTCTATGGTAATTAAGCACAGCAACCACAATGACTTATCTTGGCAGCAGCAACAAGTGCTCACAACAACGCCTGGACACTACAATTTCTCCAAATATTGCCAAAATCTGACACTTGACAATCCTAGTAGTAGTAGTAATAACATTTCCCGTGACATCCTTCAACATCAGTCACAATCAACACCGCAACCATATGAAAACACATCTAGTGAAGAAATAGGAAAAATCGAAAGAGGTATCAAATCAATCCCAAAACGAAAGACAAAACCAGAACAACGAGCAAAACTGGAAAATCAAGAGAAAACACCAACCCCATCATCGACGACTCTTAATTTCGTAAACAATTTCGTGTCAATAACCCCCAGTGACAACAACATGATTCTGACATCGAGTGACCTTCAGGAAGCACCTTCTCATCAATCTGTTCAGTTTTCAATGCATTCTCCACGTTCATCCAAGTCAAAAAGGCAAGGCAAAAAAACGAAATTGCAATCTGACAGTACGTCAAATCAAACAGCATCATCCTCAGATGAGGCCACTCAAAAAGCGTCACCCAATGAAGCAGCAAGCTCTAAGCCAGCAGCTGTTGATGGATTGTTTATGGAATTTGTGGGCGTGCAGAATCCAAAAAAACGAAAAGAATATCGAGATATTATAAGCTATAAGGATGAATTCTTTACGGACTCGTACAATAACAATACAACACAGAAACGTTTAAGGGAATCCAGTTCGAAATATCGATCGAAGCAACCTCTGAATACAGACCAATCAAAAAAACACTCCAATAAAGAGAAGGAATGAAGTGTAGTTCCAAAACAAGTCTTTTTGATGTTAAAGGGTGGAGTACACCTCTTGATTTGAGAGCCTCCCACAAAAAATTCGTGTTTGTGGAGGTAACAATCAGAATTGAAATTCATTCGGAACTGTGGTTATTCCTATTTCTTCTCGCTTGTTAATTTGTTCAATATTTGGTTCATGTGATATTTTAAAACTGGTTGGCCTCGGTTGTTGGTTCTGCGCATTTGTTTTCGTTTCTGTTCTCGCTGCTCGTGTTTTCTTTGTAATTCTTCTTTTTTCTTTAATCTCTCTTTATTCTCCGCAAGCTGTTGTTGTTTCTTCTTTTCAAACTCCTCTCGCTCTTTTTTAAACGGATCTCCTCTTGCTTCTTTTTTCTTTTGTATCTTCTCCAACTTGCGTTTATGATCCGTAATTGAATCCTCAAAATCATATCCCATTTTCTTGATTGTTTTTAGATATGCAAACGTCATTTTCTTCTTCTCTTGCTTGTCCTTTGAAATTTTATCTAATTTTCGTTTGTACTCCCGATCTTGTTTTCCTTCAGCGAGCAGTTCAAGATTGTTTGTACCATGATGCTTCCTTTTGGATTGTGCAGGCATTTTTTTTTTGTGAATTTCAACAAAAACGTTGCAATTAATTCTTTGCGAAATCAAGAGTGACACAGCCAAAATTTGCATGCCGTCTGTCCTTTTAATTTTGTAAAGAATTCACTTCCACTCACATGATTGGTGTGAGAATATAACGATTTCTTTTTCATGACACATCTTGTTGCACCAATCTTGTTACCTCTATTACAGTTGTCAAGATGTGTTTAGATTTGGAACCCTTGAACAGTGCTGGAAACTTGGAGGAAGTTGTGGCCATCAACCAGTTCCAAAAGCAAACACACCACTTCAAAAACGGAAATTCCTAAATGCCGCCAAAACAAAGTACAACATTGTCAGTTGAATAACCAACTTTTAAAAAAAAAAGTGCCTCGCACTTGGTGTGTGCCGTATTGATCTTCGGTTGTTGGTGTTGGGCAATTCCTGTTAATTCCTACTGAACCATAGTAAATTTTCAAACATAAGAATGAGTACAGCAAGATCATCACAATCCTCCCGAAAAGTTATCAATGATAACCCCGTTCTCAAATTAGGTCCAAATCATGTGTACGGAAAGAAAGTAAAACCTGATCCTGAAGGAGCTCTAAAGGTGGTCTTGTCCTGGCAAGAATTTCACCCAAATTCACCTTCGGAACCTCCAGAACGAGACTTTAAAAAACTGAACAAGCTCTGTATTAAGGAACGACAGCTTTCGGGATCCCAAATTTCAACGTTCCGAAAATCGCATCAAGATTTAACGCTCATGCAAGGCAAGAGCAATGAAACGAGCGGTGCCGACCTACCCTCTGATAAGGATCCAAATTTTACATACGGACATAAGAATGTATTTGATCAAAAAGCAAAGGACCTCATGGAGCACAGATTCGCACAAGAATGGCTCAAGGAGAGAGAAGAAAAGGTACGAGAGCAAGAAGCAGAAAAAAATAAGGAATTTCTTTCATCGGTCAATACTAAGGCCAAGTTGGACATTATGAAAAAGCGAATGGAATCACAATCCAAACTCAAGCCACCAGAAGAAAAGGAAGACTTCAAACTTTCACGATTTAAGAGAGTATCATCTCGAGTGGATACAAGAAGACCAGTGAGTTCAAGGGAATCACAGCAACATAGAGATGTCAACCATTAGAGAGGTATTCTCTCAAAATGATAATTCCACGAGTAATAACATCGAAGAGGAGCCCAAAATCCTCTTCACTCACGACCTCTTCAAGTCAGCATCAAGCAGTTAACCATCCATCGATGATAATTAAGGATTTATGGGTAATTTTCAAGGACTGTCGATAGCTTTGGTATCAATGTATCAAATCCAGTAACTGTTTGATAAAACATTGTGTCAAACCTCTGTTGTAATTGAATTTGTTCATCCAAAGATATTTCATCGATTCTTCTCTTCTCCTTAGAAAGAACTTTGTCAGCAAAAACCTTCAAGTCTGTTCGTAAGAAAAAGATCCAATCATCCAAAACCTTGCCACATGATTTCGCATAATGTAATTTAGTGTTCAAAGTCATAAAAAATTAAATTTCCATCATCAATGTTAGAAATATCAGTGAGTATATTATAACGACACGCGTGTTCAACCATACCTCAATACGTTTTTCCTTTTCCCATTGACCTGAACTCTGTTTTTTTCGAGAAATTAAAATTTGTAACTCGTTCAATGCCTCCGCTTGTTTTTCAAATATATGAATCGTTGCTGGATATTTAGACTTGATCTCTTCTGGTGTTTGTAAAAATGCTAACTGTTTGTCAAGAACTTGATTCAATAATTCGTCAACTTTGAAAGGCGGTATATCCACTTCAACAGAGGTGTGCTTGGATGTGTCGTTATTTTCTAATTTTGAATTAAGAAAATGTGACAATCTGGCATGCTCAATCCATAATAAACATCTCAAAATATAAATATACTTCTTTCTATTCACTTCTGGCTTGTTTCTCAAATAATCCACATAATTATCTTTAGCAACATTCAAATAATGATAAACTGTTGAGATGATAATGAATTTTCATGATTCTTCTTATAGCTTCATTCGTTTAGAAACAAACCTATCGTCCTAATATTAAAATAATAATGAGACCAAAATTCCTTCACTTCCTGTAACCAACTGTCGTTGTAGCAATAATAAATGATGTCACTTTGAACAAACCATTCCATTACTGTCGGATTTGATTTCTTTGTGTAGGATAATGTTTTTCTCAGCTCGTATCCTACAAAATCAATTTCTGTTTCTTCATCGTTCACACCTTTCAAATTTGTCATCACTTTCTTTCTAATTTCCAAATCTACCTCATCAACGACTCTCAAATACCACTCTAATGGGTGAACATATACAAATCTTACATCATAATCACTAGAATCCATTTCGGATTGATCATGAATATTCATGGCTCGGCTACCGGCATCACATACAAATAAAATTCTCACATTAAATTCTTGTTCAATCTCGGAGAGTAAAGAAATGATTTTTCGTGTAGAGTTATGGTTCTGATGTCGAAGCAGTGATGACTCTGAGCGTATCGGAACGGTATGAGCAGGAGATGGATTGTGTTGTGGAAGCATTTTTTTGGATCTACATTTCGAAAAAGAACTAAAGACCGTTTTGAGGAGTTGTTTAAAGGAGAATCTGTTATGACATCCAGTCGATCATCATTCGAATAGCGTTGCCTTAGATGAACCAAAAATCCAACTCACCATATTTCAATGAATTACCGCATCTTATTTCCATAAATAATATTTTATTTACTTATGGAGTATTCTTGATGACATTGGCGAAATCAACTCCAAGATGTTTCTTGACAAGAGTGTTAATATTGGCCTTGTCTGCCAAGCCAACATGTTTGTAAACAAATTTTGGTCCAGGTTGAACGAAAATAAGTGTTGGTAAGGCCTCAACATCGAGGGCTGAGGCAAGCTCTGGTGATTGATCGGAATTGATAGTCACTAATTGGACATGGCCACGTAAATCCTCAATCACACTTTGCAAGATTGGAGAGAGCCTGTGTGTGGGTGATTATTAACAACGTTATTCACACAATCATGAATTTTAAATCCAATGATTTTCAAAGTATCCAATTCATAGAGTGTTGAACCGTCCATGCAATGATAATGTTGTTAAACAAAATAACAACTATATATATAAAAAACAAACATTTTACATGGACCACACCAATCAGCATAAACATCAATAATAGTAGGTACTTTCATTGTTGTCAAATAATTCTCAAATTCTTCTTCAGTCTTGATCGGAATGATATGTTTTGAAGCGGCAGTAGCATAGAATCTAGATTGGTGAGAAAGAATAGATTTCATTCCGAGACATTGTGCATTCTTGAATAGCAATGCGGAAGAAGAGGATGACTTTAACACTTGTTTGAACATTTTTTTGTTTTTTTTGATTTGGTCGTCTTGAGATTAATCTTGACTGCACCCAATAGTCGCCGTCGTTGAAATAAATTTCTGCGAACAATAATTCTTTACAAAATTCTCATCTTTAGTAACTCTCAAACATGAGTTTGATCAGATTCGGTATTTTACCTGTGCTTGTCAATACGCATGGAGCACACTCAATATCAGAGGGAGTATTACACCAGTAGAATCCTGACAAAATGTACAAATTTCCACCTCCCCAATTAATAATCGCCAGAACGGAGGCCAAAATCAAGAAACCTGCAACCACGCTTTTCACAGAGCCTGTTGTTAAGGGAGGCTTACTCGAAAGCTTGATGAGTCGGAACTTGTCCATATACAACTCAAATAGACTTGCCACAAATCCAATCAACGTAATGAGAGGGAAGCTCACAAATCCATTGTAAATGATGTATTGGCGATAAATGAGCTCGAGATACTCTTCTGAAACGTCGAACTCAGGCTTGTGAATGATTGTTTCCTTATTTTTTGTCAGTGATCCTTTCACCTTGTAAATAATCCATGGAAGTAAAAATTCGACAGATACTGACAAGCAAAAGTCAGTGACCATTTGAATCATGTATTGGTTACCCATAATCTTAATGACACAGGGTGTTGCGAAAAAACCTTTGGTGAAGCCCATAACAAACACGCTGAACAGTTTGAAAAATAGAAACTTGAAGGTATTGTGTTTTCTGTATGCTGACCAAGTTTTGTGTCTCTCTAGTAAGGTTAAATCAATATGGTGTTTGATGAGTATAAAAAAATCAGATTCGATCAAGTGAAAACAAACACTTACCAAAGTTAGTCAAGTATACACAAATCTTCTTCCAAATAAAGGACATGACGCTAATTACCACCGAAATTGCTATGGATATGGCTGTCAGAATGTTTGTGTTTTCTGAAAATGTAGAATCTGCCAATTGGTACATGGCATTTACGTTCTGTAAAATTGTAAAACCCATGGTGACCACAAATGCGACCATCATAAAAATGAAGAATACGAAATAACTCAAAATCATACGGGCAATGTGATCAATGAGTTTGGTTTTTTGATTTTCCTTAATCTTGTTTGACTCTTCATCCAAAATATTCTCCTCACAATCATACAAATCTCGTTTTTCATAATATGTATGTACAATCCACCAATATATGGGACCAATGGCTAAGCTAATAAATATGCAGAGAGCGTTTGTTGAAATCCAAACCCAGTACAAATTCTTGCTGTACGACGATGAATATAATTGATCAAATATTGACAAATCCAATGCTAAACTGTTCCTAATATCTTGAAGGTCAACAGCAATGTGTGCTGCAATGTTGAGAAATTGAATGAAAAACAATAAGGCGTTCAACACAATCATAATTCTAGCAAAGTCAAAATACAATTTCACTCCAAGTCCATAAGCGTCTTCCATAGCAGACCACCTGGCCCAAACTCGAATCTTCTTTTCTTTAACCTGCTGTTTGGATTTATCATATGTATCCTTCACAAGAAAAGGATGTCCCTTCGCCGTAATTTGCAACTTGTACCCCTGTTGTGACCAATCATGAATCGATGGTGGAGGAGGCTGGTTGCTATGTAATTTTGAGGTGAGCTTTCTTGTGAGAGAATGATTTTTCAAATCATATGTTGATGTGGTTGGCCGCGAATTCTTTTCCTTGTAAGCTCTCCATAATTGATATTGGTTTCCGTACATTTCTCTGTTTCTTTGTTTGAGCTCTTCCAAGTTCTTCTCCTCGGTAGGGATATGAGGCAAAGCAGCAATGGTCGGTTGAACATACAAGTTTACGTTGACGTTGGTTTGATTGATGTTGGTTTGAGGAACTACCGCCATGCCCTCACGATCATTCATAGTTTTCTGCTGTTGAGCAACAGAGGCTTCATCTCTAGAACCCACCGTTATTGAAATTGGATGATCCATGGATGACGATCGACCACGGTCATTGTTCGTTAAAATCGGATGTGAGGTTCGTTGTGGGGAGGAAGATGAGGCTGCTGTTGTTGTTGCTGTTGTATTAAGATTTCCTCCATTTGAGTGGTTCGTATTATAATAAACATTAATATTGTTGTTGTGGTTGTTACGGTGATGATCAAAATAATATGCGAGAGGATAAGTGGTCATACTGGGGTGTTGGTCTTGCGTTGAGATGGTGCTAGTTGGTACGTTCGATGATGTGGTTGCCGATGAGCTTGTTTCATCTACAACGGGCACCACTTGTCGTCGTTTCTGTTTGCCCATTTTGTTGTTGATGTTTTTGAGTCTACTGGAGAGAGATTTGCCACTGAAAAAGGGTGGTTGAATCTTTAGAGTTCCTTATTGTTCCAAAATCTTTTTCATTACACTCGCAGAGTGGTAAGAACTACAAGTAAGGGAAGAGAGAGACAACCTGTGATGGAAATATTTGCGAGTTGTTCATCATCATAAATCTCTCATCATTGATTGCAACAACATCTCTAAAATTATCAAGTAAAACACGTAGTGTCTTCGTCATGTTGCAACAAACACGTGTAGGTCATCGTGTATCATTCATGGCCGGCCCTATCAATAGAACAAGCCATTAAAAATGTCGGATACCCCCTCTTCATCCCGATCCAACAAGTTGAAAATTGCCTTTACACATCCCGATCTGGGAATTGGTGGAGCAGAGAGACTGATTGTGGATGCTGCTGTTGGATTGCAAAATTTGAAAGGACATCATGTTACAGTATTCACTTCTCATCACGATCCTAAACATTGCTTTTCTGAAACTCGTGATGGTACTCTGAAAGTGAATGTCTATGGAGATTTTCTTCCGAGAGCATTATTTGGATATTTTCATGTCTTGTTTGCAATATTGAGAATGTTATATTGTTCTGTCGTGATGTATTTACAACATTCATCAGAGAATTATGATATTATTGTTGTGGATCAAGTGAGTCATCATATTCCTCTTCTTAAATTATTCTTTCCAAATTCAAAAATTATTTTCTATTGCCACTTTCCAGACAAGTTATTGGTTCGTTGGGATGATTCAAGAATTTCTCTCCTCAAAAAATTGTACAGAATTCCATTTGATTATTTTGAAGAAGTGACAACTGGAATGGCTCATTCGATTTGTGTGAACTCTGAATTTACCAAACAAATTTTCTATGATTCCTTCAAAAGACTTGCTAATTGCACAGTACAAGTTCTGTACCCTCCCATTAATGTCTCTTCGTATGATGAGGAACCATCTGATTCTGACTTGGAAAAGTGCTCCTTCTTTAAGAGAATTCAAGAATCTGATCTTAGTGTGGTCTCAATCAATAGATTTGAAAAGAAGAAGAATATTGCACTTTTAGTGAATGCTTTTGCCAGGCATGTCAAGCCTCAATTTCCAGAAGCCCTACTTATTCTAGCTGGGGGTTATGATCCACGAGTTCCAGAGAATATTCAAGTTTTGGAAGAATTGAAGCAATTGGTGAAGGAGCATGGCCTTCAAAATGACACCGTCTATGTACCATCTTTCAATAATATTGATAGGTACGTCTTGCTAAGGTATTGCACAGTGGTGGCCTACACTCCACAGGGCGAGCATTTTGGAATTGTCCCAGTGGAGGCCATGTATTGCGAGCGGTGTGTGGTTGCTCTCGAGAGTGGTGGACCCAAAGAGAGCATTAAAGACGGAGAGACAGGCTTGTTGGCAGAAATTCATCCGCACAATGAAGAAGAAACGACTCGAAACTTTGGCAATTGTATTTGTGAGTTCTTTGCAATGACTCCAAAGGAAAGAGAGAATTTCGGACGGAGAGCGAGACAACGTGTCATTGACAATTTCACTCTTCAATCTTTTGCTAATTCTTTAGACCACATCATTAGATCATAGCTGAAGAACAGAACACTCCAAGTGCCAAAATTTAATTGCGATGAAAATGAATGAATCGTATCTGGCTTATTCGATCATCATGTGAGCATTTTCTTTTCATACAAACATTGGCTTTTAATCATCATTAATGTGAATCCCATTAAGATATCAAACACCCATAGTGCTGTTGTTAGTTTTATTGGTTCCGACCTAAAATAATTACAAAATTTGGTAATCTTATCGCTATCTTCTCGTTAGAGAGTTGTTTACTTGTAGAAGTAGTATTGTCTAATTCTTGAATAGGTGTCTCCTTCAGCATATGGGTTGCTCTTAGAGGAGTGAAGAACCTTGACGACCTTGTTGTGATGGTCTACCCTCAAAACTGATGGTGATGAGCCCTCATATTTTGGTTGGAATCCGAGCATGGCCACAAAGCCATCCTTCTCGACTTGGTTAAGCAAATTTTCATACTGTTGTTATTGTTCGGATGTGAGTATTAAATACATATTTAAATACGTAATGATTATCAAGAATTAATCATCATCACAATAAAATTAATATTCACGAAAATTAATCTTGTTCAACAACACTTACGTCAGTCATTGGGCATGAAAATCTAGCCAATTGCTCGTATCTCTTGCAAATTTGAGCGTTTGGATCCTCCTTATCAACACCATCAGCGGCATGATCAGCCAAACACTTTCTCCAGACTGAGAAGTTCAAATAACACTTCTTGTAGAAGTCAGCATTGTTGGATGGGAATCTTGGATCTGGCAAATTCTTCTTGGTTCCCAAGAAAGTGTATTGACTGTACTTTTGAATCAATCTGTTGACTGGGAGAGCAGGCAACTCATTAGAAAGCTCCTCATTGTAGGTTCTATGAGGCCATGGGTTGAAGCGGTAATAAATGTTGTACAAGAAGGACATGATTTATTTTTTTGTGGTGTTTTTTTGAGTCCATTTTTAACGATTTGTAAGCGTTGGGTTGACCGCCACAAAATTCACCAAATTTGGCCAAGAAAGCTTTGCATTAAGGCTTCTCAATAATTATTACCTTCATCCACTGGTTACAAGGAATGAAAGAATTGATGATCAATAGGACAACTTAATTTCAATATTGTTTCATCTCATTTCAAGCAATGAACTACAAGGAGCAAATTTCAGAAAAAATATGATACCAAGCAACCACCACACTTTCCAAGATGATCATCAAAACAACAATTCTTTTGAACGACTGGAAGAAACTGAAAATCGGCAACAAATAACATCCTATGTCGAGGAGTGCATGGTTCGGATCAATCAATTACCAGTACAAGACTCTCGGGATATATTTGCTCTCATTCATCCGAGAGTAAAGGCCTGTATTCTTTCATGGACCATACTCTCATTCGAAAATACGTCGGAACGAAGAGAGAATATTTATAAATTATCATTTGTTTGTAGAGAATGGAGACAGCTCTTGAAGGATCTTGTTAGATATAAATATTTAGATTTTAACGTGCATTCGACCACAATTTTGGGAAATATGTTTGATGGGTTCAAGGTTAGTTTGTGGTGTGATTTTTAACAATGCGAGCATACTCACAATCAATTGATTCAACCTATAATTTACACAACACGACGATTTTGATGTTTTCTAAAATGATGGAACAACAATTTCAAAATAATTTTTGTTGAATTTGATGACACATTCTTTTCACATTTACTAAATTATAGATTGTTCCACTAAAAGCAATTCGACAACGATACATTATTATTGGAAATGAGGAAAATCGACGAGTTGGATATTTTCAATCAGCATTGGCCAGCTTTGGCTTGCCGCCTGCAGAATGTGTGACATGGGAGACACTTGTTTCTACAGGAATAGTGAACCCCATTACTCATCAAATCAATGTTGTTGACAATAATGAAATTGCTCAAGTAGATTGGGCTGCGTTAATCGATAAGATCAAAAGAAAATACAAAAGGAGGACAAGCCAAGATTTAAGAACAGAGGATATTCTGGTTCGAGTAGACTCTCCAGGCGAAAACTTTTTTGTAGAGAAAGGACTGTTTTCTCTTGGCTGTCAAGCAATGAACAATGAAACCTTAGGTACTAGAATATCAGAATATGATATTAATAATACTCTTGTTTTTGATTTGGGGCAAGTGAGATATGTTAAACAATGGTATTTGGGATTTGTCAATGCTCTTAATCAGATTTATTCTGCACTCAAACAGCAAGGTATTATCAATTTCAATGCAACTGCTGAGGAAATTGCCATCACTTTTGATAAGCGATTGTGTCATCAACTTCTTTCCAAGCATGGAATTCCTGTTCCGAGAGCATTCTATAATATCACTACCTATGACGAATTACTAACGGTAACTAGAGAGCATTCCATGAATAGAGTTTTTGTCAAACTGGCTCACGGTAGCAGCGCCAGTGGAGTCATTGCATATTGCTACATGGAGCAACAATTGATGGAAAATTCCCCTCCTGTACTTAAAGAATTGGCAACAACAAGTGCTGAATTAATAAGAGATCGAAACTTTCCACAATTCTTTAAGATATACAACTCTCTTCGCATCAGAAGATACAATAGAGCTGAAGATATTCGAGAGGTCATTAATTTTGTATGTGGTGAGGGTGTAATTGTTGAAGAGTGGTTGGAAAAGGCAAATTATATGGGACGGGGTAACTTTGATTTGCGAATCGTAGTGATTGGAGGAAAAATTATGAATTTTGTGGTGAGAACATCAAAGAGTCCAATGACTAATCTCCATCTTGGAAATAGGAGAGGTGAATGTGATGAATTTTTACGTTTAATTGAGTATAAGGCCCCCGGTTCATGGGAGCGAATCAAAGAAACATGCCACAAAATTCACACTCTATGCTTACCCAATGCGTTGTGTTTAGGCGTTGATGTCATGCTGTCTGAAGATTTCCAAGAGCATTATATTTTGGAAGTGAATGGTTTTGGAGATTTGAGTAAGTATGAATGTTTCTTGTAGTATGTTTGAAAACTGATTTTTCTTGCGACTAGTTCCACGAGTGTACTATGATAATTATGACACATATCAAAATCAAGTTCGAGAGGCGTTGGAAAAGTCACTCTTTGTGTGGAATTAAGCTACTAAATTTTTGATTCTTTCGTGAGACATTTAGCTAGATTTGACTTGATTTATTTAATTAATTGCTACTACTTCAACATCAAAGATTAAAACTGAATTAGCAGGAATTTTTCCCATTGATCTAGATCCATAACCCTGTATTGTATCGGAAATGCAAGTGAGAAATAAATTTTGATAGCAAGTAATTCATGGTTAAATATGCATTTAAAATCATGGTTGAGACTTACCATTTCAGGAGGAATCACCAATTTTCTGTGTAAAACGAAGAAAACCATGAAAAACATTCATAACAATTATTTGTGTGAATTGCGAATGAACATACCTCTTCTCAGAGACACATGCTCCTTGTAAACCAGCATCCCATCCTTGAATGACACTTCCTTGTCCAATCTATCATTGCGAATAGGTTAGACGTGTGTAAAATGCCGAAATGAATGATGAAGACATAAAAAATCCAAAATTAAATGTCATTTAAATTCGGATCATCATTCAAATGTGTTAATTCTAGCCCTCTCCATGCTCACACCCACAAACACACTTACAGTAAATTCAAATGGTTGATTTCTACTATAGCTTGAATCAAATTCAGTTCCATCAGTCAATGTTCCTCTGTAATGAACACTCACACGATCTCCATCTTTAACTTTTCTATCACATTGATCAGGACGATATTTCACTCCGACTTGCAATCGTTTGATATTGTCATACTTGGAGGAAGCACAAGCAACAGAAATCAAGAGAGTGAAGAGAGCAATGAAAAGCACCACACGACGCATCATTTTTTTGTAACAAAAGCTAGCCACGAAGGCATCGTCTTTGTGTGTACACTTTTCGTCACAAAGCTCTGAAACTAATGAAGGTGAAACACGTGTTAAACATTTTAAATACATTGATTTATTTAAGGGCGTCAAAATTGTGTGTGAAAAACTCTCTTATGTACAGACAGGTATTTACATCAATGGGATTAAAAACATTCCGAGTGAAGAACCCTTTCCACTCTCTTCTTTTCCAAATATTGTTCATATTCTTTCAGAGTGGCCAATCCTCCATCATGATCTCGAACAGGCACTGATTTTTGGGCGCTTTCATAGGCCTTCTCGCAAACCTTTCTCACCTTTCGATGCATCATTCGTGCCGTTCCTTTACAGAATTGAGCTGAAAATGTTTTTGGAATCTTTCCAGCCATGTCTCCAGTTTCAAAAGCTGCATAACGTACACTCGCTTTGGTATACTTTTCTACAACGTAGACCAAATGATGGCTTGCTCGAATTGGGTTTGACTTGGCTGGATAGTCGTGATGACTCGATGGTTTCATGATCAAGACATAACGATCGTAGAGACCAGTGGAAGGATCATACTGATCTGGAATGATGGTTTTTGCATAAATAAAGTCTCTATTGGTAAAAGGAAATGGAAGAGGAGCCTCTGCATAGATGAAGCTCGTTGGAAATGGAATATCCTTCTCTGGATTCATGGAGTAATAATCCACTTGAAAACGTGTCTTGTAGAGCTCTCCGAAATGCTTCTGAACATGCTCTCCATATAATAAATCAATCCATTCTCGTGTGGTTCCGGGAACAATACCACTTTGAGCAATGAAGAATTTAAGGTTGTTGCTAATTTCCTTGTGATGTTGAGCACTTGCCTTACTCGAGTGATGGTGTTGTTGTTGTTGATGATGTTGATACATGGAATAATTAAATGTATAAATTTTGGGTGAGATGGCGGTTTTCATACCAATCTTTTCATCAACAACTTTCCAATTGGAATTGGTGGTATCACTATAATAGGATTGATGTAATTGAAGAGCTAATTGATAATCTTTTTCAGTGATACAAGTATTGGTTTCATCAAGAATGGGCAGAATTTGAGAATTATTCTGAGGGCTGGAAGAGGTACTACTACTATGGGTTGCCGTCATTGTCTTGGATGATGCAATCTCCCCACTGCTGAAACTACTCGTAACAGAAAGATTATCTGAGGAAGAGTCATAAAAGTTGGAAATTTTCAAATCCACTTCTTCCGAATGATCCTCATCCGTGGTGGAAGAACTATCATGAGATGTGTCTTCTTCCTCATGATGAGGCACATGAATGGATGAGGACGAGGATGAGAAGCTTTCCGAGGAAGCACTGAGGCTTGATGACCGATGTGTAGAGGAAGCCTTAGAAGCATTTGTCGTTGAAACTTGTAAATCTGAGAGGGCCGAGAGAGATGAAGTCGACGAAGACGAAGCAGCAGCAACATCCTCACTACTTGTTCGCTTCTTTACTGCCACTACACCCAAAGTCGTACTACCTAGCGAGGAACACGATGAGGACGTTTTCCGTGTTCCGAGTTTTTCTAAAATGTGTTCGTTGGTTCGCTTCAATTCTCGAAGTAAGAATTTTTTAAATGTTTCCGACTGGATGAAACGTGGAAAGTTATCGACTTTGAGTTCAATGAATAACAAGTCTTGAATTCGACTGAATAAATCGGGTGGACATTGGAGGAGGTCTTCGTTGGTAATGTGTTGATTGGCTTCTGTGATTTGTTTCCATCGATTTAAAAGTTCTTTTCGGTCATTCATGGACAAGTTCAATTCATGAGAGGAACCAACGAGAATGAATTTGTCAATAATGTCACGAGCTAGTTCATATCGATTCTTATTGAGGCGAGTCTTGTTATATTGTTCTACAGCTTCATAGAAAATAAAAGGTTCTACATGAATTTACAATCTTGAGTAAATACATAATGTCAATGGTCAAAACATACCTTCATTTAAACAATCCTTTCGTAAGAACTTTCTGAATGTTTCTCTTGCTTCTTTATGGTCAAACACTGCTTCAATCTTGTACGAGTATTGCTGTATCATTTGTTCATGTGCTGCTGATTGTTGATGATTGGGACACAATGAGAAATGCACCGTTGAGGTGCTGGACGAGGTGCTGTCAGTGTTCAAAAGAACCATGTTGACCTTTTGGTGAATGTTGTCAATGAGAAATGGGTGCGTGTCAGAAGAACCGATGGGTAGGTGGTGGTGTTGTTGAAAATAATATCGTTGTTTTTTCTTTGTTGAAAATTAAGCCAATAATAAATAGAACATTTCTAATTCAAAGCTAACGTTCTGACTGAATTGTCCGCACTTTCATCAACAAACCACGCGCTGGTGCTTTCGCTCGCAGCTGAGTGGACGCACACTTTTCATTGCCGGTCTTTTATTAAGAAACGTTGTGATACACAAATGTCTCGTTGCATCCGTTTTGAGCTCATACCGAATGGTTCCCTTTGAAGATACAATTTCACAACAGAAAGTAAATTGATTGAATATGAGAGGGAGGAAGAAGGAATAGCGCATTGGAGAGGGTTCTAATAACACTTTTTGGTCAGGTAGTCCGTCCTTCGCTCGCGTGTGTTATCAATTAAAGTCAACTACAACTGAATTCAATGCAGCTCAACTGGAAACGTCACTCTCACAACTCTTGTTTAAAATTAGTAAGGGATAGTCTTCAACGAAGAACAATTCATTGGGATGAAGAACTATTCGGCATCTGTGAGAGAAATGATTTGGCAGCCTCTGTGTTTGGGACAATGTCTAAGATTTGTGTTTAAGGCAACAAGCAAAGAAAGAATGAGATTTCATGAACAAATTTTGGTGTTTAAATTCTGATTTAAAAAGGGTTTATTTGATATCAATGAAAAAGGTATAAACAAGTCACTCTTCTGGGCACAAGATTGCACCGAGAATCATCATTGGACTGTCTTTCAGTTGTGGAAGAGAAGTAAAGAGGTGGCCGTCCTTCTCATCATTATGCATGGTTCATCCAAAAGTGTATCTTAATTGAAAATGCGCAAAGTCCCTGATCATCATCAGTTTGCATTGAACCAGCTCAATTTGAGCCAGAACAATGCAAATCTCTGATCATTCAAATTCCCATCATTCAAGCATTGGACAATCTCTTTCTCAATACTCGATCTTCCAAACAAACACAAAAGCTTGGGACGGTGACTCTCTTTGGTTGTGAAGAGCTGCCGCAATACAATGCAGAAAACATGTCAAAGCTAGAATCGTCTTCACTTTCATTGGATTGCTCTGGGAGTAATTCCAATTCAATTTCATCTCCTCTGACATCGACAATAACACCCATCTTACCATGGAGTTGAGGGTCCAAGCTTTGTAAAATTGCAATATCATCATCAACATTGACCAACACAGTGTCATTCTTTTGAATCAATTTATGAGTATTGATGTTGGAGATGAATCTCTTGATGGATCTTGTTGTGGAGGAAACAAGACTTGAAGTTTGAGCACCACGAGCAATGGATTGCATTTTCTTTTGTTTCTGAATGCCTCGTGAAGCATTGTTGGCTTGCATCATGAAAAAGCCTTGTTGATTAGGCTTGAATGATGATGAATAGAGATCCATGCCACTATCAGCAGCACCATTCGTGAGTAAACTACTACTCGAGGAAGAAGCGGACATCTTTACGGAATGGTTGTTAGTGGCTTGAATTCTTTTGACGAACATGTTGAGTGTGCGGAAAAGGTATGGTGAAAATCAAATGTGAGTGTTGTTGTTGAATTTTTTTTGTGTTACGTAAATTTGTTCCAGGGCGCCATGAACCAATCTTTAAAAAGAATTTCCTTGATTGGTGCTACACCTTCAAATTCACAGACCTGCAAATTCAAAAAAATTTTTGCAGTTCGGGAAGGATCAGGAACCGAGGCATTCCGTTGTGTGAAATTCCTTGCCTTGGAATGCTCGCAAATGTCTCGGAAGAATTTGATTTTGATCTTCATCAAATCACAACAGATCAAAATGTTTGATGAAACTTTACAATGATACATGCAATATCAATCATACACGTCTTTACGAGTCACGACTGTTGGTTGAACAAGAGCCAAAATTTATACTCGAGTTTATTGTTAACATGTGCTTGGATCAATCAATCATGCTGATGTAATATTTCCTCCATTCCAACAACATTGAACAGTATGACTGAACATTGCAATGAGAAATATTTTGGTTCAGGTGATAGAGGGCCTAAAATCTGTTAAACCGTTAAAAAAGGTGAGATGGGACCTTTCTCCAGTTCATGGGGACTGCTGTCTCGTTGGATCTACAACAAGTGTTTAGAAAAATTCAAACAACTTGATCAACAATGATTATCAGAAAGAGAAAATCAGTGGGTAGTAAATACTCCTTATGAATTTCGACAAGCTGCCGCTATATTTGAATTGTTGACTAAAAAGAAGAAGAATGGAATCATTGACAAGTTTATGATTCGTTTCAAGGAAAGACGGAAAAGATCACTTCTCCATTGCAAACACTGGAAATCAAAGAATGGACAATTAATCTTCATAAGGAAGATCAAAAGTGATGAACCTTTGCCTATGGAACTTCAATACGATTCTACTCTTATTAAGAACAAGTGGAACGAATATTATATGTGTGTCTGACCTCTGGTTGTGACCATTTCGATTGTAACTTGTCAAACATGTAACATAATCTATCAATTCTTTGGGCATCTCCTGAAACATTGTGGATGATTTACACAAGAAACTGTGTTTGTGGCTTTGCCGAAATTACCAAGTGGTCCTGCTTCCTTTGGTTGAGACTCAGCAAATGGTGAAGAAACTCCATAGGAGAATTAACAGTAAGACAGCAAGAAACATGCTGAACTGATCAAATTACAGATTCAAGCAAAGACTGCTGCACAAAGCTAGAGAATTTTCTTGGTACTTTTTGTCAACCAAGCCTTTATATCCAAGACTTGCTCATTTATGTTGTGGACATATTTTTAAGGTTGGATCATCCAAAGTGTTTCATTGACCATCATGTGGCTTAATTATTGACAGAGATATCAATGGAGCAAGAAATATTCTTCTTCGATTCCTTACTACTATTAATCTAAAAGTATTGTCGTGAGAGTTAATAAAGAGATTTTGAACACGAGCAATGATGTTACCTTAATTTTGCGCGACACTAAGGTAACAACTTTTATACGATTCCAGTCCCTGTCGAGGGAAAGACGGGGATTTGACATTTATTACTACACACGAATTGTACGTCGGTTCACGAAGCATGTTCCTCTGATTACTGCTTAACGCCATCAGATGTTTCAGACATAAAGGAAGGGTCTTCGTTTTGAATATCTAAAGCATGTAAATTACGACAAAGGCTCTCCAAAGACGAAGCCGATTCATCTGAACGAGCACTAATGGAGCTTAGATTCATTTCTGGTGCTACATTGTTCAATTCTGAATGAGGAGAGAAATTTCTTGCTTGTTGTTTCAGCTTTTGGTTTTCCAAGCAAAGTTGATTGCGTTCGGACACCAAATCGTCCAACCGTGAATACATTCTCTCTTTTTCTTCATTCAGTCTCTGAATCTCCTCCGCTAGCCTCATATTCTTCTCCACTAGCCTCCTTTTCTCCTCCTCTTTTCTTTTGGTTTTCTCTTCCTGTTGTTTGAGTTTCATGGTTAGCTCAACATTCTGGAGATGGAATGAGTCTCGTTGCTCTATCATCTTTTGAACATCAAACTCTTGCAAAACGAAATATGTTTTAAGAGAATTTAAACGGTTTAAGTTTTTTGGATGAATTGCTAAAAGATGTTTATCACTTTGATATTCTTCTAAGTTCTTGATGCTCTGTTTACCGATCAAGACGTACAGCTTGCTTGATGAAGCGGGAAGTTTAGAGCTTGTTTGGTTACCCAATCAAGAATATAAGGGATTTATCGAGGCTTCAGATATCTTTAAAATCATTGAGATGATCCCGCAATCATTAATCGATTCTGATTTCGTTAGTATGAGTTGGTTTAAAGAGAATCCGAGAGCAGGATGGCTTCTATTTTAAAGTCGACATTGAAAACTCTCAATTGCAAACAGAAACCTACAAACAGTTAATTTAATGAACCAGGATCGAAGAATTGGATATAGTACATATTGACATAACTCAAGATCAATTTTCTCTGTGCAATTGTTTACCAGTTGACCTTTTTTCACCTTAAGGAGCCAACAGATCAACTTTAGCGTAAGTTGTGATATACAGAAAAATTGACATGTAACTGACAAACTCACGTGGCACGTTCAATTAATTTTATGTGCATTATAATGATATTTACATTCAACCTTTCGGTACGTTTGCAATACATTGCCACAGATGGCCAAAATCATTTAAATACAATTTGTACATGAAGAAATAAAGCCATTTCCACCAGGTTGATATTTACAAAGAGTGCATCTTGTTCGTCGCATGAGATCCAATGTTCCCACATCCATGACATTGTGAACAATGAGGAATTGTAAATCCTCAATAATTTGTCTGGTCTTTCGTGTCATTATGGGATCTCTAGTAATGAGGTAGGAAAATAAATCTTTGGGAAGAGGATAATCGGATTGAGGTTTTCTTGCCTTCTCGAGGGCTTTCTTCAAAGCTCTGTATTGAAAGAAACTAATGTCTTGAGAAGAGGTGGTACCAGAGGAGGATGATATGGAACTACTTGCACTACTACTATTACTACTATTACTACTACTATTAATAGAAGCCTTCATATTCTTCACAATTGGGGCCATCTCTTTGAAAAGCTTCTCAACATCAATGAGTCTCGATACTGGAACACTGGGATAGGTTTGTTGATTTTCCGAGTTGATGAGACAAGTGGCAAATCCACAAAATGGAGACGGGCGAATATTAAAGTTTCCTTTACCTAACATGGAAAGGAAGGGCTCCAACAATACGCCCACACTCGCTGGGAAGAAATCATCCAGTCGTATTTGTCCTTTTGTGTCTTCCTCAATGAGTTTGAGCAATTCGAGAGGATCCACATTGAAGGCTTCATCGTTTTCATTGTAGTGGCTTGTAGAGCTGAATATGTCAATAATGATGATTCATGTTACCATTGGTAATAATTATTGAATGATGATTCATGTTAACATTGGTAATAATTATTGAATGTGATTATAAAGAGCAAGAGAATTTTCACATTAATTTCAGCCATTTTCAAACTATGATCACAATCAACGTGAACACCTACCTTTTGAATTGCTTCATAATTTGACTTGGAGTTCTCTCTGTTTCAATTATTATAAATCGACAAAAACCTTTCATTGGGAAGCGAAGCAAGTTAAGAATGGCATCTAATCTGGGGAAAGGACGGCTCAAAACAATTCTCACAATAATGGTCAGGTTGGTAATTTGTTTGAGTGCATTAAATGTGTTATTCAACTCGACAGCTGTTTCTTTCTCAATTCCTTTCTGTACAAAAATTTGAATGGATGGATGGATTCTGGAATTTAGGAGGCATGTATCATTTAATTGTGACAATTGTACAATTCTGAGAACTGATAATTCGAGTACAATGGCATTCTCATCGGGAACGTATTCCAAAACAAGATTTAATTTCTTGTTGAGTGTCACAATATCCTCAACGAGTTTTCCATTGACCCGAATAATGACCTAGTTGAGTTTGTTTGAGGTGTGAGTAATCATGTGTAGCCACACATGTGAAATAATTTGATAAATCAATAGAGAAATATCGATTATTATAATTATTTGATAATCAACGGTGAATGAACGATCATTCCAAAATATTTGGTTCAGTTAAATCCAATTGGTCAATGTCATGAGACAACGGTGAAAATGACAATCATGGATGAATGAACAACACACACTACATACATTCTTCTCTTTCGGTATTAAATTCATGGTATCGTAAATTGATTGGATAATGATATCATCGGGAATAAATTGATCATCACAAAAAACATCCAAATCAACCATGAGTGGCGTATTTTCAATAATACTCGCATCATTCCGAATTTGTTTTTCGAGCTCCTCAATTTCAATATTAAAATTACTTTTTGATTCCATAATGTCAGGAGCATAATCCAGAGTTTTCATAAAGAAATCAAAACTCGAACAAATTTTAATTTCCTGATCGCCATGATCCGAACACTTAATGACCAACCAAATATCATCTCCCTTCTTAACAATCAATCCTTCTTTCCAATGTTCCTTGTCCAAACCTTTTCCTTCCTCTACAAAGGAACAAATTGGACATATTGTGTGAGTCAAGAAGAGAATATTAATATCATTATTGGTGCTAACATAACGTTGAGGAGAGATTGAAGGAGGAGATGAAGACAATGATGATGAAGGGCTGTTCGGAATGGTCAATGATGCATTTGCTATTGGATTGTTACTGCTACTACTCGGCGATGTTGGATTCTTGGTTGTGCTTCTATTTGGTGTTGATGATGGAGAAGAGGTTGGCGTGGAAGGAGTGCTTTTAGAAGATTTTTTGAAAGAGCCCAAAAACGAAAACATTTTTTTCGAGTTGTCGTGTAACCTCAAAACTGAGAAGTGGATGATCAAACTTTTTAAACAATGTTAAGGAAGAAGCTTGTTGAAAAGCATGTTGTTGTACGCCCAACACATGTAGCAATGATTTTGAAATACATTCAAATTTTCAAATCAAATTTCTCGTTTCAAATATTTTAAATGTGGCAAAATGGTGTGAAAACCAAATGCAGTCCGGAGTTAACTCCGTAATCTTACTCCTACTCGCTGCGTGTTGGTAACAGCAAGAACCAAGCAGCAGAAAAAAATCAAACAAACCGCCCTCACTGACTCTCGGCCTTCCATTTAAAAATTCACGAACCGTGTTCTCGAGCTGGATTTTCTGCTTCCAATCTCAAGAACCGACAATATCAACGATATTTATTGGTATTCTCAACAACATCATCATCATCACTTCTAGAACCTAACCACCACGAGCAGATTAATTCTCCGTGTATTCCTGCGAATATAATTTTTCATCCAGAAATATATTTCTTTCATCAACACCGACACAACAACCTCTCCACATTAAATCCATCATTATACATCATGTCCTCTATTCATCTTACAAGATTAAACCCACCTCCTTCCTCCGCTTCAGATATTCTCTTCCTTGGCTTCAATCAGGATTTTAGTTGTATGGCTGCTGGTGTATCCAACGGCTTTCGTATTTATAATTGCGATCCGTACAAGGAAACCTTCAAAAGAGAGTTCTCTGGATCTATCGGTATGGTAGAAATGCTCTTCCGTTGTAATATCTTGGCTCTTGTTGGTGGAGGAAATGATCCAGCCTTCAATAAGAACAAGGTCATTCTCTGGGACGACAATCAATCAGCACCAATTGGAGAACTCACATTTAAATCCGAAGTTAAGGCTGTCAAGCTGCGACGCGACAAGATTGTTGTTGTGTTGGACAAGTATGTGTACGTGTACAACTTTGACAAGTTGGAAAGAATTAGAAAATTCGAGACGTACAAGAACCCAAAGGGACTTGTTGCTTTGAGCCCATCTGATGATTGTGTTCTTGCCTTCCCAAATACAACCAAAGGTTCTGTTCGTGTGGAATTACTCGATCAAGACAGCTCCATTCACATTCCAGCTCACGATGGTGCCATCAATTGTCTAGCTTTGAATTCTGACGGTACAAGACTTGCCACTGCCTCCGAAAAGGGTACCTTGATTCGTATTTTCGATACACACAAGGGAACCAAATTACAAGAGGTCAGAAGAGGAGCTGACAAGGCTGACATTTATGGCATTGCATTCTCACCAGACTCTCAATTCTTTTGTGCTTCTTCTGACAAGGGCACCATCCACATCTTTGCCAACAATACAGGAAGCAACAACCCTGCATCATCCTCTTCACAAAACAACAACAACCAATCCTCTTCATCATCCACATCCATTGCCACCAACAATAGTCTTCCACCCACTACTGGCACTTCCCCAGACCAAATCACAAACCGAAAATCCAAAATGTCATTCTTTGGTGGATACTTTGGTTCGGAGTGGTCTCATTCGTGGTACAAGGGACCTGAGTGTCCTTCCATTGTGTGCTTTGGCCAAGATAGTCGCTCTGTAATTGTTTTCACAGCTGAAGGTTCATATATTAAGCTTGTATTCGATCCAAAGAAGGGAGGAGAATGTCAAAGAAAGTCGTTTGCTCGTTTTGCCAAACCAAACAAGCACTAAACATTATAATTGAAGCATGTTTTGGTGTCAAATTTCTTGTAACATTTGAAGGTACAGCTGTGCCTCCTCTTATCCCTTACTTTTTCTACCCACAACTACGAAAAGTTTAATCACTTGATCCTCTTATCCGAATACAAGAACAGTGTGAAGTCTCTGCTAACATGTGAACCTTCTCAATAATAAAAAACTTTTAATGTTCATTGTTGGGTGTGTGAAAAGATCTTTGTTGACAAATTAAATACAGAACTACCACCGAGTTCAGGGTAAACTTAGCTGCTTATAGTTAAAATTTGAACGTGGAAAAGAATTACTCTTTGGAGTTGAGCTTTTCTTTAAGGAATTTCATATTCTCATTCATTACCTCCAAAGAGCCTTCTGCCGAGACAACCACTCGAGACTCTTTATCCTTAGCGTTCTCTTTTTTAACCATTTTGTGCAACATTTTGTGCATGATAGTTGCTCCAATTTTTGCAAATTCTGCTTGCAGTTTCTTTGGTACTTTGCCTTAAATATTTTCCAATGTCATTGTTTTTCATGGTATTATGAGATGACATTGATTATGGATCGATAGAATTCATGTCATGTATTGAACCAATAATTCATTCCAAAAAAAAAACAAACCTTTCAAATCAAGCCAATCAAACGTATAATATTTCAGAGTGTCATTTGTTTTTCTCTCCACCACAAAAGCAGTATAAATCGAAATTCGAATAGTGTCCTTCATGACCACAGCCTCTTCATGAGCAGACGGTTTTTGAATGAACACCAATCGATCAAAAGAATCTGTTTCCTTATTATACATGTCTGGAATGATCGTTCTAGCCACAACTGCTTCTCGTTTTGAAAATGGAAAGTGTGACTGTTATGTGTGTTTGAGAAATTCAATGGCAGTGTGTGAAAATAATAATATCCATCACACTCAACCATGATTCATGATGTGCCATAAACATGTACTTACATCAATTTCCATATAAACCACTGTGTTTGAATAATCAATATTATTTTCAGAATCATGTTTGATGTGATCCAATTGCAGTCTTCTTTTACACACTTTCGAAACCATCTCTTCCATTGATTTTGACAGAAAACAATCAAAAAATTCCATATGCTTTCCTGATACCAATCCAGAGCAACACACAAGAGGTAATGCTCCATCGGTTCGATTCAAATAATAATTATTCGAACTATGGAGAGTTTTCATTCCAATTTTCTCTTCAATCGTCTTCCATCTCGAAGAATCAGAAATGGAAGTAATTAATTCTTTGACAATGGCATAATCTTTTGAGTTGACATAGAGTGAAGTATTGTCAATGAGAGGACGATCTGTAATTTTTGTTTCTTTCAATTTAATTTCAACAGCTCCCATATCGATTTCAACATTGTCACCATCATCACTGCTACTACTAGTACTGCTTCGATCTGATAAATTTGAAGATGAGGCATGAAGAGAATGTGACGACGACGAAGAGGAAGAAGAACGTTCTTGTTCATTCGATTGACCAATTGGGTTGTTGTTGTTGTTGTTCGACAAATTAGAAGAGGACGAGCCAGAGGTCACAACTACTTTCATCGATCCCAATTGATCCAATACTTGTTTGGGATCATTGCATTTCAATTTTTTCATTTCCTTCTTGACGAACTTTTTGAAATTTTCCGAGTTGACAAATCGAGGAAAATTGTCATCTTTGAGTTCTGTAAAAATCACATCTTGTGCCTTGCTAAACAAATCTACAGGACATGAAATTAAATCATCCATTGCACCATTATTCATCTTTCCAGAAGATTGGGACATGATCTTCAATTCATTCTGTTCTGAAATTTGTTTCCAGTTTTTCATAATTTCATTTCGAATGGTCATGGACAAATTCAATTCATATTTCGAATTCACGTTAATGAAACTGCTCATAATTTCATTGGCCATATTTGCTCGATTTTTATCGAGTCTAGTTTTCTGATACTTTTCAACTGCTTCATAAAATAGAAATGGTTCTTCATTCAATGATTGTTGGAGATAGAGTCGGAAGGCTTCTCTCGCAGATTCGTGATCAAAAATAGCTTCAATTCGGAATTTATACATGGGAATGGATTCTTCAAGAGAGAGATTGGATGGAGAGAGGTTGTTGTTGGAGTTAGTCGAAGAAGATTCATGTTGATGGGATTGACTGCTTTGGCGTTGGTGGTGCCACCTGTCAAAATGTCGTTGGAGCATTTTTTTGGTTCATGATCAGGAGGATGACGCGACTTGGGATTCAATCAAAGAACACGTGTGGCAGTTTCTCCGTAGCTGCTGTGCTATTCTTTGTTTTTTAAATCAATTTAATAAATTGACTGAGTAAAAACGGGAAACAAATCGGAACGGAATTTCGAACGGAGTTGCTATCAAGTGTGTTACATAATCAAATCCATCCATTGAGGTTCTTAGGGCTATAATATCGAAAAGGAAAATTCCAAACGGGAAGTGACGCGATTTCAAAACCCAAAAAATACCCCAACAACAATTTGTGTGGTTTCGAAATTATTTTTATGTATTTGATTGTTTGGGGAGAGTGTGAGAGACTTTGAATTTTCTTTTCATTATCCTTTGTGATCCGTTATTATTTACTAGCGTACGACACGATCGTTTTTTAATTATTTATTATTCATAATCATCATCATTCAATATTGAATCTCTGACAAGATGAATTATCCGAGTATCGGCCAACGATTAGATATTGAAAATGAGAAGGTTTGGATGAGGCTTGGTAAGTGAATTGGTGTGTTTTGAGTACAAGTATTTGATCAAGAGAATCTATTTAATAATTCATATGAATGTTGTTGTGGTTGATCATCATCATTCGGACATGTTAATATTTCCATCATCACCATCATCATGATGTCCGAATTATTCTTTTTATTGATCATTAAACCTTAAAACAACAATAACAATTACAATAATATTTAAATGATCAAACAACAGCCAAACTTGCCGATGCCATGAACGAGCCCGAAAAGGCCATTCAATACTATGAAAGAGTACTTCAATACAATCAATATAACGTTCCAGCATTGACAAGTGTTGCTTCAATTTACAGAATGAAAGACCCTCCAGACTTTCCAAAAGCTGTCGAATACTATCATCGTGCTCTCTCAACAGAGGACAACAATACAGAGATTTGGGGAAATCTAGGACATTGCTTTTTAATGATGGATGATCTCACAAAGGCTTACACAGCCTATCATCAAGCAATATATAATGCTAAATTACAAAACAAGACAAAACAAGATCCACATTTGTGGTACGGAATTGGTATTCTCTATGAAAGATATAATAGTTTGGATAATGCTGAGGAGGCTTTTAGAAGTGTTTTGAAAATGGATGCACAATTTGAGAAAATTAACGAAATTTACTTTCGTCTCGGTATTATTTACAAACAACAGAAAAAGTATGAACAGAGTTTGGAGTGTTTTGGACGTATTCGTAAGAATCCACCACCTCCTTTGACTGAAGCGGATATTTGGTTCCAAATTGGACACGTTTACGAATTGAAGAAGGATTTTCAAGAAGCAAAGAATTCCTATGAAAAAGTTCTACAATTTAATTCCAATCATAGCAAAGTTCTTCAACAATTGGGTTGGCTTTATCATCAAAACACCGAGTTCCAAAATCAAGATATTGCCATTCATTACTTGCAAAGATCGATCGATGCAGATCCAAACAGTGGACAAACATGGTATTTATTGGGAAGATGTTTCATGGCACAGAAAAAGTATCGATTTGCCTACAATGCTTACCAACAAGCTGTGTTTAGAGATGGAAAAAATCCAACATTTTGGTGTTCCATTGGAGTTTTGTATTATCAAATTAATCAGTATAGAGATGCATTGGACGCTTATACTAGAGCCATTCGTTTAAATCCATATCTAAGCGAAGTTTGGTATGATTTAGGTACTCTCTACGAATCATGTAATCAAATTCCTGATGCATTGGATGCCTATCAACGAGCAGCTGATTTGGATCAAAACAATGAACACATTCAACAACGATTAATTTTCCTCAAATCCATGGATAGAAGCAATCCACAGCCAGAAGAATCCAAGAACTTGACAGCTGTTGAGCCACCCACTGCTGCCTCTCAATATCAATCTGGAGGTGGATATTTCTCGAACAATGCTCCCTCACAATCGAATCCACAAGCACAACCTGGTTCAGCAAACTATCAGAATTCGCCTTACTATCCGCCAAATGCTCCTCCTCCAAAGCTTTCCATGGATTCCATGCCACCATCGAGTACTCATACCTCCTCTGTGAATGGACAACCATACAATGCACCTGGCAGTAATGTCACTGCTGGAGCATCGTTGCCACCTGTGAATTTACCACCCACACCTCGTTCCTCTGAGCCACCTGGTGTTCCACCACCATCAGCCATGTCTACAGGAAGTATGAATGATCGATTACCACCACCAGTACAACAACAGCAGCAATATGGTGGTAGTACTGGTGCCGCCAACAATGCATACGGATCTTATCAGAATCCACCCAAGTCAGCAACATCCACTGGTAGTGGTGGAGGTTTTGGACCAGTATCCTCTCAGCCTCAATCCTCGCCTAATCAACAATCACAATATTCAGGACAAGGTACACCCTATGCTGGTCAACCTCCTCCATACACCTATCCTCCACAATCATCGTCACAGACTATTGTACCTCCAAGTACAACTAATTTAGGAGAGACTTCACCTTTGAAGAGAAGATTAAGCCCCTTACCACAACCATCTGAACATCAAAGTGATGTGAAACGGGTCAAACAAACTCCAAAGAATGACGCCGACAGTGAAGACGACGAAGATGACCAAGATCAAATGGTGATTCACGAACCAGAAGATTCAGAACCAACATCCACTGCTCAAACTACTCCAAAAATTGTTGGTACGACCTCAGATGCCCATCAAGAATCAGAGCCACCAGTCGGTAAGGCAAAGAGTAGATTTGTTAGAACCAAGAAGCTTAATGAAAATTCAGAAGAAAAAGATTAATTTTTGATATGTAATATAATTTTACATTCAATTTTACGTTGATTTCTTTTTGAAAATGAAAAAAAATGAATGAATTGCAAGAAGATGCTCCTTCTTCATCGTTGTTATCTTGCCATTCTGATAGGATGTCTTTGGAAATGCAGTCTTCTTCAATGGTATTGACGGGAGGTAATAGTCATGAATTAAAAACAAATGAGAAATTCCAATCATCAACAGTTCCAATGCTTGGCTTTAATTCAAATTCGGAACATAATTTAATTAATAATCATTCATCATCACCCTTACAACTTCCGATACTCCTTTCTCATACGACATCCATATCACCTAAATCTCCCCGAAAAGTATTTCCTCAAGCAACGAATAATTTAATGATTGGCAATCATTCAACCACCGAATATATTCCAAAATCACCTAAAAAGATTTCCAAAGCTTCCAAACACTTACCTCGTGTCAATAGTATATTTAAATATATTCAAGGAGAGTTGGATTTAAATTCTAGAATGGCTTCACTACATAAATCACCTGTAAAAACTCCATTATCTGCAAATCAACTTTTTGGTGAGGCTTTAATGACTAGTAGTAGCAACAGAACGACCGATTTATTACCAAACACTACTCTAACTCCTTCATCCACACCAGGTACAACTAAAGTGAGTGAGCCTTCCCATCTAAAAGAAGAGAAATCTAATTTGAACAAACTTACGTATGGAGAAGAACTACGAAGAAGTATTTACAATTTCATTGAAGTGCCGCTCATGTTGGAACAATATCTATTTTTCGGATTTTTCATATGTTTTGATTCTCTTCTGTTTCATTTCACGTTTTTTCCTTTGAGAATAATTTTTGCCTTAATTGGGCTACTCACGAGAGGAATAACCAAATTGAGCAACTCGAGTGTTTGTGATTTACTCAAACTATTAGCACTCGCTGTAAATGTATATATTGTATTTATAACTACGGATTATTCTCTATTATACCATGCAATAAGAGGAGAGAGTGTGTTAAAACTATTCATGCTGTATAACATGTTGGAAATATTTGATCGACTATGTTCGGCTTATGGACAAGATTCAATTGTATCCATGATGTTTACGGCAACGGACCCAAAATTTAAAGCACAAAATGATAGTTCTGAAAAACGAAAATTGATATTTAATGCAGTATTTTCCTTTGTGTCACATCTTGTATACTTGTGTAAGTTTTTTTGAAAATTTTGAGGTCATTGCATTAATATTTAAACATTGTTATTGAATGGAAATGATCACTATAGATATTCATACCATGGTATCTCTGTTGAGAATCATTACTCTAAATATTGCTCTAAATTCACGCAACCAATCCCTTCTCACTCTTCTAATTTCCACTAACTTTGTAGAGCTAAAGGCTAGTATTTTTAAAAAGTCTGTGAAAGAAGCTCTTTTCCAATTATCATGTACAGGTAAGTGATCACCATTTTGCCAATAATTAATTATTCATGGTTGTTGTTCATGTCAGACATTGTGGAGCGATTTGAAATGGTTGTATTTAGTGTTGTAATTTTCTTTCAAAATTCCCTCTACAGTGGAGAATATGAAATTGAAGAATTTGTACAAATTATTTTCACCATCATATCTTCTGAAATGATTGCAGACTCCATCAAGCATGCTTTTATTTGTAAATTTAACAAAATTAATTGTGAAAATTATGATGATTATATTCTCAAATTGTCCTCAGACTTGACAAGCATGACGCATTTTGATGTAAGTGTTACTGTAATTTATTGCTATTTAATGGCATTAATTTCAACGCTACAAAATGAATGTATGGTTACGAAATAGTCTTTTCTCGATAATACCAACATTGTGGCAAGAAGAGTTGGGTTTGTTGAGGGTCCAATTATTTGTGTCATTTTGAGAATGGTATTGGAATCGATGGAAAGAAGTTGGGAATTCTTTAGCTCAGACCACACTGTGATTTGGACGTTGGTGACAATTTTATTGACCTATGGCTGTCTGTTTTTGTTAAAAGTTCTAATTTCAATCCTGGTAGTAGGTCATGCTGCAAAAAGAATTACCAATAACCGTGAAAAACAAATTCAGCTGCACAGTAAATGATGCTTATGATTCTTATCGCTTATTCTTTTTGGAATAATCTCGATTGTAATCGTAATGTGAGTCATAGGTCTTTCGTTTATGATACGAATCTGATGAAATCGATTCACCTTCTCTTCTATCTTTATGGCTTTTGTTGTAGTGCTCTCGATCGTTTTGGTATCTATTGTAAGAGCCTTGTCGACTGTGACTGTCCCTGTGCTGGTCTTGGTAATTTCTAGATGGCGGATTGCCAGGTCTGGCATCGAGTCTACGTTCTCCACCTAGCCTTCGTTCATTTTGATGTTGCTGCACAGTACTAGTAGTTGTTTCAAGAGTTCCAGTTGTCCTTGGTGCGGAAGCTGAAGAGTGCTGCTTCTTTTCTTGTTCGTTTTGCCACCACAGTTTTGCTACAGATTGCGAAAAATCTACATGTATTCTGGAATCGTCAATAATCACCTAAAATCATTGATTTCATCAATCATACATTCAATGGTTAAAATTAAAAACATTATTGCAGGTAACATTGTGCCAATACACACAAGGTTGGAAATTAAATCTATTAACCATATTGTGAGCCCAAATACTTACATTCTCCATTTTCAAATATGCATTTTCACAGGCTTCACTTGATTCAAATTCAATGAATGCATATGTTTTGCTTTTCCCTGTCATCTTATTTCTTACAACTTCACACTTGTTGATTTTTCCAAATTGAGAGAAAATTAATCTTAAACTCTTATCTGTTGTGACAGGGTTTAGCTTACAGACAAAAAGGACGTTCTCTGGCGGTGCTACTTCAGCATCAGGCAAGTCACCAATCATCTCCAATACAACCGCTTTCGATTTGGCTTCTCTTTCCTTCTTTGTTTCATAATCTTCCTCAGTTTCACCCTCTTCATTTAGTACTTGTTGAGGAATTTCAATAATCTCATCGTCGTGTATAGCAGCTGGGCTTTTATCCGGAATCATCATTTGAACATACTTGTAGAATGATTCAAATTGCTTTTTCAACGATTCTTCTTCTTCAAATGGATCAAAAAGAATTTGTGTATGTCTAATTCTCACAGTTTGAATGGGTACTTCAAGCTCACCTTTTTTCTCTGTATATAATTTATCAATGGCACGGACCACATCAATACCTTCTTCAACACGACCAAAAATGGTGTGTGTTCCATCCAGATAATCCAAATGTCTATTCGTTGTTGTAATATAGAATTGACTTGCATTGGTATTCGGATGTTCCTTGTTTGCCATGCACAATAATCCCTCTAGATTATGTTTTTTCCGAACATTAATTTCATCATTGAAATAAATTTCTTTTTCTTTCAGAAATGGTTGCTTTTGATCAGAAGCCTTCTTCTCTTCTATCAAATGAAAAATTGAATGTCCTCCTTTTCCGGTGTGGGTTGGATCTCCACTCTGAAACCAAGCATTCTTCTCCACATGAAATACTTTACAATTATTGTAGTATTTAATTTTGCATAGTGAAAGAAAATTAAAACACGCAATCGGACACTCTTCCACCCATAAATCCACAACCATCTCTCCGAGGGAGGTTGTGATGAGAACACTCATTTTCTTTTTTTTTTCTTTTTGTTCCAACATCACGAGTTCATATTTCTTGCAACCTTAATATATTCAGAAAGAGATTTATGATAGACGTTCATCGTTTTGTATTTCATGTCCTCAATATAACTTGAAGCTGAATTTGAAAATTTGTTGTCCTATTGTGTTATTAAGAAATAAAATTCACCAAAATTAAAAGTTTCTTTCTCATTCCAATATCCATAAGAATCTAACTCAACTCCAAAACCAATGCAACCATGGACAAAGAAAGAGTGTATTAGATTCAAAGATATCGCATTGTCATGACTTGCTCAATGAGAGGACAAAATTGAGTTGAATCATCAACCGTCATTCCTCTCTCTCCATGATTCCATCTCAGTGATGATCATCAGATACTTATTCAATGAAACAAGAATAAGTATCTGTAAACAACAAAATGCAAGTAAACAAGTTCTTACTTTCTCTCAAACGAAAACTCTCTCCGAGGAAACATCTCACGACAACCAACCATGGTGATACCGATGATCCAGCCCATAGCCCACGAAGTGTTGGAAATAGTAGCACGACAAGTGATAATGATTTTGTAGGAGTGGATGATGATTTCAATAATAATAACAGCAACAACACATCGGAAGTAATGAACAAGATGGATTTTTGGGATCCAGAACGAGTACAACAACATTTATCATCCAAACAACAATCACAACAACAGAAAACGCCTCCTTCTCCACGCCAACGAAGAGGTAGTGGTAGTAGTGGAAAAACAATGACACATTCGTTTTCAAATTCTCTTTCACGGATTGCTGGAGCTCTTTCTCCGAGAGGAAGACGATCTATAACTTCAACCACTGGTTCTTCTAACGTGGAGAATCAAGGTAGTAATTATTCTAGTAATAATCAAAATCATCAACAACCAACCACTCCAAATACATCGTCCACATTGTTACCCGATTGGATGATGAACAACAACAACAAGGAGGATGAAACAACCATGAATTTGTATAATAATAATAATAATAGGAAAACACATCTCATCGCTCTCCCAAAACGAAGTGCATCAGAATCGGGAGGTTTGGATGCATTGAAATACAAGAATCAATCAATGGAATTGCAACAAGACTTGAGCATTGAGTTGACCATTCCAGTAAATCCACTGCCTTGCAACAACCAAAAAGAAGAAGTACAAGAATGCAAGGCTAGTGTTCAATGTGAACCACATTCTACAAGAAGAAAGGGTCATAGTTTAAAAGCCTTAACTCCCTTCTCCAAACGTGGAGGTTTCCATTCAACCACAGAACCCTCAAGTACATCATCCAACGAATTTCCTCTCACCTCAAATAATGATAGCTCCTCTTCGTTTGATGCGTTTTTTGAGCAATATGCAGCAAGTTCAATTCAACAACAACAACATTCGAAAAACAATCAACCCACTAGCAGTGTAGACCTTTCACAATCGACCGAGATTTGCAATGAAATTACTTCGGACTTGAATGACGGCAACAGTATTTCCAATGTTGCTGGAAATAGAAAATCGATTGGTAATCATGAATTGTGTTCTACCAAGAATTTCATTCGAAAATCCAGTAAGCAACAATTGAAAAATTCCAGCAACAAGAATCAAGATTTGAAAGCGTCAACAACAAGCAAAAACAGAAGACATTCTCATCAAGGTTCTTTTGACAGTTCTTCTTCATTCTCTACAGATACTGAAGATATGATTTGTCGATTTGGTATTGTAAAGATTTCGTTTGAGCCCTTAACCACCAATACTAAGTTCTCGAATAATTCCATCCCCTCAACCTCTAACAGCTCTCAAACGCAGCGATGATGAATTGTGAATACGATTAATTCCGTACCTCAACCTGCTATTCACGCAATAGTTTCACACATCATGACCAATTGTTTCGAATTTCCCTTTCAAACTGCAGCAGTTCGTGGGTGTGATGCACTTTTTTGCCTCTATCACCACAATTTTGTCATGCTGCGCATCAGATTTGCAGCGCTCAAAAGAAAAATATTTAAACAGTTCCTGTCGCCATTCATCACCAGACGCATGTTTTTCAATTCAGGTATTTTCACTTCATCAACAACAACAACAGCAACAACAAACAATACGTTACATTCTCTCAATGATACAAGCGTGTGCCATCCTCTACTTTTAGCGCAAGGAAACAAGAGCGAAGTGGGATTGTGTGACGACCATGTATCAGCACGAGTGATTGCTGCAGTCGTGTTGATGGTTCATACATGTCTCTTGGTGGTCTCTTTTGGTGGTCTGGTGTATAAACTGGTCAAGTTGTCTAAAAACCAGTCATCTCAAAAAGTGAATTTTCTTACCCTTGCACGAAACCCAACATTAATCGTCATTGGGTGCAGTGTTGGTTATGCATGTACCTTTGTCATGTGTACTAGAATTCTAATTGGTCGCAAGAGTTATCCTTGCTTTATCTTCACTCTCGTCTATTACTTTTGCATTCCGTGGATAGCAGGTACAACCTTACTACGATTTATTCGACTGATTGTATTGTCGTGGCTCAACAGTGTGAAAATGAGAATTGGAAAGAGAGAATTGTTGCATGTGACTGAGAAGGACATGTTGCTTGTTGATGCGAAACAGTCAACTGGATCGAACATGACCAGTCTATCAACCAGTGGCTTTAGTGGGTCCCAAACGAGTGTGGCATCATCAACGAATACCCTCACAAGAGGGTCCAGTTATTCCCTTCGAATGGAAGACATATTCAAGCTTCCAAAAGACACGGATGTGGCTGCCACTGGTGACATGCAAGACGAAGATGTCATTCTCAAGAAAGACACCTTGTTGCAAAGTTTTGAAAAAGGACGATTGATCGAACTGTTGAGATTTTCAGTGAGCTCAAAATTCATTTACTTGTTTTACGGAATTATTACTTTTATTCATGTTTCGATCTATTTGATTATTGGAGGAATTGATTATTACAATTTTGTAAATGGTATCAAAACTTCCTCCACGAACAGTAGGCAAGCATTTGTCGTAGATACATACATCTTTTCACCAGGAGGATGTGGAACAGGTAAGTTCAAAATAACCTCATGCGGTCACATGCCAATACATGCATTCATTTTCGTAACACAAATGCTGTTGTACTTTTACATGTACGGGCAATAGGCTCCTATAACACAAATATTTTCATTTCGTTCTTGGCAATTTATGCTGCTTTTGGAGCATTATTCGCAATCATTGCCTTGCTGATGAAAAAGGATATTTGGTTTGTGAAAATTGAAATTGGGTTTCTCTCTTTGAATTGGATATTTTTTGCTCTACTTTATGGAATTCCTAGCTTATTTTCACAGATTACAACCTTGTAAGTTCTACTTGCATTTCTTATTTGCAATTTTTTAACATTCTGTAGAGTGGATTATTACTTTCCTTGGGTTATGACTATTCTGTTTGGATGTATTGCAGATCTTATCATGTCATGTTTTGTACCTGTATTTATCTATCAAAAAGTTGATAGAGGAAAACGAGACATGGAAATTGAACTAGCTTCCTCAAACAACTCCAAGGAAGACAATGTGATTCGAAAAATATTAACCAACTCCAAGTGGAATGCATTATTCTTACAATTCTCAGAAAAGAGCTTTGCATCTGAAGACGTCATGATGTGGCATGCAGTGGAACAATTCAAGAAAGTCACTTCAGAAAAATTACGTATTGAGCTCTTTTTGAAAATATGTGACACGTATTTACGAATTGGAGCACCACTCGAATTGAATATTCCAAGAAAAGATTTTGGTGTTCCTGAAATTATGGCCTTGTACACTTCATTACGAGCTAGCCGACAACTTTCCAACAAGGGAAATTCTCCAACAACAGTCACATTGCCACCCACCACGAGTGTCTCAGTCTTTCGAACTGAAGTTTCAGAGAAGAGTGCAATCTCTCCCACCATCCTTGTTGCACCAAACATTTTTGATCGAGTTCAAATATGCTGTGAACATAACATGCTTGACAATTATACAAGGTTTGAAGCCATCTACTCGAAACAACTTGCTTCAGAGCTTAACATTACTTCCTCTAGGTAAATCGAATAATGATGGATTGTCGCAACCTCATTCGACATTTCAAAATACCTTTGTCGCCGCGTGAACTGTCGTTTTGATGACATGTCCTCGCGAGTTCATCTCTTCACAGCTCAAAAAATAACAACAACGGCTATACCAGTGGCTGCAACCAACAATTCCGAACCTCCACAACCACATGAACTCGACCATCAACAACAACAACAATTCGACCACATCATCGTTGAATGACACTCTCGTTTGTCATCCCATTCTTCTAGCAAATGGCAATAAGAGTGAAGTTGGTCTCTGTGATGATGAAGTTTCAGCCATTGTCATTGCTGCCATTGTTCTCGCTGCTCATATTCTTCTATTACTCATTTCACTCTCTGGGTTTATCTATAAATTAATTCAATTAAAGAAATTGTCCACTACCAATCATTCAAACCAACGACTTGAAAAGGTGAACTTCTTGACGGTGGCTAGGAATCCAGCTCTCATGATTCTAGGAGCGTTAGCTGGGTTTATTTACAATGTAGTGATTTCAGGACGAATACTAATTGGTCGAAAAATTTATCCATGTTTCATATTTTCCTTAATTTATTATTTATGTGTTCCTACGTTGGCAAGTACAATAATTTTGAGATTTATTCGATTGATTGTGCTGTCGTGGTTGAATAATGTGAAAGTGAGAATTGCAAAAAGAGAAATGATTCTGCCAAATGTCATTTTCAAAAATAAGGACATTCCAATGATTGAGGTGACATCGTCGTCGAATGAGGCTACTCAACCAAGCGATGGCCAATCTACTTCCGAAAATAACAAGGGGATGAACGTTAGTGCTTCTTATCAGTCCATTGCTTCTCATTCTGAAGTTAGTTTATCTTCAGCATCTACCAGTGCTCTCGTTCCGCCTGTAAAAGAAAATTTGACAACTGACAGCAATACACAAAACCAAGCAACCACTATTGCAATACATCATGAACATGACGATGAAGAAGAAATCATACTCAAGAAAGACACCTTTTTAGAAAGCTTTGAAAAAGGAAGACTGTTAGAATTGCTGAAATTTTTAGTGAGCTCCAAATTTATTTATCTTGTTTATGGAGTTGTTTGTTTTATTCACATTTCAATTTATTTAATTATTGGAGGTGTGGATTATTACAACTTTACAAACGGAATCAAAAATTCCAATAAGAGACAAGCATTTGTGATTGATACATTTTTATTTTCCCCATCTGGATGTGGAACTGGTATGTTTGAAAATTTTCATGAATTTGACAGCAATGACATTTGGAAACTGTTACCGAAATGAAAAGGTTCTTACAACACCACTCTCTTTATCACCTATTTGGGAGTTTACGCTGCTATTGGAGTTGTTTTTGCAATTATTGCTCTCTTTATGAAAAAAGATATTTGGTTTGTGAAAATGGAAATTATTTTCACAATGGTCAATTGGATTTTCTTTGCTTTACTGTATGGAATTCCTTCTCTCTTTACTCAGGTGACAACATTGTAAGTGTTGCTATTTCTTTTGTGTGACCATAATCATGTTTGTTACCTTTCAACCATTTTCGATGTTTGGTAATTGGTTATTGTTAAAATTTCGATCCTATGCAATGTGTTCCATCACAATCATCACAGAGTGGATTACTATGTTCCAGTTGCGAATACTATTGAAATTGCATGCATGGTTGATACGTTCATTTCGATCACTCTTCCAGTTTTTGTGTATCAAAAAATTGATAAGAAAAAGAATGAATCATCTTCCAATCTTCCCATGGAACCATCAGCCTCAAATTCACAACAACCTGCTGACCATTCCAATCACATTCGAAAAATTTTGACTAACGAAAAATGGAATTCTCTCTTTTTACAATTCTCTGAAAAGTGTTTTGCTTCCGAAGACATTTTAATGTGGCACGCTGTGGAACAATACAAGAAAGTTACCTCAGACAAGTTAAGAATTGAACTCTTTCTGAAAATTTGCGACACATATTTACGAATTGGAGCACCACTCGAATTGAATATTCCAAGAAAGGAATTTGGAATTCCAGAAATTATGGAATTGTACATGTCGTTGAGAAGTAGTCGACAATTATCGGCTCGATCTCCTTCCAATCGTTCACCAGCACGTTCTCCCATGAAGGATTTGACTCCTTCGGTGCCTCCCTCAAACACAATTTCGAACCTTACTCCCAAAATTGGTAATTTGTCAAATGCCATGGCAACTACCAATAGTGGCATTCAACCAGTGAATCCAGTCTCCATGAACGCCTTCACTAGTGGAGAACATCATGCAACAACAACAAATGCCATACTTTCACCCTCAGTCTCAACACCTGCCTTTTCCATTTCGAGTGAAATTTTCAATCGAGTTCAAATATGTTGTGAACACAACATGCTTGATAATTTCACTCGTTTCGAATTAGTATACGATTTGAAGAATTCCGTTGAATTGGGATTCAAGAAGTGAATGTGTTCTTAAGGTTGTTGAACTCAACAATTGAATTTTTGAAATCCCTTGCGCTTTCTTTTCCTATTTTGTATTGGATTCCGAAAAAAATGCAAAAGATTTTCAAACAAAAAAAAATAACGTTAGAAGTTCCATCAGTGGTCATCTTTGAACGCGATTGGAGTTTATTATTCTTCTGTTATAACTTATATTTTAATTCAACAAGACAAGTACACACACACTGAATGGCTCATGATCACGTAACAACGACGAGGATGGAAGCACACCCTACCCTTTCATCATCTTCATCATCGGAACATAATATTCAATTGAAATTAATGAAAGAGCTTGATCAAGAGGAACAACAAGAAATCATCCATCCATCTTCATCATCCTCCTTTTTATCTTCTGTAAATACACAAGAACAACAAAATTTAATATTAGAAAGTGCAAAGCCTTCACTCGTTTCTCTCTTTTCAGCATCTTCAACTGTGTGTGCTTGTAAAAGTGAAGGTGTAACACCTCCTGTAACGGTTGCCACAAGTGTTTCAAACTCTAATTCTCAAAATGGTCAAAATCATTCTTCTTCGTGTACGCAGGAATCAAAATCATTGTCGGGAATGTCAACAACAGCAACAACAGTTTGGAAAACGATATCGACACCCGTTACATTTCGATTGAATGATGAATTTGATGAAATTGATTTATTTGAATCTATTGCAGATATTCGAGATCCGGAACATCCATATTCTTTGGAAGAGTTAAATATTGTAAATGAAAATTCAATAGTTTTTGACGCGAATAATATTGTGAAAATATTTTTCACACCTACAGTCAAACATTGCTCTTTAGTGTCACATATTAGTTTATGCATACGGGAACGGTTAAAAAAGCGATACGGAAAGAGTACTTTTACTACGAGGTATAAATTGGAAATTTATGTGACCGAAGGATCACATAATGAAGAAGAACAAGTCAATAAGCAAATGAACGATAAAGAGCGAGTCACTGCAGCCTTAGAAAATCCATTAATTATGGAATTGGTTCGGCAATGTATTAAAGAGGAATAAATTTTGGTGAAAAATTCAATTCAGACCCGAATTTTTGTTGTGTGAATAACTAAATATCTGGCTCTTCTTCCAAAATCATTCATTTCATCGCAGTCACTAATGAGCGATCCTAGATTTTGTAAACAGTCATAAAATTCATTGCTTGAAAGTCCATCTTCAACGAACCAATGAAGGAATGCATTTCGTTCATACATTTTGGTGGCTTGCCATTCAATTTTCTTGAACACATCCACTACTGATGTAGAATTGAATACGGCACATAAAGACTGATTGCCTAATATTAAATGATCCAAGGCTCGTCCAATACTCTCTATATAATTGTTTCCAAAATGAATCTCCCATCCGAATGCCTGCTTGTCCGAGTTGAATACAAATCACTTCTCTCATTTTTTTTTGCAAAGAAAATCAGTATTCTTTTGTAATACTCAACCTTAAAACTATTTAAATTTAATTGTGAATAAATTTATGAAAATGAAAAAATTGAAATCCACAGTTGTTATTGTTTGTATTGTTTAAATAAATTACAAATCTCATTGAATGTCTTTGAAAAAACTCATTTCCAAAATATCCTTTGCATTGGGTCTCTTGTCTGCATCAAATTCTAACATTTGCAATAATACATCCATAAATTCCTTGCTGTATTGATGTGGAGCAGCTTTTTCAATACTCTCTGTAATGAAGGAATGAACCACATTCACATTCGATTGATTTCTCAAATAAAGTTGAGCCAAAGATTGACTTGCATCAAAAGTAATCATGATAAAGATACTACATCCCAAACTGAAAATATCTGTGTTAAAACTGTATTTGGATCCAATGAGAAGTTGAGGACTCTGTTAAATAAATTGTGAATGATGTGAATCGTTTGAATGGTGTGAATGGTGTGAATAGTTGGAATGGTGTGAATGATGTGAATCGTTTGAATGGTGTGAATGGTGTGAATGGATGATATTGGAAATGAATTCAATAAATATTCAAACAAATTTTTGAAAACAATGTTCACACAATAATGAGTGTGTGATTGGTTCAATCAATAAATTCAACTTACCATAAAATAAGGAGTACCAGCGAAAGAGAAACTACTCATCATGTCACTTTCTTTGGCGAGACCAAAATCTGACAAGACTACTCGAATGCGTTGTTCCTTCTCGTCAATGGAATCAATGAAAATATTGGAAGGTTTGACATCTCTGTGAATCATTCCACTTTCTACTTGAATGTAATTCAATCCCTTACACACTTGATAAATAATTTGTTTTAACATTTTTTCTGAGAGTCTCTGTTTGGCTTTCACTTTCTTTTCCAAATCTCCAAAACTGTAATATTTCATGGCTAAAAAGAGAGACATGGTATTTTGATCGACAATGGCATCTTGAAGTGTCACAATATTTTCATGTTTGTTCTTGAACATGTTCACAGCTTCTTGGAATTTTTCATTCAATTCAGATAATCCAGTCAGGTTGACTCTCTTAATCGCAACATATTCAGCTTCTCCTGGTTTTCCTGAATATAACAAGTATCTTGCCTTAAATACAGAACCAAAAGCTCCAGCTCCAATCTTTTCCAAAATTTCATACTTTTTGCTGACCAAATCCATTGTGGAAGAGGCACTACTTGGACTCGATGCAACATTGTCCGTTCGAACAGAAGAATATTCTGAAATGAAGAGAGAATTTGTAAAATTCTTATCCGTGTCTTGAGAGAGAGGGATTGGACTCGTCGTATCAGAAACAGTTGGAGATTTGATCATGTTCACAGTTTCTAATTTGGTCGAAGTTGTAGTGCCTGTTTTCTCTCGTTCGGATGAGGAAATTTTCTTATTTTTCATCACTCTTGGATAAATAACAAAGTATCCAACAAGAACAGCTGTCACGATCAAACCGACCAAACATCCAAATACAACCAAACTTCCAATTACAATTCCAGCAATAGCTCCACCACTTAATCCTCTCGAAACATCTTGATAAATCACTGCAAATGATGATAAATGTGTCGTTTCACATTCAATGGTTAGAAAACCATCTGAAGATTTGATACGAGTGGTCACTCCACTCAATGACCACTTTTCACTGACAGTGTCATAATACACACATGCAACTTTTAAGTTTCCATTCACATAGTCGTCGTAATTGGTTCGAGATGGTTGGTAACGATCAAATGAAATCTTAATGGTTTCTGTGAGATTGGAGACTGACAAGATGGAATTATCTTCTAATCTTGTGATATGAGCTGTCACAACCATTGGAATGACAAAAGTATTTGCAACTTTGGTTTCATTTTGTGGTTGACTGACAGCCATGGATGATGTCGCAAGTCGATAATCTCCAAAAAATCCATTATCGACAATACCACTTTTAGGAAATGTAATGGAAACATTCACTGGATTGGCCTCTAATCCACTAGATAGAGATTGTGTTTCAGTCAATGAATAGAGATATCTGGTCATCATTTTGAAACCCTTCAGAGTTAATGTCGAATTAGAGGATTCATAGAGAGAATGTAAGGCATCAACGGCTTGAGCAATATTGGAAGCATATTGTTCCATATTTTGGTTTGAACCATCCATTGCAGAATCAACGAGAAAAGTAGAAGCACCTGAAGGGAAATATGGAATTTCCATACCATTCGAGGTCACTAATTGAACATTTCCAATAAGTGCTGTTTTCCAAGCTCCATTTTTCATCACTTCATCATAGATACCAGTAACGTTGGTGAAAGTGAGAATATTTTGTGTGAAACTCTTCAACATTTTTGCCAAATAGTCGTCCATGTCATGCATGAGATCTTTTGCCTTTTCCACTTCTGTTAACATGTTTCCAGCGACAGTGGTTGCTAATTGTCTAAAATAATAGAGAGATGCTTGATTGTCAGTAAAGGTGCTGCCATAGGAACAAAAGAGAAATGATTTCAATAATGTGTCCATTTCTGAAATTCGTTTCACACTTGTTAGATTGAGAGAACCGAGTTGGTTATTGATATAATCCATGGCTGTATTTGCATAGACCAAAAGATTATTGCATCCTAAATTAGATAACGAGCTAGGAAGGTAAGGGTTCGAATAGGCTGGATAATACATTTTGCCTCCATACTTGTGTGAAAACCAAAACTTGAAATTTCCCGTCAAGTAAGGTAATTTGGAATAATAAATATTGCGTTTCGAGACCACAACAGTGCCGTCGTCTGTTGTAATTTCCAAAAGTGATAAATCTTGATTATTGAGCGAGGCCATTTCCCACACGGCAACACCATAACTTTCATAGGCATACTTGTTCATTGAATAATAATTGACTGCGCTAGGAGCATCCAATCGTACAATCATACTTGTCAAGTAGACGTACATGGTGACACCATTTTGCAAAGTGATTCCATATGTCTCTGCATATTGAATTTTTTGGCAATTGTAGGCATTAATGGTTACTGTGAAAATTGTTCCTTTTTGAGTCGTGTGTTTTGAAGTACTAGATCCAAAATCGGATTGTTGTCCCACCACTCGAGCAATGGTCATGGCAGCTGAAATTTGATCGACAAAAATTCTCGCACTAAACGTCGTAGCAGATCCTGAGAAACAACTAATAAAAGGTGCAAGTGGTTCAGCATACAAATTTGGAAGAGAAATTGCAGACAAATCAATGGTCGAATTCAACGTTGCTTGTTCTCCATAAATAGATGTCACTTGAGCTTTGAAATAAAATCGACCAGTGATATTGAGAGCCAACAAATCCGATGCCTTAATTTGAGTATTCAATCCACTCGTAACAAAAGATGTGAATGGACATGGTGTAGCCCCAGATTGTGAACGAGAACAAGTCCAAGTCACCGAGCTCAATAAACTCAAAGGATAATTTTTCAAATTGGACGAACCAATGGACAAGTACAAATCCTTATCCATCGAATGTGTTCGATTTCCTCCCTTAATTAAATAAAATCCATATAAATCCACACTTCCAGTAATCATTGTTGTGAAGGTTGAATTTTGTAACGTTTGTGACATGACCATGGCTGTTAAATTTCGCACATTTCCACTACTTGCTACGAGTTGGGATGCTGAAATTTTGAAAAATTGTTTATCTTCCCATGCAGTTATAGGAACTCCATCCAATAAATAACGAATAGAGACCTCTCCAACAGCCTTGCTCCCATACGTTTTTGGAATGACATCTAAAAAACTTTCGTAATAACAATTGGCTCCGTCACACTTCATTATTTCACCCGGATTCCATAAATTCGTCGATTGCAAATTCATGGCTTTCGGAAGTACTGTCAAAAAGACAGAATTACTAACTTCCTCGATGGAATTTCGCACCACTGTTGCTTTAAACTCAAATACTTGCTTCTCAATCAGGGAAGCATATGGAGTCCATCCGGTGGTCAAGATTGCGAAAGGTTTCTTGTTATCACCTCCACCAATAACAGAAGAACCAGAACATGCTGCACTCACACAACTAAAGACGATCGATGAATAACTAGAAGCGCTGAATGGATTCGTCGGATTGAGTGTGAATATCACTTCTTGAGAGCTTGCCACTACGGTATGATGAGAAATTTCGAGTCGAATAGATTGCGCATTCACTGTTTGTTGTAGAAAACAAGAACAGAAGAGAAATAAGAGCAGTAATGTAGAACAACAACAAGATAGGAAATGAATCTTGAAAGAGTACGTGTTGATGGTATGGGAGGAATATTGAGAGGAGGAAATGGATCCATGAAGAGAAGAAGAAGGATGGTGCTGCGACATGATGTATAACTGTGGAGACGTCGTCCTTTTGTTGAAATGTGTATAATACAAAATGTGTGTTTCACACCAGGAAATTGGTCGAATCGAATCCTCCTTGTTGTGTTGCGTGTGGAGGTTTGGATTTAATTTTTTGAAAGAGAGATTCAGTGGCAGTTGAACTGAGTTGATGGATGACAATTTTAACGACTTGCCCAAGTTCTACTGAGGGTTTTTCGGAACACTGAATCAAGACAGTGTATCCCTGAATGGTGTTGAATGAAAAGGAGGAGAAAGGCGAAAGTTCTAATGTGAAAGAGAGAGCCAGGTCTACCAGGTTCTAATTGGCACACCAATGAAGAAATTGAAAAAGGGACAGACCTGAATCAGATCAGAATGAAATTTCATCCATGCTGTACAGCAAGCAACTCCAGTCAGTGAGTTTAGACGTTGAAATTGGCTTGGACAAACCAAATAAATTTTGGCGCCAACGAAAATTGATTTGAAAAGCCACAAAAAAAAATATTATTATTCATCATGGCATCCTCTTCATCTTCAAAATTCTCGTTTTCATGGGCCGATAAAATCATCTTTGTGTGGCTTTTCATTGATCTGATTGTACACGGAGTGTTAGAGAGCTCGTTTGTCTATTTTTCTCTAACCACTACGGTAGCAAAGGCTCAACCACAATCCACTCTCGGAAAGATGTTGCATTGGGTTTGGCTTGAATATGGAAAGAATGCCGATGCGAAATGGTTAGTGTTGGATCCATGTGTGGTCTCTGTAGAATTATTGACTTGTACAGTGGATACATTGTTGTGTGCCATTGTCATGTACACGGTAAGTGTGTGGTGTATCAAGGCGCAACATTGAAATTGAGACCGACTTGAATATGGAATGATATTTATTGAAATTGGTGATTGAATAATGACTATGATAATATTTTCATTTGGAATTTATGGACATTTTCATGGAAATTTCACACATTTCAAATTGTGCATGATGACGACTTTTTCTGTGAACAATGGTCAAAACTACTCTCTCAATAGATGTGGACCAACAAACCATCGAGACATTTTTGGCAAATTGTATTATGTGTTTGTGAACTCTATGGTGACTGGATGACATTTGTACCTGCAATTTTAGGTACGTTTTTGTGAATATTTTTCATTATTCATCATGAAATCACTTTATAAATCCAATGACTGCCACACATGCCACTATACACTCATTATTTCACAAATATTGTACAGAGGGTGGACATAATTTGAACATGGATCCATATTTCTTCTGGCTCTACACCGTTGGAAGTAATGGCGTCTGGGTCATTATGCCACTATTATTGTTGTATCAATCGTATGGACATTTGATGAGTGCTTTTAAGGCCAAACAGAAGGTGGAATAAATTGGGCAATATATTCGTTCAGCTTTAATATATCCACATCAGGCTGATTCCAAATGTGTTGACATGGGAACATTCGATGTCCAGTTTACGTACCCAACACACGACTTGGTTGCACACCAACAATTTTAAGATGTTTTTAAGGTTTGTACATCTAAAAGAACGAATTCCTTTCAAGTAGTTATTGAGCCATTGGTCGTCATGTAGTCCCATTAGAGACAAACATCCGTGTACTTGACACTTTTCAGGTTCCAGCAATTTCTGAAGATTCCCATAAATGCACCAAACAGAGCAAGACGCAGCACTTCAAAATCTCATCGCATTCTCCAATACGAAAAAAATCGTCGTGTTCACCGTCCAATTGTACCTGCCACATGTCACTAATTGTTCACACTCTGTAGTTGGTCATGCTGTCGACTACTCCTCCATGATAATGGCACTTTTGTGTTCTACGTGGACGTTAACGTTAGTAACAACAGTTCATCACTCGGATGTGGTCTCACGCAAGAGAATCCATGTCGATATTTGAATGACACTGCTGTCAACATGTCGGGAAAAGAAAATGTAAAATCAATTCAAATATTCATGGCGAAAGGAATATATTCTACCGAGTCAGATTGTGAAACAATCACTTTACCTGATTCATTGGAAATTGTAGTTGAAGGAAATTCAGCCATTTTGGATTGCTCGAACCATGTTCTTGCATCATCCTTATCAAGTTCCAAGAATTCCCCGAAAACTATCATATTGAGAAATATTGAATTGAAATTTGTTGGTTTTCAATTATATGGTTCTCATGTCATTTGTGAGAATTGCACATTTCATGCATCCATTGAAGTAATCTTTAGCGATTTTAGATTAACCATGATCAATAGTATTGTGGAAAATGTTTCATGGAAATCTAAAATGCAAAAAACTGTGATTGGTTCCAAAATTGTCAATTCTGTGTTTAGTAGTTTTTCTGTTCAAATTACCAGTGCAGAAAATTGGCTTGTGAGAGAATCCATATTGGAAAATGTTATTTTTGATTCAAGTTTCGACTATAATCCTATATCTCAACCCAATCATGCACTATTTTCAATTTCTAACAGTACAGTGATTGGTTCAATATTCCGTGTCACTCAATATTCGAATGTGAATCTTCAACATTCAATATGAAAATTGTTAGTTGTCCTTTGACAGAAATTAGTGGGTGTGTATTTACAGGAAGATCCTTATCCTCTGTAAGTGTGTTCTCTAGTTTGCCATTGATATATTCTTCAACGTTATAAAATTGATTCACAACAGACATCGAGTGTGCTTCGAGTGATCACAGGACTATTGCTCAAAATTGAAAAGACCATATTTACTGAACTTGGTGAGACACCTGTTTCAGTTCGTGGTGTTTCACGGGTACAAGTCGAACAATGTTCATTCTCTCACAATGATGGAGGTGGATTACAAGTTGACTTTCAAGATGTTGAGTCGAATGCAGAAATTTCAATTTCTAATTCTAGTTTTACCAGTAACAAGTCACCAACGAATCATGGAGGAGCAGTTCATGTCAAATTTGCTGATCTAGTGGGAATTTTAAATGTTGTTTTTGAAAATAATTCGGCACTAAGTAATAATGGCGGAGCATTATTTTTACAAACAATTGCCATGAATTTGTATTCCTTGAGTTTTGTCAATAATTCTGCAATGGATGGTGGAGCTCTCTATCTAAGTCGTTGGAGTTCTAATGACAAAATTACGACATATTGGTCCAATTATTACTTTGAACGTTTAACATTTCAAAACAATTTAGCTCAATCGAGAGGAGGAGCCATATTTTTTGACTTACCCATACATGATCATCCTTTGGTGAGACGCTCCAATCTATAGTTCACTAAAACGAGCTGCACTTCTAACTTGGCGAGATACAGTGGTGGATGCATGTATTCTTCAATCTTGTTGTATTCATATGAACTCAATGGATTGGAAGATTCCAATAATAACGCCCTTTCCTATGGAAATTTCATTAGTTATCCCTTAAGAAATTTTACATTTCATTCAACGCTCCAATTTTCTAGTTCAAGAAGAATCACCATTGAAGGTGTCTCTACAATTCCAGATATTGCCATGTATCCAGGAGAGAAATTACAAAACCTTTCACTGATTATTCAACATTTCGATGGAGAATTTGTGAAATTTCTAGTAGCACCTTTATCGATCAAATATTCCTCTACATTCATCAAAATGGATTACTTGCTGACAACAACAACATCCTCCTCCTCCAACTATAATTTACAAATTAATAACTTGTCAGTGAGACTATTGTCACCAACCACATCTCAAAATGTTTCTATTACTGCATTTCTAGTGATTGATGCTTCTTATGAAATACCTTTTAATATCATCACATTACCATGTCCTGAAAGGTACCATCTTGAAAGTAGATATTCTGTGGACGGATTTATTTGCGTTGAAGATTCACATGTACCATTTGAAATTATTATCCCAGTAGTGTAGATTGCAACGATCATTATCGTTGGATTGGTTGCAGGTGTGTTATTTGCCACAATATATACATGTAGAAGAGTGGTTCAGAAATTGAAGACACTTGAAAAGAAACAAAGGTAGGGTGTTTTTGTTGTTTAACCATATCATTACATTTTCTTACACTCCTGACGATGATTTTACTAATATTTCAAATGAATGTAGAGCTGAAAAGAAATTAGAATCCAACTTTATAGGAATGAAAACATATATCGAGGGAGGTTATTCTCTGTTGCAGCACGATTTTCTTGATCGATCTAGTGAAAATAGTACCTATTTAATTCCAGTTGAGGATTTATCAATTATTAAGAAAATTGGAGAGGGTATGTACATATTTCAACTTGTTCAATGAACTCTAACGATTGTTTTATAAAATTATCATTTCAATGTTTTGTTATTTCCTTTCGAAATAGGTGGTAATGGATCCGTTTATCATGCCAAATGGAATGGCAGTGAAGTTGCTGTCAAATCTATCAAATCGGACGTATCTAATGAAGAATCTGAAGAATTTCAAAAAGAAGCAGCTCTTCTGAGTACTCTACGTCATCCAAATATTGTCAATTTTTATGGAGTTAGTATCATTAATTCCACAAAATGTATGGTCGTTGAATATTTATCTCGTGGAAGTTTAGATCGAATGATTTATAATTGTAGAAGCAGACAATGTGTTTTAAAACTTTTTCAAAAATTAGACATCTTGTTAGGAGTTGCAAAAGGAATGGCTTACATGCATTCATTGAAGCCAAATCCAGTTGTAAGTTGTGTGTTTTTACTTTTTAACATTTTGCTGACAATTCTAAATTTCAAAATTTCTCCCTATTTATGAAATGATCGAAGGTGATGTCAAGTACAATCACAAGGTAGATGTTTATAGTTTTGCAATTATCATGTGGGAATTGTTTTTTGAGGAAACTCCTTATATGAGTCAACATTCGAAAAAGTTTCAAAAATTCAAAAGTCATTCCACAACGAGCACAGATTCCAATGAGGGTGGAGCTCGAGCGTTAATGCAAGTTCTGAAAGGAAACAGATCACTCATTCCATTTTCAATCGATAACAATGAAGAACTTGTATTATGGTTGAATGAATTTCTAGTTCCACAAAATCCAGAAATTGACATTCAAACACTTGTGAAAATTGTATCGACTTATATTGATTTGATGAAACAATGTTGGCAAAGTAATCCTGAGCTTAGACCAAACTTTTTACAAATTGTTGAAGTGTTGTCATCATTGTTGATGTGAGGATGATGATATTCTCCTTCTTGTGGATGCTTCTTCTTCTACTTGCAAGTAGTCAAGGGATGTTACAGAACTCTTGGGAACCACATAAAAAAAACTTTTAAAGAAAAAAATGGCCAAAACACCTCCATCTCCTTACTTGGTGCTTGGACTCGTTTTATTCATTGCTTCACTCTGTCTCACAATTCCTTCGGAATCTCATGATCATTGCAGTCATGTATTTTTGAGTAATGAAAGAGTATTCACAGTCCTATATTCTCTCTTCATCATTCCTGTTACGATTGCAATTCTTTTTCTAACCGTCGTCTTTGCGATGGGTTTTAGACGGAATGATTTCAGTTGCAGTGATTTAGAGACAACCTATACGAACTACATGATATTGTATCTTGGTATTGGTTTTTATTTTGCAATGGGAGTTTTTTGGAAAATGTGGATTGAACGACTCTCATCACCACTCTATACAGAGGAATATTTAAAAGAAAATATTTTAACAGAAAAACAATGTCATGATCACACAACAAGAGTGAGCATCTTGAAGAAAATGTTAATGGCTATTGGAAGTGTCTTGATATTGGTCTTTGGATTCTTTGTGGCATATGAGGTTTATTTTAAAATTCAAAGGAATAGAAATATTACAACAAGTCATGCCAACTCAATGAGTGTTTAAATTACTAACAATTTTAATATTGTTGCTATAATATTGGAAAGGTTGCAATTTCTTTCAAGAATTAGCAAAGATCCTTAAAAGGTAGAAAGTTGTGTCGTTCAACGAGGTTTTCAAGAACCAGAATGGATCCTAATGAAAGAACAAATATTATGGATAATGGAAGTGGTTTTTTCCTTACATTCTTTGAACAACCTTGCTAACATTACAGTCAAGGGAGGATCCTCATCGTAACTTGACGGCATTAATGTTTCTTTTATTCTCGCTTGTTCTTCGAGAGATGCTGTAGAAATAAACAAACAACAGTGGTGAAATCCTGTCTCAGGCACAAAATTCGACAAAGCAACACTTACTTGATCCAGAAAAAAGTCTTTTACGACCCTTGAATGTTGTGGTGTGGGTTTGCCTTCTTATAAAAAAGGCTACAGCACTGCAGGTTCCCAAGTTGTCTCCAACCTCAGTACTGATGCAGCTCGACGATGCTTAACTTCTCAAATCGGACGGGATGAGGTGCATTCATCGTGATATGGCCGTAGCCATTCATTTAGCTAAAATTTGTTATTTTAATACAGTTCCATTAAATCAATATGCTGTTTTTTTGCATGGGAGGTGGTAAAAGTTTATTCTTTCAGAATATTAAAGAATTCTTTATAGTTTCTCAACGTCACAATGAGGTGGTATTGTGTTCAAAAAGGCCCATTTTGAGTTTGAGGATTGAAAGAAGATTAATACCTTTCACAATTCCAGCTCTGATTTTTCTTGTCCCATGTTTCCTGTTATCCAAAGGTTTATTCGATAATTGGACTTGCATTACGTTCCACTCACAACCTTGACAGGGGTTATTTCAAAGTTATATAATCCGGATATTAATTTTGTTTGAACACAACAACAGAAGGTCATCCTCGGAAACACACCCATTCAGACAAACTTGGTTTTTATTGTCTTACAATCCATCGACGCTTACAAAACACCCTTATACTTCATGTCGCTTCCCTTAATGTGATCCACCAACCATTGTTTGATGAAATTCATCACTCCATCATCGACAGAGGTCAAAGAGACTGCAGTCTTGACAAAGTTATCATGAATTTCCTTGTGAGCATCCTTTTGATCCCAAGCAACCTTTTCAAATCCATCTTCTTCAGTTTTAAAGTGCATCACAACAAAATCGAGCAATTCCTTCAAAACAGCTCCATTAGTTCTGTCGGCATCCAAAGCATTGATCAATTCAAAGATCTTCTTGTGTTGATCATTAATGACTTGATGACCAACGCAGAAGGATTCGTCCCATTGGAATGGAGATGGAATTTCGAAAGACATGATGATGGAGTGTGGTGGATGATGATTGTTTTTTTGTTGAGTTTTGCTGACACGGTGAGCGAATAAGGTACCCTTAAATTCTTTTTTTGACCTTGTCCTGAAAATTGCTATTTAAGGCAAAAACCATTGTGTGACGTCATTGATGGATCCAATCATTTTCTTTCGTTTACGATGTTTCTCCATTGTTACAATGTGAGGTTTCAGCAAATGAAATTTGTACTTTTAAGGTGTATGACCAAAGGTCCAATTGTTGTGATGGAAAGAGTCAACTATGCGCGATTGCCTTACAATCTTGATCAGCCATTGTGAATTGCAAGGACAATACATTCGATGATGTTTTCGCAGTAAAAAAATTGAAGCAGCCAATACATTCAGTGAAAAGCCTGCAATGATGAAATAGGTGTAACTTGAGCTGGAAAGACGAATTGGCTGGAGAATCATTAAGCCAAATTCATTCTTCTTTTCATCGAATTCATCTTCTCAAATTTCATGACACTCTTTCTCTTGATCCTTTGTGCACTTTCGGAATTAGGGATCCATCATGTCAATATTGAGTTACAAGGATCAAGCTACACTCCATTTTCATCATCATGATTTTCGAAACATAAGAGGGCCCTTTCAAACCTTCAGCCGCAGCAAACAGCCATTCAGCCAGAATAGTCCTCGCTGCCGAAATTATTTTCAGATACAATCAACAGAATCCTTTGGCATCCGGTTGAAACAGGATTTTTGCGGCTGAGATAGGATTTCGATCAGGTGATCAGTTTATTTTGCTTACTAAAAAACCGTTCTCCACAATGACGGTTCTTAAAATATTTCATAAAATCTTTAAAAACGTCCATCCAGGCAAAGGTTTTTGTTCTTCTTATTCCTTTTTGTCCACTGTTTGATTTGCTTAATTTGGCAGATGTAGACATGATTATTTTCATCTAATTGGAGAACATAATCACCAATGCTTAAATATTCGGAATTGAGAGTCTGATTTGCTTTTGGTTTTTCAATGTGTTGTTTGTGATAGGTAATTCCTCCAATGGTGATATGTGCGTTGGATTGTTTGTTTTTGAAATTTTGCAGCAAGTTGTGTGGTTGATGTGTTCTGTTCCATTGCTGCTCCAATTTATCGAATTCCACAATATCATTATTCGAATATTGTTTCAATTTGAATTCTTTTGTAAGTAAAACTTCAATACCAAGTATATTCAAATTAAACAATAGAGTATGAATGTTGGATTCATATTCAGTATCTGAAAGCATGGCAAAAGTGTGACATGCTCTTTCAAATTCACCAATAACAATATAATTAATATGTTCTGGTGATGGGAAGCAACAATAATACTCATATGGTAATCTTGTGGATTGATCTTTCTCTTTGTTGATTTATACCTTGAAGTCGAACTATAAATTGACTCATCATCATCTTCGATGTCAGTATTGTTATGATTTGTTTCTTTTTCTTTGAGGAAGATGCGAACGATTCCACAAAGTTCTTTTGTTATGAACATTTGTTTGACATCATCTTAAGTCATAATCTTGTTTTTACGTGAAATCTTTGGTTTGGATTCATTTTCGGGTTGCATTCGGAAAGAAATCACTGCTTCACATGAAATGCAAATGACATGATCTCTTCATCATCAAATAAATTTAGAACAACAATGCTTCTGATAGCATTTTCTTCAAAAATACGAATTACTGAATTGATGTCTGATGGTGTGAATTTTATATCGGTAAGATAGTCATAGAGAAGATGAACATCAGAATTCGTTTCGTGGATGTACGTTGATGTGGTTGTCTAGCTCCACATTTGAATTCATTTCGTTCAAGGATAACATTCCAAAGCTTGTTCGGAATTGTTGTTGTTGTTGCTGTTGTTTTGCATTTTTATTGTTCAAAATTTTATTCGTAAAGCCAAAAACAACCGCCAAAATCCGTAAACATCCGGATTCTGGAGGATTCTGGATTTCCACAAAGTTTGGGAAGTCAGCAGGAGCTGGCAGCCGTCCTTTTCGGCTGTTTGCTGCGGCTGCAGGTTTGAAAGGGCCCTCAAACATAAAAAAAATGTTATCACCACTCGAACAATTACCACATGAAATACTCACCAACATCTTCTCCTTCCTCCTACCAGGACCACTTGATCACGATGTGGATATTAATATTTACAACATAATGGCGAGTGATATTTTGCCATTAAACCATACATGTTCAACATTTAGGAATGTCATTCGGAATAATGAAGAACTTTGGAAATATTGCTTCTTTGATCTACTTTACGGATGGATGGAGTGTAGAAATTACTTTTCAAAAGATATTTCTGTCTTGATGAGAGAAGGAAATGGGCATGAAATGAAAAATTCTAAAATTCTGGAACGCCAATGTTTCATTTATGAAATTGGCTATCACACCTTGATGAAGTTTATACGGCAGATAGCAGGTGAATCCTCAAAGATCATTCAACGCATGACCCTTCAGCATCCACCAACATGTTTACATCAAATTTCTCAATTAGAGAGAAATTTAAAAGTCGATGACAGTAGTACCAACATAGCTGACTTGATTCAACAACAGCTATCAACCAGTACGTTAGTCGAATGGGTGGACCTTGTATTTACTGATTTGGCAAATATTAGACAATTGGTGTTTATGAGCTCACCTATTGCCAACGATCGTCAAGTGATAACTCCTTCAAACGCCAATACTTTATCAAAACTAGAAAATCTTTCTATCTATATGGAAGATTGTACCACAATGTTGCCAATTCTAGTGTGCCGTGATCAGTGTATTCTTAAGAAATTAAGTCTTTCTGTCAACGAAAATCTCAAAGACGCTCTTCAAAAAATTTCCAATTTTGCCTCTCGCTCAGAATTGTTCAGAACTGGATTAACAGAATTCGAGGTGACCAATGTTATGCCTTTGGATCAACTTTTACAATATCGCTCTTGGAACAAATCATTAGTGAATTTTTGTTTTTTTTCAGAGATGCATGAAATACCATTGCTGAATCAATTTGATAATATTCAATATTTATCATGTATGACCTCAGGTCAACGAGATATTTGCTTGGATTCGAACCTCCATTTACCAAATCTAACAGTTTTAAACTTATCTGGAGACATTAATCATCTAACAATTCGTGACCTCAATACTCCAAAATTAGAATCCTTAACTCTTTGCTGCAACAGCTGTACATTCTCTGAAGATCAATACTTTCCATCATTAATTTCACTTTCATGTTTCAAAATGAATTATAACCAAACGATTGAGAGGTTTATTTTCAAGCACAAAACACAGCTCCACACCCTTGATTTACAAGACAATGACATGGATTCATTAGCACCAATTGTTATTAATGAGGATTTTTCTTCTGTGAAACAAATTTCATTGCGCAATATTAAGAAGGCCCGTATTGAAACAAAAGATACACTCACTCAACTCACACTCGACCAATGTGAGCACATTCAAATACATGTGAAGCGTATTGATCTGTTTGAACTTTTATCATCAACCAAAGAAGTGATTTTTATGGGAGACACGATCATAGAGAAATTGTGTTCGTTTGTGAATTTTTCAGAATTGCTATCAATACGCCATGAAGGACCTGGTACAAAGATTCGAGTGAAAGAAATGAAGGTACAATTGAGTCAACCTATTGAGGCCTCCCATATTCAGCATTTTTCTGCTAATTTCTTCAACATTGAGACCATTAAGGGATATTTTCAAGTGAGTGATATTACGGGTCGATTTTCATTATCTCTTGACAATAATTTTGATAAGTTGAATGAATTGAATAATATCACGATGTGGGAACAATTGGGAGGAATTCTTTCGAGTGATTATGTGCACTCTCTTGAGATTATTCAAACTCCACCTTCAATGTGCCATGTGAAAAATTGCAAGTCTTTGGAAAACATTATGGTTCTCACTAATCTGAACGTGCTCATTGATTGGGAAAATCTTAATATGGAACATCACCATGAGATGACTGTTTCGTGTGACATGTATGCATTTCCATCATTAATCGAAGCATCGCTCATTCACACAAGCAACACCGTTTTTGAGAGAATTGTAAATCTCACCTTGTCTCGAGGTTGTTTTTGCATTGATATTCATGCATTTCCCAATTTACGAACTTTTAACTTGGAAAATTGTACCCAGGATTTTGGTAACATTCTCATCATGAGTGGAGACAAGATTCACAAAACAATCAAATTCATTTATGTACGCAATGTTCATTTCCAAACGCTTCAAATGAAAATCAATGCTCCCAATTTGCGACAGTGTGTCATTTTGGATGTTCAAGTGGAGTCTACGGATCAAAGAAATTGGAATGACCCTCGCTCACACGTAAAACTCGTTCACACGCCACGTTTGTTATTTAAAATTTTAGAACTTTAAAACCTTACTATTGATACGTTTAAAGATTGGAATCCGAAGGATACTAATGTTGATATCTTTGCAAAATTAAAACGAGACATGGTGGTTTGACTCGAGCCAAATTTTGGCTCCAGCGAATTGTTGGTGTGTTTTAATAATTTCATCACATGATTTTTGAGCGCTATTACTCGTTGTAAATTCATTCCCAAAAAAATGCGAATCATCACTTACCAAGCGGAGGCTTCTTCTTCATTCTATTGCTCTGTGTGCGCTCATGATGGAATTGAAACTCCTTCCGAAGTTTATTGCGAAACGTGCGAGAAATATTTTTGTGTGGTGGATGCGAAAAGACATTTGAAACAACAACAACAACAACATGAAATGAAATTATTGGAAAGAAGCCAATATGGAATTCAACAAACGGAGGTAACATCTTTGAATTCCTTACCTTATCAATTTTGTCCATTGCATCAATGTCCAATTAATACATTTTGTCAGACATGTCGACAAATTCTATGCTCAGCTTGTGCTGTCAGTTCTCAACACAAATCACATGAATGCTTCTTATTCTCCGATATTGACCAAGAAATGAGAGAATTATTGAGGAGAGAGCTTTCAGGGTTGCAAGAAAAGAAGCAAAAATGGGAGAAAGAATGTCATACGGACGATGCAAGTTTGGATCAAGAAATTGAAAATATTGAAAAACAGAAAAAACTTCTCAAAATGGAATTGAATCAACTCTTTGACGAGATACACCATTCCCTACAAGAGAGACATGAAATATTGAATAATCAAGTGGACATGTTGTGTTGTGAGCGAATGGATATCATTTCTAAAATCAAAGAATTGAAACAGAAAACCGAGAAATCCATAACAGAATTCATTAACTTGGATGAAATGGCCACATTTGACTTGATGCACAAAGCAACTAATTCTCTTGACATTGTGGTGAAAGATTTCAACAAAATGACAGAGGAATTTCATTTTGAACAAGTGCATGACATGAAAATTTTGGATTCTAAACTAGAAATAACTGAATTGAAAAAGATTATTCAAAATTTTGGAAGAATTGAGTCGTCACATTCTGAGAATTCCACAGCAGCATGTCTTTACGATCCTGAAATCATGAACATTTCAATACAATCTGGCAACAAGTTTGAAATGGTCAAACAAAGTTCGAATATTGAAAATCATTTTATATTTGTCAATACTGCAATACGAAGTGGAAGTATACACCAATGGAAAGTTAAAATTAACGATCACTTAGGTTGGATTGGTGTTGGAGTTTCCAGAGATGAAATTGTCAAGTCTCAAAAATTCTCAGCATTTGAAACGCCCTACAACACTCATAGATCTTATTTCATGAGTAGCAACGCATTTACTTGGAGTATTGAATCGAAAGAAAATCAAAAGCAACACGGATTTGAATTCTCGAAAGGAGATGTACTTGAAATGATTATGAATGGTAACACTCGGCAGCTGACCGTTCAAAAGATGGGCTCAAATCAAAGCTATACATTTCGCAACATCATTCTTCCAGTCTATCCGCTCGTTGCACTCTACGCACAAGACGACTCAGTAACGTTTTATGATTGGAAGAGAATATAATAGTTGTGAGATAATGTAAAACCTTTTGTGTCACAACAATGCTCTAAGAAGAACAACGGATTCGTAGGGTATTTTCTCCTTGGGATTCATTTTTGAATTGTCTAACATGAAATCACCACAATTGTGTAATTGTTCTGAAAAGAAACTTTGGCCAGATAGGCTGATTAGCTTATGCGATACGGAACCTTTCCAAACACACAGGCGCTTTCAAATTCGTTGCTCTTTTTTTATTAAGACTAGACTGACAACTCCAACAGGTTGTGCTTTTTTGCCATTAGCTTGCATTTGAATTATTCTTCACAGCTGACACCTTTCAAAACACATTAAACAATCGATGAGGTGCAAAGTCTTCAATATCACTAATAATTTTCGAATATGTTGAAATCATTTCCTTGAAGGAATTATCGAGAGATTCAATTTTGTCTTCGTTCGAATGCAGCACGACAGAGGACACTTCGAGAAGTACTTCCACAATACTTCGAATGGACTCGAGCAATTCTTTTCTCTTTCCAATGCCGAGTAATTGTAAAAAACTTTCCTTATTTTCGAGCTCAGAGAATGAGATGTGACGTTTAGGCTTCGAATCATTCGTTTGAATTTGAGGAGAGGATGGTATCATTTTAGCAGGAAGAGCATGGTGTTTGGTCGTGGGTTGAGCAGTTTGGTTTCTGTGAGCTGTGCTATGTGGAGAGAGGACTGTGACATTCTTTTTCTGATGATGCGGTTGGTGGTTATGCAACTGACTGGTATGCCCATCCATAAGAGTTTTCTTGTTATTATTAAAATAATAAGAGGTGTGTTGTTGCTTTTGAAAAGCTTGTTGATCTAGTTTGTAGCGTTGTGAATTCAAAGCTACCGCAGTTTGGGAAGACAAGTGGTTTTGGTGCTTGGAAAGAACGTTGGCGCACAGCGAGGAAGAGTCTTTCACCAATTCTAAAATCATGTTAAAATTAATGGAATGTTTTTTGCATGATCTTCGTGTGGAGCAAAATATAAAATCAATCAAATCTTCGAGTGCATTCACCATTTCATTCTCTGTTTCACAGATCATGTTAAAAAGTGTTTGAATGGATTTAGTGCTATTCAAATCTCCACAAATGCACAAAGCTGACTGAACAATTAGATCTTCCACTTGCCACACTAAATCTTCGTGCACTAAACTCTCCCAAATATTCTGAATTTCTTGTGTCTGTTCTTCCAAGTCCATTTTCACTTGTTGGAGGTGGCAAACCTTTTCAGTGACCATTCTTAAATTTTCACCCATATTACCTGAATAGTTACGACTAAGGTTATTGTTATTGGGATTTGGAATATTTGTTCTTCTTTTGAACGCATTCTTGTATTTCTGCTTGGTTCTTTCCCATTCTTGAAGTGCTTCATCTTCATCATGACTCATGTCCTTACTTTGATCATAACAATCTTTATCACCGGATGAGAGAATTTGATCGACATAATAAATTTTCGAATTGCTATGGAGTGGTGACAACTCATAGGCATTTCTATCTTCATCATCGCTTTCATACGAGTATCGTAACACATTCATAGTGCTTGATCTCTTGGTGTGGTGGTGACCAGCAGAAGGATGGACAGTCATGTTTGTGGCATTTCGTTTGGGATGAGTGGTCGTATGGTCCGACTCTTTGCTCTGACCCAAAAGAACTCTTACAAATTCAAGTGTTGGTTGATGATCCAAGTCTGAACAGTCGGTTCTTGTGTACTTTTTGCAAGCTTGCACATGATTTTTGCCCATCATGGTGTTGTTTCCATGATGAGAGATTGCAGATACACCACAACCATTACTTGGCATGCAAGCTTTCATCATGTTGGTTGAGAGATGAGGTGTTTCTTTTTCTTTGGGAGTCTGTGTTGAAGAAAGAAGAGCAGTTGTTGATGGGTTCGAAAAAGGATCAACTCGAGTTGAATGCAAGCCTTGATGGAATTTTGTATCGTGTTGTTGTTGTTGCTGCTGATGACTACTCAAGAGATCAGGTTGTTGAATACTAACTGAAGGCTCAAGAGTCTTCTTATCGAACAATGAGCCTTCTTGTTGTTGTGTGATTGTTGTTGTAGTAGTGTGGTCACTTTGAAAATTGAGGCTGCTACTGCTGCTACCAGGTGACACAACTCTTTCACAAGCAATTTCGGTGTTTTTTTGAGGAACAGAAATTGTGTTTCTACAACTACTCACAGCATGATAATTTGATGTCTCGTGATGTGGTTGATGATGTGAAGCAATGTTGCTCGTACTACCCAATACAATTGGCTTATTTGGTGATGATGTGTGGTCGTTTACAACATCACTGTTCTCAATAATGGATTGGCAGTCATGGTTCAGATGAGCAGTATGAGATGGTTCAAGATGATCATCTCGAGTTGAAAGAGTCACAGTCTTGTTCAAATCCTTCTCTTCAAAGAGAGAATGATGATGGTTCTGATGTATATAAAGTAAGGGTGAAGTGGTAGATGTGGAAGATAAGACCTTGGTAGCATTGGTCGGTGTGGTTGGATCTGTCAAATCATTTCCACTCTTATGGTTCATTAATGTAATGGAAGAAGCATCTTGTGGACGAATGGTCATTGTTGGGAGACGACAATGAATTGGAAAACCCTCTTCGAGTATTCTCAAATCATCGTCTAAAGGCTCCAATACTTGGAGAGTTTTTGGGAATTGAGTAGATGCTTCCTTCTTGTCATGAGGATGAGGTTCTTGATCATTCTTCTCCATTCGTCGTTTCATGTGGTTGAGAAGTGAATGTTCTTGATCCACAAAACTTGTCGATAAGGGTTGTAAGGTCGGTGAGAGAGAAGTCAAATTGGGAGAATTTGGACAAGTCATACTCTTGGAAGTACAATGAAAATCAGTAGAATTGTGACGATGGGTTTTACCACGAGACCATTCACGCCCAGAGGATGTATGAAATTCATCCAAGAATGGAGTACTTGTAGTTGCAACTGTTTTGCATGTGGATTGGGTCGATAGACTGTTCAAAGTCGATTTGGTGAAGCTATGACTGCTACTACACGGCCTCAATGGTGTAGAGAGAGGAGTGGCATAGTTACTACTACCAATACTGCCACTATGACTCATTGTAGATCCTTTGGAATGACATGGAGTGTTATGGTTGGTGCTGGTTGTTGTTGTTGTTCTTGTGGAAGGTGTCTTTAAGACATTCTTCTGACTCATTCCAACAACATCATGATTTGCACCTCCAACAGTTGTTGAGAGAGAATACGAAGTGGTTTTCATGAAAGAGGAGAGGTGAGGCTGTTGCTTGACTGACCGAGTCGTGGAGGGGTTGCTAGTGCTGCTGGTCGTTCCTTTCGATTGCATCCGTTGTGGTTGTGGTGGTTGTTTCTGATGAACGAAAGTCTTGTTGCATGATGAATGATGAGAATTCATCTTACTGGTTGGTTGAGTAGAATAAGTCAGAGGAGCATTTGTTGATAATGATCTTGAAGTAGTAGAAGTAGCAGTAGTGGTGGTGGAATTGGTTAAGCTTCCGATCATCATGGATTGACTACTCAGAGAGGTATTAATAAATTAATTGAAGATGATGAATTTTGTTGAAGGGAGGGTGGTCCAATGTTGTTGAAACAAACAAACGGAATGCAGTAGACGTAGTATGGTGGCTGGTTTGGATGATGAGGAATTGGATCTTGTTGCTTCACTGGAATGGTGTGTAGACTTTCCAATTATTTTGTTTCAAACTGAAATATTAAATAAAGTGATTGCAAGAACATGAAATGCAGAAGGACAAGGAGTTCGTTTCAAAACAGAAGGTGTTAATAACGACCGGATGCAATCAGATTTCTTGTTTTTCTTCACTCCAAATCCTAGCAACAAGACTTTTCAGGAAAGTTTGAAATTTGAAGATGGGTTTTTTTTGAAGACATTGAATTTGGAGGGAAAGATTGAATTCTGGAAAAGGAAATTGCATTGTTTGGAGAGAGGATTCTTGAGACTGCATGACGTGTGTTCGTCTACATCTTTCCTGGAGAAGGGTGTAGTGAAAAGGTGAATGGTTGATTTGAGAGAATGTAATTTAAATGCACAATGTCTTGTGTTGTTGTCAAATGAACAACGTGTTGTCACAACAATGTGCTCCAAGAACAAGTGATTCACTTTCCAATGGAGAGTATTAGGACAATAGGAAAGTAAATTGGAAAGTGAAATGCAATGTTGAATGAAGTCCAATAAATTATTAAAATTTTCAATAGGAATAAAAATTTAAATCATGCTTTCAAATCACTTGCTCCGATCAGGATTCAAATCGAACACAGGATTGGCGATTCATAAATTGCTCATGTCCTATCATCCGCATCAACAATTATTATGCAGTCCAGTGAACACATCAAGTTTTGTAGAACCATTTACAAATCAAATCCACAATTTTTCAATCAAGCTCCGATGGCATAGCAACACGAATCAAGAAGAAGATAGGACAGCCAAAACAACTAGCTCCAATCGAGATCCTAGTAATAGAACAGAAAATCTTTCTAATATTCGTGAAACATTTCATCATTATGCCTCCACCATTCCGAGTCATTTGGTGAGAGAATCAACACTCCCTCATCATCATCAACAACATGTCATCGATAAACCCTTGGATCCCAAACATCCCTATGGCCCCGATCAAGTCAAAGTCCAAGAAATCAAATTAAGAAAACAACGCAAACAATTAGAATTACATTTTGAAATTACTCGTTCCATGATCATCATGAATAATAATGGAGAGGAAGGCTCACAATCTTCAACACTCGATCTGGTTGGTACTCTCCCAGCCGAGTTATTGCGAGTAGAGAGCCCTTCTGCGGAGGTTCAAGGAGAGAATGGTCAAAAGAGACTCATCTATGGCAAGAAGTTTGTTCAAATCTTGCAAATTGAAACAGTCGGTTCATATGCAATCAGGATCATCTTCTCGGATGGACATGATAGTGGCATCTATTCGTGGAGTTACTTGTACGAAATGGCACAACGGAAATATTCCTTGATGAAACAATATATTAAAGATTTGAGAGCAGCAGGAAAGAGTCGTTATCCTAGAGAATATTTGAAAAAGATGAAGGACCAACAGCAACCAAGTTCTTCAAAGAATGAGTAGAATCATGGAAATCATGTGTGGAACATGTTGAGATTTAAGTGTTTTAAAAATGCGTAACGGTCATTTTGTAAGAGTTTCCCCGCCTTTTTTTTTTAACAAATTCAAAAAATGTTCAAAAGAGACCGAAGTCAATTTGAGTCCCAAGTTTCGGAAGCCAATCATCACGAGCATGACGTGAGTGATGATGATGAGCATACTCTCATATCATCCACACTTGAAGAAAACATTAGAGATCATGCCTCTAAAGAATTGAAAAGAATTAAATTTCTTTCTCCGCCTTCTCATCCGACCATGAGTAGTATCATTCAGGATGATCTCAGCAAGTTATCTTCGGAATCATCGTTATTCAATGGAATTCATTATGAAATTCCTTCTCTAGATACAGACTTTATTACTTGCATTGGCTCAAAAGGAGGTGATATGTGTTATTTGACTTTTTTGGATGATGAAAAAGAAGAAACACGTGCAGCAACTAGTTCCCGAGAAGCAATCTTTGCCAAAATACCAGCCAACAGAATCTTGAAAAAACCAATGAGTGAATTATTGGAAGATGTACAGCGACTTAGATATGAAGAAGAGATCAAGAAAAAGGCAAGAGCTCAGACGAATGCATCCTCCCGTCACGCTGTTGATGCTGCAGATATGATGAATGATGTTCAATTTTCAAGCAATTCAAAACAAAAGTATGAGCTACTTGTTGACAAGTATGCTCCAACCTCGTATTTGGATTTACTAACAGATGATGTAGGTACTTGATATTTTCTGTGTGCCTCTAACAATGACATTCATGTCACATTATTATTTTATGATGGAATCCTTTGGATAAAAGAAAACCAATGCTGAGGTATTGAAATGGATCAAGGAATGGGATCCCATAGTATTTCCAGAAACAGCCAAGACGAAAAAAATCAAACCAACAACACAAGAAAAGCCAAAGAATCCATTAATGACAGTTTTTGGTTCAGTGAGCTCCCAAAAGTCGGCAAAGGATGAGAAGAACACTTCCAACAAGTTTAATAACAGTTCAAAATCCTCAAACAATGCAACCAAGGGACCAGATCACCGTATTTTGCTCATTTCAGGTAAGTGTGAAATTATCATTTTTACTTTTTCTTCGAATCTTAATGTCACTCTGAAAATACCCTTCGTGCAGGCCCTCCTGGTATTGGTAAAACAACTCTAGCGCATATTTGTGCCAAGCAAGCAGGATATGAACCACATGAAGTGAATGCATCTGATGATCGTTCTAAGGACAAACTCATTCCAGAAATTCAAAAAGTGACCCAAATGCAAACAGTTTTTGGTAGCAAAAAACCCAAACTCTTAATATTAGATGAAATTGATGGAGTTCAAAACTCTGAAAACAAGTCTGTCATTTCAGAAATTCTGAACATGACCTATCCTAAAAACAAATCATCGTCTCAAAAAGACAATGAAAATTCGAGCAAAACTAAAAAGACTAAATCAGGAGTGAAGCTAGATAAGAAGACCAAAAAGAAGAAGGATCAAGGCATCATGAGACCTATTATTTGCATTTGTAATGACCAGTAAGTGGCACGCTTTTGAATACTCTATTTTTTACAAGAATATTCTATGGACATTCTTAGTTATTCTCCTGGCCTTAAAGAATTGAGACAAAAAAGCAAGTTAATTATTTTCAGAAGAGATGACTACAGAACTGATAACACACAACGAATTGTAGATCGACTTGGTATAATCTTACGAAAAGAGAGTCATCCTTTAGCCAACGTGGGTAAACACGAATTGACACAATTTGTAAAGGACTCTGACAATGATATTCGTTCATGTCTCAACACTATTCAATTTATGGGTTTTCATGGATCCAATTCGATGAAAGAGTTAATGACCATTTCGAAAGATGTCAAATCGGATATTTTCGATGCCATGAATCTCGTCTTTAAAACCAAGAAGATTGACAAATCCTTAATTTCCAAATATCAGGAAAACCGCATTTCACTATTTAATTCGTTTTTAAGCGAATTGGACAAGTTTGATTCTATTGCGAATGGATGTTTTGAAAATTATTTATCATTCTGCTCTGGAAGTTCTATGAATGACATTGCAGACTCTCTTTCATTCCTTCAATGGTCTGACATGATTGACGTTGCTTCCAATCGATATCAAGAACGATCCCTTCAGGTCTACAGAGCTGCTTCACTTGTGAAATTCTTTGTAGCTTGTAAAAAGTCTGGATTTGACACTAGCAATGACTTTATTCAATATCCAAAACAGCAAGGAGATGCCAAACGATCCTTCAACCACAAACACAACGTTCTCAAATCTCTCTTTTTGAATTGTTTTACTCATGAATTTGTAAAGGCCAATAAGAACGATAGAGACTTTCAGACAGGTGGAAACTTGTTGACAACATCCTCAGTCAAAGACATGGCCACTGATCTCGTACCATATTTGTATCAAATTCTCGATACCAAATGTTTGTCAGGACTCAATACTGGAGCTGCTCTCTCATCTTTGGCTCATTCTGGAATGAAAGGCCTCAAACAAATGATCAAGAGCGATCAAGAACGTCAATCGTTTGAAGCAATTTTGGATATTTGTTTATCGTACGGTATTGGAGTGAAGCAGACCTATGTGAATGAAAAATATGAAAGTACATTGGATCCTCCCTTAGATGAAATTGCATTCTATCCTTTGAAATCATCACAGAGTGGTATGGATGTGAATGCTAAGGGTCTTGTCACTCCTTCCAAAGTGAACAAGACGGACATTGCATCGTACTTTAAAAAGCCATCATCATCTAGTAGTAGTACCAGTAGTAACAGTAGTAACAAACAAGTAGAGAATGGCACAAGCAATGTATTGTCTGACCATTTTAAAAAGATTCTCTCGTCAGCTCTACACTTTGAAAAATTGGATAGAAAGTACGGAAAGAAAGATCAAAAGGAGGCTCCTCAAAAAGCATCCTCAAATGATCTCAATTCTCTGTATGCACAATCTCCAAAACATACAAGTGCACAGACAGTCATGGAATATAAAAAGAGAAGAAGATCACAACTGAAAGGAACAATTTCCATGTATTTGGAATTTCATGATGGAATGACAAATTCCATTCGAAGACCTGCCAAGACTAGTGAGTTTTTGTAGATGATAATCGAGTGTACATGTCCATCTTTCTTTTTGCGTGCTCTTTCATGTAAACGTCTAATAAATGATTCAAACGATTGTTCAAAAAACGATGCATGCGATTTGAGCTTTCTCCAAACTTGTGCTTCAAAATTGAATTTAAGGTTGAAAATTCAAATGAATGATCGTCAAGTATTTGATTCCATTGAGCGTAACCATGTTTGGCACATCCTCTCAATAAAATCAAGTCATGAGCTTTGTTCCACCACGGATAATATGCAGAACATGTTGTACCATTCTCATTAGTGTCGTCATGTATCTGGTGTTGTTCAAGTATGGTCTCCACTTGTGCAAGGTCCTCGTTGTTTTGAATGTGAAAATTCTTGTACTTGTGTACCACATGATAAATGACAAACATGCAAGCAATACGCTGTAAAATTTTCACATTATTCAATCGATCTGTGGGAGTACCATCTGAATAATGTGAATAGCGCTGATCCACTTGCTCTGAGAAATGATCTAACATGAATATACCAAATTCAGTCACTTGTTTCAGTGTTTTTTGTAAATTAGAAACTCTTCTAAGAATGTTAAAAAACTCGTACCATTTCTGGTCCTGTGTTGGAAAGCCCAAACCATATCTCCACAAAGTCGCTACAAACATCATTCGTTCTGTTGGCGTAAAACCTAGAACCGAAACCGAGTGATTGGGAAAAATTTTGATTTTCGGATTGGTGAGTTGTCTTTCAATAATTTTCAATTGAATCGTTTCATCCTCAATTTGATATTTCAATGCTCGAATATTGGAACTAATTTTCTTTCGTTGTGTGACATCTTTGACTGTTTTGAGAGTGGCACTCAATTCCTCTACTTGATTCATCAATGCATTGAGATTGTCTGAGAGTTCATTTGCTACAGTTTCAGAATATTGTTGAATTTCTTCCTCACTGTATAATAAATCATCTGAAGAAGAGTTTAAAAATTGTTCGAAAAATCGATCCATTGTTTCATCTTGATAATGAAGTAGAGATAATTCCATGGCAGTGGTATCCTTTCGTTTGTGATCGTTACTGCCATTCATATGTTCCATCTTGACCAATGAAAGATCTGCTGTAGTTTTTGCAGACTTGATGAGTCTTGTCCAAAACATTTCACCAGGAAGATTGTCAATCTCTGCATGTAGAGAAGGTGATGTTCCAAGAGAGGGTACAGAACTCGTGGTGGGATTTTCCTTCCTTTGAAAATGTGTAATTTTCACATGGCTTAATGATTTGGCTGAAGAGTGAATCATCATATCGTATGCTTGTGATTGTTGTTGTTCCGTATGATTATTCTTCTCTGATAAAATTTCATCCAAGATACTCTCTGATAGATGTAGACTTTCCATGGATTGTAAAAATTCTAGTCCTTCTTGAGAAGTGAGTTCATCTAGCAATGGATCCAAACTCAAAGTGGAATCCTCACTGTTGTTCGTGAATAAATCTTTTGCAAAAATTCGTAATGACGTCTCAAATTCAGAGAGTTGCTTTAAAAACATTCCTCGTATCATTTCATTTTCTGATAAATTTAAAATCATTGTTTCAAATTCTTCACAACATACGAGTCGTAGAATGGTTGTGCGTTTGTCAATTTTACAGAATCGTGTGAGTTGTTGCGAATCTATGATTGGATGATATGCAGAATCCATGACAATAATTGTATCGAAATTCAATAAATCTATGGATGGATGAAGTTGAGTGCTCATAATTACAATAGGTGCAGTGGTGTTTGTTGTGGCATTATTGGTTGACTCGTTGGATACAATCAATTGATATTGATACTCTTTGAATCGAATCAGTTCTTCAATCACGTACGGATAAGAAGATAAAATAAGTACTTTTTGCTTGAGTGGTTTGCATCGTTGAAGAAGAGCCTCTAACAGAACTAACTTGGATGAGGACTGAATGAAATATTTCATAAATAATTCGTTATTCTGTGCAAAGGGTTCTTCCTTTTCGAGAAAGAATTGCAAGTAAGGATGTTCACAAGTCCTCAAAATATCTGAAAACATTTGTTGAAAGAGTGAAGAGTATTGCTGAGGTGTGTCACTGCTCTTAAAAACATTGGTGAGAGCGTTGAAATAGGTACGTTTCTTAAATATTTGTCGAAAGAAATATTTGTGGAGAGGTGTTAAATTCACAGTAAGCAACAAGTCTGCTCGTGGTTTGATGCATGCAAGAACGTCTTGCCGCTCTCTTCGTAGTAATAATTCTTTTGGAAAGTCCTGTATCGAACTGTTAGAGTTTAGCAATGAAATAAAAGGTCCACATGTCTCTGAATTATACATTTTGTCACTGATAAAGAGTGTAAAATCTATTTTCAGTTCTTTCAGCATCAGGAAAAGGTTTGATTTTGTTTTTTTTAACACATGTGCCTCATCTATTACTGCAATTGGCCATAGAAAATATTTGAACCATGTTTCGTCGTTTACAATACTCTCAATGGTTGTTAAAATAATATTTACAGAGAAATTCAATCGATCTGTAGGTGTCAAATTTCGCTTTTGAATCGTTTGAATAATGAATTGCTTAATAATTTTTCTGTCATCAAGTAATCCGTCGTATACTGCAACTCTGAGATCAGGTGCCCAAAATGTAATTTGCTTTTTCCAATGCTCAATTCGATTTCGAGGAGAAATTATTAAAAACGGACCAGGTACATTATGATACATGGACATGGCTCTTAGGAAAGATATAGCTTGAGTTGTTTTGCCAAGACCGTGTTGATCTACCGCATATTGTAACATTCAAATTTAGAAATGTAAGGGCAGTGATACACTATTAAAACATACCACACAGTAAACAGGATTTGTGATGAATCCACATGGACCTCATCCATGCCACACCTTGAAGTTGATAGTCAAATAATTCAAAATTGTGACCTTCAACATTTGTGACACTCATTTTCGAAATTCCACGCGCCGTACGTTGAGATTCAGTTCGTTTCCTTGACAACAGCTCTGCCTCTGAAAGAATTTTGTAAGACTTTTTTCTATGACTTTCTATGAATCTATTATATAAATCTGTGGCCTTATTTTCATTGGTCTTTTTTTCGTACTTCAAAATATCACTCTTAGATTCCCACGTACACCCAGAGTAAGGAACGTCCATCCATTTGATTAAAAAGTAATTCCCATTATTTGCAATGATTTGTTCTATTTTTTCCCAATTTGAATGAAATAGATCAATTTCCATATCACGACCATAATGTTCTTCGAACCACATGAGCTTGACTGTGGCATTTTCTTGAACTTCTTCGCGTGACATCCATTTACAATGCCAATGAGATTGACCGCTTAATTTCACAAAATATTTCATTTTCCCATCATTGAATCGTTTACGTTTTAAAATTGTGTCAATAGTATTTGTGTTATGATATTGAATAGTATTAGGATCAAAATTTTCTTCCTCTTGTGCAGTGGTTTTTATAGATGACGCCATGACTACAGACGATGATGATGATGCTGATGGAATGTTGCCCTGCATTTCCACATCAGATTCTACATTTGTTTTTCTAATCTTTTTCGGAGGTACTTGTTCCGAATGTTTTTTCATAGAGGGCGATGGTGCAGTAATAATGACCACATCATCATCATCAGAATCGGACAAGCAGGTACTCGGTGATGTGGTTGATTCCGCCACCAATTCCTTCCGTTTTTTCAAATCCGACAACAGTGAAGAAGAAGCCTTTTGCATTTTGATATTTTTTTTAAATCTCATTTAATTTTTTATTTTGGCGGGATGTTGTGTGAATTGTTAAACATTAAATATTATTATTAAAAGATGAAACATTTTCCTTATTCTCCGATGGATTTGTTGTTTCAACAGATTCTCTTGATTCTCCACTTTGAAATACTCCTTCCATAGTGTCTCGACTTGAAAGATTAGAACCCAAATCTCCTTGTTGCAAATTCCTTTAAGAACCTCCAAGAACTTCCTCTTGTTTACTGCTATAAACGTCTTTTTTACCAATGTTTTCAACAGTGTCCATCCTGATGATAAGTCTAGGAATACAATAGATTGTTTTCTTTTATTTGGAATGAATCATGGGTCTGATATGTGTGTGAAAGAAGAAGGCAATGGTTTCTATCCTTGATTGGTAAAGATGGGAAATTGGTATATTTGGAAGAATTCTTTCTTAAGAAAAGTGTCATTTAACAACATTGAACTGTGAAGACATTTCGACACTTGTTGAACTTTTTGTTCTAAAATATTTATTAAATATTAAATATTATTGAATTTAATAAATTACAAAAAAAATGAACAAACCAAGAAGGGCAAAGAAAGAAGCTCTTTCCTCCCACAACTATGATAAGAATCACAATCATGAAAGAATGGAGAATGTTCATTCGGAACGTTCCGATATTTCAACCAATTCCAAGGAATCATCATCGTCGTTGCCAAGATCATCCACTTCTTCAAAATTTTCTTCCATTCTGATTGCTGTATTACCGACATTATTAACTTCCGTTATGGATCTCTATATTGATATGCACTTGACGAAATATTATTTAGAAGATATTTGTTCCGATAATTCCAATCATGATCAGCCATATTCTTTGCAATGTATTTCTCCATCCCGATTTGGATTAATTCATTCCTTGATCCGATCTCTGAGTTTATTTACTGATTTTTTCAGTGCAACCATCATTGATAGCCATTTACCGTTTCAACAACCGACCTTATTAATAGTGTTGGCACCACTGTATTGGTTCAGTATTTGTGCCTTATTCATGGGTCCTTCAATGATTCACAAGTATTCAAACCATGAAAATATGACAAGGTGGCTATTTTCAACCGATGTATGGTATACACTATGTTCCTTAATGAAGAATATGATTCCGTTACGAGTGTTGTATGATTCAAGCATGATGAGAATGTGTAAAACTTGGAATGTGAAAGATCGAGCCGATTTATTTTCTTTCAAACATCAAGCCTCCTTGTATGGAGGATTGTTGGGTGGATTTTTACCACCGCTAGTGACGTGGTTAATGGGAGATGGGCCAGTCTTTCCACAGTTTTATGTATTATTTGGATCATGCATGGTTATTTTGTCCTATGTGGTCATGGGAATGTTCTTGAGAAGAAAACAAACCATGATGATGGAAAGCGGTCATGAAAATTCTCCAGAAAAAAAGAAAAATCCTTCATGGATTCCTTCGTTGAGAAAGTGTTTTGAAAATAGAGCATTTTTGGTCTTGCTCTATTTATTTACTTATGAGACATTGAGAGGATTGTTGTGGAATGGTCTTTATATTTTGTATTTAACCAAAGTGTTACATCTTGAAGGTTCAGAATTTGATTTCTATTCTGGAGTCATGCATACGGCAGGTATGGTAGGAGCCATGGTGTTCACTCCAGTGTGGCAATTGATTGCTTCAAAATATGGAAATTATAATTCTTGGCTCTTTTCATACATGTTACAAATACCCATTGGTGTGTTTGTTTATTTGGTAATTGATTATTCTGAGACAACCTCTCAAATTTATTGGTATTTGCCATTTTTCATGCTGCTGACAATTACGGGAAGGGCCAGTGGCTTCTTGTTGGATGGTATTAAGAGTACAGTATTTGATTATGACGAATTGAGAACTGGAGAGAGACGAGAAGCTTCTATTGAGGCAACTTGGTCAGTCATTCCACGATATGTGGACATGCTTTCGAGCTCTGTTTCTTTCGGAATTTTATCGTATTTCAACACGTATGGCATGACACCAGGTCAAATTGCAGCTTTGAAAAACGGAGAATATACAATTAATGGGAAACGATCAATATCTGTACAAGCAGCACTTCTCCCCTCCCTTACTTCCATTATTTGCCTATTATTAATGTACAAATTTCCCATTAATGATGAAATGCATTCGAAAATACTTGAAGAGCTCAAGAAGAAGCGAGAGAGTAACATCAACAGTCAACCTTCTGAAATTATTTTGGATCCAATTACCAACGAGAAAATTCGAAACGATCGAGAGGCACATCACTTGGATGCAAGCGCAAAACGAGAGCTCTCGCTAGCCAAAGACTACTTTTTTTCCTTTGAGCTTGAAAACATGAAGAGAAGCAGCTTCTATTTGAGACATGCTTGGCACATTGAGATTGCACTTTGCACACTGTTGTTTGCATGTTGTTTGACATTTGGATATCACTTTGTCACGTCAGTTTTGTTGGGCAGAGACATGTTTGCAACATTATTTTTGTGGTTAAGCTCCGTGACATTCACTTGGAGTGGTTTTCACTTTAGCAGAATTGGTATTGCAAGAAAAATTGTGAAATAAGTATAATGTCTTTATCAAAATTGAGGAAAATTTTAACCATTAAGTACGAGTTGTACCACATCTTCATCGGTGAGCTCATGGTTAAGACCCACACATTGCGGCACGTGTTTGGCACTTCGGACCGAAAATAAATTACAGTAGGCACGATAATAATATTATAAGTTTCTATTATCATGCAAATATAAAGAAATAATACTACTTACGACTTTCCCCATACGTAGGCGTATTTGAAACTCTTTTTCATATCCTTGTGAATACTAATACAGATATCTTCAACGGTAGCTCCTTCTCGCAACACAACAGGATCCTTAAAATCGGGTGCACATCCCTTCTTCTTTGTATAAACTCGAATCAATCCAAGATGTTCCCAAATTTGGTCAATCAAATAATCCAAGTTCAAATCCCAATTACATGAAATGACCACAGAGTTTTCTTTTCTTGCCAATCGATCTACTTCTTCCAATGTAATTGTATCGACCTTGTTGTATACATAGAGACATCTAATATATTGTCTATTTCCTTCAACTAAATCGATAAAATCATCAATTTCAGCATCATATCGGATTACCACTTCTGCATTGTGAATTTTGTGCTCTCGCAAAATATCAGCCACAAGTTTTTCTGTCAAGCCCTTTGTTTGTTTGCAAGTTGTCGTATATCTAAGCCCTCCTTGTTTGAGTGGTTTAAAATACATGTTAGGTCTTGGTTTGTTCAATCTGATGCCTACAGTTTCCAATTCTTTTTCCAATAATTGTCTATGAATTTCTCCTTTAGAAGCATCCAACATCATCAATACCAAGTCTGCTGTTCTTGCTGTAGAAATGACCTGTCTACCTCTTCCTTTACTATATATTGAAAAATAAATCAATTATTTAGGTACAGAGTAGTAGGTAATCGTTAAACCAAATGCAAATTGCATTCGGAAATTGCGTATTTAAAAAGTCAATTATTTCATAAAGGAGACAAACATCAAATAATAGATATGCAATGATTGATAAAATTATCATCATGATGATAGAAATATTATCACAAAAACATACCCTTCTGCTGCTCCTTCAATGATACCAGGTAAATCCAACAATTGAATTCTTGATCCATTATATTCAATCACACCTGGAATACAAGTTAAAGTTGTAAATTCATAAGCTCCTGTTTCCGATTCAGTACCAGTAACCTTGTTGAGGAGAGTGGATTTACCGACGGATGGGAAGCCGATTAGAGCGACACGGGCGTCACCAGCTTTTCGAGCTTCAAACCCATCACCTCCACCTCCACCTTTCTTTTCAGAGTCAATCAGTTGAGAACGTACTGGTGTTATTGTTATCAATAATGATTACACGGATTTCATCATTTGTACAAAATAATCATCATCAAATCCAAATTTGAATTATTATTAATGCAAATATCATATTATTATATTCCAAATGTAAGATCATATCTCAAACTTACGCCTAGCCAATCTAGCCTTCAAGAGACCAAGATGGTACTCGGTGGCTTTGTTCTTTTGGGTTTTATTCATTTCATTTTCAATGTCTGTAATGTTTTAATCATACCAACACCATCAATGCACACAAAATACATGGTACCATCATGATCATCAATTCCGAGGCACATGTCAAATATGAAACTGGTTCATACCGATATCCAAGTAACAACAACAGCAACACTCACCTTTTATCTTTTCAAGAAGACCCATTTTTTTTGAATCAAAAAAATAAGACAAAGGGTTAGTCAAAAAGAAACCACTTGGGGTGTTATTCTATCGTTTGGATGAAGAAGATGGAGGTTGTTGCTCTTGTGAAGAGGAAGAAGAGGAGGCTTCTTTCTGCTTTTGTTTCACGTTGTGTCGTTTCACTGCAATGTAGCGTCGATAGACCCACTTTTCAACACTCTTTCTCATCTTTTCTTCGTCTTTCTTGTATTTTGTGATCCAGGGATGATTCATGAGTTGAGATGCAGAAGGCCGTTTCTTTCGATCAAATGTCATGCATTGATAAACGAAAGATTTGAATTCTGGAGAATATTCCTTTTCGTCGATTGGGAACGGTTCACTTCCTGTTTCTTCTAAATGTTCAAACATGGACCAAATGGTGAACTCAGGTTTTAGCGTGAATGGAAATATTCCCATTCCCAATTGTGCAATAGTTAATCCAAGACTCCAAATATCGCTATCAAAGCTGTGAGATTGGCCTCGAATTCTTTCGGGCTGTGGTAAGTCATTAAATGTAGCAAAATGCAAGGATTTTCATGCTCAGCCACTACTACAGAACACGTTTCAATAAAACTTACCGACATGTAGACTAAAACGAAATCAATCAGCTATTCCAACAACGTGACAATAAACTTACTGTATGTTCCACAAAACGTGTCAAATTTTGCCGTTTTTTGAATTTCCTCCAATTTTGATTTGATCCAAAATCCGCTCATTCCAACTATTGTTCCATGAAGGAATATTAAAAAAATTCGAGGGCGTTCAAGTATAATTAAAACTCATAAAAAATCACTCTACTCCACTTACAGTCTGCAATTTTACATATTCCCTTACTATTTATCAGAATATTGGCTGGTTTTATATCTCTGTGGATGATGTAACATTCCTCATGAATATATTTCAATCCTTTCAATATTTGGTAGGTCATTTTGCTCAAAATCTTTTCTGGAACTTTCTTTGTGATTTTTATCACGTCTTCCAACGATCCACAGTCCATATATTCCAAAATCATTAAAATAGCTCCTTCTCTATAAAAAGAATCTAGTAACTTGATAATGTGAGGATTTCTATTCGTGTAGAGGGCTTTCACTTCATGAATGATCGATTTTGCGAGCTGTTTTTCAACATAAATTTTCTTCATGGCATAAACTTGTCTGTTGGGTTTCTTGTTGTCTTCTTTCACAGAGTCTTCACTATCCAATTCTCCCTGAGAGCTCGACGAAGTTAGTTGAGGAGTGACTCCAAAAGTGATCTCAGAACTTGGAGTGTGATAAACTTTAAACACAGAAGCAGAACTTCCGCTTCCCAATTTCACAAAACCAGACAATTCTTCATAGCGGATTAATCCAGTCATGGAATTTAAATTATCATCGCCCATTACGGGTGAAGTAGTTGTTTCTTGAGGTTGGCCGACGGCAGAGGTTGTACAATTTAAATTTGTTGGAAATTCAAAAATTGAAGAGTCTACGTATTGTGTTGAGAGTGGAGTCTTTTCACGATCAATACCTCTGGGTCCAATACTCAATTCATTTTCGTATTCAAATCGTTCACCGGAACTAGATTTAAAAATTTAATCATCATGAAATCCAACAAGTATTATAACATAATAATAATATAATTATAACATATTATAGCAACGAATATATATTATTAACAGATTTTAAAATGTATATTACTCTTCCTCCAAGAATGATACCTACATTCTCACCGACTCTTCATTAAAACTCTTCTTCTTACTCACAGAAGACGCAACTTCAGATGCTTGCTTGTTGATCTCATCCGGTACCGTTTGCACCACAGATGGTTTTTGAGAAGGTTGATGACTCGTCCCCAATGCATTCTCAATCCTATTGAAATCTACATGATCTGAAGGATTTCCTAACATGAGCTTTGCTTTGGAACGCATTTTTTATTGTGTGCATCGGACTTTAAGAAATGTAAGTTTTCAAAACAGTGTTCAGATGATGGTCCATCGGGTATAGTGGCGGCATCTCCTTCGGTTGAATGTTCAGGTGTGCGTTTTAGTTGTTAAGGTATTACACACTTGTTTGAGGTTTAACCTTAAAATGTTTATTGTGTCCGCTTCCCTTTGTCCTCAATACAAATCGAATGAAATTGTCATTATATACCAACAAATTGAAATTGGAATCCTAAAGTGTCCAATGATGACTACGTTAAAACACGTGCTTTCAAAATTGCTTGCATCGTCTCCACAATATGTGCACCACATGACTGAATTAGAATCGTATATCCGTAATGATTCGGCTCAACTAATCTACCTTATAGAGTTTGAAACGTGATATACTTTTTTCCATCACTTCTTCTCACAACCGATGTGCTTAATCCTGGAATGAGATTCTGTGCTGCATGATTCATGCAAAAATAGGTGAGCATGTACTCATCAGAGATGTCCAATGGAAGAGAAATTGCTGTTGTTGTTGTTGTGCTAGTATTACTTCTCTGATCACTTTTCTTACTGGCAGTAGAGGCACTCTCATTTTCTAAACTTAATCGAATGAGAATGATTGGATATTTGGAATCAATGGCTTGTCGAACTGCAAATTCTGTAAATCCAGAATAACTCACAAATAATCCAATAATTGTATTGGATGGAGTTCCCTCGTTTTTGTCGCAATTCGTTTGAGTTGTCGTGTTGACATGTTGTCCTACTCCTCGTAAATGATAATGGCTTAAAACTCCTTCAAATTCTCGTATCGATTTTACACCTGTTGTATCTTTCTCTCTCTTACATTGTCCCAAAACAGAAATGGGCTGAGATGTTAATTTACATTTGAATGGTAAATTCCAAAATCCTTTAAAATCAATACCTTGATCGTGAGAGGAGAGTGTTTGTGAGAGTTGAAAATCATAGGGTTCTTGAGATAGAAATTGAATGACATGCTGTTCAAATAATCGTCCTAATTCTTGTTGTGAAATGGAACAAACAGTAGTGTCGTTCGTTGGCTGTTGTTCCATCTCTTCGGAATTTACATTTGGAAAAATTGATAATTTCAAGTGTGATGACTTGTAACTTGATGATGATGATCTATGGTATGTTTTGAAATCATTCCGTGATGATGTTATTGGATCATACATGAAATATAATGAGGTGCATCGGGTTGTGCTACTACTGATCAACGAGTATTTGCAATTCCGAATCCAATTCGAAGAAGCACCATGACCGAGCAACCGAAGGTAATTTCGATGCATTTTTTTAAATCAATTAATGATGATGATGATGATCATGAATGGAAACAACAAAACACTGATTGGTTTCTTCAGCTTGCCAAGATGTTTTCATTGTTGTTTTTTGAATGAACACCATTCACAAATGTCAACAAATTCATTGAATTTTCATAGAAAAAAAATGCCCAAAAAAGAGAGCATTCTCAAACGACACTTTAAACAAATGCTGAAGAGTAGCAGCAGCAATAACAACAACGGATCCACGGCTGATATGGGTTCAGGACCCACTAGTCAAAAGAAAAAGAAGAGAAAACATAATAATAGTTCAGATACGGATATGAAAACATTATCGGAAGCACAAAAGGAAAAACAACTTTCCGAAGAAGAAAATTATGATGAGGAATATAATCATGATGATGAAATTGGTGATGAATATAACGAAGAGTATGAAAATGATGAAAATTATGATCAGGAATATGAAGAAAACCATGACGATGATATGCATGAAGAGAACGCTTCCTGGTCAACAACAAGCCCACAAGATAATATATCATCCAACAGCTCCAAAAACAAGGAAAATTCAAACTCGAAATCTGTAACCGAACCCACTCGAATCCAACATGCAATCCTTCCTCCAAAGCCTAAGCCTCTTCATAGAATTGATCTCGGAAAGAAATGGAGTGCTCTTAATAATCCACCCATTCATAGTGAGCTTCTTTCGATCATACATGACGATTTCAAATTTACTCACATGTCTCCAGTCCAAGAAAACACAATTCCTTTATTATTGAATAATAAGGATGTTGTGGTTCAAGCTCTTACTGGATCTGGTAAAACTCTAGCGTTTGTGATCCCAATCTTTCAATATATACTAACACGACAATTTGAAGGAAAGGTTCCGACTGAAGAGGAGATGGCCACACGAAGGAAGAATGTCTATTCAATCGTATTATTGCCAACACGTGAGCTTGCAAGACAAGTGTATGATGTAGCAAACAAATTTGCTTCAAAAACAAATTTAATTGTGAAATTATTTATTGGAGGAGAGGAACGAGAAACCTTACAACCAGCATCTGAGTTTTCACAAAGCTCTACTGATAAGATATCCAAGTTAGAAAGCTCATTTCTCGACTGTAATATTGCAATCGGGACTCCAGGAAGAATGCTCGATTACTTAAAATCCAAACTGTTAAAAGTGAAGCTTTTAGAAATTTTAATTATTGACGAAGCAGATATTATTTTGAATATGGGTTTTAGACAGCAAGTTGATGACATATTGTCACATCTTCCCAAGCAACGTAGAACAGGATTATTTAGCGCAACTCAAACCAGTGAACTTGATGACTTGGTTCGTTCAGGTCTTAGAAATCCTATGAAAGTGACAGCAGTGGAGACTCATGAGAGCAGCGGATCTGACAAGAAAAAAGCCACAGTACCCTCTCAATTAACTAATTTCTACATGTACTGTGATTACAGACAAAAGCTAAATTATTTGATACATCTCCTCAAGAATGATGATCCAATACCGAGTGGAAACAGCATTATTGTTTACTTTTTAACATGTGCCTGTGTTGATTTTTATTCGAAACTCTTTCGAGAAATTTTGGGAAAGAAGGACTTGCAATCCATTCAATTGTTTTCATTGCATGGTCAAATGGTTCAAAAGAGACGAAATGCCGAACATCAATCTTTCAAGACTGCATGTGAAGAAATTTCGAAACAACACGAAAGTAACATCTCCAATGAAACTAGTAATGAATCATCAAATACCACTACTAATGTTTCCAATAGTAAGAAGGCAGTCCTTTTTTGTACAGATGTTGCAGCAAGAGGTCTCGATTTTCCAAGTATTTCCACCATTATTCAATTTGATGCACCAACAAACCCAGATCAATTTGTACATCGTGTAGGACGAACTGCGAGAATGGGTAAGGAAGGCCAATCCATACTCTTTTTGGCACGTTTCGAAAATGATTACATTGATTATTTGGAATTTAAGAAAATTCACATGCATGAATTGGTAGCTTCTCAGAATATGATTTCACACAATTATACTAATAAGGAAACTCTCAAGAACATTATTTTGAGTGATCGAGATATTTTCGAGAAGGGTGAAGAGGCATTGAAGAGTTTTGTGAGATCCTATAAGGAACATCAATTGACATATATTTTCAAATTTGACAAGTTACGATTTGATCAATTGTTGGAGGCATATTGTGTGTTAAAACGACCTACCATTCGTGAAATTAAGCAACAAATGGAAAAGATTGTACTGCCTTTTGCCAAAGATATTGCAGATCCTGATACTATACCGTATAAAGATGTGAGAAGAGAAAAATCAAGATTAGAGCGACTCAAAAAACAAGAAGAAAACAAACAACTCTTAGAAGAACGTAAAAAGGAACAGTTGAAGGAGCAAAAAGAACAAAAGAAAAACTCTGTCAATTACTTGAAGGATAAAGTGAGAAATAGAAGTGACTTGTCTTCGAGGGAGAAGAAACAAATTTACAATAGAATTGAAAATCATGAATTCAATGAAGAGGCCATGTTGTTGAAACGACTCAAGAGAAAGGAAATTTCTGAAGAAGAGTATGAAGAATTGACTGGTGAATCAAAAATGGAAGAAGAAATTCTCAAAAAACTTTCAGAAAGAAAAAGAAAACAATTACAAACGCAATTCAAAAAGAAGTAAAATTTATTGTGGGCTTTTTATGGTGCAGGTTCTAGGTGAGTGTTGTTGAGGGAGGGTAATTTCAAATTGCTTTTTGGTGTGCTAGTGGTACAATCTTATTTACATTGATCTAGAGATAAAGATAACGACGTCGATGCCAAATTAGTACAACTTCATTCTTCACACATGATTCAATACATGCAAATTTAAATCGACTTGAAAGTCCTTCAATTCTCGCATTAACATTTCACATTGTTGTTGACATTCGTGTGATGACAATACTTTCATTCCTGTAATGTCTTTCAACTCCATCGATTGTTGAGCAAAAAATCCAGGCACTGACATCAAGGTTCCATTCTCGTCATCCATGATGAAATCTCCATAGAGCCCATACCATTGTTGGAAGTGATCAATCTTTTGTTGTCGATAAAACGGCATGTTCATTAAATCTGAAGAAGGAAGAGAAAATCGTCGTTGTGATGTGGAATTTGTAGAGTCGTCCAAGTCCTCATTCATTTCCTCGCCCGTATAAGAAGATCCTTGTGGATCATGATGATGATTCGTGGTCATGGAATAATCGTCATCTTCCTGCATAAGGACATCATGATCGTGTTGTGATGGTAGTTGTGTCATGAGCATATCTTCAGGTTGATGATGATTGGGTGAAGGATTTGCATGATTGTGGTGAATGATTCGTGTCGTTTTTAGTTTTTGCAAAGGTGCCGGAGAAGAAATGGCTCGATCACGGCCTGTGGTCGTTATTGTTGTTGATGATGATGATTGAAACAAATGTGAGGAGTGCTGGTGTTGATGATGTTGCTTTTGAATGGATGAACATGCTGGTGGTTGCATCTTGTGACAAGTGACAGCGCGTAGGATTTGGCGATAGGTCCAAACGATTCGTTTTTTTTTAAACCTGTGAAGTGAGATTTCATGGACATGACCGTTACAGAGAGAATTTGGTCATCTAGTTCATGTAAGAGACTAAGTAAAAATTATCCAGTCGCCCAAATGCTTGCATTGTTCACACGCAATTGTTGTCTCTAAAATTATGTTTCACACACACTGACTGAGGAAATAATAGAAATTCGCTTCACAGAATAAAATCAAGTCATTGAAGGTACTATTGATCATGATGGAGATAGGTATCTCTTAATTCCCGCTCTGGCTGTAATGTGAGACTACAGTTCTAATGAATAAGGGTAATTTGTATTTCCAAAAGAGCTATATCTGAACACATTTCAAATAGAGCTGTTCAAGATTAGGTTCTTGTCACATGCCATCAAAAAGTTGTGCATGGTCTTTTTCTTCCTCGCATACGAGATCTTGTTATTTTGTTATTGGTGAGAGCAATTGAGGACATAATTAGTGTTTTTGCTTGACATTTCCTTTTCCTTGGGATCCTTCTTGTTTGACTTCGGCAATCTTTTTAAACAAAATTTTAGGATCTGTTTGAATTTTGAGTGATGTTCCTTTTTGACAAAAGCCAATGTCTTGCAAGAGAGGCTGTCCCTGATTGAAGAATGACAAAATGTATGTCATCTTTTCAGGTAACACTGGATAGAGAGCAATGGCACAATTTCTAAGAGTTTCACCAACCAAAAACATTAGCTCTTCCAAATATAACGCATTCTTTTCAGGATTTTTCACTAGTTCCCAAGGTTTCACCTCATTAAATAATTGATTACATCTTTTAAGAAGCTTTGTTGCTGCAGCGTTAGCAAATCTCACTTCTAATTTATCTTCGTATGCAGATCTTACTTGCTCTCTCAGATCATTCAACTGTTCAATCAACTCTGTGACAATATCGTTTGGATTCACTTCACCCACGTGTTCAAATCTCAAATTTCTGTATGGAATTTCTCTGACTTCTGAATGGAATTTTTTGTTAAAGGTTCGAGCCAATAAATTACCGAAAATGTCAGCCAATTCGTTGACCTTCATGGGGAATCTGATCATGCTGAAGCTACTGTCCGTACTCAACAATGCTTCGCTTAATAAATAATATCTCAATAAATCAGGTTGCACACCAGTTTCGGCAAGTAAATCGTATGGAGAAATGACATTTTTCAATGATTTGGACATTTTCACGCCATTCACAAGCCAATACGAATGTACGAGAAGTGTTTCAGGTAGATCCTTTCCGAGAGCCATCAAAAAGGCAGGCCAATAAATTCCATGGAATTTCAGGATGTCCTTACCAATGACTTGAATTGTTGGAGGCCAATTCAATGATTCATTTCCCATGGTACATCCAACAGTCAAGTAATTGGTCAAAGCATCAAGCCAAACATAAATTGTGTGTTCAGGATCCCCTGGAACAGGAATTCCCCACTGTACTCGGTCCCGTGTTCTTGAAATGCTCAAATCGAGAAGTTCTGGAGGTCGTTCCTTTTCTTTTTTGATCATTTCCATCAATTCATTATATCGTTCTTTTGGTTTGATAACATTTGGGTTTTCTTGCAACCACTTCTCAACTCGATCAATATATTTGCTTAATCTGAATTTATAATTTTTCTCGGTCACATATTCACAACGATTTCCAGATGATCTGTTAATGGTCACCCATTCTTCTTGACCAGATTCATGCGTAATTTTGTATTGTTCAGTCTCTGTTGTAAAGGCCTCATCTGTTGTGCAATACCATCCTTGATATTCTCCAATATAAATATCGCCCTGGTTTTGCAAATGTTTCCAAACATTGATAACTGTCTCTCTATGCTCTGTAGTTGCACTTGTCCTCAAATAGTACGTGTGATTGATTTGAAAATCATTCATCAGCTTTTGAAAATGATTTGAAATTTGTTCACAAAACTCGACACAAGCCTTCTCAATTAAAGCTGAGTCTTCCAATGTGCTTGGAATAGGTGTACCTGCAGGACTTGATTTTTTCAAATTTTCTAAATAGGCAGCAATAGCCGTTCTCTGAACTTTACTTCCATGTTCATCGGTACCTGTAGAGAAAATCATGTCCTTCCTATTTTTCAATATTTTGTGATAGAGAAAGAGAGTATCGGAAAGAATTGAAGTAAAGAAGTGTCCAATATGAGGAGGTCCATTGACATAATAAATAGGAGTGGTTATTAATCCACCAGTAGTTTTGTTTGTAGAGTCATTCATATCGGACTGAGAGGTTTGATAATACAATCTTTGATGTTTCCATTCGGGAGAAATTACAGTGCATAAATTGGAATTGCTACTATTCATACTTCTCCCAAAATATCCTAATGAAGCCAATGATGAAATCATTCGATGATTCCCCGCCCGTGATGATAAGCCAAATACTCGTTGTTGCAATTTCAACATTTTTTGTTTTGGTTAAAAAAATGAAACACTCAATCAATAATAATACAATTAAATAGAGAAATATTAAATAGTAAAATCAGAACAATGATGCCATATTTTGAGTTTCATTGTTAATAATTCAAAGCCTGTCTAGTAAATTATATTGAATTTTTGGATGAAATTTACATATTTCCGAAGTGGACATGTTGTTGAATAGATACTTTTTCGGAACGAGTCCTTTTGTGGACAAAATCAAAGTATTGATCCAAATTTGAGACAAATGTCAATGTGTGGATGTCTCCAAAATCACATTCAGAAGAAAAAAATGTCTTCATCATATGTTTATATACTAGATCGATCTGGTGCCGATGGTCAACCTGGTGCCAATGGAACCAATGGTGTTGCTGGTCAAGGAGGAAGAGTAAGTTATTTCATTTGTATCTTGAACAATGTTTTTCAAAATTTGATGTTTGTTGTGATGTGTTGAACGAATTCTTAGAATGGACTTAATGGGATGGTATGTATTCATTATAAATTCTTTGAAGTATTCAAATGATTACGCAACAAAATGGTTGTTCATTCAGAATGGAGGAAGGGAAGAATCTCGAATGGATGGGTTTAATGGTCAAGATGGTCAACCAGGAAGTAAGTACATATGAACAGAAATGGTGTCTTTAATTATATGATCATACAATTCTATTGTCACACATCAATATTAGCGAATGGTTTGAGAGGAACTGATGCAAGCAATGGTCAATCTGGACAAAACGGAGGAAATGGAAATTTAATTAAGGTCAAGCTGATTGGAGATTCGAATCAAAAAATTCTCGTTCAGGTCAATAATGCTCAAGATCGATACATTTCCATTCCGGATAATACTCAAAAAGCAATTTTATTAAAAGGTAACGGCGGAAATGGAGGTCAGGGAGGAAATGGTGGTAATGGTGGGCCAGGTGGAGCGTACGTAGTTGCTTTCTTTTCATCTTTACCGAGTGACACTTTTTTGATTGATGATTCTATTGAAATTGAATCAAAATTTTCAACAAATTTAGAGGAGGTTCAGGTGGCTGGGGAGGAGTTGGAGGTCCTGGACAAAATGCTTCACAATGGAGTATAGGAGGTAATGGTGGTGCAGGTGGTAATGGTGGAAAAGGAGGGGATGGAGGTAAGTTTCATAATCACTACGTCTAATTTTACCTTGTTCAAAAAAGGTAATGGAGGAGCTGCTGGTAAGTTGTTCACATGAATCCAAGAAGTGGAAAGTATCAATATATTCTTGACAATGAATAACAACATTGTTAAGGCCATGGAGGAATGGGTGGTGACGGTGGTGATGGATCCAATATTGAAGTAGAAACCTATAACCCTGGATTGTTAAAATTTGTCACGTGGGAATGTCGGGCTGGTATGTCAGGAAAAGGAGGAAGTGGAGGTCAAGGCGGTCAGGGAGGAGCTGCTGGTAATGGAGGGCCTGGAGGAGCGTAAGTATACATTCGTTACGATTATATGTGAACACTATCATTGAATAATGTTTGAAATGGTAATGTTATATAACATTATGGATTGAAATTGGAATGGGTGACACAGAGGCGGACCTGGAGGAGCTCAATTCATGTTCTCTGATCAAAATGGTATGCTGTATTGCAATCAAGGAGGTTTTCCTGGAAGAATGGGAACGCATGGAGAGCCTGGAGCACCTGGTTTGAAAGGTGTCGAGTAAGTATACTAAATGATGTGAGCACCATGTGTAATTAATTGTTAAAAAAACAGTGGAACAGACGCGAGAGATGGTCGGGACGGAAGACCAGGTCAAGTCATTTTCAAAGTTCTCGATCAATATGGTAATGCCATGGAAGTATCAGATAACCTGTATGACCTACAGGTCGATTCATTCGCCATCATACCTTGTGGAGTGCACACGGAAAATTTCCAAGTGAATGAAGATGATGGAATTATAGAACCTGGAGAAACCATATACATTTGTGACATTCAGGTACAAAATGTAGGTGGAATGACCCTTCCAGAAAACACACTTCTTAGTGCTCCAACGACCATGCCTTCGAGTCGAGAAAATTTTCATCCTTTTATTGCAGCTAAAGGTGTCGAAAATTTCACAACTCTTCCCACCATTCCAAAAGGTGGAATTTTTAAAGTACCCTCCTATTTGAAGGGTTATGTTGCAGCAGCGACACCTCCTGAATTTGTCAAGTACAATTATTTGATTGGATATGAAAATCCGCCACCTCCTCGTTTCAAGAAGGAAATGAAAATTGAGACCCTTGGAAGCATTTTCAATTCGCCTTTTGAGAAATCAAAATGTTCAAGCGTATTTACAGTACAGTACCCCATTCAGATTGAGACGATTGTAGGTCCTTCACATCTTGGGAAAAATAATGAAAGAGCCACTGTGACCATTCGATTTTCAAACATTTCTAATTTGGATTATGGTGCCTCTGTGGATGCACACAAAAAACTCTCCCTGTCCATTTATTTTGATAACAAGTTCATGATTTTGAATGAGAGGAACGTTTTAGAACGAGACAATATGCAATACGTTCATGAACACATTGACCTAATTCAAGCCAAAAGAAGTTACGAAAGACATTTTCAATTGTCAATTCAACCATCTGCAGAATATTTTGAAAGACTTCGAATTTCGGCTCATCTCTTGTTGAGAGACCAAACCATTGAAATTTCTGAACATTTAATTCGTGTCTCTCCATCCTATGAGCCATGTACCAATACTGTTGAAAATCCTCATGATCTCTTGTTCATCACAGATAGACACTTGTCAAGAATCGAATATTTGCGATACATGAGACTCTTCGATGGTTGTGGTCTTCGTGTCAATTATTGGGATATTGAGCGATATAATGGTATTTCTATCGATGCCAATACTGGAACAAGACATGAATTTTCATGGACAGACAAGAGCATGTATCAAGGAAAAACTATAATATTTCCACTTTCAGATGAGAGAAGTATCCACTTGTTGAATCCCAAAGATATATTTTCAGTGTTGAGAAATTTGGACGAAAACAACACTAAAAATACGAGAGGTGGAATTTTGTTACTTGGAAATTTATCGTGTGAACAGATTAGAGACTTTTTATTCGCATCCAGCGATTCTATTCATTTGCCAGAACAGTTATTGAGTGAAAGATTTTTCACACACAAGGCCACGTTTGAAGATTTACAAAAAATTTGCAACAAATTCATGCATGAATTAGAAGAGGAGCATCCATCCAAGATTTACAAATTGCATGACGTCAAGTTTGAACCTACAAAAACTGGAATTGGAAAATATTTACTGGGATCAGCGCAGTACTCTGTTCTTCCTAGCAGTGCTTGTGACAATTTATACAGGTAAGCAATTTGATGTCCTGAACACATACAACAAGATTCATTCCATTCAACCTTTATTATTGTGTATGTACATGTGATTACAACAACAGCATTCAAGTCGAAGATAATTCCTCTGCTCATTTTTTAAGTAAGGACAATATCTCTTGGACTGAAACTAATTTTCCAATGCAGTCGCATGTTGCAACAACCTTAATAGGAATGATATTCTCGTTATCACCCCAGAGGAGAGTGGAGTTATTGGCTACTCCAAACTTGAAATGCAAGAGTGAGCAATGGAATATTGTCAAAGAGTATCAAGAACGCGAAAAGAAACTGTTAGTTACAAAGCGTCAAGAATATTCCATCTATGACATTATTTCCTTGTCTTTCTATTATGACATGCATCATGATGTCACCTATAAGGACATTGCAACAAGTATTATTGCTCCTTTGATTATGGAGACATTTGAAAAGCGTTTGGGAGCATTCAAAGGAATGACACCATTTGAAAAAGTCAAAGTGTCACAATGCATGTGGTATGCGTTCAAACATATCAAACATGATTTCAAATGGACAGCTATTTTCTCTTCCATGAAACATAAGAAGAAACAATTCAAAGTATTGTGCTCTCAATTAGAGGATTTACTATTCAAAAACATTTTAACGGAGAAGCAAGACAAAAAGATTGTAAAAAAGCATGTGAAAATGCTTCTTTGCTCGACTCAGTATTTAATCAAGCTCAACAATTTGAAAAGACCGCTACTCACTCCAAGACAAGAAGACATGGAAGAAGATCACAAGGAGGCAAAATCTAAAAATGGTTTTGCTCCCACTAGCGACATGCACTCATCTTTTGTGGCACAAAACAACTCTGGTGGCCATCATTTGGTTTAGTTCTATTGACTGATCCACCATCAATTAAAAAATGTTCTCACTCAACACCCCATAAATTCACAGTCTTGTCGAAAGAACCAGTGGCCAGGAAAGGCCGGTTGTTACTCCATTGCAAACTAGTCACTGGCTGCTTGTGAGCATTGTTCGACTGTAACGCAACATTGATGAAAGATCCGGTTTCGTATCAATGACGGAAGGGAAAGTATCATCACGGCATTTGAGAACAGCAAGATACTTGTTGGTGCAATCAAAAGATAATAATTCACCCGGTAAATTGTCAGCATTGGTGTAACAGAAGCTTGAAGTGATGTTTGAATATTGCCAAATCCTGATGGAATCTCTAGTGCATGTTGCTAGCATGGTACCGTCTTTGGACCATTCTGCATTGATAATTGGCCTGCTATGGGCGAGTATTTTCACTGGTTTAAATGTTCTTCTATCTGAAATGATGAGTCTTCTGTCCATAGACCAAGTACAGAAAATATTGTCATATGTTTCATTCCACCTCACTCCTAATATTGCATCTTCGTGAGCACTGAACTTGTGAACAACTCTCTCACTTTGAGCATCATAGAAAATAACCTTGCAGTCTCCACTTGCACTTGCAAGGAGGCTTTCTTTTGGATGAAATTGCAAATCTGAAATGTAGGCCTTGTGCGACTCTATTTGTGTTTGAAGTTTTGGCTTACCACTCTCTACATTCCAGAGATAGACCAAACTATCCAACCCGCCTGCTGCAAGTAGTGTACTCTTTGGATGCCATGACACTTTTGTAATTGGTAGAGGATGACCAACAAGTTGTTTGGGTTTCTTCTTTGGATTTTTTGTTTCCATCAATCCAATATGTCTCTGCATGTCAAACACCAACATTTCACCATTTGGCGAATATTCCAAAAAGTTACAAGTAGATACTGTAGTCATACTCTTTTGCTCATTGAATATTATATTGGATTCATGATCGATGGTAATAGCGAACGCTTTCGCTTGAAAACTGCTACTTGCTGCAACTTTGTCTCCTTGGCCAAAGATGATTTTCATCACTGGAGTCTTCATGGATAGTGCTGACTGAATCATTACCACCTGTTTTTTGGAAGATGGTGACGACTGTTCTTCAGAAGTTGCCTTATCTCCTGCATTAGCAAAGTTTGATGGTACTGAGGGGTTATTTCCCTTTCTTTCGTCATTGACCTCTTCCTCCTCAACCTTATCATTTGTTTTTGGAATATTTTCAGAATTTTGAATAATACGAGAGTTGATTGGTCGCGGTCTTTCAGGTAATTGGTTCAATTGGGGATACAGTTTGCGGAGAAGATTACTCCTCTTAATGATATCTTGAACTGAAGCACTTTTGGTTCGAGCCTTAAACACATGAGCTTGGATCATTACGTCTTCCTGATCATTTCTAGGTTCAAACATGGACATTTTAATGCCCACACCTCTGTCTTCATTGTCAAACATGAGATCAGGAATCAATGGTGGCTTAATTTTGCTGAAATTTTTCCATTCGATACCTTTGAAAAATGGATGTTTCCTTAATGCAACTCCTCCGAGTCTTCTCTCTGGATCTGTACAAAGAAGACCATCAATCAGGTCCTTAGCATCGGAAGGTAGAGTTTTGGGCCAAAATATGTCACGATCTACAATCTTTTGACAAGTTACGGCCATGCTCGAGCTGTAAAAAGGGCTCTTACCACAAAAGAGTTCATAAATAATACAGCCATAAGCCCACCAGTCCACCATGATACCATACTCATTATTTGTGACCACCTCTGGACTATTTTGTGATGAATACACATGAAACAATTGAAGTGTGTGGAAATTAACAACAAGCCTCCAAACACATGCTACTTACGCCAAGTACTCTGCAGTTCCACTGCATTCATACAAGATTTTGGTTGCATAGTATAGTATATTCATGTATTTCATTTTACGGTCATCAAATTTGAAATTCAACAACTTACCAAAATGTATTGGGTCCTGGTTTTTCTATTTTCTTTGCAATTCCAAAATCAACAAGTTTCAAATTTCCATCGCCATTGAGCATGAGATTCTCTGGTTTCAAATCACGATGACAAATATGCAAAGAGTGTATATAAATGAGTGCCTCCAACAGTTGTGCCATATAGAACTGTACTACCTTTTTGAGCTCTTTCGTTGATAGATTGCTCTTAATGATACACTCGAACAACTCCCCTCCAGTGATCAGCTCCAATATAAAGTACAGTCTCTTCTCATCGGTAAATGTATAGCACAACTTGGATATATTCGAATGATCCATCTCCAACAAGATTTCCTTCTCAGATTTTACATATTTTGTTTGTTTTGCCTTGATGAGCTTCTCTTTCTTGAGGATTTTTGCCGCAAACTGAACCTCCGTTGCCTTATGGACACACAACCGAACTTGTCCGAAGGCTCCTTCTCCCAATATTTGCCCAAATTCAAAATCATCTGCCTCGGCATACCGATGTGGATCATATTTAGATCATAACAACAACACCAACCATATATTAAGGAAGAATATTAAGGTCAACAGGTTATTCATAGAAGGAGGAGACTTACCTTTCGTTACCGTGGCTGGAATGCGAATGGTGTCCATATTCATTTTTTTATGCTCTTTGTTTTTTATTATTGTATGAACAACGATGATAATATTACTCTTAATGATAATAGTCCAATCGGTGTCATATGATGGACTCTTCAACCTAATCTGGTCATCTACCATCTCTTCCCAAGTCATCAGAAAAAATGTTTCGAAAACATCATTCAACAACAATAGACGATGATGATGACGAGACGATGCAACATACAACTTCCTCAACTCGTAAAGAAGAGAACTCCGAATCGGAAAACAATTATGTTTCAGAAACACCATCCAAACAAGAATCTTCAAGTCGTACATACATTTCATCACCTCTAGAGGCTACAACAAGTCCACTCACTCCCAATAGTCAAAACAGAATCCTTACGAAACTACCCTCTTCTCTCAAGTTAGATACACAAAAGTTAATACGAAAATCGTCATTGAGTTCATTCTCGGCTTCACTTTCAAAAAGTTTAAGATCGTCCATGCACCCCCATAATGTATCCAACGATTATTCCAAGCAAGCACAGAGTAGTAACCAGACAATGAAAAGCAGCACGTGGTCCAATTTTCATTCACCACAAACCATTATTATTATTGAAATTGGAAGAAAATATTTCAAGTGTGGGTAGCCAGGGAATACGCACCGAGGGTCATCTCAGTGGTCCCGTCTGATTTGAGCGAAATGCTTTGTACTTGTAAAAACCAAAAATTTAATTCGTTCCATATGAAAGAGTCGTTTGAACAATTCATTCAGAAAGATCTGGGAATTAATGAAAATCAAAATGAGAAGAATTATTTATTACCTCTGAATAACGTGGACATGTCCATGATTATTAAGGATGAAATTTTTGACGAATACATGGCGATATTTGGTGAGAACGGGCGATTCCAAGAAAATCTTGATGACTCTGAATTCGAGAAGAAATTGAGTACTTTATTTTCCAATTTTATGAACAAGTTGTTCATTGATGAAATGAAACTTGTGATGGATAGCATTGAAGGAATTATAATTTTAGAGAATACTCACCAACTGCATCAAAACTTGTTGAGAAAACTTATTGAGAATGATATTTGTACCGTACGCAAATTTCCACACTTAAAGAGCTTGAAATTTATGAACTCACAAGGTTGTGCCATTCTTCCAAGTTTTTGTTCCATGAATACTTTCAACATTGAAAAAACAACAACCCAAGCACGCACTTACGATGCCAAACTCTTTGTCAAAAATTCTTGATAGAGAGGTTTCCAATAATGCAAAGAACGTTAGGTAATGCAACTATGGGATTACACGCTCTTCCTCTAGCACAGCATGGCAATTTAGAAAAAGTTCAACATGATTTAGGGGTCACTGGATTGGTCATTGATTGTGGTTACAGCGAATGTCGAGTGGTTCCTGTTCTCTTTGGAAGCATTCTTTCAATGTGTGTTGAAATTCTACCTATTGGATCCAAGCATGTGTTGCGAAATTTGAAGGAATTGCTATGTGGCGACGTGGCGTCAAGCACAAACATCGACAACCACCAAGAACATTTAATGCTTGAGGATGTTTTATCACGATTGTGTTTTTGTAGTTACCCTTCCGCAGATAATAACGATAGCAACTCTCAGACAATCATATACAAGTATTCGGTAGGGTCAGTAGAAATTCCTGTTACGCACAAGACTCGCACTAAGAGTTGTGAGTTCATCTTTGAGCCACTAACAAGAGCCATCATTGAATGTGTAAAACGGCTCGAAACTGAGGCAAGAGGACAAGTACTACGAAATGTAATCGTTTGTGGGGGCCTTTCTGAATTGAATGGATTCAAACAACGGCTTATTGCTGTTTTAAACAAACATGTATTAGCGCAAGATTTTGGTAGCAACAAAAATTGGCTTAAACACATGGGAATTAACACGTTCAATCCCACTCGATCCTCACTGCTGAATTGGTATGGAGCTAGTATTGCCTTTTCACATTACAGTTACGCTCAGAGCAAGACAATTAAGCATGACCAGTGATGAAATTGTTCATACACAAAAAATGTGAGAATCCTCTTTAACAAGAAGTCATGCGAACGAAGACCAAAATTCTGGTTGACCTGTCACATGTTAAAAAAAATTATCATCACACTCAACAGAGCTGTCATCCGTTCATCCATGACATCATCACAACAAAAGACACTTGGGCTTTTAATGTAAAATACAAGAATCACTTCACACAACTAAGAAATAGTTGTTATACTTAACACTTCGAGCCATGTGTATTCATATTGAATTATTTTGAATTATATTGAATTACTTTGAATTATTCTTCATTCAATGAAATTTATTCAAGAGTCCTTTTTTGGATTGTGAGCGGTTGGCATGTGTACACAACCTGGCTGGGAAGTCTTCTTTTGCGACTGCACAGGATAAGTGTTCAAGCACATGTGAATTTCAACGCTCACGAGTTGATACGCAAATTCAAAGCAAAAAAAAAACCATCATTGCTCACCGAGATCGAGCTCAGCCACGACAACTCAATCACTTGGACCTGATTCGAATATCTCAGACAACTTTAAGCCAGCTGATATTATCTTTCATCATGAACACACAAAATCAACAACACGACAACAACAACCCTAACACGATGACCAACAACAATGAGCATCCACTGCTCTGTGCAGACTACATTTACCATATACTCAAATATTTGGATGCCAAATTTATTTTTGGAGTTTGTGTGAGAGTGGCAAAGGAATGGAATGAAGTTGCTACACTCTGCTCTCAACTCCCTTTGAGCCTCTCTGAGCGCATTACACCCGATAACCTCCAGTCGGTGGTTCAATCCATAATACCAAACAATAATTTGCGCCACCTAAAGAGATTACATTTGGAGGGTGAACAGAACGTTCGGATTACCCTTGAACAGTTGACAGCCATCACCAACAGTTATCAACATTTAACTTCACTAACCATAACTAAAAGTTACATCATCCCCCAAGGTGCCAAATGTATAGCCAACTGTAAAGCCTTGAACAATTTAACTTATTTAGATTTGAGTGACAACGTGATTGCAGATGACGGCGTAGAATTTATTGTCTCAAGCCCTCATTTGAAGCTTTTACGTCATCTAAATGTGAGCAGCAACTACATTAAGTCAAAGGGTTGTCAAGCGATTACCGAAAGTGAACATTTGAAAAGCTTGGAACATTTAGATCTAGCTAATAACTTTGATAGTGAGCAGGGAGATGAATGCGCAAAAATCTTAGCCTCAGTTAAAACCTCGTGTAATTTAAAAAGACTCAATTTGAATAGCAATAGCATTGGAGCCAAAGGTACCGAGCACATTGCCAAGAGTGACAAGTTGACCATTAATTTAACTAATTTAGATTTGAGTGAGAATTTGATTGAAGACAAGGGAGTCCAACACCTTGCTGGGAGCAACAATTTGAAAGGTTTACGTTCACTCAATGTGAGAGGCAACTGTATTTCCAATGTAGGCGTAGAATCGATTGCTAAGAGTGTTCATCTCAACGAATTGGTCGATTTAAATTTGAGTGACAATTCAGACATTGACAATGATGCAGCTATCTGTATATTATACAGTCGAACACTGTGTCGCTTAAGGCAACTGAACTTCACTAGTACTGGAGTGACTGAGGAAATGCAGGTTATATTCTTCAAGATTTTGCAAACAAGAAAAAGAACTCGCGTAAAGATTGAATAAATATTATTTGAAGTCTTTACAAATGATGGTGGCATGACAACTTGCTGTTGTTTTGATAATCCAAATTGTTGTTGAAAATGCTGTCGAAAATTGATTCCATTATTTAAAAAAAATGACGCAATTAGGGAAGAGGCTCTTTTATTTGTTCCGACACAAGTATGAAGTCTATCCTTCTCTCTTTGAAGATCACAGCATCCGAAGACTCCGGAATAGACATGATTACAGATTTTTGTTTGAAGGATTTATTCCGAAAACGTTATTGTGTTGGAGCGTTGCCTTCTTGTTAGCAATTTGGGAGCGACACAAGATTGAGAAAAAGTGGGACACTACTCCTGGAGCTTTTCCCGATATTAAATATCCTGAACTTTATCGCCCCTATGTGAGAGACGAAACAAAACATTTATATTTACCAACCGCTTTGAATGAAGAAGATTTGATCGTTTCCCTTGAAAAAAATCGAGAAAAATTGAAAACTGTTGCCCAAGTGCAACAAGAGAAAACAACCATGTTGGAAAAGTTTAAGAGGACCAGAGAATTTGGTAAACAGCCGGAGGAGTAGTGTGTTCATGTGGTTTGTGAGTGTCTTAGACAACATGTTCAAAATGATCCACACGATTGACAATGATTTAATTCACAAAGATAGTTTTTTAAAACAAAGGCCTCAAAGTAATCACGTTAAGTCGAATGGAGACGATTCAATTGCCTGAAAATTTTGCTAAATAATTGCACAACAATTTTAATGTGAATTTCTTTCCAATTCTTCAATTTTTCTTCGTAAAACAGCTTCCTGTTCCTTCAATTTGATAATGACATTTTGTTGATGTTGAATGGTCTGAATGAGTTCATTCTCTGTCAACTTTTGTTGAGCGAAAATGGGATGCTGCAACAAATGATAGGCAGATGGTCTTCTTAATGGATCAATATGCATCAGAGAAAGTAGAACCTCTTTGAACATGTTCGAATAATGCATGGGTAAATCTTTTAAATTACCATTTCTAATGTCATGCCATTCAGCACCGTTTGTAGGCAAAGATCTTCCAATTGCACATTCGTAGATTGTGGCACCAAGAGAAAAAATGTCAGCCTTAGTCAAATCAATATTTCCATTTTCGTTGCCCAATAATTCTTTTGCAAGATATCGAGAATCACCTTCCATAACATCCTGTAGAGTCTCCAATGAACTGGCTGCAAGACCCAAATCTCCAATTTTGTATCTGGGCTTGTCCTCCTCAGCACAAGTAATATAAATATTGTCAGGTTTTAAATCGAGATGAACAATATTTTGTCCGTGCATTTGCATGAGCCCAGAAGCAAGTTGTCTCATCAGGTCAATCAAAGCCATCTCCGTAAATACATGCTTGCCAACTCTTCTGGCTAAAGAACCACCTTCACAAAGCTCAGTTTGTAAAAATAAACTAAATTGAGGAAGCTTTCCTTCAATCCAGCAACTATAATATCTTACAAGGTATGGATTATCTACAAGGGTTGCAAGAGCTTGAACTTCTTTGAGAATCTTGTCCTTATCTTTGGAGCCTTTGATTTTTCTCTTCATCGTTTTGATCGCATAACACATGCCATCGAATCTATTCTTGGCTTTCGTGACCTTACCAAAACATCCATCTCCTAGAACTCCTAGCTCTTCAAACTCTTCCAAATATCTAGAAAAGTACACTTCGAAAATTGGATCCACTTCACTCACATTATGTGAAGCATCTGTAACTTCTGATTGTCTCTTCTTTTTAGAAGATTTTTTCACAGTCGAGGTGAGCCTGCCTTGAAGGTACGAAGAAGTATTCTTGTCATCATTGATGGAAAAGAAGTCATCTTCAGGTTTTGTCTTTTTAAAATTACGCTCAGGAGAAAATGGATTTTCATGCACTTCTTCAGTGACGTTTAAGCGACCTGGAACCAATTGAATATTTAACATGGAAGGAGAGGTGGTTTGAGAGAGAGTAGCTCTAGGTGGTGTGGAAGGTTGCATTTGACTTTGCATATCATTGAAATCTTCCAGAGATGCATTGTCGTCATCACTGAGCATTCCATCTGAGCCATCCACAATAGCATCATAATCAAAATCGGATACTGATTTACAAGAGTGGAAAATATCTTGAGGTGTGGTGGAGGATTTTCCTAGGATTGGAGATGTGGCAGGATTGTGTTTGGTCAGACGTTTGGACTCGGCTAGACTTTGAAAAAACGAGCTTGTTGCTTGTTGAGAAGATGAATTGCTGAAAAGAATGGGTGAAGGAGGTGTTGTCTCAATAATTGGAGTTTCCAAAGCTTGATTGGAAACAGTAGGACTTGCAAACCAATTCATTGAGGCCATTGGTGAAGCTGTTGAGGCAGCAGTACTCTGTTTGATGGTACTTGGAGGTGGACGCGTGGCAATATGGTTGTTTGTTGGAGAAGTAAAATCGTCACCAGACAAATCCATATAACTTGTAACTTTTTTACAGGGAGGAGGAACTACTTTAGAATCAGGAGAAGAAGAGGAGCTTGCAGATGGAGGCATCATGGTTTGTTCATCAAAATTGAAATTGGGAGTGCCACCCAACAGTGAATGCTTTCCACTACTATGATGATGACTACTCACACTGCTGTAACCACTGGTTGAACTTTTTGTGCTGACAGGACTTTGAATGGCATCAAATGGTCTCTTCTTACTGAGACCAGGAGGTGTCAATTCATCATCATCCTCATCATTCTTTTGAGCCAATAGTACAAAATTTGGTTTTGCATTGCTTCTATTGGCAAAGGATGATGAGTGTTGTTGTTGTTTGTGTGAAGAATTCTTATTGACCATGGGACTTATGAGAGAAAAGTCACGGTGAGCTTTTGAATGCTGTTGAGGTTTGATAGAAGGCGGTGTTGGTTCCATAAACAACATGTTTGGATTGGCAGTAGTAGTACTTGTAGTGGTGAAGGTAGAAACAGGAGCAAGTGGAGATCTATTGTTGTTGATATGGAAAGGAGTCTTGGATGGTGTGGGTTGAATCTTAAACCGATTGGGTCTGCTTGATGATTGATGAGCCGAATGATGCTTGAAGTGAACAGGTGAGCGAATGACAAACTTGTTTTCATCACCGCTATCACTCTCCTCACTCTCTGAATCAAACAAGGGTGTTTTAAGGCTTGAAGATTTTGTGTTGGTATTGGGTTTGAGAGTGGTTGTAGCTGGAGTTTTGGTTGGAGTAGGAGGACAGAGTTTTGGAGTTGAGAAGATGTTATCATTGAAATGAAAGCCAGGGCCTTCTGTGGGAGTACATGGTGATTGCTCACCACCATTACCAGTATCACCAAATGCTCGTTGATGATCTCCAAAACCGACAGCAGTTGGTGGCTCTTGAGAATCGGAGGTATCCAAGTTCTCAAAGAGTTGTTTCATAATGGGTTGAACAAATACTCGTTTAGCCTTCATCATGTGTGCGTATTTTGGGAAGGATGGAGCCAGTGATGATGATGATATGGGTTCTTCTTGATGAGCTAGCTTTTAATGACGATGTGTGAGATGAATTCTGGGTTGAAACCTCTGATATAATTTCCAAGGTATCGGGTGGTAAGGGCTTTCACTATGATGTGATGATTAATAGTTCCACAAGGCACTCGCAATGTGGAAATGTGTCCTCTTCTCTGCTGAATCAACAACGCAACGGTAATAACAGCCGGTTGATCAGGCAATTTTTTTGGATGTGAAAAATAAAAAATTTGGCGGGCTTGACCAGCGGCAAATGTGGCCGTTAAATTTAAATTTTATTAAATATTTATTACAATTACTTTTCAACGAGCATTGTACTATTATATACGATTATTACACCACTTAAAGGTGGTATTTTCTTAATTTTGTAACTATTTAACAAGAAATTGTTTACCATCGTTGCTTGAATCATTTGACATCGTTGAATAGCAAACAAGTAGAGGAAAAGGGTTACGAAGGTGTTTAGTATATTCCCAAAAGCGAACGTTTGATGAATTTGATTTCTTTCCGTTTGTGTTGTTTCATTGCCCAAAGTTCGCTTCCCAATGCGGGACCTATGTTCAAACTCTTTTAGAAGACGTCCTTTCAGGCGAAAAAGAATAAACTTTTTTTGTGTCATTAAGGATGTAACACTCCATTAGGATTTGTTCATAGTCACAGCAAATCCTTAAATTGAAAATCTCACAACTTCAAAAACAACTTGAAAAAAAAAATGGCCAATCAGCGGATGATTCTTTTTGATTTTTCAAATTCTTTTTTTCATGTAATGATGAACGTTCCAATCCACACACCCTAAGGAATTGGATCATTATCATTTGCATGCCATTCGAGGATTGGAATTGTGGATGAAAAATAAATTCACATTACAACAACAGGGGAAAACAAAATGGCTCTTAAATCGAGAATTAAAATATGAAAAATTCTTTCCAGTAGAATTTATGAATGACCAACAATTCGTGTTGAATCACATTAAAAAGTATGGTTATGGTCTGCAATTTGCTTCTTCGAAATTACAAGAACAGAGAGATGTTGTGATGCAAGCACTTCACAATGCATCAGAATTTGCATCAGAGTCTTGTACACAATTGTCATTTGCAAGTGCATCTGTTAGAAATGATCGAGAAGTGGTATTAACAGCCATTAAGCAACATGATCATGCATTACAAGCTGCCTCAAAAGAACTTCTTCAAAGCCGAGAATTTGTATTGGATGCAGTTCGACTCAATGGAGATGCTTTGAAGTATGTTCCTAGCTCTCTTCGAACGGACAGAGAAATTATTTTAACTGCAATGAAGCAAAATGGGGCATTGAACGCTGTGATCAGAGATCTAAGATCAGACCATGAAATAATTTTGGAAGCAATCAAAAAGAATAAGAATGCACATTCATCAATTCCTAGTCATTTATCATCAGCTCAGAAATTGTTGTTGAAAGCGGTCAAATTAATGATTCCGGAATTTGCATCTTTAGAACGGCTTGATTATTCAAACAAGGAAATGATGATTAAGGTTTTTCAGGAATTTCCATTACCTTACCAATTTATATTCAAAAAATTGAACAGTAATAAGGACTTTATGTTACACGCAGTTAGGAATAATGGTTTGGCATTGAAATTTGCCTCCGACTGTCTGAAAAGAGACAAGGAAGTTGCTCTTGCAGCTGTTTCCCATGATGGCTGTGCATTGGAGTTTGTGTCTTTTGAATTACGAGCAGACAAGGAGATTGTATTAGCTGCTGTCCATCAAAATTGCTATTCTCTTGTTCATGCATCCTATGAGATGAAGCTTGATAAAGAGGTTGTTTTAACTGCAGTGCGAAAATATGGTGATGCACTTGATTATGCTTCAGACGAGTTAAAGAAGGACAAGGAAGTTGTTTTAACTGCAGTGAGCCAATATGGTAGTGCTCTTGAATTTGCCTCCGATGAATTGAAGAAGGATAAGGAAGTTGTTTTAACTGCAGTGAGACAATATGGTAATGCACTTGAATTTGCAGATGACCATTTGAAACGTGATCCGCAAGTTGCATTAGCAGCCATCCAACAAAAGATGCCAGCACTAGCCTATGTTCATGAAGAGTTATTACGGGATGAACAATTCTTGTTAGAGGCAATTAAGATGGGATGTAATATCTTGTTTGCATTTGTTCCGAGAGAAATTTCGAGTAACAAGGAATTTGTACGACGGGCCATGAAACAAAACTGCATGGCTACCATTCAGTCCTGTTGGTCGGTTTATAAGCAAGTGTCAGACAAGGATATCATGTTAGAAGCAGTGAAGAATAATGGATATTCATTGAGCTATGCAAGTGAAGAATTACAACAAGATCCAGAACTTGTTTGGGAAGCTCTCAATAATAATGGATATACTTTGAACAAGTACAGTGATGAATTATATCAAGAAAGAATGAAACAATGTTATTATGGAGCTTATTTAGGAACAATGGAGAAGTGTTCTCAATCATGGTGCCTTTTTAAAATCATAAAGAATGCGAAACTGCCGGTTGGGATCAACAATAAATATATCAAATAGAAAGGTTTTCAGGTGAAAAAACATCACCCTAACGCCATTTCTTGTTTAGAATGAGCCATTGGTATGACACAAATCACATTCTACTTTATTGCTTGTGCTTCTTTTGAGGTGGACCAACATGATGCAATGTGGATGGATCCATCATGGCTTGCTGTTGTGGTGGAGGTTGTATGGAAGCAGTCGGTAACGGATACGCCTGTTGTTGAGCCACATACATATTTCCACCCACATTCGCTCCTGGTGGTGGCCCGTGATAATTCACAGAGTATTGAGGTGGTGGTGGCTGAATGGTGCTAGGCATGGCAGTTGGCAAGTAGCCCATTGGTGGAGTTTGCTGTTGAACTGGGAGGGTTGCATGATGATGACCTACAGGCAAATGATGCTGCTGTGGCGGACCAGCAGTATAGGGATATTGAGGATTTGACACTCCTCCACTCTCCATGAATACTGGCTGGCCAGACAACATTTGAGGAGGTTGTGCTTGAAGAGTTGGTTGGTGATGCAAGTGTTGTGTATGATGAACGGTTGGAAGAAGAATTTGGTGTTGCTGCTGTTGTTGTGCCTGGAGAGGAAGTGTTGGTTGAGCTTGTTGTTGTTGTTGGGCATGATGGAAATGTTGTTGTTGTTGTTGTTGGAGATTCCTGATGGTGGCTAGGTCTTGTTTAACACTTTCAAAATATTGTGGATCTTTGGGTGGTTTCAGTTTAACCTTTGGATCCTTGTCTAGCTGTGAATATAGCTCCTTCATGACGCAATTTGCTTTCAGTAATTGTTCTTGTGTCTCGATAGAGGTTTCAGTTTGTAACAACTCATAATTGCTATCAACACATTCCATCAAGAATTTTTTCAAGGTTTCCACAATATAGGGATTGTGGAAAACCTGTGAAATGTATCTCAACTTTTCACATTCATTGGTCACTAGGTCTGTTTTTTTCGGCAAGTTTTTGATATTTCTTTGAATTTTTCCAAAATCATTGGAGAGTGTTTCATTCTTTTGAAAAGGTATGACAACCGAAGTCTTACTTTGTTTAAGGTCATAATTGTAGGATTTAAGGTTCACGTTTTTTGTGAATAAATCAAAATGCTCTCCAGAGACAGGAATGTCCCACGAATTTGCATGAGCCATCTCTTCGACCATTTGACCTACTCCATTGCAAAGCCATGGATACGCTAAATTATTGCATGCAAGCTGCGCTTTGGGTATACTTCTCGAATACTTGTCACTTTGGGCAACTTCTAAGAGCTCGTTAAAAACTCCTAGAATGAGAGAAGAGGAGTCACCATCATTGCAAGCGGTAATGTAAGCAAAGCGTTCTGGCATACCACCCAAACTCACAATGGCACAAATTCTTTTTGGTTCGTTACTCGAAGACGATTGTTCATCGCTTCCATCGCCTCCCATATTGTTCGCTGTAGGAGGTGGGGGAGGAATATTCAATTGTCGTCCTTTCAGTAACGTTTGATGTAAGAGTTGATAAAACGAGGCTGGAGCTTCATCTGCTTTGCAAGCATCTGCCTTAATAATCTTTTTGTGCTTTCCGTAGAGAGTTTCTCGATCTCGTCTTGAAACACGAACGCCATACGCTTGCTCCGTCTCGTCAGGATTCAGTGGTAAAATAGTGTGCTTGGAGATGCATTTGGGAGAGGAGAGTTCTGTACCTGGAATGAAACCTACAATATTGAGAATGGGAGGAACATGACATGAGGATCTCTCGCTTGCAGTGCTACTAAATGAGGTGTCATTGAGCACGAGTGTGGGATGAAGACCTTGTTGCTGTCTATCAAACAGCCACATGACAAGATTTGGATCAGGATGCAACTCAATGGGAGATACAAGATGTCCAAAAACCAAATATCCACTGTACTTGTCATAGTGCTTCTTAATAAACTCATTAATGATGGACTCATCGGGAACAATGGGATTTTGTTGGTTAGTACTGCTCAAATTGGCACTCGATGACACAAAGTAGCAATGGCCTTCATATAATTTCGAAAGTTGTTTGAGAGAATTATTGACATGCGCTTCTGGAATGCTCTTATGGGCAGAATTGGTTTCTTCTTTCATTCTGGTTCCAATTTTTGGTGCTTGTGAAATTGTGTAATGTAATTTTGAAGTGGAGAAAATATGTAACTTGACAGGAAAAGGAGGTCGTATCTTAAACATTTCATCTGTTGATAGTTCGGTATATTCCGTGAAAATAATAATCTGAGTATGAGTGTGAATTCCTAGGGTTTCTTCAATGTTTTTAAAACACGAAACAAGTCCATTCATAATTATATTGGATGATTGTGTACCTGCATTTTCTACATGTTGAAAATTAATTTGATCGATTTTTGCACAAATTTCATTGGTATCTTTGGAAAATGGAGCCACCACTTTCAACTCTTGACCATCATAGGATAATAAATCAATTTCCTCCAATTTGTGATTGGCATGTATCCGATGAACAACTCTTGTGGCATCTATGAGATATTTAAAAATTGTTATTAATTGTTAATTATTCATAAGATTAATAATTTTTAAAAAATAAGATTTTGTTGCGTTATCAATACAGAGTTGAACGATCGGATCAAAAAAATAATCATCATCACATAACGTTATGTGTGGATCGCAAGTCATCAACCCATAATCATGAATCCATAGCAAAACCTACAATTTTTCAAAACATGGGCACAATTCACGACCGATGGTGTTACCGATTGAACGGAAAAGAACAAGAGCACTGTGGGCATTTTTCTTGGTGATGAAATTATTCAATGATGAAATCTTAGTCAGGGAAAGAGAAGAAAAATTGATTACCAAAACCAACCATTTCACGACTTTCAAGTGCTTCATCCAACGCTCTCTATCTGGCCAAATTTGGTCATATAGAACGGTGGTCTGTTCCTTCCAAAGTTCCCGATAAAAAAACCAACGCCCCTACATATCCTTAATCGAACACGCCTACCCCTGCTCATCCTCTCCACCCAAGTTTAAGAAAAAGCACATTCCTTCATCATTATTGTTTTTATTTCTGATTGATGGAAAACCTTAATAATAATAATAATTATGGAACGAATTGTAATTCTTCAATTCCTCAATATTCAGAATCATCATTCACTCAACATGAAGACCATTTCATACAAAAACAAGCACATAACAAGAGGAGCCCCCGAACGCAACACACTCATGATTTATCAATAACAACAGCCATCCCGTCTCATCATCATGATCGAGTGATTATCGAACTCACCAATGATGAACAACACTCTACATCATCAAAACCCGAAAAGCCTGTTGAGAACAAGAAAGATCTCTCATCTCAGAACGTAAGCCCGTGCTTGACCTCTAATAATACTACATCACTCCTCTCATCCCTTTCTCTCAAACAGTTATTCGGAAAACCCCATCCGAATTTGACGGTCATGAACGTGTTGGTGGTTTTTTTCTTGGTGCAGTCGTTGATTACCATAGGGACCACCTTTGTGATTCTCTTCTATGAAGGATCTGATGTAAGTACTTGGAACTATTAAGATTAAATTAAATTATTGAACTATTTCATCACACTTTGAAATTTGAATATCCAATCAACAATCAAAACGAATGGACACGAACAACGAATATGTAACAACAGATTGCAAAAAAAGCGGAAACTGTGGCCCATCAAGACACCTTTCGAACGGTCATTCGAAATCTTCATGATTTTGTCATTCCAGCTGAAATTGTTACGACCAGTCTTCATAACAACGTCCTCCTCGCCTTCATTGATCCCAACAGTCATAATAGTTGGGCTCAACTCATGAGCATGACCAGTGTGTATGATCGACAAATGTCCTCCATGTATTTTGGAGATCTCCAGAATCGAGTCACAGTGTTAAGGCAACGAAACGGCATGATGGAACTGTTAGTGCCATGTAAAAGATCTCTCACCAAAATCTTTCCTCCTGAAATTGTTACGAAAGATTTTGATTTGACACTTGCAAATTCATGTCCCACCTCTCACTTAAAGTATAATTTAAGCAGTGATGGAATGATCATGATCAGCCAAGGTGTTGGGAAGGTCAATTTAGACGTGAATGTTTCAACCTCTATCTGGTACACCAACATTGCTGACAATGTGAACGCAACAATCCCGTCCATTCCAACACGATCCAAATACACTGTTTGGAGTAATGTATTTATGAACAAAGGAGCTCTTTCGATCTTTGCGTCCATGCTTGTGGTGAAGGGAAACGAGTTTGTTGGAGTTTCTGCTCTCGAGTATTCTCTTGGTGACTTGCAACAATTGTTGTGTTATTTGGTGGAAAAAGGAGGAGGTGCCATTCTAGTTCTTGATCGACAGAACAACATTTTGGGTGCATGTGCACGACTTTCACACTTCTCGTTCTATGAATTGTCATCAACTGCCATTCAGAAATTTCCCAATGATTTCAGTACCTCTTCTTTATTTATGACTGTGCATGAGTTATTGGTGGAGCACGGTCTCTACGGAAATCAAACAGTGAGTTTTTCGGACATTACGAACCTTGAACCACAACTGAACGGAATGATTGAGCAGGCCTATTACTCGATATCATCCTTTTCGATGAATAATTTAGTGGTGAACGTTATTGTCATTACAGAACATACTGATTTTCTTACCTTGATCATCAATTCTAGAGTGAGTTCAGTGGTCATCTTGTTTCTGGTAGTAAGCTTGGGAATTGTTCTTTTGATCATTGTTGTGAAGGGTATCACTTCTCCGTTCCAAGCGTTAAGTAAGGTAAGTACAGGTGCATTTGAAACCAACAGTCTCTAATTTCTGTTTTCTCAAGACGATGGAGAATATTTTACTATTAGATAGATCCATGTCATCTCCTGTAAAATCTGATTGTATGCTGAGCGACGTACGCCGCATGCAAAAGCAAGTAGAATTGTTTAGAAAAGTTCTCTTTTATTTTTCATTATTTTGCCCAGAAATTATTGTGAAACACATTCTAAAAGGGTCCAACGCAGCCGAATCTGATAAAGATCAATTAATTCCGACCAAGCGACAATACATGAGCGTTCTGGTTTTCGAGCTTAATGGATTTTGGGAGCTTGAGCAACATGTTGGAATTGATGTGTTTTGTCGCATATTGAACAGGATTATTTCTGAGGTGACAACCTCCATTCATTCGAACGAAGGTTTTGTGTGCGACCTTTCTGTCAAAAACTCTTTGAAAATTCATGCACTTTGGAACGATTCGACCATGCAAGTGGAAAATCATGAGGTACGAGCAGCAGCCACATCTCTTGAAATTACATCGTTGATTGCAGATAAAATCGAGCTCATTCAAGAGGAGTACAGTAATTGTGTGAACGTGGAACTTCATTATAGGTCGGCGCTTGCTGCCGGTTACATAATTTTGGCATCAACAGGAACAACAACCTCAAGAATTAGTTTTTCTTGCTTTGGTGAGACTATTGCATTGTGCAGTTTATTACTCGAGCAATGTCGCAAAGGTGAAGTGTTGATGGATCATAACATGTTTGTTAAGGTTAGTGACATGTTTTTAGGTCAGTATAGACAAACCATCAAACACGACAATCGAGAAGTGGATATTTATTCCTTGAAGAAATACATGAAAGAATCAAGTGGTATGTTGTTGCTTTTTGTAAATACTAACTCAATGTTTATCAACACCATCAGCCTATGAACAACATGTGTCATCCAAGTTGTTACAACTAAGAAGCAGAAGAAGAGAACTTGATATCTCAGAGCTACCGAATGATACTCTTTTTAAGTCGTTGTGCAAAGAATTACAAGACTTGGGTCATGAAGTGGATACTTTTAATTGAAATTATTACTAGCCAACGACCACTTTAGTGTCATTTGGTTCATCTCAATCGTATTCCTCGTTCCCTCAATAGTTCGGATATTTTTTGAAATCTGAACAGGTCACTTTGATCATCTGCTTCAAACCTTCCTAAATGTTGATCAGTAATAATTCCAAACTTTTTCTTCAAATTTCCATACACCGAAAGTATGATGGAAATGAGATGCCTATGTTGAGTAATATTTACAAAACCTGCATCAATTAAAGAACAGAAAATAACAAGTGGTTCCATTGCGTCACTATCCTTGAACAGTTCAAAATAGAGTCTAATGATTGCATCGTTCAACTTCACCCTACTTTCCAAAGCATCTTTCATCACAGTAGAAGCTCCCTTAAGATCATTTTGACGCTTGTACGAGAGAAGCATCTTCCAATGTATTCTCATCGAGTTGTTTTTGAACAACTTGAGTTCTTTCATTCTCTTCAAAATAATCCATGCCTCTTTCATGTTTCCAACTCGACAATAAGCATCTATTAAATCTTCCATCATGTGTGACGTTGGTTTTAACTTTTCTACTGTTACAGCATGATCATAAATAGTGAGTATCATGTCAAAATTCAATTCTGTTGTTAAATTGTTATTGGGTGGAATAAATGCATGAATCAAATGCTCAAAAACACTGGTAAGCTCCAATTTTAAACCATGTTGAAATTCTAATGCTTGCTCCGTTGGAGATACATCGTCAGTAGATCCCAGAGTCTTTGCAGATGATTGATCCAATGCGAATGACGTCTGACTTCGACTATCTTTGAATCGCTTTCTATTTTTGACAAGTCTCTGATACAAATTGCTTGCCATGCTAGGATCAAAGTGATTATTCGCCAAAAACATGGATATCGAATCATAACATTTCAAATAATAGAGACCATACTGATTTTCCATAAGGTCAAGAGTGTTCATCATGTCATCAATATTTCTTGATCCAAGTATCACAAAGCGAAAAGTGTCTTCATCCGGCTCATAACCAGAGTCAATCATGATTGAGAAATATTTGGCCAATAATGCATTATCCTGAGATATCACACTGAGTGCAGTATTTGAGGTATCTTTGCTCATGTTATCTGTTCCACTAAGAGCGAGAGCTGACAATAAATGGTTCCAGTATGAAGTATCCAAAGTAATGGTATCACTCCATTTCGTGACAGCCATACGATAGTATTGCACAGCTTTCTCAATTTTGTTTTCAATTCTACAAGCATCTGTTAAAAAGATGAGAGTGGTTAAATTGGGCTTAATGTTGTGCTGTTCCATGTATTGTTCCAATTCCCAAACATGTTCAGTGGAACGTAATCTGATATAAATATCAAAGAACATGTTAAACACATGAATGTCAAACGTAGTTTCTTTTGCTCGTGTGGTCTTGGTGGCATTTTGTGAAATGAGTTCGTTGCTTTCCGTCATGTTGTTATCTGTGAAACATGCTCCCATTTTTGCTTCCTGAAACATGTTATTCACTTGATTAATTAAATATTGTCTCTCCTGTAGAACAGTCTTTCTTTCGTATGGGTGTGCCAAATAATATTGACTTCCTTGAAGAGCTTGTTTGATATTCGAAGTAGAGAGAATGGTCCGATCATTCTTCAAAAAACTTTGTTGAAAATTTACCAATTTCCTCCGAATTAACGAAAGTTCTGAACGCAAAGTTACATCATTCCATCGGGTAGTGAATTGATTCAATAAGAGTGCAATATTTTGTTCATGTTTGGCTTTCTGAGAAGTACGGTTAGGAGCAGAGAAATTAATATTATTATTATTTGATGATGTTTTAAATGTTTCCGCATATATTCAATATTGGTCAAAAAATTTCGGACAGTGGAACTACTCTCAATCACATGATCCTGATGAAAACTAGATGCATAATTTCTTCTTTGCAATGTTAACAATGGACAACAATGAATTTTCATTGTTCCGAGAAGAAGGGATTTTCCATCACGATGAGCCATCATGGAGGAAAGAATTTTCTTTGTCAAAATTGTTGAGTTCAACATTTTTTTTATCAATTTTAAATGAAACTCTCAAAAACGTATTCTTTTCATGGAACCAAGGAGTTTTGGTCCTTTCATCTGTGACATCATTAATCATAATAGGGTCTTGATTTTCCAAGTTAATCATCATGTCAACGATTTCTGGTTCCGAACCCTTGAAAAAAATTTTCCTTCTCGTGTTCAATCATTCTCTGCTTCTGATTATCATCATCAACAATCGTTATCATCCAATATACAACCGCAAGAAGAACAACAAGAACAACCATCATCATCACAACGGAAATAATTGTTCATCAATATTAATAACAATGAACAACAATACAGTACCTCCACTCCGATTTCTTTCTACAGTCTCTGTTTTTGTTTTGAAAAAGGAGAGTGATGATGAAAATAATGAAAATAATCAATCCTCTCGGATGAATCGAGGAGTGATCACTTCTCCATCTTCTCCAGTGATGCGTATTGGAGGTAATTCATTATTCGATTCTCTTGAGTCACCATCCAGCCACGATGGACGGAATGGTAATGCCAAATTTACGACAACCTCGTCGAATGGCTCATTGATGACTCATCACAGAAAGAATATAAATACCTATAAGGAATATGCAATGATGAGAGGTCAAAATAAGGACAGTTTCAATGCAAAAAAGTATACACCACCCAAGACGGACCTAATTTTTACACATCCCAAAGATTTATCCAATGATAAGACTGTCACAATTAATTCAATGCCTTTATTTTGTTTTTATGCTCATCATCATGAACGAAATTTGTCGGAATATATTTCAAGGAACACAAAGATTAGACTTGCGTCTGTGGGATCGAGTCACAACGTCCAACTCTTTCCATTCGTAATGACAGATTATTTTAAAAACGAATGTTATTGTTTTTGCATATTAGTTGACAATGCAACCTATAATGAAAATGTCGCCATTGTGTTTGAAACATCAATTCCTATTTATGAAATGATGAGTGACATTATTCTAGAAATGTATCAATTTGGACTCTTTCAGGTGTTTTTAGACGCCCATTTTCGAGATCAAGAAATGAGAAATCATGGAGAGTCTTCTAAAATTAATTTTGGGCGAAATGATAGTAATTATCAGAATTTATTAGAAAAGAAAAATTTACTGTTGACAAGAATTGAAATGATGATACATCACATCCCAATACCACCACCTTCGAAAAATATTTACACTAGTTTTACATTACTCCAAAAGAATTATGTTTTGAAATATCCAGACGTTGAAGAGCTGCCGTTTTGCAATGTAAGTCATTGATTTCAATTTTTTGTGAAAAATCCACCACAACAACGTAATATTTTTCTATATAAATTCATATCGAAAATGCACTCGTACATGATATTAGATTCCAATTTCTGAAACAATTTTCAAGACATTATCCAATGACATGATTGTGGACTTGTTGAATTTAATTTTATTAGAAAAGAAAATTATTTTCGTGAGTGAGAGCGTCAGTCTCTTAACATATTGTTGTGAATCCTTAAGGGCACTATTGTATCCATTTCAATTTCCATTAATGTTTGCTTTTATTCCTCATCTACCTGTACAGCTGCTAGAGACCATTCTTTCGCCTGTTCCTTACATTGCTGGAGTTCACAATTCTCTCAAGAATGAGTTATTTATGGTGATTGATCAACAGAATCGAATGTTGGAGCAGACTTCTCACACTAACACGACGAGGATAAAATCTCCCTCGTCATCATCCTCTGACCGTGCCTATTCACCCTCTGAGAATGACACGAGTTTAGTAGTCTTAGATATTGACTCTTCAACATTTTTATATGGAAAAGCTCCAGAGAGAGAACAACGTTTTCCCGAAAGATACCGACTTCAATTAATTGAAAAATTGGAGCCCATTCTCAGGTCTGCATCGAAGAGTATTGATTTTTTATCAGGACCTATTTCTAAACGAGAAGAACGAATTTCCATAGATACCAAAATTCGAGAATTATTCACATGGTTTTATTGTAAATTATTGATTCCGCTTAATATTCACATTTTAACGCGAAAGTGGAAAAAGAATAACAAACGCAATGGCACAGAATATATTGACAGCATAAAAAGATACGTGCTGGAAGAAGCTTCTGAAGAAATTGATTCCAATCAGAGAGCCTTCTTTTCACATTTATTCTCCAACCAGATATTTTCAGAATTACTGAACCATGGCGTTGAAGAGCAATACTTTTATCAAGAGCTTTGCTTTTCCATTTTTGTGAATTCTGAAGCTGAAAATTTAATGAAAAATAGAAATCATGTGATCCCATTTGCCGCTTCTGAGAAAGATTTAGTGAATTGGAAAAACTCCAACAACGACACTTCTTTTAACTTGAACAGCGTTCAGGAATGGTTTTCCAAAGGACAATCACCCAATGACGTCTTGATATATTGGATCAATAGCAAATTAGAAGCTCTGAAATCTCAAACCCCTTCCACACAACTTCTTTTGACAAGCAATTATAACATTTCTCGATTAATGTTAATGAGATCCTTTGTCCATGAGAGAGCAGAACGATTCGAACAAGCCCTCGAAGATGCACTCACTGCCATGTCAACAGCTACAGATGAGCGATTGGTTCGAAGAGAATGGTTCGAGTCCTTATTGCTTCGCATTCCAAAACAATCTCTCATGAAATTTGTTGCTAAAATGAAGACCAAATATTCTCCACGAGCAGATGATCTTTTCAAATTAGGTTTTCTAGAAAAGATTGTGCTCGACATGCATCAAGGTCACATTCAAGACGTGAAAGCTCTATTCCAACAGGCAGAACTCTTTGAACCAGGTTCTAGCTTTGAATTGAGACCTCGAAGAAAATCAGTACCAAATTCCTCAGTTTCTCCTGTCGATTCGAATCCAGAGTCTGAGCTTCACACTGCAGACTCCTTGGATGAGAAACAGCTAGTCACAACATCGTATGAATCACAAGAAATTCCAAGAGCTAATTCTTTCCCAAGTGGAAATCCTATTCAATTACCCACAGCAGAGGATGAAGAAGATCGACATTTTGATTCTCCTCCCATGTCCCCTCGTTCTCCAACCATTTCACATGAGGATGATCTTGATGAAGATGTAGAATCATTGGAAGCGCTTCAAACACCTCTGACATCGAAAAAACGATCCTTTTCGAGCACTTCGATCCATGAATATTCAGATGGAAAATCCCCTACTGCTTCTTCTCGCTCTGCAACAACAGCAGCGACAACTGTGCTACCAACCACGAAGGCAACAAAATCAAGTTCAGGAACCATTCTATTATCATTGCCTTTTATTAATTTTGCAAGTATTGAACATCAATTAATTCCCAAGAATATGGATGCCCTTACACAATTATCATCGATGAATGCAACCACAAGAAGAAGGAGTATCTTGTTTACCAAGAAAAAGAGTTCTGAACTCGATACCTTATCCAAAATGGTCAGCATTTCGAAAGAGATGTTCTCCATGGTTGCATTTGAATGTGGAATGTTCTTTTCCAAACAAGATGGAGATCGAATCTATGATCAGCTTGTGTTAATTCAAAAAGATACCACTGTACCTTCCTATTCACAAACTCAGCTTCACCACGGTGACGATGCATCATCATTGTCCACACTTAAACCAGAGACACTCAAGAAATTCTTGAATTGGTTCAAAATTGTAAATCAACTCAATCAATACTCAACATTGAGATTTAGAAAAATTGAAAGTCCTCAAACAGTAGCAGTATCTTCCTATGAACAACAACAACACAATAACAATAATGAATCTATTGTGATCTTGACACAAAGTACACTATGCGAAGCAACATTTTCATATGCTACTGTGGAAGGAAAGGAATTTTCTCAAGAGTCATCCATTCACAATGGAAGAATATGTTTTTGTAACGATGGTTCGATTTATTTTGGAATTTCCAAATTGGAATTGGTAGTTTCAGACATGTCACAAATAATCAAAATTGACCACTATCCTCCACAATCTATGTTAAAGCAACAACCTGATTTATTGAACTTGAAAATTGAAGGATCTGTTAAAATTGTTGTACGAGTAGATTTCAATACCACTCGACACGTAGAATTTAAATTTCCAAACACGATTCAAAGTTTGATATGGTATGGACATTTCTTGAGCTTGATGAATTTCAGTACCTCCATCACCATGAGCATGATTATGAGCAAAAAGTCGCATCATAGTTATGTGCCAACAAATCCAACCACTGTCTCAATATTCAGAAGTATTACCATTGATCATGTGTTGTATCTCATGAAACAAGCAAGATCTACCAAAGACTAGTCGTACATGCATTTTCTTTGCATGCAACCATGGACACGGGAACATGTCCATCAAACCAATGCATGAACTTGATACCTTTCACAAGTGTAATCTAGAGATTGGAACAATTACATGAAACCTTGAAGAATTTGTGGTTCATTCATTTGGCGCCAAAGTCGCCGCGTTCAACCTTAACAACCACCACCAAAAAAAAATGGATAAACGCAACTCTCATCCCATCCACGATTCAAATCCAACTGCCACTAAGAAGCTGAAAAAACAGCAGAACGATGAGGTCGGATCGTTCCTACAAGATTATGAAACTTTTATGAATAGTCGTGAGCAAGAACGTCAAAAAGATAAACTAGAAGATGAACAACAAATGATTCAATTTGCTGGATTGCCCAAAACGGAATTGATCGGTTTATTCTTTGATGAAAAATTAAAATACCAACGGCCTCCATATCCAGTGGATCCCGTATTTGGATCCATGAGCTCGCACACCACCAAGCCCTCACATAAAAAACGAGATAAATTTCAAAAAACAATATTCGGATATTGTAGAGAATGTAATGAAAAGGTGAATGGTGGTCTGCAAGCCATGAAAGAGCACATTCTATCGTGTCCAAAATTGAATACCTTCAAAGAGGGTGAAGCTTGCAAAGATATTGTGATGAGATTTAAGGTGTATCCAGAATATGGCGACATGTGGAACAAGTATTGGTTATTTATCGAGGTTCCATTCACATCCAACTTGAGAGAATTGGATGACGTTATTCGTAACTATTGGGTTGAGTGTTGTGGACACTTGTCCAAGTTTGACGTGGATACATTAACTTATAACAGTTATGAGAGTGATAACGAGTTTATGGACGAGATTGATAACAAAACAATGGACATTCCCATGTATAGAGTGTTCAAGCCTTCAGATGTTGGGAAAACATTTTGTTACACCTATGATTTCGGAAGCTCTACATATTTGGAACTCGAATTAATATCCATTGTTAAATGCAACGAGGAATGTGAGGAAGCAAGAGTTCTAGCAAGAAATAATCCACTAACCTTCAAATGTTGCAAGTGCAAGAATGAGGCAGAGTATGTTCAAGTAGAAGAATCAGTTTTGTATTGTAAAAAGCATGCCAAGGATGAGGACGAAGACATGCTCTTACCTGTTGTTAATTCGCCACGTATGGGTGTTTGTGGCTACACAAACGACATGGATACCTATGCTCCTCCCTCTGAAGAAACAAAGAAGAAGAAGACTAAGCATCAATAGACATGTCGTGACTGAACGAAGAGAGACAAATAACTCAAAACTCTGAAACCTCTGTGTACCCTCTAGATTATCTGTGTTTAATTAAAATTGTTGTTGTTTATACGCAACCTTAATGGCAGACCTCGATCTTCTGATCTGTTTGAAATTACCTAACCATATTAATACCAAATTTCTTTTAACCTTTTCATTTGATTGAACTTGGGAACTATTTTGATCTTGAACTCCACTTTAAGATATCGTAAACAGTCATGGCTAAGGCCATAGTACCTGAATTATACATGAGCTTGGACGAGATTCCTTTGTTTAATATAACAATAAATTATTGCAATCGTTAATTCATTTGGACACTCCATTTTTTCGAAAATAATTCACCTACCTTTTGTAAAACCTCTCAAACCTTCACGCTTCATTAAATCCACAATCACTTCTCGAATTGATGAGGATCCAAATTTGTGTGATCCTCCACTACTACTTGCACCACTCAAGGCAATTCCCGTTTGAATTCTCAGTCGAATAATATCAAACGGATGAAAAATCGATGCTGTGACCACGCCTGTCATGGCACCACTACTCACAGCTGACATGACCATTATTTGAAAATCCTTCTCTCCAACATAGGGAACCAATAATTGTGAAATGTTTTCTTTGAGTGCTGAAAATGTTCCCCAAGCAATAGCAGATTCAGGTCCATAGGTCAATAACGTCGGCAAAGTTCCTCGATAGAGTCCTCTCAATCCTTCCATTTTCCAAACTTCTCGCACGACATGTGAAAATTTAACATGTTCATTGGGATGAGTCACTTGAGAAATCATTAATCGTTGAGAAACAACATCAAATGGAACGACAATGAAATTGGAAATCACTTCAGCGAGTAATCCAGAAAGAGCTTGTCTTTGAAAAGTGCTTAATTGTGAAAAATAATCATGTTCATGCTTTTCACGTTTGGAAAGTAAATATTGATTAATAAATTCGAGAGAACTTAAATAGGTAAATTGTACAATACATTTGCCAGTAGCAGCTGAAAAGTATCCTCTGATTCGGTCGTCCGATAAACATGATTATAACAATCAAGGAAATTTAAAGCTCCAAATTCAATTGATTGTCAATTGGTAATTACCTGTAAAAACCTCTCAGTCCGTGTTGAGAATAAATTCGTTTGGCCACTGTCGACATACTTTCATGGGCCTATTTCATCAATATTTCAATTTTTTCATTCATGGTTCATTCAGGTTCATGATCATGAATTATTATTGATCCATATTGACGAAATTATCCAAAATTCATTTTTTAGAGAGTAGAATAATAACATCATCATTTGATTTTATCATTCCGATTATTCATAATTGTTCCATTGCACCAATGACATTTAAATTCCATTATAACCATCCAATATATGGAAATGTATATTTTTCAGCACTTCATATAAACTCGTCTATTTACCTGTAAATTTGCTACTTGATGAGCTCCTATCAAACTGATTGGAAAAAAGATGGATCGTAATCCATATGAAGCCAACACTCCGATAGAATAGAATTTTGTCTTGTCCAATTTATTCCATGTGGTAGTCACGTCGGGATGATGATTTGAATGATGATCATCAGCATTACTTGTATCTGTGTTGGATGTTGAAGAAGGACGTTCTTGCATTTTTTAATCCTCTGTGTGTGTTGGGTTTTAAATCTGATCTTACAAAAACAAATTAATAATAATTATTCAAAATTTATTCTTCTTCAAAACACATAATATTGATGAATCGTCAAATACAAGTCACAATAATTTAAAGAGATGTAATTCCAGTTGCCATCTTAGTTTGATACTTCATGCTATCGATAATTGGTGTCACTTGTGAGGCCAATTTAGAAGGTTCTTTTCCGTGCAACTTTTTGGATTCAGATACCAACAAGCATAGATCAATGGGTACACTCACAATAGGAACGACACCCTTCACGACTAAGCTTGCCAAACTTGTAGCTCCTGCTTGACCATGAGTTAATTGACCATTCTGATTAATAGTTCCGTATTTGAGATTGACCAGTGCATTCACAAATTGCAATACTGGAACGGTTGTAGTTGCATTACTATGAGGAATGGTAAAAGTCAACAACCGTTGTTCAATCAATGGATCTGTAATACGATAATCAAAAACGAGGGCAATAATTTCATTCACTGCTTTGGCATCTTGTTCCAATGCGGTCTGAATTAATTGAGCGGACTTTTTGGCGTGTTGCCACTCGGAAACAGCTGCACCTACAGTCACTGCTGTACCTCCACCAACCATTGCTGCACCAGCTCCAGTGGCAAGCAATGAGCCACCCAAAGTCAACGGTGCTGTAATAATACCACCCACAATTAAGGAAGCTCCAACAATGTTAGTGACAGTACCTCCCATTTTTGTTTTCGTAGTTGATTTTGCATGCTTGTTCAATTTTTCAGTCATCTCGCTCAGCATGAGAAGAATGGCTTGTCGTTGTGAGAGCCATGAAGTAGCCAATTGTTGCAATGTTTGAAGATTGATGAGCGATTGATCTACGAGTGGAACAAACGAAGTGGTCATTGTAGTGGTAGTGGTGCTACAGACAGGAGGTTGTTGAACCTGTGGTTGTTGAGGAGGCGGAATATAAACTGTTTGAGGTGGTTGTTGTTGTGGTAGCTGAGTTGTGGTCTGTTGTTGAACCATCATGGTGGACATATTTACCTCGTTGCCTTTCTGAGGATATGGAGAAATAGATTGGGGCTGAGTAGGTGAGGAAGATGGATAATTCATGGTCATTGAAGGTGATGAGTATGAATAGGGTTGCATGGGTTGTTGTTGTGGTTGGGGTGGAATATTCCAATGTTGTTGTTGTTGTGGTTGTGGTTGTTGTTGATGAGGATATGGATAGTGTTGTTGTTGTTGCGGAATGAACTGAGGATTTCCGTAATTTTGATATTGTTGTTGATGATAGGGATGAGGATTCATCATCATATATTGTTGTTGTGGTTGTTGCGGTACTTGTTGTTGTTGAGATCGTTGCATGTATTGATCATAGGGAATTTGTGGTGGAGGTTGATAGTGTGGTTGTTGCTGTTGCTGTTGTTGCTGCGGATGACTCTGATACAAAGGAGGTTGTTGTTGTTGTGGATGCATCATTGGTGGTTGTTGTGAATTGTTAAAGGGTTGTGGATGTAGAGTCATGGTTTTTCAAGTTGCTATTTTTTGTTTGGAATGGAATTGAAAATTCTTGTAATTTGTTTTTATGAGATTTTGGTTTCTAATTCCGTACAGTGCAAGGTAACATGGTATCACGAAAGGCAAAACAACTTGTTGTAACATGCGACCAATGGTTATCGTTTTGAGGCGATTTACAACGAGGAAACGAGTACATTTCGTAGGTGATGGATCCATTTTATAATTTTAAGAATTAATTGATCATGGAAGAGCCAGCACTTTCGCTCAAAGTTGACTTCATGTAGCGGTTGTGTTTAGAGCAAAGAAGAGGAATTAATTCCACTTCTAGACAATCCTGATTCGAACTCTTTTCAACTAATTGACCAGAATCGAAAGTGACCTTCTCTTCCAATACTTGTTTGTCATGAACATAAATTTTAGTTTCTCTTGTTGACAAAATATTAGACAAGACAATATCCATTCCGTACTATAAAGGTCCATGAAACATGTCACAACCACAGGTTTGAGGGCATTCAATGAAAATTGTGGCCATGATGTCACATCAAGAAACAATAAATCACGAGTGAATACATGTCACCAATATGATCTCATGTGTCAGTGAAACAACCTACATTTTGCATTGCTTGTTTTACCTTCTCATCAATAATTCCCACATCTGACTCTAATTTAAATGTCACAACAAAGGCCTGTGGACACCATTCTGATTTCACCAATTTCAGCATTTTGGGAGTTTGTGACAATACAATCTCAAGTTTACCGTCGTGTACATTTCGTGATTGTATCTTGTGTTCGCTCTAACATGATGTTACCACATTTAGAAAAATCCCACAATTATGAGACAGCAGCACAATATTTGTGAAGCAAAAGGTCAACAATAATTTTGCCAGGCATGATAATCTAGTGACTTAACAACCACTATTTTGAACTTACCATTTCATCGTAGGGAATGTAAAAATCCGAGACTGCAGCTGCTGCATATAAAATAGCTCTTCTTCCTAAATTCAAATCACCAATAACATCTTTACAAATAAATTTGAGCATTAATAAATATTCAAAAAGTGTGTCATAGGTAATCTCGAGCAATAATTTTTCATCCTTCACCTTTTTTCGAATTCGTAGCAATTGTTTTAATTTTTCATTGCATGATGAGAATGAAACCGATCCATCAATCTCATTCAACATGAAACTGTCAGGATTTACATGTTCCAAAATATTCAACGGTCTTTTTGCAGATTCATGAGTCAAAAATACAACAACATATCCATTCTTGAGAAATTCTTCAGCCGATTGTGCTCCTCTGCGACCTGTTGAAAAATTAGAAATATATCTCACGGTATTTCGTTCAAGTGGTACGTTCATCTTTCCGCTCGTAATGAACACATATTTTCTCGGAGAGGTTTTATCCTTCTCGTGATAGGTAATGAATTCAATCAATTGATCTTGCTTGGGTGCGAGTGATGCTCCGATCAGATTTTGATACGTGTCGAGAAAGGCCTCAATGTCTTGCTTTCGTTCGCTCATTTTTTTCTGGATGGTTTGTTTCTAATCCATGTTGTAAACCTCAAAAAGAACTCGGGTATTAAAGTTCCATGTTCATTTCACTGGCATTAAGGGTTGGGCAGTGTTGTAGTTTTATTTTACTACTAGCGTTTGAAGATACCAAGCAAGACCATTGTATCTCCCTTCATTGAGTGACAATACTTGTTTTAGTGCAATTCTCCTGTCGACCCGTCGAGAGATGATATACCTGAACAGAGATTTAAAACTTCTTTTCATTGTAATATTGAAAAACGACAACATAACAAAAACAAGTAGAAAAATCATCATGTCTCTAAGGACTACGCCTCACGAATTACATCCCTCTTTCAACAATACTTCTCCACCATTCAATACAACCGAATCAGAATGCCCAGAATGGATTCGTTCTCTTCCAGCAGCATTTCAGAATCGTAAAAACCCATGTCCTGAAACCATCTTTGTTCCTCTCATTACCTCAATCTTTCTTTTCGTGTATGGTCTGGTCATTATGGCATGCATGATTGGACTATACAAGAAACGCAAGAGTGGTCATGTACAAGCACGAACGACCTCGGGAATGTTATTTACTCTCATTTGTAATTTGTTATGTGTCGTGAGTTTGGGAGTGAGGCTCATCATTGGGAGAGAAAACTCACCATGTCTATTGTATAGTATTTACTTTTTCATCATGCCTGCCTGTGTAACGACACCGACCATCATGAGAATGTTGAGGTTTTTCATTCAGCATCAAGTGAGTTTGATCAAACTGAAATCTGTAAGCAAAGGCTTTCAGCAGCCTTATGATGATACTTCTCTAGCACAAGATTTGAATATAGACTTGGAGTCTTCTATTGCTACATCAATGAAGCCTTCTCCCTCTCCTTCATCAACTACGGAGAAGGATCAACGGGCAGTTGAGAGAGTGGAACAATTCAATACGAAATCGTTTACTTCAACTCTGGTACAGTCCACCAAGGTTGTTGAAATTTCTCCACCGAGTCAACCACAAACTTCATTGCTGAAAACAGGCATAGAAGGAATCAATTCGTCTCTTCCGTCGTCCAAGAAAGCTCTATTCAAAATGAATCAACTTCTCTCGAGTCATCTCTTTTCTTCATTCATTCTCCTCTCGATTTTGCTCATTCACATATTGATTTGGTTCGTTATGGGAGTCGTTGAGAATAATTTCTTTGAAAATTCTCGATTTTTCATGAAAGATCAATCCATGTTCAGTTTATATGGATGTTTATCATCCAATTCTCCAAACATTGTTGCTGTGTCCATGTTTTTATTCTATTTCATATTGGAATTAATTATGGGTCTGATTTTGCTTTTAAAAACCGATCGAGATTTGTACAATATTAAGAGAGAGGCGTTAATATTGATACCAATCCAATTTTGTGTCGTTGTGTTGTTCATGGTTGCCGTTCAATTTGAAATATTTCAATACCTGGAAAGAATTATTCCAATGGTAATGCTGTTCATATTTTATTCGAAATGTGAATTGTTTATTACCATCTTTCTTCCTATTTGCTATGCTTTGGTACATGATTATCAACGTTTGGAAAAATCGACGACGACCTCCTTGAACATTCCTAGTGGGGCAGTTGGTGATATAACTGAAGGTTCCAATTTCACTCATTCCATTCAACCTCAAAGCGAACTCGAGATGTTACTTGCGAATAAGGAATCCAAAGAAATTCTTCTCGATTATTGCAGAAGAAGTTTTTGTCCAGAGAATGTCTTGTGTTACTTGGATATTCAAACGTACAAGGCTTTGTGTAAAAAACTACTAGTGCCTAGTCCAAAGAAAGCCATTCGAATGACTTCAATTGCAGATGAAACACCTATCACGCAGGGAAAAACATGTCCGAAAAAGCAAATGGCACTCCATATTATCAACACGTATTTGGAAAAGAATAGCCTCAACGAATTGAATCTTCCTTCTAATTTCACCTTATTGAAGGAACAATTGTTAGTTGCAATTAATGCCCATTCAGAACAGGAAATGCCTGAAAATTTATTTGATTCCCTTCAATGTATTGTGTTACAAAACATGGAGGATGTGTATCATCGCTTAATTCGTTCGAATGTGCGATTTAAGGAAATTGGAGATGAGTTCTTTCCAAAGAATCGACATCGTCTTGAACCAACGAATAGTCAAGTTTAACCCTTCCACCGATCTAAAAACAACAATGAACAACAGTGTTGACCAAGATTTTAGAAGTCCAACATGCTTTTTGCAAGAATATTGAAACAGTTTCCTCTCAAGAAAACAATGAAACATCTTCATGATAATCATAACAACAAAGCGAGGAAATTGAAAATTTAATTATTTTAAAAAGGATTTCATTACAGAACTCATATCCACTTCAGTTTTAATGATACATGGTTTCTAAAGACATGATCTTTGAACTCTGGTACCTCATAAAAAATCGACAACAGCAATTCACCAACAAAAAAAATGTCCTCACAAACTAAACTTGATCCTCTCTCACAAAAACAACTCGAAATGATCAATCGGCAAGAAAAATACAAGGCCGAAATCATGGCAAAAAAACAACAAGAGAATGGAGAGAATGGAACAACAACAAAAAAGAGAAAATCAAAAAAGGATAAAGACGATAACAAGGATGGGAAAAAGAAGAAGAAATCAAAATCGAGTAGTAGTAGTGGAAACAATAGTACAGGCACATCTTCCGACGTACAGGACGCAACCAATGCCATGTTTTATTCAATGGGAGCATATACCGATGATACAGAATCGGCTCCAACATCTCCGTCTTCGTCGGCACCCAATGGCGATGGCGATGTAAATACAGAGAAAGAAGAGAGAAAAAAAGGCAAAAAGGAGCATCTTCTCGGATTAATAACTTTTAAAATTATTGAATTTTTGCAAGAGGATACATCTAAAAAGTATTCATTTAAACAAATACTTGAGGCAATTGAGTATACCAGCTGTACGGAAGAAGTCGATGAAGAAGATGAAAAGAAAACAAAAACTGTGGTGCGATTTGAAGATTCCCTCGCTGCTCATTTGGACGAAAAAGCAAAGAAGGGAATATTTATGAAATTAAAAGACAATCAGAAAGTAGATTACATTCCCGGACCACTTAAAACCAAAGGAATTGACGACAATGCACTTTTCAGTTTTAAAGCCATTCACCAATCTGTAAAAAACAAGGACGACATTGTAAATTTATTGAAACATCCAGAGTTTGTGATTAGCGGAATTCCTTTTGTAGAACTTGCTGAAAGTTACAAAACGGTTGGAGAGGATGTAGAGCAATTGAAGAAGGCAAAATTGATCATTGCCATTCCCAATCAAGACAAAAAGTGTGAAATTTTGTATTATAACGATCCCACTGTTGCCATGCCCTCCGTTGATCCCAAATTGAAACAGCTGTGGGCAGACACCAGAAATAGGAAAATTTCGAACAATGACTTGAAGTCTTTACTCGAAAAAGCAGGACTCCCACCAATTCCTACAGTGGAATGGCCTGAAGATGAATACAGAAGAAAGAAGGAAGCAGAGAGAGAAGAAATGGCAAAGAACATCAAGGTTAAACGTACTCGAAAGATGAACGTCAACAAGATGACCAACAAACACTTGAAGGAAGATTTTGTTGCAAGTCAACAACAACAGCAACCTAACAAGTAATTGTTAAACAACAATTATGTTTTTGCAGCTGAACTAACATTTGGCGACACAAGTTACCTCTTTACAACAAGCTTTCATATTACATACACTACAGCATGAACTCGGTCGTGATACCAAAATGGTCTATTTCATACGCTGTCTTTTAATTTTGAACTGTTGACGAGTTTGTTGGTTTGAATAACATCTCTTGTTGGTTCCACTGTTTCGAATGGTGTGGCAATGATGGCTCCACTGCGAGGACACGATCCAGTGAATCCCAAATTGACAACCAATTTCTTTTCTGTTATCTATTCATTTCGAACCATCATTTTCTCCAATAAAGTACCAGCATTCCAATCTCATCGGCAGTTGACGCATCCAAAACGCCACCTGTCAAACACTTGTTTGGCACGCTCTTTCTTGTCTCTCACAGCACTGGATGAATTTCATGATTTAAAAAAGAATACACTAATAACGACATCACACTCTCTTTTCCTCCCACGTATCATCATCAGCAGGCCTCTCCAGAGTTCCATTGTCTCTCCTGGCGCAACCAGTTCTTCAACCTCTCTCTCATCTTCTCTCATCATCAAAGAATATTGAAACACGTTGACCCTCTCTGATATCAGAATCATCATCTTCCAGTTCCTGACATTATCTTTCGTGTTTCAATAATTATTGTTGTTGTTGTTGATTTTTATTACGATCTGTCATCATTGTGCGCACATCATCAATCTATATTGAGATTTAAACATCCAAGAGAGAAAATACAGATCATCATGTTTTCCAAACTCTCTGCCATTCTCTTCAAGAACAATAACAATCAACAAACCAATTCTAGTAATGGTCATCATCATTACGATCATCATCATGAACATTCCAACTCCTCTTCAGGCGAAGATTTCATTCATTCTCCAATATTATTAACCAATCATCATCATAACACTACGAATGGTATGCCTTTGTATACCATTCTCGATCCTCAGAATCATCAGGATTCTCCAACCATTGCAAATCAACATGTTCGTGGTGGTGCTAATGACGTTGAAAACGATCCACAACAACATCCATGGACGCCTTCATCATCCTCTTCTCCTTCTCACGCAATCATGACGAGTCAAACGAGTTCGAACTCAAATTCTTCTCCTTTCATTCAGAATCAACAACACAATGGAATGAACTCGACAGCGACCACTCCTTCTTCTCCGTATATTTTCGAATCGACAACAACAACGACCATGAATTCAACTTGTGCAATGAAAAATTCCAATCGTTCTCCTTATCATCATGGACAATCGTTTCAAAACCATACATTGGAAGGTGGTAGTGATTTCTCACATCAACCACATTTCACAGAAAGTCCATTACCACCAAATACAAATCATCAACAATTATTTCCAACGTCCAGTTCCTCATTGACATCTTCACGTTCGAAAGAAGGTCTCGATGGTAATCACTGGACTTCAAATGTGACTCCTCGTGGACCATTTGCAATATTTGGTACAATTCCACATGATTTACTCATTGACATTTTCTCCTTTCTTGATTATAATGAAAGATTTAGAACTGTGAGAGTCGTGTCACATCAATGGAATAGTTTTATTTTTGAGAGTGAAACTTGTTTGTTTTTACACTTTTCGAAAAACATGTTGCGTTTTATGAGTGCACAAAATGTGTTGGATTTTGTTCGAAATTTCCAAAAGTTGAATTGCATTACGATTTATGGTGAATATCAATGGGAATTGAGAAGAAAATGCATTCGAGAAATTCAAGCAACATCTCCATCTGTGAGAGAATTGAAAATTATCGATGCCACTGAATCTGAATTGAATAGCGTGAGAGATTTGACATTTCACGGTTTACACAAACTCTATATTGAGACACCCGTTGTGACAAGTAACTTTTTGACCATCATTCATGATTTGGCTCCAAATATTACTTGTCTCTCTCTTAAATATACTGTACAGGAAAAAGCAGACTCTCTTTGTAAACTCTATAACAACTTTAACAAGCTCAAAGAATTGAAATTGGCAGTGACACAACCCTCCAATCATATTTATGATGGCTTGAGTTTATCTCAATTGGATACTCTTGAAATTCACAATTTCATGGGTTTCATTGGAAGCAAACGATTTACCAACTTGAAAACTCTCAATGTTTCTGGCTCTGTGAATGATATTCCAACCATTGTACATCTCTTCCCAAATATCACTTCATTAGATATCAGCACCTTGTATGGATCCAATTCAGACACATTCGAAAACAAGTTGTGTGAAAATTTACCAAAACTTCAACTATTGAGTCAATTGACCATGACCGATTGCACCACAAGTTTATCCATGCTTGATGTGTGGAGTAGTGCGTGGACCACACTCAAAGAACTTGACATTTCCAGAACTAGTGTGAATGATTCACATTTAGAACGACTTGCAAAATTACAAAATCTTCAAGTATTGAAAATGAGAGGTCTTTCCATTACTGGTCAATCGAGTCGGTGTAATTTTGGTGACGTTCTTGTTTCATTGCAAAACAATCTCACCATTTTGGATGTCAGTGAGTGTCGATTATTGGAAAATATGGTCCCAAATACTACTCCAAATCCTCCAACTTGTTTCAAAAAATTGAAAATATTTGAAGCCAATGGTGCCAATGTACTCAGTGAAAAGAGTGTTTCATTCATCTTGTCCTCAGCTCCAAAATTAGAATCCTTGTCACTCATGGCATGTAACGAAGTGAAAGATGAAACCATTGCGAGATTATGCACCAAGAGAATTGTATACATGGATTTAAGATATTGTCGACAACTTGGAGATCCAGGATTTTTGAAACTTGTCTATGATCAGAAATTACGTCAATTGCAACATTTCAAGCTAGCACTTTCCTTCGATGTCACACAATTGTCGATCGAAGCAGTTTTAAATCAAGCTAAAATGCTCAAAACTCTCGAATTGAACAGCTGCAAAAAGTGTAATTCTGATCATCTCATTGCAAAACAATTTTTCGAACCTACGAATTTACCATGCTTGACACATGTGGATTTTTCTGGTACCATTATCAGTGATGTTGGACTATTGAGTATTTTAACAAGTAGTGAAAGAGTGAAAACTCCTCTTTCCAATTTAGTTTCACTCAAATGTGCTGATTGTTATCATTTATCACATGATTTTTTGGATGTTCTTGACAAGTATCTAGTTAAAATTGACAAACCTCAAGCAGTAATTCCAATCATGATTGCCGATAAGAAGGTCGTTTACTTTAGATGTCCTTATTTGAATATTGATGAAGTGAGAAGTTCACTTCCACGACCGCAAATTGGTCAAAAATTCAACACGAGTTCAAATACCTCCAATAACAACAGCAATGGTAATAATGGTATGAATGGTTCACCATTGACTTCTCTTGGAGGATCTGGATCTTTGAAAAAGTATTAAATAATGAATTCATTGATGTTCGTTTTGAATTTTTCAAACCCTTAGACTCTTTGGAGTTAAAGAAATTTGGTAGATTGATTGAGCACTGAAATAGATGAATAGAAATCAATTTCTGTCATTTTCACACGTATTGATTTGGCAAATCAGGTTGACATTACTGACATTCTCAAGTTCCGAGTTCTATAAACAACTGTGATTACAATCACTCAACTCATCAAAAAAAAAATCACAAAATGGCCAAAGTCATCATTCAACCCGATGAATTAACCACTGCTGCTTCCGTCCTCTCTCTATCCCCTCTCGAGATCAAATTCTCAGCTCCTGCTCGACTCTATCGTTCAAACTTTTCCTCGGAATGGGAATATTCAGGAGCTCATGGTATTGTAACCGTCAATGTGGATAAAGCTTCCTCCTCATGTTTCATCCGCTTGGTTGATCTCTCTCGTAAAACCATTGCCATGGAACAAGAATGTTATGAAGGCTTTGAATATTTAATCTTGGCCGATAATTTCCATGCGTTTGAAAGTGATGATCATTTTGTTGGTTTATTGTTTGCAGAACGTTTTGATGCAGCCTTGTTTGGGAAACAAGTGAGTCAATTGATACGTTTAACAAGTGGAGGAAGTATCAATGCTCCTCCAACAATGAATGCATTACCAAAACCAACACGTACTTCATCGGCCGATGTTACTACTGGTGCAGGTAGTCCAACACTTCATCCTCAACCACCTGTGAAGAGAGTGGTTACTACTACGACTAGTACTACAACAGCAACAACAACAACTCCAACAAAATCAGTAGAACCTGAAAAGAGAGAAACTGGTGGTAGTTTCTTGAGTAAATTCTGGTCCAAGGATAAAAAACAAGTTCCTGACAAGTCAACGATCAAAATTTCGGGACCCAAGATTGACAAGTTTAAACACGTTTCACATATTGGATTTGATCCAAAGAAGGGTTTCACTGAAATTCCAGAAGAGTGGAAGCACATCTTTGAAAAGGCTGGAATTTCTGAAGATGAGTTGAAGGATAAGAAAACTGCCAAGTTTTTGATGCAAACCATTGCTACAGTAGGAGGTGACAGCGGAAATGCAACATTTGCAACTCCACCACCCCCAATGGAAACAGGAAATTTACCAAAACCTCCTGGAAGTAGACCTCCTCCACCGCCATTTAAGGGCGCATCCAGTAGTAGCAGCAGTACTAGCACAGGTGGCACTGGTGGTGGATTTGTTCCTCCTCCTCCAACAAATGTACCAATTGTTGCCAATAATATTCCTCCACCACCTTCTTTGGGTCAAACAGTTTCTGTATCAAGCCCATCGGGTGGTGATGAGAGCGGCGGAGGTTACTCTGGAATGGACATGTTGTCAGAAATTAGATCTAAAAAGCTAAAAACTGTCAAGCAAGAGGATTTACCTGACGTTTCTCGTATGCAAGAGAGTGAGCAAAATAGCTTGGCTCACACTCTTCAAAAAGCCATGGAGCTCAGAAGAGCCAAAGTTGAAATGTCAAGTGAGGAAGATGATGACGATGAAGACGATGATTGGGAATTGTAAATGTAACTTGTCAACTCGTGATTTGTTATTTATATTTGCCTATTTATTATCAATAAATTTTAAAGTGACATTCTTCAATTTTACATGAATTTGTTTTAGGGTGTCATGTTAAAATTGTAAAATTCATCACAATGGTTCAATTTACAACACTTCAACAGGCTGTGAAGTGGATGGTTGGCTACTGGAATCTTGTGAAGATTCGGCAACGCTTGTAGTGTTGTTTGGTGCATGAGCTGTTGCTGCATTATCGGTTGTGTCAGTGGCTGTCGATTGTGATGCGGTAGGTGTTGATGGTGTCGTTGTTGCAGTGGTCGTTGAGGATGGCGTGGTACTAGTAGCCACAGAAAAACTCTTGAGTGGTGGCAAGTATTGCTTGCTTTCATAAATTAAGGCCGACAAGGTAGCCAAATTATCCACACTTCTTTTCAAGTGAGTTTGGATGTTTTGAACTGTTTGATGTGTTCTTCCCATTCCATTGCCTAATCGTGTCAATTCAACATTTACATGCTCCAATGCGCTGTGATACTTATTGTGCAGCAAACTCGCCAATTGTTCATTACAATGTTTCAATTCCTTAATTCGAGATGTCACTTTGATTGGAATTGCATTTGGATTCTTTGATTCAGGATTGGTTGTCATTTCTCCAGTGAAGGCTTTCTTAAACTTTTCCACAGGCTCTGCCAGAGTTGCCACTTGTAATTCAGATTTAAGTTTGTTCAATACTCCAGAAAAGTATGTTGAATAACTTGGTGAACCACCTGTCTTTTCCAAAGATGGGGTAGATGGAGTAGTTGTTGGTTTTGCTGAACTCAGCGAAGAATCTTGCTGTTGCAATGTTGTTTGAGAAGAAGAAGAAGGGATTGATGAAGCTGCATTGGATTCCGATGGTTGTGATTGTTGTTGTTGATCCACAGTAGAAGCTTGTTGTGATCCGGTCAATGTCGTAGTTGCAGCAATTACATTGGTCTTGAATGATTTCCATAATGATGAAAAAGAAGGTGAAGATACAGGAGTGGTAATTGCAGAGGACGTGGTGGTATGGCTTGATGTAGAATTTTCATCATCCGATGATCTGTTTCTTGTTGGGCGTTCATGTTGTTATTCTGCTTTGAAGGTATATTCTCCACTGATTTTTCAATAGAAGTAGTAGTAGCAGTATTATTGGTAGTGTTCTGTACTTGTTGATCATCCATGTTGGAAGTTGCCGATGAAAAAGCTACTGAATTATTTTGATTGGATGATTGTTGCGGAACGAGAGTGGTTTCTTCTTCTTCTTCTTCTTCATCCTCTTCATCATCTTCTCCTTCAATTTCTTGAGGTTGGGCTTCATCATTCCGATCATTGGATGGTTCTTCTTCAAATTCTTCGTGTTCCGAGTCTTCACCTTCGATCATTTGATGTTCTTCACTCATTTTTTAATAATATTAAATAAAAATCTTTATTTAAAATTTCCCATTCAAAGATCTTCCTTGTGAAGAAACGGAGTATGAATGGATTCTAGATTTGTAGAGGATAATTGAAAATGTTTTTGGAGAAGTGCTGATGTTGGATGAATGAGTGGTGGTGGCTTGACTTGTGTTGTTCCATCTCCACCAGATGGTTGATTGCTTTGTGAAGAGTGTGTCGAGGAATTCGAAGAGTGGACATTATTACTTTCTGGTTGTGTCAATAATTCTGAGATTGAGAATGTGGTATCGTGTTCATAATATTCGTTCAATAATTTTGATAATTGTTCAATCCATGCAAGAGAGTCGACGCCTCTAACCTTCTTGTCAATACCTTCAATGTCCATAGCTGCTCTAGTTTTCATGATTAATAAAATGTATTGAATTAATGTTCGCATATGAGGTGCTTCTTTGAGAATGATCTCAACAATCATACGTAACGTGATCGAGTTAGGATATTGCTTGTGTTGAGCCATTTTATCCAATATTGGCTTCATTAATTTCATTCTTGATGTTAAAGGGCTCAAGTTAATAATTCGTAACAATTGTGTATAGTGAACAACATCCAAAAAATCCTCGTCATAGGTCTCGAGTAATTCAATTGCTTTGTTGAGAACGTTCATGTCAACATTGTCTCCAGACACGACTGTTGAAAGGAAGAGAGAAATAAATCTAGGATTGCATGCTATTAACTCTCTAGGATAATATTTTGAGATGATTGTTGTGAGTTTTTTCAACATGGTCTCTCCGTCCATACGATTGAGTTGCATAAATTTGATCATGACAGATCCAAGACTTGAAAGAAGGTCCGCAGTAGGTTCAATTGTTCTCTTTTCAAAACAAGTTTCCATGTTATCAATTATTTTCTGAATTGGATAATCATGCGTGTCCTGGTCTGAAAGTACCAAAGACTTCCAAATGTTGAAATAAATGTTGAAAGTTTGAGCCGAGTATGGAGCCAAATAGTGACTATTAGCCTTATCAGTTGTATAATATTTCATGAGTACAACGGAATCTGCTTTTCGTTTTAAATAGTAACATGTGGTAAGCGCCCAATTTACAATCTCTGTGTTGATAGATTTTGCAGTCTTTAAATACCTCGTAAAGTAGCTCAAATTAATGCTATTTCTACATAGAGCCATCATTATTGATACCAAAATGCGATCGTTCATTGCAATATTCCAATGGTTCATAACAGCTGTCACTGCCTTGATGTCACCTTCGCTAATGTCAACATATGGGTTGCATGTATGTAAAAAGTAAAAGTAACTTTTCAAGAAAGGCTCATCTGGTTTCAACTTCAATTCCGATAGTACATTAATAATTTGTTTTCCTTTTTCGAAAAGGGTTATTCTGATGTGTGGATCTTTTGTTCGACTCACGAAAAATGAATATCCCTTAATAACTATTGCTAGAGTTGCAATATTGAGATGGTTGGGAAAGCGTTTCTTGGTCTCCTCGAAAACATCAAGAGCTTGAATTTCTCCAAGTTCAATTAAATTGTTCAATAATGTGTTAATTGATTTGGTATTGCTGTCTAAAAATTGAGAGAGTGTTGTCAACAAGTATTTGGACATTTCTGGTCTCTTGTATTTGGAGCATTCGTTCAAAAACACTGAAAGAAGGCGTTGAATATTTTTCAGAGGTTTCGTTTCTTGGGGCAGTACATTAAAGGTCATTGAAGAATAGCCTGGTACCATTTCTGCATTGAACACAGAGAGAGGGTTGTATGTTTCACTTGATTGAAAAAGGGTTTCTATTAATCGTTTGAGGGCCTCGAGTTTGTTCTCTCGAATATATGCAAAAAGTAAAACCCTATAATGTTTCCAATCAATCTCCACGTTCAATTTGATCATGTGTAATAAAACGTATTGAACCTTGACATGGAGTGGTACAGTTTCGATATATCCAAGTTTTTCTGATAGTTTTTTGTCACCCTCAATGATTAATTGATCAAATGATGAGTCCTCAAAATTTAAGTCGTATCGCTCCAACAAGCAACACAAAAACATTTTGAATGAAAGCTTATCTATGGGTATGTCACTCTTAATATCCGAGGATTTACGATAATGTCTCGTAGTTTGCTTTGATGTACTAATTAATGTAGACAAGTGATTGGGTGAATTTGATTCTAATGAGAATTCTTGAATTTTTCCTCCCGATAAGAGAAAATTCCAAATATTTTGTAAAAGCAAATATTCTTGATTCAAATTGGTGCAAAAGCATGAAAGAAAATATCGGAGACTCAGTGTAGACATGACACCTAACTCGTAATAAAATTTTGCCAAGCTGATAGATGTTGGGAGATGTTTGTGTTTCTTGGCCACAATATATAAAATGTAGTGATAAAATGATGGAGTTAGCAAATGTCTTTCGTTAGCGTACTTCTTTTGCAGGGAATGGAAGGCTCTCACTGCTGTCGATACCTGTTTGGTATCCTTGGGTTTTTTCTTTATCTGCAGTAAGCAATCTTGAACGTCTTGAGGAAGTAGAAGGAAATCAGGGAACAGTTCAGATTTTTCTTCTGTATTGACTTCATTCATGGTTCATTTTCTACTTCCTCTGTCTCTTCGTCCTCCATGAATTCAAAAGCATTTGAGCTATTCGCAGTGTCATCATCATTATTTTCGTTCAATTTTTTCAAGAATGTTATTTTCGAGTAATAATTGCATGGCTGTTCTGTCAAGTAAATATTGTTCTTGACAAGTATATAATTGCTATTGCTCGTATGATGGTTCTTTGAATTATTTAACAAAATTAATTTTGAATGGTGTTGCGACCCATTACTCCGATTATTCACAAGTGATGGACCTGCTATTATTCTTGATGATACAGACAACATCCAATAACCCGAATGCCATGTGGTTGAACAAAGTGATGATGATGAAGGCGTAACCGAGCGAGATGATGAGGCTGCCTTCCATAATCGTTGTTGGCGAGACATTTTTTTCAAAAAACAAAAAAATACACAAACCACAAAACCAAAATATTTCGGAATAAAATGCTGAAAAACAGCATAAAAGAGGACACAAGATTGCGCCAAGATTTCAAAGCAACAGTAACCCTCACACTAAATACAGCCTCCACTTTTCGTTATGAAGGTCGTACTTAGAGCCAGAGGAGTGATACCCTTGTTCAGTGCTTCCAATACACTGCTGTCAATTTCAGACGCGGATTTGTCCTACATGGCCCTGACATTTTGAATTTTTCTTACAAGAGGTCACTATTGGTTATGATTTTATTATTTGTGAATGAAATAATTCGAGACTTGTCCCGTTGCTGATGATGAAAAAAGAGCTTATCAACTCTTAAAAAAATGCACACATCCTATGGCAAAGCCTTTTCCGCAAGAGCACCAAAGCAAATACTTTTCATTAGCTTGTTGTGGATCTGTGTTTGGATTGTGGTGCTGGTGCAGGGCAAAGAGAGTCTTTTTACAAAGGTTCGGAATCGGTTGTTGGGTGCTTCTAATATTCATGATGAATTGCGAGTCGGAGATGATAACGATGAAATAAGACAAGAAACTAATTTATATTTGCAACGATTGTCAACATTACTGAAGGAAAATATTTACAATCCGGTTCATAAGTCAGCTATTGAATTTTATATTCGGAATTGGTATAGGCAATCAACCACGCCACTGGTGCTTTTTGCTACTGGGAGACCAGGTACAGGTAAAACAAAAACGTTTAATTGTATTTCAGAAGCGTTTTTTGGATGCTCTCAACAACAACAAGGAAAACACAAATGTTATTTGCAAATTAATGGAATGGATTATAGAAATGAACAAAATTTGACAGTAATTGAGAGTGATCTTTCGAAACATGTCATTGATTTTATTAACAAGCGCTACAAGACATGCAACTTGATCATCATTTTAACGGAATATCAACAAGTGGTGCATTATCCAATAGCATCTCTTATTGTGTCCTTACAAAGTAGTAGATCTGCAACACGCTTAAAACCTTTTGTAAATTTAGGAAATGTCATGTTTTTACTCTCCGGAAATAAGGCATATGAAGGTAGCGTGCCTGACGAAAGTCTAATGAAAATGTCAGAATCTGGTGAAGTGTCTCAAGTACAAAGTAGCAATACAATGAAGAGTCGTCCCAAAACATCTGAAATTGACAGGAGAATTGAGAATGATGTTCAATATATTAATGAAATTAATCCTCTCTCTCCATTTGATCAGAAGCTCACTGGATTAACTACAGAAATCAAGAATACATATCTACAAAAAGCTCGTTCTCTATTTACATTACAGAATACTGCAGTATTTACATTCAAGCTTAAATCGGAACAATTACAAGAGGTTATGAAGCTGAAAGTAGGTATTGCTCTTACAGCAGAATTATTCAATTATTGAACGTAATTCAAGATACGTGAATATATTTACATGATCCATAACCTGAATTCAAATATTATTATTGACATGGACATTACTGAGGCTTCCAGGTTGTTGTTGAACCATCTAATTCAAACATCTAAATGCTTCTATTCTAGACCTGGAGGAGCAATTCAACATTACATGCAGTCATGGTTTAAGAGTATTGTGATGAATAGCAATGAAGATGGTTTATTGTTATCGACACACGATATTCTAACCAATTCACACACAATCACCTTAGCCTCATACAAGTTTTCACAAATTGAAAACTTGAAATGTGAATTTAAAGAACAGAGTATATTGGCGAAAATGCTAAATATTTATAACAATAACAAGCAATTTTCCAGATATATTCAAAGCTCCAAGAATATTCAGATTGAATGCAAGTTAAAAAAGATTGACAATGTTGAAATTGTTTACCTTCGTCCATCAGGTACCTTAGTTAAATTGGTAAATTGGGTGACCCGTACGCAATATTTCAAGTTTCCAGAATCCACCATTCAGCAGTACAAATCAAAACAAAAAGAAATAGACTTGGCCACGACGCCCAGACTTTGTTTTCCAACTGAAACAACCAATTTATATGCATCAGATTTCAAGCAAGCCTCTGACCATACGTACACACAATTGTGTTAGAGGAGATATTGATGTAATTTTTTCACAGAATATTTCACGTAAAGTCTCACATACTCGTTCTCGGAGTTACTTGATTTTGAAATCAAACTCTGCTGTCAATTATTAAAACTTGAACATCGCCCACGATCAAACAACATTCTAAAAAATGGCATCAAGCAAGGTTTGGAATTCACGAACGAGTTCCTTCATTATTGTAACGATCATTTTGATCGTCCTCCTTATTCCAACGAATGATCATCAAATACAAGCACAACAACAGGAAGAATTTTATGATCCAACGGTTGGTCCAACGTACGAAAAACCACATTTTCGGAGAGCAGAACAAGTGAACAAGAATTTGACTGAAGGATTAAATTTTCATTTCGAAAGTCCCGATCCGAAATTATTAATTGATGATTTCACTCATCACTCGCTAGATACGGCTTTATATATTGTATTGGGTGGAATTGCTATCTTTTTGTTGTTTTTTCATTGTATTTGAAAAAAGAAGGAAATATTTTGGTTGCCTTCGTTGTAGCACTACTCATTTCGACCAATATTGTGATTTTGATATTCTTTGGATTCTCTGTAAGAAGTGAAATTATTGAATTTTCTTTGGAGCAACGAGTCAAGTGTCGAGAAACGGAATTGCAATTTTATGAAATGTGTCGACAGCAAACAACTCTCTCTGTCACTGATTTTCTAACAGGAAGAGCAATTTTGAAAGATGGAGAGAAAATTAGCCAAGATTGCTCCAAACTCATTTCAAGTCATGTTTATTGCGATGCCTCAAAACACTTTACAAATTATTTTCAGGTTCTCAACCGAGTTGTGGGAAGAAGTGCAGCTGAGGTGACAAATGCATTCTTTGGAAATTTAACATTTTCATCATTGAGTTGCTTGATCCTTTTTGCGAATATTATCTTTGCTTATGTTCTGCTTGCCATTTACTTTTTCGGTAAAGTCCTTGTGGCCACTCTGGATAAATTTCTTGCGGCCAAAGAGCAAGTTCGTAGGGAAGTCGTTCACGAGCATAAAAAAATCAGTAATTTCAATAGTGGAGATAAATCAGAGATGGTTGGGCAAACTTTTGATGATTCTCAATCCGTTGTAAACGCAGAAAAAGACGGTGAGGATGAGTAAGGTCAATACATATGATGAAATGCAATATTGTTGTTTTTGACTTGGTCTTCATTGTCATTTCACGACGCATGAAGTAGATCGTGTTGAGAAAACACATCATTTGTAATTGTTAAATTTGTTGATCATTTGAAGAATTTCTATCGTTTGATAATTCTCTGAAACAATCGATCATGTTTCTCGAATTCTTTCAATGTCAATCCAGGAGTCTTAAATATGCTAATCAAATTTTCTAGAATGACATTCCTTAATGTTGTCATTGACCCATTCTTCTGCATGAGTGTGTCATCCAATACTTGACTCACAGTTTTTCCATAAACTTTTGTTAACATTTCCAACATTTCTAAAGATGTCACATTTTTCAGAATTGTGTTCTTCATGTAACGTTCCCAAACTTCCTTCTGATCCATGTTATAAACTTGATGAAATAACCGAATTAATCTCTCACTCAATTCCACAGAATCCAGCTCTACAGCCACTTCAACTACCTGTAGCTGTCTTTCTTTTGAAAATCCATCCTCCTCTTGAAAAGTAAATCCATAATATCGATTGAGTACAATTCGATTGAGACCCAATGCGATTGCTTGCACTGGATCATCCCACAAGAATAAATTCAAACAAGCTCTCATCACACTCAATTGCAACACAATCAACGGCATGCAAATTCCAATGAGCAATAAATATAATATTGATCTTTTACAAAATAATATTGAATGATAGGACTGCTTTGGTTTCAAAAATCCGTGAGCTTGAAATCGTTTGGAAAGCTCCCTAGATTTCAATAACTCATCCATACTCGCACTCTCTAACATTTTCTCGACATGAAGATAGGACATTCGGGTTTGTTCTTGATACTCTTCAGGTGTAATTTTTTGGTGGTAACATTTTGGTGTCCTTGTGGAATGATGCCAATAATCATGATCATTTGCCTCTTCCGTTCTTATGATGTTTTTGGAAGAATATTTGCTGTACATTTTTTGTGAGTTTCATTGTTTGATTATTGATGGCCTTCCAGTTGATTTGATTTAAAAAATGCTGCCGTCGGCCCATCCATCATCACGGTGCTATCCGTGTTGTAAAACACATTCATCCCAATTAAATTTTCCAAAAATTGATGGTTTGACGATGACGGATATTCATTCAGGAACAACGAAATCAGTAGGGACCAATAACTACCCAATGATTGAAATGCACTCATGTTTTGGAAGTTCATCCTCCACGACCGCTACTCGTACTACTGCTATTCAAACAGCCGGAACAGTTGTTGCAAGAAGATTAAAATTATTGAAAAGACATTTAAATATTTCCAAATGGTTTGATAATTCTCATCAAACAAGAAATCATCAGTCATTACAACAAAGCAACAAGAACCAATCAATTTCATCATCTAAACATGTTACGGATCCATCCATTCCATCATCGGAAACAAAGAAAAAAAATTCTACAGAATTATTTAGGAACTTGTATTACTTTTCAAAATGGATGCTAATTGTTACGGGAGCTACTCCTTGTTTATTGATAACATTTGCATCTAGAATTATTCGGAATTTAGGAATTGGTTTTGTCAAGCAAATACTGATCCATTGATACGATTGAAAGATCGAATTGTGACAAAATTTGTTATACGAGCGTCGAAAACAACATCCTCTCTCTCTGAAAAAGAACAACTCTTGAAAGATTATATCATTCTTTCGCACTTGTACCTTATTCATCCAATTATCGTCTTTTTTTGTAAATTATTTTTCTGGGCACTTTTTAATCAATTGACAGTTCTGTACGAGAGTGATTTAGCTAGGAATTTGCAACAGCTCAATGCATTTGAATATTACAAATTAATGAACAATGAAAATCCAAACATGAAAGTTTCAAAATCTCTCACACTACATGACGAACAGCTCATTAAGCATAATGGACCTTATATTTTCGCAATTGGAAATCAACGCAGTTTAGCAGATGGTATTGTGGAATTGGCTTACAAAACTCAAAACTCTGTCACCATCATGAACATTGAAATGGCATTATTTCCATTCTTTGGATGGATTAGCTATGGTGTTGGAAGTGAGGTCATTATTCGTCAACTTCCCAATCAATCTTGGAATGTTTTAGATTATATGAGAAAGACCATGAAACGAGGACTCTTTCAAACCTATATTTATCCTGAAGGTGCCAGACAAACTTCTGACAGTCGAGAATTACTCCCTTACAAGATGGGTCTTTTCATGTTAGCCATTGAAACTCAAGCGAGTATTGTACCAGTTATTCATTATGGAATTGATGATATTTGGCCCTACGATGATTGGCGAATATATTCTGGTAATAAGGCATATGTTGTGATTGGAGAACCAATTTCTACAAAAGGCATGGTACTTAATCAACGATTTGAGCTCATGGAATTGTATCGAACGCGAATTAAGGAAATGATTCAACATCTGGAAGAACGAAAAGGCAAGCATCAAATTGACAAGTATTATAAAAAGTTGTGATTTTGAGTGTGTGTCATGTCCATCACCAAACAATTGATTTTCAATTTTTAATTTGTTTATTAAAACAAAAAAAAATGGATATTTCTAAATTCCTTGCAGATGACTTTGATCCGAAAAGTTGGATTAATGAAACACTCTCATCATCAGTGTCAGTCGGAAATACAATAACTTCATCATCATCGGAACCAGTAGTACTCTCGGGAGGCACCTCTTTAACACCTCCATTGGGAATGGGCGGTTCATCACCCATGATGATGACAATGGATATGAGTTATCAAGTAAATCAAGTCATGCTGAAATTACAAGTTTTATTCTCGGATTTAGGATCGTATATGGAACAGGAAGTAAAGACATCCATTCAGAAAATTCCAAATGCCCTGTTTGAAATTGAAAAGATGCAAGATCAAACCATTAATTTATTTGTTTCTGTAACGAGTCTTTATAAGAAGATTGAAAAAATTGATTCGGAATGCTATGAAGGAAACAAACATTTTGAAACATTGAAACAATTGGTACACCTCAAGATGGCTCTCTCTTCTATATTGTTAACGTTGGAACAATCCAAATCACTGACAAAGTCCATGCAGCAATTGGATTTATTATTCCGAGATCGTGCCGCATCGACACTTCATCCAGGACATTCGAATATTTCACTCTCTCCGAACAATGTGTCCACATCATCATCGGGAGCCAAATCTCCAATATCCACCACTCAAAGTCCAAACTTGAACCAAGTCTTTGCGGGAGAAGCATCGTCGCACAACAAGATGTATCAATGGAAACTTTGAGAGAAATGACGAATCAGATTTGTTGTGTCGAAGAGGGAGTACGAACATTGGAACCATACAGTGAAAAAGTGAAAACAAAATCAAAACCAAAACTGTTGCAATACAAGGAAAAGCTCATTAAATCTCTCATTGGAGGAAAATTCGTGGCGGAAATGATGGAATCGTCTGAAAAGAGAAATATTGAAGTGTGCAGAGAGCTGATTTTATTAACCCAACGAATTGACAACATTAATGGTATTTTCACAATTTTCGAATTGTATTATGAGAAAAACTATAAGGAAGTTATTCAACAACAAACCAAGCAGCAACAATTTTTCAATCAAATTCTTTACATGCTCAAGCACGAAGACAATATTTATCGAAAATTATTTCAGGGATTTGCCTCTCAGGACGAGTTGAGAAATCAAGCCAAAATTAAGCTTGTAGAATATTGTTTCAATCACAAAAATTGCTCTCTCGTGCAAACCGATGATTTACAGCAATTGGTAATGATCCAGTACAAATCGACCAAGCTTTTTGCCAAGCAACTTGAAGATCTTGCCAAATATCAATCCATTCAAAAGCTGCTCTTTGAACCGTTCGCTGTGACCCAATCTTCCTATTTGAAAAATCTCGAGAAGGAATATCTCATGAAACAAGTGAGACCACATTTATCCATGAGCGACAATTTTGTAGAATGTGTCGATGAAGCTCTCAATGCATTATTTGTGGAATGTGAAAATGCTTTGGATCGATGTATTACTTTTACCTACGGTATTGAGTCTCAAATGTTTATTCGAGTCATTAATCAAGTATTTGAAGAATTTGGAATTTTAATAAGCAAAACAATTCAGACAGAAATGAGCAAGACAGTCAAATCAAAGAAGACCACAGCCATACAAACAGATATTTCATTCACAACCAAAGACAGAGAGAGTGTACAAAATGCTCTCAAACTCTATGAATTACTTCATGACAAGGAAAATGGAGTCAAGAAAAAGTTAGAGGATTTGGAACAAAAAATCAAGTCCAAACTTCTTGATGCTCTCAAAGAAGTTCTTGCAAAGAATGTGGACGAGCACTATGTGAAAATTCAAAGCGAACAAGTCTTTATTCAGTTGAACAATTTTTATAACAGTCTACAGGAAGTTCAATTTCCGTTGTTTACCATGGCATTCAAGTCAGTGGATATTAATTTGTTGCAGCCTTCACACAACTTGGCAAAAACCACACTCATGACATTTATTTCCTCTCTCGTTACGGGAGCTACAAAGAACTTGACAGGTAAATCATACTATCTCTCACTGATAGATCCTGGAAATACTGTGGAATATGTGGATGACATTCATTTACCAGAATTACAGCACTCCATCCCACCTTCGAAATTTGTGTCACAAGTCGGTGAATATCTCATCAAGTTACCTGAGCAATTGGAAATTTTAGCCAATGATGATTTTGTAGCGTATTGGATTGACAAAATTTGTAAGGAAACATTGAATTTATTGTCGTCAAGCGTGGAGGCACCTAAGAGCGGAAGCAAGTTTCAAATTCTTCAGTGGAATGCAGATATGCGTTATTTAAGGCACGTATTGGTCGATGTACTCGATTTTAGTGGATCTGAGTTGAATATTTTGACTACCATTGGAAAATAAAGCCACTCCTCTATAAATATGTTGCCTTAAGTGTGATTAATCGTTGTCGATGAATGAGAATTTTACTATTGTTGTTTAATTTTTATGGTCATCCGTCTTCGCTGTTATTGACTCTTGGAAATGACAAAGTAAGCATTTCTACATTTGACTGCAGCACGTCTCACCCTTCTCTTCTTGTCATCCAAACAAGCCTCTAGACCTCTAATAATCTCCTTCTTGAGGGGAAATATTTCATGATAGGGAAATCCAATCGTAATTTCATGAAGAGCCTCCAAAGATAATACTCGAATATTTTGTGACCGTTGATACTTGGCAGTCTCTAGAAGTATGGGAACAAGAGCACTCAAATGCACTGCCATTTCCTCTTTGGCATCTGTCAGCAATGTCAACGTTGTCTTGATAGCAGCATATATTAATTCTTCGTGTGAGCTTCATCTTGTGCCAACGAAGGTCTCATTTCCAAAAACTTTAAAACAATTGGGAAAATATTTTTCACTTCACTCAAAATAACTTGTGTTGGAACATTGTGAATCAAATTCGACAGTGCCAACAATATGGATCCAATGATATGAGGTTGATGACTTGTAGTTGTAATAGAGTCCATTAATTTTCGAACGTTCATAGCAAAGAATCTCTGCTTGTACAGTACTTGCACAATGGCGTGATTGTCTCTGTGGAGTGAATTTTCATCTTCTCCAATGGCTGTCAAAAAACAGTCAGCTGCTTTCTTGTTGAGTTTTGATGAAAAATGTTGTTGAGGAAATTCAAATACGAGACATGAGCATAAAATGTTGGAATAGGCATCTGCATACACGTAAGCTCCTCGCATGACAAGTCCTTTCAAAATCCAAGACAAGACTTCTAAATAACGGTCCAATGCTAAAATATGATCCGTTGGGATAGCAATACCATTCAACACTTGAGAAATTGGTTCTAAAACGAGAGTATTGCAGAGGGAAGTCAAATATTTAAATTCATTCGATTCGAGAGGAAGTTTGTTGAGGAGAGATGCAATGGCTTGGGAAAGGAAAGACGTGACGCCCATTGGATGCAAATTCTGCAAGGACAAGCTCAATAAATTTCCAGCCATTTCTACAATACTTGTCGTGTTCACTTGAGGATGGCATGAAACAATTAATGCTGAAAAAACGGAAGTAAATTTCTTGATGGAATGACCAGAGAGACGAAGACCAATGTTTCTCTGCAATATCTCATCTAATATTTGTTGCTGTTGTTCAAATGGAAGTGCTCGATTAAGTAAGAGGCAAATATGTGACATTTCTCCTCGATGGGGATGTGAGTGGTCATGTCCACAACCAGCTCCACAAGACGATCCAAACTGGTCATCCATTTCTGCTTCAAGTGGCTCTTCATCAGTCATCATTTCATTGTTAATGTTATTATTATTGTTATTGTTGGAAATTTCTTCCTCCATTTCAGAGAGTTCAATCAGTTTTCTAATATATTTCATTTTCTGTGAGTCTTCAATTAAGGTGACATCCAATCCACTGATGGTTTCTAATATTTTTGTTTTTTCATTTTCCTTATTCATGTTCTGTTGTGTTAAATTGAAGGAAATCCGCTCAAATAATTGTTCAGTGATAAACGGTGTTAGCGTTGGGCAAACGGTTCCTATTTGTGAAATGACCGATAAAATGCGGTTGATAATCTCGGAGCGGTTTTGACACGAGTATAACACTTGAATGAGCGGAATAATTACATCTTTTTGAATAATATCTGGGGCATATTTGTAAATCCAAGAAATATCCTTAACAGAACGATCCTTATACTCTTCCAATGATTTTGCATGTAAGAGTGTAAATGACTTGTGGTCCTCTCCATATGATTTCAATAAAATTCTATTCACATAGACATCTTTCAAAAGGGAGGATTCAATTCTGAAAACCGCAAATCTTGAAATTAGTTCGATAATAACAAGAATCATTTCCTTGTCATCCTTATTGAATTGCTCTTCATACATGGAGATAAATAACGTCTGTGCTTGTCCTATCAGTTGAACAATATGTTGTGGAATGTTGTTCAAGTGTGAAACAGTAAATGCCTCTGCTAACGCTTGCAATACTTGTGTCATCATGAGAAATGTTCCATAAATTTTGTCATAGGTCTCTGATTCATTGAGAATGGTAATAAGCTCTGGAAAAACTCTATTGAAAACAATGACGGAAATGTCGCTCGAAGCTACTCCACATGCATAGAGCATTCGAGCGTATTGTGCAGCAAATTTGCACTCTTTGGAACGTAGCTCAACGAGAGCAGTTCTCACAATTGCTTCAATATTTGGAACGTCAAATTGCTTAATACGAGAATCATTTGGAAGGACAACCACTCTTGTCGTTCTCGTTATGAATTCATAGCACTTTTTCATGACATCTATGGAACTGGTTTTGATAGCTTCAGCCTTAATATATGCCCAAATTTCAGTTAAATATTCTTCAACCACGGAAGGCCCATACTGTTCAATACAATAGCACATGTATTCTAATGCTTCAATTTTGGTTTCAATGAGATCACTTGAAAGTTTCTCTAAAAGAAATGGAAATAGACTTGGAGCGAAATACTTGTTACATGCAAAACATTTCAAAAGCTTGTTTGAAATATCACTTCTGGTGATACCTCTTGTATCATTAGGAGGAGGTGTATACGTGATTGGAAAGTAACAACTAGTGACATCAAATAAATCGTCAGAAATGCCAGTCAAGATTTTTTCAGTATTCTCAGACTGCATATCGAATAATTCAATAATTCGAGGAACCATATCAAAACAAGTAATGAGATTGGCAGGATCACGTTCTCCCTCAATTGATTGAATAAAACCATTCAAAAAATTCACAGATTTGACAATGGATGGAAATTTGTCAATGAGCAAACTAAACCATTCAAAACACATGGCTCTTGTTTTTGTTGCGCTCTGCACTCCTGAAGCACTTGCAATGGATTGAACATTGACATTCTCAAAAAATTGAAGAACAATGTGAGTGCATTGTTCAAGAGAGATGAGATTGGGCCATCTATTAAAGCACACAAATAAACAAGGTACTAGAGTTGCCAAACAATCAAAGTCATATAATCGATCAGTTATAAATCTTAATAGAGTTGTTACTAGTTTTGTTTGATGATCATCTTGATTATCCATGTTTTGATCGGGAACGTTTTCCAAAATTAAATGTAAGATTGCATAGGCTGAGCCTCTAATCTTTTCATCGGTTGCATGATTTAAATATTCACCTAATAATTTAATTCCATCATTGATGGAGAGTCTTCCTCCCTGCACATGATCAATGAGAAGCCTTTTCGCTCCCTCTTTTTTTGATGATGGAATATCGGGATTGCAAAAGGTATCAATGAGAGAAGCAATTTCGCTGAGAATGATGCTTCCGGGCTCGATCATGGCCGCTGTATTGGTTGATGATTGCATGTTGAATAATTTTCTCAGCAACGAAGAATAATTTATCTGTGCACAATGATGAAATTTTGCTCAGCCAAAGGCAACGATGAATTGTGTTGGTGCTTATTTTTTGTTGTGTGTGAAAATTATTTTCTTGAACAACACGCACAGGTCATGGACAGCGCGATGGAAATGCATTGCTTCAATATTGAACTTTATTGCCATGAAAGCGCTGCATGGATTAAAAGGTTTTTGGTGTCAATGCATCCTCTTCTTCTGCAGCAGCTTCCTCTTGTGAAGAATTGGTAGCTTGTTTCTTCTTTTTCTTTGTCGATTTCTTTTTCTTGGCTGAAGAAGATGAGGGCAGAGGTTGAATGGCAAGAGAGGACCATTCGTCATCACCTCCATTCGTAGCAGGTGGAGGAGTAGAAATGATGCTTTCGTTATGGACAACTTCTTCGGACACAGAGTTTGCTTCCTCAGTTGTTGTTGGTACGGTCACCTGGTCATCATTGGTGGGAGTAGAAAATGTTATTGTATTGATTTTCTCATCATTCGTCTCTTGTAATGTGGTGTCTTGTTGTGTCACAACATGTTGACTCGATTCCGCTTCTTGAACTGATGTCAACGATGATGGTTCAGTTTCTTGAAGGTCTTGATTTGGCTGTTGTGATGGGGCAGAAGGTGAGATCATGTTGTCCAAACTTGATTGTTGTTGTGAGGAGTCAACCATGATGTCAGAAGGATGTGGTGCTTCCTCTGCTTCCTCTGAAGAAAGTGGCGTTGCAGTGGATGTCAAATTTTCATCCACAATCTTGGCGTTCACAAGATTTTCCTCAGAATTAGGATTAACTTGTTGATTATTATTTGTTGAAGGCTGTACATTGGTTACAACTGTTGGAGAGGACAGAGATGCAGTTGTTATTGAAGCTTGGGTTTGTGGTAATGTTGATTCTTGTGGTTGTATTGCTTGTTTGGGTGTGATTTTGATTTTGTTGGAAGATGTCGCAACTGGTGCCATCGGGACACTCACAAAATTGTTCTTCAATAATCTGATACTATCTGAGAAAATCCATGGTGTGTTTGAATTGATTGATTTACAGGCCAACAAGGCATAATCAGCATCATAGATTTTTTCATTGACTTTTTTGGTTTTCAATAAATTCTGCGATGATATCATAATTTTGAATTCATGCAAAATTCAACATGAATATTAATGAATGTTGATAACATAAAAATTAATAATCAAACAATTATTTTCAAAAAAGTATTCGCAAAATATTCAATCCGATGACGGCAATGATATTGATTAAATTATTGAAAGATGGCCAATAATCGCGAGATCCTACCTTTTGTTCCACCATATAGGGCACTTTAGATCTCACATGCTCCACAATCCGATACATTCCAACGCTTGGCTCATTCATGACATGATGAATATGCGAGCTCCACATATTACCCACATTAATAACCGATTGTTTAGTGTCCAGATCAAGAAACCGATCTGAAGAATCGGCCAACGTTGGTACCGATCCTTTATAAATTTCTCCACTGTGGGTGGGAGTGTGAACTGACTGTTTCATCATGAAAGAATTTTTTTTGATAATTTTGTTTAATTTTGTTTTGAGCACAGTTAAATTTTGACAATTTCAATGTGTCAACCTTAAATATTTTAAAACATGTTCAATACAACACCTTAGTATTAGGACCTAGTAGTTGAGTTGGAATCTTGATGATCATTTCTTTAAAAAACCAAATGTCTGAAAAAGTCATTTTCTAAAAGAGTTTAATGTTCAAAAAAGACACTGACCTCTGCATCCATTATTCGAAGGTTAAAAGACAATAATTAGTTATACACACTCACACAGAAAAAACATCTTGATTACAGCAATTATACGTTCTTTTCATTTGCCTCAACTCATGTGGTCCCTTCTCTCTCTCGTTGTATATTTCTTCTTTTTATTCATCGTCAGTCTTTTCTGATCAAATTCTATGAAGGAGTTTGTGTGGCCTGTATTCGAGATACGAAAACACGAAAAGCCATCAAAAACAAACTCACTATTTGGCAATCTCTATCCTTGCTCTTATTCAACCATGATCAACCGTTACCAGATAAATTATTTCAAATTTCGAAATCATTCCATTTTGAACCCTTCATCTTTTACATGAAAGGTTTCATCCCAACGGTAGTCTTTTCAGATAATCATGCTGCCAAGACGATATTGATTGAAAAGTGGAAGAATTTTGAGAAGAATACTCAATTGTTAAATCCCTTTCAGAAATCCTTTATAGGCAACGCATTGGTATTCATGAATGGTGAGGAATGGCACGCCAATCGTTCAGTGTTGAATCCTTCCTTCCAGCACGTTGAAAAGTATTGGCAACCCATGTGTGAAACCATTTGTAAATGTATTTCGAATATGGAATGGTATGGTTCATTGCAGGACGTGTCATCCGAAAAGAAATCTTACAAGATCAAGATTAAGGACATGCTCACACGACTCACTCTCGACGTGATTGGACTCTCTGCTCTCGATTCCGATTTCAAATATTTGGAACCTGTGGAAATGAATCGAATCGACAAGTATGAACAAGTGTTGCAAGCATTCGGTTACTTGTTCCAGCATGTGAATTCGTGGGAGAGAAATTTAGGACTTTTCGGCACCGTATATTCCATGCTCCCCATTGAAGATAATCTCAAAATGGAACAAGCCATGAATACTTTGAACTCTTTCATCTATTCCCTTATTGAGGAAAAGAGAGAAAAGTTTATTACAGGCAAAAAGGCAACCACTCCACAAGAAGATCAAATCACTTCCATTACCGAACAAGTCATGGGAACCACACCTCGGGAAAGGAGTGCCATTGAGAATCTTCTTTGGAAGTATTACGAATGTGAAAAAGCCTCAGAAACCCATTCCAAAGATCAAGTCATGAACAAAATTTCCTTCCGCAATTTACGAGATGATATCTTGCTGTTGTTCATTGCAGGACACGCCACGACAGCAGAAGCCTTGGTTTTCTTTTATTCCAATTGGCTCAACATTCTGAGATTCAGGATCGTTTGGTTCATGACGAATTGAAAAAGTGTTTCCTTGGAGAGAAGTTTTGTAAGAATTCATGGAAAGCACCTCATGAATGTGACATTCTGATCAACTCCATGGATGATATTCACAGAATGAACGAAGAACTGCCTTATTTAGATGCTGTTGTGAATGAAAGTTTGAGATTGATACCGCCATTGGGAATGTTGAATCGTTTGACATGTAGTGATGAAGGCAACAAACATAGTTTCCAACTCGTGAATGGTTTGAAAATTCCCAAAAACTACTCAGTTTCACTCTCGATTAAAGCCATTCATTGCAATCCTGAAATATGGGGTGAGGATTGTGAACGATTTGTACCTGAACGATGGATTCAAATGAAACAGCCACCAATGACAATGCCATCGTCGTCCTCGTACGGTACCACCTCTCCTTCTTCGGTACATTCTCCCACTGGTATTTCCCCAGCTATTGAATTGCCTCAAACTTCAGAAATTTTCAATATGGGAGAATCCATTCCACCCATGACAAAGAAGGAAGAGAAATTGATTCCAACTGAAGATGAAAAACAAAGAAATCAATCCTGGTGCAGCAACAAACTCCAACGAGTGCCTCAGCTGCTTCCTCGATGATTCAACCCTCTGAGAAATTACCTCATTCTCATCATCCCATGATTTGTTCCTATCTTCCATTCGGTGCTGGAGCTAGAGTTTGTTTAGGACAAAAATTCTCATTGCAAGAACAAAAACTCTTCGTCATACACTTGTTGAGTAAATATCAAGTCTCCTTAGATACCAAGAAAGAAGGAGCTTCTGAAAAACCACGAATGAAACTGTTAGGAAATACTCCATTCAGTCTCAGTGACGATACGAAATTAATCTTTACGGAAAGACCAATTGAAATACCTTTGGAGTATCACTTGTATGAGGAGGATTTTGATAAGCAACACATTACAGAAGGTAAAAGTGTGGGAGATACTGGAGTGGGATTGAATGCAGATGAAGAAATTCCAAGTACGAGTCGGGAGTATCATCCTTTAGATATTATTCATCAAGTGGATAACTATCAGTGAGAGGAATGAGATGGTTGTTTGACTAAGCATGGTGTGTGTAAAAACCTTAATACAAACTCAATGTATTTGAAGCACTCATTGACTGGAACGAATCCTATAGTGCCAAGATTCATTTCTCCAACAAATAGAATCACAAATTGGGAGTTCATTCTCATCGTTGTTTTTCTTTTCATGGGCTTGTCGTAATACGTGCACACATGTACGAGAGTGTACGAGCGCACCAATTCCTTTTCCATAAATCTGAACTGTGAAGCGCACACAAACCTCAAAAAGAATCAATAGGAAAAAACGTCATTGAATCATTCATTCGATCATCATGGTTTCTTCTTCTCTCATGTTGCCTTCTCTATTTGGGGATCTTGATCCTCTCTTGTCGTTGATTGCATCCATTGGTATTCTTCTGTTTGTCTTGGTGTTGATCCTTGTATTGGAGAGGTACTATTCGTATCGGAAACTGTGTCAGAAATATGAACATTTACCTGGCTATACTCAATTTCTTCCTCCCATGGTTGCTGCTCTCCTTCCTTCATGGTTATTACCTGAAGGAACACTCACCAATCCTTCTGGACATTTTCTCATGGACCAGATGAAATCATCAACAAAACAATTTAAAACTGATCACTACAAAGTCATATTTGGATTCATCAATTTGGTGTTTATTGTCGTTACAAATCCCGAGATGGGTAAAGAAATTGCAACGAAAGGAGCCAAACTGTACAAGAAGACCACTCAAAGCAAACGTACTTTCAAGGAGCTTTTCGACGGGAGTAACATCTTTGCAGAGGATGATCACAACGTTTGGTCTCATCAACGACACTTGATTGAGCCAAGCTTTGCTCCCGAGTCGTTGCGTATGGTTGCGCACGTTACTGAGGAGACCTTAATGAAAGACATGATTCCATATTTGAATGAACATTTGAAACAAAGAGAGGTCATGTCAGAATTTGCCAAACTCACCATGGATGTGATTGGTAAGGCTGGCTTCTCCTATTGTTTTGATAGTTTTCATAATAGTGCTTCTTCGGGACACGAAACATTGGAACAAAAGACAAACTTTTTCCTTCAATATGTCGACGCTTTAAGAATTGTACCTACTCGGTTTTTAAGGAAACATTTGAAGGTCGGGCTCTATGCCAAGTTGCATGATTCGGTCGACTCTTTTCAGCGTCTTATTATGGACATCATTCGAAAACGAGAGTTGGAGGAGGGTTCGAGTTTGAATCATGAAGACAAGTCAGATATCTTGTCCTTGTTATTACGAGACAGAAAAAGTAAGCAACATAATGGAGGAAGTTTAACCGATGCGGAATTAGTTTCCAACGCATTTGTTTTACTTGTGGCTGGACATGAGGTAAGTGTGACAGAATTTTCCCCAAGTTATTTGTAAAGACAAAAATCGTACTCCAAATATCATGATTTCTCACAAATTGAAACAACTGCAATGCAGACCACTGCTCGAACTCTTGGATTTTCTCTCTATTTGTTGAGTAAAAATCCTCACATCCAAGAAGAGTTGCATCGTTTTGTAGATACTTTTTGCAAAACATATAATAAGGAAACATTCGACTATGAAGACTTCCATTCAGGAAGATTGGATTATATCAAAGCAGTTTTTAGAGAAACACTCCGATTGTATCCAGTTGCTATTGGAGTTGTGAGAGAATTGATGAAGACCATTGAATGGCACAACCAACCAATTCCAAAAGGTTCACTGCTGGTGTATTCATGGGTTCTGTCAATGACCAGCGATGAATATTGGGAGTACCCCAATGAATTTAAACCAACAAGATTTTTGCAAGCAGAAGGCAAGAGTGAGGACCCAGTTTTTGGACAAGTCTACAACCCTCAAACAAATCCGTTTGTTTACACTCCTTTCGGTATTGGAGGAAGGATATGTAAGTATTTTATTGAGGTCGAACGAATTTTTGAATTCCCATATATTCTAATGGACCTTATGTGACATGATGGAAATGCTACTATTCAATGTGACTCGTACTCTCGATCTTTTTGACATCCACAGGTATCGGAAAACACTTTGCAGAAGTAGAAGGAGTCATTGCTTTGGCTTACCTTGCTAGAAATTACTCTTTCCAATTGTCAGATCCAAATTATAAATTGAATGTCGACATGAAAGTAACATTGAGACCCACTGAACCCTTACTTGTGGACTTTATTAAAAGAAGATGAGTTTTTCTTGTTCGTTACAAATAAAAGTTCGATTGAACGCAAGAAGTGCAAATTCATTAAAAAAAATGAGAAAACGTAAAACTTCATCATCTTCATCTGCCCAATCCTCGTCATCGGGATCATCAAGTACCATGACAACTTCCATCAATGAAAAAACAAAATATCAACTCAATGATTTAATACATACCGCATGCTGTAAAAACAATGAATTTTTTGTGCAGGATTCTGTATTGCAAACGTTCAAATCGATTGTCAAGCAAGGTGATGTTTATGTCGAGTCAGCCTATCATCAATTAATGAAAAGTATATTGCCAATGAAAAATTCCACGAAACGATATTTGGCACTTGTGTTTATTCATGAATGCATGCGGAGTAAAACCTTTAGGTATGTGAAACGAGTTGTTCATTATACTTTGGGGAATTAATAATGAATTTTCAACTTGACACATTTTAAAATCATCATGAAAATAGAGCTCTGCTGGCAAAAGATTTTCAAGAATTTATTGTTCTCACAGTGCAAGGAAGTCCCTCATCGAAAAAAGATAAAGCCACATCCACGGCGAGCAATGGTAAAAACTCGATCTATCTCAAACGTAAAAATTCAAAATATAGTAACTATGAAGCTTGCATGCCCAATGTATTGCCTCCTCCAGAGAAATCAGCCATGTTGTTGAGGAAAAAAGCTCTCGAATATATCGAGCAATGGAGTGAAGTTTATGGCGAAATTTATCCTTCGTTTAAGAAGGGTCATGACTATATTGAAAAGGTTCTAAAATTTCAATTTCCAAAATTGAGAGAGCATCATCTGGATACTGCTCGAATTGAGGCTGAAAGAAAACGTCACACTCAAATCATATTGATGCAAAAGTATAAAAAGATTCGAGATGAAGAATTTGATGAACAGTATATTCATATTGAGGTTTGCTTGAGGCAGCTCGATGCATGCTTGGATCAAATTGTTCCAACTTTTGAAAACATGATGAAAGATGCTCTTTTACAGGAAGAGAAGGCTGCAGAAGAAGCCAGTAATAATGATGACCGTGGGAAACAAAATAATGCAATGGAACATGTTCTTGATTCAACAGTGAGTGATGATGCAAGTGTTGCTGACGGGGTTACAGAAATTGATACTGAGAAGAACACGACCAGTAGTTCTGAAGTAGAGGAGAATATCGGTAACAACAGTAACAATCATGTCATAGATGTAAAACCTTTTTATTTTGAAGAAGATGAGAATGACCAAGACGAAAACGGTGAGGGAAACGAATGGGAAGAAGTGGTGGCTTCTGACCATGTTGGTGGAGATGATGAAATGGATGACCATACAATCTTTTCAAATGCAGAAGAAATGATGCGAGATATTGGAATTTTTTCAAACGATTATGAAATTGTCATTGACTTGAGGGACATTTTCCAGGACAATGAGACGGTAGACAATGAGGCATTATTCGAAATTTGTAAGGAAAATTTACATACCCTTAGAAAAGTCTATCTTCCTCAAATCAAGGAATGGATGAGAATCATGACCAGTGTTGAATTAACGGAACAAGCTGACATTTCCATTCGTCAACACATGCTCATGAAGTGTATTGATATGAAGAATAGAATGAACGACATTTTTCAAAAGTGTGAAAAACTTCAAATTGAAAGCGCTGCAGAAACAGCATTATCGGTTCGAAAAAATTCAAGAAGAAACTTGGAAGAACAAATTGAGAGAGCTCGAATGATGGAACATCAAATTGTTCAAGATTTAATTTCTCAAAGGAAGAAGAAACGAAAAGGTGCCAGTGATGATGGTGACAATACTACAAGCACCCTCAATGCTAAGAAAATAAAAAGATGATGACTTGAATAACTACAGGCCCAAAAAAGTATTCATGTTGTCTTGAAAGAAAATTAAAAAAAAATACAATTTTGTAACGGCCAGCTCTGTTGAACCTTCAAAATCACTGTAAACACCAAGATTGTATTCATAGTTCATCCAGTTCCTCTATTTATTTGTTTTGTTCATTCATCATGTCCTCATCGGCCTATCAATTTAAATCATGTGTTGCTGGAGGTTCTACAAAGGCTTCTCATCTTCTCTCCAAAGAGAAGATTATTCAAGATCGTCAAAAGTACTTGGCAAAGGCACAATACACCTTCTATGAGAATCCACTCATGTTGGTCCGAGGTGATAAACAATATGCGTTTGATGAAAATGGAAGGAAATATTTGGATGCTTATGCCAATGTTGCTCATGGTAAGTGTCAATTGAAATTGTTGCAATATTTTGCTGCAACAACAAAATTTGAAATACTTGAAATGTCTTTTTGACATATCGACCTTCCGATGAAATAATTATACATACATTTGAATGAAAATATGAAAATTTATCCTGAAATTATGTTTTATTGTATGCATTTGCATACAAATTGTGGACATACTTCGCAACATCCTGATTGAAACAATGTACACAACTGAAAATTATGCAAACACCCACTTCGAAACCCATGTCCACACCATGGCTCCTCCCACTGATGTTATTAATATCATGCAAAATATTCCGGCCTTTAAATGGTCATAATTCTGAATTAATGCCAACCGTTTCGTTCATCATGCATTTCTCATTTATTCGCTCACTCGGTCATCGGCAATAATGACAGTCGGTTATTGCCATCCACATGTAATACAAGCGACTGTCGACCAATTGCAATTCATCAATTCTAACACTCGTTATCTACATGACAAGATTGTGAGATTAGCGGAGAAATTAACATCCAAAATGCCACAAAAATCCGATTTGACCGTGTGCTTCTTTGTGAATTCGGGAAGTGAAGCTAATGACTTGGCTGTTCGATTGGCTCGTGTTTATACTGAAAGAAATACAATTATTGCATTGGAAAACTCATACCATGGAACAACTGGAACCTCAACAGGTTTGTATTGGAAATTTGATTTTCTAGGCGCGTAACAACAATTCATTCACCTTAATACTCCTCTCGTCATATCCAACACATTCGACACAATGACTCATTGAATATTCCTCTGCCTTATTATCCTATGTAACATATTTGGCACAATTAATCATTTAATACTGCCTTAACATGTAAACCGAATGACACCACCCAATGCACATTTTTCAGGAATTTCTGCATCAATTTCTACTGGAACTGGAGATAAGTGTCCTGACTGGGATTACTATGCTCGTGATGTGGAATATGTGAGAATGCCTGACATGTTGAGAAGTCCTTACAAACCAGAAAGAGCAATTGAGGAGTATGTGAAAGACTTTGATCGTGCATTTGAGAAGAGAACCAAAAAAGTGTGTCCATCTTCTTCTTCATCGTGTCAAAGTTCGCCAAAGCAACATGATATTGCAGCATTCATTCATGAAAGTATTCAGGGAGTGGGTGGTCAACTTCCATTCCCAGATGGTTACCTTCAACAAGTTTATGCAAAAGTGAAAGGAAGAGGAGGTTTATGTATTGCTGATGAGGTCCAAACAGGATTTGGAAGAGCTGGTAGCCATTATTGGGCTTTTGAGGCGATGGAGTCATTCCAGATATTGTCACCATGGGTAAACCTTTTGGAAATGGTCACCCATTGGGTTGTGTCGTAACTACTCGTAAAATTGCTGAAGCATTCGACAAGTCACAATATTTTAACACGTTTGGTGGAAATCCTGTGAGTTGTGCTGTAGGATTGGCTGTCATGGAAGTCATTGAAAATGAAAATTTGCAACAGAATAGTTTGGAAGTTGGAACATTCTTGAAAGATGGACTTTCAAAACTCATGAAAAAGCACAAATTGATTGGAGATGTCAGAGGTAGAGGTCTCTTTCTGGGTGTTGAACTTGTTAAGAATGCACATATTGGAGACTTGACACCTGCAGTTCAAGAAACAAAATATGTTTGGGAAAGAACAAAAGAATTGGGAGTTTTGATTGGAAGTGGTGGACCACACAAGAATGTATTGAGGATCAAAGGTCCAGTATGTTTAACAAAAGAAGATGCACAATTCTTGATTGACTGTGTGGATCAGGCACTCACCGAAGCGGAAAACAAGGACTTGTCAAGCCAAAAAGGTTTTGCCAAAACATCCAAACTTTAAACAGCTGACCATATTTCCATTCAACCAATGTTGTTAACGTTAATTTTGTTGACAAATTTGTTTGCCATAAGGTTCCAGTTGTGAATAGAACAAAAAAAAATGCCATCACCTCCTCAACGAGGCTTTAGCGGATCTTCATCATCACAGCAGCCAAATGTTTCGCAACACTTGAAAAAGTTTTACAATTTGCTTCGGGATGGAGGACTGATTGGATTACCACCCTATGAAAAGGTTCAATTCACTTCCATAACGATTAAAGCAAATACTAGTGGCAACAGTTACTCAAAGAAGAATCGATCGGGATCCTCGTCGAGTAGTGCCAATTCATCATCACCTTTTGAATCCATCAAAGCGTTGAAAGTGAAGGACGCGATGGATTTGAGAAGGCATATCGAGAAAGAAGTTGCTCGGACCAGTAAACGCGAAGTTGAAAACTTTTGCTTTGCACTCGAGTCCATGATTGCTGATGAGTATTTCTTTTCATTGTGCTTGCTTCCATTTGAAAGGTAAGTCGATGAGTTGATTCTACTAATTTGAATAATTGTGAGATATCAATTGTATTTATTTTCACTACTTGACTGATATCTTTTCAATGAACCATGCAGTGGAGAAGGAAATGCCAGCTTCTCTTCGAATGAATCCTTTTTCAAAATGCTTCTCAACATTTCCACCATTCAGAGCAGTATTTTCGATGTGTTATTCAAACAACTCTTATCCAGGTGTCCCAATTACGAGGAGGATTCCTTTGAACAATGGGATAGAAATTTACCCAAGCTCATCCTTTCGCAAATGCGTTGGTTGGACATGATTTCAGATCCCAAATCATTAACAGAGCATATTGGAACAATTTTAGAGGTTGCTTCTACTGATTTTTCAAAAGAGATGATTACTGCAATACCTGAAATTATTGATGATTCAGAACATGATCATGTTGTGGATAAGCTCGATCAAGTTATGCAAGACAAAACAGAAATGACAAGTTGTGTCATTGATGCCTTGTCAAATTTAAATTTACAGAAAGATGTTATGGACAAAACGACCGAACGAGTGTTGAGAAATTTAAATTCTGCCTCAACGGACGACTTGCCCGTAATTATTAGATATCTATTGCAGTCTGCGAATGAGGAAAATATTTCAAATGTGGTTGACGGAATAAGGAAGGATCTTGACGTTTCTTCATTCACAATTCAAGATGATACGCAAGACGACGACGAAGATTCAACAACTGCCCGAAAAAATAAGGGTAAAGGCTCATCAGAATCGAGATGCGAGTCTCTCATTATCAGTGCCATGGCTACTGGAATTAGACATCGAAAAATTATTGAGAAAAGTTTCATTCAAACCATATCTGCTTGCGAAGAAGAGCACACCATTGTAGATTTGTGGATTCTTTTTGCAATTTATTCAATGCCTAACTATAGAAAAGATGCAGAACAGGTTCTAAAGAAAAAGATCAAAGCGAAAAGAATCACATCAGAACTCTTAAAATCATCAATTGAGAATCATGGAGAAGCATTGGAGCAATATTTTTCCTCTCTCAATGATTTGGCCAGTACCTTGTTACGAAACACGAGTGATTCTTTAATTTCTCAATTCGCTATGGAAATGTATTTTTGCATGTTTTGCTCGTTCAAGGCAGATTACAACAAACAGAAAGTCATTCAATCTCTCATCACACATGTGGGAAGTAGTTCGAAAAACGAAAAAGATTTGGCCCTTGATATTCTCTTAATGATTGCAACCTCCAAGTTGTCTCTATTGAGAAATTACTCGAGTTTTTTCCAGGTACTTTTAGACTCGCTTACGAATTTAACAGATGGTCAACTCAGAAAAGTCTACACCCTTTTCAGCATGCTTGCATACACCAAAACATTGGAAAATAGTACTCAGTCCGGCATAACTAAATCTACCAAAGACGAATTAATGATTATTATTCGAAAACAACTCAGCAATACCAATACTGTATATAAGAAAATGGGAGTCATTGGAGTGTGTTCTGTATTATCCATGCTTGGCTCAAGAGGTTCAGAATTGCAGGCTCTTCCATCACAAGCGAACGATCAACAAGATTTGAGCGATGAAGAATTCGAGGAAGCGAAAGACTTGTGGGACTTTGCTCTCAAATGCTGTTTTCGTACACCAATTTTCAAAACTATTCTCTACGATGAAATGACCTTTGTAATTTTAGAAAAATCCTTAGATCCTAAATTGACTGCTGAAATTAAGAATCGATTACTTCATGACTTTTATCAACGATGTACAATTGAAAAACCAGATTTAAAAAAACAGAAAAGCCAAACACGAAATCTCGAATATAGAGCCCAGTATATCGTGCAGGGAAATAACAAAGAAGATCCAAATCATCTCATTAACATTTTACCCTTGCTGGACAATAAGAGAGATGACACCCATGAAAGTGTGTGGAATCTTTTCTCTCAATTTAGACTCATGAGAGTCTTGATGAATAAGCTTGGAGAAGAGCTGTCTGATGATTTGGTTTCTTCTGGAGTTGTGCTGTTTGATCATGAAGATATGACTACTAACTTTAGAGACTACACCAAGAACGAGAAGGATTTGGTATGCCTTTCGTTGTTTTTTGCAATCAATTGGTTCAGAGAATTGTTGAATGGTTTTGCCAACGATGAAAGTTGTAACGCTGCTCTTTTGGAACGCATTGAAACTCTACATTTTCTTGAGAAGCATCTGGATTTGTGCTTATCAAAGCATCCATCATTCCATTTACCACATTTTAACTTGTTAACACAACAAGAGGTTCCAACAAGCGTCAGCACCAAAAAGACCTCTTCCAAGTCGAAAAAGAAACAAATTACCGCCGAAGATGATGATGAGGAAGACGCAATGGAAGTTGACGAAGAGAGCACCTCAAAATCTACTAAGAATACTGAATATTCATCAACTCCAACCAAACGCAAATATCTATCTCCACTTAAGCCTCACTACAGAGAATTGGACCTTAAAGTCGTTCATATCATTTCAAAGAATGAAAATTGCGAGAAGAAAATTGAACCATTACATTTATTCTACATTTTAGATGATTTACATCAAAAATTGAAAAGTGTTATAGCAAGAAATAAGGTTTCCTTCTTTGCTTCCAAAGAAAAAGAAAACATGTATAATTTATCGAGAATCACAACGAAAGAGTTCTTTTCTGAAATTTTTGAATTATTACCTCATCTTTATAAGCAAATACGAGTCATTTCTGACAAAAGCGCAAGTAATGACAGCTCACAAGCAGTCGATGAAGATGACGATGAGGAGGCAGCAAAGAATGGTGATTTCATTGTGCCTTCCTTCCAATTACTGGTAGATATTATTACCAAAACATTGGAATATTTTTCGAGTGACAAGACTGAATGTTCTAAAATCATTGACATTATGTTCAGTGTGGACTTTCCCAACGAAGATAATTCTATCGAGGATGAAGACAAGTGCACAAAACTTTTCGAATCCATTCGAAAAATACTTGACTCTCTGAAGACATTTGAATCATGTTACAAACTCTATGAATTGCTTAAATCAATTGCATTTGTTTCTAACATCAAAGGTCTTCTGAAAGCATTGCAAGGAGTTGCAGAACAGTTACTCCAAACTCCATTCTCACACGTCAAATCAGACGCTCTAGGAAATTTGATCGAGGGTTACATTACCTTGCCAGGTGGTTTAGGTCCTCTCGTAGAAGCTCTTTCGAAAAAGCTGAGTGACGAACATTTTGGAGATAATAGCAACGTGTTGGATCAAGAATTTCCTACCATTACCAAGTCAACCATGCCCATTATCTTTAAAAGATGTTATTTGGTTCTCGGTAGAAAGTTATTACAACATGATTTGACAGCAAAATCAGACAGCAAGGTTTTGACTAAGGTTTGTCGCATCCTCTTGCTGTACAAGAAATTGACACGTCTCACTCGAAATGCTACATGCACACCTCAAATCATGCAAGCAACTCTGATTGGCGCCAAGACCTTTTTGGCTAACTTTTTAAAGCTAATCCGATATTTAGGAAAACATATTAAGGAAAATCAAGAAGTTGTACTTGCTATTTTCAAACACTTGAGAAATGCCAATTCACAATTACAAGCCATTTGTAGCAACAGAAAATTATCTCTCAATAAGAGCTTGGCGAAAATTATCCCCAAAGTCAAGAAAGATTTGGAGAGCTGCAACTTTAAAACAAAAGCTGCGCTCAAACTTAATGGAATTGACGGAGCCATTAACATTCAGGTCATTTCAGAAAAAGACGTCACAGGTAATTCAGCCTCAAGTCAACATTATTACTCACAATTAATTGTTGACAAGAAGAAAAAAGGAAATGCGAGCGATCAAGAAGAAGAAGAGGAAATAGACGACAATAACCGTGAAGAAGCCGAAGAAGAAGAGCAGAGCAAAAAGAAGCGAAAGAAAAGTCGTCCACTAAAAAGAAGACTCGTGACAAGGACAAAGAACCTCAAGAAGAAGAAGGTGATAAGGAAGAAAACCCAAAAAGAAAAAGAAAACAAAGAAGGCTGATAATGAATCCACTAAAAAGAAGAGTAGTGGTGAAAAGAAGCGAAAAAAGCCTACAACTATATTTGAAGAAGAAAATGAAGAAGAAGAAGAAGACAACTCAAAGATGGAACAACAGAAAAAAAAGAAAAAGAATGAATCCACAGTTGATGAAAATTCCTCAACAAAGAAATCAAGTAAGGCCTCGACCTCCTCTAAAAAATCCTCAAGAGAACAAGATGCGTTCTTAGTGGATGAAAGATCATCGTCGTCGGCAGATCCAGAGCAAGATCCAACAGAACATAGCTTGGCACCACTCAGTCCTGAATATCCTCCTGAGAATAGAAAGAGCAGTTCCAAGTCAAAAGCTAAAACGTTGATTTCTGTGCTGATGGTGACGATGAGGAAGAGATGTCTGACGATTCGTTAGCAGATTTCATTGACTTTGAAAATGATGCTGAAAAAAGCAATTGGTTATCCAAGAAAAAGAAGCAGAGAGGCAGTGAAGAGGATGATACTGAAGATTCCAATCATTCAGCATTTGATTTTACTAAATCTCTTTCAGATGAAATGGAGGAAGACGACTTTGTAGCTGACGATAATAATGAAGAAGAAGAAGAAGAAGTTTTTTAATTGTTTTAAGACTGCTTCAACAGAATAACATATAATTCCTCCAAAAATCAAAGAGTCAAGTGCCGATCTAAATAGAAAACGGTGTTAAGGGTGACTCTCTGAAATTGACAGCAGGTTCGACTAATTTGTTGACTTCTTAAGAGACCAATATCACCAAGTTTTCACAAGATGTTGGAATTACGAATTTATTCAAGATATAAATACAAAGAACACTCCATAAGCATTTCAACAATTTTGAGATCCATAATATTGAGCTAGTGTCGATCGGTTCAATAAATCCAACAGAACCATTCCTTCCATCTTGTGATCATCCGACAGCATGCTTTTTGCTTGTCGTTTCTTTCTATAATACAATTCCACCCACATGCAACACTGCACAATATGACAAATCCACATACAAACGCACAAGTTGCACCCAACACGACAATAAAATCTCGAACGAGAGAAGAGGTCTGTCCTGGTGCAATATAAACTGCAGCAACGGTCAACGAATTCGTTGAAGATGGTCGTGCACCATTCTCGTTCTCACCCACACTGCTGGAACCTACCAGAGTTGGAGTAAAATCAACACTACTCGAAAAGCAATCCAATGGATTTAAATGAATGGCTAATTTGACACCTTGATCTTGTTCGAATCGAATACACACGAGCTGGGATTGTATGATGGCATTCGAGTTTGCATTCTCTTGCTTCTGAAAGGTTCCCTTCTTCATTTCCAAGTCACACAAGTGATAATTGGGACGATCATGATTCGACAAGGTCATACAATTGGCCAATCGTGAAGCATAGTCATCAAAATATCCTGTAATTTGTAACTCATTTCCATCATTGGCAGAGAGAGTATATACCACACCTGATCGCTTACTATTCGAATTGGACCAGAAATCAATATATGTGAAATCTCCCCATAACCATTGACCTTTGATAAATTTGGATTTTACAAAACTAGCAGATGATGATCTTCTGTTCTGTTGTAATCTATTATTGAGAGCAGACAATATTCGTTTCTTGATCGTTTCCTTGTCACAGTCGCTTGGTTGCTGACCTGCCGAAAGTACTCCATGATGACAAGTTTCCTTCCAGTCCATCAAAGAAGACGCCATCAACGAGCTTGAATCATAATTCACAGCAAGATCACTTTCAATCACTCTCTTCATTGGAAACAACAAATCCAAACCATGAGTCATTTGTACTTCGATCATGATGGTACACAATGAGATGAGCATCCAAGTGCTCAATACTCCTCCTTCTAATAATCGTTTCATTTTGTTGTTGTTTTTTCTTGTCGTTAACAACAGACTTGTGTGAGATAGATCTTTTAAGAGCTTTGTAATCTCTCTTGGAGAGATAAAAAAAGATCATGCTCACTTCCGATTGTGAGTTTTTTTGAATGATGGTTGATGGCGAGTACATGATCCATTTCTGTCCAATCGTCGGTTGTATACAATGCCGTTTGTTATTGAGAGTCTTGTGAATCATTGAAAGATATGATTTCTTTGTAAGATCTGATTGAAATGATCTCTTTACATCCCTGCGACAAAGCTTAACAGTAATGGCTTTAATATCGATCCATACTCAAGTGCGTCATGTCTTTACGGGTTGTTGTTAAATCAGCATTTTTTTTTTCGTAGTTTGTTTAATTGTTTTCGGAGGCCGACCTTCAGATTGTACAGCTTGTTGCACGCAGTCTCGAACACCAAAGGTCTCCAAAAGACCACGCAAAGCCTCCCGTTTTGTTAATCCGATTTGGTCATGATGAAATTCATGGCATCGCACGTTGAAGGTCTCTAAATCAATTACTCCATCACCAATTTAAATAATAATTAAAATAAATTAAATTTATTGATTGTTGCAAGGATTTTTTAACGTTTTAAATTTATCAGCAAAAACTGCAAATCCTTTTCCCGCATTATTTATAAACGAATAAACACAATCTAAACTTTCACGCAGTGCTTGAATTTGCTGTTTCATCTCTGCATTTTCTTTTCGCAACCTCTCAAGCTCATATGCAATCACATCGTTGTTCAAGTTCGGTATCGGAGGAGGAGACGATGGTTGTTGTTCAAACATCTCTTCAATTTCCGCAAAATCATCAGTAATATCTACAGTGCTTGATGATGATTGGGATCTAATGTTGTTAATTGAAAGACAATGAAGACATCAACATACTTACACTGCAACACTTTGGACATCATCGCAAGATATTTCGCTAATTTTTCGTTTGGGAGGTTGATTGTTGCATTTGGGTTGAATGTGATCTTTGATTTGTCCTACAATCGCGGAAAGGAATTGGGGACCGTTTAGACCGGTAGTTTCTTGTGCTGCTTTGGCTACGTGTGTCCATTTTGAATTGGAAGATGGTTTCAAGGATGCATCATTTTTGAACTGCGTCTTCTCTTGTTTTTTCTTTCATTCTCTTCTCGCTGAGCTGTTGCTGCTTCCTTTTTGCGTTTTTTTTTGACTGAACAGTCCTCTTTAGTACAACTTCCATCGCAGGGCGGGTTTGTACACTTTGCTCGGTTGTGGCCTTTCTGATGGCATCCGCTGCAATAGCAAGAATAGGAATTGTTAGTTGTGTTAGGTGTAGAGGGAGTAAAATTATAAACAAACGTAGATTGTTGAGAATTTGAAAAAGGTGGTACTTGAGAATTGTTCATTGGTGTATTACTGGTGTTGCTTTGCGTAAATGTTGTTGATTGTTTTTGAGGTGTGTTTGTTGGATATATAATTTGATTGTCAATGGCTGGATAAACATTCAAACCACCAAAGTCAGTAACAAATGCTACTTGTGATTGAGTGGCCATTTTTTTTTAGATTTTATTTAATTACACACTTTCGTGTGTTGTCATGTGAATTTTTCACAAAGTGGCGCCATAAACAACCGTTAAACTAAAAATTTTCACATGACAACACACGAAAGTAGAAGCAAACCAAGGAAGCGAGTTGTGGTTGGTTACTACCACAGCAAGAAGGTAATGGTGGCAGGCCTGAAAATATTCTCTTTCAGACAGGTTGCAAAAGCTTGGGGATGCTCACCAAGCACTGTGTTTTATTGGAAAAACAGAATTGAAGAAAACGTGCAAGCTAATGTTGGTGGTGTTCGTCAATTCAAGTATGATTTAAAGGACGTGGTAAAGGCAGTACTTATTGTGAACAAAGTGTCAATGGTAAAACCATTGTCTACACTGGATGAATATGTAAATGAATTACAAAAACATGGTTACGATTACAGCACCACATGGGTGAGTCGAGTGTTGAAGCAACTAGGTAATTCTTTCAAGAATGCTTGTTATAAGAGCAGATTGAAATATACACCAGAAAACATCACAAAGTACATCCATTACGTTTGTGGTATGGCAGAGCTTCTTGAAAAAGTGCCGGTGTATCGTCTGAAATTCCTTGATGAAAGTAGTTTCGTGAGCAGAAATTTGTATCGGAAAAGAGGAGTTGCTCCTATTGGTTGTAGATTGATAGTTGTGAACAACACAAAGCCATTAGATTATTCGTGTAGTCGTTGCTTGTTTTGTTGTAGTTTTCTTGCCATGTCTCGTTTTGTGATGGTCTCTTCTCTCTTGTTTTGTAATTCTCTGCTTCACATCTCACGTTTTGTCAGTAAAATGGCCCGCGCTTCTTGTTTTGTGATGGTCTCTTCTCTGCACATGCTTGTTTTGTGAGTTTCACAGGTCACACGTTCTGTTTTTGTGCTCGTAATGTTGGCGCTGTCAACATTTATATTTCTTACATGCTCGTCATTACTTTTTCTGTGCACGTCAAACGAAAAATTTCCTTTGCTAGAGGCTTGTGTGGTCTTTTGGAGACCTTTGGTGTTCGAGACTGCGTGCAACAAGCTGTACGTGCTGTCAGTTTCCTTGTTGTCTTTGGTTGTTGCTTGCTTGCTCATGATGGTTCTAGAACCTTCATGGAATCATGTCGTAGAGGCTGATGCTCGTGTTGCAAAAACAATGACACATGTTGTTCAACCCTATTCTTGGAGGAATAGTCAAAGGAAATATACAATTTCGAGCGCCAAGAACAAGAGAACATGGTATTATGGAATTTCATTCTATTATGGCCATTTTGATAATGATGTGTGGAGTGCGTCTCATCTTTCGAATAATGCTTATTATGAAGACGAAACAGACAAGCCTTTTGGTAAGTAGCTACGTAGGTTCTCTTGAAGATTTTCATTGATGTCATTTTGTGTTTAGAATGGTCGATTATTCTGGATTACAGATTGGAACCAGCCGTATTTAAGATGTACAAACATAATTATGAAAACAAGGTAGCAATTGCTTTTAGAGGGACTGCAAGCACTTGGTCAGATATTGCTACGAATTTCTATACCAATCTAGTGGGTACTAATGTTTGTAGGAATGGTACATGTGCCAAGTTCCACTCTGGATATTACTCGGAATACATGTCCTATAGAGACTTGTTGATATCCAAGATTCAATCATTGATTCAAACTGGCACCAATCCACAGATTATCGTAACAGGTCACTCGCAAGGTGGTGGATTAGCTCAATTGTGTGCAGTCGATCTTGCGCTTACATTCAATATTCCCACTTCTCAAATGAAGTTAATCACATTTGCAGCTCCAGCTCCTGGAGACTATTATTTTTCATATTTAGGTCAGAGATTTGTCAATCATCTTCGAATTGTCTCTGGATGTAATTGTGCGTATTTTTCTTGTATTTACTTGGACATGGTTGAAAACCTTTTGACCACCAATCACTTTGGTACATTGTTTGCGCTCCAATACAGGTTTGATCCATCACCATCTTACATCACTCTTCACAGTCTAAACACTTACATTGAACATGTAAAATTACAAACACCCTATGAAGAATTGACAAGAGTGTTTGCTCTTGATTCTGTTGTTACTTCCCGTTATCAAGGCATTTATGTCCAAGACACTCTATGGCCATGTTCCATGCAATTAAGCATTGTTTCAACATGGGACTCTCAAAGACGGTATGAGGTTTTTAATGGTCGTTGTGATATTCCATATCTTGTAGCTTCCTATTCCTCAGACATTCCAGCAGGAATATATGATGTGAATGCGAATATCACATATGGACTCTATAGTCCTCCATTCACCATTCGAGCATATCCCAACCAGATTCAAGTCAATTTAACCAGTTCCGTTATTGGCACTTTCACACCTTCTTTTACATGTCCATCCCAATGCGTCAATTGCAGTGAAGTGACACAACAATGTACCTCATGTAAGCCAGGTTATTATGGAACTACTTGTGAATTTAGATGTCCCAGTAATTGCGCTACATGTATGAATAGTACAGCTTGTCTTACATGTGCTTCCAATGTCACAACACCACCACCTCAATGTGCTCCCAAATGTTCGTCTTGTGTGAATGGTTTGTGTATCGATTCAGGAGTATGCAAATGCAATGACGGCTGGACTGGGGTTAATTGCTCTCAAATATTATGTCCAGCTGGATGTACTTCATGCAGCTCTCCATATCAATGCACAGGTTGCAAAAACGGATGGTATGGTATCACATGCTCCTCACCATGTTTAGCAAATTGTTTGACTTGCAGTAATAGTGTGAGTTGTTCGTTATGTGCTCCAGGATATTATGGTTCCACTTGCAGCAATGTTGGATATTCCACAACTCGTAGTGTTTTCACATATCCAATTGTAGTTTCTCCCCCCACCTATGGTATCACAAGTTATGGATCTGTCAGCAGCAAAATAGAAAAAGTTGCTTCTGATTATGAAAGTTTGCTTGCCATAGGAGATGGTGGTAAGACTTTGATACGAAAAGACTCGCTCGCCGCATCGTTCGTCCAAGTGACTAATGCATCATTTGCTCCATATACTTTTACAAATGTTGATTTTTACAACTCCAATGGAATTATCACTACCTCGACTCCATCCATTGTTTTTGTATTTGGTAATTCACCAAGCATGCCTTTGCGATATTCAACTGTTCCAGTCTTATTTAACACGAGTGTACAGGATGTTATTGTTGATGTAACAATTGACAGTTATTTAAGTTTTTATTTAACAGCTTCAGGAAGACTTTATGTTTATGGTGACATGTCAGCTTTTTACTCTTCAGGTGCATGCGTGCATTCAGGAATCCTAGGAAGGGCTTCATTTACAAACCTTACAGAGATTCATTTCCCCAATAATGATAGAATTAAGGTCTTTGATTGTGTAATGCAAATATGCTTTGCTTACAGCTATTCTGGAAGACTCTATGGCTGGGGCCATGTATCAAAAAGATATTATGGAATTGATAGCACCTTGTGTGAAATGCAACCATTATTGTTGGACATGTCTCCTTTTAATGGAGCTGAAATAACAGCAGTTCATGCAAATAATTATGGATATTCCATGTTTTTAACGATCGATGGACGAGTGTTCTTCTCTGGAATTGACACGTCTCTTCCCTATACATTATCACTTCCTTCACAACTGTTCGATCCTTCAGAGCGAGTTATTGCCATTGGTGGAGGCTATGACAGAAGCTTTTATTCATTAGTCACTCGAAGTAGAAAAAACTACGTATTAGGAACAGCGTCAGAAATAACCCTGATGACTGGTGCATCTCGAACTAATTTACACTATATTTCTGGCTACGATGGAAATCTCATTCATGGCAAGTATCTCATCTCTCAAACCAGTTGCTTTGGTGTTTACGACTTGGATCCAACTACGTGCAGTGGAAACGGTAAATGTGCCAATACGGATCTTTGTGTCTGTAATTCTAATTACGCTGGACAACGATGTGAAAAACCCGTGTGTTTTGGATTTGCAGCTGATGATCAAAGAGTTTGCTCTGGAAAAGGTCAATGTATTGCTCCCAACGTGTGTTCTTGCCAATCCCAATTCACTGGAAGTCAATGTGAATTGTTCTCATCTCCATTTTGTTCCAATGTTTCTACAGTACCATACCAATGCCCAGGATGTGTAGAGGGAAGTTTTAATACAGTGAATATGTGCAGAGACAAGTGTCCAGTGAATTGTATTTCATGTAACTCGAGCACAACTTGTCAACAATGTAGTTATGGATACTCGGGTAGTTTGTGTACCCCATCATGCCCAGAAAATTGTAGAGCATGTAGCAGTATTGATAGATGTAGTCTGTGTCATGAGGGATTTTATCTTTCCAACTCTTCTACATGTGAACCATGTCCTGAAAATTGCAACTCATGTCACAACAGTCAAACATGTACTTCGTGTAAACAAGGATGGAATGGAGCTACTTGTACTACACCGGTTTGCCTTAGAAATTGCAGAACATGTACAAATTCTGAGAATTGCACTTCATGCGTGGATGGATATAAGGGTGATCAATGTTTTACTGCATGTCCTGTAAACTGCCAATCATGCAATTCCACTCAATGCGTTCGTTGTAAAGACGGTTATTATGGCAACGATTGTGAATATCGAGAGGAGCGCTGTGACTCGTTGTCCTTCAGCATGTTCCCAACATTGAGCTCAAGAGATGTTGGAAATGGACAAATTGAATACACCATTTCTGTGTCCAAATTCTTCCAACCCAATATGCAGAACTCAACCATGAGAGTTGCTTTAAAGAACATTCGAAATTGTTCTTCTGAAAACGTCCCCTATGAAAGTGAAATTTCAATCATGACTTATAACGAGACAAAGTGTGAATGGATCTACATGTTTAGAGTGGATATTTCCTCAATGATGAGCGATCGAACGGTCTCTAAACAATTGGATGCTTCTGGAAATATTTATACCTTAAAGATTCCATTCTATATTGCCATAGAAAGACCTCAAGAAACGCCAGGATATTGCAGTATTGTGAATTACAACATTAATCATGAGATTAAGATCCTTCTTGATTCTCATCAATATATTGAGATGAGTTATACCGCACAGAATTTAACTACCGTTAGTTATCGCCGAGACGTCATTGCAGTCCAAAACAAAACTCTCACTGTTGAAGGTAGATTATTCATTTCCAAAGGAGATTTAACACGAGTGACATTTGTAGAATCGATACCGGTTCGTGATTATGGCTTTGATGTGACCTTTTATCTTGTTAAAACAGGAGAATACTATCTCGCATTAACAACAACAAAAGCAGTGAGCTCAGTTTCTGGTACATTTAGATTTAATCTTGAAGTGACCATTAATGGAACTGTTGTGCCTATCGATTTAGTGTTAGATCTTCAATATTACATGCCATACGATCCTCCATCGACGAATTTGCAACTCTCGACTCGCCTCGCTCTCTACGATGAGAATTTCCAACACTCGAAACTCTCCTTCTCGAGCACAGAAACTCCCAATGTATTGGTTCAATTAGTCTCATCATCTGGTAATGTCATTCCAAATGGAGTTGGCCTTACTTTGAAAAATGCTTATTTATGTTGCATGAAGAATGGATATCGAATGCCAACCTTTGATCTCAGTACAGGACAATTAGGATGTACCGTTTCAAATAGCACGACCATGAGTGCTTGGTTGAAAATTATTGACAATCATGTACCTGTCTCTATGCATAACACTCGACTTGTTTCATTCCCCAATGTGAATTTCCAAATTGGTTTTGCCTTCACACCAGCACCCTTGTCCATTCCAGTTGGAACTCATACCTGTTTCATTCATACCGAATCGAAATTATTAATCACTGCACAACAACGAGCAAGTAGAGAGAGTCGAGCATCAAGTTCAGAGCTTCATAGTTATGAAGTGATTCAATTCACACAGAAAGAAATTATTCCAGTAGTGTCATCATCCTCCAACTCTACACGTCCTGTGAAGAGTCATGTGAATGGAGCTCATAGAATGGACAACACTTCAATGATTTTGTTTTTGATGATGAGTGCTCTCTTGGGATTGATCATTTCTCTTTGGTATTAATTGGTGTAACAAATTTCAATAAATAGTTTATCTTTTAAATTTCATAAATTCTTATAATTACAACAAAAGAAAATTTGTTATGAGATGGTAACAATACGTTGTTGACACACATCGATGCTGATCGTTGTTTTGAATCATGAATAATACTTGACACCACCACCACCCATTATTTCCTCATTTCCGAAACTTGTTGCTGCAATTCCAATTTCTCTCGTTCAACTTCTCTCAGCTTGGCTTGAAGACAACTCACTTGCATTTCACAATCACAACACTCCTCTTGAAGCCTCTTATTTTCATAGGTCATACACATTTGTTGTTCCTTCAACGCTTCAACTTCCAATCTCAATTGTTCGACTTGATCCGACGTAACCACCATCATGAATTTTTTTAAAATCTTTTTTTAAAAATGAAGAGATGGAAGAGGCTGTTATTTGGTTATCGGGATGGTAACAATAACAACAGTGGAAGTCGTTTGGGTGGTACACTCGTGAACGGAGAAGCAACATCATCATCAAAGGACATGATTTTTCCTTCTGAAATTCTGTACCTAATATTTCAATTTGTAGATTCATACCAAGACATTCTCATATCGTTCAAAGGAGTTTGTAAATATTGGTATCGAGTGGCAACGAAAGTACCTCTAGCAATGACTTTATCAAAAAATACATTGGCTTCCAAGAGTACAACAAGCCATCCCATTCTCATGCATACAAATATAACAAGTGTTGAAATTGTATCGGGAGGTGTTGGGATGAGCATGGAAGAAATGAAAATCATGATTAAAAAATTGAAAAGCGTGGAGGATCCTGAAATTGAGAAGCAAGTGATCAAGTATTGTGGTAATGAAATGAAACGAGATGAAAATTTGAGTATTTGGAGAAAATTATTAGAGTTCAAATTTGGAGCGAATAGAATTGGAGATGTGGGTGTCAAGTTATTAATGACAGAAGCTTTTGGATCTTTTGCAACTCCACGGAGGAGTGTCTTATCAAATGTGTCCTATTGTTTACAAGTTTTAAGCTTAAATGCGAATGACATTCAGTTGGAAGGTGTCAAAGCCATTGCAGGAAATCCAAGTATGAAAAATCTATCGTATTTAAATTTATGGTGGAATAGAATTGATAATGAGTGTTTACAAGTGATAACATCAAGCGAGAATTTACAAAATTTAACAGAGTTACATATTGGCTCGTGTCAATTTGACGCCATTGGCGTGAAATATATTGCGGAGAGTAGCTTTATGAAGAAATTAACAGTGCTGGATCTCACGTGTAACGAAATTGGAAAAGAAGGTGTCAAATACCTCTCGCAACAAGGAACAAGTTTACAAAATTTAACAAGTCTGTCGTTAAATAACTGTCTGATTGAAGATGAGGGATTGGAGTTTCTCATGGACGGATATTGTATTCAAAACATGACCAAGCTAGAGTTGATGGAAAATATGATTCTCAAGGGATTGAATTATTTAGCAAGCAAAAAACAACCATTCAAGAAATATTTAATAGTGCTAAAAATTGGAGCAAATAAGGTTGGTGACGAGGGAGTGAAAGTATTAGCTGGTGCATCGAATGAACAATTACACAAACTCGAACGTTTGAATTTAATTTTCACCGATATTAGTGATGTAAGTGTGGAAGTCATTGTGAATTGTGAGCGATGGAAAGGCACACTACGACGAGTTGATGTCACGAAAAATGGAAATGTCACCACAAATGGTTTGGAGCTGTTACGACTGCATGGAATCAACATTCGGAAATGAGTTTTACAATTGCAACTTTATCTTTCGGCAATAGATCACACTTTAACTCCATGAACAATGGAGAAATGATAGCAAGGTGTCATACTTTTTCCTTCCTTGTGAGAAGATGTCATCATGCCATTTTCCACATTATTCTCGATCGTGTCACAATGACATAAAAATCGCAAATGATGATTCAACACCAAATCTCTTGCTTGCTTGTACGTTTCATTTCCTGAGACTGGTAATTTCTTATTTTGCTTGGTTGTTTGCTTGTAAGAGAACATTTGTTGGATGGCTAATGTGTCAAGAGTGAGCACAACGCTATTTCCAATTTTAACTTTGAAATAGAGCTCAAATTGTGGCTTGGTGAATGTAGCAAAACAATGCATACACATTCGTTGTCCTTCTTCTGTCTCTCTCCAATTGGGAGAATCATCGGTATGATCATGTAGTGATCGATGACAATGTGGACATAATGAAATGGTTGGACCTCGATTCGCTTCTTCGATCACTTCAGTGACATAGCCTTCAACCAAACCAATGGAATTGTTTGTGCATGTGTATTCATATTCTAGACCTTTGACTGCTGTCGAATCATTCATTCGATGAACAAGTTTCTTTTGTTGATCCATTCCTCTCAATTTCACACACCATGGAAGTAGTGTTTGAGTTAAATCTATCATGAAATTGGTATTTCCTTCTCCTTCGGAAGAATTCTGTGTTGGTAGTGCATGATTTGGAAGATACAGCATTGAGAATTTGTCGAGAATTAATTCTGTATGAATTGCTTCCTTTTCAGCGACATGTCTCTTCACTGAAACATTCTGTAAAATAATCTCACGATTCGTTTGTTGAATGGCTTTAGCAACAGAATACAACAAAGAAGATCCTGTTGAAACACTACTGTCCAATTTCAATATCATGCTTGAATGTTTTTGCAACAAGTACAGAGTGAATAACGTATTTTCGTGATGACCGTTCTGAGTTGTTGCGATGGAATTTTGCGTCTCAGTCCAAGGTACTTGATCTGTTTCCTTAATAAACAATACAGATCCCTCAATGTCGCATCGATGAATTCTCAATTCTCCTCCTTTCTCACTGTCGTCATCCACCATCATGGTGACATCTTCCACGCCACCATTCGATTGTTGAGTATCGCCTGAAATGGGTTGATCAAAACTATAGAACAATTGATGTTTGTACGAGGAGTAAGGAGTAATATTTTCCACTAGTGGATCAAGTAATAGGGAAGAAGCTTCATTGCTACACAAACTTGATTGAATCACCCCCGTATGATTCCTTGGAATGACATATTTACATGTACTATGTTGCGAGTTTGTGGTAAAGAAGTAGAGTGGAATGAGTGGATTGGTCGTCGTCGATGAAGAATTTTCAGAGCATGTCGATCTATGACTATGTTGTGAATCTGACATGGTGTCTTGTTGTTGATTGTGGTGATACAGTGGTGCAATAATACTGTACAATTCATCTTCTGGTCCAATATACACACGATCCTTGAAAGAACACACATGAAATTGAATTACCTTGCCTTGAGAAATGTTGTAATCAAAAATTGATTTCCAATACGAATATTCAGTATCACCTGATGGCAACAATAAAATACAGAGACTCTTTGTGGAGACACATTGAATGAGTACGGTATTGGAGAGTTGAGCTTCAGCACTTGTCAATTGTGGAATGTGAAGCGTCTTGTAATTGTTTGCTAGAATATTCTTCATGAAATCAAAACTCCAAACTCTCTGAATGACTCCTTCAATATTTAAATAATAAGAAGGAAAGAAGGCAGAATGTAGATGTCTATATACGGTTTCAAATTTCTTTGTGAGAGGTCCAGAGGTAATTCTTGAAATCAGGTGATAATTTCTTTCAAATGATGATGTTGTCTCTTGATTGTCACTGAAATCGAGTCGTTTTGGTGTGGCAATGACATTTCTCTGACGAACATGTGAAGGTGTGAGAAAGTCAGGAGTGTTCGTTCGAGATTTGTTGTTGGCCCGTGGAGGTGTTGTTGGTAACGATGCTCCATTCGATTCGTTGTCGACCATCATGCTGGATCTATGCTGTTGTTGATGATCGTCTGACGAAGATGACAGCATTGGATAACTGAACTTGGTTTGAAGATCCTTAATGTCTTGAGAAAGTTCATTGGCATCAGATGTCTGAGCTTTACATTTCATTTCAAAGAAATAGCTCAATACAGGCCTAGGTCTGTAAATGAATATTGGTTCATTGCATTGCGAAGGTTGACCTGAATGCAAACCAGGTATTTCTTGAGGTGGAGTGATATGGAAAAGAGTTGAAATTTCAACAATGCTTCCTGGTCTCAAATTCCATTTTTCTTTCATTTCCTTCGCAAAATAGACGTCAATGAAATCATTCTCATGAAGAACTTGATCCAATCGCTCATTATCAGAAGACTGAGGTCTGCTCACTATTTTACAAATTCCAATCACCAAATGAGGATACGCTTGAGATAAGGCTTGATTGAATACTAGAATTTTGAGTACAAGACCTTCCTTGGTCGGTTGTTGACTCAAATTAATTTCAGAGCTGAATTTTTGAAATACCTTCTCGTTCATACCTCCATTGATAGCTCTTTTAAGTTTTGAAACAAATCTACCTTGTGAACGAGTCGAGAGAATTTTCTTCAAATGATCCCATTGAGAAAAGAATTGGTCACCATTGCCTTGATTTGATTGTTGTGAGAGAGTAATTCCTGGAACATTCGATCCACCATGTTGATGTTGTTGCTTTGAAGATTTTCTAATACTATCCAACCAACTCGATCCAGTTAGTATTTGGGTCGGATGAGTGGCAGTAGTGGTAGAATTGTCATCTTCAATCATGTCATCCGAGTGAGCAAGGGAAGACGATTTTCTCTGTTTGCTATTGTGGAACAACAATCTTTCAACTTCATTTTCATTGACTGACTGACGAGTACTTTTCCTTCTGATACCTTTCAATCGTTCGTCGAGATCAAAACCATCCTCACCTGACAAAATTAAATCCTTTCGGGCACTACTTGCGTCGGTAGTCTTTTTCTTTGAGGCTGTACTTGATGTCGAAGAGGGGTGAACTGTTGCAGTTTTGGCTGGTGTTGTTTGAGCATGTTGTGACAAAGAATTAGTTGCTGCAACCATTTGACTAAATCGTTGATCCATTTCAGAGCTCGTGTCTGCTGCATTTGATGGTTCTTCATCGCTATCACTCTCAATTAAATCGTCGACATTGATTGATTTCGACTTGGGAGTAGCGTTGTTGTGAACATGCTGTTGTTGAGCAATATAGGAGGATAGCATGGCCGAATTTTGCATTAAATTCTGTTGAGGAACATTGGAAAATAAGGCACCACTCGAGCCCATTGCAACTAGAGCTGGTACAGGAAGGATATTATCGTCATCATCTGAAAATTCGTCAATGTCGTCCTCTTCTTCAATTTCTTTTGGTAAAATATAAGAGATATTATTAAGAGTAGCTGCTGATTTTCTTTTTGAAGTTGAAGATTGAGGAGTGAAATATTTGGATGTGTTGAGGGATGATGACAATGTGCTTTTGGCGGCGGTTGATTGCTTCTTTTTTGTAGCCTTGTATGTCCTCTCTGGTGGTGTCAAGGGTTGAGAAAATTCGTGTTGATACGATGAGCTGGCTGATTCAGTACCTGTGGCAGATGATGACGAATCATTCTCGGTTGTGATGGCTGCAGATCGTGGTTGTGAGTCCTCATGGTCAAAATTCATAATATCATTGAGGCCATCAATATCTTGATCATCATCGGAATGATAAATTCCAGAAATTTTGTCTGGAAGTTGGGTTGTTTTCTTTCGTCTCTTAGTTGAAGAAGCTTTCTTTTGCTTCTTCTTGCCACTGCTAGAATTTAAAGAACTAGGCAAACTCCCACCAAAATATTTTTCAAAGTCGTCGTCATTGACAGAAAGCTCATCATCTGAGCTTTGGTCATCTGTTATTAATTTTGAAGTAGTACTGCTGGATTTTTTGTTTTGCGTGCTCGTGCTGCTCTTTTTTGATGTGAATAAGGCTTGGCTTGCCAATGATGACAGTGACGATCGAGCGTGGTGTTGAATCGTGTCGTTGTCCTCATCATCAACCATTCGGTCTCCAATCGGAACGGAAGAAGTTTGCGAGCTAGCAATAATGTTCCTAGAAAATTGTTGAATAATTTCTTTCTCTTGACTGTGTAGAGGACTGGTTTTTTCCAATAACAAATTTTCATTATTCGTTGATGTGTCATCGTCTTTACTTTCATCCTCATAGAAATCTTTTTGTGAGTTATGAGCCTCTTTCTCAAACGAGATGAAATTGGCTAATTGCGGATTAAATATAACATCGTCCTCATCATCGTCATCATCCTCCTCATAATTATTATAATGTTGTTGAAAATTATTATTTCGATGTTTGGATGATGCAACGATCGGTTGTGGTCGGGCCGAGAGAGCATTCTTCAAAATTTGATGTTGTTGACTCTCAAAGAAGAGAGGATTTTTTGGGCTCGGAGCCTTTGCTCCTGTTGGAGCTAATGCTGAGGCTGCCGTTGGTTTGTTGTTGGTGTTGGGTTTCTTGGCCGCGATTCGGGATGACCAAGCTTGCCACATGATAACGATCTCGAAGGGTTTTGTGGTATTTTTTTTTAAATTTGGACGTTTCTATAAATCACTGGAATTTAATTTTTCTTCAACGAATTTTATTCTTGAAATCCCCATGTAAACTGCAAAGCTCTCGAAATCTTGGAAAAAGATTAGTAACACCCAATTTATTGATCATCCCATAAAAAATGTCTTTGCAAACCTCTTCGTCATTGAGCAGCAACAAACCGCAGACTCCCGTTCAATTTTCCATTCTCAATTACAACGTAAATTTTGTGTATACTAGGGATGGACTCGGAGATTCCAATTCCATGATGGTATATAAAGCCATCTTGGAATCCGGTGCAGATTTAGTTTGTTTACAAGAAACTCATCAAGGATATGAACAATTTCTTTTGAATTATAATAATCAAGAATTAGCTCGGTTGTATCCGTATCATGTGTTTTATACTCATGGCGGTTCGGGTGGAATGGCATTGTTATCAAAATTTGAATTTGTTGAAAATTCGGAAGAATGTTTAACGTTGAGAGAGAATGGAGTTGAGGGAAGTTGGTTTCCCATGCATTTGAATCGAGTAAGAGTGCCAATCGGAAAACACAGTACTTTGAATCACAGTACTGAATTTGTTGAAATTCAATTGGTAAATATTCATTTGAGACCTCCTTTGAATGATGATGGCTCAGCAACACTGTGGACAGCGTACATGACCAACCAATATCGATTGAATGAGGTTCAATATTTAGTATCACATTTTGAGAAGAAGAAAATATTGCAATCGAGTACTGAGCCACTGACCAGTGGTGATCATACGAAAATATTCAAACAACCACGCATTCCAATCATCATGTTAGGTGACTATAATGAACATGATCATGATCCAGCATTGACATTTTTGACCAAAGAGTGTCTGTATCGAAATGAAAGTACGGAGACATTAACTCCATTATTTCGAGACGCACTGAATGAATTTGTTCCTCAGACAAGAGAAACACACAGATGGCCTTTGAAATTTTTATGGGGAAAAATTACTTATTGGTCTTACAAGAGATTGGATCACTGTGTATATTCAGTGAACAATTTAAAATGTACAAGTTGTAAAGTCATGGATGGTTATGAAGACAATGCAAGTGATCATCAACCAGTATTGTCAACTTTTGCATTGGAGTTTTTTCAATAAGCCTTAATATATTTAATGATAGTTTTATGAGATGATGGTATTTAAATAATGTAAGATCTTACATATTGCCCATTTCATGTGAAGAGTTTAATGCATGAGTACATATTCTCGTTGTTTCCACGTACTATATATTACTGACTTCACTCTTGGCATCATCAAATTCTCGACCACTGCCACCCTCTCCATTTTGTTGAGATGATCTTGGAGTATTTTCAACATTACTGTCAGAGTTCAATGACAATGCACTGACACTCATGGACTTTTCATATGCAATACTTCTTATTCTGGGAGACGACATTTGGCTCCCAAGACCTTTCTCTACTAATTGTCGATCCCGTTCCTGTTCTGCGTACATGTCCATATTGAACTTGTCTTGAGCAAACAATGGATTGTACAACATCACGACACAAACTGCAAACAACAAAATTCCAAACGAGTTCAAAAAGTATGAAATGGTTATAGTGTCACCTGAGAAGGATGAAGACAACACGGAAGCAATTGCTGACAAAATTTGAATGAATGTTGACAAGCACATGGACATGGTCAATATCAACACTTTGATGAATGGTTTTTGAATGGCATTAATGAATGCATTTCTATTCGTTTCTTGTTTCAAATTGAGAGATCGTTGACGAATGGTTCGCATGACTCTAATTCCGAAATATACAAATAGAATCGATTGCATGGATACGAGAATTAGATAGATGAGAAGAGCTGTCGCATAGAGAGGAATTTGATCCGTAACGAGAACACTGAGTTTCACAAGAAGATTGGTCGCAGCAATGGCAATGACGATGGAAAGTGTGATAAAGGAAAAGAGAAAGGTTGAAATATTCGAGAGGTAGACGAGGATGATGAATACTCTCTTTTTCATGGTTCCTGCTCTGTAAGCTGTTTTTAAGCTACGTTATTTCATAACGATTGTGAAAATTGGCGTTTCACAAAATTCCAAAAATGTAAATGGACACACAACACATCCGCGTGATGATTCCACATTTTCAAGAAAGAATATTCAGAGATCATCCTACAGCAGCAACAAACACTTACAACACATTTTGAATGAAGCACATGATGATGAATATAGTCACCGTCTGTACTTCAATCAAGAAGTTCTCAATCATTCCAAACACTTGTGTCACCACAAAATATTCATCAAATACCACCTCTCGATGTTGCAAATTATAACCCAGTGAAAATCCATTGTACAGAACTCGAATCATTAATCCACAAATTTGAATGAAAACCATAGTACATGTCAAGAACAGAAGAATCTTTTGGTTACGTTGAATGGATCGTTTCATGACGTACGACGGAGACGATGATTTTGCAACAAGAAACATTCCAATGACAACTGCAAAAAACAACACAAAAGCAATGATAAAGATGAAGGAATTGACGAGAGAAGAGACATTGACTGCAAAGGATGGAATTATGGAAAGCAGATTGGATGTGTTGGACGAGGATCTTGCTGGTGTGGTCTCGAAAGGGAAGTCTTCTTGTAAATAGAATTGAGAAACCAAGGGGTGAATGTGAATTCGGGAAAGTGAAGCATGATGATGGTGTGGAACACTTGAAGAGGAGGTAATCATGGCCATGCGTTTCGTTTCAATTTTTGTTTTGTTGAAAGCGTCATCCTTGTAGGTTTTTGAATTCAACAAAACAAGACAATGTTCGACATTTAATGACACGAGTGAAATTCATGAAAAGAGAAAGATCACAAGTTTTTTTGGGCCTTTCAAAAAAATCGTGTGCGTCGATTGTGGACATCCAACACAAACATTGGAATACTTTGGTGCAGAGAGACTATTGGGAGTGTTTGTTTTGTCGAATTATTATTTCATGATTTATTTACACACTCTCTAATTCACCATTCTTCTTTTGTTGCTTCTTCTCTTTCTTGTAACACTTTTTCAACAAGTACACTGCACAAGCATCTTCTTGATGAGGAGATGCAGCTCCATGCAAATATTCCTCAAAATGTTGAATGGCTTGATCGTATTGCTTTTCCATGTAATGATTAACAGCAACATGATACGTCTTCCATTTCTCTTTTCTTTCTTTATGCTGGAGTTCATACATCCACTCATCTTGAATATCATTATTATTGGATTCTCCAATTTCATACAATTTTGTTTTCATTAACTTGTCATTCATGGAGGAATTGGATTTGAATTTCACAAGAGATGGTGGATTGGTAAATTCTGGAGGATATAATTTTCGAGTTCCAACATAACGCATTTGAAATGATTTTGAACACTTGTCATGAATCACATCTGAAGCAACGATGGAAATGTTCAATTTGAAAGCATGTTTCAAGAGAATTTCTAAATTGTGAATGTAACTTCCGACAATGGAGAAGGACTTGACTTCTTGAGTTCCGACATTTCCTGATTTACAAATTTGTGACACGATGGCAGCTTTGAAATTTACCACATTCAAGAGATCCTTCTTGACGAGACTTTCCTTATTCTTCCATTTTGTGGAGGTGAGTTGTGTCAATTTCTCCATTATTTGTTTTGTAGAAGCCAATCCTTTTTCTTCATGATACGGAATGTCACTGGTCGAATTCCAAGAAATGGTCATTTCATTATTTTCAAAATTACCCAATTGACCACCACTCATTCTTGCGATTTTCTGAATAATATCAAAGAAGTCAGACATGATAGGAACCAACTCTGAGTCATTCAACACTTCCATGCATGAATCCAAACCTCCAAAATGAATACATGCAATGGTCAAGGGCTTCTTTTCCAAACCCAATCGAAACAATGATTTGGAAACTTGTTGCTTCATGGAAGAAGCTCGTCTTGAACATTGTGAACCACGAGAAGAAGGTGCATCTTGTGACATGGAAGGTCGTGATGGAGCTGATCCGTCACCTGTTGGATCTTTTTTGCCAGTTTCATTTCCTTCTTCATCTTGAAGAGAATCTAATTGAGCCAACAAGTGAGGTGGAATGAAACATCGATATTTTCTAATTTTTCGAACCATTGTATGAAAGTGTTGTTGCAAAATATACACTTCCTTTAAATGACTCAAATTCGTGTCATCATTGGAAACTGTATCCAAATCCATATTGGAAACACTTTCAAACAAGTAGATTAAATTTTGGAAAGGTTTCACAATACGCAATGAAGCAAACACTCCCAAAACAATTCCCACTCCAATAATGAAAATACTCGAAACAGAAGCTGCAACAATGGCAATGATCATGGTTTGAATGTAATTCCATTTTGGAACACTGAAAATGAAGATCCAGTCAATATTTGCATCGTTACACATTCGATGGATATTGACATAACGATCTTGATATTGTTTGAGGAGAAAGGAATTACATGGAATGGAAGAGAGATTTTGGGAGAGTTCAGAATAGACAAATTTTCCAATATCGTTCACGAGAGGAATGTCAAAATCGAGAGCTGTTTTTCGTTTTTGATTTCCGTTGGCATCCCAAATGGTGACAGCTATGGTTGGGAAACTTGCTGTTGAATGGATACATGAAGAGTCAACCTGAATGACAGAAAATATCTTAAAACTTACATGCAACAATATAATCAGTAGAAGTTTCAATTGCAAAAGCCATAGAACCTCCAATATCATCTGTAATTTGTTTGAAATATTCAGAAATGGTGGTCACAGTAATATCAAAACCAAAATACCATTCAAAAGCAGGTTTTCCATAAGCAATAGGAGCTTGAGCAGGTTTTGAATTGACCAAACTCAAAAATGTAATGGTTGGTAATGTTGGATCTGTATACGACATGGTAAATCTTGGTCGATTGGCATGATTTTGAGCAATTTCTAACAAACCACTCATATCGAATGGAGGTAGAGTGACATCTGGCGTTGAGGACTTGGTCAAACATTGTTCATGCATTTGAAAGTTGTCACAATAGGTCCAATATTGACCACTTTCATTGACTAGCAAAATACTCGGAATTCCATTCATCATCATGATTCCCTTATTTCCTCCTTTAGGATCTCCAATATAGGCATCAATCATTAAAGTGGATAAAAATTGATAGGCAGATTTAAAGATTTTAAAAGTCGTTCGATTGATATAATCCGTGTTGTTATAATTCAAATCGAACCACATGGTGTTTTTGGCGCTTTCAGATGTCATGATGACTTGTTTGAATGTTTCATCGGTAAAGGTAATGATTTTGTAGAAATGTTGTGACATTAAATCTTGACTCATGGTTGAAACACTTGAGCTGAAACAAGAAATCCAAATGGACGTGAGAAAGGCCACTGCAGCAACAATGGCAGTTGTAACTAGAAGAATGAGCATGCATTTGATGGAAGAGATGGGTGGTTTCGTATTGAGGTGTTGTTGAGAATGAGAAACCAAACTTTGATCATCATCTTCGTCGTTGTGACTTAGGTCCACTGAGGATGAAGAGTCTTCGGTGCTTGTTTTGACAGGAAGCACACGCCTAGAGGAAGAAACCGTTTTCATGGGTTGTTTGATTGAGAGAGAAAGCAGAGATTTGATTTTGTATTCAGTTGAGGACAGTCGGTTTTTTTTTGTTTGAGTAAAACAACTGGCACGACAACCAATTCAGAACATCTCTTCAGCTTGACCAAAACAAAGCCTATGTAACGATATCACATCTCTTTCATAATAACACTTGATGACATTTGAAAGAAATCTCGCTCACGTTATTGAACTGGAGACATGCAACGTTAATTCCAAATTCGTATTCAGTCCAACACTATTTCTACAATACACTCATTATTTCGTTCATGATCTCTTTCAAATGTACCATTGCGGAAAAACAATAATTCACACATCTCTGTTACTTCCCATCGTTTTTTATTTCTTCCAATTATTATTCATCCTCCACTGTAATTGTCTTCCAACAAGTAATCACCAAAATTTTCTGAAGCATCTCCTTGATTCGATTTAGCTTGTTTCCTCTCTTCAACGAGATTGGTTGTGACGTTGTTGATGTATTCTGAATACATTGGTTAATATCATCCATGAGTTGCTGCTTGTCAACCAGAGTTTCCTCTTCGAGATTAATCTCCACCAGAGACGATCGATGATATTCCAAGTGTCTCAAACCATCTCTCTGAACGTTGTTGACAATTTCTGGAGATGATAAGAAATCGAACGAGTCGTCTTGAACGGTCGTTGGATTCATTTCTAATTTTGAATCAATGATCATGGATGGATGTGTATGGTCTTCAGAGACAAGTTTCAATGGTTCATTTCCATGATTTGAGAATGTTGTTCGATTCAATCGTTTGGTTTTTTCGTCGTCTTGCTTGATGTCATCCATCAAATGTTCTTGATGATCGTCAAAATACAATTCGTGAAAGATGGAACTTTCATCAAATCTACCCTCAAACAATGGTGAACAAGACAAATCTCCCTTAATTGGTGACCATTTGAAAGGATCTGAAAGGCAGGAGGACATTTCCTCAACATTTTCTTTTAAATCATCAAAATCTTGTTGTGTTTTTGAAAAATCAATTTCTTCCTCAAATAGTTGTTCCAAAGGTTCTTCGAAATCCATCAAATCAGAAGCACAAGTACTGAATTCACTACTTAATCGACGAGAAGCAGACACTCGTTTTCTTCGAGTGAAATGAGTTTCTTGACAAGTATGTTCCAAATTGTCATGACGATCATGTAATTTGTAAACTCGGATGGATTTATCACTGCATGCAATCCAAACAGAATCTCCAACTGTGGAAATACATGTCACAAATCCTTCAATTCGATACTTTCCTAATAGTTTCTTTTCTGTCACGTTCCATACAGAAATTTCTCGATGAGTGGCAATCCAAATATTATCATCAGCAATGTGCATGCAATTCACAAAAGATGGAAATTCAATTCTCTTCTCGCATTGAATTGACGAGTTGGTACTCCATATTTTTACACAAAAATCTCGAGAGGCACTCCAAACTGTGTTTGTTTTGGAACAATAACAAAGTTGAGTGACACCATACATGGGACGTTTCGAACAAGTAGTTTCCACTGAGTTCGACATCTGACTTGAATCTAATGACAACTCATTCACACTCGATTCTTGATTCATGAGCGATGATGCAATAGGTTGATTTGAAATTTCATTCACGGGTGAGGTTCGATCCTCCAACACATTCCAAACTCGAATAGTAGCATCATCAGATCCACTCCATAACAAACTTCCAACCGAGCACAAAGTATTCACCCAAGATTTCAATCCGACATAACTATTCTTACATGAAAAAGTGGTAGCATCCCAGAGTCGAATAGTAAAATCAACCGAACAAGTAGCAATGAGATTTTCGTTCAAACCAACAATGGACGTGACAGTTCCTGTATGTCCAACAAGAGTCCTTAATAATTGTCGTTTGGGTTTGATGGAATAAATGTTAATCGTTCCATCGGCCATTCCTGCCCACATGAGAGGTAATGGTTGTTGTGAACCATTATTGTTCGATGGATTCGATGAACAACAACACATACATGAAACGTAAAGTCGTTTCTTTTCACGAATGGTTTGAATGACATTACATGAATTCATATCAAAGATCTTTTTGAATGTTCATTGTTTGAACAATAACTCAAAATTGTGTGTGAACATCACACTCTACTTACCACAATGACTCCCTTCTTTTCTCCACACCAAACTTCGGTAGGTGTTGCTGTTGCAAAGGAAATGGCTTCAATGTTTGTAATTCTTTTAAACGCATTATATTGACATTCATCATCGAGAGTTTCAAGCATCTCAAATGAAGGTTGCTTTCTCACTGATTGTGGTTTTGTTTGTTGTAACGGAGTATTCATGGAATTGTTGTTGATTCGAATAGGAGTTTGAATTTTCGTTCCAGAAGGTGTTCGTACTCCAGCAGTAGTGTTACGTCTCTTCAATGAGTTGGGTGTTGTGGATAGAAGGACGCTTTGATTACTTCCATTTTCAATGGCAGAGTCCTTCTTTGGAGTGCTTAATGTTTGTTGTTTCATCAGAAGAGCTGCTTTGACAAGTGGCAACTCATCTTTCCATGTTGGACTTAATAAATTTTCCTTTTCTTCATGAGCATTTTCTTGATCATGATGCGAACGATAACCATAACATGGTGATGTATACATGAGTTCACTATTCCTGATGGATTGTATATAATTCTGTGAAGGAGGAACAACTGAGCTTAATCTGTTTGAAGTTAAAGCACTGCCATTCTTGATGGACTGTCTATTCTTACTTGTAATGATAATTTCAGTAGTAGATCCAATTCCACAAGAAGAAGCGCTTACATTGACGGATTGGGGAGGATGATGAAGTGATTTGGAACGAGTATGCAATGGTGTTCTTCTTGGAATGGATGATGAAGATGGAATTGGCAAATGATCCACATGTACCGTATCTTGTTGAGAATGAATTTGCGATTTTGATGAAAAACTTGTTGAGGAAGCAGATACTACTCGACCATTCTTATTCACAGAGGATGAACAATTGGTAGAAGAAGAATGAGAGTTGACCCGAAGGCTGGAACGCAACTGAACAGAAGAACTATTCGTTTTGGTTTTGGGCCAACGGAAAGTACTGTTATTTGCCCCAAGGTGTGAATGAGCCAATATTGACGAGGATGATGAGGATAAGGACGGATGGTTGTTTGGATGCAACGACATTTTTTTTTAAATTTCTTTTCAAACAGTAATTTTGGGCGGGAGTACAAATTGCTCAACCGTTTTGCATTCAAAATGCTTGACAATCCAATTCCAATGTACACGCATAAAACTTTCCATTTCCCAATGAATAGAATGCAAATTGAGCAAGTGTCGTTGCAGCATATTGTTTTGGAACTGTCTTGACAATCACCTTATTCATATAATCGACATAATCATAGGAATGAAGATTAGACAACGCCACTACTGAATGATCCTTCGATACGGACACGATTGGACCTAAATAAACGTTCGAGGCGAGCAAATGGGTGGGTATTCTTGTTTTTTCCGATGCATCATGTTTCTTTTGAATTTCATGAGTAAAAATTAAATCCTTTTTCAATTCATAATGAATGTAAGGTTCTCCAAGTTTTGGAATTTGACCAACTCGAGCAGCTCCAATCGAAAATGAAAGGAAATAAACTCCTCCTCCTGTATTGGTACTGGTTCTACTTCTACTACTACTACTACTTGGATTTGAGGAATAATTGGAACACAAGACACTCGATTTAAAAAAGTATCGATCGGCAATGGCCATGTCTAATTTTCCAATGGGCATGGAACAATCCTTCATTCCAAAATTGGAAAGGGATAAAGATTTTCCAACAATGTTTTTCAGTAAATCACCAGAGGAGAGAAAGTATTCGAATTTGTCATTGACAATCAAGACAGTGACATAACCTGGAATTTCCATATATCCAACATGCATGTACATGGCATTGAAACTATAAAAGGAAATACTGGAAGCAATGTGTCCAGTTTGCATATTGATTCGATAGACTGTGTAGGAGAGAGTAGCGTAGGCATAATCAATTCCGTTTCCTTCCTCATTGGAGACAAGTATAACATTTCCTAATGAGGATAAAGAGGTTGAAATGGCATTTGAAAATCGAATGGTCATGGTTGAGATATCAATTCCATAAAATCCACTATTCGTACTCACGAGAATGGTATTCACAGAATTGGACAGGACAAGACCTCCCACCATTTTCACAGAACTGTCAAACTTCAAAACCATACTTTGTAAATTTTGTAATGAAATTTTCACCAAACAAACAGGAGAATTGGCATCAACACCACTACTGCCACACATTCTCACAACAAAATAGTTATTTCCCACAGAATCATACAATGCCGTAAGAACATTATTCATGGCACTCAATGGTCGTCGTGTTTGGAATGGTAATTTCATGAGAATTTTCCATAAACCATTTTCTGCGGATACGGAAGCTAAATATGAATCCAAAGATGAAGAAGAGTTGGAATGATCCATGATCATTAACAATTGTCCAATTCCTCCCTGAGAAGAATTGACAGCAAAGAGCATGGAATTGGGATCTAATGATAGTTTCATTGCGGAAAGAGAAGGTGAATTGAGAGAGAGCCACGATGCGTGATTGGTGAAATAATCTGGAATAGTGTTGGAAAAGAAGGGATCGGAGAAGGCTTGATTCCATGAAGAGCAGCTGGCAAGGAAGGTTGAAGAGGAGATCACAACCAAGATAAGAAGGATTTTGAGTAATGACATTTTTTTATCTTGTTTTATTGTTTCTTGTTGGACAGACTGATCAGGACCGAGTTCACAACTCCGAGCAAAGAACTATATCTCCGCGCTGGCTCTTTAGAACTTCCTGACCTTAAATCCAAATGAATTAAAGTTCATCCTTCTCTGAAGGAACCTCTGTTGCTTTCACTTCCTCTACGGATGGGCCCTTCTTTTCAGCTTGAGCATTCTTATAGGACAAGCCAGCAGTCACAACATTGACCAAACGATCAGTGAAGGCCTTCTTATCTTCCAAATCATAACCAGAAATCAAGGAAGCAGTATCGTATAACAGAGTGATAGCTTCAGTGAGAGTATTGTCATTAATATTGTTCTTCAAAAGATTATTCATGTTTTGAACCATTGGGTGATTGGCATTGAGCTCAATAGTTCTCAATTTCATCATCCAATCCATGTGAGATTGTTCTTGTCCCAAAGCTTGAGCCTTCATGATACGTGCCATGTTAGCAGAAACACCAAAGGACGAGGCAACGAGAATGGCTGGAGCATTTGAAGTTCTTCGGCTAATGGTGACCTTTGAAACCTTTTCCTTCAACAACAAATTCATGACAGAAATGAGACTGTCATATTCCTTTGTCAATTCCTCGGTTTCCTTCTTCTTTTGTTCCTCATCTTCGTTAGGGAATTTGACATCTTCCTTGGCAATATTTTGCAATTTCAGCTTTTTAAATTCGTTGAGTTGTTGAACCATGTATTCATCGAGTGGATCAATCATGTAAATCACTTCCAAATCTCTCTTCTTGAATTCTTCCAAGAGTGGAGAACTTTCAACTTCCTTCATATCTTGACCAGTGACAAAGTAAATTTGTTCTTGATTTTCCTTCTTTCTCTCGACATATTCTTCCAAACTAATAGCCTCATCAGTAGACTTGGAAGTAGTGAAACGCAACATTGAGACAAGTTTGTTACGATTTCTGTCATCCTCAATAACTCCCAATTTAACATTCTTCCCAAATTCCTTCCAGAATTGTTCATACTTGGTGAGAGTCTTTTCCTTCTTTTCTTCCTTCTTCTCTTGCTCCTCTTCCTTCTTTTCTTTTCGTTCCTTTCTTTCAGTCTTATCCTTTTCAGACAATTCATTCATAATTTGAATAGCCTTTGCCAACAACTTCTTTCTAATCATGGCCAACAATTTGCTGTGTTGAAGAGTTTCACGTGAGACATTGAGAGGTAAATCCTCACTGTCAACCAAACCCTTAATAAAGTTCAAATAACGTGGTAACAATTCTTCAACAGCTTGATCAGTAATGAACACTCTCTTCACGTACAACTTGATGTTATTCGATTTTTGAGTAAAATCAAACATGTTGAATGGAGCCTTAGATGGGAAATAGAGAAGTGACTTGAATTCGACTTGACCTTCAGCACTGAACAATTCCCAGAACAATGGATCTTCAGTGGCACCAGTCATGGCCTTATAGAATTGAATATATTCCTCATCAGTAATGTTGGATGGAGATCTCAACCACAATGGTTTTTGTTCATTCATAATGTTCCATTCCTCAACAGTCTTCTCAACCTTCTTGGTCTTCTTTTCTGGAGTTGTCTTGGATTCTTCCTCAACCTTGACTTCTTCCTTGGTTTCATCTTCAGTTGGCTTGGTCTCACTTTCAGTTTGAGCAGAGGCAGTTTCTTCCTCGACTGGCACTTCTTCAAATTCAGTTCTCACTTCATGCAAATAAATTGGGAAGTGAATGAAACTACTATACTTCTTAATGAGTTCCTTCAATTTGGATACAGTGGCATATTCTTTAGCGTCATCCTTCAAATAGATGGTCAATTCGGAACCTCGTCCCAATGTGTCACCTCTTGGATCTTCAACAATGGTGAAAGTATTGTCAGCAGTACTAGTCCAAATATATTGCTTGTCATCGTTGTGCTTGGTAGTGACTGCAACTTTTGAGGCAACCAAAAAAACACTGTAAAAACCAACACCGAATTGGCCAATCAGAGAATTATCAGGAGAAGACGAAGCTGCTTCCTTTTGAAGCTTTTCAATAAAAGCTTTAGTGCCGGACTTGGCGATGGTTCCCAAATTTTGCATTAAATCTTGCTTGGTCATACCAATACCAGTGTCTCGGATCTTGAGAATGTTAGCCTTTGGATCGGCCCAAATACGGATTTCAAGATTTGGATTGGATTCGAGAGCCTTTCGATCAGTCAAGCTCAAGAATCGAATCTTGTTGAGAGCGTCAGAGGCATTGGAAATTAATTCTCTCAAGAAAATGTCCTTGTTCGAGTAGAGTGAGTTGATAATGATTCCTATTCACATCAATTTTGTGAATGCCATGTGTTAAAATCACAATGATGATGATGTAATATAAATAATAATTATTTTGATGGAAACCCAAATATGATGATGATTTAATTACAAGAATTAGCACGATATATCACAATGATAAACACACCCAAATATGATGATGATTTAATTACAAGAATTGATTAATAAGAAAAACCCAAAAGATGACACCTACCTAGTAATTGATTAATTTCGGCTTGGAATTGATGTTGCTCTCCAGTACTCTCTTGCGAATTCAAAATTTGTTCCAACTCATCGGCAACAGTCGAGGTACCAGAACCAGGTACATTTACTGATGGAGTCTCCTCGGCATGAATCATGATGAGCCTTCCATCAAAAACATTTGGAAGGTCAATGTACCCACCAAAAGCAACAGTAGAGTTGCTAGTAAGACCGAGCGAGTGGTGATGGTCTTGTTCATGTTGTTCAACGTTTTGTTATTGTTTTGTTGTTGTTGTTAAGTGGAGGAAATGATGATCTCGGAACGAGAGAACAATCCCGTGCTATCAAATCCAAGTTGTTGTTGTTGATTTTTTCAAAAAGGCTACAGCACGGAAGTGAAATTCAAAAGGCTTTGCTGCACTTGGAAATTCCGATAGACACGTGTTCGATGGAGAGAGAATGACTCTCCAATCAAGGACAGTATTCAATCTCTCAGAAACTCCATGAACACAATTTGATTTTCAAATCGAATACCTCTTGTCAATACGAAATATTGGAATGCCGTTTTCATGAATCAACAGACAAACGATGCTGTTTATTCATTGCATTGATTCATTTGGATGTGGTGCGTACAAGAGTAGTAATGTTGAACAATTATTAATTTCAACCACTCTCCTTCTCAAGTTGCAAGTCCTTATCAAAATTGCATGTTATTACTACGGAGAGGAGGCACAACAACACTCAATTTCGGGCTCGTGCTCAATGTCAATACTCTCTTGTTTCGATTGCTCACATTATTCAACTTCTTCTTGTTCTTAAATGAAGTAGGCAACATGAGTAGAGTCGGATTTCTTAAACATGGTCGTAATAATATGTACTCATCCTCCAGATAATCTTCCAATTCTTGACATTCATCGTCTGCATGATGAGGTATATAATGGCTGACAAAATTTGTGGCTGCAGCATTTGCAATATCTGGAGATTTGTGAAAATGGTGATACTTCGGTGACGAAAATGATGCAACAGGAGACTTTGGACGCTCAATGACAAGAGGACTGTGAGGATACATGGAAGTACGGAGTGGGCTTTTGTGTCCTCCACTGCCACCTCCACCTCCACCACCACTACTTCCAATGGAGCCGCTATTAGGTGAACGCTCAATAATGATTTTAGGATTCTCAGAATAAGGTAATTGCAAAGTCATGCTTGTTTGATGCATTTTCTCAAAAAGTGTGTGTTTGTTGAAGAATTGGTTTGGGTGAAAAATTGGTTGTTCAAAAAACGTGTTGGTTCTTTTGGTTTGAAACGGAGTTGTTGTTGCAAAAATTCTCTTCTTGGTGATTGTTTAAAGTCAACGTCACGAATGAAGAAGATCTTGTTAACGTATTGTTTTTGTTGAATGTATCGGTTACTTGTTTCTTCGCTGAAATTATAAATTCATAAATAAAGGCCTCAATATTCATAGCAAGACAAGCCAATAGACCCAGTTGCAGGATGGATTTGGCAATCCGGAATTGAAAAAAAATAAAATGTTTGGGACGCTACCATGTCGCTTGCAAGAACAATCGAAACAAAACAAATATAAACGGTCACCCCGATCAACCATCATCAGCACTTCTTGATCAGCATCATTCACAACCTCATCTACTTACCATCAACTTCATTGCTTCAACACCGATCACTGATCGCATCATCATTAACAGCAACAACACTCTCCAGCACAATGCCAAAAGAGCAATCAAAGAAGATCACACCTTCCCAACCTTCAAAGATATCAAGTACACCAAAAAGGCAGCGTCGTCGTTACAAATATCATCCATTGGAGGCCTTTGTTAAAGTGGATAAGATACCAATCACCATGCATCCAAGCCCCCTCAATTTAATCCATTTTACTCACAACTCCC